CGGCCTTCGAGATCTTAGGATACTCCTTAACGATATCTGCTGCAACGGTTGCCGACCTGTAGTCAAACACTGCAGTGGCGCCGTACGCCTTGACAAGGTCGAATGAACGCGGCGAGGCCGTCGCAACAACTTCATACCCAGCTGCCTTTGCAATCTGGATGTGAAAAAGCCCAGCGCTGGTGGCGCCAGCGTAGATGAATATCACATCATCTTTAGGGGCTGCCTGATCGCCTTGGACGAAGGGGAGGCCATGACGGACATTGAGGGTCAACATGGCAGTCACAGCTGAGACACCGTACGTGGTGGCGTCCGTGTCGCTGATTTCATCAGGAACCTTCCAAGCCAAATCCGCGTCGACTTTCAAGTACTCGGCGAAAGCGCCCTTGTCGGGAAAAAGGCCACCGTGGACTGCGCCCGCCACGCGATCGCCGGGTGTCCATCCAGACCTGACGGCACTGCCGACCTGTTGGACCACGCCGGCATAGTCGCAGCCGATGATGGAGTGAGGAGGAGAAATGACATCTAGGTGCTTGAAATCCGTAGGATTTAACGCGACCGCCTTGACTTTGACCAAGATCTCGTTGGGTGAAATTGTAGGAATGGGAACATCGTTCTTGACCTTTCCCCCCTGGCCACCGACTGATTTGCCACTGGCGTGGTTGAAAATTCTGGTGGCAATTCTGCGGTGGGAAATAAGAGCCTTCATGATCTGGATGCACAATAAATAACCAAAAGGATACGGTGAAGAGTACGGAGTCGAAGGTCGTAGTACTTATGGAAATGGTCAATTATCAACGCCATAAGCCTTTGCAGATAAGGCAGATCACGAGGAAAGTTTAAAAATGCCCCACTGGAATTTGTAGTTGGGATGGAGCAATTATCTTGCCGACGGCGTAAATTTAGTGGGGACGTAACGGAATGGTTATGTAACTCACCCGAATATCCATGGATGTATCCATGGATCCATAACGCGGGAAGAGTCAAGCCACATCAGTATAGTTTAATAATCTGCTGGTCTTAGTTAACTAGTTAGTTAACTTATTCCTATATCCTAAATTATACCTTAGGTTACTCGTGCTTCAAACAACTTCAGTATACATAAGCGGTGTTGTGCGGTTCCTTCATAATCAGCCTTATTTCTCCCAATATGTCAGACTCAAAGCAAAGGTCAATCCTTATCACCGGGTGCGTTGAGACCTATCCACTCCCTCCATCTTCCCTGACCTAACCGCTCACCTACCAGATGTTCTCAAGGGAGTGCCGGTAACGCCCTAGCCTTGGAGTTTGCTTCTAAGGGCTTCCGCGTCTTTGCGACCGCCAGGTCGCTGAAGGCTTTGGCCAACCTTCAGGGGGATAATATCGAAACGCTGACTCTCGATGTCACGGACGCGAGCAGTATCAAGGCCCTAGCGGCACAAATTTCGAGTCGTACAGGAGGTTCCTTGGACATGCTCTTCAACAATGCGGGCACTCGTGGGTTATCTCCAGGATAGTCGATAGCAGGTTTTCGCACGGAAATTAACGCTGCTCGCACCCTAGTATACGAAGCACCCGCCATCGAGGCAGATCCCGCCCGCGTGCGTGCACTCTTCAACACGAACGTTTTTGGCCTCATGGAAGTGACTACTGCCTTCACCCCTCTTCTTCTCGCCAGCGTGAGCTCAAGCTTTTCGCCGATAATAGTTAATGTCGCCTCCGTCCTAGCGCGCGTCCCGAATCCATTCGCTTCAGCTTACAACGCTAGCAAAGCTGCTGTAGCTGCCTACTCGGACACTCTTCGACTCGAGTTGCAGCCGCTTGGCCTCAAGGTCAAAACCTTGTACATGGGAGAGGTATCGACTCCCTTGATGGTGGCGGACAATATCAACTTTGGGCCGGAGAGTATCTACCGTGCTGTGGAGGATTCTGTAAAGGCGCGAACAAGCACTCACCTTGCAAAGACGATGGCGCCGGCTCAGTTTGCCCGGGAAGTGGCAGACGAAGTTTTCAGTGGAAATAGTGCCACCATTTGGAAAGGTACTAATGCCTTTGCGGTTTGGTTTTTGAACGCTGTGGGACCAAGGAATGTATTCGATAGTACCGTGTTGAAGGGGGTTGGACTAGACAAGCAAGAGGCCAGGTCGAGTATTTTTAAGCTTGGCCAAGCAAAGGCCAAGAAGGATGGGCCAGGAAAGGGTCAAAGTAGCCGGATATAGCTAGGCTCTCAAGCCTTAGGGATTTTAACAGATTTGGCATGCATATAGTAATACAAGTGTTTGGTGTTTGATTTTCCCACCTTGACTGTTCTAATGTTCTTTGAAATATATATGTATATATGCTTGGGAAGAAGGGAAAGAAAGCTTGCTAGGAAGAGAGAAGAGAAACTGTCACCAACTGACATAGCGGCTGTGCGGTCTTTAATTTGTGGGTCGATGTAACGAACTGGTGTTGTTACCATTCGTGGATGCCTCATGCCTACGGCACCACTCTAGGCATACACGCCATACACCTGTGTATCTAACCTTCCATCCTAGCTTCCTTCTTATTCTCCTCAAGCTATTACTTTCGTCGAACCGCTACTGCTTCCTTTGCTTCGTATGCTATGCCGTACGTTGATCTCTGTGAGTATCTGAGCATCCTCAAAGTCGATTGCAGATATTAATTGGAGATCATTTTCATCGAGTTCAGTGATACTAACATCCTTCTTATTTGCCCCACATCGGACCACAGATAATTTCAATTAGTGATCAGTCATCGCTCCGGTGATCCTGGCGGAGACGGCATAAGTCAATGCTAAGCGCAGTTCCACTTCTGTAGGTAGCAATCCATCTGGATGAGATAGAGAGCTGTCGAATTTATTACGGAGTAAGGCGCCATCAGTTGGTCTTGTGAAACAGATAAATCCTTTGAGAATTTGCCTCCTACCTCAAAACTCATATTATATTTTCTGAACCAAACATGAGTGCCTCAAAAGTTCTAGTGGTGGTCAGCATTACGCGAAAGCAGGGATCCTCTGTCGCAAATGCCTTGCTCAGTCTCCAGGGCCGGCTAAGAATTAAGCCCTCATATTTCTGGTACTAAAGCGCCACTTCCAAGTTGACTATAACAAGTTAGACTTTTTGAAAACTTGGCCAACTGCGAGCAGACGAGAACTCATGAGCAGCATTCCTCACGCCTTGGCCCAAGATCCACTGGACCGAGCATGGGAATCCACGCGGTTTTTAGTATTAGGTTTAGTAGTGACCAGGGGAATTATTCGAAAAATTGCGCTGTGAGACTGTAGTCAATGCGAGCTCGTGACGAAGTTCGTCAAACCAAACCCAGCCCTCTCGCTCACGGAAGAATCTAGTCGAACGATGATGTCTGTCTACATACGACCAGGTACTGTCAGAGTTCCAATACTCAGAAATTATCTACCACTACCGGCGCTCTGTCGGCTTGGACACATGATGTAACAAATGACACTGTATTGCCAAATTTTCCACTTGCGTCTTCTTATAGGCTCTCACGCAAACAATTCTGCTTCTCAGACGTCTAATCTCAACGTCAAATTGAGTGAGGAGAAGCATCAAATTCAAATCATTTCGTGAGGCAAGAATACATGAAGCTTAGAATTTCAACAGATCATCAAGTTCCTCCAAGGAAACCCAGGGGTGTTCCGTCTTGGATCTCAGCTCCGTAGGCTCTAGAGAAGCATTAAAACCACCTGGTTCAATCTTTGAATGCACTATTATAGGCGTAAGGATCACCCTCTTCGTCGGTACGAAGGTATGGGTGGGGTTTTGCAGCCAATTTTTAGTGTGTATGCGAATGGGCAGAGAAATCAGCTCCGACAGGGTTGTTGATGGTCTTGTCAGGCTGCAAGTGTCTCCACAATCGATGACCTCCACGGACTCTGGGATATTGGGATTGCGGATAGCTCCCGTGGGAGGTATAAGTCGTACTATCTCGGACAGTAGCGAATGCATCACGCTCCAACGCGGTACTTTATCGTCCACACCGCTGGGTGAAGAGAGTCGGAGTGTGGAGTGGGGATTTCTGCCAGCATACTTTGACGTATGCGCAGTGGATGCACTGCATAATTTGCAATTATATCAGCAAGCCACAGTAGTTATATCAAATTGACTTCCATGACTTAGAAGACAAGAAACTTAGCTATACCGTGCTCGACGTGCCCAGGGCAGGCAGGCTTGGTCCACTCTGATGCAGTATGTACAACGATGGCGCTCAGTGTAGACACATCGTTTCTTCCGAACATGGCATGTTTGACAAGCTGACATCTTGATTGAATAAGAATGATGGAATCAGGATTCCTCCCACGAAAGGAGATCCTTAAGCTGTGGGAATGCCGATAAATTTAGATCTATAGCCCAGTCGAAAGGTATCCGGTAATTTTTCTGGATGCACCTGAGGTGGCATCAATATGAGCTGATGGAAGAGAACACTGAATATGGCAAATAAAGTTCTTTGAAAGACCAACAACAATAACATGCACTCAGTTTCTTGTCCATCCCATGTCTACTTTCACAAGCTCCCATTTGTGATGGCCGAAACCTAATCCCCTCCGACACTTACGTGTCCCATGGACGAGAACACCCATCAAGTGACATGAGGGTACCCGCATTCGCACTTAGCCTATCAATCTCGTAGCAACGTGCCTCGGCTGAAATAGGGAGAGATCACTCAACATCCGCTCCATGAATGTAATGCTCCACGTAATCCCTAATTCTCCAATAGCCTACAGGTTAGATCCGAGCGAGCACAAAATGATAGAATTTGTAATCGACTCTCGGGGTCATTCTCGGGTACCTTAAGAATACTTTGTAGGCGCTTATAGTGGGTCCACAGAGTTGAAGATTTCTCAGCTGCCGTAGTGATCACTAACAGCGTCCGAGGATCACGGAAGTGTCTCGACGGAGCTTGCCACATTTGATTTTCCTACTTAAAATGCTTCCATACTCACAATTGTAATTATATCTCTACTCATCATCTTGCCATCTTATCATATTATCAGCTGAATCATGTCCAATCAGAAGGCTGTCACCGTGACCCAGCCCAAGACGGCTGGCTTGGTCACTGATCGCGCTATTCCCAAGCTCCGTGATGATTACGTTCTCGTGAAGACAGTCAGCGTGGGTTTGAACCCAAGTGACTGGAAGCACGTGGATTTCCTCTCTCCTCCCAGCGTCCTGTTGGGAGGTGATTACTCTGGCATTGTCGAGGCCGTTGGCAGAGACGTCAAGCTACCCTGGAAAAAGGGAGACCGTATCTGCGGTTTCGCCCACGGTGGGAATTCCGTGCAAGCCGAGGATGGTTCTTTCGCCGAATATATTGTCGTCAAGGGTGATGTGCAGCTCCGAATTCCCGAACATCTGAGCTTTCAGGAAGCTGCTACGCTCGGAGCAGGCATTCAGACTATCGGCCAGGCATTATATCAGACTCTAGGTCTAGCTCTACCGAGTCAACCTATCAAAGATGCGACTCCTATTCTTATCTATGGCGGTTCTACCGCTACGGGCACCCTCGCGATTCAGTTCGCTAAACTCTCCGGTTATCAGGTGCTCAGTACCTGTTCGCCGCACAACTTCGACCTTGTCCGTGCTCTTGGCGCTGATGCTGTCTTGGATTACAAGGACCATGAGTCCGCCGCTCAGATTCGCAAGCAGACCAGGAACGGTCTGAAGCTAGTCTTGGATTGTATATCGCTTCCTTCCAGTGTTTATTTCTGCAACCAGGCACTTTCAACGGAGGGTGGCGAATACCTCGCACTCCTGACCGTGAAAGTCAACCGCGCCAACGTAAACAGTCGATTTGTCCTGGCCTATACAGCCCTTGGCGAGGCCTTTGAGTTCGGTGACATGTCGGTTCCCATTAAGCTAGAGGATTTCGAGCACGCCAAGAAGTTCACTCGATTGGCTCAGACTCTTTTGGATCAGGGCAAGATCAAAGTCCATCCCCCTAAGGTGGGGAAAGACGGTCTACGAGGTGTCTTGGAAGGAATGGAGCTTCTCAGGGCCGGCAAAGTCAGTGGTGCGAAGTTAGTGTACAATGTTGAGGAGACGCCTTAGTCACACGTCAGTCACATAGTTAAGTCAATTAGCTAGCCAACTTGGTTCGACACATCTTTCACAATTTTTCAAATATGAACAAGGCCATCACACAAAACTGAGATTGAGACTTGACATAAACAGGTTTAGGCCAAAGGCAAATTGTCCGAGCACGGTGGAAAGATGCCCTGTGGCGTTCTGCCCAGGGTTACAGTACTTGAGTTGCAATTTGCTGATTTGTTCAGAGCATATATAATTAGACCTCTGCAAACTGGTTCCCGCGGGCTTTGATCTCGCAAAAAAACCCGTTTGCCAAGAGCCCGCGGGCCCTATCATCAAAACCCGGCCCGACCCACGGACTTTTGTAACAGGACCCGAAAGCCCGTAGAAAACCTGTTTTTATATTAGATATGACGCCTTGCCTTTTTTGAATGTGAATAAAATAATAAAAATATCCTTTGTAATTATTCTGGTTCTCTTTGTATATGAAACACTACCTATTTAATGCAGTTTTTATATTCTTTCAACTTCTGTAGATAATACCAGTCAGGGTATAATCTTCCATTTTAAGCTCTTTTACTCTTTGTTGTAAACTTTTAATCTTTAATACAAACCTATACTGGGTAAAAGGTATATGAATTAGGTATAAATCACTAATATCTCCTCTATCATACCTATTTAATATTGATTCGGGGTAGATTCAGGATAGAATCAAGATATTTTCGCTTTAGTCATCTCCTCTTCCAATGTTAAGCGTCCTGCTTAACAAATTACTAGGGATCTGCCTTGAACTTAGAGTAGGTATAGAAACAACCTAAACTCATTATCTTAGTTGTACCTTCTGCAAACACCAAAGTAGAAGTTTCTATATTAAGCCTTACTTATTGACTTAGGTTTTTTACTTTTTTACTTTTTACCTTCTATATATCCCCTTTTTAATTAATCATTACCACTTTTTTAACCTCTTTCTTTAATTAACTAATCTATCATTATAGTTTCAGAAAAGATAAAGCACAAGCCCGCTAACAAGCCTGCAGCTCTACGCTACAGTATATCGCCTGTTGACGAAACACATCTGGCTCGAGAGCATATTGACGAAATATGTCCGGTTTCGAGATTGTATTATAAGGACTCCAATTCTACGTTCCGAAATTGCGTTACTTCCTGGGCCTGTTCTTTTCAACACGGATAAACTCAAAGCCTTATTGACACGGCCACACGGAGATACTCCCTCTGTACTTTATAACGGAAGATGGCGTCCTTGTGCAGGAATAATCCTGCTTAGTTGGGTCGAAACCTCAGCCAGAGTTCATACCCCTTCTGAGGTTTGTGTAAGTATCGCCCTGAATAACAGCGATTTTCAACGGCCTACTGTCCTGCCTCCTAAGCTTTGGGCTAGGAACTCAACCTTACTTTCCGGTCCTTTGCCACAAGCTCGTCCTGCCTCTATTTCAGAAGAGGTTCAGGACTTTATTGGTTTTGACGACATCCTTGAAAGCATCGAGGATGAACCTGAAACGACCGGCCTCACAATCGAATGGGCCCCGACCAATATTGGAAAAGTATGCGAAGGGTGTCTCCCACCCTGGATTGCATCCCTGAGAGGGGAAGACGATGATCTCGCATGCCCCCGGGTAAACTGCAAGTGGTCTGGCGCCTCGAAGAAATACGCCCGTTGCATTAAATCTCATGAAGATTGCAACACGGTTCGTCCTTGATACTATTCTGAATCAATTGAGTTTCAAGCTAACCTGTCACAGATGAGCGCCCTTATCCAAGGGGACGTCTACGACGCTGACCGTATGATCGAATGGGTTCGATCTCTGTTCGGAACTGATACAGAGGGGCGTCTGTTCCAAAGCGAAGCCTTTGTGAAAAGGTTGCGCTGTTGCGTTATCGCCTTGCTGCAGCACCTTCGGCAACTCATTTTCGCCCATCGCGCTGAACGGAAGGGCCTCAAGAAGGCAGAGTTTTCGCGTCTCCGCTCAGGGTGAGGCACATACCTTCGGCCACATTCATCCTAAGCTGATGAGCAGTCAATGGTCGAGTGATTGGTGAGACCCCTTCTCATTTCTCCGTTTCTTGTCTATCGAATTGCCAATTCTTGGAAGCCGGCCAGGACCGAGTTTCTTCCACTTTTCAGCGTGCTGCTTCCATTCTCCTCTCAAAACTCATTAGTAAGCGGAGCTTTCGTACGACCCAAGCTTGGATAGGGACGTGATTCGTTGGATGGTTCGTCATCAAACGGAATGATGAGTGATCCTGCCGAGCCAATGTTTAGCCTCCTGGGTTGCCTCCGCGGGGCATCCTTCTTCCAGTCCCGGGCAGAATCACTCCATAGCTCACTAATACTCGAAAAGGCTTGTCTGCAGAAATCTAATTATCTGGACGACCAGCCAGCGCTGGTCGGTTTCTAACATAGGCTATCTTATCTCCTGGCCGACAGGCTGTCAATTGACTGACGGTGCCTATATCCGTCCCATCATGGACGAACAATTACCAGTGCGGCAGTCAAGCCACCTGCCTCCCCTCAATTGGGATGAGTTCCATGAAAGCACATCCTCATCCGAACCTACTTACCCCTTGCTACACGAGTTCGTGACCTCTGATATCAATTCAATGTTCTCAGCTCGCTCCTATCCCCAGCCCAATTCATATAACACTCTAAATGCTCAATATAGTGTGCCATCGTCCAGTCATGGCGACTTAGCTCTCAGGTCTACATCTTACTTAAACTCGACGAACACAAAACAAACACCCCTTCCTAACCCGACGGCATCGGGGCTACAAAAACGCCAGGGACATGGATCCAAGAAGGCCGCATCGCCAGGGAAGAACCGCGGAGCTCCCCGAGACGGTGGAGGTAGAAACGAAACCCCTGAAGAGGTTCGTACGCCATTGATGGATCTCCACTAATGTAAGGGTACTGACCGGATCAATTACTTGTGACAGCGGAGGCGCATTCAAACTCGCTTGGCACAACGTGCATATCGTTCACGACAGCAAGCATCAGTGGAAAGCCTTAGGAATCGAATTTCTTTTCTGGAGACCTCAGTAGAGAAAATGAGCTCTGCTATGCTGTCGTTCAGTGACCAACTAGTCCAGAGTGGTGTGCTTAGGTCACAGTCAGCTTTGACCACCAATTTACGCGATACGATGAAGATATTTGTTTCTTTGGCATCCGGGGCAAGCATCGACGAGGGGACGAGGATCCCGGGTGACTCCAATAGAGCAACTGACTTGCCGCCAAGCCCACCACAACCTACCACCAAACGCTTGTCTCTGGACGTCCCCCTTCACTTGCCCTTGGTGGACAGCGGAGTATATCATTCTCAAAGTGCTGTCCTACCGGCGGTCGTCGAGTCAACTAGAACGTTGATTATAGACGTAACCGAATTCATTGAAAGGCTGCTCCTAGTCGCCTTATATCAAGGACATCTGGCTCTAAGCAATCCGTCCTTCGGCACGGACCAACTCCAAAGGCCCTTTGGGCTTATTTTTACTATGATGAACCGTGACCGCCTGACATCTTACTTCAAAGCAGAATTACATGCTCAAGTAAACCAGAAGCCGTTGGATGGATGGGAGGAAGTCCCCTTTTTTCAGATTGGGGCGTGCGGGAACCCATTATCCTAAAGGGAGCGCGGGTGCCTTTGTCCCTCGTTTCCAGAGATGGGGCACCGTGGAGGACCCCTTATCACTGGTTACGGCAGATTTACGAAAGCAGCTAGAAGGGGATTGGTTTGACTTACAAGATCTAGAGGGGTATCTTCGCGATAAGAATGTGCTCCTGGTTGTGCCAGCAGGTGAGCCAACAAGATACTCGGGAGGGCGGAATAATATCAATGTCTCGCGTTTTATATCAGGTAAGTCTGCGCCTCTGTGCCTTTTTCGTAATGATCATTCTGACTTTAATAGCATTGATCCCCAGAGGAGTTTGCCTGGGCCGAACACCTGGGTTTAAACGTGGTGATGTGGAGGAGGTCCTGCATTTTTCAACAATTGTGTAAACTTGTTGAACTTATCCGATTGAGCACCAATTCCTTGGTGAAATATGCATGACGTGATGTGTCTATACATACTATTGTACAATATCTGTGGCCATTTTGCCCTTCTGATTTGACATTTGGTTTGAAATAATTCTTTTTAGCCAATTAAACGAACCATTCATACCGAGCTATTGAAATTTGGTCTTTAAGCGACATCAAGGAGACAGTTTGGCCTCTGCAAATGACTTCCGCAAGAGAGCGTATGTCCATTGACAACAGACCACACGGTCCTGTTTAATCAAACAAAACCCCAAGGGCAATACTAGTGTCTTGGTACTGCTGAGTGTAGAATAAAATTCGGAACAACAGACTATTATGGACAGCGAATTGAAGCTCGGGTGCTGTGTTGGTGTATGTACTTTGTAGTATGGCAACAAATCTCTATTGGTCGCCCCACAAGGCTGCTACAGCTACGGCCAGGTATAAATGGCGCACACCAAAGCCCAATCCGAGACGCAGGGGTATATGTCAGTTTTCAGCCCCATAGGGGCTCGATCTTGACGTCTTGAGTTGGCCGTGGCACCGTCTCGGGTGGTAACGCGGAGAAACTCGGGCAATCCGAGGCGTAATCTTGGCGCCCAGACTTAAGCAGCCAAGAATATTTTATGCGGCCTGCAGGGACGATATCACCCTGCTGCATAGAGGAAGAGTGGACGCTAAAATAGGTGCTAAGATCGAGAGGCTGGGATGGAATGAGATGGTGATGGTGTGTGCTTTGGGTGAAGGCTAGCTGACTACTAGTAGGCTCTTGGGTGTCTGAAGCCTCGGGTCTCAACAATAGGACCCTAAGTGATGAGGACCTGTAAGCAAAGAATATGGCTCGACCACGGAACTTGTGATTGATGTGGATGTCTTCCAAGGTTAGCGACGAACTCCGAACTCGACCCTTTTGGTGGTTATTCTACTGCTTGGCTACCTGTTTTCCCCCTTCTGCAACTCAAACCACCTAGCAAACTTTCTAACTTTTATGTCGGTTCACTCCCAGCCAGTAATCCAACAACAATATCAAGTTTTTATTAAAAAAAGACGAGATACAGGTATGGTACCCAATCATTTAGAATATGGTATATACTGTTCAAAATACACGGAAGCAGATACTCAAGGAATAAAGATGGTACAGTGATTCAAGGAACGCCATCACCAGAGAAACATTGTAGAAACACAATCAGACAAGGAAGAACCCCAAAGCCCCAACTGCGGCGAGCAAGCATGATATGCCAGCGACAGCTACTTGATGCGCCGCATTATTTTTCTCCTCCGGGCAATCGGATGGTCGATCTATCCCTTTGCATAGGTCGGATTTTAAAGAGGCTTCCATGCTTGCGATAATTGTCTTGTCGATATGGACTCGGCAAGGATCCGGCGTGGGTGTTGGGGTGGACGACGCCACGACCGCGCAGGTGTCGTTGGTGTAATTACCGCCAGACCATCTCACCCACATCGGGACTTCCATAGTTTTATCTGTCACATTGATCACCATGCCGTATTCCTCCGGGCATGTCTTGTTGGCTGTTACAGCAACGAGATCCACCTTAGGGGCTGAACTTTGAAGAGTGAACCAGGTGGACCAAGTAGAAGAGTTGTTGATCATATTGGCACTGAGAGGATGACTTTCAAAGGCGTCCTCGTCGCAACTTTGCCAGCTTAGGCTCCACCTCACCTTCCAGCGTCCCTCTTCCTTGAAATAACCGTAGTGGTGATATGCGTAGAAGGTGTCCTGCCCAGTCCAGTTGGTCCATCTTAAATCATGAAACCGGGTGCGAGAGTTATTCTCATTATCCAAATCCCAAAACGTATAGGTAATTCCAGGATTCAGATATCGGGCGCGCTCGGCATTCTGGAAAGCAAAAACAATAGGAAACCATTCTGTCGGCGAATATGTCTCGTTGCGGGGGAAAACGAGGTCCACTTCCAGGATATCAGAAGCGTTTATTATGGTGCCTATGCACAAAGCGAGTAGCCAGCTCGTTTGGTAAAAGTGCATGTTATGGGCAGGTTGGACTTTCAAGAGTGGTGAGGGCCGGGAAGTTGAAGAGGAGGAAGACAACTCGCAGGTTTTTAAGACAATGAGCTTGCGAGGATAGATTCCAATTTGGTAAAGAAGGGCGAAGGAAAATGCAAAAAATAGGGGGCTATACGCTACACGAGGTGAACCGAATGTTAGCAGGGATTGGAAGAACGGGTGAGAGGCTCATTTTCTAGGCTGCATAAGTTCGCGCCTTGGCGGCTCGTGGGCAATCTTGCTACAGGGTCGAGGACCCTGTATGTTTGTCCCTCCACAAAGAAGTTCCGAGAGGGGCGGAATCTTGGTCCCCGATCAAGGCTTGGCTAAGGCTTGGCATTAGGTAGTGTAGCCAGTAAATTGCAGCGTTATAATGCCCAGGAGGTAGTCAACATCGCTAAGCAGTAGGTACATACAGGCTCGCCTTTAAATTCTGGTATTGGTTCGCTTAAAATCTTTCCTGGTCAGGTGTACGATCCTGCGGCTCCTGCCGGCTCAACTATTACATTTTTTGTCCGAACTTGTAACTATACCCAAGCTTCGTACTGATGCCCCTTGCAGGCTATCTACAGTCTTCGATTTAGCCACCAATGGCTTACGTGTTGTGAGATCCACTGGCACCGTCTGAAAATGTAGCAATACGCCGAACGATTCAGAGCTTTGACTAACCTCAAAGCAGCTGGGTAACAATCAATAAAGTACGCTAACTTTGGAAGACTACTATATACACTAGAGAGAAGGGCGTTCTCTTTCAGAACTTTTGATGTGTTAATACCCCTAGGGCTAATAACTGCTAGTAGTATTAGGGCCACAAAAGCTACTATACAAACCTTCCAGGAAGATGCACATAGATTGAATTCAAAAAAGAGTTTCGGAAGTCAAATATTCTTTTGCCCACTTGCGCAGTTCCAATCAGGACATCAGTATGTGACTCTCGATTTACTAAGGAAACATTCTCTGATATCTTTACTACCTATATAACTCAAAACCAAGCCTAGCACAATGCGCCTCACGCTATTCTTGCCGCCGGAGCAATCCCAGCTACGGCTGTGGCTCTGATCCCCCGTGCTGTTGACTGTAATTTTTCCACCACTGCTGATGCCGGGGATACATGCTTGAGCTTTACTAGCAGCTGGGGACTATTGGTTGACAATCTAAAGCAGCTGAATCCTGGTATCTCCTGCCCTGATCTTGATGCCAGCAGGTCATACTGTGTTATAGGCACTGCCACGGAGGAACCATCCAGCACCACTTCTACTTCTACGACAACGAAAACAACCATAATCAGCAAGTCTACTACCACCACAGTGACTGCCCCCAGCAACAGCCCCACCATGCCCGGGGTTGCAAGCAATTGTGATGGATTCTACCAGGTCTCATCCGGTGATCAGTGCGACACCATTGCCGCGAAATACGGTATCTCCGAAGCCCAGTTCAAGAGCTAAAACAATGTATTTTTAATTCGCTGTAATTTATCGTCAACGGTGCCAGGTCAAATTTGTCTGGAATGCAATAAACATAAACTTACGCTATATATTTCCTTTTGATCTCGTTTAGGAACCTTGGTTTTGGTAAATCTTTGTATCTACCGAAGAACCTCTCTGTGTACGCCTTATTCGTTCTTACAGTTGGTTTTTCATTAATGTCGACTCGGCCAACGGTAGAGTCGATATACCTGCGGATAAATTCCTTTACTATTTTATGACTTGGGGGGGCACAACCTTTCAATGTTTTGTAATCTTGATATCCGTTCTCTGGGTCGGCTGCAAAGCTAGGCAAAAGTTAGCCTTTTCTTTAATTAAGTTTTGGTAGTTTAAACCTACTCAAGCCAAAGATCAAGAGCTTCTTTGCGTAATTCTTTAGTCCATGGAAGCTTCTTATCTTTGTTTCGAACTTTGTCTTGTCCTTTGAAAATACTGGGAAGATAATTATTCTTCTGCCGTTGGAGACGACGCCTTTCTTTGGCTGCATTATTATGCCTAGCAGGAAAGGCCTATCGGCCTATATTCAGATATCTGTCCGGCTTGGGGTCTGACAGTTGACTTTTTTTGATGTGATTGGATTTTGGTAGACAAGTTGGTGTGAAAAGTATAATTTATGGGACGATGAAGGGGAATCAGAGCCAACCTTCATATTCGACAGACTCTAAACCCGACGTCAGGTATGATAGAGAAATTACTGGCTTTGGCCACGTTATGAGAGTAAAAAGTCAAAGCGAACAAAAGAAATTCATACAGCCAGCCTCATTTCTGATACGGTGGGCAGAAATGCTGTTTTTTTTAAACGGGAACATTCGGCTTGCAGGCATCAGCGCGCCAGTTGTTACAGAATAGATGGCCCATTAGGCCATACCGATTTTGGAATAGCTAGAACCATAGGTATCGAATGATCCCTGAGCAGCCCTGGTTGGTCACTGAGCGATAAGTGTGCCTTAGTCATGCCTCATATGACTCGGGTGATTCGATCACTGAGCCTGAGCCTGAGCGCCCTCATAAAAGCGGCGGCAGCCGAGAAAGGAAAGCCCCACCTGGCAGACAAAATCCGGTGTATATATATTTGCACATAAATCTCAAAGTGGAGTGCAATTAGTCATGGCGGTTCAGGGAAGTGACTCATGTCACATCTTGACATGCCCAGTGGATTTTTATTTACTTCGATCACTTAGCTACCTCCTCTAGGATAAAATGCTCTTAATTAGCAAAATATCAAAAAAATCAGATCCCACCTAGTTATGTGCGAAACGGCCCCAGAGTTGAGGATATACCACTTCCCTCACCTCTCAGGTGGTCACAATCAACTTCAAGTTGCTAGCCCTGGAGGTGATTTCAAGTTTTGAAATTGATGGTTTACAATTTGAAGTCATTGTTGCAGTATATGAAAGGGATTTCTCTCCAGACCTCTTCTAAAATAAATGAAATTTGAATGAAAGCCATCAATTTAACCATAAACGATCTCGTCAATACTATTTAGGCAAAATGGCTATGCGAGAATTCTGGCGGCCGACAGGTGGGGCCTATGCCCCCGGTGATAATCCGGTTTGCGCATACCGCTTTCCTGTGGCTTCAGACAACTCAATAGGAATGGAACCATCCATCTTCATAGGTGAAATTGTCCACTGGGTCATTATTGAGTTTTGGATTTGAAATCAAAGTCTGCTCCGTAGTAAAGATGTAGTATATAAATGCATATTTCACCAGGAATACGGCAACTTTCAGTCTTACCTTTTCCAAACTTTCAAGGTTCCAACGAAATACTTTTCAAATTAAAATGCTAGTGCCTTCATACTTCACGACTTAATGAATGCACAAAAGTTCATTGACTGACTGTCTCCTATTTTAGAAATCCTGTCACAGATGTCCAACGAACGTATCCAAATCCTCACTGTCAGCTTGAGTTACTATCTGACCTGCCATCGACTCGAAGACGTAATAAAAGAGGATTGGACCAAATCCCCTGACCAAGTTGAACGCTTCAACAATGTCGCTTTTGATTTCGACGGAGAGGATGTGCCGGCCGCCATGGGTGAATTAAAGGAGAAACTGCTGCATCAGCATTGGGATGGCGTCCTGATCGGTTGGTGCATTCGCGGAAAGCCACAGTATACAACTATTTTCGAAGACGTGATTGAGCTATGCAGACACCTTCCACAGGAAACAAAACTGCTCTTTTGTACAGGGCCGGATAACCTGATGGAAACTGCTTTGAGGAACTTCCCTTGAAACCATACTTTCCAAGAAGCCGTGACTGAATCGATATATGATTTGAGCTCGGTGGTGCTGGAAATTTGCAATGTTCATGTCTCTAGTCCACACAATTTCATGTTTCCTATATCCTCGACAACAAAAACTTGTATCCTGGGCTAGATTTCAAGACGATAGGATAGTTTTCTCGCATATAGGGCAAAAAGAATATCGAATAACCAAAAAATTGACCGACGCAGGGGTCGAACCTGCAATCTCTTGATTCGTAGTCAAGCGCCTTGCCATTGGGCCAGCCGGCCTGGTATATGTTGAAGCCGTGAAAAATGTGCGCTGCAAGCGGAGACAATCTCGGTGGGTCCGAGTGGTAGCGTGGCGGGACTTCATGAAGGAATGCGACCAATAGGATGGCGACCATCGGTGAATTTGCGTATGCTAGAAGAACGATTGTGGCCAGACTTACGATATCCCTCTTTAGACCTGCTTCATTTGCATCTTTGAGGCTATTGCTAGGATATTCAATGGGCCAATTGTTCAATCCCGATCAGATTACCCGCTCTACCTTAAATCTGAGAAACATGCTAGTAGTAGTATTGGAAAACTTGCCTATGTTTTGCCAGTGCAAATAGGGAATCGATTTTAGCTTCCCATATGGAAATACTGATATAAAATAGATGAACGATAGCATTGAAAGACCGACCCAATATTCATGCCGTAGTCGAAGTAGTCGCATAGGCAGAGTATACAGTTTGACCACCAGTATGGAGCACAAGAATATTCAAAGGCTCTGCCCCGGCGTGTCCCAATCTTCTAGCATCTGTCTCCAACTCTCCGCTTCTGAGGAATGAGATCATTCCACCTGCCGCCTTCCCTGAGTAAACAGGGTCCATGAGAACGCCATCTTGTGTGGCTATTTCCCTCAAGCTTTTCTCGGTATCAGTGTCGAGAATACCATATCCAGTGCCGTGAGACCGGTGATCAAGCCGAACATCGCTCAGGGTCAAATCAGACTGTGGATCAAGGCCGATATGTCCACCGGTAGTACGTGCAATCTGCAAGACCGTTTGCTCCTGTTCTTCTTTCGGAGACACCGTGAGGCCAATGATCTGTCGCGGAGGAAGCCGCTTTTCCCCCGTTGAACTCTTTTCGAGCAAGCGAAATCCTGCTATAAGCCCGGCCAAAGTGCTCCCACTCCCACAGGGTAGAAAGATATAGTCAAATCTGCCGGATCCCTCCAGTTGGAGCTCTTCTTCTTGCAAGGCAATTTCGAAAGCGCAACGAGCATAGCCCAATCCACCCAAGGGATGCATACTAGCTCCCATTGGAATCCAGTAGGGCACCTTTCCCGTAGAGCGAAGCTCAGCCAAGACATTATCTTTGTCATAAGATCCCGAAAAGACACGGATATCAGCACCAAGCAATTGGCAGATTTGGATGTTGCCTGTGGAGCGGAATATCTCAGGGTTCTCTGAAGCGTCAAGTCCACCAGACTGCTCGTCAAGCAGCAACACACACTCGAGTCCTAGCTTTCCGCTGACTGCCGCAACTTGGACGGCATGATTGCTCTGTAGCCCACCTTCGGTTACGATAGTCGTCACTCCTGGGGTGCTGAGGATTTCTGGAATAATGTATTCCAGCTTTCGGTACTTGTTGCCGCAACAGACCATGGGCGCCGCTTGATCATCGCGTTTCATCCATACTCGCAAATCGGGCTGGTTCGGGGCTCGCGTAGCTGCCTCTAGATTCGTGCCGAATTCGTGAATAGGAGAGGGCCTGGGGTATCGAATCTGATGGATAGGGATAGATGCGAACGGCTCAGGTAATTGGACCATGTTGAACATTTGAACAGTACAGTACTATTGTGGCATTCACTCTGTGGACAAATCGTTGGAAAGAGTTCAAAATTCGGGAAATCGAATTGACGAATCGAGGTTAATACTTAGGTTCTCGAGGCTTTCATTTATCTTGAAACCTAGGAAATTTGGAGAAGCCCGTCTGCGAGCTTTGAAATCAACATTTAGCAATACCGAGGTGACGAGGTCATCAAGCAGTTAGTCATTTAACCTCACCGCGAATCCCAATGAGTCTAGCCTCCGAGGGAAACTTTCAATTAAGCTCTTCGAGGCGCATGCTGATGATATCACCCCGCTTAGGATCGGTTGTTATCGGTGACGTGCAATTAATCAGCGAGCGGGATGAAAATTGGAGGTTGCAGATCAATTCGGGGAGAGCAGGATAAAGTCCGAATATGGTACTCTAACGGCCTATGCTGGATTCGAGCATGATGCTACAACTGGAGCTGCGATTTCATGTTGAGATTACACCCTCCACGGTATTCGCCCAAAGCTCAGCTAATAGACTAGTGGGCTCTTACAAGTATGACGGCAATCAAGTTGCAAAAAGGAGTAAATCATCATTCAAAGGGTATAAAGATACACCAGCCAACGCCATGGCTAAAAGCAAGGAAAAACACAACCCAATGCACAGAGCTCACTAATGAACAAGCTTATAGCTGCCCCCACTAACAATCTCCAACTTGCCTTTGGAAATCATCCCAGCAAGGAACTCCCGCAATTCCTCATTACTAAACGGGAAACCACCAGGCACGACAATCTTCAGCATCATAACAATTTTCTGCAGATTCATCGCACCCTGGTTCGTCAGCATGCCAAGAATGAATTGCCAGTAAAGATTCATCTTTTCCATAGCTGCCGCCTCAGCGGTTTCCTTTGCTGCTGTTGCCGCGGCGGCTTCGGCAGCCGCAGCTGCGTCACCTGCGTCGGCGGCGATACCACCGACACCGCCGTCATTGTTGGCAGAGCCTTCTGCAACTTCTGCTTCTGTGGGGAGGAATTCTAGAACGCGGAATGTATCGCGGGATGTTTCGGCGAGAATACGCTTGCTGACCCAGAACAAGCAGGCGCTGCGAACGAGAGCGCTGGTCATCTTCAGGTCAGCGGAGAGGTCGAGGATAGATTTGGAAATCGGCTCCTGTTCATCGGTCGTTGAGTTGAAGGCGTGGATGACGGTTGCTTGCCAGGTTGTAACTTCGTTTGAGAATGAGCGGTCGCCGAGCTCTAGTTCCACAGTGACTTGGCCTAGGCCGTTGCGCCAGGTCAGTTTGCGCGACTGCTTGAGCGTCTCGAAGCCCTCTGAGTAACGCTCTTGGAGCGAGGCGATCTCTTCTGGAACGATGAATTCTTGGTCTTGGATTTCGGGCCAGAAGAAACGAGATAGAATTTTGGCGTGAAGGTCTGGAGGACTGGGGCGTGATGTTGGGCGTTTTGGATGGGCGCGTGAGGGGGGGCTTGGAAAGGCCCTGGTCGTGGCGGATGGAGTGGTCGACCCGTCGAGAGTCGGATATATCCCGAAGCATGACTTGGCAGGCCTGTAGGGCAGAATCTCCGAAGCGAACCTTGAGTAATTCGAGAACGGAGATCTCTTGGTCGTAATCTTCGCGCTTCTGGAGAAGCCTGTCGCCGAGAAGGGTCTGTAGTTCCTTGACAAATGTTTCCTTAGAGTCGAAGAGACTGATCAGACTATCAATGACATCTGAGCTCTTCGATTTCCGGTAGTCTGGTGCTGCATCGACGGGATCTGGCATCCAGTTCATGTCATCCCAGTCCAGTTCGCTAGTATTCGTTTGCAGAGAAAGTTGGTGCGCTTTTGACAGCTCCGTTGACAGCTCAACCAAGGTGTCATGACTGGAAGGTAGACCCGAAGTATCACCAGTCTGGGGCTCAGCCAAGAGACCACTGACAATTACCTTCACGGTGTCTTCACGGTCGCGAAGGTATCGTCGAATAGGCCGAGCAATGCGGTCGAGAAGAACACCCTTTGGGTCTAGGAGGTGAAAGGCGCGGATGATGGATATGTACAATTGCAATATCTCCACCGTTGAGGCACCGGGGTGCAAGAGCCGCTGGTTTAGAATCGCAATAAACGACTGGGTGACGTATGTGCGGGCGGCAGGATGGGTGGTAAAATGTTTCAAATCCTCCACGGCTCCAGTGCTGGTAGGCCATTCAACAATAACATCGAAAAGCTCACTGGCCCGCAGCGCACCCAGACGAGAGATGGCAATTTCTTGCCATTTTTCCACATCTGCAAAGCTGACATCAAGTGTACCAGCTGGCTGATTGCTCGGCTGCGTGTGGATAATATTGAGGACTTGAACGGCAAGACGCGCAAAAACATTCTCAACCCAATGTCTCAAATGCTGCGGTACTGATGTCGGGGTTTCCCATTGAGAGGTATAGGCCCCGCGTATAAACTCAGTCATCATGATGTTCATCACATTGGCAAATACCATCTGGGCCTTATCGCCGCCAAGTCCCACGAGCTGCAAGCCGTTGAGGAAAGCTAGAAGACGATCCCGGGCCATTGTGACTTCGTTCTTTTCATGTTCTGTCATCATATGGGCGCGAGTCTCTGCATTGGCCTGCTTCCAGTCACAGTACGATACCGAGTACTCTCCATCTACTTCCATTTCATCCTGTTCTTCGTCATCCGAGTCCGGGTCTTCAAGCAAAGTGTCGATACCGAGAATGATGAGCGCATCTTGCGCAAATTCCTGGGCTAACAACGGTGAGATCTGTAGCCATGGCAAAGAATACGAGACAACCGTATGGAAGCCCCACTGAAGTTGGGTGAATATGCGGCTCTGTTCGGGGGTGGGAATCAATGGCAAGAGGTAGTGTCGAATAGGGGCCAAGTATAACCGAAAAGCCAGCTGAAGGCAATCGACGATCGTTCGTAACAAGCCTGCCATATCAGAGCTGTGGAGGACCTGTAAACCCATTAACACCTCAACTGCTTCAACTATTTCCCCAATTTCCATACCTCGTATAGTCCACCTCGCAAGTTTGTCAAGAAGTGTCGCCGAATCTCCTCACTATACCAGCTAAACAAATCTCGCGAGCTGGCTCCGCGCTGTAGAGTGTTGGTTTGTTGTGCCGCAGCCGCTAGGTAGGACAGGGATTCGGCTGTCTCTTTGGATGGTGGGGTGAGTCGGTTCCATGCCCTGAGCATCTCACTCCCATCGGTATCCCTAGCTTCGTAAATTGGAGCAAACCCATGATCTGGAATAGACAGAAAGGCGGTTGCGGCAGACCATGCCTGATCCCATGTTTTGTGGTCGGAAAGTGGATCAGTGGTTTCATGCGCGGACACAAAAGACCCTGTCTGCGAATCTACTTTCAAAGTGGCGAACGAGGCAGTCGACTGGAAGGAAGCGAGCGCAGCTTGATCGTGATCGAAGCTCGAGGCGAGCGGCGGGCGAGCTTCAAGAGACGCGGGAGAGAAAACCGAGCCGAATACGCGTCGGCGGCCCGCATTGAGAGGAACGGTGGATAGCATTGTGATCACGGGTAGGGCATATTAGCGGAACATCAAGCCGGTCTAGCCGGAAAAAGGAGGGCAAAACGAGGAGAAGGGGAGATTGAAAGTTGGTTGGAGGTTGGAGGTTGAAGGTTGTTGCTGTTATTGTTTGTTGCTTGTCTGGCCATGTCACGTGGAGCACCTCCCCGCATGAAGATTTGGCAGTGTTTTTGTATACAAGAGGAGCATCAGTGGAATAGTTACTAGTAATGGTAATAGTAATAGTAATAGTAATAGATTGCTCCAAGGGTATACAAATAGACAAAATGTGCTCTATGGAATCGCATAATCACCTCCACCCAAAGCGTGGCGCGTCCACGCTGAGATATGAACAGCTAACATGGTAGGGGAATAACAAAGGACAAAGCTATGCTGACAGCCAAAGCGAGAGGGAAAGAGGATCCAGGAGGACACCCGTCTCGCCCTGCGCCGCAGGGACCAAGAACCAAGGACTAGCAGCGACAGACGGTACGACCTCAAGCGTAGCGCAAGCCTCTCCTGCCTGACTTGACTTCACTTCACTCACGCCTTGTCATCCACCTTCTCCCACTCGCTATCGGTGCTCCCATACCCGGAACTATCTCCACCAGAGCTAACACGCTTTCGAGGATCCTGCTCAGCAGGCTGGAGTCTGGCCGAGGAGGCACTGCCCGTTGCCGTGGCGGATCGCCCCGTCTTGCCCCGAGTGATGGACTCGGTTTCTGTTTCACTGTCGGCGTCCGCGCCTGCACCCGGACCGGGGCTACTGGCCTTGTCCCCGGATTCCTTCTTCCTGTCGGCGGTGTCTGCCTCGGCCTTCTCCTTCTCGGCGTTCTGGGCGTCCTGGGCTATGCGCACCTCATGGGCGAACCAGTTGATGGAGTACCACAGACCAGCACTAATCAGGGAGAGTGCGACAAAGTGGAGGCTGGAGGTAGCGAGGAGGAGGCCAAAAAAGACGAGTTGGAGGGCAGCAAAGGTCACATTTGTCGCGATCAGGAGGGTAGGGGTGGGGCCTGGCGTGAAGATGCTTGACCACAGCTCTTCCATGAAGGAAGCCATGGTTGTTGTTGTTGTGGTGGTGGTGATTAATGGGGGTTGGGCAGGGAGGGTGAGAAGTGACGTCGTTCGGAAACTGAAATCCGCAGGCGGGTTCGGAGAATGGACTCCGAGAAGAGAGTTGCGCGGGATGCAGAGCAGAGCAGAGAGAGTCAAGTCAAGCAGCCTGAGAGCAAAGCAGAGCGAGAGAGGAGAAAATCGGCGGCTCCACTCGGCGGGGTCGGGCAGGAAGAAGCCCCGAGATGGTCCGTTTACCCCGTGGGGGAAGTCATCAGATCGGATTTAGACCACATTGTAGTGTGATATAGTGCAATAAGTGATACTGAGGTGGTAGGGTATTCTTAGGAGTATAAACTGCATTAGCAATATCTCTTAGCTCGGCCTGGGCTGCCGGATATTCGAATACCCTTACTATTGTCGGAGTCAGTCCGAGTGGAGAAAGTTTGTTTAATGAGTGGTTAGTGGTTGGAGATTAGTCTGGGGGAACCGGAAGCAGGCAGACGTAAGAAAGTATCAGTGAAAGAATTAACTTGGAAAAGGTTGAAGTTGAAGTTGAACTGGAAGTAGAGAGGGAGGGACCTGTAGTATATAAAGACAGTGACAGCTAGCTACTTCCATTCCTCTGCCTAAGATACACACCATTCCTGCCTGTGCAACCTGTTGAGAAGCATTTCTCGCCGAGTCTTACCTTGTCATCCTCCTTGAAATGGCAAAAATCCCCTCCTTTCTTCTCCTTTTCCGGGGATCCCCACATCCCCAATATCACCAATGAAACTTCCAGAATTACTCCAACACCCCCACCCCCAACACCCAACCTTAGCTGCCGATCTCCCTACCAATTCCCTCCTTTGTGTTTCGTGCCCGGATTGCCGTCACCTCGCCGAGCCATTGCTGCAACGAAACTGGGTCCCCCCCGCAGCCGCGACCCGGAGTCAGTCCGGAGTCGGTCTTTGGCTCCAATGCCCTGCCTTTGGAAGGATTAGCCTGGTTAACGGCCTCTGAATGTATAAATATCTTTCGCGATCTCGCATCGACTCTCAGATAGGAAAATCCTCTTCCTAATCCGTCACTTATTTCGGCGACTCTTGCCTTCTTTATTTCTCTTCTCCCGAATCTGCCCAGGTGATTCTAGTATCTTCTCTCTGTCACCGCAAATGGCCGACCAAACGGATCTCACAAAGGAGCTCACACCTGAAGGCTTCACCCATCATGCCGAGGACATAACGGCAGACCGCGAGCCCTATGGGCCTCCTGGTCTGCGTGGCTTGGTGCAAAATCCCTTCGTGTTGCTGTGTGCGGCTTGCTCCACGCTTGGTGGACTGTAAGTATTGACCTGACCCAAGGCCCAATGGCAATCGGAAAGAAAATTCATGAACTTCAATTGCTGACAATACAATACCAGCCTATTTGGATATGACCAAGGCGTTGTGTCTATCATCCTGGTCATGGACCAGTTCCTGGAGACCTTTCCTCGAATCGACAGCTCAAGCGGTGCTTTTTGGAAGGGCCTCTTGACGGCCATGATCGAACTGGGTGCATTGATAGGCGCTTTGAATCAGGGATGGATCGCTGACAAAATCTCTCGGCGCTACTCAATTATTGTCGCTGTAATCATCTTCACAATTGGCTCGGTTCTACAAACTGCTGCTATCGACTATCCCATGTTGACTGTGGCGCGGCTGATTGGTGGCGTGGGTATTGGTATGCTGTCGATGGTTGCGCCTCTCTATATCTCCGAAATTAGTAAGTTAGGCCGAAGCCCTGCGTGAAACCGACTTGCTTCTAACCCATCTCGCTTCCAGGCCCCCCTGAATGCCGTGGTACCCTCTTGGTCATGGAAGAGTGGTGCATCGTGCTCGGCATCGTCATTGCCTATTGGATCACCTATGGAACTCGTTACATGATCGGAGAATGGTCATGGCGACTACCCTTTCTCTTGCAGATGATTCCTGGATTTGTTCTTGTTGCTGGCGTGATATTCCTGCCATTCTCACCTCGTTGGCTCGCATCTAAGGGCCGCAACGAAGAGGCCTTGAATAGTCTTGCTAAGCTTCGCAACTTGCCAGCCACGGACCGTCGTATCCGTCAGGAATATCTGGACATTTTATCCGAGGTCAAGTTCCATCAGCGCATGAATGCGGAAAAGCACCCGAATCTGCAGAGCGGCTCTAGCAAGGATTCATTCCTACTGGAGCTGGCTTCTTGGGCCGACTGCTTCAAGAAAGGATGCTGGCGCCGGACTCACGTCGGTGTCATGCTCTCATTTTTCCAACAGGTATGCACCCTCATTCTATCCTATTTGCAATCAATTAGTACTAATACGCTTGTGCCTTCAGTTCGTCGGTATCAATGCTCTGATTTACTACGCACCGACCCTATTCGGGACCTTCGGCTTTGACACCAATATGCAGCTCATCATGTCTGGAGTCCTCAATGTATTGCAATTGGTCGGTGTCACCACTAGTATCTGGACTATGGATACACTGGGCCGACGCAAATTGCTGATGTACGGTGCCGTCATGATGGCAATCTCGCACATTATCATCGCTGCAATGGTGGGTATCTACAGTGACGATTGGCCCAACCACAAAACCCAGGGATGGGTCAGCGCCGCCTTCCTATTAATCTATATGATTTCCTTCGGCGCATCATGGGGTCCTGTTCCTTGGGCATTGCCTTCTGAGATTTTTCCTTCTTCCCTGCGCGCCAAGGGCGTTGCCCTCTCTACATGTTCGAACTGGTTTAACAACTTTATCATCGTAAGCATGACTCCTTTTCCACTTTGTTTGACTTTTTATTTCAAGCATTCTCTAACATCGGATCCAGGGCCTTATCACTCCACCTCTTGTCCAAGACACCGGCTACGGCGCGTACGTGTTCTTCGCGGTTTTCTGTATCCTCGCAGGTATCTGGACATACTTTTTTGTACCGGAGACTATGGGTCGCACACTCGAGCAGATGGATCATGTTTTCAAAGATAACTCGAATGAGGCCGAGCGTGCGATTCGTCGCGCTATCGAGTCGGAGATCATCGGCGCTGAGCGCGATGTCGTATGATTTACTTTCTTAGCATAGCGAATGGTGTCGGTTTGGAGTATATAACTAGGTGGCATCATGAAATATGAATGTCTTTTGATGCAATTTATTTCTTCAAAATGTACCTGAAATAGTATAATTAAGAGCGGCATTCATGCTGCAAGACACTGCAAAACATCGTCCAAAGTTGCAGACTCCAGGTTGGGAATGTAGTCAGACATGTCAACATCCACTGCAAGTGTTCCAATCAAGGGTTGTATAAGTCCCGGTTCTTCTTTAACTTTCGATTTTGCGGGCGAAGAGGCTGTATCAAATTTTCCATCGAACCCGAAGCTTCTAGAGCCAAAAAACCGCGAATGCGACACATTTTGCTTGCTGCGGTATTGCTGGTGTGACTGGTCGGTGGGTACATCGAGACGAGGCGACTCGGAGGGATAGTTCGTTCTAGTAGGGCTAGCAAGGTCCGTATATCCCAAATCCATGCGACGGATGCAGTTACTACAGAGGTTAAACGCTCTTCGGGCCGATGCGTCTGTCATGCCCAGGTGGGATAACCACAGTAACGCCTTTCTGGTAGCTGCTACAATAGTGTCGGGGTTGGTCATCGTTGAAGGCAAGGTTGAAAACTGGTCGGTTCTTGCATCGCTGGTGGGGCTTGAACCTTGTGATTTCGTGGATTCCAGGTAGGAGAGATTAATGAGAAATATGGTGGTGCTTTGGACGAGAAAATGAAGAATATTCCACCAAGCGACACATCGGAACCAGCTCGTGCTCGGCTCTTCTGGAAAAATAGAAAGTATTGCCAGAGCGGATTGTAAACAAGTCATTTCGATATCCTTCCTCGCGCGGGAGAGGTGTCCCTTAAAGCTTTTCCCACCCTTCTGTCGAGTGACACATGGTCTGTTGAGAAGGATTCGTGCACTGTGATAGTGTAATGCCAAAGAAGCCCCATAAGCTTGTCGAGGAGAGAGGACTGGGACGGTATTCAATTTATCAAATTCGAGGCAATCTGGTAAACCAGAGAGCCAGTCAAGCATCACTCTATTGTAAAAATCGATTCGACTCTCAATCTCACTCCAGCCTATCTTGAGCGCTTCTCTATTATACACACTAGCCGATGCAGTATGTGAGATGGACGTTATGTCGACAAGACAGAAGAAATACAGCTCGTGAGTGGCTTCCATTTTTCTTGTGAGGTCGCGCTGAGCTTTCAGGTGATTGTGTTCTTGATCCATTGTCCAATTCATCGGTGGACTTTTGGAAGCTGGGTCTATCTGGCCGTTTGGTGTGCCGTTGGTGAAGGGGCACATATCTCTTGATGCGAGTGGCGGAGGTGCTGAGCAGTAAATACTACTCAATCCGGAGGCGCGTCCTGTCATGTCAGAAAGAAGATTTTCCAGGCTGAAGATTGACCAGAAGAGTCTATGCCGGGCTTCGAGCGCTTCTGCGTTCAAATCATTATGCGTTGCTCGCAGGTGAAGGCCCAATGAAATACTGGAGCGAGTGGCTATGCCGATCATCTTCCATGCCCTGCGTGAAGTTAGATGACCATTTCAAATGCTTTAGAGTATGATGGGGTCAAGGTAGTGAAACTTACCTATTGACATGTGAGGAAATCATGAGATAAAAAGCCGCGAGAGTCTCAAGCTGGACCTGTTGTAGATCTTCATGATCCTCTACAATACTTTCGGAGATGTTCAACATTTGCGCCCGGGAAAAGAATTGGTGACCCATATTTTGAGTGTCTTGGCCAGAATGCTGGCATAGCTTCGTGCTGATGGCAAAAACCAAGTTGAGCACGGCCAGCCATTTTCTCCCAGGATGACCCGAGCGTCCTGAAATGAAGGAATCAAACTGATCCTTGAAAAGATCTGATCGAATAATCGGTAGGGATGGCTGAACACTGTCCATGTATATTGATAGGAGTCGCTCTGCGGATAATTTCTCCGGTAGAGCATAGACGTTGTCAACATCTTCTGCTGGATAAGCAGCTGGTTCGACATGATAATTCATCGATGTGGTGGGAGCAGTTCGCGAAGGTGGCCAGTTGTGACTGGTTTCCGAATTCTGCTCATTGTTGGACGAGCCAGCAGATTTCATTTCTAAGCTGCGCATCCAGGAAATCTCTGAGCTTCCCCCGAGGTACCCTATTGCTCTGCTATCTTGACTCCGATTAAGATCTTCGTCAAGCACATCGACGGCATCTAGGGAGCCAACAGAGGATGGCGAGGATGGAACAGAAGAGAAGCTCGAACTCTTGTGAGCTTCTTGACTCAAGGATGAAAGTTTCTTTAGAATAAAGAGTCAGTATGAATGTCACTTATACGGTCAATGGGAACGTACTAGTACTCTCTTTATCTTCTTCGAGACAGGAACATCAACTTCGTCCAAGATTTCTCGAAGCACCCTTTCGAAACCGTCGGCTCTGTTCCTCGCCAATCCCAACTCAGTTTTTTCGCGTTTTCTCTTCGGCTCTGAATAATTGCATGTTGTCTGCTGCTTAACACAAAAAGAGCATGTTGGTTTGATGCCGTCGCATTTCGCTTTACGTGACCGACACTCGTCGCAGGCTCTCCCGGTACGACCTGGCTTGTGCCTTATGTTCGTGTTTAGCAATCGAGGGATGGCGACACGATCGGACATCTTGGTCCTGCGTGGCGAAAAAAGGAAAGCAATGACGATTTTTGTTTGCACAGGTGAATGTTCAGAAGCTATCGATATTTTGACGTAATGGCTGTCGTGATTTCGGGTGAATTGACAAAGGACTAATCCCTGCCACTTGAGTTTCACTGATCGGTATTTTCGTTCACGTTTTTATCGCTTCGGTCAAGTAATTGCAAACCTGGTCTCACATTCCATGTTGAAGCTATGTCATTATTCGCCACACGGCGTCCACGATGAACATTATATCAGGTACAGCTGAGTCAACACGACCTCAACCGGCTCCCCACAAACCCTAATTATCAGTGACGTCATATCATTTTTTCAGTAGGGAAGCATGATTAGAGAACCGAAAACGAAAAAGTGATTTTCGTGTAATTATCATCAAACAATCAAACAATTAATTACCATTGGCTGAGAGTCAAGTTTCTGACAACGGGCTGGCGTAGGAGATTGCTGAGACACAGAGGAAGGAAGAAACTTGAACCAGATTCTGTCGGAATATCCACCAATCCGAAGAAACTAAAGTGCATCAATTTAGTTGACTATCATCTAATTGAAATGAACACTCCGTTTGCCATATTTATTTGTTAAACTTTCGTCGCATGAATAGGAAGGAAGTTTTATGCATTTTTATGAACGTGTTTAAATTCCAGCTACCATTCTGCTCACCATGCGACAGTTCTCAATGCGCCGACTGTCCCTGGCCAATGCTCCGATTCCTGAGGCTCTTTAGAGAAATAATATATTGATGAAGAACCATTTCCACAGGCACAAACTATTCACAGTGACCAATTAATATCGACCGGTGATCTTCCGCTTCTCTGCTATTGTCAAAGGCTCATTGTCACCTTGATAACATTCATATCTTCGGCCTGCCCGTAGAGGCTTGCCTTCCCCTAAACCAAGTCGACCAATGGGTATAATTGCATCATCCGCAATATTACCAACATCCCGAACCACACCAGGAATTTCGTCAAGGAACTTGACATCTTGATTTGCACGCGTAACAAGGACCGTGGAATTCTCCTGACCAAAAGCGGCCCCAAGGCGGAACATGGCGAAAGAGTCCAGTCGTAAAGTCCAACGGGGATAGAGACTTCCATACAATGAAAGAGCAAACAAAATGAGGATATAAAGGCCCAGGAAGAAGGAAGCGACAGCAACGCCGGCCAAGGTAGAATCCGGAACCATCATTTCAGAGCCAAGGTCTTGGTAGATAGTGTAATAGGATTGAAAGAGTTCAAATTGACGCTCGCTCGCAAGGAATGCAGCAGCATTCAAAGTGTTGGTCAAGATCTCTTTGTCGGAAAACATATCCTTAAGCCACTTAGCCATGATGTCATAGGATGCAGAAATATAGCTAGAACGTGTGCCAGTGGAGCTAGTAGTAAGGTATAGCGTGACGCACGAATCCGACGCGGCATAATCTGAGTATGCGGTGGACAGCATATTTGTAAGAGGGGCAATCTCAATACATACTGAGCGGTCGCTACTAGTTCGAATGGCATCCCCTGAAAGCTCCGCATTAAACATAGCTGATGTTAGCGTGATGTATTCAGCGAAGAATGTGCTGAGAAAGGAACCCGGGCCGAAGATAGCAAGTGCCGTACTCAATAGGGGGCCCTTGTTTGAAGTAAACATGGGGGCCCATGGAAGAGTTCTTCTGTAAGTGGTCGTTGAATTATCAGATGAATCATCTTGACGTCGAATTCGCTTATAATAGTAGTAAGATTCGGTCTGGCGGATACAGCCATAGCCACCGTCCTCACAATCTACCGTTGGATCATTGTCAAGCAATGACCCTGCAGTTTGGTTGTTCATGTAGCTCGGAAGCTCAAAGTAACCGGCAGTCGTAGTGAGTCTAATTTCAAGAAGGTCACTCATCGGGGATTGTGTATCTTGAACTGATATATTAAGATAGAGCACCTCTGAGAATTCTTGGCGATCTCTGGTTTCTGTCCACGGCGATGTGATATTTGAGGCGAGCATGCAAGCAGAGATCGTCCAACTCTCGGTAAAACTATAGTCGGACCCAGGGTAGCCATCGTGAACAGACGAGTAGTTGGCGAAAAGATTGGCGGTGTCGGATCCACAGTTTGGCGGGTATTCCTTTTCCTGGATGCTACGTACAGTGGTACTTGAATTGATCCGCGGGGCATACTGACGGAGTACCCCACTGTTGAAGCCGTTGGGCAATGGGGAAAAGAACGGATCGTTCATGGCAGAGAGATTAGAGAGCGTAGAAAATTTCTGACTGCCTCCATCGTCCCAAAGCTGTGGCTTCCACGTGTGCCTATCTACCCCAGCGAGAGCATTGCGGGTTTGAATAACGTCGACCCCAGGGTATTGGTCGGATTTGGCTCTCATATATGCCAAATCACTTATCCGACCCATCGCATTTGGATAAGTAGGAACATGAAGCGACTTCGCGTTGACCACAATGGATTGGATCGGATAGATGACAAGAGCCAGGAAGTGAGCAAAGATAGCTAGGGCCAAAAAAACACTTCCGTGTTGCTTCCAGCTTCCAGCAATGAGATCACGAACCAATGATCCATCCATCCATCGTCGGTCGGCCAAATTCATGACTTGTCGCATAGTCATGCTCGAACTGTCTTTTTGATTCTGAGCAAAGATTACTGCTGCATAGGCGCAGACAGCTGAGGTCCATGGTAAGATCAACACGCTGGCTATGGACTGTATAATCCTCGCCGACCGATATAGCTTCCCATCCATCGCGTAGTTTGGCATCTTCCTGGGGTAGCGACCATATTCAGTAGTGTGGGGCTCCCAGCTATGGGCATTCACCGGCTTAAATGACAGAATAGCCAAGATGACCCATGAGTAGATCATCATTGCGGCAAAGTAAGTTGTCATCAACAGAACGAAAGTAGAGCGATGAAGTGTTGTGCTATGACCACGTCCAAGTGACTGGTTCCCTGGCGGGGCTCGCGTATAGACAGGCAGTTCATCGTGCGGCGAGTGAGTTGAGTCGAAATCTGGGGGCATTTGATGAGCGGAATGCTCTCGCATTTCGTCTTGATTGTGAGGACCATGCTGGGTTTCCGTCGTGCGGCTCGAAAGCGGCCGTAAGGCGATTTGGCTGCCGTGCTCTTCCATTCGCGACGCAATAGCTTCTGGTATCTATACACTCGCGCGTGTAAAAAAAAAAAGTGCATGTGAATGCGAGGGCGGCCTCTTAAGGGGCCCTATTTTGCGACTGCTAGGGCTAAGAGGCTTGGCAATTGGGCACTCGCAGAGATGGTTGGGACTGAGCCGAAGTTCCGTTGCCCCCGGGGCTGAAAGGAGCCTCACAGAGTACCCAACAGGAACATGACCAGTCATGGCAGCCCCCAAGAACCACTAACGGGGCGCCCGCTTTTTAAGCGAGCGGTCTGTGCCGATGAATGCTGTTCATGATCTATCGAATGTTAGGAATTCGGTCGAAGAGACCCCACCAGGCGACATGAATAATAATGTCATGGGGTGACTCGATACGGTCTTGGAAACTCGGAATAAACATCTTATCAGTGGGACGTTTCGTGAGTCCGAGGTGGGGCAGGCCGGCCATTGGGACGAACTAACTGACTAGTACGGAGTATGCAGACTGCCAAGGACTAAGGATTAAGGGACCATCGGGATTGTTAAGGGCTCCTAGAGGTGCCAAGGATTGCCAAGGAGTACGGAGGAACTTGGGGGGGGGGGTCCGCTTGGGGAATAATCGATAACGATGAAGGGTCACCTTGCTAACCCTACCTCCAATTCAATAACTGCATGGCCCGGGATCTCTTGATGATGGGATTTAAAAAGATCGAGCACAAGAATCCCGTGAGAGGCTGAGGTAAGGTGTCTGAGCCAAGAAGATGTATCGTTCGGATCTAGTTTAGGAAGAATAAATACTTTAATACATTAAGTTTGCTGGATCAACCCTTGGGGATAGGTCTCTGGTCCGAGGTCAGCAAAACAATTGTTTCGGGATCACCATATCATGCGAACAGGGACGCAGGTTATACTCGTTATAAATAGACGAAGCAGTGGGCAGGGGAGCTTGAATAGAACATGTCCGACTACCAGTACATACCTTCGAATGATCATAGTTGCTTCTCATAGCCCAAGCATAGACATATACGGAGTATGTGTTTTCATTAAGCAGAATTAGATATAACTACCAGCTACTACTAGGATAGCGCGCAGCCCACAGGTTCGTGGGGTCACGAGCCCACCCTGCCAAGTTGAACTTGCAAGGATTCTAGTAATTATTACAAATAATGACTAGTAAAACAGCATAAAATATACTAAAATTATATAGACCGTGTGAGAAAATCAAGTATATTAAGGGAGTCAAGTATATTCTGTATGCTCATCAGGGTCAGCTAAATGGTAATATTCTAGAGTATAAGCACTGGTTGAAGACTTGTGACGATTACAAAATCCTTTTGGATTAATATTAGTTCTTTTCACCTAGTCAATATGCGGATGCATACTCGTACTGTACGTTTTTAGCCACGGTCAAAGGTTTGCTGGTAATTATAACTGGGGTCGTTGCAGGTGATAGAGGGGTTGAGGATACTCTTGCTTCCACTCTCTCAGGTATAGCTGTAATACATTGCATGGTTACTGCCTGAGACCTTCATGCAGGGAGTGTTTAGGCGCTTCCGAATCCTTTATCCTTTGTTCCTTTTTCCCCTCTCCATACTTAGTATCTCGCTGAATGCGACACTTTTGAGGCTTGATATCTTTATTTGTCCTGGGCTGCTACAGTAGCAAGGACAACTATGGATAGCTGTAGCGTCTAAAAAAATCAGGAGCATTCTGGCGGAACTAAGAAGTCAATTGGCAAATTATAGGGGAAGTAAGGATCTAATCTGAGAATAACAGGAGAGCAGGAAGGAAAGAAATACCCTACATACAAAAGGTGAGACCCTGGAATCGATTGAGCGAATATCTTGGCTCGCAGATAGTTATACCAACATTGGAAGTCTTCCCGGGGCCCAGAACCTCTAACTACAAAACAACCCGACGGAAGGGGGCGATGACATCGCACGGCTATGGATAGTGAAAGTAGGGTTTGATTTTTGGCCCGCGGCCCACTTGAAGGCCAGTATTGTACTTCAGAATAGGTACCCGTACATAATCTCGTATTACATCAACCATACAATAAGTAAGTCACAAGTAACAGTGGCCGTTCATTAGTAGTTGAGGCGCACCATCCTCCCTCTCCGCCTTTGGATACACACTTTTTCTGATCACCATAGTGGAGTTCAAGACGACATAGTGCCAGCCTCGCGTGCCTTTTACATCAACAATAGCCCCTTCTCTCTTCTTTCTTTCTCCCCTCATCCTTATTTCTCTGTCGTATTTATCGCCTTCAACATGTTACTTGACTTTCAAATTTTACCCCCGGAGCTTCATCAAATAATTCTACTGGCTCTGTGCAAAGAACAAGAGCCCAGTGTCCGGGCCTTTGCTGGTGTCAGTATGCCCTGGCTTTGCCCTATCTCTTTCAAACTCTCAATATCCCTGCGCCTGAATTCAGAAACTCAGGGATCGTGTTGAATCTATTACTCAGATCCTTCAACAAAATTCAGGCTTCCGATACGTGAACCAACTCGTGATCGGCGAAGAGCCGACATCGAGAGAAGCAGCAAATGACGGTTCAGATGTGGAAGAAGGCACTGACCGAACTGATTTCTTTGAAAACAACTTGCATAGATCCCTGGGTCGCTTCAACAGCAGGAAGGGTCTCTATCGGTGGGAGGGGACTCAACATCCACCGGAGTCAGATTCCCCACTCACTGACGATTGGCAGGACCTGGCCGGTTTGATCCAACGACTGCCCAGGCTACTGGATCTGATTTTTCTATACCATCATCAATTTCCCTCTTGTCTGTTGGAGGCACTTCACCACCATCATCCACGATGCAAACTTCACATCCACAACTTCTTTCTACGGAGTTTGAAGAGCCCTTCTGTGTTGAATCCATACGAGTTCCAACTAGCCACTTCTCCATGCTTTTTCAGCCTAGAGGGGAAGTACGAAGATTCCTTTTGGGCAGGCTATCCAGAGCCCCGCAGACTGTCATCACGAGAGCCCCCTACCAGATGGTGCCTGCCTCAATGAAGCTATCATGCCCATGGCGTCTGGACTTGCTCCCAATCTGAAAGAGGTCACTCTCTTTCGCCCGCCTGGTAGCGGTACACCTCAGAAATCCCCCCCCCGTCACCTTGGCGGGGATTTGGTCAGAAGAAGAGAATCAACCCACCAAAAGGTTCAAAGCCTGGCGCCTTAAGATACCTTTGACTCGACAATACATATCTCATAAAGAAAAACGATATCAAGTATTGGGCGGCTTGTACTGAATTCTCAGCTCTAGAGGTGTTCAAGCTTAAATCGATACTTGAAACCGATCTTCTACTCTATATGAGCATTGAAGTCGATTTCGCGCGTTTGAAAACACTTGCCCTAACTCCTAATGAGATTGAGAATAATGACTACCAGCAATTGAATATCTTCCTCCAAATGCTGCGGCCTTTGTCCTCTTTGGAGTTAAAGGGTTGGATGCTCAGCTCTGTATTGGACGGCATCATGAATGTCCATGGAACCAGCTTAGTTAAATTGAAGCTGGCAGAGAGTCAGGGCAATGAAACTGTCGGGTCAACTAAGAAGCATGATCTATCGACTATTGCGCAAAACTACCCTTCGCTCCGATACCTAGATCTGACTTTGGATCGCACAGGAGGAAATTCTGAGGAGGCCGCTCTGTACAGGATACTAGGGTCCCTGCCACGGCTAAAATGCGTCTCCTTGACATTACACGTTTCAAAACCTGGGACTACATAGATGGTCCCCGGGACATGGACGATATGATCAACACGGATTTTGACGATGAATTCGATCAACAAATGCAATGGGCCGTTCATCGAGCCGCCGGTGGCTCTGAGGCGTGCAATGTCGCGATTCGGGTGCGGCTTGTTAGCTGTGCGCTTGACTCAACCCTTGGGCGCGCCATCTTCGGTGCGATCTCAGCGGGCAAGCCCGAAGGCTCTGCCTCATTGGAGAGATTTTGTGTAACAACAACCGCTGTGACAGAGTTCGGGGGAGTCGGATTTCCGATGGAACTGATCCCGATCCTGAAACACCTGAGTCAGCCTTTGCGGATTACAAGGTGTGTTCGCAATGATTGTCGGAATGAGCTGATATTGGGACAAGAGCCCAGTGATGATTTGCCATTTGAGTTCCCTGAGTGGCTTGAAGTCATCTGGCGTCGCGTTTGGCCTGAGAAGATGGCAAATGAATGGTGGAATGACTGGCATAGTTTGCCTCTTGCACAGGTGGTTGCTTAATGGTCTGTCTAGCTGGTCAACGGATATACCCTTTTCACGTTTCTTTTTTTTACATTGGTCTATGTTTTATACCAAGACATCACCATGTCTCTTTCTAATGTGCATTATCGTGCTGGATACGGCCCAGGGGCTTTCCTCGCAGAACGATGATATTTACCTTCCAATATTTTATGATCTGGTGCCCGCAAAAAATTGTATCTATAAACCTGTAATGTCACGGTGATGTACTAACTAGTAAAAGCCGTAGACTCTAAGGCATAGAGTGTCGGTTTCCGAGTCTTACATCATTGACCAAGGCTTGAAATGTGTGTGATACTAAGCACTTACTAGTAACACTCTTTTTTGGTTGCGTTGGACACTCCTTATCTTTCATATGCTACTTCTAGCCTCCTCAAGAAACTGATATCTGACCGCCATTGATCTGTCTCTCTTTTCCCATCGGGTATCTTTGTAAACAACGTTTCCTGTTCGCAATTCAAAATATCTGGTCTTCTTTCGCTTCATCAAAGCATTTGCTACCCGGTCATGCTCAAAACTTGTTTCCTTTATTCTTCACATCCAGATTTTCAGATCTTCTCTTTCAAGCTTCTCGAGATTCTCATTGTTTTCCCATCTACCCCTTATGTTCTCGTCCCGCTAGAAAAAGCCCACAATCCACAAGTCTAGGGACCAGCGTGGCCAGCGTGACCGGTATCTACATTGTAAATTTCAGACACATTACCATTCGACAATACGTGGCCCTGACAAAGAGAGACGTCGTTTGGTGGAAATAAGGCTATTGAGCGGAATGGTTCTCTTTCATCTTTTGAACCCCCTTCGTGTCCACGCTAACCCATGATAGAAACACTAATCTAAAAATGGCATTGTCTCGGGTATAATGGATGGCCATTGGCCAACTCGAAATTGGGGCTGAAAAGTGGATCCAACAGACCCGAGATATCAAAACTGATCAAACTTAGGAAGTTGCCCAGGGTGGCCTAAAATCAAGCTGACACCTCTCTCTTCCGCGACAATGCAATAGAAAAAACCTCCACAGAAACACATATCACTTAAGGTATGAACTATAGGCTGTGACCTGGTTTATAACCCCGATCATGGAGCGCACAACCTGGCTGGACGGCCTGCGCGGCATCGCAGCCGCGATCGTCGCCTTCGATCACTACTTTATGAGCGACGTCTGGCACCCGTTCGTCTCGTACTGGACAGAACCTCCCGAGTATAATCGGCACATCGTGCAGTTGCCACCAATTCGCATCCTATTCTCTGCTCACGGCATGGTGACTCTGTTCATGGTGATCTCCGGCTACGCTATCTCCATCAGTCTCCTGAACGCGCGCGATGGGCCTCAATTTCTGCAACGCATGTCATCCGCGATCGTGCGCAGAGTTTTTCGGATTTACCTACCCGTCATAATTACCGCTAGCATCGCGCAGATCTTCTATTTTTTTGACCTCTATCACTGGGAATTCGATCAGGGTCTTATCGACGATCTGCCTAAGCCTTGGTCCAATCCGTGGGCTCACTTTTCTTGGCTGATGCACTACATGGCGGAAAGTATCAATGTAATCGCCTCTGAGTACCGCGGTGGTCTGAATGGTCAATTGTGGACTATGCCCCTGGAATTCAGAGGATCAAATGTTGTCTACCTACTGATCATTGGTCTTTCAGGGTGGCGGAAGAGAGTTAGGCTTATTGTTCTTCCCATTTTGGGAGCATTTTTCTTCTGGTGGGGAAACTGGGATATTTTTGGTTTTATCTGGGGTCTTTGGCTCGCGGAAAAAGCTCATGGTGCTGCGTCGAGCGAGAACTTTGATCAAGATACTGAGCTTGAAATGGCAGAGTTCGACGACACGCCGAACCCTCTCTTTTCTTTGCCTCCGCGCTTGAACCTTTGCGGTGGAAAGCGTCGGTATAAAGCGTTGGGTTGGCGACACCCAAGAAGCTGGTTCGTTCTGTCGCGTGTTGGAATCGCCCTCGTCTTTGTCGGTGGGTACTATCTGCTCTGTCTGGGCAATGATGGCCATCTTCCAGCAGGATACGGCTTCTTGTCCTACATCCAGTCATCGCAATGGAAGGATCGATGGCATATCTATCACTTTTGCTGGAAAGAGCTCGGCTCTGCCATGCTTGTTTTTGGAATCGCGGAATTCAAAATCCTGCAGCGACCACTAGATACGCGCATTGTTCAGTATCTGGGCAAAATCTCATTTGCGCTCTATTTACTTCATGAGACGATTTATCAGCTGTTCCGGAATCCCCTGCGGGATTTTCTATACTCTTCGCTGAGTGGTGGGACTGCCTATGAGACTAGCGCACAGGCGTGGAGTGCAAATCCCTTCTCTTTTCATATCGCGTGGTGGGTTTCGGGCATTCTGTTGGGGTCTTTGGCTGTGTTCTGTGCGCATTGTTATACAAAATATGTGGATGATCGGTGTGTTGCGTTTGCCAAACGCATCGACCGTTGGCTGAGTGTTTGATAGCACCAGTACCTAGTAATATACTATATATCCTTCCTGTACATAATGGTAATTATTTCAATTATTTTTCGACGGTGGAAGTGGCTAGTACCCATGGATCATTGAGCTGTGCTGCATCAGAATCTACTATCTAGCCGACCTCGGGGGTCTTTTGCCTACCTGCCAGTGGGTGCTCTTTCATCCCGGTCCGTTAACTTGAACTTCCAAGGTCCCTTCAAACTACAATCAATCTCACGCTACCTAATCTCCCGACCCCACCTTCAACCATATACAACTGGCGGAGATTACCTTCATTCCTTGATTGGGCCGACATCCGAGCCGACATCCGACAACGGCCTATTGAGTTCAAGTTCCAAGCGAGAGCCTTGAATGATTGCAACATCGAACCCCATATTTCGTGATTAGATGCGTAATCCGGGGTATACCGGGGCAAAGGGGGAGGGGGGAGGATAATATAAATAACGTATAGTCTGCCGTTGGGGAAATCAAAACCTTTACTGCAATAATTTGCCGTGGATCTTACATTTCTGGCCGACAGCATGCGCTCCTGGACCCCATTGATACTATGCAGCTCGGTTGCGACTGCTGTGCTGTCGAGGAACGTCGAAGTCAGTGCACCTGAACGAGTTCCCATTAGTGCTTCAAAGTCGATTGAACATGACTTCGCGTCATTTTCATTACCTTTCCATTTCTTCCCAGACTATACTGGTAAATTCTGAGGTGACTATCGAAGGAGGCAGGCAACATCTAATTAAAATAGGCAACAGGAGTCATCCGAATTTGTTTTCTCGTGATATACTGGATATTTTCTTCGAGAGAACAGGGGCCCATCCGCATATCCGCGTTGGCGGTACCTCCGGGTAAGTAACTATACAATGTAAACATTTAAATCGGATCTAACAAATCAATATTACCAGAGATCGCACCATTTACAATGCCTCCCAAACACAGTCAATCGTCTTATCGAAAGAGTACGACAATGGTATTCCCATTGAAGTATCTATAGGCAAAGTCTTCTTCGAAGGACTCGATAATTTTCCCGGAACTCCTTGGACTTTCCAAGTCAACCTTGCCAACAACAAGACCAATGCGCTCGAGAACGCGCTTACCGAAGCAAAGATTGCCCTCAGCCACATCAAGAAAAACCTTGTTGCTTTTGAAATTGGGAATGAGCCTGATCTCTACCCTGGTGATGTTCGACCCTCAGATTATACCACTGCGGATTATGTCAAAGAGTGGATTCACTACGCCAATGCCATCTCGAAGCATGTTCTGCAAGACAACCCTTATGGACTCGATTCGTGGAAGCTATTCCAAGCTTTGACTTTCGTGTACAAAAGGGACGGCTTTACTACGTAAGCTGCTATATACCTACCTCAAGGGCGCGCCTTTATTCTAACTTGGTGTAGGGCCGATGCATTCAAAGACGGCATTGACAAGACAGGCCATGTTAAGACAGTTTCGCACCACCAGTATGTTCAACTCCCCCAATAATTTTGAGACTAAGCTAATTTCCTCTCAAGATACGCCGCTGGAAACCCAGACTGGGTCAGGCTACAAAGTAAGAATATCTCCTAAAGAAAACGCATGCTCTGTTCTAATTTGCTCAAGACTCTTTCATGAACCACACCGCCATCGTCGGGAATTTAACGCAGTACATTCCCGATATGGAAGCAACACAAGCAGCCGACCCGAGCATCAAATTTGTGCTTGGAGAGACAAACAGCGACTATGTCAACCTAGGCATGAACCAGGTGGAGGGTGTTTTCGGAAGTTCCCTCTGGTTGGTTGATTTTCTTCTTTACGGAATGAGTCTAGTAAGAAAAAAGCTTCTGCCCTTGAGGATGTTCTGAACATTCACTCACTCTCAAAAAGAACATTTCTCGTTTCAATCTTATCCAAGGCACAAATTTCGGCTACACTGGCTGGGTTCCTGTACCCTACAATGGCCAAGACCCGCACGTCTGCCCACCACTTTACGGCCAGATCCTTGTCGCGGATGTAATTGGGCATCATCATGATGTGAAAATCGCACCGGTTGATCTAGGCCGTTGGGATCTTTCAGCATACGGAGTCTATCAGTCGGGAATTCTCAGCAAATATGTTGTGGTCAATTTTGATGAGTGGAATTCAACCACGCATTATCCTCGCCCTTCTCAAAGGTTTGAGCTTCATGTGCCATCTGGTGTTCATTCTGCGGAAGCAAAGAGATTAGTTGGACCCGGTGCCAGTTCCACATCTGATATATCTTGGGGTGGAATCAACTGGAACTGGACAGCCGATGGTCGGCTTGGACAGCACGGGGCAGAGAAAGTTGAAAGACTACATGTCCAGGGTAAGAAGTTGATTCTAGAAGTTCCTTCAACTCAGGCAGTTGTCATCGACTTGCTTCGAAAGGACTAGCTTTCAATTCTATCAATGTACATCTAGTAGCATGTTGTTCAGGACGGTGAACTCTGCTATTATCGTCACATCCCGAGTTGAATACAACGTCCAAATTTTCTATCCTACTTAGTATATTTTGACCAATGGTTCCGCGAAATATCATAGATCTCGAAGAATGTTGCTTGGGATTCAAATGGCCTAAAACTGCAAATACGAAACGAACAACAGAAAGAGGTAGATATCTTGTGATAATGAGGAGGTCCTTTTTCCCTGGTAGCATCTCGAAGAACACCGAACCAGACGAACTTGAACTAGACAAGCCTTTGGTTCCACTCCGGAGTTACTTAAGTCTAGATTCTTGCAAGCATCTTGGGCTAGCTCGAATCTATCACTAACCCCCTTATCTGGTAGGGAAATATATTGGGGATGCTAATGATACGGGGTCAAGTTCGAAACGGTTGTCCTGGAATTGAGAACTGAGAATCGCAAGTGAGGGCCTTTACAAAGTCAGAAATATAACGAAGCTCGCTTCCTTCAAAAGTTCACGATATAGTTAGTAGTATGGCCACCCGACAACAAGGCGAGGAATACCCAGATATAGAATTCTAATAAATCAAACTCCTTGTCAAGCATTTATTATGCAAGTAGTAACTAATACCTCCTCCCTACAACCCACACCCTGTAATAATCAAGCCAAAATCTCGACCGATTTAGCCCTGAAAAAATCCGGCCAAATACAGGTCAATTCCTCAAGATGCTGAATCCGATGCTGCGAAGCCTGAGATTCCGGAATCGGCAAACCAGTCTCAACCAAATGACAAGCCGTCCAGCCAAAGCTCTTCGCTCCAACGCAATTTCCAAACGAGTCATCTACGCCAATCAGATCATCAGTACCTAATAAGCTTTGCCCGGAGAAACAGAACCGGGGGAGGGGGGAAGTCACAACTTACCAACAAAAAAGCACCCCCCAACATCGCCCACCCCGGCCTCACGCATAGCCTTCTCAAACATACCAACCTGAGGCTTACAAATAAACGGCACAATCTCATAATCGCAATACGTAATTCCCTCAAACAAATCCTCAATACCGAGTAATTTGACAACACGCCTCGCATGCGTAACATACGCATTCGTCAGCAGCCAAAGCCGGACCTTGGACGTATCAATCGACTGCAGGAACTGTCGCAGTATTGGATTTGGCTTTAGTAGGGTTTCCAATGGCAGTGCATCGTCGACTTGGCTGTTGTAGTGCAGGGCATCGATGGCGTGGTGCCGGACTAAGCCCTCTACTGTTTGGCCGTAGGTTTTGAAGTATTGAGAATGTAGGGCTATGGCTTGGTCCCGGGGGAGGCGCAGTTCGCGGGATAGGTAGTCGTCTATCAAATCGGAGAGGGTGTCTTGGACATTACTGCCTGTGGAAGGGGTGGTGGTTAGATTTTTTTTTCTTTTTGGCTCCCGTTATTTGGCGTTGCTTTTGAAATTTGGGTTTCTCTTGTTTCTTTTCGTTCAAGGGGAAAGAAAAGTTAGAGGTTGGACTCGTTGGACATACTCCGTGGATAGAGACAGTTGTCTATGTCACTATAAGATATTGTTATTTCCAGTCCAGAGAAATATCGAGGTATCATTTCGTATGACTCAACTCAACTCAACTTACAAGAATAGGACTGGTAAAGCACCTCGCACGGCTGTACTGTTCACGGGACCTATGCCTGTGCCTGTGCCTGGAACTAGGATTCGGACTTCCTCGGTCTCCATTACTTTGATCTGTTGAATATTGATTCTTTGGATACTTGAAAGAGGAAGGGAAGTGATATGAGGATTCTACGCAGGTTGGATGAGGGAAAGTTCGATATCTCGGAGCGGGAGAGAGAGCCCTGGGTCCCCACTTCGCCGTTGCATCGGGGTACGAAATGGGCATGGACTGGGAGGAAAAATACGAGGCGCTAAGACCAATTCAAGCGCCACATCTTTTTTTCTTTTCTCACGTGCCGGTCGTTGTTGAATGGTTAAGTGAGAGAATCAGAGATTACTAGTAATTGCAGGTTAGGACTACTAAGATATTACCAAGTTGCTACGATTATAGATAAAGTGATGGGAACTTGAAAGTGAGAGAAATGTGATAAATTCGGCAAATCAACTGTTGAGAAATGCCCTTCGCCGGACTGTCTAGAACAAGTCTAGGCGGAAAAGTTGAAAAATGATTCGCAACCAAGCAAGAGCGCCCATCGCCCATCATCATACGTAGATCATGATCATAGCTAAAAACAAGCCGAGCAAAAGCTCGGAGCAATTAACAAACACGCGAAAATAACAAGATCGGATCGGGGCGAAACAGAAACGAAGTGGGGTTATCCCCAGAATATAAGAGTATATCCAGAGGTCCATTATGCTTCGCATGGAAAAAGGTGAAGCGGGGAGGGGAGGGTTCATGCTTGGTTGTAGCATTTCCGATCAAAATTGAGTGAGGCACCGACACTCAGATTGAGATAATGAGAGCAGGCCAGATTGACGGAGGCAGGAAATGCAATTATGAAGCAGAAGATGATGGAAATGGTAAAGATGGAATAATAATGGTCGATAAGAAGAGAGAGAAAAATCGATAAATTGATAGCGCTGGCGGAAAAGAGAACCTAACACCGTGCTTGCATTGCATCTCGGAATGTTGTATTCAACTGCAGGTTCATGTGCGTCATTCGTTTTGGTTCGTCTATGTGGTTCGCATATGTATCGTCATTTTGAACATTCTTTTTGGGGGGGGCATGATATCGGTTCGGAAGCGGAAAGCGGAAAATGGAAAGGAGGATGTTCCATCCTTCTCCTTTCTCTTCCTGTAGAAGGAGGGAGGAAGGAGGCGGATGGGTGTGGCCGAAGAGAAATAGTGGAGAGGTGCTAAATAGTCGTCGGTGTTGTTTTCAGGCTGCCTGGTGAATTTGGCAAGAGGAAATATCGGCTGAGCCAGGAAGACGAGGAGCGACGGCTAGCTTGATGGACGCAAGATAACAGAAAAGAAAATTGTAGAGAGTGGATCGCGACTCAGGCGGGGAAGGGTAGTGTGTGTTTTCTCGGGTTTTATGGCGGTTTGGCTTTTTTTTTGTCTTTTGAAAATTTTGTTTGTTCCTCGAGGTCTGAGTACCTGCGAGGAGATGATGTGAAGAAAAGAAAAGAAAAATCTGTCGAAATATTGGTGTAGAGAACGAATTAGCATCATAAATGATCGAATCTGGTTCGAGGCCAGCTAGGCATTCTGTTGAAGCCAGGTTGATATTCACAACGATCACAGATTCGATCAGATGCTGAAAGGGGTGGCAAAATAATGAATGTAGTTCCCAAAAAGGGAGTCGACTGATTTTCAGTTATACGAACAACTCAAGGTTAACACAGGGCAATCCAAGGTTGCAGTATCCATGACCTCAAAGATTCACACAAGGTGTGAACGCAGGTCATAAGCAAGTTGTCGACAGCCAAGTCAGGAGGGAAAAGCCCATCACAATTTCTCTTCGGGTAGAGGGGGTAGTGTATTGCAATTTTTCAGTGGTACTCTAAAGTTCGAAATCAGAACTCGAGTCATCTCAAAAGACATATCGTTACAGTCGTCAAAGGCCGTTGCTGTCATAAAAAAAGGGCTGCGAAATCTCGTTCAGGTCATTATGCAGGGAATAAAAGTTTCGCAAATGAATCGGAGCCTCAATGGAACGGAAAACTCGGGACAGCGGGACAAAAAGGCGCATTTAATTATGCGTGTAAGGCATGTTCAGGATTTGCCGGCGGATACGTTCGGCATCGGAAAGACCCTCCTCGAATGGGTTCTGCAGCGACTGCACTGCTGGCTTCTCCTCTCGGAGGGGCTCTCGTAGGGGAGTTGAGCCTGGGTGAGTCGCCGGGCCCGTATATGGCGGAATACCACCGCTGGAGAACGGATCTGAGGTGGAAGGTGCGTGTCGAATGAATCGACTGGGAGCTTCGCGGCGCTTGAACCCTCCTTCAAGTTTGAAGGGTGAGCCCAGGCGCTTGATGTTCTCACCACCTAGGTTCAACAACGCATTGACAGGGGGTTTCATAACCGGGGTCGTCTCCTCGGGCTCAGTCTGGGATGAGTTTAGCGACGACGGAGGAGAGAACAGCTGGCTGACATCTCGAGGGCCCGCAGCACTGGTTGTGGCACCGCGGTTGCGAATCCGGACACGGCCATGGCCGATATCTTGGAATTTGTTGTCGTGCATATAATCGGACAGGCGACGGTTAACTTCCTCATCGGAAGGATCCTTGGTATACACATCACTGGAGAAGACATCGTCTGTATCCCTCGGAGTCAGATCGAAGTGAGTGTTGCGGCGCATGCGGCGACCAGGTACATGAACGGTCTCGCGTCGTGGGTGGGGAAGATCGGCCACTTGGCGGTTCGAACTTCCTGGTCCCCAAGTACTGTACACAAATGGTGATCCAAGGCGTGGCGGGATGCTGTAGGGTTGAGGACGGAGGTATTGATTTGAAAGCTGGGGAGCATTGGCTTTAGGGCTCACATGGGGGCTGGCGGCCTTCGGGCTGGCGGAAATTGGTTGTTGGAGAGGGGTGTTGAACCATTCGGATGATTGTTCGGGAACAGGTGCTTCGGCCAGCTGGGCCAACGGAGTCGGAGCGGAAGCGACCAGAGACACACCCAGGTCGCGAGTGGCATAGGTTGTACAGCTTCCTTCGGCGAAGTTGTGAACCTGCGACCCGGCGTTACCAAGCATGTCGGCGACGGGCTCGGGGCTACGGGATTGCATCATGCGCTGATAATGAGGCGCAATGCAGAACTTGCGTCGGCACAGATGCTTAAGTCGGCTGCGGGTTTTCGCATCAGACTTGGGCCAGACCGAATTCGAATTGGATGGCTTTCCAGCGGCCTTGGGGGTGGAGCTACCGCTACGGTCGGCAGCCGTCTGACCGGGAAGAGTGGTGATGCGGAGTCGCTTCTTCTCCCAGGTGCGCTTGGCACGACGCGCAACTCGAGAAGTGACTCCAAGAGGCGGAATGCTGCCCGGTGTCATTTTGAACGGAGTCATGGTGGGATCTTGTAGGTATAACTGATAGGTGTTCCACAGGTGGTTATCCATATCTTTCGTCCAAGATTTATCCTTCATCTGGTTTCGTTGCACTTGCTGCTTCTTGGGCAGAGTAGGAGATGACATCTCGGGCTCTTTGGGGAATTCAAGCGGGAAGTAGGAATCCAAGTCGCTCTCAGCACTCGTACAGCTGCCACCAACGGACGGTCGCGATGCGAAGGTTTCGATTGACTCGATAGAGGAATCAGAGATATTTGAACACGCCGAACCGGGGCGAGTAATCTGTCCCGGTGTCTGGTCCCACGAGGGCCACTCGTGCGACTCATTCTCCAAGGCAGTGCCTCGAATCTGAGCTTCGGGCGTCTTGAAGCTCATGCGCTGATGGGGCGGGGCGAGGAAACGGCCATCATTGGTGTTGGCAGGATCCTCGACGAAAGGCGCGTCGAATGAGGTACTTTGCTGAGGAACTTCGATGGACGGCAGTGGCATGTCCTCGGTGCCGGTGCTAGTGCTGGGGCCGGAGCCCTGGAATCGGAAAAGGTCGAGGTCCATTCGAGCGCAAACGTCAGTTCCGGAGCGCACTCTCACACGAGGAAGACGGCAGCTGGAGAAGGAGTGGCGCGGGGCCTTGGGAACATCGACATCATGAGATGGGCGTTCGGGGGTTCGCGGTTCGTCGACGCCATCGGCAGCTAGAGACGGGAAGGTGAAATTCTTGGGGAGGGTGCGCGAGAGCTGACGTTGAGCCATGTTGATTGAATCGTGTGCCTCACACAAGAATGTGTGGGGGAGTAAAACTTTGGGAGAATGTGTCGGCGTCGGCCGAGGTGGTGAATGTGAAGGTATGTCGCGGCCTCGAAGGTGGAAGCGCGCGAGTCGCGTATAATCGTGATTCGTGAGGAAAATAGGAAAGAAAAATAGAAAGAGTCGAACGAAAGGTCGGAAATGTCAAAGAAATTGAGGGTCGAATAATGATAAATGCGTGTGAGAGAAACGTGCTGTACTGGGGGAGTATCTTCCGCGGAATGCGCGAACTGAATACAATATCACCAGACACCGAATCACCACTGCGATCCCATCCCGTCAAAAGAGCAGGAAAAGGAGATCATTACCGAACGCCAAAGACAAGAAAAAGAGAACTGCGAAACTCTCGCAGGGGGGAGGGGTGGGGGGGAAGGGCAAATGGGAGGGTAAGGATATAGGGAAAGAGAAGGTGAAGAGGTGAAGATGGGCGGGAGGTTGGGCCAGAGTGAGGCGCTCTTCGGGGGGGAAAGAGGAGAAGGGTACTCCAGTACTGGCAGTACTGGTTGTGCTGGGTGTAGGTACTGGTACTTTTAGGGGCCGCGTCTGATAGCTGCGGGTGTTGGTACCAGGTACTCCTGCCTAGGCCCACCGATCGTACCGCTAAATACCCAACTAGATTGGAAAGAATAGATCGAAGGATTTTTTTTAAGATAAAAAAAAAAACCTGGGACTTCGACAAAGTCCTGAGTAGTATGTACTCTATGTCTATTGGAATGCTATTGTTTGTTTGTCGAGTAAGAGTGCGACCTTACATGCTGCATGCGCGCAGTGGTGATTGTGACTGTATGCTCGGTACGGTACTCTGTAACTATAGTTGGCACCAGCACCCGCACCCGCGCACCTAGGGCAGGCACGCCCGTCTCGGTTAAGCCAAACCGTTGAGTCTTCGACTCTGCAAGGGCGGATCTTCCCATGCCCACACTGATGCCCATTGCGTCCGTTCTGCATTGCACGTTGCATATTGTACAATGCCTATTGCACAAGGGGTGTCTACTTCTTTCTTTTCTGTACTAAGTACTCTGTACCGTAGATCTGATCCATGTAAACAGGCTACTTTTACATTGTTAACATAGAATGTAATATAGATCAAGATCACTATTAAGATAATGAGGCAAACTTTATGTGTGATGCCATTGCTGAATATTATTAATTCCACCAATTTTCAATTTCTGATTGTGCGGTGAAGACCTTAGTGAGGCAAAGCCTCACTATAACCCCATGTGGATTCGTCGCGTCGCGTCGCGCGAACTTGACGCGTCTCACGTTCTGTTTTATTACCGTATCAAATACAGTCACCTGATATCGCCATCCAGCCTGCTCCTGCACTACATTCAGCAGATGGGGATGCTGCACGACATGCATTACGCGTTACCCTGGTCCAAATGTGAATCCCTCGTCGAGTCGTCTCGGTGACTCCGAGAATTCGAGAATCCTGGCTCATCTGTGGTTGTGGATGAGCTGAAATCTCGAGAACGTCACCACTTGCCTAAATCCGTATGCATACTGGAGTATCTTGTACAGCTGCACTCCCAAACGCGACATCAATTGGCCTGGCTAGTATGTTTTTTATCCAAATCCATCAATCTCAAGTACGAAGCTTATAGAAATCAGCCTCGAAAGAGTCTCTCTTCATTGTCACTAGAGGATCTTATTATTCCTTACTAGTAGTAACCGATGATATCACCATGTACAACCTGGAAATATTGGATGCTTCTTTTGCACACCCCATTCCAGCAAATCCTGCTTGCAAACAGACACAAGAACCTGCTCATGCATGCACAGCAACAATAGTAAACAAAAACAAACCTTGAAAAAGGAAACAAACGCAATCCCCTAGAACAAGGGATCAAATCCAATACACAAATAACCAAGATCTCTCAGCCTGCAGCTTTCCCACCATCAATGTCTCGCATCAACTGCCGATCACTACTCCCCAAGCGCCGCAAGGTCGATATCCGGCCTCCTGGAGCGAAAAAGCAACTCAACACGCGGATCCGTAATGATTTCCGTCCCATGATCGAAATTCGCCGGCCTCCCAGCCACACCACCACCAGCACCACCATCACCATCACCACCCTTCAACTTCCAATCATACTTAAGCAACAAATGCACGAGAAAAATCTTCGACTCATTCGCCGCAAAGAATCGACCCGGACAAGCATGCACCCCGTGACCGAAACCGAAACTCTCGCGCGAGGTCGTGACAAATTGGAAGCGTTGCTCGTTGCCGGGTTCCTGGCGCTTTTTGTAGAATCTGTAGCCGTCGTAGATTTGTGGCGAGGGGTAGATTGTTTCGTCTTCGTTGGTGTGTGTTGATACTCCGATCATTGCGCCTTTTGGTATGACCGTTCCGTCTGATAGGGGGATTTCCTTTCTGGCGAGACGGTTCAGGGAAACTAGAAGTTGAGTTAATTAAGTTACTTTCCAAGGTGCATACACCGGGACAATCCATATGGAAGGGAGCCCCGAGGCCCGAGGGTTGCCCACGGGTTGGTGTTTTTCAAACTCACTCATAGACACCGGCTGCAGTCGTTGCGTCTCCTTCATCACACTGTCCATTAACTTCAACTTCAACAGGCTAGACTTCTTCAAACACCCATCCTCAGCTACAACGGCCCGAATCTCGTCGCGCAGTGGCTGGATATATTCCGGGTACGCGGCGAGGTCATACATGATATTCGTCAATAGGTTAGACGTGGTGTGGATAGCTGCCATTGAGAGCGCTATCTGGCCATTCGATACATTGACAGATCGACCGGATGACTTAGACAATTGCTCGAACCAGTCCAATGTATCCTGAAGTCGGGGTTCAGTTTCACTTTCGCTTTTGGCGTTGTTTTCGGCGGCCTGGTGTCGTCTCTTAATTTCCGCATCAATGATCAATTTTCCCTGCGATAGGTGGTTTCGGAGTTTCCTTGTTGTTTTGAGGAAGTACTGCGCCACCGGACGCAGAATGGTTAGCCACTGTCGCAGTTCACGGGCGGCGTTGAAAGCGTCGATGGTGTAGTTGACTGAGATGTCGATCCAGTCTTTGTTCTTGGCGAGCGCTTCGCCTAGGAAGGCGCGGGTTGAGAGACGTGCTACGACGTAAGGGATCTTTGCGGAGAAGTTGTAGGGAGTCCATTCTTTGTGGATGAAGAAGAGAAGTTAGATAGATGTTGCCGGTAGTAAACTTTGCTGGAAATTTTTAAATTTTTCTTTCGCTGAGGACGGGGCATAGCATACCAGTTGTAGGGGGGGAATATCTCCTTTGCAACTACTGCACTCTCCTTTGATAACGGGATTGTCAACGAGCCTATAATATCGGTCAATATTTTCTATTTATTTACTGCCGTATCTCAAAGGCGACATACCGAGTGCTTGGGTCAACTTGGTCCGCACCAAATCGACAGTTACCTGACCACCGACACCAGGATGGAATGGTTCAAACCCGGAGATTCGATCGTCGAAGAAGTTCTATTTCTTATTAGTTCCATGGCTATGGCTATTAATGGGGGGCGTGGGGGCGGGGAAGCTCCGCCTACTCTTTCAACAGCACCCTGGAAATCTAAATGGGGGTGATTCTTGATCTCGTCGATATACTTAGGGTGGAGGACCACCAATGGCCTCTCGGAGATGATCTGGAAGATATTCGCACCCTATTCCATTTCGGTTAGCGGGGTTCTCAAGTTTTCGGAAATACTACCGTCTTACCTTAGAGAAGCCCTCCAGGATCAATTTTCGCGCACTCGATTTAAAGCGCTGTCTGGTCTTCTTATTGAGAGGATCCCATCCATCCTTGCCGATCAGGGGGATTCGACGATGGGGAATTTCGTCTGCCAGATCTTGCCAAAACATGGAGAGCAGCACGGCGACAAGGGAAACGGCTAGACCTTGCACCGCATAGGGACTTTGGATCAATTCGGTGAAGACCGCCATGTCGGAAACATATACCTACTAGTAGGTACTAGTATAAAGGGTAGTGGAAGCGATGAAAGAAGAACTTGAAGAAAGCAACCTGAACTTGAAGCTTCAAGGGGTAATGACAAACTTACCCCAGCTGCTAGCAGTGGGCTAACATATAAACAATTTTGAAATCCATCGCACTCAGAACAGCCGACCACTCAGAAGTGACCTGTTGAATATTGATCGCTCGGGGCTTGTGTAGCCGACGCAGAGGCCCACTCCACGAAGATCGGAAGCGGTGGGCGCCGAAACCAAGGCATGTTGTGAAGAATTGAGCAAGCGGTCTGAGAGTACGGCATTGGAAGACTCCGAGATTCAGTGTGGGTGGTGCGTGGAGTAGAACGAGAGCGAGACTGGGGCTTTTTCCTAAATTGGCATTTTTAGAGAGTATCACTCGATGGATTGTGGGGACCTGGGTAATTGGTGAACTTTGATTGACTGGAAGACAAGGGGTGTGCCGTATAGCGTGTAGAACCCGTATAGAACTGCGTATAGAACGGAGTTTCGGAAGTGCTACTAGTACAAGTAATAGTTAAATGATTGGACGGATCTCGGCCGTATAGTATTCTGAGTTGAGGTATAAAGTATATTTAATACTACTAGTAGTAGTACCTCTAGGGTAGCTAGTGCCAATGGGTACATAAACAGCTCCAGCGACCCGTTATCAGGATGATGGTGTATACCAGAAATCTTCCAAGATAGAAGCTGGGACATTGGATATCTTGCTGAAATGCTAGTATTAGAAGACCTATAATAATCCATACTACTTCTTATAGTTGCTCCCACTCCCCTTGAAGTAGTAAGCAGTATAAATCCACCGCCACCCGACCACCGCCCCCGCATTTCATCATTGGCCTCCCCGCAACTTCTCCTCTTTCAATTTCACAACCAACTAGAACTTCACCATGGGAGACTTTGGCCCTGCAGTACAGCCACTACAGCCTACACCAGCAGGAACCCCTCAACCAGGCCCCTCCTCCAGCGAGATTTCCGTCCTGATAACTGGCTTCGGAGTAAGTGATCTACACTCGGATCTCTCACGATCCCGAGCCCGAACAAGGCTGACCTGACCGTGTAACCCAGCCTTTTAAATCTAACCTTGTGAACGCTTCCTACCTGATCGCCTCATCGCTTCCTTCCACCTTCACTCTTCCTTCGAAGGACGGCTCCTTGAACCGTCGCATCTCCCTCCATGTCCACCCCACCCCGATCCTGGTAGCTTACGCCACCGTGCGGGAAAGCTTACCCGCAATCCTGAAAGAGTACGCTGGTGCGCACGGCGGCCAGCGTCCGGACCTCATTGTTCATATTGGCATCGCCGCGCCACGCCTATACTACTCAGTGGAGTCGCTGGCTCATCGCGATGACTACAACATCACCGATATCAACGGGCGCACGGGCTACGAAGACGGCGAGAAGCGGTGGAGAGAGATGGGGCTCCCGTCTATCCTGAAGCCTGGCCTTTCGGATGCTGCTACTGCCTCCACTTCGCTCGTTGCCCCATACCCACCCAATGATCGGTTCTTGAAACATTGGAAGGCCCTTGCGCCACCCGATACTGACATCCGTGTCTCCCATGATGCGGGTCACTACCTTTGTGACTTCATTTATTATACCAGCATGTCCTTGGCGTACCGTGCAAATCAGGACCGGAGTATTCTCTTCTTACACGTCCCTGGTGCTTCTGAGGATGCCGATATTGAGCGCGGTCGTGCGATCACCATCGCTTTGATCAAGAGTATGGTGACTTGCTGGATTGATGAGAATCGCCATTAACATGACCAGTGCGGCGGCTGGGATTTCTTGAATTGATCATTCTCCGCATGCTTTCGTCACATTATGCCGACTCCGACTCTCTAATTTGGTTGATATTTTGTTTTCCGTTCACCTTTTTTAGGGTTCATTCTCTCTCGCATATAGTCCTTGCATGGTGTTTATTAGGATCATATATCTCGCTACATATTCCCCAAATACAAGTTCATGTTTACCGTCAATCTCGGAATGAATATTTTTGAAGTATTAAGTATTTCTCAGTATTTCTAAAGCTTCTCCCTGGGTTACTGTTCCTTTTTTGTCTAAATTCCTGGGCTTCCCTTCTCATTCCTTAACGACCGGTCTCGGCAAAAACGGCCGCTTATCAATCCGCCCGCACCAGCCTCCTCTCGGTAGTTGTTTACTTACGCCAATGCTAACATACGAGTACATAGCTCTCGTCCTCTTTCTTCGTCCCTCCTTTCAATAGTACTTCCGCTCCTTTAACCTACCCTGCAAATGAGAAATCACCAAGGCCTACCAACACAATGGTATATTCAGTCACCAGCCCCTTGGTCCTAGGACTCATTCTACTCCTCCCATGTCTGTTTTTCTCCAAATTGAAACCATCAAAGGGATGGAATACAACACGTCTAAATGCACTCCTCCCCCGCCTCCGCCAACTGCACCCCTGGCGCACCCGCACCAAACAATCCAGCGAAATCGTCTCACTACGCATGTACCCAATAAAATCCTGCCGCGGCTTCGAAGTCCAAAGCACAACGCTAAAAGAGCACGGCCTCGACCTCGACAGAAGATGGATGCTAGTCGACGCATCAACAAATGAATTCCTAACAATCCGCCAAATCCCAGCCATGACGCGCATCAGCACAGCTTTAAGCCCCGACGGCTCCGACCTTTTAATTTCCATCCCAACCACAAAATCCAGAAGCAAAACTATTCGCATCCCTGCTCACCCTTCACAAGATTGGCTAGCGAAAAATACATCCATCGCCCCGGTCAAAATCTGGGATAATGATACAGACGGATATATCTACAGCGAGAAATTCAACGCGTCTTTCTCGGCGTTTCTGGGCCAGTCTGTCTCGCTCGTATATAAGGGTCCCACACCGCGCATTCTGAAGGGCAATGGGGCACCGGAGTTACTAGGCAGGGTGCAGAGTACGGGGTTTCCGGACGTGTATCCCATCTTGATTGCGTCGGAGGCTTCGCTTGCGGAGTTGAATGCGCGGTTGCAGAAGATTGATGTTGATCCTATTACGGTTGAGCGATTTAGGCCTAATATTGTTGTTCGGGGTCAAACGGCTTGGGTGGAGGATTCGTGGAAAACGGTGCGGATAGTAAGCGGTGGTGCTGGGAATGATGGTCCTTCTTCGCTTGATTTGGACATCGTTGCGAGGTGTGCGAGGTGTCAGGTTCCGAACGTTGATCCGGAGACTGCGGATAAGCATAAGAAGCAGCCGTGGGATACACTGATTTCGTATCGGAGAGTGGATGAGGGGATTAAATGGAAGCCTTGTTTTGGGATGTTAAGTGCGCCGAGGAACGAGGGGACTGTTGAGGTTGGGATGAGATTGGAGGTTTTGGAGGAGACGGATGAACATCGGTATATTACAGGCTTTAATGCTTAATGTGAGAATCTATAATCGGTTGCTTTTTGATCGACATTGGTTTTGATCCTGGTCTTTTCAAGCATGATCTAGCGAGGGGTTATACCTAGTCTTTCAAAAGGCTCGTTTCTCATGTACATGGATTTCGGATGATACAATGTTTGAAGATATGTGCCGTCATGATTTATAGTCAATATTAATTGAATAACTTTAGGTAAACCGAAATAAAATGAAGAGAAGAATATAGAAAAATATGACACTGAAGTGATCAGATTCCCCGGTTAAACGCAACCGATTCGTCTTCCCGACCATTCTCATAGAACTTCTCTTCTTAGAGACCGCTTCTTGATTATTTGCTTCTGTGGAAATATCGCGAGAGCCGCGAGAGCGAACGGAAGAGCGACACCAGTTGTAATGAGAACGAGACCTAATAATCTAATTAGCAGTCATCCATATCGCCAGACCCAGATTAATTCATACCTATATTCGCTGGCATAAGAAGAGACGGTCGCTTCTTTAGCCACTCCGTTTTCTGTATCTTCAATAGAACTAGAGATGGCACCACCATGACAGGAATAGCATTGAGCACCCGACTCGTAGCCGTTTCGTCCCCTGCAATGAATGCTGCCTTCGAGCTTTTCCCGAGGCTCTTGTCAGAAACTTCTGTCGTTTCCTGGCGATTTTCCCCTGTGACTGAAAATACAGGAAATACGTCGATTACACGACGAATTCCTCGCCGCGCATAAGGAAAACATTCAGTGCTCCGGCGCTGGCGAGAGCAGCGAATGGGACAAGGCGGGCTAGAATTGTCTTGGTTTGTTGGCTTACAAACGAAATCCACGGCACCATGCTATTAAGTCCTAATGCGACAGAGCAAGATGTAGATACAGCCATGAAGTATGATTTGATCATTGCCTCGGTTGAAAGAGGTGTGGATTGATTGGTATTTGCACTGTTGATACTGGTTGGCAATCTGCCATCCCAGAATTCCCCCTCCACTGCAAAAAAAGTAACTTTGTTCAGACTATGAAAATTGACTCTATAGAGTAAATCATAAACTCACCGTCACTCCAGGAATCAATATCCCCGCCTTAACAATAAGGTTTGAAAACACGTAGCATAACATGCGGAAAGGCAGAAGCACCGGCTTCCAAGTATCGGGGTGCAGAGTAGAATCGACAATCTTTTTGGCTTGCCAGAGTTCCGTTCGCATTCCTTGGGCGTGGTAGTTCTTATAGTTGGTAGCTAGGTTCATCTTCGCATGTTTCAATTGAGCGTCGGAAGTGAAGAGAGTCCTTCAAAAAACATATCAGCATTCAACGGTTGCTTACTAGCTCAGAAGAGTCTCCGCAACTAACCTGGAATCAGCTAGATCGGCATATTGACAGACTCTGCTCCAGTAGGTAGACAAATCATATCGAGAGTCAGGGAGTTGACGCAGTTCGGGGAGTGACGATGACATTTGTTGGTACGGAGAATCCTCTTTGTGTGATTGCGCACGCCTCCTTAGGTCTGTCGCCTAATGTAGGCAATGGAGAGAAAAATTCGAGCGTCCCTACTAAGGGTCTTCATATCATCCAATTTACTTCAACCTTCTAGCGATTGACAAAGTACTGCCGCAACGACCGTATGTTGAAAACCCTAGCAGCTAGCACAGTTTATTCTCAAATGGGCTTTGGGATATTTAATTCGCTCCAATGAGGCAGCGGTATCCATTTTTTAAAAACTGCTCAGATGGATGTAATAGTAAACGGTATATCAAAGAGGCGTCTAGTTTGTAGAGCTCACGTCAGCCCCCTTCTATACAGCTTCCGAGAAGGGAAATTGAATTGGAGGCAAAATACTCGTACCACTTCTCCAAAATAGTCCCAGACTGAAGTATTACTCAGTCTTTTCAGCTCTTCAGAGACTCATCATTTATTTGCAACAACCAAATTACTATAAATTGACTGTGCAGGGCGTCGAAATTTTGGCATAAATTCGATAACTAGACCAACAGAAGTATTTATCTTCTATCCATTCAAATCATGGCCTGAACTATCCACAACAAAGAAACCATGCGCTCCGTCATTTTTGATGGAAAGCCGTACGAAGTGAATGTTCGCAGCATTTCAAAGGCAAGCATTGTCAAACAAACGGATGCTGTGGTACGTGTTACCACAGCAGCGATCTGTGGCTCCGATCTACACAATTACCATGGCGTTTTTGGCAGTAGTAAGGTTCCTTATTCTCTTGGGCATGAAGCCATGGGAATAGTTGAACGAGTTGGATCTGGTGTGGAGATCGTGAAGGTCGGAGATCGAGTCCTCATCCCCGATTGTCCTGATAATGGCTTGCTTGATGTGAAACCGGAAATCATGCCCGCGTTGAGCGTTTATGGACAGGGTGAGGATCTTGGGAATTTGGGAGGTTGCTAGTGTAAGTTTAAACTCCCTCGAATTATCATGTTATTGACGGGAAATGCCACAAATGGCTTCATAATGATAATGATAAGAAACCTCACTAACTCAACTGGAATGATCACCTTTACAGCCGAGTTTGTTCGTGTCCCCGTCGCAGACAAATCTTTGATCATACTGGGCGAAGAGCATGATCACATAGAAGACAAGGACTTCCTAGTCCTCACCGATATTTTTCCCACGGCCTGGGTCGGAGTTTCCTGGTCCGGCTTTGAGGCAGGAGATACGGTCGCTATCTTCGCGCAGGCCCTGTCGGTCTTCTCGCCGCGTTTTCTGCTCTTCTCCGCGGTGCATCTCGTATCTATATCGTCGATCATGTCGAAGAGCGCCTTGAAGCCGCAGCGTCCATTGGCGCCATTCCGATCAACTTTACCAAAGGTGAACCATCGGCGCAAATCCTTGCCCGGGAACCGGACGGTGTCCAACGCACTGTGGATTGTGTCGGGGAGGAATGCCTAAATGGCAAGCTGAAACATGAACAGTCATTTGTTGTCTCCCAGGCGGTCAAGTGTACAAGTGTGGGCGGTGGTGTTGGGGTGATTGGAGTACACTTTGCCTTGCCGACTTCCAACGGAGTGAAGCGAGGAAACACCATTTCGCCCACAATGGATTTCCCCATGACTATTTTCTGGGAGAAGAATTTAACCATGTGCGGGGGTACAGTGGATAGCAAGTTATTTGTTGAGCCATTGTTAGAACTTGTGAAAAATGGCAGAGCTAAGCCTGGCTTTGTTTTCTCTTCCACAATTGATATTGAACAGGCGCCCGTGGCATACCGCCGATTTGATAATAAGTTGGAGACTAAGGTTATGACCAAGTTCCCTCGCGATGGAAAGGAAAATGGTCATGTTGCAGCGGAGACTTCAGAGAATGGGGAGCCAGAAAACGGCGCGGATTTACACGGGCAAGTACATGAATAGCCAGCTCTCCTTCACATCAGGACTGACAAATATTGACAGTGGCCAATGGAGTGGCAAGACCAAACGGCGTTCGACCTCTTCACAAGCTGCTCATAAACGAGCGAAGAATTAGACCTGATCTCGGGAGAACTTGAATGTACTATTTAGTATCAAGACGACTGGGATTTTGGCGGAGCTGTATTTTTGGAACAAATCAGCTTGGAAAAGACTGTGTATTACTGTTGAAGTGTGTTCAAATATTACCACCCTAGAAAAAAAAACTTTCATAAATGGTCTCAGACCAGCTAGTTGGACTCATAAATGACGTTATCTATTGTAAATATTTAGAAAGCTCCAAAAGCTTAACCGCGGGTAGTTTGTCAGAGAGATGGAATGATCGACCACAAGGAATAAATAGTACCCAAGCTTCAAGTTACTACATATTTAGCACCTTTGGGTTGCGTGATATGCATATTTCCAATAGTCGGGATGACGATGCATAGTAAATATCTCATACAGCCTTTATCCACACCATGTGCTTCACGTTAGCGCCACATCTCGATCCTTCCTTGGCTACCCCGGAATATGCGGCTTGGCCCACTAAAAGTCTTAGTCGAAACTATTGATTGTCGCGTGATGCAGGCCATGACGACGAAATTAGAGTCCCGGGCCCCTATACTACTCCATTTCTAGCTCGCGGTGTGACCCACGCGGTACTTTAATGAGGATTTGCTGGGGTGCATGACTAGTTTAGGAGACGGGGTGGAAAGGAGCAGATACTATGATTGGCAGATAATAGCAAAAGGATCTAGCGATATAAGCTAGCTATCGGCTAAGTCCTTCATCAATTTAAATGCAATTGGGTGTCATTTTACTGCTAGTAGTACCTCAAGTTCACACCACCTGGGCACTCTCTGGCTCTCCCTGATGACTCAGAAAAACCTTGGATATACGTTTTCCCCTGATTCCCGGGATTAATTATCACGGCACCGGTTGAGAGTAGTCCGTCTAGCGAAAAGAATCCGGGAATCATGATCATTCCAACGCCCAAGCGCTGAATCTAAGTTTGCAAGGGGATCCATTGATTTCACGTGATTGTGTGTACTAAGGTTGTTTCTAATGCGATGACAGGAGGCTACGATAAGGCCAGACCCTCCCGCGGCACAGCGGACCCGGCCCCACGGGTGTGGATCGATGACCATTCCTGCCTGAAGTGGTTTCTGCGAAGTTGCTACCGGAGTGTGTAATCAAAGAGTTCTTGTTGGCACTTTTGAGATATTAGCTGGTGATATTTGTATATTTTGTATTTTTACTATTATTTTTTTTTTTAAAAAGCTACTCTTAATGCTGACCTAGTTACTAGGCCACTGAAACAATTCGGACAGGTTCGGACACGCCGAATAGGGCCCGATACTCGGCCTCGGGAGGCAAAAGGCACTGGGACGCTTACACAAGACACAGGGAGAGACAGAGAAGCGACGAGTACAACAACCCGAGCCGGGAGAATTCGGAAGACAGACAGCGACCGACTGCGGTGCTTATCTGGTGCCAATCAGAGCGCGCGTGAATATCAAACTGTATCGCTGCACTAATCCTATTCCGGCCATGCTTTAGGGCTCCACCGGTGGCAATGTTTATCTGTGGCGAATTAGCGTGCAGAGATTGTCTGCAAATGATAGAGGCATGATAAGCTGGCAGGGAGCGCAGGAGGAACACAACCCGTCAAAGGGCATTGGGGAAGAATTACACAGATATCGGCAATGCTACAATCTAAGCATCTCATCTTCTTGGGGTAACTGACGATAGCTTATCTTGGGGAAGGGGAGATGTGGAAGAGGAATCCTCCAGTATAAAGTATAGTGAAACCGCCACTGCAGAATAATAGAGTGATCCCCAGTTTGATCCAGTTGCCAGTTCCCAGTTCCCAGTTCCCGGTGTCTCCAGTTCCTCCAGACCCCCCCCGGGCCAATCCCGGGGCTCGTGGATTCACATTAACAAATCGCGTTGAGTACAAGCCAAGCCTCGTCGATAGGACGTGGGACCCGGCCCCGTCCCCGTTGCCACGGCCCATGCCATCACTGTCGCGATTCATCATGAAGTATCACTAGCTGATAGCAGGATGGAAATAGTTCTACACTATTGTATCTAGGACAATTGAGCCATATTTACATATTTCTATTCTATTCCACTAGAATTCCACTTCCCTCTCTTTCTCTCGGTTCTTTCTCTCTTCTTCTCCTTTAAACCACTGATAATATCATCCCATTGGTTCCTCGCCAGCTATCACTACGCTAATCGATCACCTTGGCTTATCCCATTACTGTTGTCATACTCATTTCTCACCCCATCAGCAAACCTCACCACGCGTTTCAATTCTACAATAACCGCCGCTTCCCCCGGAATTTTAAATCCTACCATTTTTCAAGCTAGGGAAAAACTAATAAGGGCTAAGGGTAATTTCTTTTTTTCCTTATCTGTCCGTGGTCCCCAGTCAGACCAGTCAACAACTTGAACCATTGGAAGGCTGAGCAGCTCCGATTTCAGGCCGGTGGAGCCCCCGTCGATCCGACTTATCTCTGCATTTTGGGCCCTCCGCAACGCTTCCAGAATTCTTTCTTATACCTGGCCTCCCCGTGGCGAACTTGCTTTCTTTCTCCACAATTACTTCTTCAATTCCTCCGACTCGATTCGACTCTGGAATTTTCCATCTCCAACACCCTCCTCGACTCACACACCCCCCCCCCCCCCTTCATATCAAAACCACACCCTCAACACCCTGTACACCCACACTCACAACTACGCCTACGCCTCGAATACACCTTATTAAAAGCTAGCTAGCTCATCATGTCGGCGTTCAACGGGAAATCCCCGTACGCCCCCGACTACGCCTCCTACAACTGGATCGGTGCTCCCGCCAATTATGACCTCTCCACCAACACCGACTTGGGCGGTGATTCCCGTACGTGAGAGCCAGCATCAAGCCTCTCAGCTCCAATTCTCGCACTGCTGCACCGAAACAAATTACTAACAAATCCCCAAAGGCACCGAAAATGTCAATAAATGGTTCCAGTCCGGCGACCAAGCCTATATCATCGTCTCGTCCGCAATGGTCATGGTCATGATCCCTGGCCTGGGTTTCCTGTACTCTGGTCTCGCCCGTCGCAAGTCCGCTCTTAGCATGATCTGGGCCTGCATGGCTTCGTTCTCGGTCGTCACTTTTCAATGGTATTTCTGGGGCTACTCGCTTGCTTTTTCCACCACCGCGACAAACGGCTACATCGGCAATCTACGCAACTTCGGCCTCATGAAAACCCTTGCTGATCCCAGTCCCGGCTCGCCCTTGATCCCTGGCCTCCTGTTCGCCTTTTATGAAGTACGATCCTGATTGTCCGATCGAATGATAGAATCCTTGCTAATTTTTTGCCACCTAGATGCAATTCCTAGGTGTCACTGCTGCTATTGTAATGGGTGCCGTCGCTGAGCGCGGTCGCCTGCTTCCCGCCATGGTCTTCACCTTCATTTGGGCTACGATCGTCTATTGTCCGCTCGCCTGCTGGGCTTGGAACTCCAACGGCTGGGCGTATAAGTACGGCGTTATGGACTATGCCGGTGGTGGTCCCGTCGAAATCGGATCCGGCTTCACTGCTCTGGCATACTCGATGGTCCTGGGCCGTCGTCAAGAACGCATGATGCTCAACTTCCGCCCACACAACGTCTCTCTCATCCTCCTCGGCACCGTCTTCCTCTGGTTCGGCTGGCTGGGCTTCAACGGTGGCTCTTCCTTTGGTGCCAACCTTCGCGCTACTATGGCTTCCTGGAACACGAACTTGACTGCCGCCTTCGCTGCTATTACTTGGGTTCTGCTTGACTGGCGCCTCGCCAGAAAGTGGTCGATGGTCGGCTGGTGTTCCGGCACTATCTCAGGTCTTGTGGCTGCCACGCCAGCATCCGGATTTATCTCTCCCTGGGCCAGTGTCATTTTGGGTGTCGTCACTGGCATCGTGTGCAATTACGCAACCAAGATCAAGTACTGGATTCGCATCGATGACTCTATGGATGTTCTGGCTGAGCACGGTATCGCCGGTATTGTCGGACTCATCTTTAACGCGTTCTTTGGCGACGACGCTATTGTCGGCTTGGATGGTGTCAACACAGGCGCCGGCGTCGGTGGATGGGTCATCCACAACTACAAGCAACTTTATATCCAAATCGCCTATATTGTCGCAACTGCCGCTTACTCCTTCGTCATGTCTGCCATCATCGCTTATACCATCAATGCCATCCCCGGCCTGAACCTGCGTGCTTCGGAGGAGGCAGAGCTCCTCGGTATGGACGATGACCAGCTCGGCGAGTTCGCCTACGACTACGTTGAGGTTCGCCGTGACTACCTTGCTTGGACCCCCCAGGCCAAGGATCAATACGAGGATGGTCACCACATCCCCGCCAATGAGCGCTACGGTATCGGCGAACACTCGGAGATGATGCTTGAGGGCCAACCGCCCATTATGGGCATGAATATGAACATGGGCGAGATCAGCCAGAGCTCTCGTGGTGGCAGCGAGGGAGACATGGCGATTCAAGAAACCAAGATGGCGCAAGCTCCTCGACAAGTCGCCGAGTCGCATCCTCCTGACACTCAGATTCGTGCGCCCAGTCCGACCGCGACACCCGTTGTCTTGCGACCTGTCGATGAAAAGGATGTCTAATTGCTTCTTTTTGAGATACCCTCTTTTCTTCTTTACCCTCGACATATTCTCTACTTCGATCCTCCAGCATCTTCAGCCTTCCACTTCACCTTTTTTTTCGCTTTCGCATTTTGTTCGATATCCCTGAGCGTGTTTCTGTTTCTATCTTTTTACTCGGAAAGCCTGGGGCTTTTCTTTTCTGTATACCTACCTCCACCCTATTCATCCACCTATCATCCGATCCGATCCGATCTACTACACAACACCCTCATCATCTGCCATCCTCATCGCACCGCACCTATCCTCGCTTTCTGTTCCGGGTCATCGTGCTTCATACAGCGAGACCAACAAGCAAAAGCAATCTCCAGCTTTTCAAGCAAGGCGTTTTCTTCAAAACTTTGGACCAAACATTTATGGATCGGGGTGTATATTTGCCTATTATCTTCTTTCTGGAGTTGGATCATCTCTGTCGTCGCAGTATAGAATTTGATTTTATTTCACTCAAACTCTTATCCTTCCATTGAAAACAACGTAGTCGATTGGTCCAAAGAGACATACATCAAATGATTAAACCCACTTAAAAACTTCCACATCGTCCAGCCTCGACGATTATTCAGGTGTCCTTTGTAAATCCCAGCACCTTTCGTCTCAACTAACCAGTTGCCAATCTACAATGGCAGTACGATAGCAGCCCCCAACATCATCGCAACGACCGAAATACCAAGCACAGAGCCAAACCCATTCCAAGAAGATGACCCCGGGTTTAATCTCGCTGCATGGTTCGTACTAGTAGGGCCAGCATCTAATGAATGAAGACGTCAATATACAATTAGATGTTGGGTCGTCACAATCGAAAATCAAAACGACATAGTCCTTTCGAAAGAGATATCATGTTTTTCATCTTGAAAGAAACTCCTCGATAGAATTGACAATAGCCAGACAGGGAAAGAAATCCATTACATACCATCAAAATCAGCTTTCTTGTGAATGAGAGTTAACATCGGCTCAACAGCCATGCCAACCATGGTCTTTTTCTCCTCGGCATCAAAAGTTGTCGTACTCGGTCCAATGAAGGGGGAAGTACCGGCGAGTGTTTGGAGATATCTTGTCGTCGCCGTACCATTGATTGTTGTCTTTATCGGTGATTCGCCAAAAACCCCTTCGGGGACTTTAAAGTTACATCCCGAGGAAGGTTTGTAATCCGAAATCGTGGACCAGCATTGGTATTTTAGATCAGCTGAGTATGACCTGGGAGGGGGGGTTTGAGTTGTTAGAAAAGAGCGTGAAAAAACAAGAAACAGGTTCGAGTATGCTCCCTTTTTCATCCTTCCGTGTTTCTTCTCTTCTCTTGTCTTCTCTTTCCTTGATAGAATAGATCCCGTGCGTAGGAGGTAGATGAAAAGAAAGAAAATAATAATCCTTACCTCGGACAGCAAACAACAGCCGTCTCACTCTTATCCAAAATACTAAGAAACAACTCCCCATCCCGCTGAAGCACCTCCGCCGTCGTCGTCGGCACCAGAACCCCCGAAGTAATCAACGACCCATCTCCATCCCACGAGGCAACACCCACAGTCACCCAATCAGCCGGACAGTAAAGACCAGGCGAGTAATACTGCGCCTTGAATAGCCCGGTCGGACTTAAATCAAGGGTGGTGGTCATCTCTACAGTGGCCGAGGGGTAACATTCCCGGCTTCTGACTCTTTCGCATTGAACGCCGTATTGGAAGTTGGGGTGAATCGAACCACTAGAGGCACTGGGGCCGACTTCGATTTCATTGGGAATTGAGGCGCAGCTGGTTGGTGCTGTGAAGGTTGTTGTTACTGGGCCCCAATTTGCATAGGTATAGCCGGAGATTGTGGAAGCGCTGGGCATGGTTGCAGATTTGGAAGTTACAAGATCCAGGATTGCGGTTTGATTCAAGTTAGTCCAGGGCTGAGGGAAAGCAGTATATTATATTCCAATTTTCTGGGCAAAGGCGTCGAGAGGAGGTAGCCCTCGTATAAATAAGCCAAGCGCGGAGGCTCCTCTTCGATTCAGAGTGTACTAACTAGTAGTTCGGAGGACAACCCGCTTTTCCTCTTGGCAAGATGCTTGGCAGGGTCTAATCCCCTTGTCAGCGGAGAGTGTGACTGGGTTAAGCGCTGGGTTCTCCAAGCCTCGTGAATAGGTACTGGATTAGTATTAGGCCATGAGGCTGGGCACCAATCAGACCAAGTTTCTGAAAAGTACTATGATGCCCAGGTGTAGAGAGTAAAACTCGGGAGGAATGCTCTGTAGATGTAGGTGATATAACTCCATGAATAGCCGAGGTAGTACCTTGAAATATGTAAATGGTCACTATAAAGGAATAAATATATGCAAAGATGAAAAAGAAACAGTAAATTGCTAAGAAAAGATGCTTTATACAGTAGAGTAGACCTAACCACCCAGTCAAATCTACCCCCCTTCTCACCATCCCCCTAACACGAATCCTCTCCTCGCGACTCAATTTATCAACAACATCCGCCGCCTCTCCACCATGCAGCACCTCATCCCACTCATCCTCATCCATACTCATAACAAGCGTCATCTGCACACACCTAACAAACGCCTCACGATGTCTGTACCGCCCCGTCGCCCCACCAGCCCCAAACCCAACATCCACAGCCGCACTAACAAGACCCGAGATATCGCGCTCCAGTCGTGCCGCGCCGAGCGGGTTCACTCGGCCCTGGTAAGACCAGAGTCTCTTCTCCAGCAGACGGGCCATGTATGCGATTGTCACTGTGAGCAGTCGGGCGAAGGCTTGCTGAGTGAGGATTCGCGCGATGGGGAGGAGGAGGTCGGACCAGCCGGTTGCGAAGCGGGGGCGGACGATTTCCTTGTTGCTGCGGTTTTCGTCGTACTCCGTTTCTTCGGTGGTGGTGGGTTGGTATTCTATGTCTCTGAATGCGTCGGCGAGGATGGGTCGGAGACGTTGTTTTATCACGTTGTTGAAGACGACTTGGATGCCGTCGGAGAGGAGGTCGTTGACTTTTGCTTCGAAGGATGTGGCTAAAGTTTGCAGGGTTTGCGCGACGCGTCGGGCGGAGCTGGGTACTGGGAAGAGCGAGCGTAGGTGTTCGGATACTGGCTCGGTGGGCTTGTCGCTGCTGTTTCCCGTTTGCTGCTGTGTGCCCGTGGTGTTGGCCACGATTCGGCGGATGTAGTCAATACCGATGTCGAGGTTGTTCATTTGCACGAGGAAGGCGATCACGATTTGTTCTGGCGGTTGGCCACCTTGGACTGCGGCGCGTGGGTAGCATTCGTCGCGCATCTTGCGCTGGGTCATGCCGATAAAGTCAGAGCCTAACACGCGGGAGAGGGTTGGAACGACGTTGGTTACTACACCCTCTTGCGAGGTTGCGAGAGATTGTTGGATGACCTTGTTGACGATGTACATGATGTCGTCGACGGCGGATGTAATGTGAGGAGGGTCGGACTTCAATGGCTGGTGCATGTTCAGGCTCAATCCTGATAGCGACTCGTCCAGTTGGAAGGCCTTCTCCACGGACCGGCGGAAGAAGAAGGTTGTCATTGCATTGAATGGCACGACTAACTTGTCATCGACTTTCTGTGCGAGTGAAGATTCCGATAGGAAGGCGGGAGGCATGAAATGCGCATCATCTTCAGACCCCTCATTTTCAGCAGGGGACTATATGTCATTAGGTTAGCTGTTCTCCACTTGGGATGGGATGGAAGCGCTTCTCTTACATTGCATGTATCCGCCAGAAAGCGGCAGTATAGCGACCACCGACCCAACATGATTGCCATCTCGTTCAGAAGGCCATCGATCTCCTTCATATCAACACCCTCATCCTCAGGGGTTGCTTGTGCCCCGGGCGCCGGCGAACTGGAGTGCTGTTGACCTGGGCGCTGCGCGGGGAGGAAGCTCTGAACCAGGAAAGTGAAAGCATAGGATTTGATATCCATGAGTTTGCGATCGACATGGCGCTCATCACTCCACGTATCCAAAACAATGCCACCCTGAACATCAGCCTCGATCTGCAACCGCTCAATGACCCTTCCCATCTTCCTTGGGCCATAGTGGCGTTCGACCAGCCCACCATGGCCATCAATAATCTGGGCAATATGTTCAAACAGCTTAGTCAAAGTATTGGCATAGAAGAAACCCTCGTTAGCCTGGGCACCCGCACCCGCATTGAGATTACTCCGAGCACGAGCAGAGACACCTTGGCAAACATAACGGCCATAGACATCCAACCCGACCTCCGAGCGTCCAATGAGTGGGAAGAGCTTAAAAAATCGAGTAATCTTCGCCCCATCACTCTCTTTAACCGCCTTGTCGAATTCGCGCAGGAACAGTCCACAGAGTGACTCTGCGGCATTGTCAAGGGTCACACTTGGTGGATCCGGCACCTCGGCCGTAGGAACCATCTCCGCAGCAAAGGGTCCATTGACGACACTTGCAGGAACTTGCGATGCCCGGTGTATGTAGCCGGCTGCTGTCTCCCAATCCTGAGATGCACCCATTGACCCCGCAACGCCTAATGCGCATGCTTTCAGTTCGGCCACCTGCTCTACCACTTCCAGTGTTGCCTTCACGCGGGCCTGCTCGAGATCAAGTCGGCGGACGGCGCTGGAGATGCGGTCTGCGGTGCCGGCGGCTTCGGAGAGCATCCCATGACTGACCGATCGGGTGGTGCTGGTTTGCGTGCCGATGTGGGCGCGCATCAGATCGAGTCGGCCCAATTCGCGGGAAAGGTCCTTTTGGGAGGTGACCAGAGCATCAAGACGAGCTGTTACGGATGCTTCTTGGGTATGTAGGCGGGATAGGGCAGCTTTGATCTCGGCGACGGAGCTGGCATTGAAGACGTCGGATTGCGGGGAGGCATCGATGGAAGTCAATTGTTCGAGTGGAGGTGAGGGGGGAGGGGTGCCCATTGGTGGGTATTGTGGTGGCAGTGGCCATCCTGGCTATAGTTAGACAGGGGGCGAGTCCACCACTCGTAGATATAAAAGAGAGAAAAGCGAAGAAAGGAGGGAAGGACGAAAGACCGAGGGATGTTTTGATGAAGCCAAATCGCCCGGTTGGCCCTTTGGGTGGGCGGTGAAGAGGAGCCTCGCCTTTTTCGTTTCTTTTTTTTTTTGGTTAGAGAAACTCAATGGAAATTGATTTTATACAATGCACAATTATTTGCTATATGATTATTTTTTTAAAAAAGACACGATTTAAAAAGGAAAGGGGAACTGTGTTTGTGCGAGGTTTGAGGTTCTTATGATCTAAAAAGGTTCTGCTGTACTCGTCGAGATTGCAACCAAACGTCATTTCTTCCCCATCACGCAAAGTCCCTCTCAACGTGAGATCCCCTCGGCTCCGTTCAAACACATACACAATTTACATCCTTTAGCGTTCGTGGCTGCTACACTTCGTCAGAATAGGACACCGACGCAGATCCCGCCACCAACAACCTAAGCGCCGTCAACAGCCTAGGCGCCCTCGTGCCATGGGGAACGAAGAGTCTACTGTAGTGGACGAGTCCACTCGGCCTTCAGTGCTGGAGGCGCGCAGCATGGAGGCGGTGGCCAAATACATCAAGCAGAATGATGTGAAACGAATTGTGTTAATGGTATGTCAAATATTCAAATTCCAAGTCCGCGGTTGGCTTTTCTCTCATGCAATGCTAACTGCTAACTACTACAGGTGGGAGCCGGAATCAGCACATCGGCAGGCATCCCGGATTTTCGATCTCCAGATACTGGTCTCTACGCCAATTTGGCATTTTTGGACCTGGAGGAACCGGAAGATGTATTCGACATCACTTTCTTCCGCGAGAACCCCAAACCGTTCTACGCACTGGCACATGAGCTGTACCCTGGGAAATACCGACCAACCATCGCCCATTCATTCATCAAATTGCTCTACGACAAGGGTATACTGTTGAAGCATTTTACGCAAAATATCGACTGCCTCGAGCGACAAGCCGGGGTCCCCGGAGAGATGATCGTCGAGGCCCATGGCAGTTTTGCCTCGCAGCGCTGTATCGAATGCAAGACTCCGTACCCTGACGAGGACATGCACAAGATGGTGGATGAGGGCAAAGTCCCTCGTTGCGGATGTGGTGGCTACGTCAAGCCCGATATTGTCTTCTTCGGTGAGGCTCTCCCATCATCGTTCTTTGACAATCGCTCGCTGCCGGCAGCGGCGGATTTGTGCATCGTGATGGGGACGAGTTTGTCGGTCCAACCGTTTGCCAGTCTTCCATCACTGGTCAGTGATGGGGTGCCTCGCGTTTTGATTAATATGCAAAAAGTGGGTGGGATGGGATCGCGACCTGACGATGTCCTTCTCCTGGGCGATTGTGATGCCGGAGTGCGCAAGTTTGCCAAGGCGATGGGGTGGGAGCAAGAATTGGAGGCGCTTTGGGGGGAAACCGAGCCCGAGCCGAAGACCCAGTCGCAGATCCAGTTCCAGTCGGAGGAGAATGCGCCGCAGGACCGGGACGAACGTTTGCGGGAGGAAGTGGATCGCCTGACACAGGAAGTTGACCGCTCGCTGCATTTGACAGATGCTTACCAGCAGCGAGTCCGGGAGAAGCTAGATGGGGGGGAGCAATGGCAGCAATGGCAGCAGCAGAAGCAGCCACCAAAGCAACCAACATGGCGGAGAGCAAGAATCAGAGCCTGTGAGTGGACTGAGCCATGTATTTCCACACTTGGCGCACCAAGCGCGTTAGTGTTGAGTTGACAGGTAGACATGATCATGAAAGAATACTATAATGGGCTCACCGCTTGTCAGCAGTCAGCAGGGCATATAGTAGAGAGTAGAATAGTACTCTGTAGAAAATTAAAGTACTAGTACCCTAGAATAAAACAGATAAAATAGTAATAGTAATCTCCCAAAGTCCAAAGTTAAACAATCTCAGTGTTCCGCCTGTCCACCGCAGCCAAAACAAGCTAAGTCGATCGCTGCCCCACGTCCATCGTCATCCCCACCTCTTCTCATCCCACTTGATTCTTTTCCCTCTCTCTCTCCCTTACACAATCACTTCAACTTTCTATCTCATTACATTCAATATGGTTGGAATTGGTCCTAAGCAGCCTCCTTCCCGCAAGGGTGAGCTTCTCCTTCCCTGCGAACTCCGCCCTGCCCATCTATGCCTTTCGCGATGCTGATGGTTCCTGTTATTCTTAGGTTCCATGCAAGATCTGCCGCAGAATCTGCTGCAGCAGATCAAGGATTTCGAAGATGCCTTTACCGTGGACCGTGCGAAGCTGAAGGAGATCGTCAACCACTTCGTCAAGGAGTTGGAGAAGGGTACGTTGCTGATTCTGTGATACACCGAGGTCCGCTGTCTAACAAGGGTTACTTTGCATAGGTCTGACCGTTGAGGGCGGCAACATTGTGAGAACCCCACGCATCCACACGCAATGAAGACATCACACAACAGGCACTGGAATGGAATGGAGAATCAGGAAAGGTCCGCTTACTGACAACACCACAGCCGATGAACGTTACCTGGGTCCTTGGCTTCCCCGACGGTGATGAGCAAGGTACTTTCCTCGCCCTCGACATGGGTGGCACCAACCTGCGCGTTTGCGAGATCACCTTGACCGAGAAGAAGGGCGCTTTCGACATCACCCAATCCAAGTATAAGATGCCCGATGAGCTCCGCACTGGTACCGCTGAGGAGCTGTGGGAATACATCGCCGATTGTCTGCAGCAATTCATCGAGCATCATCACGAGAATGAGGATCTCGCAAAGCTGCCTCTGGGTTTCACCTTCTCCTACCCTGCTACTCAAGAGTATATCGACCACGGAATTCTGCAGCGCTGGACCAAGGGCTTTGACATTGACGGTGTCGAGGGCCAGGACGTCGTCCCCCCTCTGGAGAAGATCCTGAAGCAGCGCGTATGTACCGTCCCATCTATTACCCTTCTCCTCTCTGCCGTCTCCAATCTAATATCACCCAGGGCCTCCCCATCAAAGTCGCAGCCCTGATCAACGACACCACCGGCACGATGATCGCCTCCGCATACACAGACCCCGAAATGAAGATCGGCTGCATCTTCGGAACCGGCGTAAACGCCGCCTACATGGAAGACGTCGGCTCCATCCCCAAGCTCGCGCACATGAACCTACCCCCGGACATGCCCGTCGCCATCAACTGTGAATACGGTGCCTTCGACAACGAGCGCGTCGTCCTCCCACTATCCAAATACGACGAAATCATCGACCGCGACTCCCCGCGTCCAGGCCAACAAGCCTTCGAAAAGATGACCGCAGGCCTCTACCTCGGCGAAATCTTCCGCCTCGCCTTAATCGATCTAATCGACTCGCACCAAGACCTCATCTTCAAGGGCCAGGACACTTCCAAGCTCCGCAAGCCCTACCTCCTCGACGCGTCCTTCCTCGCCGCGATCGAGGAAGACCCTTACGAGAACCTGTCCGAGACGGCAGATGCTTTCGACCGCCATCTTGGCATTTGTCCCACTGAACCCGAGCTGGAGATGGTCCGTCGACTAGCCGAGTTGATCGGTACCCGCGCTGCGCGTCTCTCCGCCTGTGGTGTCGCTGCCATCTGTACAAAGAAGAATATCGAGTCGTGCCACGTTGGTGCCGATGGCTCGGTTTTCACCAAGTACCCCCACTTCAAAGCCCGCGGTGCGCAGGCTCTACGGGAGATCTTGGACTGGGCGCCTAATGAGAAGGATAAGGTTTCTATCATGGCTGCTGAGGATGGATCGGGTGTTGGTGCGGCTTTGATTGCGGCTCTCACGCTGAAGCGTGTTAAGGCTGGTAACTTGGTTGGTATTCGTAACATGGATGATATGCGGACTCTGCTTTGATCAACCTAGAGGAGGAAAAATACATGATACATGATAGCAAAATATTGAATTTGGTTGTTCTGCGCGATTGAGCGCATTATTGATCTTGGTCCTTCGGTTTCGTAGAGACTGTTTGTAAAACTTGGCTCGGCAATGGTCAGATACTAGTATCTGATCTTGTAAACATTAGGTATATAGATTATCACTTCGGTAAAGCAATCAGCGCCACGATCAATCAGGTGTTCTTCTACTAATTCGGTCTCTGCAGAGGTGGTAGCATGTCCAAACACTCTGGAATGGCGTGGAAATATGTGCTAAGATCGAAGACATCTGACAGCGTCACATCACACGCTTACCGGAATGCAGCTTTGGAAGTATCATCTGATACATTTAATGTGAGCTACTCGCCATACTCTTTGACAGCAACGTCTCTGAAACCGGGGATTTCAAAATGCATGTGTCTTTCGAAACGCTAGGGTCAGCAATCACATTTGAGGCCGTCATATGCAATCCAGCATTATGAGACGGCAGAAGATTGATGTTAATAGGTGGATATGGGGTGCCACCGAGGACTGTTCCAGGGTTGCGTTTGTCTTTCTCCTGTCGTTGCTGCCACGAAGTTCGGTGCCACGGCTTAATTTGGCTTATTTCTTCACTTCGTCTGTTCTGAGAAAGTCATTCTCTTTCTTATTCGAGTCATCGTCTATCTCGACTTGATTGTACTGAAAAGTCCCTTCTTTTTGCTGCATCTTGACGGCCAAGACACAATCCGAACGATATTGGAGTAGGTCTACTGACAATACCATTAGGCCTAGTTTCTCCAGAATGTCTCCAACGACCTAGATGTTGATTGGCTCAAAACTGCAATAGAGGCCTGGTAATCGGGGAAATACCTGCATTCGATACATGATACTAAGTCTAGAAAAGAGAGAAAGGGAAAAAAGGCAGGTCTATAGCCTTGCAGGTAAGCGGCAAGTTGTACTAGTCCTGAAGAGAGTGGAATCAGATCCACCAAAAGCATAAACACGACAAAATCGACCAAACTGCCGTAAAGGTTACCCCAGGAAGCAAACACGAACCAATAAGAAGTGTTCATCGCCAACCCCAATGGAAGGAATGCGGGGAAGCGGCTTCTGGTCGCCTGCCGAGCAACTAAATAAGATTCCCCACACCTTGGCTGGGTTTTTCTCCAGGTTCAGCCCTTCATCGCCCTCATCGAATCGGAAACTAACTTTCCTCGTAGCTTTAGATTCACCGCGGGAAACCTCGTAGCAGGGATGATATTTCATAACACATTCGGCCCATTCCGAAGGTGATGCATGCATATCTGAAACCTTGGAACAAAAATGATATTAAGTTCGATGTTTAATTCTTGGCCGTTATAAAGACTAGATTGATTTCCCCAAAGTCAATTGTAGTCCATAGAGAGAAGCCGAATCTTGGAAGATTGTTAAGAGCCGCATACAGATCCTAAATCGCATATCAAACGCACCCTAGAAGATGTAACGGGTAGATTCCAAGTTCAGGTTCCAAGGTTAGTACATATGCCAGCTCCTCATTTCAATTGAGGACACATATAAACACCTGTGGACATCAGGAATTACGAGAGCCAAACCCGCCCGCCCCCATGCAAAATGACGCCTCCTCCCTTGGCGATACATTTCTAGCCAGCAAACGGTCGGGAGCGACGCAGGCCAAGCCCTGGAGACCAGAAAGTATGCCGCTCGCGCTAGCACGGTATGAGGTATCCGAACATTTCCGGCGCGGAGGCGTATAGTACAGAATTGAAATACTGAAATGATGAGCTTGGCGATTCAATGAGGTGGAAAATTTACATTCTGCATGATATCCTCCTGCTTGTTTAGGCCAGGTAGCCTCAGAGATGAAGTGTATATGAAAGAGCATTTTGATAACCGTCATCCGACCGAGTCTAAATTCTCCAGCCCCTCAATCTAGCCAGTTAGAGTCAGTGCAGCGAAATGCTTCCAATAGTGCTGACCGGAAAAAATAGTTTCCCATTGGATGCCACGGCAGATTTATGCTCAAAACGATGGATCCTCTCCTCTTTCATCCCCGGACAGTACGGTACTTCCAATGGGCCTGGCTCCACCAGAGATACTATTTAACACCTTTGCATCCCTCAATTCTATGAGATTATCGGCATAAGGAATTCCTTCTCTGCCTTCGCGCTTTTCTTTTTCAAGCACCCACCACCCTCTCCTGCCTCATCATGGCGAAAGACTCGGACCACGACACCCAGGGCGTGTCCACCGCTGTGGATATCGAGCTATCTATGATGAAGAATGCCGATCCTACACTGGTCAAGCATGCCAAACATGCAGATGAGGCCATGAAGATCTTCGAGAATCTGCAGGGCCAATCAGTGGAGCTTGACGAAGCGACAAACCGTCGTTTATTGCGAACCATTGACTGGCACATCATGCCTATCATGTGCTGTGTCTATGGGATGAATTTCCTTGATAGTAAATACAAGTTTGGAAAGTACTCACTCTGTAGACCTTTTAATCTAACGATATCAATAGAGACCACCCTGTCATATGCTAGTATCATGGGCCTGAAGCAGGATATAGGACTGGTTGCAGACCAGTACCAGTGGCTCGGCAGTATTTTCTATTTTGGTAAGAGCATTCAAGTTTGACAGTATATATGATACGGCTACTAGTACTACTCTAGTGGTAGTCAATTCTATTTGATGCTAATCAGAGAGCAGGATATATTGCTTGGGAATATCCCACCACTAGATTACTGCAACTCTTACCACTTGGAAAATATTCAGGCTGCTGCATTGTGATTTGGGGTACTATTCTATGCTGTTTCGCCGCTGTCAAGCATTACCCTGGGGCCCTTGCAGTCCGTTTCTTCCTGGGTGCATTTGAAGCCGCGGTAACACCGAGTTTTGCACTCTTGACTTCTCAGGTAAATCAATACTTGATATTCGTCCAGTTTGACAATAGGAAGCTTTATAGTACTAACTAAGGGTTATATAGTGGTATACCCGGAATGAACAAGGACAACGTGTGAATCTCTGGTATAGCTTCAATGGCTGGGCACAGATTCTAGGTGGCCTGGTGGCCTATGGAATAGCTGTTGGTACACAAAAGAATGGGTCTTCTATCGAGCCTTGGAAGATTGTGTTTTTATTTACTGGGACACTAACCGTTAGCTTGGGTCTTATCTTCCTCTGGATGGTACCTGACAGTCAGCTAAACGCACGTTGGCTGTCGAAAGAGGATCGTATATTAGCGGTTGCCCGTGTGCGTATTAACCAGCAAGGTATTGGTAATAAGCACTTTAAATGGTACCAAGTCAAAGAAGCTCTTATGGACCCGATGACATGGGCATTCTTTTTCTTCGCACTGATTGCCGACATTCCTAATGGAGGTATTACGAACTTTTTCAGCCAGTTGGTATATCTCACCTACTATTATAGTTTTGGTCTTACCTGGCGGTAAACTAATGATCTTTGCTTTTAGATCGTGAGCTTCGGTTATACACCCGAGCAAAGTTTACTTTATGGTACACCTGCCGGTGCAGTAGAAGTTGTTGCCCTGCTTCTGAACGGCTATATCGGTGACAGAACTGGCCAGCGAATCATAACCAGTCTTGGAGGTCTTTTCACTGCCACTGTGGGAATAATCCTAATTGTGGCCCTCCCGCTTGATAATAACACCGGGCGACTAGTCGGATACTACTTAACGCAAGCTTTTCCAACTTCCTTTGTCGCTCTCCTGTCACTGATCTCATCCAACGTCGCTGGCTACACCAAGAAGACTACTGTTGCAGCTGTATATTTGATCGGTTACTGTGTGGGTAATATTATTGGTAAGTGCCGTAATATTATTTCTAATCGCAATGCAGTGGCAAAATGTAGACTAATCTGTCCAGGTCCCCTCACATTTCGCCCCGAAGATGCTCCACGCTACATCTCTGCAGAGATTACTATTATTGCATGCTGGGGAGTATGCCTATTCATTCTGCTTTTTATCTGGTGGTGGTATAAAAAGGAAAACCGACGCAAGGCTGCTATCCGATCAGACCCTGGCTATGTGAGACTGGAGAACCAGGAGTAAGTTTGCCTATTTATTTATAATGGAGTTGTTTCATTTTCCCCGCCGCTCTCAATGGCCTGGTTTGCTAATTGAATCGGACAGGTTCCTTGATCTTACTGATATCGAAAATCAAGACTTTATCTACACCCTGTAAGGAACTTGGTTGTTACTACCATTGCCGGTGCGTTACGCGGATGGATTCCACTTAGGTATTCACTGCCTATACTTGTATCTAGCTTTCGTCTCTTCTTCTTCGATCATCAACAGCGTCACTGTTTGCTTCTTTCAAATTCGAGTAGAGGGTGTGCGGATAATTCTAAGTTGTCGTAGAGCTTGCAGATGTTACTGATGGCAAGCTTTCTATACTTGTCTATATCAGTTTACCTTCCAGGGTTGATGGTATGCAATAGCGGAATATTTCCGCTTGCTCTTATCAATCAGCAGAACGCTTGGGACTCGCCATCTCACGTCAGTCCAATAGCTTCAACCCCCGCACATTGATATTTTCTTTAATTCCTATCTCTAGTACAAACTCGAAATTATCTCCAATCACTCCAGAAAGTTCATCCAACTCGGAATATTAATATGTCCACAAACGCCAAGCAAATTCACGAGCGCGGTACCGCTGATGGGTGGCACGGCGTAATACCAAGCAGTGAATTTCCGGTCGAAAAGAATCGGTATCATCTTTACATCGGCCTCTTTTGTCCATTCGCACACAGAGCAAATTTTGTGCGCCACCTAAAAGGCCTTACCGACTTCATTGGCCTCAGCATCGTGATGCCGTACCCGAAAGGCGATGCCAAAGGCTGGCCGGGATGGCGGTTTCCTGTATCCGATGACGAGTATCCCGGTGCAACGGTCGATCACCTTTTTGGAGAGGACTATATGCACAAAATCTACTTCCGCGCCGATCCGGACTACAAAGGGCGGTATTCAGTACCTGTTTTGTGGGACAAGAAAAGCGGGACAATTGTCTGCAATGTAAGCATCGTTCCACGCATATTTGCCTGGAAAGGAGCGACTGATTTGTAACTGCTTATAGGAAAGTGCGGAGCTTCTACGCTGGCTTCCAAATGCATTTGATGAATTCCTCGAGCCATCACTCGCTTCAATCGATCTGTACCCAGTCCATCTCCGAGCAAAAATCGACGAAATCACGCCATGGATTCAGTCTGACGTAAACGCTGGCGTCTACAAAGCTGGATTTGCTTCCACACAGGAAGACTACGACAAGAATGTTGTACCTGTTTTTGCTGCGCTAAATAAGCTCGAACGCCTCATCGCTCAGAATGGCGGTCCGTTTGTACTCGGGAAACAAATCACCGAGCTGGACATTCGACTCTATGCCACATTGATTCGTTTCGATACAGCCTATGTCCAACATTTCAAGTGCAACTTGGGCACAATCCGACATGATTATCCTGTGTTGAATAATTGGCTGAAGGGTGTGTATTGGAATGTCGATGCAGCGAAGGCCTCGACAGATTTCAAGCATATCAAGGAAAATGTAAGTCTCACCGATTTCGTTTAGTTTAAATTGCCTACATCTGACATCTCTTAGTACACCAAGAGTCACTATGATATTAACCCCAAGGCTATCACGCCAATGGGTCCCTTTCCCGACGTTGAAGAGGGTGTTGAGGATGATTGGGCCAAGTTAAAAACCGGAGGAGTCATGCACCCAGCAGTTTTGAAATCTCGGATCTGATTCTTAGGTGGTATCTATTTTCACAATATAGCGCGGGATGCTAGCTCTCATATTTCTGGAAAATGCTTCGTTGATAGATACAGTAGCAGAGCTAGCGAGATGGGCGTCAATCAGAAAAAAAAAATGACTTTTCGTACTCGCAGCTTTCATCGGCTAGGTATAGTGAGCACCTCGCTCAATTCTCGCCATGGTCATCTTCAAATATATACCGATCGCCTCATATTCCTATGAATTTCTTCTATGGAAGCATGGTGGTGATCGATGTTGCTGTATAGCATTCTGGGCTGTGATTGGCCAGATGGGCGGCCATCGGAGAATCTACCCGCCACGGCCAACTTTCTACCTTCCCCAATGCTCTCCATCTCCATCGACTGGAGCGAGTGTAGCCGTTATGTCTGACGAGTTATACCAGAATGGAATCCCCAGGACAGACCTCGCCACACAGGCTTGTGACTTGTGCCGTAAACGCAAGGTCAAATGCCATCTTCTCCCGGCGCAATCCACCCAGACCCCATCGCCCTGCCAGCGCTGCAAGAGGTTGAACCTGCGATGTACATTCGTTTCTCCCTCGAAAACCCGTGGTCCCAAGAGAAGGTACAGCTTGCCTGTTCGCAATATAGGATGAAGACTGACAACGCCCGAAATGGCTACTAGGGTGAACCCGCAGGAGCTACATTCCCAAAAGCCCCAACATGTGACCGATGATCTCTACAGCCGGGAATTATTCAAGCTATTAATGCAAGACTATTTGGATCGACTATATCCATTAGTGCCAATTGTTCATCGTCCGTCCTTTCGCGATGCCTTGCTAGCTGATCAAGACTGCGATGATGAAAGCTTTTGCGCCGTTACGCTTGCCATCGCCGCGCTGGTCGTGGCCACTTTAGCCAGCAGATTCCCGGTTTATAAAAACCATGCACAGCCATTACGATTCTCATCTCGAAAAGAATTTGTTCATTCCTGCTATAAGAAAGTCTTGGCCCTGCGGAGCTCCTCCTATTTTGATCAACTAAATTTTCAGAAATTTTCCATACCCTACCTCTTCTTTGCCGCATTTCTACAACTTGGAGACCACAATTGGTCGCGAATGTTGAGTGTTGAGGCCATGCAAATCGCACGGCTATTAAATTTGCATCGCATCTCCGATTATGAAGGTCTAAACTGCATTGAGACCCAGCTCCGCAAAAAGGGCTTCTGGCTAGTGTTTTACTGCTATGTGTGAGCTACTGTATCTCTTCCTCATCGTTGATCGGATTGTGGCTGACATGACCATTTAGCCATGCCAGTTTGCAAAATTTACAAGGGGAGCGACTGACATACTTGGACCCGGTCGTATTACAATCAGTGAAGGCGGAGGATCTTATACCCCTGGAAATTGACGATGAGTTTATCTTTGAACACGAAGTCGTATTTCCCCCCAAAGACGACCTCTTTTCTCACATCCGGATTTATTCTACACTCCCGCATATTCTGGGCGTCGATCCGAAGTCTTGATTCGGATACAACGGAACATGAACCTTGTCCGTGCGTGCGAGTGAAAGATTTTGACGCTCAAATGGCATATTATGAAACGCGTCTTCACGAGTTGAGGCATCTTTTAGACGATGTCCCATCCATTTTCCAGCCTTGGGCCCACACAAATGGGGTCTCAAATGCCGGGGGATTGAATGACCCGGACAAACAATTTTCGTCAATGAGAGTAAATATACACGTTACTCATCTATGGCTACAGAGTCTCATAATGGATCTATTGGAAGCTGCACAGCCTCACTGCCAGGCTTCATTTGACGTGCGAGCCTTGTGGGCTGACCGAGAAGCTTTATCTCGTCAGCTTCTTCTTATCATCTTCAATTCCCCGCCTATAGCCCTGGAAGCGAATGGGTTACATCTCGCGAATAAAGTCCGAGATATCGCAGCGAGTCTCCTGTCTTGTCCATTACATCCAGACGATCCGATATCGAAGCAGGTTGCCGACTATGTTCGACAATCTACGGACATATTGTCACGACTGGACAGCAGTGAGGGGATCAATACGATGCATCTCCCAACTTGGGTGGACACTGATCGAATTCCCGGTGGATGAATGTGAAGATAGAAGAACGGTGAAGGCTGGGATTTCTATTGCATTTTGCCTTCTTCTAATGATAAAGGAAGATCTCAAACCGACTCATGATGAGCAATGTTCGATTTATCCATCTTGATATCGCCATTCCCAGTAGCCATTTCGGCAACATCACTCGGCAATCCTTCAGGACCATCGAAAATAACCGCGATCTCCTCCAGCGAATAGCCCTTGGTCTCCGGGTAAAAGAAGAACGCAGTAACAGCAAATACCAAAAGCACCACAATGAATACGATATAGTATCGCCACGCAATCGCAGCCAACGCGATCGGGTTGACGAAGGTGTTGAAGAACATGCCGCAGATGGTTGAAACCCAGGTCACGGTGAGACCGCGTGATCGGAGACGGTAGGGCCAGATTTCGCAGGGGTAAGAGGTCAAGAATGGTGTTCTGAAAGGCGAAAGGTGGTTAGAAAAATGGGAAAGAGACAGAGACTTTCTTTTGGAAGAAGACGGGACATGGAACTTACAGCGCAATACAGTATCCAGCAAAGAAAATGAAGAGGAACGGGATCACGGCACCGCCAGTTGCAGTGTTATTCGTCACCGCGAAAGAGCCCGATAATGCCGTTACAAGCACATAACTGATGAACATGATACCGGCAGAGGCAAGGAATAGAGGTCGACGACCGAGTCGGTCAATCAAGAATGCACCCAGGATGGCGAAGCATAGATCCCACATTTGCAGACAAGCTGAGATCAGAGTTTGGTCGCGAACTTCAGTGACACCGACCGATGTTAAGATCAGGGATAAATAGTAGGAAATGACACCATTGCCAACCCATTGCCCGAACATGCCCAGACTAATTGAGATCATCAGGCGGTGACGGTTACCCGGTGTCTTGAGCATCTCGGCATAGCTGCCGTTGCTATTTGCCTCCTTCTCCGCGCGAATCGTGGAAATTATTTCTTGGAATTCATAGTTGACCAACGGGGAGTTGACATCGCCGCCGCCATGGTAGCGGACAAGGATTGCGCGAGCTTCTTCTTCTCGGTCCATGGAGACCAACCAACGTGGGCTTTCAGGGGCCATGAGGAAACCAGGAAGACCGACTAGAGGAACCAAGACTTGCAAGAGAGACGGGAGTCTCCAGGCCCAGGAGGATGTGTATGTTCGTGAAGCGAAGACGACCCAGGCGGCAATTGTGCCGCCAACGTACCAACCCGACATGAAGAGGGAATTCAGAACGCCACGTTGGGTTGGATACGCGATCTCGTTGATGAGAAGAGGAACGGAGTTTCCGAAAAGGGCGGATGCAAACCCGAGGAATAGTCGTGCAAACAAAAATGTCGTGTCGTTTTGACAAGCGGTTTGCAGGGCGACACCCAGCGCAAGGAAGATATAGCCAACGTACACGCCTGGTTTGCGGCCGTAGCGGTTGGCGATCCAAGATGCGGTGGGATATCCAACACCACATCCGAGCCAGTAAATAGCATTGATCCAACCAAGCCATGATCCTGCGGGCTGGTTCATGAACTCTTTCCATTGGGTCAAGGCCTCGAGACCGTTCATCAATGACCCATCATAACCGTTGGCCGACGAGTACATAACCAGAGATATGATGATGAAATTGAGCTGGAGAAGATGCCCCTGTTTCCACCATGGTGTTGTGTTAGGTGGAAGAACAGCAGCAAGACGATCTTCTTCGGCAGGCTTGCTGCTGGCGTCAGCGGTTTTAACCCCCATCGTGTAGGCAAATAAGAGATGCAGATCAAATAAAACAAGTAGAGAATCGAGGGGATGTTCAGGAACAATGAGGCCCTTTTAACTAGAAAATTGAGATCTTCAAGTGCCGCTATTTTCCGATGGTTCCATCGTCGTTCCTCTAGGGGCGTTTTTCCAGGGAGTGTCTACGCCCTGACTCGGAACGAAACCTAGGGAAATCAGACGAGGAACTGAAGGAATTGACCAATCAGCCACTGTATCAATTGACTATCCCCGTTTCAAGTTAGAAAAATTCGGCCACATGGTCAGCCGATAGCATCGCTCCAGCCGGTTGGGAACGTAAATGCGGGATGATTGTGTGGAGGACTGGGGACGCCGGGGTCGGCATTCGATAATTTGGCAGCCGGCGCGGAGGCGGAGAAACGGAGAAAAGGAGAATCGGAGAATCAGTCAACAAATCGCTGTTGTCCAAGTTTGGGTCTCGGGCGTTGTGGTGCAATCAGCGTGCGTTTGGATATACTCGGTGGAGACTGTGGGCCGTCCGACAACTTGAAAGTGTACACACACCCGATGGCTTGAAGTCATTGCGTTGGGCCTTCTTGTGCGAGAAGAGCTCTGCATGCGAATTCTTGATCCATTTGAGCGCATTGATGGATTATTATGGGTACATGTACCGATTGTTGGTCTCCCGAGGGTACTTAGCCAGCCCATGCTCACCGGGCCTTTTGCACAGTGTATTTTTTTCTTCCTTTCCTCCACTACAAGTCGATTCGTCGCGAGGGGAATAGACACAATGTCGACAATTGAAACATCGCCCGCTGTGGTGGACGAATCTTTTGCGCAGATCGCAGCGGCCGACATCGAAGCAATCTTGAAGAAGCTCACCCAGGATGAAAAAGTCGCGCTTCTAACAGGTTCGCCTATACCCATCGCATATGCAAAGCGCGAGGACAAGAGAGACTGACAATGTTCTTTTCCCCTAAAAGGAGACGATTTCTGGCACACCGTACCAATCCCCAGACTTGGAGTCCCGTCGATTCGAGTCTCGGATGGCCCGAACGGAGTACGAGGTACTCATTTCTTTAGCAGTGTCCCGGCAGCATGTCTTCCCTGCGGAACTGCGATCGGCGCAACCTTCGATCGGGACCTTGTCTTGGAAATTGGCCATCTTCTCGCCGCAGAGGCGAAGGCCAAGGGCGCGCATGTCATTCTGGGACCGACCATCAACATCGCTCGGGGCCCACTTGGCGGCAGAGGTTTCGAGTCGTACTCTGAAGATCCGATGCTGTCAGGTATCCTCGCGGGCCATTACTGCAAAGGTCTCCAGGAAAAGAATATCAGTGCGACCCTGAAGCACTTTGTTTGCAATGATCAAGAGCACGAGCGCATGGCGGTGAACTCAATTGTGACTGATCGCGCGTTGAGGGAAATTTACTTGCTTCCATTCCAGGTTGCGATTGCCCTAGGTCAACCAGATGCAATCATGACTGCGTATAACAAAGTGAATGGGTTACATGCTGCAGAAAACCCGACCCTCCTCCGTGATATTCTACGCGGGGAGTGGAGTTGGGACGGTTTGGTGATGAGCGATTGGTGAGTACCAGCAAGACAACAAAAAAGCATGGCCTTGTCGCTCACAGTTTAACGTCGATAATTAGGTTTGGAACTTACAGTACCACCGAGGCTATCAACGCAGGCTTAGACTTGGAAATGCCAGGTCCGCCGAGATGGCGCGGCGCAGCCTTAAACCATGCGATCACATCAAACAAAATCACAGCAGCGACATTGAATGACCGCGTCCGTGCTGTCTTAAAGCTCATTCAAAAGGCAGCTAAATCAGGCGTCCCTGATCATGCACCCGAGACGCAGTTAGATCGCCCCGAAGATAGGAAACTTTTGCGAAAGATCGCATCAGAAGCAGTGGTATTGATGAAAAACAAAGATAGCATCCTTCCTTTGAACAAGCAAAAGAAAATCGCGGTGATAGGCCCTAACTCGAGGATCGCCACTTATTGTGGTGGAGGAAGCGCTGCGCTGAACCCATACCGTGCCGTGACGCCCTATGATGGCCTCGTGGAAGCCGCTCAGGGTGGCGTTGAGTTTGCTCAAGGCGTTTATGGACATCAGATGCTGCCGCTCCTTGGCAAGTATCTTCGCACCAAGGAAGGCGTCACTGGTTTCTCGTTGAAGATCTTCAATGAGCCTCCCACGGATGCATCACGAAAGCCTCTTGAGATACGGCAAGAAACTGACTCCATGGTCATCTTCATGGACTATAACCACCCAGAGCTGCAGCCGACCTGGTATGCGGATGCAGAGGGATACTTCATCCCGGAATATTCTGGTACATATGACTTTGGTCTCACCGTGCACGGAACCGGACGACTATACGTGGATGGGGAGCTTCTAATCAACAATGCCGATATTCAGAGGGCGGGAACTAGTTTCTTTGGGAGTGGAACCATGGAAGAGGTTGCATCTTTGGAAATGGAGGCTGGCAGGAAATACAAGATCCTCACGCAATGGGGATGCGGCAAGACGAGCACCTTCAAAGTCCCCGGTGTTGTGGATTTCGGACACGGAGGTTTCCGATTTGGTGCTTGCAAACAACTCGCGCCTCAAGAAGGCATTGCTGAAGCAGTCAAAGTGGCTTCCATAGTTGACCAGGTAGTCCTGTTTGCCGGACTGAGCTCTGAATGGGAGTCAGAGGGCGAGGATCGAACTACCATGAAGCTGCCACCTAACACGGATGAGTTGATCTCGAAGGTTCTCGAGGCCAATCCGAATACAGTTGTTGTGATCCAAAGTGGAACACCGGTTGAGATGCCCTGGATCGATAATGCGAAGGCTGTGCTCCATGCTTGGTACGGTGGAAATGAAACGGGTCATGCTATTGCGGATATCGTTATTGGTGACGTTAACCCGGTAAGAAAATATCCGGGGAACCATATAATAGCCTCAGCTGACAATATTACCCTAAGTCCGGAAAACTTCCTCTCACATTCCCACGACGACTCAAGGATAATCCCACATACTTCAACTACCGATCAGAAGGCGGTCGTGTGCTGTATGGCGAAGATGTGTACGTGGGATACCGCTACTATGACAGTCTGGAACTTGACCCGCTCTTCCACTTCGGACACGGCCTTTCATATACCACATTCAAAATCTCAGACCTCCAGACGACAAGGGGCACCGGAAATACACTGCAAGTGAAGTGCAAGGTGCAAAACACGGGATGCAGGGACGGAGCTGAAGTCGTCCAAGTATATATTGCACCCTTGTCATCTCCCATCCGGCGACCAGTCAAGGAACTGAAGGAATTCAAAAAGGTGCGAGTACAAGCTGGTTCAGAGGAGGTCGTGACTATTCTGTTGGATGCTATTCGTTCAACCAGCTTTTGGGACGAGAAGAGCAGCAGCTGGTGTAGCCACAGTGGCTCTTATAAGATTATGGTCGGAACGAGTAGCCGTGGTGAGTTCTTGGAGGAGGTACTGGAAGTGGCTGAAACCACGTTCTGGTCCGGCAGTTGGGATTCACCAATTTGAGGTTATACTACTAGACCAATAGAATAACCTTGAAAGAGCTCCCGTGCCCAGGTTCCCTGGTACTCAAGATTGCACGCTATAATTGTTCTTGATAGTACTAGTAGTATATCATCATCGGAATTCTAGTAGTTACCAGGTATCCCAACCGTCTTGGTGCTTCGTATTGACTACTAGTAATATTAGTACTAGTAACTACTGCTAGTGATTACCTATCGAATACTGACTTGGAAGTGGTTGGAACTGAGGAAGCCAAAGGTTCAAGAATGCTCTCCCCAAGGCTTATGCTCGCCAGGGCGCTCTCCATTGTTCGTTTGTTTATTCCCATCTCCAAATCTAACTTCCACTTTACTAGCCACTCCTTCACCTCCACCCTCACCGTCATCCGCACTCTCACCTCTATGACTATGTCCGTCTTTATCTCTGGCTTGGCCTTGATCTTTGCCTTTGCCTTGGCCTTGGCCTTCGTCCTTAGCTTTCGCTTTGGCTTGATCTTTGGTGTTGGCCTTACCCTCTGCTTCATCTTTCACTTTGGCCTCATCTTTGACTTCAATTTCAATTCTAACCCTGGCTTTACCTTCATCATTGTATTTGACTCTGATTAAATGTACTATCTCAATTTCTCAGCCAACAAGACGGATTCATCTTATCTCTGTGTCGAATGTTCCCGGTCGACACTTGACCATAACCCATTTCTCCCGGATATTCAAGTCAGTTCTCCACCAACGCACCTCCCAAACGTGAAATTTCAAGCACATTTGATATATCAACGCAGGACGTCATCAGGCTGACACCAATATTCCTCCTAGTGTGACACCACTCGCGAATTCTACTCCGATAACAACAGGTCACGACAACTTATGCTTGAATGAAAATGCCGAACCAAAGATTCTAACCGAAAGATTTCTCAATGCCGTCGAATGCATCCTCGAATTCACAGACCCTCATCCCTTGGATTTCATTTCTGTCATCACAACCTGGGATAGATAGCCCGAGAGCGAACAATTGATACATCAAACTAACTAGCCTGGGGGTCAGGAGGTTTGCACAAAACCCTACATTCTTCTTGATGAATCATTTCGTACTATTCCTTCTTTTGTTCCCTTTTTGCTACATTAGTTGGATGTCTCAAGGGTTCTAGCTTACACTGGCGATCAGATCATACAAGGTCTAACTACTTGATAGGGCATCTTGATTGTGGTATAAATGTGTCTCACTCATCATTCCACAAAGACGTCCTACTACGACATCTGCGCATATTTCTTTTCCCGTAAAGTTAGAAGTACTATTCCAGTTTCTCTGGTATCCTGTAATTCAGGGAAAGTGCTTCCCAAAATGTATGCGGTGATGAAATGGACCCATGGATGCGTCTGCCTCCAGTTCATACTTTCATTTCCATTTCCGTTGCCGCCTCCAACAACAACTCCTCCATTCCTCTTCACACCTGTTTCAAAATAAAATCACTCGCCATATAACATCAGAAAGTTTACTTTTGTTACATATTTGTTGCAAAGTTCAATATTCAAGACTTCTGATCTGAATATACCATACACCGCGACCCGAACCTACCATGGAGACTCCACAGGTGCCAGCAGGTGAGCACTGTGCCTTTTAGTTACTCAGCCAGAACTCATGTTTTACAACTACCTTCAATATACTAACACTTCACACAGCTGCCTACGTGCCCGGGGGCCCATCAAATGAGCCAACCACCGCCTTGCCAACTACTACTACGCCCGCGAACAACACTACCAAACCCCGACCACCGATCTACGACTACGAAAAGCCCACAAAATGGGCCGAATTCAAACGCATGTGGAAGGGCGGTTTTGAAGACGATGCAGAGAAATCCAGATGGAGTTTATGGTGGGCTATATTTATCGGCACCCTCGTCTTTATTGGCGCCGTCCTCCTTCTTGTACTGATCGGCGTCTACTACCACCCTTCGCCGGATCGCATTAATGGTCCAACAAGCACGAGCACAACAAAGACCCATAGAGCTACTGCTACCACCCTGAAAGCTCTGATCCCAGCTTCTTCTGATAATGGCCAGAATATCCACGTCGCTATGGTCCGACCAACGGATGCTCCGCTACCCAAGCCCGCTCCAGTTCAGTATACGGAAGCTGTATTTGATGCCCAAGTCGAAAAGATGCGGAAAGAGGGCGAAGCCTCGCTCCTCGAAACTCGAGCCTTCAGTAGGGTACCGGCTCCTCCTTACCTCGATGCTTGCCAAGTGAATAGCGAGTGTGACTGGGGATACCGGTGTATTGAAGGAACCTGCTACCCTGGCTGTGACTCTAACAGAGACTGTCGCGATGTACACAAGTGCAATCATTGGAAGCATGATGGGCCGAGTTTTAAATACTGCATGGTCGGGCCGCATAAGGAGTGCAGCGTTCACCTCGATTTCTGTCGCAATGATGATGAGTGCTGCTCTGGTCGTTGCAAGTCGAAGGGGAAGTGGAAGCTTTGCCAGCCTAGTAAAGGTCGACAGGATTAATCTTATTTGTGTGATCTTCGGCGTGGTATTCTTGGTTAATGATCGGTCGGTGATCACGTTTACTTGGATCTCGCTTTCTCTTCTGTTTGGTGGCTTTGACAGAGCCGGACTGGGTCTATATTCAGTTGCTTTTTGAGGTTTTCTTCAGTTCCAACCATTTTGATCGTGGCATTTGTGATGCGATCGCCGTGTGGGTCTTGACATAAATGTTCTGCTGTTGGACGTTTTGGTTAAGTTGATAATGTGTGCTTTATATCTGCTGAGAGGCAATTGCCTCGAGTTCGTTCGAGCTCTTCTGCGCATACTAGCTGGTAACAAGCTCTTGCTCTAAAATGTGAATTAAACCGATTTGACTTCCTTTTCCCTTTCAAAAATTGCCAAGGGTGTCAGATCTAAGACATACTTAAATAAATCATTACTCGGTCCACCTTGGACAGTCTAGTGATAAAATCGGCCGTGAGGCATAACATCGGACATCGTGCTTATCAGTACATACTACTAGTCATTGATATCCTTGAAATTCCAGCCTTTTCTTGCTCCATGAACTATCAATATTTCCTTCATATGATCTAGAAATAGCATTCCCCCAATTCTCTTGTTCTTTTATTCACATAGCTATGCAGTCTCGGTAGAGATAGACGCTCTGTGACAAGGGTTCTAAACATTCAGGCTGAAGGAAGTCCCGGCATCCTTGCAATGAAGTCGGTGCACAGGCCAGTGACCTTTCTGACACTCCTATACACATAAATAAAGTTTATCCAGATATTCATTCTGTTCTCATTTCGCAAATAGGGCCCAGGGACTCCATAACAAAGCGAGCCGTGGAAATATATAGTACTCACCCTGTCACAGTACCAGACATTCCTGCACTTCCCGCATCGAAGAAGCGCATGCTTGATATCACACTCCATCTTCCCACAGTGGAAGCAACTTCAAGCGGCGAATCAGTCAGCCAGATTCATCCTATGCGCCCAGAATGTAGAACTCGGATTATTTACTCACCTAGGATCGGCGAAATTCCTCGGAACACCATCCTGGTAGTGATCAAGCGCGGCAAGAAACTGCACTTTGCCGGGGAGTCGAAATCCCTCATCGGCGAGTGGTCAGGCATACTGTGCATTGCATTTATTATCAGGGACAAGCTTGCGAAGATGCTTGAGATCCTGATCACGAATCGTCGCCACGGTACGCATAACCAGGGCGCCGAGGATGATAGTGTTGTATTTTGGATCCAATACATTGTCGTTCATGGGGTCAGTCTCCAACGCGCGACATTTGTCGAAAAGCGTGTCGATTAGATTGTCCGTGTTGAGCTTGTTGCGCATCCAGGGGATCATTTCGTTGGCGAGCACTTGGGCGTATTCGGGCGATTTGTATCGCGCCAGTGCCTCATCTGGTGCTAGTATGTCGGTTTGGTGGACTAGGTGTGAGAGTTTGTGGTCCCAGTCTTCGGTCTTGACTTTGAGGTATTCTTCTATATCTCAGCTTATGTCGAGATCTTGGTCTCCTTCAAAAAGGCCTGGTTTGGGAGTTAGTACGAACGGGAGTTTTCATCTTGGCGGGTTCTTTTCAGGGTTTTGGTTGAGGTAGAATGGGGTCGATTGGACGTACGCCAGCCCCAGCGACCCATTATGAAGGTTGGTCGGGGTTTCAGTTGTAAAGAGATGAAGGTGGCTGATTATGAAAGGTAAGTCTTGTGAATGATGCCTCGGGTAGGAACCGTGGAAGGCGCCAGTGGGAAAGTGTTTAGAGTGTAGTGGCGGTGGAGTGGTGAAGTGGTGGAGGGTGAAGGGTGAAGGTGAGGCGGGTGGCGGGTATACCCATTTCTTTCCAGTTTCTTTCCAGTTGGCAGGACGGGATGGTTTGATCAAACAGCGAGGTAGCTGGAGTCTTGCTACAAGAATAAAGACACTCAGGAACTCATAGCTATTTATGAAGCTATCAATAGCTATCAATAGCTACCCACGTCAATGGCGTTTCAGAATACAATCTAAAGAGCTCCCAGTACTATTAGCAAAGGCCTACTTGGGAGAAGCCTACATTGAAGAAAGAGATACGTTGGGGATAATAATCTCGGTCTGGTTGGAGTTAATGTGCACGTGGTATCATAGAGGAAAAGTAAACGCCACCTGAATATGGAAGGTAGAACACCCTAGAATGGAAAGGGAACTGGAGGGTGCGCAAAGCGCTGAGCAAAAAGGTTCAAAACAGGGAAGAAAGGGAAGAAAGAAAAGGAGGGAAAACGCCCTTCAAAGCACCCCATGCCGTGCCTTGAAGATGGATATCTTGTCATCATAAAAGAGGATCTCTTGCAGCCGAAACTGGACGCGCCCAGCGCTGTCATCATCCGGTTCATCGTCATCATCATCATCATCGTCCAGATCACTGGAGAGAAGGTCGGACCCGCCATCCGTATAAGGGGGAATATCATGGTCATCTTCTTGAATTGACATTGCATCGATTTCAGAGAGATTGTCATCTCCTGCGATGGAGATGTCATTGACGGTTTGGTCGTCGAAGTCCAAGTCTTTCCCGTCGCCAGCTCCTTCTTGAATCTGGTAACATTTCATTTGGAGGCCGATGTAGGTCATCTTGAGCTCAGGGCGAATGCTGACTATGTCGAGAACTTGGAGAGCGAGTTCCTTGAGGTCAACTTTGGCACAGTGGCTGATATGGGGGAGGTATAGCGCGCGGAGCTGGGGCATGTTCGGGAGCCGCTGGAGGAAATAGTGCTGAAGTCATGGTTAGTTCAGGCGGGTTCAAGTCGTCTGACAAGCATCATTTCCACTCACCCAGTCCCGATAATTCATTGCCATTCCCAACTCTCTTAGTTGAGGAATTTTCCCACTTGTGACGAAAGAAATGATTTCGTGGTTGAACACCCACTTATGCCATTTGTGGCTCAAGTTATCTGTGCCATCATGTCGTTCCGAGGCATCAATCAAAACCTTGCGCAGGCTCAATCGATGCTTTCGCAGGATGTGTCGGTAAATGGCGTCGATTTGTACGTTCGACTCGTGTCCAGGTGATTCGTGCAAGAAAACGCTTTCCAAGGTATTGGGAGCGAGAGCATCCTTAATGAAAAGCATCAGGAACGATGAAACATTATCTGTTCGCAAATGTTTGATATTGAGCGAATAATCGACCGCGCTGACGCTCCCTCGGCCCCAATTCCCATTCGCTAGTCTTTTCGGGGGTGTTGCTGGAGGTGCATATTTACGACGCAGAGCTCTCCATAGATGTTCATGGTCATCGCATCGCATTAGGGTGAGTGTTGTTAGACGAGTCCAATCAATGGTTGGGAGGAGGGTTGAAATCGAAAGAGGTATTCGTTCTAGCTCAAGCAGTTCCAGCTGTAGCTGATCCCCACTGGCCTGGAGAGCTGACATGAGCGGATGTGGCTTGGTGGGAGCGGCATGAGAGGCTATCGGGTGTGAATTATTGATTTCTTTGTTGGCCACTGTGGTGCCTTTCTCGGTTTCTCGACGGTTGCTTTCATCATGCTGGGATACTTCATCCTTATATTTCTCCGTCGGTTTGCTGGGGAGTTCCGAAGCGACCTGCAGATCGGAGGTTGAAGAAAGGACCGCCTTTTCCTCACGCAGCCTTGAGCTATCTTTGGAAAGAATACTCAACAGTCCACCGTATCTTGGCCAACTGAGTACAGCATCAGCGGCATCTGAGTCTTTGGCACAGACAAGCCAATCGGAAAGATGTGCCTTCAAAGAGACTCCAATTCTCAACTCAACAAGACGATGACGAGACCGCTCAATCAAAACTGCCAGTTCCTCCACATAAGCCGGCTCATCAATATCTAGCACGGCCACGCTCTTCAAAGCCGGCAAGACAGAAAGCGAGGGATGTTCCACGTGCTTGTATCTCTTGAACAGATGGGTGGCAGCCTCAGAAGCCGGTGCAATCCGAAGGACATTCTCCGAATTGTCATGCCAGCGCACCCAAACCTTCTCCAAGCGACATTCGTCACCCAACCTATCCGCCAGCGAAGCAAGCGCCAACCAAATCTCACGAACCACACCCGTCGGCATATCCCAGATGAATGTCTCAAGGTTGACCATTCGTGCGACGGCTAGAGCGACCAGCGTCCCGAGCATCTTCCCCACCTCTCTGTTGACCGAATATTCTTGGACCCAGCTCAGCGGACCATTGCCGATCGAAAATGTCCGCGTGTACTGCGCGTAATAATTTCCGCGACGCGAGGGAGGCCCCTCGCTTGTCTCTCGCTGCTGGTGAACGCGGTCGGAACAGCCGCAGCTCGAACAAGCTTGGGTCAACCTGTCGTGTCGAGATGGGAGCTGGTTGAAGACATCTTCGCCCATAACCAAAGTGGAGAGACCGTATGATAGGGCGTCCACGCCAGAATAATCGTCGCTTGAAGGGTTTAACGACTCCGGCCAGACGATGTCGAAGCGTGAGTACATATGCGGGATGGTGAGCCCATGCAAGGCAGAGCATGTCAAGGCGAGTGAAGTGAGGTCGTTCGTGTGCGTAATCTATGCAGCGGAAAAGGGGAAAAGCAATGTTAGACGTTCCTCGACAACAACAGTGGACTGGAAACAAGATGTCTCTCACATACCTCCTTCACGATATCCTTGAGGATATCAAAGGGGAAGATCCAGCAGCTGCATCGATTTAGCTCTCCACTTCTGGTCACTTTCGGTAGCAGGCATCGAGGCTGCTGTCAAGGGAGTCGAGGTCCGAGTGGTAGCTGACTCCTCGGAGCTATGATTCGACGCGGTCTGGTGCAAATGAGCCTTGCTCAGGGTGGTGGAAAGATGATTTCTCTCAAAGCGATCATCCGGATCCAGTGAGGCAGTACTGTGACTCGAGACAAAGTCCTCTTCCCCCTCTTCGTCTGAAGATAATGCCTGATCGGAAGCTGGCCGATCGGCCCAATTCGTGCAAGCGCCCGCCATGAGGGGGAACAGCTATGGGTTCAAGTTAGGTATGTTGGAGCCTAAAGGGCGAGGATCGAGTTGGATGTTCTGAGCTTGGATCAACTCTGAAGAACATAGCAGAAACCGAGAGGGTCGGCAGGTTTCCGTATGTCGCTTCAAAGAGGCCCAGGAGGTGTGCAAGGTGGTCTGGGGAAGCAATAAGCTAGTGGAGTTGGCCGGCGGATCGCGACCCGCGCGGATCATCATGCGTTACGTAATCATGAGTCGATCACCTGCTCCATACCAGAATAGGTTGACGTCGGATACTGAGTATATAGCTGGGTAGGATATCAAGTAGAATACTATTAGTAGTATTTGAGTCTCGAGCACTGCTATCTACAGAAACACTGGGTTACTAGTATGGACCTCAGAGCACTGTAGCACTAGGCCTACCCCAAGATCGAGAATGGAAAACCACTGGCATATGCCCAGAAGGTCAGAGGCAAATAAAGTCATAATTAATAAGGCCACTGGCATCTACCAAGCTAAAGAAATACCTGAAAAGTTCAAGTTGCAAAAGTTTCAAGACCGACTCCCACAGCATTCTTTCGTGTCTAAACACCCGAATGACCAAGTTTCTCCAAGTTGATAGCCGCGCTTATACAAGCCAGATGGCTGAAAGCCTGGGGTGTATTTCCCATCTGCTCACCCGAAATAGCCACTTCTTCAGAGAACATCCCGAGGTGATTAGAGTATGACAAAATATTGTCAAAGTGGGAGAGTGCGAGTTTCCAGATGTGCGGAATGGGGACATCGAAAGCAGCAGCCTATATATTTCACGGCACGCATCAGGGTTCCCAGGTTAGCAACAGCACTTCAAGTTGAATCGCCAGGGTCACACAGCAAGGAGATGATTTACCCGTGCCATGGCCTCAACGAGCCAGAAAGTAACCATGATAAAGGCACCCTCGCCTCCACCCACACCTGTACGACGTGAACGTTTAGTAATCACCCGTAGATCCAGGGGAGACATTGAGATCTGGAGCTAGAACATACCGTCATTTGCTTTCACATGGTCGTATCGGAAAACCATCTTGGCGCTGGAGAGTCCCTCTTTCTCGGGACTCTTCAGGATCATCTTCAGAGTGCTGATGAAGCGGGGATCATTCGGTGCGACAAAGAATACAAGGGGAGCGATCAGAATCGACGCATCTAGAACCTCAGGGCTCTCATAGCTTTGACAGAAATGACCACGTTCCTTGTTGTACCCCTTTTCCATGATCTCATCGTACAGCTCATCGCGTACCTGGATCCACTTGAAGCGATCAGGGCAGGGCAGGCTGGTTCGTTTCTCTGCAAGGCGAATGCCACGGTCCAGAGCCACCCACAACATCACTTTGGAATAAATAAAGTTTTGGATCTGGCCACGAGACTCCCAAATGGACATGTCCTTCTGGCCACGCACGCCAACGACATAATTCACCATGCGGCGGATCGAACCCCACTGGTCGTAGGTGATAGGATTTCCATGTTTGTTATAAAGGTAGATGCTGTCGAGCAGTTCGCCATAGATGTCCAGCTGCGTGTGGAAGACGGCTGCGTTTCCGATTCGCACAGGCTTGCTACCCTTGTATCCATCGAGGTGATCCAGCTCCACTTCGGGAATGTCACACTCGCCACGGATGGTAAACATTAGTGGGAGGAAAGGCCGTTTGCTACCTGCTTCCATTTCCTTGGCGGCATGCGGGAAGATCCGGTCGAAGATAAAGTTGACGTAGGCTTCCGCCTCGCGGCTGTATCCCATTTTGAGGAAGACGTAAAGTGTGAAAGCCGTGTCACGCACCCATGAGTACCGATAGTCCCAATTACGTGAGCCACCCACATTTTCGGGGAGCGAGAAGGTGGGCGCTGCGACGATTGCACCGGTGGGTTTGTAGGTAAGCAGCTTCAAGATGAGCAGGCTGCGCTCAACGGTTTCGCGGTAGTGTCCTCGAAATGCGCATTTGCGGGTCCAATCCGTCCAGTAATCGGAGGTCTCCTCCTCCATTCTAGCAAAGTAGGCAGCCATTGTTGCAGGGCTCGGGACAGCCTTTTCGGGACTGTGCAGCACAAGGTGTACCGTTTGTCCCTCGGAGAGACGAATCCAGGCAACCATACCCTTGCCTTTCATCCCCCCGCGTTCTTCCAAGGTGAATCTGGCCTCGGGAAATCCTTTCTTTTCAGGTTCTCGTGAGTCGGCGAAGATCTCAAGTTGTAGTCGCTCTGTATCACTCTCAAAGTGGACAGTCTGAAGTCGGTGCTTGGACATATCGTTCTCCAATTTTGCACGGGTATTGTGATTGTCCCTGGCATAGTTAAAAGCGGGGAACAGCTCAAATTTTAATTCCATTGAGCCACGACTGCATTCTAATTTCCTGATGAGACCCGAATGCTGCAGTCCAGATTTGAAACGATTAGCTCCGGGTTCATTGCATGGACAGTAACCCGAGAGCAGACGGCCCGACTGGGAGCTCTTCTTGGGCGTGACGGGGAAGTAGTCCAGCATTATGACGACACCGTCTTCATTGGTCCAGCGAGTTTCAAGCAGATTTGAATATGGCAGGTATCGCTGTTTGCTATGAGGGTCGACGACGGTTTTGTAAGGCGCCACCGACCAAAATCCACCGATCTTGTCATCTAACAGACGACAGAATACCGAGGGAGAGTCGAAGACCGGCCAACACATATAATCCAAGCTACCAGCCTTGCTGATGAGGGCACACGTATGCATATCTCCAATCAGACCATAGTCCTCAATGGCGTTATACTGAGGATCTGGCATGATGCCGAGTGTGAATCAAGGTGTACAATGCCTCCAAGAATCAACAGACAATTAAAATAGGTAAAGATCAAGCCTTGTGTTTCCGTTGATTGAAAGTCTTGGGGTAACAGCCTCCGACGCAGGGGTGTGAGAAGAGGGAAATGTCCGATCAAGGCTCCTCGCCCACACCGCGAGGCATATATGAGCCTGGCTGCTGGTCGGGAACAATGGGAACCACGACATGATGATGCCGCAGTGATCAAGAATCGCACTGAGGTCATTACGATGCTTAAGCATATTGTCCAATCACCAAGCTGAACGAGAGGAAGCTGGAAAGATAGCGGAGTCTTGCGCCAGGCTGGGCTAGGACATCATCATTATGGAAGAAGACTCCTATGGAGGTATTTATGCCCATGGCCTCGGAATATTCATTTCTCGTACTCCGTGAATCTCGGTCGAAATGACCAGGATGTGCTAGCGGATGCAAGTTTTTGTTCATCGTGGGACCTCGGACAGACAGCGGTTTCAAGAAGAGCCACCGATTGACCCAGTGTAATTTCGCAGATTGATTCATGACATTGTGCAGCAAGTTGAAGTTGATATAGCTCAGCACCTCAATTCATAGGTATTATCCCCAGCCACATCGAGTATAATAGCAGGGTCACCGGAAGTTATAGCCCACCAATAAACCGCACTGACAAGGACAAGTTGACCTCCCTTGGGACCCCGGATCGACCGGATTGTGGATCTTGGGTAAAAGCCCAAGTGGATCAAGTGGCGACCAGTTAGAAAGGAGGAGAAGTTAGAGGGGGGAAATGAGAAAGGGAAAAGGGAAAAGGGAAAACAGGCTGACCATCCACCGCCCAAAGAACTTGCGGGCAGCAACTAACCCCGTGACCGCCTCTCCTTACTCTTTTCTCTCCCAAGCCTGACTTCACTCACTGCATCCTCGTGCTTTTTGATCACTGATCACTTGACCCTACATTTCCCATTTCCAAGGGGGGGGTCTTACGCTTCACAGCTTCTCAACTTAACTCGTCTACCGAAATTTCTCTCCTTTAGTCGCACCCTCCATGGGGCAAACACAAACACCTCGCGCCCCCGTCCCTTTCCTTCCGATCCGCGTCTAACCCTGGAACCCACATATACATACACACAATGGGGTTATCGGCCGCAACCCATCATCGACGGCGGAGCTCGGTGCTCACGGGCAATACCAATGTCCGACCACAGCCGAGTGCATCAGAGCGAAGGGATGACAGTCTTCGGCCGCTCGGAGATAGGTGGGAAGAGCAGGAGCCTTTGACCGCAGAAGACACCGATGCGTCGGATCTCTCGTCCTCTGCAATCGAGACGCGTGAACTGACCGAGATGAGTTCGGATGATGATCAATACGATGAGGAGACTGGTCTTACCGCATCTCAAAAACGCCAGCGCCGGCGCCGGCGCAGACAACGCCGTAAGCTTGATGCCCGCATCGCTGACACCAAATCATCGCGATATGCTATCTTCCAGCTGGGTCTGGCCGATCGCAATGTCCTCCGCAAGCTCCTAGTGAACGTCGGTCTCATTCTGATGTGGTATTTCTTCTCGTTATCCATCTCCATAGTAAGTGAACCTTGCGCGTCACATGCCGACTGCCGACAACTGGCAAATCACGACTTGAAACCATCAAACTCACCAACTTCTTCACTTCGCAGTATAACAAGTGGATGTTCTCCGAAAGCGACGTCGTTTTCCCCTTCCCTCTTTTCACAACTAGCTTACACATGGCGGTCCAATTCACATTGGCGGCTATCTTGCTTTGGATTTTCCCGTCATTACGACCCCAGCACCCTCCGGAGTCCCTCGCCAATTCCCCCGTCGAAGGATTGAAGGAATCTGAGCCGATAATGACCAGGTTCTTCTACTTCACCCGCCTCGTGCCCTGCGGTGCCGCGACATCCCTCGACATCGGACTCGGCAACATGTCTCTCAAATTCATCTCCCTCACCTTCCTCACCATGTGTAAATCTTCCGCACTCGCTTTCGTTCTTATCTTTGCTTTCCTCTTCCGTCTCGAGTCGCCTTCCTTCAAGTTGATAATAGTCATCGCCACAATGACGATTGGTGTGGTGATGATGGTTGCTGGTGAAACTGCATTCAACGCGCTTGGCTTCAGCCTCGTCATTGCTTCAGCCTTCTTTTCTGGCTTCCGATGGGGTCTGACACAAATCCTTCTTTTGCGTCATCCGGCCACCTCGAACCCATTTTCCACACTCTTTCTTCTCACGCCTGTGATGTTTTTCTCTCTTATTACAATTGCGCTTACTGTCGAGGGCCCTGTGGAAATTCACAAAGGCTACCTCACCCTCGCTGAGAAGCACGGTAACTTGCTTGGCGCCGCCCTACTGATTTTCCCGGGTGTTCTTGCTTTCTGCATGATTTCATCCGAATTTGCATTGTTGAAGCGCTCTTCTGTTGTCACTTTGAGCATTTGCGGCATATTCAAGGAAGTTGTGACGATTAGTGCCGCGGGAGTCATCTTCCACGATCAGCTTACACCCGTCAACATGGCCGGTCTCGGCATCACCATCGGTAGCATCGCGACTTATAATTATATGAAGATCTCTCGGATGCGCAGCGAAGCAGCGAGGGATTCTTGGAGCCGGGACGGAACTCCCGACTCTGATACCGATGATGGCGACCTCACTGGTCCGGAGAATGGTGACTACCGTCAGGTCGCAGACGAAGAGACCGATATCACCTCTCCTTCTCCCGCTGGCCAGTTCAACGATGATCTACAAGCTTCTTCGGCTGGTGATAACCGGCGCTCATTCCGTGTCCGCGCTAGCGGTCCCATTAATGGGCTCAGCGTCTCCACCACTATCCCCGAAGATGATGGACCTCCATCGCCTCTCAAATCCGCTCCTCCTACAATTTCTACGATGGCCGAGGCTGGGTTCAATTCGCAGCTTCCCCTGTCTAACCGGGAGGATTCACCCGGAGTTCACTCCGCTTCATCCGTCTCACCAGTCCGGAGCCAAACTCCTCACCATTAAAACATTTCTCTTCTCATGATACCAACTTACTTTACTTCATTCATCTATATACCATATTATAACGGTACTTTTACTTCCCTTTTCCTTTGGTGACGGTAGCTACTTTTCTTTTTGTGACGGCAGCTACCAGCACCGGTTTCTCCCTGGCCGTGTTTCTTTTTTTCTTTTGTGGACAGGGAGTCGACGACTCTTTTTGACGAGGAAGGTCGCATTGTTTTGCTGACTGCTACATGCTGTTGATATCTCATGTAAACGCTGACTTGGGTCTTACCGAGTAATGAGTTATTTTTGGGGCGGCGATTGTTAGAAGGCAGGCAGGCTTCTTGGTGTGTTCTTTGCATGGAGGCTGCTGGAATGGAATCAATTATCTGAGCGGCGGTTTGATTGATACCAATTGAAATCCCTTTTCTCGGGAGGGCTAATATGCCCCTACGTTCATCTTGACTACATCCAATTCTATTACACTCGTGGCACCGTGACTGTAGAAACTAAGTATCGTACTAGCATTGCAACTATTCGAATATTGTGATACTTGATCTGGACCTTGATCATCCAATTTAATCCTTCTTCCCCCTACCCTTCATCATATCCACCAAACTCTTCTGCTTCCCCTTCCCCTTCGCCTCCTTTTTCTTCTCTGTCTCCAACTTCCTCTCATACTGCTCCATCTGCGTCTTCCTCATCTCAGCCCCCTCATCAGCCAATTTTCTCTCCAGTTCCCTGAACTCCTCCCCCTCAGCATCCATCCCAATAAGCGACTCAAGCAACTTGATCTCCCGCGCCCAAACACCAGGATCAGGCACCGTAGCCGCGGACGCCCCAGCCGGCCTCTTCGAATTTTTCTTCTTGGCACCGCCTTCTTCCTCTTCATCGCCCCCTTCAGCCCGGTCAATGGGCGTCTCCAGGACCATGGGCATATCCTGAAACCTCTCCTCATTCATAACATTATGAAAAGCGCGCAGACCGAGGAATCCAGTCCCGATGTTCGCGTGTAGATCGCGCTTGCTCCCCTTCGGCGCTTTGGAATCATTCAGATGCAAAGCGCGCAAGAACTGGATCCCAATCAACTCGTCGAACTCAGCAAGGAAGGCCTTGAATCCTTCCGGGGAGACGAGGTCGTATCCGGCTGCAAAACTGTGACATGTGTCGATGCAGATACCAATGCGGGAATGGTGTTCCTTTGGAATTAGAGCGAGGAGGTCTTTGAATTCAGAGAGGAAGCCGCCAATTGTGTTGCCGTGGCCACACATGGTTTCTAGTACGGGGATTACGGTGGTTGTTTCTTTGATTGCGAATGTGAGGGCCCCCGCAAGTCGGGATAGGGCTTCTGGGAGGGGTTCTCCGTTTGTGCTTCCCGGGCTGGTTGGTGTTAGATTGATGGTGGTATTGTGGGGTGTTTGGGGTAAGGGCTTACTGGAAGTTGTATAGTTTTATTCCGAGAGCTTCGCAGCGGCGGAGATCGTCGACGAAAGAGGTGTAGGCCTGTTTGGCTTTGGTTTCGTCGGATTGGGCTAGATTGACGAGGTAGGACCCGTGAGGCAGGACGTATCTGGTAAATTGTGTTAGTCTGAGGTTTTGATCGAATTCGGAGGCTCGGGATTTAGAGCTTACTTGGCGGCGTCATAGTTCTTCTCGGCGCAAAGCTTATGGAACTGATCCCTGTGCTCATCCTGAAGAGGTGGGTTGTCCCATTTTCTCTGGGATTTCAAGAACAAGGCAAATGCGTTGCCGCTGGTTTAATTGTTAACTTTGGCATCTATCATAGTTTTGTGAGACCATGAATGACGACTTACCCAATCTGCTCACTATTGTGGATCGAGTTGAAAACGCCTGCTCGAGGATTTGGTTAATCTCATACTTCTAAAGCGCCAGAGAGGACAACGTACCCTTTGCAGCACTGACATGAGCACCGACGAACATTCGCAGACCAGATGTTCGGGGAGCCAGAGGCATGGCTTCGGCGTCCTTTTCTTCTTTGGTCTTCTTTCCTCGTTTGGCAGGTGTGGCTTTCTTTGCAGGGGTATTCGCAGCCTTGGCCTTGGGTTTGCTGATAGGCTCTTCTTCTTCTACCTTTGGAGCTTGATCTCCGCCCTTAGACTTGATGGCAGTCGGGGGTTCCGTATCATCAGCCTCTTCCTTTTTGACTGAAGTTCTCGCCGGCAGTTTCTTGGCTCGTGAGGCTTTTGGTTTGACCTCGGGCTCTGATTCTTCTTCCGAGGAGGCCTCTTTCAGGCTGACTCGCGACTTTTGGCGTTTTGTTCGTCTCAATGGGGAATTTTCCGGGGTTCCATTGCTCAGATTTCTCTTGTGGCCTCCCTTGGGTGCCGTGATGGGTTCTTCCTCATCTGGATGAGAGACACACATTGTACAAGACTGCCCTGGAGGTCAATCGGTTGTAGAGATGGCAATTGAAGTGGCAATGGCAATGATGGTCCCTGTCGAATGGAGACGATTCCAGTTGGCTATCAGAAGACTGGTGGATCTCTACGCTGATTGGAGGTTCAGCGGGAGGGGCAATGTCGTCAGGCCTGGCCTCGATCGTATTGACACACAATTTGTCAAAAGCGATCTGAGAAGCACAGGTGAAGTGTACATATACTCGTACTGAATTGAAAATATTCAACCAAGCTGTGTAAAATCACCTGACAGACTTTCCACCGGTTGCTCCTTCCCTGTGCTGACCACTGAACACTGCGCGCACCTGCCCTTTTGTGATGTCACGTGCTGATCACCGGGGTAACTCTCACGTGATGTTTATCGATAACCCAAACGGTCCAGCTTGTCCACTTTGGGAAGGCACAATTGCAGCTTCTCCGAACTCGACAGTCGACGACAATCAACGACAATTATTACTCGACCTTAACACTCACTCCCAGGGAGCCCCCACAGGTCTCGGAATCATGGCCGCCGCCGACGACCTAATCGACTTCGACATCATCGAGGCTCAGAAGGAAAACGTCCAATCTCTGCCCGGTGGTCGATCAGCCCGACAGCTTGCTCAAATATTTTCGGCGGGCAGCAATAGTGACAAACTCCCAGCACCGTCACCAAACGACACAAGGACAATCAATGGCGCAATTCGTCAAGAATATGAGACCGAACTCGAGGTTATTGGAGAATCAGACGATCCACTCGACGTTTACGACCGTTACGTGAAATGGACCCTCAATGCCTACCCCTCGGCCCAAGCCACCCCCGAGTCCGGCCTCCTACCATTACTTGAACGGGCTACAAAGTCATTCCTCTCATCCTCCCACTACAAGAACGATCCCCGGTATCTTCGACTGTGGCTACACTACATCCGATTGTTCTCCGATGCCCCGCGCGAGACATTTGCCTTCCTAGCGCGGCATCACATTGGTGAGGGTCTCGCTCTGTTCTACGAGGAGTTTGCTGCATGGCTCGAGGGCGCTGGACGCTGGAATCAGGCGGATGAAGTTTATAGACTTGGTATGGACCGCGAAGCTCGACCCGCCGAACGGTTACTCCGCAAATACAGCGAATTTCAACAACGACATGAGGCTCGCCCACAAGACGCCGGCCCTTCCTCCCCCGCGCTTCCAGCTGTTCGTCCAGCTCTGGCTGCTAAAACAGACCCCTTCGCTCTCTCAGATGCCTCTGGTGATCCGCAAGCCCCACGGCCATCACCCACAGCTGCCGCCCCGAAGACGAAATCCGGGAAGGCCAAAATGGCCATTTTCTCGGATGCCGAAGTTGGGGAATCCAGCCAACCAGCCACCAGTGGTGGACAAACGAAGGGGTGGGATAGTATTGGGTCAATTCGGGAACGCAAGAAGGAAAACGAGGTGGAGGCAAAGCCCTGGGTTGGAGAAACATTGAAGGCTGGAGGAAAGAAATCAGGGCCAAGTCAGAAAATGGCCATTTTCAGAGACGAGGTGAGTCCGCAATTTCACGTTGCCTATCCCTTTTCAGACCTTCCATATATTTACGATCACAGGACTAATTGCTGGCTTAAACCTATGTGCTTCGATTGCGTATACAGTCCAATCCAATTTCACCTCCTAAAAAAGAGAAAGCTCCCAAACAAATTCCGGAACATCATGTAAGGGAAGCGGTAAACCCACGAACTGGTCGGCGCGAACGTGTCTTTGTCGACTTGGAAGCAGTATATCCAGATTACAGGAATCCGGCGCATGAGATGAGCTTTGAAGAACTTAGGGCGATGAAGCGCGGCTGGATGGGTATAGATTGGCGACGCCAAAAGGAGCCTTTGCAACAAATCTCGGGCAACTCTTTAGGAGCTGAATCCCAACCAATTAACTTCAAAGAAGCAAGGCCCGAGGAAGACTTACAAGAACCCTCAGACGAAAAATTAACAACTTACGGGCAGCAACCCAACTCTCGAGAACGAGACGGGCACGCCGAACACAAATCCGGGAAACCCAAAAAGTTCAAGGAGCAAGGGAATACTCAAACTGGTGAGCAAATACTATTGATCTACATTTCCAATGTTTCGTGAATCTATTGACTGACCATCACGTAGTTAAAATGAAATTTGACTCGCCCTCAAATTCGAAAGTCCGACGGAAGAGTACTCGGGAGCCCACGATGACCATGCATACTCGTGCTGCGACCGATGAGATCTACGACATGTTCAGTCAACCCTTGAAGGCCGAAGAAGAGGATGCAGCGGATAGCTTGTACGGTAGTGACTATGACGACGATGACTGTGATAGCACTGGTACTGGTCGCATCTCAGCAGCCTCGAGTGACTTTGGGGACGAAGAAACACAAACTTTCCACAGGTCGCTTGATGATACCGGATACGCTGATACTACACGGGCTGAAAGTGTTGTGGGGGATGATTGGACCGAGTTCACCGCTAGGGATGTCCCTGGTATTGAGGGGAGTGATGTTACTTCCCACTCCGTTGTCAGCGAGGAAGATGTGTATGGATCACAGCATGGCACTCCAGAAAAGGAACGATTTGTACCACGAATGCCTGCTGATTATAACGCACCGTTCGGGACATATCGAGATCCTGCCATCATGGCCCAGAACAGACTGCCGTTCATGACTCCGATTGTTGAGCGCACAGAAAGCTCCATTTCTATGACGGCTGCTCGGAACACTATATATAATGCAAAGACTCCCTCAAAGGCACGGACACCATCCGGGGTTCCTCAGATGGGTGATCTATTGCTCTCCAGCCCCGTCGGAGCCCCGACGCCATACCATGGTGATAACACTATTACCTCCGTGGCCGATGCACCTTTTAGCCCCACTGCTTTCAAGGCACTGGCTCCCAGGCCACGTCGAAGGGAAGCAATCATCCGCGACGTCCAATGCAATCCAACCGACAAAGGAATTCGCAACACCATTTTGAACGCCTTGGAACCCCAACTTGCAACCTACGCTGGTTACCATGGGCATACGAAAGACAGTAACTATGCGTCCATGATCCAGAAATTCCTCAGGGCTCATAGCCGGAAATCAAGAGCTGCCGATGATGATGGCCTTGATACGCCGGTTCTGGAATTCCCAGGTGCGGAGCGAAGCTACCTCATCCGCCGAGAGCTGGGAGCGGGCGCTTATGCTCCAGTTTACTTGGCGGAGAGCATTGAGAGCGAAGAGCCATACAATTCGGATGAAGAAGACACAAACCCGAGTAGCTTAGCTAGCAAGGTGAGCCCATATGATAAGCCGCGACACCCATTCGAAGCCGTCAAGGTTGAAAATGGACCCTCAAGCGCTTGGGAGTTCTATATGATTCGCGCCGCATACGAACGCCTGCATCAATCACCGGGTCACGTCCGTGCAACGGATAGCGTTGTCCGCGCTCACGAACTTCACGTCCACCAACGCGAAAGCTTCCTAGTCGAAGACTACCGGGGTCAAGGTACAATCCTCGACCTGGTCAACATAGTCCGCAACGAGCACAGCTCTGATGGTGGTCTCGAAGAATCACTCGCAATGTTCTTCTCCATTGAACTATTTCGCACTATCGAAGGCCTCCACGCGAACGGGATTTTACACGGCGACATCAAAGCAGACAATTGTCTCGTCCGTCTAGATGAACCGAACTCAGACTCGCCCCCAAGCAAATCACTTTCCCTTCTCGACCTCGATGCCGATACCGATGATGACGACGACGACGATGAATCAAGACCCCAACGCCGAGACACCATTCACTACTCGCCCAATGGCCTGCACGGCTGGGCAGACAAGGGTCTCTCACTGATCGACTTCGGCCGCGGGATAGACATGCACGCGTTCCAACCAAACGTTCAATTCATCGCAGATTGGGAAGTCGGCACACACGAATGCAACGAAATCCGCGAGACCCGACCCTGGACCCATCAGATCGATTTATATGGTATCGCGGGTACAATCCACGTGCTACTTTTTGGTAAATACATCGAGTCCACTCGCGTACGTACTAGTAGCGGGACCGCTGGCGGGCCAGAACCACCAATCTACCGAATCCGCGAATCGTTGAAGCGATACTGGGATCGGGAGTTGTGGTCTGATGTTTTCGATTTACTTCTTAATCCCGCCTCTGAGCGTTGGGTCGCGATGGAGCGCGAAGACCGGGGGAATCCTGTTGAGAATGAGGACGGCGCCATGTTGCCGGTTTTGGCTTCTATGCGTTTTGTCAGACGGAAGATGGAGGATTGGTTGGTTGCAAATGCGGAGAAGAAGGGTCTTGCCTTGCAGTTGAGGAAGATTGAGGCTATTCTTGCTAATCACAAGAAGAAGCTTGAGCGTTCTTGATTCGTCTCGTTTTGTTTGTTGTGCTGTGCTATGTTGAGCCCTTGTTGGATTCCCCGTCATGTTTTATGATCCATCTATACCCATACCCCCCGCCACGATATCTTTTTCGTGACTAGACTCTCGTTGAGTCAGTCAGCCCTACTTTTCTGTCTATACTTCGTTTAATAGTAGATATCTTTCTTCATATAATTGTTCCTACTTCACGATCCACCTGGGGCTACATCTACTTCAATTCAAGAATATCATCATATACCGGATCCAGTCTAGCAGTCGATGTCTCAAACAATCCCGGCAGACCTGTTTCGTCGAAAGAGACCGACTTCAGTGCCATCTCCGCAACAGCCTTCCCGGATAGAAAAACCACAGGCATACCATGCCCATTGAACCCAGCGGCAATCAGCTGTCCAGGTTTACCTGGAACCTCTCCAACATGAGGCAATGAGTCTGCACTATATCCCATCACTATTCATTTTCAATCCGTTAGCTTCAAGTCTTACTTCACCAGCACACACCAATGGCACCGCTGTCCCAAAAGCGAGAGCAAGAATCGAAGAAAGAAAAAACATACCACCAGTCCAAATATGCTTAACCTCCGCCCTACTATCCTCCCAGCCAAAAAAGGTCCGCTGCATATACCCATCAAAGTGCGTATCCGCCTTTCTAATCAACCCCCCATCATCAGAATTCCCATACCACTCCCCCAGGTCATCCTTGAAGATATAAGAAGCCCCACCAACAATAATTAACCCATCATGACGGGAAATCTGATAAATGAACGCGCCTGGCCCGTGTCGAATGGCATATGTCTCGGGTAATTGCCGATACGGGGCGCCGGGGCCCGGCTCAATTGCTGTACAGAGGCCCTTGCAGGGGATGATGGCTTTCGAATACTGCGGTGCCACGGCGCTGGTAAATGCGTTGGTTGCGAGGATAATTTTGCGCGCGTGAATAGTTCCTCGGGGGGTTGTTACGGGCCAGAATCCTTCTGCGGTTTGGGTTTCTCCTATTGATAAAACGGGCGTGTGGGTTTGGAGATTTAAACCTCTGGATACGGCTAGACTAATTAGGTGGGTGATTAGTTTGTAGGGCCATAGGTGTCCGGCCGAGAAGCTGAAGCCGCCTTTTGCGTCTCGGACGTGGGCTTTCTTTTGGGGGGGGGATATTTGTCAGTCTCAGGTTTGTCTCTTTTTGAGGAGGTGGGGGCGGGGGGAGGGAAGTTCAGATATGACTAGAATTATCGGAAAGGGTCGCTTACTTCCTGTGCCTCGGTCTCAGACAAGTATTCCACATCATCCATGAAATCGAGATTCTGCGCTCGGAGATATTCCACAAATTCTTTTTTCCGCCGCAACTCCCCTTCGTCTAGATAGATATCCAGAGATTTGGTGAGGGTGAGTTCACAGTCAATTTCTTCTCTCGCGACTAGGTCCGTTATCTCCTTGATATGCGATATTTCGAATCGAACGACCTCAACCGCAGCTTCTAGTCCATACCGCTCGATATATTTGGACGTGATTGAATAAAGATCCGGTCTCAGGTGACCCCCATTGCGACCCGTGGCCCCAGAGCATAGTTCTCGGGCCTCGAGAAGAACAACACTTGGCGGGTTGGCAGCTTGGTTTTCTGGGAAAAGATGATATGCAGCCGATGCACCGGCATACCCGCCGCCAATTATTAGGATGTCTGTCTCGGATGGGAGGTTGGGCGTTGTTTGGTGGGTGTCTAGTGGGTGGAGCGATGTTCGCCAGAATGGTTTGGTGGAGCCTGTTGTTGGCTGAGGGAAAGACTTTCCGGTTTCTGCCATGGTGGTATATTTGAAATAATATATGCGTGGGCTCCTAGAAACTTGGGGTGTCGGGGAATAAGATGGTTCTTGGGGGTTGTTGTGTTGATAAAAGAAGGTCACAATTGGACGAACCGCGGTGGTGTGGTCGGCCTTTTGTCCGCCGCCGAACACGCTTGGTGCGGGGCGATCTTGGGAATTGATATACTAGTAGTATGAGGTATATCTCTGGCGAGAGTGTATTTCCATGGGATTTACAAAAGCTTCAGCTTTTAGGTTTAAGAATTAAATTTGACCGCTGCCATTTGAGGGATGGGACTCTGGGACTCGGAGGTGAGACGCCCAACGCCGATGCGACTCATTTGTCCTCGTGCTGGTTGCACTAATGACATCCATACTACAAAGAAATCCGATGGGATAGATGTACCTTTTGGTTGTACGTTCTTACCCATTCTACACCAAGGAGAGAGAGTATTACCCTAAACTATGCGTTGACAGTCTGAACTCATGGTAAATGACAGAAGGTAATTCAATTCCTGACTAGCCGAGTTTTGGCTGGTCTTCAAGTTACTTTGCCAAAGACTCTAGAATTCCATTGACATTCACAAAATTGAGCTCTTCCAGGGTTTCCTGCCAGAGTCTTTCCTTGATATTCTCCCCCTCCACGGTGTAAAGCAAAGGAGGATATCTGTATTTTCCGTTAGTAAATCAACTGCCTCATTCAATATATTCATGTAAATATTCAATCCACTCACGGTGCAACCCCCCCAATTCATCAATATGCATTCATGTGACTCCTTTCCCTTGGTGATAGCCGCATCGAGATATGTAGAAGCTCCAAGCTTCATGCTTCGTCCGGTTGCAACCTTCAGCAAATAAAGTGCGAATTTAATAGCTGCAGGTGCTTCGCGTTGCAGAGATGTGCCTTTAACAAATCCCGGTTCCACAAAGTTAACCACCACGTCGTCGGCAGATACCGAGTCCGTAAGCTTCCAGAGGAATATTAGACCCAGGTATTTAGATGTAGGGTAGATGTCGACGCCATCAAAGGTCTTCTCATCATCAAATGCTTTCAGTAGCGGTATCTTGTCTTTTTGCGCAAATTTTGCGGTCAATGACAACATACTCGTCACAATGGTCAACCGACCCGGTGAGCCTGCGGGAGACTTGCTCTTCAGAAGAGGGAGGAGAAGAATCGACAACAACATCGTGGAGAGGAAATTTACTTGCATGGTCTCCTCATGGCCGGTGCTTGCGAGCCTGAACGTTGAGTTGGATAGCCCGGCATTCAAAATGGCGATATCAAGTCGAGGCAGTTTTCCTTCGATCTGCGATGCGAATGCTTGGATTGAGTCGTAGGAAGACATATCCAGTAGCCAGACCTCAATATTCGCATTGGGGTATTGTTTTCTCAGGTCTACGGCTGCATCTTCGCCTTTTCTCAGCGAGCGAACCGCGATAATGAGCTGCGATAGCTTATAGGAAAGAAGTTGATTTGCACATTCCAGCCCAAGACCGGTGTTGGCTCCTGTTACGATCGCAACTTTCCCGGAGAGATCAGTGTCCTTCGAAACGTATTCAGCTTTGGAATAGAATTGGTTTGTGATGAATTGATTTGGGAAAAATGGCGTGGTGGAGGGCGGCAATTCTTTTGAGGACATGGCGTTCGAGCAGTAAAATGAGATGGGTTGTAGATTTCCAACTCATTTCGATGAGGCAGAACCTTGGAATTTATATGACCATGACATGGCGGAGTTAAGAATACGTCCGTAGCTTGTTATATCCAGTCTCCCATACATTGACATCTTTCATGGGTTCGGGTCTCGACTAAGTGCTTTGAAAGGGATCTTCAATCTAACCCGACCTCACATTTGAGCCAATCATACGCTGTATTGGCACGCTAAACCGGAATAGGAATACAATATCGTGCATTAGCGCGGCTATACTAGGCCTAGCCCTGGAACAATCCCAGTCGCCCCATCGCGAACCATGATCCAGTCTAGGTTCCTTTCCTACAACAGTAACGGAGAACAACCCCAGAAGGATAGAATCATTGCCTGCCTCAAGATCCGAGGCTTTCGGGCTCGGAATTAACGGAGACATTACTCGCCCACGGTCGGTAGTCGGTATGGAGATTCCTAAAGAAAGAAAATGGTTAGCTGTGTCCGGTCGCGAGAACATCATCTGGATACAGGTTGTGATTTTGCGAAGCACCTCATGCAAACTTCCAATACCTAACTAACCTAATGTTGTTTCAATAGAGCTTTCTGGTGAGTATATTAATAAATTATCACCTATACAGGACGACCGAGGGCAAATACTTTTATTAAGACATTACCCTTACTTTATATAAAGATATTAACTCTTAATAAATCAACAGCATCTACAAATAAGAATATACCCGGTTTCCGTGCAAACTACCTGGAATTCTCAACAAGTCAGGAAAATTCTGGATGAGCAACGTTTCGAGCCCCTTGGATCTGTGAGCGCCGACATTTTATCCGTGACCAAAGGTCCTCAGGATATAGGAATCACGTTAAAAAACCACCCCTCCGAGGAAAGCGACCTCCAATATGTGATCTTCGTTCAATTCCTCGCAGAAATCCCAGACCCAGATCTGCTAGAAATCAGCCACCTATTCACAGCACATGTCCTTTCCATGCTCGACCCGAAGAAGACAGTTCGGTTTGACTTCAGGATCTCAGATGAAAGCTTATCCTCAATACTGCCATTCCCAAATAATATCACCGTGGGCGCCTTACATAGCTCGGAAGACGGATCAAAGCGCCGAGTCCCACCATTAGAGCGGCATGACATTGGAAGACTTCCCCAGTCCATCTGCGAGGAATTCGCTGTGGTTCTTGACAGGCCGACATTTGTTACAAGCCAGGCGTGCTTTTCCTCATGAACAACATTCGGCCGGTTGACGACAGATGGTGGTATTGCACGATCGCGGAGGTTCGACGCAGTGCTGGGATGCCGCAGGTTGTGAGGAAGCTTGCTATGCTTGGGTTAGAGGAGAACCGTGGGTTGAAACCTTACAGAAAAGTCACAAAATAAGAATTTATATCTCTTCTAGGTTTTACTCTGGATCAGTACCAGGCTGCATTTGTTTGGACCGTCACGATGGTGACGCGGCAAAGCCGGGTCTGCCTAATTGTGGAGTGGATGACAAGGTCCGGGATGGCTAGGATCGAAATTGATGAGGTCTCTGTTGTAGACATGCTGTCCACTTCGGGCCATAGCAGTGTTTCGTGCACTCTGATCGAATACGAAACAGATATTGAGACGGAGGCTGGCTTATTCACAGTTGCGATGTGGGAAAAACAACGCGACATCATCCGAGAATGGAATCGCTCGACGAGGAGGCGCGCTCTGAATTACTATGGAATACTGAGGCAGGGATTTAATCAGCGGAGCCTATTGCATCAAGAGTGGCCGATATCAATTTGAGTGAAAGTCTTGCCTCACAAACGAAATGAAAAGAAACGCTATCTTTGGTCAGGAATACTACACAAAAAGTTCGCGAAACCACCCTGCATTGTCTCCAAGTTTAAATGTATTTCTATGGATTACTTGTGCTACTTTTACTCTCGTAGACGGTCGTTCGGACCTTTTTGGCTAACTTTCTCCGTGTGCATGTTTGAAAAGATACTAGTAGTAGCGTAGGGGGTTGATATGTCCGAACGTTACGGCCTAAACCCCGAGGCGTGAAAATGACTCAGCACATTTCATTCACTGCCCCCGGCAACCTCGGGCTTTGGTCCCTCGGTGGATGAAAGAAAGGACTTTATCGTCTTTGATTTCTGATGAGTTTGGCGACATTTTGGGTACTTCTGCCGCAAAGCAGCTTTTGAATACGGGTTTTAACGGACGACACGCTCGCCCGCAGCCAACATGGCCGCCCAAAAAGAAAACGGTGAGCTATTTCGAATAATCGCTATAAGACATATCTCGGAGGTCTCATGTTACCGAACTAGTCAATACTATGCCATTCATTCTTACAGATGGCTTACACAAGGCCGGGTCGGATAAGCGCAGGCTCATCAGACAGCATGTCATGGTGGGCAAAAACCGCGGCAAGACCCGAAAACCGAATACAAAGACACCGCGCCGGGATCTAGGATCTTCCAGGCTTGATTCAGATGAGCCATCGGCTCTTGTGCTTAAAATGCGCTATCCATCAATACCCAACAAGGTTGGCAATGAGCTTTCCTTTTCCAGATTTGCCGCACCGATCGAACCAGCATTGTTACAAGAGATGTTGAGGTGTAAGTTTTAGAGACCTCGGGATATATCCTGACACGCTGATTATATTCCAAGGTTCAAGTTGACTGATGACTCGCGAACAGTCTGCTTCATGGCAAAAAGAATTATGTATCCCCTGGCAGACCACATCGACTTTCACAAGAACGATAAGATTGACACTTTATGGTTCGACCTCTTGACATATGACGTGGCATACTTGCATTCCGTCGTTTTTCTCTGTCAGTCCTACTCGTCCCTTGTATCAGGCATCCAAACCTCATCTTCCGCATGCCGAGGGATGGTACATTACTCTGAGGCTCTTCGGCTACTCCGCGAGAGAATCTCGGGCCAAAGTGAAGAACGAGAAACATGGAACTCTACGATTCTCGTGGTTCTTTACTTGGCCACGCATGCTCATCTCGTGGGCGACATTTCCTCGGCCAAGCATCATCTTCAAGGCTTGCGGAAAATGGCCGATTTGAAGGGCGGAATATACGCATTCAGGTACAACCCAAAGCTTATCATTGAATTAATGAAGTAAGCTACCCCCGAGCAATATACGAGTATTGCTGTCTCGTGCTAACATGTCCATTTTGGGTAGATGCGATCTAGCAATGGCTATCAACTACGGAATGGAAACCGTCTTCTTTGAAGACCCATCACTGGAGCCCCTGATACCCTATGATCTAACACCGCCGATCACAGAGACGTCACCAGGGGTAGGAGCTTCACCGCAGCCGGTCGCGTCAAGCATCTGCTGCACAGACCTACAACAAGCCTGGACGGCGATGATAAGATTTTGCTCGGCGATCAATTATGCAACAAAGCGCGGGCTTCGACTTCCCAAGGAAGTACTTTTAACAAATATGGGATCTGTGATGTATCGGGTGGTTTGCATCAAGTACGAACTTAATCCTGTCGATGAAACTATCCGCCTTGGGCTACTTGCTTTCTCTTCGCACGTCTTCTTACGTGTGCGAAATATACCGTCTCCACACACATACCTTCCGAATATTTATCGGGATCGTCTTCTCAGTCTCCCGCCTGGGCAGATCCCATTGCTCAGCCTTGTTTGGCTTCTTATGGTAGGCGGCATTTCTCTCTTCACCCCGGCTGATGATCACTGGCTATTACCTTGGTTGAGAGTTTGCCTTACGGCATTAGAGGCAAATAATTGGGATGAACTTCAAGACAAACTGAAAGGGTTGTTATGGATAGACGCCTTGCATAACAAGCCTGGAAAAACCATTTTCGACACCGTGTACCGGGTCTCTGGGCCCAGAGACTTTGATTCTAGGCTATGAAATGGATGAATTCTGTTCTGCTTGCCGAATCAAGATGTTATCGGGTATTCCTTTCTTTTTTTTATCCGCCTTGCTGGTCGGTCTAGATTTTAATAGTCTATCGCGACCCAAGTTATGCGAGTCTGAACTAGTCGGATTAGTGAAGCCTTCAGGGGACTCGGGGAAGAATTACCCAATTTTAGGCGAAACACCAGTGTGTACGGCGTACCACGCACGAGTCATTTGGGGTAAGTGGCGGGGGATATGTGATCCTGTTTTAACATTGACGCGACTGGGCGTGTTTCTTTGGGATATTGAAGTTAATTTGAGATAGTTGCTCTTTGACTTGTAGTTGCACTGCAGAATAGCCTAGCATCGAGCTACTGCACTCCAGGTGCTGTTGCAGCCCAAGGCCACTGTGATTTCACCGGTAATCTCACCGTGACCAACTGGCTGCGTTGCTTGCTTGAATCCACACTTCTGCAAGTTGGCTTCAGCATTGGCCAGGCGCAATGTCCAAACGGAGATCGCTATACCAGGTTCTCGGGTCCCGATCAGAATGGTAGGGCCGACACGCCCCCTTTTGCTGCATACAGCCCCTCTCATACGTCCCATAATTTCTATTCAAAGAATCCGGGGGGTACCATTTGCCGGCAAATGTGGGACTTTTTTCCCTCTCCACACACACCCCTCATCTCTTCTGAAGGTGCCAAGTGGGAATGTCAATAGTACGATTCCTTCATAGCCTTGTGTTAAAACCCAGCCACTCAAACGGCGCAAGCGAACGCAAGCACGCGATAAGACGGATTCCTGGAGCGCCCGGTACGACAGGATTGCTTCACCAATCAACAACATCTGTTCATGTAGGTGAGCAGGGGATCCTCGGTGGCGCGGTCCACTTTCCAGAGGGTCCTTGAAGCCCTGCCACTGCCTCAATTGAGATATCACCCACTCGTGGTGGAGCTTTACTTGTCAATAGTCGCGGGCTCGGTGAAGAACCGGATGTGCTTAACCTGAGCAATGGGCGCATGGCTGGGGTTGCGGCTTTCCAGGTACCAGGCTTGGCTTCCCCTGCCTTGATTTTATGACTCCAGCGCCCAAGTGAGAGCTAATCTATGATTGGTATGGTTAGCGACACTATTACTTCGTGACCCACTTGCGGACGGGACGGGATCTCCCTCGTGCGCGCCCGCGTTCGTTCCAGCGTAGCGTGGCTCGCGTCGTGGCCCTCCGAAGGCTTCCGGATTCCGGACTCGTAGTAATATAATGGAAGGATTTGACATGATCCTACTGTGTACTTTTGTATAGTATGTACAGATTATGACAGGGCATCTTGGGTGCATATGGAATATATCATATGCGTAAGCCTCGGAAACAGCGGTTAACTTTAGTACAGATCACCCCTGATATGCAGCTGCTATGTAGAAGAAGAAAATAAAGATAGTCAGATGTTTAACACAATTGCTAAATGCCTAAAAGGTGTTTAAGGTCTGGTTTTAATCGTGAGAACAAAAATGTCAATCGCGAGTAAAGCCGAATGTGAGATATCATTACGATCGGAGAATAGTATCCAGTACCGCGGCTGCATGATTGAAAGTGTTCCCCATGTGGGCATTCGTGGGCAATCCGAGTCATGACGACGGTTTGAAATTCGAATTAACTTCGATAGTTTGGGAGTACCTCGATCGATCGATAGCGCGATGAATCGAGATTAGTGGTTTGTTCCTGCAGACGACCTCGCACAAATTCCAAATCTCTACTCCACTATCTACTATGTTAGGCTTAAACGGCCCACTCTGTGACCTCCTCAACTTGGTACGATCTACAGGGGACAATTTCGCATCGACGAAACGCTGTACTGAACTAAGAGTTTTAACTCGGCGCCGGCCGCACGTAACAACCCACACGGCTGGCGCCCATTCTAGTCTGGTTTTGTTGATATAATAACGCGCCCCCACGATTCCGCCGCGCTGGATTTGATGTTAGTCAAGCTATCCAACTTCACCACATTCCTTCAGCTTCGTTAAGCAAACCCCCCCTCGCCATGGGATCGGAACTCAATGTGCACGCCGATTCAAAGGCGGAGCTCCTCATTTCCCCAGTCACCATTTGGTGGGCTGTCTGGACTGTTGTCTGGACAATCCCCGTGGTACTGGGAATGTGGTTTCTCATCCACAATCGCAACTCGCCTATCCTCCGAATCCGTGGCCTCGGGCTGTCACTCTCTGCAATCGCATTTTTACACGTTTATTGGATCCTTGTCCAGGTCGGTCTCATGTACGGTGCCCTCGCACCCGGTGATACTGAATACTGGATTATGGGTCTCTGGTTGCCATGCGGCATTTCTCTTTTCCACGCTTCCAACAGTCGATTCCTCCACGTCGCCAAACTTCAGAAGAAATACGTCGACGGCGGCAAGGCGCTTCTCAACTCCAACCCCGAACCCAAGAACCAGAACGGCCTGATAAACCGGTTCTTTAACCTCGCCTACAACACCCGGATCCTCATCCTCGTCGGCGCCGGTATGCTCCTCCAGATCTTTCTCACGGTCCTTATGTGGGTCATCTCCCGCAAGTATCACAGCACCTGGGGTATTCCCGGTACCGAAACTCACGGCACCGAGATGCAACAGAAGTCTGAGATGGGCAGTGGATGGGAATGGTGGCCCGGAGCTGCCTTGCAATTCTTCTGGGCCTGGGTCGTTGCTCCGATTATCTTGTGGAAGTCTCGCAACATCCAAGATACCCAGGGCTGGAGGGTTCAGACTATTGGTTGCTGTCTGTCTAATCTACACGCCACTCCGATGTGGCTTATCGGTCTTTACGTTCCTCAAATGGAGGTTGTCAACCAGTACTTCCTTCCTCCTCAGTGGATCTGTCTTTCTATTATCGCCATTGAAGTCTTCACTGTTTTCCTTCCCTGCTGGGAGGTCATGCGCCACCAGTCTCTTCGCCAGGAAACCCTCGATGCTATCTCCAACTGGGAGAAGAAGGTCAAGGGTGAATCCTCCGACGGCAAGTCCATGAACTCCGCCTCCACTATGGTTGACTCCATGCTCTCTGTTGGTTGGTCGTCTAAGGGCTCTGTCAAGAGTGACAACAGCTCTTCTCGCGACAGCATCCTAACAATGGGTGCCCTTGAATATGTTCTCGATCGTAACCCGGATCCTCTCCAGAAGTTCTCTGCCCTCAATGACTTTTCTGGTGAGAACATCGCTTTCCTCACCAGCGTCGCCGAGTGGAAGAACTCCCTGCCCCAGGCTATCCTGGATGGCCCTGGCGCTAAGGACGACAATCTCCGTGATCTCCTTCGTGAGCATTTCAACCGCGCCCTGCACATCTACGCCGAGTTTATCAGTGTCCACCACGCCGAGTTCCCCTTGAACATCTCGTCCACCGATCTCAAGCACCTCGAGTCTGTTTTCGAGAAGCCTACTTCCATTCTCTACGGTGAAGAACGCGAGGTTGACCCCGTCAGCCCTTTCGACAAGTTCACCTTCGACATCCCGTCGCCCAGCAAGTCTGAGTTTTCCGAGAAGGGCACTGGTAGCGGTAGCTCGATTTCTTCGATCAAGGACCGGGTTATGTTCTGGGGTGATATTCCTACGGATTTCTGCGCGACAATCTTTGATGAGGCTGAGCAGAGCATCAAGTACCTGGTGCTCACCAACACTTGGCCCAAGTTTGTCAGGAACCACCGCCGTCTCTCGGCCAGCTCGGAGGCTACTCTTAACGAGCAGTCCGGCAACATGGTCTAGATCTAGCCATAGCCACCTGGTTAACGGGATACGAGACAAGTGAAGACCTGTTACATACTAATTTGACAATAATGTGACTGGACTTTTATACCCATTGATGTATCTATAAGCTTTAATTGATAATGACCCCCATATACCCTTCTGTTGAGAATTGAATACCAGCCATTTTTGTTTGATCATTGAACTACAATCATAAACTTAAATTTCTCTTACCTCGGGAGCAGCCTACTGAAATTACAGAAGTACCCATTTTTCAGCTTTGCCCAATTTTCATTGCTCCGCTGTGACGTTGTTTTCAGATTTCTGGGCCCCTTCTCCAGTTAAAGGCCCATGACAAAGTTTGGTACCAGGGGTAAGCGGGTACAAAGATGCGGATCCGAAACGACGAAGAAAAGGCAAGATCAACACAGTGGAAAATGAAATATGACCTAAACTATGTCTATACTCATACCAAAATAAACCATAAGACTAGCGCACATGCCGAAGTAAACCCGAAAGCCGATTTACCACGGATATATGCCATTGGCATTTAAGAATTGCCCAGCTTCAGAATCACGTTTACCTTCAATTATATCGAAAAGCCCCCTTGCAGAATTCATAGGGTCTCCAGCGGCCCCACCAGCGCTAACCGCATCCTCGGATTCCCCCCGCAGGTTGCTCCTAACCAAACCTGGGCAGTATGCGAAAACTCGAACATTCTGGCTATGGAGTTGCTTATGCTGCTGGAGCGTCGCCATGTTTAACGAAGCTTTACTCATTCGATAGCCTTCCCAGGGCGCATTATAGTGGGGATCAGCTGGGTTGGCAGCTAGGCCAAGTGAGCCTAGGCCACTGGACACTTGAATCAAGCAAGGGTGTTCGGATTTGAGTAATAGGGGCACGAATGACTGTGATGTGAGGAATGCCCCCATGACATTTGTAGCGAAAATTTTGTTCAGTTGCTCCCGAGCGCTGTACCCATGAGCGGTGATTCCGGCGTTGCTGATAAATGCATCGACGCGGCCAAACTCTTTTTCGACTTGAGAAACGGCCGCGGCAATGGAAGAATCATCTGTCACGTCGAGCTGAAGGACGGAAAGAGTTCCCTTAATATTGCCGCTGCTTTTGATCTCGTCTAGAGCGGCTTGTCCTTTCTTTGTGTCGCGGCAACCCATTATCACATGATAGCCAGAATGCGAGGCAATAAAATTTGTAGTAGCGTAGCCAATGCCGGAGTTGGCGCCTCCATGAAGTTAGCTTCGTGACTCGCACTGTGAAATAAAACTGCAGATTGCTGTCGCGACTCCTGGGTTGTCTTACCGGTGATGACGACAATCTTAGAAGTTGCCATTTTATACGATGAGATATCTTTCCAGTCCGAGTCGCTGATAGGAATACTGCAGTGCGATGCTTGTCTAGCGTGTAATCCTTGGTTCTTAAATAGATTCAAATATCTCGTGTCATCATTATGTAGGGGCGCTAGGCAGGAGATACAGCGGGTGTAATCCTTGAATCCGTTCCCGGAGATACTAGTCCCGACGTCAGAGCCCCAGTCTGGATACAAGGCTAAATCTTCCTCTTATGAAGATACGTCCAGTCTGGGGTAGAGTAGAATGATGCGCCGGGCAAGAGATATGGCGGAATTAATCCTTAACTCCGTTCCCGGATATAGTCCAAACCCGAGATTTCGATACGGCGTATGCTAAGAGGATAAGGTCAAATGTTTATCTCGTATGGAGATTAATCTAGTTCGACTCTAGTACCTGCTCTATTGCACTGAAAGTCCTGTTTGGACAAGCTTTGCATTTGGTAAATATGAGTTTGTATTATTTCTATGAGCAGCGCGTATAAACATGATCGTGAGGGGCCATCGACAAGATTTCGTCATGAATTCATTTCATATTTTCATTCACTGGTTCCCTCAGCATGGGATGACCGAAATTCCCCATCTTGTGAGGATGGAGAAAAATGTCGATGTCTAGGCTTTCCCCATTTCTGACGTAGCTTGTGCACGGTAATGAAACTCCACAAAAAACACCTGTGTACTTCGAAGCGAAGAGTAACCCCGAATCAATCATGCATAGTCGACTCGCCATCGCTAATGCCTTGAATAACTCTCCTACGATCAATAATTTGCGTCTCTGTCAAGGATTCTTGATATATCTGGCGACAGCGTTTGGATCAGCCTATAGTCACGTGCATTATACAGCTAATTAAGTGCCAGATGCTCAAACCACTCATCAAATTATATTATAACTAGTAAAAGATAGTATTTGTAGGGCGGGCAAAAAAAGAAAAAAGAAAAAAAAGAAACGAGCGACGCAGGGATCGAACCTACAATCTTTGGTAATTGATAGAGAAACCGAAAACCAACGCCTTTCCATTAGGCCAGCCGCCCCGTTATATTACTCAGCTTCCACTTTTAGGATACATAACAGCCGTATGGAACTAGTTACCAGGTTGTCTTGTGCCCTTAGTTGTCCGAAATTTGGATTGAGCATGTTCGTTCACGACTCAACACCAATCGCTGCTCTCGTCATACCCAGTATTTGAGATACTTCACTTGTTACTCCTCTACAAGTAACCACAGTTAATGCCTTCGCATTCACCCCAGCCCTGCTGGAACTGTTCACTATTCCAATTCCAGTTTGAAGACAGTTCTTGATAGATTTTGGTGACTTTGCTTGGAATTCTCACTGTTCGTTCTTGTTTGGCTCGAAACTTATATTATTTTTGACTAAATTTAATCCAATGACTGGGTATCGTGCATCTATGACATTCGAGCTTCATGTTGACGGAGAGCAAATTTATTTGTAAAAAGGCCAACGGTTTACCGGACAAGCAAATCAAGACTCGGAGCATGTGAGTCAATCTAGGATTTCTCCGGGCATGCCTCAAGCTCACTCAAGCAATGCCCTCAGCGCTGGGTCCCATCTCACTTTTACCAGATTGATCAATCTCAACCTTTTCCTCCGGTTCCCACATCGCCTCCCGCATGAAAGTGCTATGAGCCCGGATTTGCGGTCCCTTCAGCACCAGAACAACAGGAACAACAGACAACGCAATTCCAATGAAGCCAAGAAGAGTACCAGCCCAGCCGAAGCCCAGATTGCTAAATAACTGAGGCGAAGCAAGTGGCAAGAAAGCGCCGAAGGAATTCCGGCCCAGCGAAGCAGCCGAAAGAGCGGATGCGGCATATCGCTCATAAGCATCGGTGAGATAATTCACAACGGCCATATAAATAGAGTAAATTCCGATTCCGGCGGCTGTGATACCGATTGTAGGGACAATCCAGTGCACGTCAGGCATACTAGCCCATCCATACCAGAAAAGACCTGCGGCAAATAGTAGACTGCCAGGAATCGCGGTATACAAGCGCGCTTCCGGAATTGGACGTCCTGGCTTCTCTGTATTTCTCCTTGCAGAGCGGAAGTAAAACCAATCCTGGATGGGGTTGATTATTGTGCCGATGATCGCTCCGACGGAGATTGCGAGTTGTACCAGACCTGTTGCGAGCGTACCCCAGTTGTAGTTTGTCGAATAGGTTTGCACAACACTGGAAAAGAACAGGTACAGAATTCCCCAGGCGAAACTGATCCAAAGTGTAAAGAAGATCACCACAGGCTCCGAAGTCAGCATTCGGGTAGGGCGTTTGAAGGAGATCTGCAATAGAGCGAGCTTGTTTGGTGCGTTGATCTCGGCGGCTGCGTAGATAGGGCGTCCGGTTTCTTTCCGGAGCTTTCGGGCGCGGGCTTTAAGAATGACATCTGGTCGTGTTTCGCGGAGGATGAACCAGAAAACGGGAATAAGAGCAGCGTTGTAAATAATCTGGATATAGAAGATCCTAAACGACGTAGGAAGTTAGTAAAATCCTGTACAGGATGAATGATGAAAGAAGAGATAACACACCATCGCCAGGGCTCGCTTCGAGGAATCTGAACAATTGCAGAACCAATAAACGGTCCAAGAGCAATACCAACAACACTAGTAAATCCGAAGATAGACATTGGCAGACTCCGCGCCTTTTCACCAAACCAAACATCACTGATACTTCCTCCGACAATGTTGATCGAGACTGACGAAGCGCCACCGCCGAAGAAACGCGTCACTACCAATGTAGCAAAGTTCTTCGCGAACGCGGAAGGGAAGAGCGAGATGACCAGAATGATATATGCCACAAAATATCCCGGCATGCGACCGGAGGACTCTGTGAGGGGCACGAAGATCAGCGGCCAGAAAGCCGCACCCATGTTCCATGAGGTTGTAGCCCAGTAAAGGTTAGGGAATGGCGAGTTCTGGACATCAAACTCCTTTTCCATCCAGTCGTTTCCAGATCCATAGGTACCTGCTGGAAGACCAGTAAGGATAGAGCTTTTTGCAAATGTCAGTAAACTTCCCGTTCCCACTGGGTATCTTGACAGACGATCTTACATGAAGCAGACCGTGATCGTGAGAAGCCACTTGTATTTCATGCCCCAGTTGAAGGGGTTTTCCGGGTCGTCGGGACCATTCCAGGTGTGAACTTCAATGTCCTTGTAAGGAGGTATTTCATCTCGAACATCTTGAACAAACAGTCCTTTAATCCTGGGGAGAAGTCAGCATAACTAATTTCTAGAGAATCATGTAAACACTAGAGGATACTCACTTGCCCCAAACCCCGGTACGAGACTTTGACTTTTGTGCGGAGGCAGGCTCAGCTGTCACAGGCTGCGACGGAGCAGGCTGAGACTCATGCACCTCCTGAATTGAGTTCCCACGGCTGGCCATCTTATCGAAGTTTGAGAAGAAAGCACGTCAACGTCAAATTGTCGGCCAGTGGGGGTTAAAAGAAAGTAGATAACACCCGGAAACGATCGGGAATCTTATTTTCTTTTTTTGCGTACTCATATCCTGTCCTGGCCCTTGTCCGAGAGACTTCACAGTCCGGTACACAAAGCCCCGATTATAATCCGACCGGCATGCCGAACGCCAATTAGTGTAGACCGGCACCTATTGAACTACTTCTTCGGGAAGCCGGTCGGGTTTGAGTGGAAACCACACTTCCTTCAAACGTTAAACGCTCCACTTTTCTGATGTTTCTGTGGGTCTAAAGATCTTTCTTGCCAGGCCTTCCTTGCTTTTCTCGAGGTTTATGGAGCCCGGTTCGTCCGGAGGGAAGGGGATTTTTTTTTTGTTTAAGGTTTCAATCAGTCGGTTGGCTTTTTTGCCTCTTGTTCCGAGGGAATTACGTGTTCTTGACTAGTGGCATTTTCTGGTCTTGGTATTGTAGATCTATTCATGGAAGTAAATTCACATATCTCGATCGGATTCTCGTTATTTTTCTTAGTGGCCTATTTGGGTCGTAGATTACATCGGGTTCCAAACGCTGCAACAGTAAAGATTAAGGCTGCAAGGTCAAAAAGTTATGGATACAATTTGAGACATTTTCATTGTTCGCGAAAGCGCTTGGAAACCGAATGATGTCATGCGGGTCAAGATGGGTCTTATTCGTACTATATCCACCTTTTTATTTGGACCCAACTTCTAATTCCGGCTTACATATCAAAGACCACGATGAATCTACTTGTTATTTGCTACTTGCATCTGCAGTAAGGCACGAGTCACACAATCCTTGGAATATGCCTTCTACTACAAGTATTACAAGTGGTGGTGTGTGTATCGTTAGCCGTTAATGCCAGAGCTAGTGTTAACCAAAGGATGATGAACAGTTAGTGTTAGTTGTTGATACCAGAGCCAGTGTTAGCCACCTTGTGGTGGCCGATGCTGAATACTAAGATGTCGCTGTTGCATTTGTGATTGAAAGGCCGTGAGGGCAGTGAGGCCGCTATGGCAGGGGACCACGAAGCATAGTATTGAGGCCGCGAAGTGAGGCCGCGAAGTGAGGCCGCGAAGTGCAGAGAGGCCGTAAAGTATAGTGAGGCTGTTAGGACAGAGAGGCCGCTAGGGCAGCTGTTATAAGATCAGTGAGGCTACAGAGCGCAGATAAACTATAGAGTGTAGAGAGGCCGCGAAGCAAAGTGAGGCCGCGAAAGTAAGTGAGGCCGCTAGGATAGAGAGGCCGCAAGGGCAGTGAAGCCGTGAAGCAAAGTGAGGCCGCGAAGCAAAGTGAGGCCGCGAAAGTAAGTGAGGCCGCGAAGCAAAGTGAGGCCGCTAGGATAGAGAGGCCGTAAGGGCAGTGAAGCCGTGAAGCGTAGTGAAGCCGTGAAGCTTAGTGAGGCCGCAGGGGCAGTAAGACCGCTAGGGCAATGAAGCCGTGAAGTGTAATGAGGCCGCGAAGCACAGAGAGGCCACGGGGTGTAGAGAGGCCGTAGAGTGTAGTGAGGCCGCTAGGGTAGTAAGGCTGCGAAGTTCAGAGAGTCCGTAAGGGCAATGAAGCCGTGGAGCGTAGTGAAGCCGTGGAGCGTAGTAGGGCCGCGGGGGTAGTTAAGCCACAAAGCGCAGAAGTCGCAGAGATAGAGAGGCCGATAAACCTGTGAAGCCGTGACTCGTGAGGTGTAGTGAGGCCGCGGAGTGCAGAGAGGCCACGGAGTGCGGTGAGGCCGCGAAGCGTAGTAAGACCATGAGGGCAGTAAGGCCAAGGCCGCAAGGCATAGTAAGACTGCGGGGGAATTGAAGCCACAAGTGCTATGAATCTTTGAAGCGCAGTAAGACCACGAGGGTAGTAAGGCCGCAAGACCATAAGGTACAGTGAGGCCGCGCGGGCAGTGAGGCCGTAAAGCGCAGAGGTCGCAAGGGTAGAGAAGAGGCCGCTAGAGCTGTGAAGCTATGAAACGCAGAGAGACCGCTAGGGCAGGGGTTATATATCAGTAATTGAAAGTGAAAATAGAAGCTATCTCGAAGGAGTGGTGGTTATGGGCCTAAATCGACAAAATTGCGATGAAAGCGTGCGTGTGGTGGTGATGGCACCCCTCCCCCTTCAACCCGAGGAGAGAGCAAAAATATAGTGATAGCGAGCTCAGGTAGCGTTGAGAAAGGGACTCATAACCTATACGGAGTGTAATATGTGAAGTAGTGGAATGTAGTGTATTGTGTATGAGGTGTAGGTGAAGGAGGAAAGGAAGCTATGGAGATAGGCTGACTAACATTTTGGCATTTATACCTTTCACATCAATATACCCTTCGGCATATCTGCTTACAGTTTATCGATCTTTACTTTCTTTCAACGTGGAACGTTAGCGCTGGCATATGAACTGGTTTATTAGGTACGGGTCTACTATACTGTAATCTTGATAGCCCCGCCATTTGCATTTTAGGGATCACCCCTCTACAGCTTGATTCCCTTCTCACTCGTGTTTCTGTTTCTGTTTCAGTTCCCAGTCTCCCGAATTTACCGGTTCGTCCCTGGGATCAAGAATAGTCCCCAGTTTGACGTGTACCTCCAACCACCCTTTGGATCAGGCAAGATGACGACTTTTCGCCCTTCTCTGCTGTTCAATCGGATGAGAATAGCAAATCGCTTTCAAAATGCATAAAAATTAGTCACAACGTATAAGATAGTCAGGTTAGAGTATCTATATCATTCAAAGACGCTCTTGTGTCCCTCTAGAGCTCAGTTCGCTATCTTTCAACTATCCTCGGGCCCAGTAGCGAATCACGCAGCTACAAAACACGCCAAGCAAAAACATCTCCAACACATCCCTATTTCCTCTTAATAGCGGATTCCCGCGGAATTGAAGACCTAGGTTCGAGCACGACAGGTCCGCTCGGCAGAGTGGTTGCAGCTCGGACCTATTGCCGACAAGATTGGCGAGCGGAATTGCACCATTGGCCGAACCGCCCAGCCCATCGGCAAATCCCAAGCCACCCTGAACAAACCATCAATCATTGATTGAGGATATATCGCTGGTTTTCCTATCATAGGCCAGATGATCAGTATCCGATCGCCTAATATTTCAATTATGTCTTGTTTGGCCTTGCATTAGACTTGGTATGTGTGCATAAAACCTCTTTGCCCTGCTTACCCCACACTGGGGTTGTATCACGATAAGGCTCGTTGCTTCGTAATTGATATCTAGAGAGGGGCTGTGGGGTATTGGGGTAGTATTTTAACAGACTGGATTTCCCTTCGTAACCTCTTGTTCGAGTTTGAATTCGAATTGAGTTGCTCCTTTACTTACACGACAAGTTTCCAACATCAAAACAATATGGCAATCAACCCAGTCTCTATTCCTCCAGAGGAAGTACGCAAGGCCATTGACGCTGCTTTGGAAAAAGTCGCAAAAGGCCTCCGTGGGCTTAATCAATATGTAAGTTCACACAATTCCAGCGTTCTTGTAAGAAACAATCTCACAAACCCAGATCTGGTCCAATCCCGAACTCGCCTACGAAGAACACAAAGCCCACGATTCAATCTGCAACTTTCTTGAAGAACAGGGCTTCTCTGTTACCCGGCACGCCTACGGTCTCGATACCTCATTCGAGTGTATCAGCGGAACTGAAGGACGACTTGTCAACTTCAATGCAGAGTATGACGCTCTTCCAGGCATTGGGCACGCATGTGGCCACAACCTTATTGCAACGGCCAGTATAACCGCATTCTTGGCGCTGGCGCATCTGCAGAAGGAATATAATATTGGTTGTCGCGTTCAGCTGCTTGGAACGCCGGCTGAGGAGAATGGTGGTGGGAAGGCGAAATTGCTAGATGCGGGCGCATATAAAGAAGTCGATGTTTCTCTCATGGCGTATGATCACCCTTCCACCCCTCCCGTTCCTCTAAGGCCAAGGATTTTTTTTTCCTCTCTTTTTTCTTTCTTTTGCTAACTCCCTCCAGTCACGGAGGTCCAAAGAACATCATCGGGAGACCCTCCGATGGTGTCGCGGGTATTCTCATGAACGCACGAAAGGAGCTGTACTTGGAATATTTTGGCAAGAATGCGCACGCAGGCGGGAATCCTTGGGAGGGCGTGAATGCACTCGATGCATTGGTGATGACCTATAATGGTATCTCCGTTCTAAGGCAACAGATCATGCCGGATGAGCGGATTCACGGTGCCTTCTTGGATGTGCCAAAGGTTGCGAATATTATTCCCGCGTACACCAAGTCGTATTGGCAGATTCGAAGCCCGAGTCTAGAGGGTTTGGATAAACTTATTGCGCGGGTGAGAAAATGCGCTGAGGGTTCTGCTGTTTCTACTGGATGTGAGGTTAAGATTGAGGAGTAAGTTGTCTCTTCTGTCCCGATTTTCACTGAAGGTGTCTCCCGGGATATGCATGACTGATTTTTCCCCTTTTCCAGGAAGGAATTGTATACCGATATTGTCCTGAATGATACCCTCTGCGAGCGATATGCCTTACATATGGAGGAGTTGGGCAGAACGTGTGTGAAGAAATATGAGAAGGTCTTGACTGGTTCTACTGATGCCGGTACGAGTTCTCCCTCAATTTTTGGGGTTTTTTTCTTCGCTTGAAATATTGACATTTTTCTAGGAAATGTCAGCTATGCTGTCCCCACTCTTCACTCGATGTTCGGCATCCCGGCTCCAGAAGGTTCTTACCCCCATCACCCGTCTTTCACTGCCAGTGCTGGAACCGACGAGGCGCATGAGGAGGCTGTTGTTACTGGTAAAGGCTTGGCTTTGCTTGGGTGGGATATGCTGACCAATGATGAGCTTTTCACTGCTGCGAAATCTCAGTGGGAGGGACAAGTACCGATTGCTGAGAAGTAGTTGATAGAGTACTCAGTGTATAGAGGTCTCTTATTTTAGTCTCGGATCATTGAAGGTGACGTCGCAAATAATGATATTATTTTTTTCGGTCTTTGGCCTACTACAGCACCTGGCGATAATGTTAGTGCGAAAGCCTGCCTTCTTCAAGTTCCAGGGTATTCAACTGGGATCGTTAGAACCCAGAGGCAATTCCTCAGCCACGCTCGTTGATTGAGACTTGGATGTCTTGAGCTGATTATCCTGGGCCTGATCATGCATACTACATTAAATTCAAGCTAGTAGATTGGTGATTGGCCAGTTGATTCCCGGGTTAGAAGTTGAGAGCGCAATGGCACTGGCAGCCTCCGAGCAAGACAAGATAGATAGTTGGTGATACTGTCCAGTGGTACTTCAGTGCAGATATATATCCCACGCCGACGAAATCAAAAATACTCCAGAACCCTCCCCACCCCCCGAAAAATCATGACCAAAGCATCAAAATTGACAGAAAACAAAATTCCAAACTAACATACACTCTCAAAGGTAAAAAAGCAAGTCTGTTTCGCCTTCTTGCATCATCATACTCGCGTTATGGACCCGCACGGCAAGTATTGAATAATTATGATTGGTTTACGACAGTCATAAGTGGGGCTCAAAGTTTTAGCTCCATAGCGCCCATTTTTCCAACCTCAAACAAGTACCAGGCCGGCTGGCCCAATGGCAAGGCGCTTGACTACGAATCAAGAGATTGCAGGTTCGACCCCTGCGTCGGTCAATTTTTTGGTTATTCTGTCTTTGTATCTAGACAAGAGGTAATTGGGTGCTTGCGGTGGGTGACCTGCTCTCAAAGGGGGGGGTGGGGGTTCCGGTCAAGTTTCTTTTTGCTCACAGGCTCTACCTCGCCCCTAAAAAATGAAGGTACTAGTAGAAAAGTATTGGACCATTTATTTTATCTCTACAAGTAAAGATTTGGCACAAGGACGAAATTAATATTGACTTCATTTACGGTCATGTAGATCTCACAATCGTGGCAACACAACAGCTCTATTATGTATAAGGGGACATTTACCCTTCCAATTCAATAGGTTACACATCCACAGAGGGGGCGGGGGAGACAAATGCCCTTCTCAAAAGGGCGAGGGCATTCAAGTACCTCCACCCCTTCCAAATAAAAAGATAAACATCAGACATTCGCGCTATATCCACCACCCAGCCCTCGCTGACGGCGGAGATAATGCATATACTTGCGACCCTCATCGACCCAAAAGACAGAGCTGGCAAGACATAGCAGTTTGAACAGCGAGCCAAAGCTCAGCGGCTCGGTTTGGAAAACGCGTTGCAAGAAGGGGAGGTAGATGACGCAGGCTTGACCGGCTAGGGAGCCCAGGACGGCGTAGTTGAACATCTTGTTGCCGAAGAGGGAGATTTCGCCGCGGAGGACGGACTTGCCTTCGCTTCGGCAGGTGAGTGCATTGAACATGTCGAAAAGCACGAAGCAGGTGAATGTCATGGTGGTGTCGTGGGCTGTAACGATGCGGGACCGCTTGCCGAGGGGTTGTCCGTCGTCGATGTCGCCCATTTCGTGGATGTAGATTGCGAGCGTGCCGAGCATGATTATCATGGCGGAGGTGAGAACTCGCTGTATGAGGGGTTTTGTGAGTACCCGCGCTGTTTTGGGGCGTGGGGGTCGGTTCATGATTGAAGGGTCGACGGGTTCGACACCGAGGGATTGGGCGGGGGGTCCGTCCATGAGAATGTCTGTTTTGGAGTTAGAATGCGAATGAGTTGGTGGGTAAGGGTAATCGCAAGGGAAACTTACTGATCCACAGGATTTGCATGGCATTCAGTGGATTCTTGAAGCCGAGGGTCGTGCTGAGGAGTACGAGACTGAGCGCAGCCACGCTGGTACTCAGCTGGAAGGTGATGAAGTTTTGAATATTATAGAAGATACCCTTGCCCTGCTCAATCGCTCGAAGGATTGTCGAGAAGTCGTCATCGGTGAGAATCATGTCTGCGGCCTCCTTGGCAACGTCTGTGCCAAGCTTGCCCATCGAAATTCCAATGTCGGCCTTCTTCAGAGCGGGTGCATCATTAACACCATCACCGGTCATGGCAACAACATCACCTCGAGACTGAAGTGCAGTCACGATCTTCATCTTGTGGTCTGGGCTTGTTCGGGCGAAAATGGAAGTTGTCGCGATCGCCTGAGTGAGTTCGGCCATGGTCATGCGGTCAAGTTCATCACCGCGGATGACTGAACGTGCGCCGGCGCCTTCATTGACCGGCATTCCAAGCTTCTTCGCAATAGCTACCGCCGTGGTCTCAGCATCACCGGTAATCATTATGACTCGCACACCACCGTGCATCAGACGGCGGATTGATTTGTGGACATCTCGACGAGGAGGATCATTCATACCGACAAGGCCGGCAAAGACTAGTCCATTATAGCGATCATCATCATCGGCAGGGCTGCCCTTGGGTGTGTTGGAACGGCTGTTGAACCCTTTCATGCCTCTCGACGAGCTTCGCACCGCACCGCTGGCAAATGCAAGGACTCGGAGGCCCTCGCTGGCCATATGCTCTGCAGCTTGGCGAATAATATTACGACGGGGCTCATCAAGAATAACCTCCCGGCCATCCTTGGTCAAGTATGTGTCCGAGCGAGCCAGAACTTGTTCCAGAGCGCCCTTAATATAGGCAACATCAGAATCACCGGGGCTGCCGCTACCAATGATAACACCCATCCACTTACGCTCGGAGCTAAATGGAGTTTCGGATACACGGGCACTGATACGCTCACGGACATCATCTTCTCCTAAAGTGTCCAATAGATCCAGAATGGCAACGTCAGTTGGCTGCCCCACCCAGCGGCTTTTGACAGCACTGGAATTCCGGTCTAAGGTGGAAGATAGCACTGCCGCAGACGATGCACTAGCTGGGGAGTTGGCGTGGGTACGGGAAAGGCGAGCGTTGTTTGCAATGTTGCCGACTCGGAGAATGGTACGGGCAGCTGGGCCGGGGAGAGGACTGAAGTCATATCACGCTGAACCTCAAATGGCTCGGTTGAGTCGAAATGCCACATCTTTGTAACAGTCATATGGTTGAGGGTGAGAGTACCGGTTTTGTCACTGCAGACAACATTGACAGAGCCGAGGGTCTCGACACTGGGAAGCCTGCGCATGATAGCTCCCCGCTTGGCCATACGCAGCACGCCAAGAGCGAGGGTCACAGTGACAATAATCGGCAGGCCCTCGGGAATAGCTGCCACTGCGAGCGAGACGCCAATAGTAAACATTTCAAGGATTTTACGGCCCTGGAAGAGACCAATCACAACAATCAGAGCGATGACACCGAACGAAATATAGCTCAGTTCTTGTCCAAGCCGATCCATGGACAGTTGCAGTGGGGTTCGCGGACTCTCAATCTCCTGCAGAGAGATCGAGATACTTCCGAACTCGGTCTTTGCCCCGGTTGAGATAACGATGCCCTGACCATGACCCGAGCGCACAAGTGTACCCATAAACGCAATGTTGTGTTGCTCATTGAGACGAATATCGGCACCAACGGCCCCTGACGCGGGGGCATCATAGAATGGCGATCGAGGAGGCTTGGTGACGCTGGGAGCTGCGAGGGTCCCACCATGGGCATGGTGACGAAGTGCCGCGCTGAACTTTACCACCGGCTCGTTTTCACCGGTAAGATTCGATTCGTCGATTGTAAGATCGGTTGCGTGAGTAATGCGAATATCTGCGGGGATACGGTCTCCTGTAGAGAAAAGCACCAGGTCACCCGGCACCAAGTCGGCGGCGGGGACCGTGGTGGATGCCTTGAGCGCAGCGGATGCCGTGCCAGGACTCTTACTCCGGAGTTCCTCCGTTTCTTCACCGGATTCCGATGTGCTGGCATGATCAGCTGCGGCAGTCCTCGAAGGCAAATCACGGATGAGGTGGGCGAAGTGTGGAACGAGTCGACCGAGTGCCTCCAGCGATTTCTCCGACCTATACTCCTGAACGAAGCCAACGGTCACGACGATGGTGACTGCAAGAGTAATACTTATAGCATCGTCGTAGTTGCCCATCACAAATGAGATACCGGCTGAGCCAAGGAGGAGGAGGATCAGGGTTTCCTTGAATTGCTTGAGGAACCGCAACCACAGTGGCTCGGGTTCCTCATGGGGAAGCTCATTGGGACCATCACGAGCAAGACGGATCTCAGCTTCTGCGGGGGTTAAGCCGTGATGGAGGGAGGTGTGAAGTCGTTCGGCGGTCTCATAGGGCTCGAGCCAAGAGTATGTGGAGGTTGAAGCCTAAATTCGTAGATCCGGGGGATTAGCGTAGTGTTCCAAGGAAAGGTTTATTGATCGCAGCACCTACCGATGAGGGAGCATCCGGCCGGCCGCCTAGAAGGTCGGTCGATGAAGGTTGCGGTGTTTCGATTTTGGGTGCATTATGCAGAGGCAGCGCAGGTGTTGTCGACCTTGACATCTCTCATGCTTCGGCGGAGCGAAACGGGGGGGGGGGGAGGAGGAGGGAGAATAGAAAGGTATAGGAGAAAACACAAGTTCGTTTTAGCGTAGGGTGATTCTCATCCCGCCTGGATGGGAGGTGGCAGTGTCGATGGGGGGCCACGTTCTTAAGAATGCGATCTGGCAGCAAGGCCCGGCGGTGGAGGGTAGGGTGTGCGGTTTAGCGGGGTCGATTCGGGGTGGGAAAGGGAACTTGGAAATCCAATTGTGAAACAAATCGACAATCGACTCAAGGACAAAACCCAAGGAGAGGAAAAAGAAAAGAAATGAGACCTGGAACAGGGGGAACTGTCGAGGCGCGCGGACTGCAGTCGAATGCGTCCTGCGCGGTGATGATGCTTAACCCGAAGTAGTTAGCGGGAGTTATGTCAGCTGGCTGACATAATCTCGCTGAGTCACCATATTTGACGGTCGCCCCAGCCACCCAAATCAGGTGACTTGCACTTGCACCCTTCGCCCTTCGATGCCTAAAGGAAAGGGTCCCCCTCGGCGCGCGCACATCACTCCCACTCATCCCTCGCGCCTCCAACTTGGACGTGTCTCTTAACGCGTCTACCAATCTTCAATATCCTTTGATCCCAACTACAACATTACACATACACCGTTCATACTCGCAATCTTCTATCGCCTCGCCTCGCGTCATTGACACCGCTTTGAAAGTCTGTTATTATCCCGGCTCCAGCGCGTCAAACCCTTGTTACGCCTCACCCCGCGCCGGGCGGGTTTCGACTTGTACAATCGCCTGAACATATCTGTTCGTCGCATACAGTCATCACTTAGTACAATTACGCGCCATGTTCTATTCCGAGACTCTCCTGTCAAAGACGGGGCCCTTGGCCCGCGTCTGGCTGTCCGCCAACATTGAGCGCAAATTGTCCAAGTCGCATATTCTGCAGTCCGATATTGAGGGCAGTGTCAGCGCCATTGTTGATCAGGGCCAGGCTCCCATGGCCCTGCGACTGAGTGGTCAGCTGCTACTGGGTGTCGTTCGCATTTACAGCCGTAAAGCGCGTTATCTGCTCGACGATTGTAACGAAGCTTTGATGAAGATCAAAATGGTTCGTCCCAAACTCCACTTTCTCTTTTTGTCTCATCTATTATTTGCATTAATGCTAACGTGGCTACTCTCCCCAGGCATTCCGCCTTACAAATAATAACGATTTGACAACAACTGTGGTCGCGCCGGGTGGTATTACTCTCCCCGATGTGCTGACCGAGTCCGACCTTTTTACCAACCTTGATACTTCGCTTCTGTTCCCGCAAAACCTCAACCTGGAGTCAGATGGCAAGCATTCCGCTGGTAAGGATTTTGCCAGCAGCCAGTTCGTCCCTGACAGCAGCTACCGTCGCTCAGTGTCCCAAGAACCTGCCCGCCTTGAAGACCACACCCTCGTCGACCTGGATTTGGGTGAAGATGAGCTCCCCCTTGGCATGGATAGGTCTATGGAAATTGGTCGAGACGCTCCCCCAGCTCGCCCATTGGAAGACGATTACATCAACGACTCTGGAAAGCTTATTGATAACGACCTGGAACTCGATTTTGGCGATGACGATGCCCCGCTTGATAAGATGGACATGGGTGGCGATACCCACGACAACATCGACAACCTTCTGCAAGATGATGGAATGGACCTCGGTGATGATGATTTCGGTGGTGAAACCCCACGTCCCGCCGAAAACCGCGTCCGCAACTCAGAGAGCCCTCTCTCCGATGCTGGCTCTGCCCAGATGCACCAGCTTGAGGAAGAATTCAACCATGATACCACTGCCGAGCCCGAGACTGGTAAACAGACGCAGCGAGCTAAGCGCCAAAAGGTTCTAGAACCTATCAAGATGGACAAGGAAATTAACTACTCGACTGCCGAAGTCCGTGCGCTGCAAACTGATCGCTCTGCCATTACCAATCCCCCTGCCTACCTTCCCCGTGACCCTGTCTTCCTCACCCTTATCAACCGTCAGCAGAATGGCGAGTTCGTCTCAGGCATTTTTGGTGAGGAGAGCCACCGTGGCTGGGCCCCTGAAATCCGTGGTCTGTTGTCACTTGACTCCGTTAAGAAGGCCGGTGAGCTCAAGCGCAAGCGCGACAGCGGCATCTCCGACATGGACCTAGCCGGTGCTGACGTTCCCGCCCTGGAACTCGGTGATGATGAGGCTCTTGTTGCCGACGATGAGGGCATCGCTCTCGACACTACCCTAAACCAGCACCCTGAGATTGACTTCCCGGGTGACGCCAGCCACTCGGAGCTGCAATTCAACGATGACGATGGCATGAACCACTCCGTCGATGATCTCGATGACACCATTCGTCCCGTCGACAATGAGCCCGTCTCCATGGGCACCAAGCACGCCGTCCACATCCTCCGCGAGCGCCTCGGCGATTCCGAACAGAAGAAGAGCGTCCTCTTCCAGGACATGCTCCCAGAGCAGCGATCCAGCAAGGCCGACGCCACCAAGATGTTCTTCGAGGTCCTGGTGCTGGCCACGAAGGATGCTGTCAAGGTGGACCAGGGTTCCAAGTCCCTTGGCTCCGCACTGAAGATCGGCGGCAAGCAGAACCTATGGGGCTCGTGGGCCGAGGAGAATGCTGCGGCTAGCCAGCTGGCCCAAGTCCTGTAAGACGGTTCCATATTTTACTTGTTTTATTTTACAAAGTATCAATGGCCGTCAAAATTTTGGCGCGGGAAAAAAGATATAACTGGCGCAAAATTCCATTCATGTACAGCTGAGTTTGAGATGGTCGATGGGTTTCTGGAAGATCCGATAATTGAATTTGTTTAGTGGTAGCGTCGCCTTTGTTGCTTTGCTCATGGGTTGTTGCTCTCAGGAGTTTTCTGGCGGGGGGGGTTATGGAGAAATGGGGTTTTATTTGTTCCTTCGTTATTTTTATGATGGGTTCTTTTGCTGGACAGTTTCGATGATTTTTTTTCTGGCGTGATTCGATACATGGGCTTCCTTTTTCGTAGTGCTAGCTGTTTAGTTAATTGAACATACCAATCAACTCACTCATCTCATGCAATTACTTCAGTTGATGTATGTAGAACGAACAATCCTTCAAAGTACTGGGATCTAACTGATTTTTCCTCGTGGCCACCTTCAAGTTACAGAAAGCCAATCTTCCAAGTCAAGTAAGCCCTATTTACGGATCGGAGAATTTCCTTGTGGTACCAGTATGCAGATCATAAGATGTGCGATGCGCCAAGAGCGTTACTTTTTGCTTATTTTTCCTCCGAGGTGCCACATGGCGAATTACTTACTGCGCGACCATGTCAGGGTCAGAGGAATTAGGGCTCAATCTGTGATGGCTACTAGTAGCAAGTATTAGTCAAATCATGCGATCACATCAGTTAGTTTCAGTCGATCTACGAAGTAAACTTCAACTTGAAGCAAGTGCGGAAGTTGATGTCCGTTATGTCCGTGTTCGGCCCGAATCAACCCCAGACCCAACAAGATAGGTCAACTTGAATGATAGTTATAACCGATACAACTTGAACTGACGAATGGGCCGAATGGATCCTACACAACAGAAATAGAAAATGTAGTATTCCATCAGGGGGAAGGAATACAGAAAAAAGTGGATAATGCGAATGCGAGCCTTGTGCTAAAAGAAACTTGAAGAGCGAAAGAGCGAACGAGTGGCGATTAATCAGCTCGGCGTAGAACTAAGCCGATCAATAACAGAACAGCCCCATTTCATGTCTCCGAAGCGCACTTTAGCATCATTTGTCGAGGCATATTACTGGTAGTTTATCCCACTCTCATCCCACCTTTGATTTTACTTTTTGGCTTTTGCTCCGTATACTTAATTGACTTTCCCCCATGATTTGATATAACCGAGGTCACCACTACCGACTACCAACTACCAACTTCGACTTGTTTGCTCCTGCAATATCTTGCTGACACACGAATGAGGGGAGCTGTTACTAGTACTATTACTTCCTAGCTCACCGACTGGCTCGGGATTCGATTTGGTTTGATTTCAAGGCTAGCGCCGCGGTCGAGCTCTACCTACGTCTTGCCTCTTCCCCACCTCGGAAATCAAGCTCCTTCAAGTTGCCACTTCGGACATCGAGCCGACTCGATTAGCGATCATCAATCGAAACAACAAACGAGTGTGAGAATCATCCGAATCATACTCAAACACACCCCCCATTCAGAGAACAGCAAGGAAGGGACAACAGCGGGATATTAAAAAGAGCAGACAAAGCAACGAAATGACGTCGCCACACTTGGCCGGCGAGAAACGGCTATCCTTTAGCTCTGAGTTCGAGCCCGAGCCCGAGCCCGAGCCCGAACACGAACAAAGCGTCGATTCAAAGTCCGAAGAAACGGGATTTGCGCCGATCACACATCCCCTTCCACGCGATAACGGTGCCAATAACCAGACAACGAATCTGAGCTCCAATGCCCAAGCCACTCCATCACGATCCTTAGAGCGATCCTGGTCTTTGAATGATGGGACGAGTCTTGCTGGCGACGAGCGGAGGGCCGAAAGGATATCGTCGGATGAAGAGCGCGCGGGTGAGAGTTTTATGGTTGGATGGGATCAGGATGATGCGTTGAACCCGAGGAATATGAGTAAAGCGCGGAGGTGGATGGTTGTTATTATTGTTTCGATGGGGTCGCTTTGTGTGTCAGTATCACTCTTTTGATTCTGCTTCTGGCTCTCCTTTGTGAAGTTGGTACTGACTATTTTGTTTCCGATGTGTAGGACTTGTACTTCCTCCATGTATACTGTTACGTATGATCAGTTGATGAAGGAGTTTAACTGTTCGAAAGAAGTTGCCACGCTGGGATTATCTTTCTTTATTTGGGGTCTTGGTTTGTTATACCCTTATCTTCGACCGTATAGTAGGTTTTATATGGCCATATGACTGATTATCCGTCTTCCAGGGATCGGCCCGCTCTTTCTGAGTCCCCTGTCAGAGGTAAGCATGCTATCCCCAGGGTCGCCTCCGCAATATCCTAATTTTCATAGTTCTACGGTCGAAGGAACATCTACATGGTTTCCTTCTCCCTCTTCCTCATCTGGCTCATTCCCTGTGCCGTCGCCAAAAATATACAGACAATGCTCATATGCCGTTTCTTCAATGGCTTGTCTGGTGCTGCGTTTCTCAGTGTCGCGGGTGGTACCGTTGGTGACATGTTTGATCGGCATGAACTTGCTTTTCCGATGATGCTCTACACCGCGAGTCCTTTCATTGGACCTGAAGTTGGACCTCTGTAAGTCTTTTTGGGGGTTTATTTCTTTGCGACTGGTCGGAAGCTAATTGTCCATTTAGTGTTGGCGGATTCATCAACGCGTTTACTACATGGTACCTCCCCAAGTCTATTTTTGGCTTGGTTATATCTAACTCATCCCCAGGCGTTGGACCTTTTACGTGCTACTAATCTGGTCAGGCGTACAACTGGCATCGCTGGTATTCCTTGTGCCAGAAACCTATCATCCAGTGTACGTACCCCCGGTTCCCAGCCCGCATCTTGACCTCTTGATACTAAATCATGACAGCCTTCTTCGACGCAAAGCGCAGAAACTCCGACAAGAAACCGGCGATGACCGGTGGAAAGCCCCAATCGAGAAATTGGAGCGATCGGTCCCGCAAACAGTTCTACGCTCCATGTACCGCCCGATCCTCCTCCTAACCCTCGAACCAATGTGTCTGAATTTGTGCATTTTCTCTGCCATCCTGCTAGGAATCCTGTACCTGTTTTTCGGAGCCTTCCAACTAGTTTTCCTGGAAGTGTATGGCTTCTCGCTTTGGCAGCGCGGCCTATGCTTCCTGGGTCTATTCGTCGGCATGGTCATGGCAATACTGTCCGATCCGCTCTGGCGCCGCAATTACGTCCGTCTCGAACGCCAATACCAACAAGGGGACCACGTCGAGGAATTCCAGCCCGAGTGGCGTCTTCCGCCAGGTATGTAAAGCGTCAGCTTAGAGGCTTGACTAGTGCTGGGAGTTGAAAAAGGCGTGAGATCTGACATGATTTATATATGATACAGCTATTCTGGGCGGACCTTTGGTTACGATCGGTCTATTTATCTTTGCGTGGACTATCTATCCAGACGTACACTGGATCGTGCCAATTATTGGAAGCGCTCTATTTGGCGCAGGGTAAGTTTCACCTCAAACCTTCTTCTTTCTTCCCCTGTCTTGTCACTTTTCCTGCGCTGCGCTGCGCTGCGCTCCCAACGACCCGGCAATTCAAAGCTGAATTGAATCGCGGCGTGCATGCTTTTATTTTTGTACTGTGCTGAACTTACTCTCTCGTGTTACTTCTAGGACTATCCTGGTCTATTCGGGCATCTTCACTTTCCTGGTCGATGCGTATCCCACTTATGCGGCCAGTGCTCTCGCAGCCAATTCGTTCATGCGCTCTAGTTTTGGAGGCATCTTCCCTCTCTTTGGTATACAGAGTGAGTTTTCCCCCTAACCCCTGCCCCTACCCTGCCTCAAGAACCTACCATTTGTGTATTTTCATATACTCGACCGACTAGGGTCATGAATGGCCCAGGGTCTGTGCTTTGCATGTGCAGTGAGGAGAAACAGAAGAATCGTGTCCAAGAAAACCGTTGCCGCCCCCTCCCCTCCCTCTCTGTCGCTAAAGCACGAGCAGGCGCAGGCGCAGATTTCCATATGAGATCTGCGGGGGTCTAGGGTAAATTTTGGTTGAGAGGGTGGTTGCATGTAGGATGGATGAACTATGAATCGAACGCTAACGGCCGCACAGTGTATAATAATCTCGGATATCATTGGGCGACATCGTTACTGGCGTTCCTGACCCTGGCCATGCTGCCTTTCCCGTAAGTTATGATCGGCTGTCCCCCGCTTTTTATTTTCTGCTTTCAATTCTGTGGCTGCCTTTGGTTGTTTCTGTCTTACGCTATGGCCTTCACGACCTCCTTTCCCCTGCGTCTGTGTCTGTGTCTGCGGCCGTGCCCGCATTCACGACCACAACCACAAACTCACGAGGTCGCTCAGACCAGACCAGACCAGAGCAGGGGGCGCACTGCACACGAATGAACCTGACTTTGCTTCGTCTCAATCTACTGTCGGGATACGAGTGTATAATGACAACGCAAGCAGATACATTTTCTACCGATACGGGAGTCGCATCCGCAAGCATAGTCGCTTCGCCACCTCGCAGATGTGATTCCGTCGCTAAAAGATAGACGATGTCTCAAATGCTTTCAAATCCAGTTCACTAAAACCACCAACCCAACTCATCTGCCGGTGATTGGGACGCTTCGTTCTCAATGCTTATACACCAGTGATTCCATCTCGGTCGACTGCACATATCATATGGTCACCGTGTCCAGCATGGATGCCCGGTTCGAATGAGTCGGCTGAACAGTCGCCCGCCCTCTTGCAAGTTTGCTTTCGCTGGAGGGATGCTTGCAGCTACAGCGCTTCGCCCGTGGGTTTCCCGTCGGTTCCTGTGTGTATGTGTATGTGTGTGGTGATGGGTTGGGTTCTCCAGGGCCTCTCTAGGAACTTGATTTTGACCTGAAGGCCCAACGTGCCAGGACCGTCCTACGTATACCAGTAGTTTTACTAGGTATCAGTAGCTGGGATGTGAATGCGGATGATATAGAAATCGAATGAGAAAGAATCGAATGCACTTTGTTCAAAGGTTCCACAGTATTGGCAGAGTAAGCCTCAGCCGTACTTACTATGTACTACTTACTAGTAGTAATCAATCTTTTAGTTCAGAATTGAAAATAATTATTTCTCCACCTGGGCACCAACCTTGGAAGGAAATAATGACATTGCATGGTTAAGGTTATCGTTTTCTCTTTTCTCTTTTCCCTACCTCCAATCTTCTTGCAGGTCGGGTATACGATTTCCAGTGCTAGTCTCTACTAGTCATTAGTTCGGCTTAACATTCACGCGAGACGAACAGGGTGGACCCACTGGCAGCAGCAGCAGCAGCGGCAGAGCTCAGCCAGGAGCCAGGCCAGACAGGCCAGGCCAGGATGGAATGGATGGAATGGAATTGAATTCTATTCTCCGATGACTACATACACACGTACTCAGAGAGTTACTCGTACTCGTAGTTGGTCAGTACATACTGTACTAAGTTGGGCCAGATACCAAGGATACGAAGGTGCATGCATGTAGACCAAGACCAAGACCAAGACCAGGGATGAAAGCATTCGGTAGTGGATCAGGCGATCAGCAAACTTAGCAATTCAGGAATCAGCAGTAACAGAAAAGACATTACTCAGTAGACGCGTCCAGCTCTAGCCCTGACTTTGACCTCTAGGCATTCTCCAGGGCTCCCACTAACCGAGGCCTGATGGGCCGCCAGTTGCCTCGGGAGAAGTCGGGACCAGAGACTCTTTCCGGGAGTTGAGTGAGTTGACTGGGTTTGTGCGGGGATATGACCGAGGAGATGAGCCATTTAAACTAGAAACAAGCCGAAAATTTTCGGATAAATTCAATTGTTTCTTTGTGTGTTTTGTCTAGGAGTAGGCAGGTAATGCGTTGTTGATTATCATGTTGATGGCAAGTATATAACCGTGGTATATAACCGTATCGGTACAGACTCCGGAACCCGTGTGGGCGCTGCGAGCACGCGGTGGCCCTGCGGGGAAGGATGTGTATTGTCACAATACCAATATAATACGCGCAACTGCCGTGGCCCAAACGTCAGCATGTGAAGTCGGTAGTCGCTGTACAGTACAGAGTAGTACTGATGTAGGAGTAGTACGCTACTACTAGTAACTGATATTTATATTCATATTCGTCTATCAAAATCATTATGGACAGATCTGAATTCTGAATATTCTTGTAAATACTCGCAATGACCTGCCTAACTCGTGTTCGTTTTAATTAGGTAAAAGAAAGTCAACCGGCGTCTGACGAAGTATAACATCCAGTGGTGACAGGATGTACTTCGAACCACTCAACACGGGCGTAAAATATCAGAAAAATACAGAAGAAATTCAACAAAATAAAAGTAAACCCCTCTAATACAATCAATCTATCATCACAAGCCATCTGGGCAGTCCGCACTAGAATCGGCCCAGTTTGGAGTGTCAGAATTGCTTAGGCCTCACAGGCAAGACGCAGTCACGGGAACATTCCGATCGCATTCAATCGAACCTTAGGTTCAACTTCACTTCTCTCGTCCCTTCGTCCTTGTGCGGCTCTCCTCTCACAAGTCCCTTTGAACTCTCCTCATTCTCCTCTCCTCACCCTCATTCTCTCCTCTTTTCTTTTTTTGTTCTTCTCTTCCCCCTCCCAATTTTCTCACCTCCCACTTCCCCGCAGCGCAGCCTGCTTTTCTCTCCACTCTCCGAATTCAGCTGCGCCCGAAACTGTTGCGGCATTTTCCCGCCTCGCTTCTGTCGCGATCCTCTCTCCGCCGGCGCTATCCCGACTCCCTTCAATGTGTCATTTGTTCGCTCGCCCTCGCCCCTTGGACTCGACTCGATTGTCCTCCGTTACACCCGTCGCAGACACATCAACCTCCAACCTCTGCCTTCCATTCCCCGCCGGCAATAGTCGCGCCAGCGCGGCTATAGCTCTCCTCCCCTCCAGAGTCATACCTCTCCGACAAACCCCCCTCGGTGGAAACTGCAAACTACAAACTACAAATTACGATCCCGTCGAATACTATCTTGGTCGCCTTGCGATCTTCAGGTCCCGCAGATCTTGCGCGGCAAACACGTGGATACATACCCGTTACGCCGAGAGAAAAGCCCTCCGCGCGGATGCCCGTCGCCACCTCCGGATTTCGAGATCGAAGCTAGAAGGCCTGTCCTGCAGGTCCTTTTTTACCTGGGTACACCCTGGAAATCCAATTGAATTTCTGTAGTATTATTCGTGGCTGCTGAGGTTGCGCGATTTTCTGGCCTGCATTTCCTTTTTTCTATTTTTTCCCTCCGCCCCTCTTGGCCCTCTCACACTCACCACTTGTGTGGGATACATGACGAAATGAATATGGACATCAAGAACGGCTCGCCGGTCGCGGATTCCGAGGATCGCGATTCCGCCGATATCACAGAGCACTCGGAAACCATGGACTCTGGCAGGACAAATGGTGATGCCAAAGAGAATCGGAAATCCACCAACGCCAAGGACCCCTCGCGACCGCGTCGGAAAAAAGCCCGACGAGCTTGCTTTGCCTGCCAGCGAGCCCATCTGACTTGTGGTATGCATTGCCATTCATTACCTTTCTTTCTTTCTTTTTTGCTCCCCCGCTTTTCTTTTGCTTGGCAAGCATTGCCTTGCAAGCAAACCCGTAAAATCCAGACTAATCCTTCATCCAGGGGACGAACGACCTTGCCAACGCTGCATCAAGCGTGGGTTGCAGGACGCATGCCACGATGGGGTCCGAAAAAAGGCTAAGTATCTCCACGATGCCCCAGACGGAGCACTGATGCCCGGCGTGGGTACGAACTTTCCCACGTATAACAATGGAATGCGCAATTCCCTCCCGGTGTCCAGAAATGGCCCCAACGCGGGAGCGAACACGCCGCAACAGCAACAACCGACCAACAACAGCAACAATGCCGGCAATTTCTACCCCACGCCCCAGCCACAGTCGCAGCCCCAGGCTCAGGCTCAGGCCCAGCCGGGCTCTTACAATATGTACCATCAGGATACGCTGAGCCAAAGTCCTTTCACCACCCAATCTCCCGTCTCGCCCACCTTCAACCTCAAGACCAGCGCCAATGGTCGTAATTCAAGTCTATCCTCCACCGTTAACCAACAACCCACCCCCAACACCGCGATCTCTGGCGAAACCGGAAACCCACAAAATCCCTTTGCGGGGCCCTTCTTCGACCCCAGTGACCCCGCTTTGTTTAATTTTGACCTGTCGAGTATGAATTTCGAGAACCGCTATGGCGCCCTCGAATTCGGCATGCTCGGCCACATGGCGACGGGAGCGGGTGATTCGCCCACCGACTCGGCGACGCAGCGAGGGTCGATCGGCCGCAGTGGGTCTGCACAGTTCTCCACGCCAGCTCCCGGTTTTGGAGAAAGTCCGGGGAATCAGCCGCCGTTCATGTTTGGTGATCCTCTACTGAATGAGTGGCCCTCGGGTCAGGCCTCGGGCCAACCGCCGCATGTGAACGTCAGCGGAGTGTATGGTCAGAATGGCATGTTGCCTGGACATATGAAAGCAGATCCACCACATGCATTTGCGATCGAGAGCGGTCCTACAAACTTCACCAGCCCCGGATCAGCGACCAGTCCACATGTGACGACAACGTCCGGGTTTACTGGAGAAGACCCATCCTTCAATAACGTGACCAAACAGAATAACAACAACCTTGCGCCGAATGGTCAGCGACCGCTGATCACCACGCCAAGCTTGAAGCATCAAGCTTTACATGTTGTGCCTAAGCGACGTCATCGAAACCCATCTTCCATCTACGAAAGCGTCAAAGAGCCCTACGCTTATACCAGTGGCTTCCATAATCTCACGGCGTTTATCCAACGCCGTTTCTCCCCACAGAAAACAGTCCGCATCGCCAAGGCACTCGCATCAATCCGCCCTTCCTTTATCGCAACCACTAAAACCCTCAACCGAGACGACCTCATTTTCATGGAAAAGTGCTTCCAGCGCACACTGTGGGAATACGAGGATTTCATCAATGCCTGCGGCACGCCAACAATCGTCTGCCGACGCACGGGCGAAATCGCCGCCGTAGGCAAAGAATTCAGCATCCTAACAGGCTGGAAAAAGGACGTGCTTCTCGGCAAAGAAGCCAATCTCAACGTTAACACGGGAGGAACCTCGCAGCCGGCATCCGGAACATCCTCGCGGGGCAGTTTCACGCCGCGCGGCTCAGTCGAGAACACAGGCGGGCGACCGCAGCCAGTATTCTTGGCCGAATTACTCGACGATGACAGTGTTGTGGAGTTCTATGAGGACTTTGCTCGGTTGGCGTTTGGAGATTCGCGCGGTAGTGTGATGACGCGGTGCAAGTTGCTCAAATATAAGACCAAGGATGATATGGAGGCTGCTCAGCAGGATGATGGGAAGTGGAGTAATGGTCATTTGAGGAAAGGGGGTATTGCTGGCGAGGCGGGGATGAATCAGTTGGGTTTTAAGGATGGGAAGGTCGAATGCGCGTACTGCTGGACAGTGAAGCGAGATGTTTTTGATATCCCGATGCTTATCGTTATGAACGTGAGTACCTGAGGACCCCTGGGAAAGAAACTCCTTTTTCTTTTACTTTTTGCTAACGCTGCTTTTTCTAGTTCCTGCCTTGCATTTGATTCCGATCTACTGTTGCCACTACCAGTACTCTGCTCACACTTGTGCTTCATACCCGCGGCTCGACTCTACTTGATGTTTGAGTTTATGTTCGTGTTCCTTTTTTTCTTCTATTTTCTTGCCTCTTTTTTAGGTTTTCCTTGCCTTGTGGCTGTTCGGTATATATTCCTGTTTGGGACTGTATGATTCCCCCATCTCGCTCTGCTCTGTCATGTTCTATTTTGATGTGTGTGATCTTCTCTGTTGTATCTTTGTCTGTTTCTTTTTTTCTGTCTTTGACCGTACATACATTCGGTGTTTGGGGTCCCTATCCATCTGAACTGGTAGGACCCGTTGATATTTTCTGTTCATTTCACTCTGTTTTTATCTGTTGATTGATTGACCTTGATGCGGCGCTTAAAAGGACAAAAATGATATCTCTGGGCTGGGTTCGGTGCTTTGATGATAATGCTACAAATGCTATGGATTGAATTGGGGGTGTTTCATTGACTCTACTAGTATGTAGTACCTAAAGTGCAGTCACTATACTGTAGTCCAGTAGTAGTAGTATAGAGCGTACCGGCATAAACAACCTCGGAAACTCACAGGTCAGCAGATACTCATCCGATCCCATTGGAGCGCTTTTATGCCTGAATGACATGGCAACCAACGTTTTTGCTTATCGATCGCCCCGCCATTTCCATCCGTCGATGAGCAATCATCCTCGGCCTTCCAACGCCAACTCCCAACTCTCCGAGCAACTGCCCTCCCCCCCGACATACGCCTTTCCCGCGGCCTTGACCTTAACCTCGCCACAGTTCCCGAGCTACGAGTACAAGCTACAAGCTGCAAATAGCATTTCCATCCGGTATCACTTGGACTGTGCTCCCCGTCATTCCGGAGCTCACCGGCGCGGCACCCTCCTCCCTCACTCACCCGCCCTATCGCAACTCGCCTCGCCTTACCTCGCCCCGATCTGCGCATAATCCTCCGATCGATTATACTTACCCCACCCGCTGAGCTGAACCGTCACTGTTAGAATGAGAACCGATAAACCACGCGACCCGGTTGCGGGCCCGGACGCGGGTCCCGAGGCCCCATTCCCGATCCGTTTGTCTGGACCTGTTATCAAAGGATTTGGACGGGGGAGTAAGGATGTATGTTCATGATCATTTCCGTTTCCGTGTCTAGCTTGCTTTTTGCGATCGCAATTGCAATTGCAATTGGTCCTGATGCCTTGCCCTGCCTTGCCTTGCAGTGCGGGGGAGAAAGCAAACGCACGCAAAAAAAAAAAAAGAAAGCCTTTGATATGCACACAGACTAACACAGCCTCCAAACCTTCAGCTCGGCATTCCAACCGCAAATATCCCGGCCGACGACCTCGATAACCACCCGGACCTGAAAACGGGCGTATACTATGGCGTTGTCGCACTCGCGCCGATACAAAAGACCACCGAGAATAGTCATGGCAATGGCAATGGCAACGGGGATGCAGAGACAAATGCGCGCGATACAATCCTCCCCGCTGTACTGAGCATCGGATACAACCCCTTCTACAAGAATACCGTTCGATCCGTGGAAATCCACGTCATGCCGCCCACAACGCAGCCCTCACCAACAGCCGCGAGCCAGTCGCAACCGACCTTCCACCGACTGCCGGATTTCTATGGCACGAAGTTGAATCTGTTGATTCTGGGGTATATTCGGCCGGAGTTTGATTATGTTTCTATGGAGGCGCTTATTGAGGACATTCGGGTTGATTGTGAGGTTGCTAGGTCGAGTTTGTTAAGGGAGGGGTATTTGAGGTATCTTGTTGATGATGGGGTGTCTTTGGAGAGGGTTGATTCTGATCGGGAGTGGTTGGTTAAGTTTTAATGGGGTTGCTAAGTAACTCTGGGAGTGGAAATGGTAGTAAATTGGAGATGGAGATGATAGTATAGATGAGGTGGATACATCGCGTTGCACATAGATCATGATTATGAGTATGAGGATGAGGATGAATGAATATGAATATGAAAATTGAACTAAAACTAAAAGCCGACCTGGAATTCTATCGTATGAGAACCAGCCTTGTGGAATGTGGTCTGATACTACTAGTACTACTAGTAACTACTGAGAGACTCGTCGACGTCACACCAAGAAACCCTAAGCATTGGCACCAAAGAGGCAGTCACATTCACGTCTTGTCCGATGTAATCCAAGAATTTCCCCTCGGATCACTCGGCAAGACAACGATCCAGCTTATTTCAAGCTCAATCCCACCCAAGAGACAAACACCATTGAATTGAGTTGAGTTGAGTTGAGTATACTTCTCAACCCATACTTACCGCAATGGTGAACGTCTTCCGGCGTCTAACCGGACGAGCGCCAAGCTCCAATCCAAACACAACCCAAGATGACCAGCAATCTACAGCAGCAAATATTACTGGATCAAGACCAAGATCAGGCTCCCTTCCAGCTCATTCCTCTTCTCACGGCCACATACGTCGCTCGCTAAGCGTGAGCTCGAATAAACGTCTCCGCCGCGCACCGGCCGAGGAACCCTCGCCCAGACACTTGATTTTGATATCCGATACCCCCGAGATTGACGAGCGCATTCTTCATCGGTATCAAGCTGAGGGATTCGATGTTTCGTATCTGCCATTCTTGTGCAGTGGGGATCCGGAACGTGATCGGAAACATTTGGATAATGCGGTTCATTTGAGGGAGGATGAACTCGAGGCTGGGGAGAGGTATGCTATTGTTGGTATGTACCTTCCCTCAAAATAGATGGATGGTTCGAATGAATATAGTGTGGTTATTCGTGAAAGAAGAGCGAAGCGGCAGCAGCTAACTCAGCATCCACTAGCATATAACAGACCAGCATACTACCTCCTCGCCTCCCACCACCTCGTCGCAAGCAATACAAATCCCTTCCCCCGCCTGGTCGCTTTAATAGCCTACTACCCATTAACATCCACCGCGGCTCTCCCACACCACCCATACAATACAGAGGATTGTGTCCCCGCTTGCTGTGATACATCGTCTATTTTTGACCCGGGTCCGACAACAACATACCTCCCCATCCAAATCCATATTCCCGGACCCAAAACAGACCCGGAGACATTGTGGCCGTGGATTACGATTTCTTCATCCGAGGGCGATGTCACGTATAAGAAGCGGCATCGCTGCTACGTTTATACGTACCCGGATGCAGGGTTTCGATTTGTGGAGCGCGAATTCGCGACTGCGAGGAAGACGGGTGATTCTGGATCTGGGTCCAATGCTGTTATCAAGGGCCATAATGTTACGGAGGAGGATACGGTTTGTGAAGGTTTGGCGTGGAGTCGGGCGTTGGCTTGTTTGAGGCGCGCTTTTGAGGTTGGGGGCAATTGGGCTGTTGTTGATATTGAGACGGTTTGGGAGAGGTATTGGGCGCTTTTGTTGGAGGAGATGGGGAGGAAAGAGGGGCGTGTCAGTGATGGTGGGTGTTCTGCGGATGCGCTGAGTGAGGCGATTTTGGAGTTGATTTCTGCTGGGGATGCGGAGGGTCATGAGGGTGAGGCTGGTGTGGAGTGTATTCCTACGAAGGCTGGTGGTATGTTTTTTTTTTTCTTTTGCATTTCTCTCTCTCTTTCCTTTTGCAATCATTTATGGCTACTAACTGATTCTAGGATCCGGGGTGAATTCTTTGAGGTCTTTCTTTTCGCATGCCTTTCTTCCTGCTGGTCCAGTCAACCAACATCTTCGTCTGTTGTCGCGGACTGTCGGTGCAGATCGCATTGTGGATGAAATATCTTTTTCTTTCTCGCATACAGCAGAATTACCGTGGCTACTGCCTGGTGTCCAGCCTACGAATCGCGATATTAAGGTGACAATCGTTGTTGTGGCAAGCTTTTGCGCGGATAAGATTGTTCACCAAAGCTTGTATTGGGACCAGGCGGACGTGCTGGTGCAAGCCGGGATACTAGATCCAACACTAGTACCGCAGAGTAGGTAACAAGATTGCAAAGCTTCCACGAGGAAGTTGATGAATAGAAATATCTGAAATGCATTTCTTAAGCGCTATGCTATAGTGGATATCAATCAACTCCTGTCATCCTTCCATCTATTGCTCCAGTTGAGAACGTAGGCTAGCAAGATCCTTACTCACACCCCCTGCACTGGTCAGTGTCCTCCGACTTGCCTCTTGCGCCACTGGAAGAATATCTTCAATGCGCGCTGCCGAACCCGCTTTAGCAAGCCCAGAAACCACGACGCCGAGCAGGGTATCTCCAGCCCCATTGACGCTAACGACCTCATGAGGAGCCAACGTAGCAGCAGGCGGGAACAAGCGCATATAAACACCGCCGAAAGAGGCCTCAGTAGATACCTCAGATCGAGCCAGGATATAGGGAGCAGACTCGGGGTCCGTAAGGCGAGGATCACCAGGCGGTAGGAGCTGAGTGAGGAGAGCACCCGCATCACCGAGTTTAGTGATCAGACATGGAATGAATGGGAGAAGCTGAATGGACTGCTGCGGCAGGCCTTCATCAACGAGAGCAGCAGATGTCGCGGCAATCAAACGTTCCCGCGAGCCTGTAGGAGACAAGCCCATCGCATTAATCATGCTCCACCACCCGGGCGAGTCGAATAAAAGCGCTTCTCTGGCGGCGGCGTACATGGCTGCTAACTCGAGACGATTGGGGCAAGCGAGACTGACAGAGTGGTTAGGAATTGTATTCGCAGGTCCAATCGCCGCACCAGTACCGCTCGCATCATGTCCAAATAGACGCCGCGACTTGGCAGTTGATACGGGCTCAAAGGCTACGCGGGCCCCGTGTTTAAGGGCAATAGAGCTCCATTTGGCGATGACATCGGGTCGCCAGTTCGCGTCGATGACGACCCAGCTAGGTTTGCTGCGCTCTAGGAGTGGTTCCCAGAACCCTTCGAGGTCGAGCTGTTGCTCCGAGAGTTCTACAATGCCCATGTCTGCCATCGCGATTAATAGGTCTTTCTTTGCATCGTTGATGGCGACGTATTGCGCTGTTCGGGCCCCGGTTGTCGCGGGGAGGACTTGAATTCCTGCACTGCTTAGCCCTTCTGTTTCGAGGGTTGCGAGGGCGGCTCGGCCGCTTAAGTCGTCCGCTACCACGCTGCAGAAGAGGACTTCGCTTCCGATGTAGCGGGCTGCTAGGGCGACGTTGTGGCCGACGCCGCCGAGGCTTTGGCTAATGACGGCTGGGTTGGAGGTGTGTGGGAGTGGTGCGATTTGGGCGCGTTCGTTGTCGAATGGGGTGTAGTCGCATGAGAGGTCGATTGCGAGGGAGCCTGCGACGAGTACGTCGGTTTGCTTCAAGTTGGTTGAGGTTGTTTTCTCAGAGGGGATGATATGTTGAGGATTCTCTTTCGGAGTTGGGTTTTGCTCCGGCGTTGGGCTCAGGAAAACGGGCATGGCATGTCTATACGCAAGAAGAGCTCCGGACTTTAGTATGCTGTTTTTCATTCTGTATCTAAGCATCCTACTCACCCCGACGTTCCTCGCTCCATTGCTTCCAGCTTGGCTAACTCCACCGCGACCTGGCTGGCACGTTTAACATTTGATTCAATCAAAGCACGGTTAGCGATTATACTCTTGCCCCCGCTTAGTTCTTTGATCTTGGACAACACGAATGGTGTGTTGTCGCTGCCTCGGTAGCCTTCTACGTCCGCGAGGCGGACGGCCTCCTCAATGACAAGGTCCATCTCCGCTTTGGGGACGGGTATTCTAGAGGGACGGGGTTGGCAAAGTGGATTCCAGATGTGACTGGGAGTCTGGATTGCGCATCTGGAACATGGTCAGTTGGATGATGGGGGAGTATCAAATAAGTCAAACTTACAGACGATGGCGGCGGCTTCGGCTTCATTATGGATGACACGGGGGGCTTCGCACTCCACTGTCTCGGGTGTAGAAGGCAGGGAAGTCCACTGCGCCATCACGTCCATCGGCAAAAGTACCTACACAGACACCTTCTGTCTCGAGGTATTCTAGGGTCCGGGGGATGTCTAAAAAGCTCTTGCACCCAGAGCTGATGACGGTGACTGGTGTCCGTCCCAGTTCAGTCAGGTCGGCTGAAAGAAGCATTAGAATAAGTATGTGAAGTACGCTCCCGAAGAGACATAAGAGAGCTGGCATACCGGAAACATCCATCGAATTCTCACCACCGCGGTGAACACCGCCTGGTAGCTACTGTTAGCTTTGTTTCATGGAAAGGCAGTAAGGTAGCAAGGTGTAAATACCTAGTCCACCAGTTCCAAAGATCTTAATCCCTGCCAATTCAGAGAGAATCATAGTGCCAGAGATGGTTGTGCCACCATGAATCTTTCTTCCAGCCAAGCCCTGGATCATCATTAGCTGTTACGTCCTCGCGTGCCAAGTGATGCGGGGAACCTACCATCCCACAGATATACCCCAAATCCCGACGGGAGACCTTCAAGGCGGACTTGTTCTCTGCGGTCGAGGCCAGCTCGATTATTTCTTCAGGACTCATGCCAACCTTGGCAACACCCCCTAGTATGCCGATGGTTGCAGGAACGCCGCCATTGCCCCGAACAACCGACTCCAACAGAGTTGCCAAAGCGATGTTCTCAGGGTAAGGAAAGCCTGGTTGGGTTAGTTTAGCATTCTAGCATGTGTAGCAGTGTAGTGAACTAGAATAAGTGCAATAATATTTAAAGATGAGAAGCATACCGTGCGTATATATCGTCGTCTCCAACGCAACGACTGGCTTGCCTGTTGCGACAGCATCGCGCACCTCTTCGGATACATTCAAGAACCGACTCTGTGGGTGTCTGTGTAGGTTATGGAGCTGACGAGCAAGAATCCGAGGTGGAGACTGCCTCCAGCAGGAGCGAAGAGCAGCTCTGACCAACATTGTGAAGGATATGGAGTGGGCAGAGTAGCTGAAGTACCTTACTCCAGGGTAGCAATAGAAAAGAGGAGAAGCTGTTATCGCCGATAAGCGCGCGGAGGTGCGCTTCGTGGCCGCCGCGCCTGCCGTAGCGATAGTTGATAGTTGATAGACTGGGGACACCTCAGCAGCTTCCATCCACCTTGACTGGTTCAATCAACCACCCCCTCCGACCCCTCCACCTTTTTCGCAATTGAATTTGTCTCGGCGTGATCTCCTCAGCCATCATGAGGTTTTTCACTGCCACAGTGCTGGGGCTATTGACGTCCAGCCTGGCTGCCGCAACCAACCTTACATCACCATCCCGACTTGCTCTCCCAGCCGATTTCAAGCCCCAACAGGTCTTTAAGAACACCAACCTCGTTCGAAACACCAATTTGGAGAAGGGTTACGTGCGCGAGACCATCAATGTTGTCGTGGAGAATATCGACAAGCAGGCCCAGACCGACTACTACATTCCCTTCCCTTCAGATGTGTTTGAGCGAGTAGGTGGCTTCGAGGTCCGAGATAAGAAGGCTACCGACAAGGGCCGATTTGTGGTCGATGCGACTGAAGTCGTTTCTGCCAGGTACGCTCCAATTGAAACGAAAAAGAAAATACAATGGCTGCCATACAATTTCCATGTAATTGGAGCTCTGGAACTATCGCTAACTCTACTTTCAACAGTGGTAACCAGTACTTCATTGTCCACCTTCCCGAGCCTCTGGCCCCGAAATCTCAGATCACCCTGGGAATCTCTTACTCTGTGTTGAACTCGCTGAGCCCGCGCCCCGCGACTATCGGCCAGAGCGACAAGCAATATCTCCACTACGCTTTCTCTGCCTACGTCCCCTCTGCCTACCAAACCATCACCCAAAAGACCAAGGTCAAATTCCCCAGCACCGATATCCCCGACTATACCACCACCTCGGATCTCAAGTCTGGTGCCGACCCCGAGCGCAAGGGCGCTACCTACACCTACGGGCCTTACGACACGGCCAAGGTCGTTCCCGGCACCGAGTATCCGATCGCCGTCCGCTACGAGTTCACCAACCCCGTCGTTACCGTGCACCTGCTTGAGCGTGATCTGGAAGTCTCACACTGGGGTGGAAACCTGGCCACCGAGGACCGCTACTGGCTACGAAACAACGGCTCCGAATTGGCCAGCCAGTTCTCTCGTGTTGACTGGACATTCGCCAACTACCAGCGCGCGCCGACTTCTGCTGTCCGTGAGATCACATACCCTCTGAAGCCCGGTTCCGTCGACCCTTACTTCATTGACGACATTGGCAATGTCTCGACCAGCCGCTACCGCCCCGGTAACGGTAAGACTGCCGGAAACCTGGAGCTCAAGCCCCGCTACCCCATCTTCGGTGGCTGGAACTACAGCTTCAAGGTCGGCTGGAACAACGATCTGGCCGCCTTCTTGCGCGAGACTGCCAAGCCCGACTCGTGGGTTCTCAAGGTTCCCTTCATCCAGGGACCCAAGGCATCTGAGGGCGTTCAGTACGAGCGTGTTGTCGTTCGCGTTGTGCTTCCAGAAGGGGCGCACAATGTCCGATTCCAGACTGCCGAGGGCTCTTCCAGCAATGGCCTTCCCGGTGCAAACCAGATCCGTGCTGGTCTTTCCTCTTACAAGACCTTCATGGATACCCTTGGTCGGACTACGTTGACCCTGGAGGTTGACGGCTTGACTGATGAGGCGCGGGATGCGGAATTGATTGTAAGTTTCCCACACGACTCGAAAGCTTTTCTCTTTCTTTCCTTTCTCAAACATAGCTAATAGTGGCACAGGTGACCTACGATTACACCTTGATGGATGCCTTGCGCAAGCCGTTGACTCTCTTCGGTGGCTTGCTCTCCGTTTTCATTGCTCTGTGGGCAATTAGCAATATCGATGTCAGCATCAAGAAGCGCTAAAGATAGTGTTTCTTTGCCAGGGTGCATGTTTCATATTGTCTTTCTATAGGCCCTGCATCTGTCTCTATATCGAATACAAATCGAGTTCTTTCTGCCCATTGGTTACCCGCTAGTAGTAACGAGCTTTCGGTCTATACAGCTATATTGCGGACATCCCTCTATATACGTAAGAATGTACTTAAGTACCTACTAGTAACAACTCCGAATATCTTCTCGGATACTGGTTAGAAAAGCCTTCAGATGCTCCAAAATTTCCAAGGTTATAACTGGATTTTTTCTCATCTACCCTACCTATCCAAGCAATTTCTTCTACAGATAAGTTGTACATGAATCACACATAAGCCAAATATAACTCAACTCAAATTGGACTCCTCTTGAACTTTGAGCTACGTATCACTAACGCCTAGGTAATAGTAGTTATAGAACTAAACTTCACAGAGCCCATCCGCTTAAAGCCAAAGCAGCCTGAGTTCTGTTTGAAAATCGACCTCACTGAGAGGCCAACTTTGAGTCTTGCTGTCGATTGTGATGTTGTATTGCGCACAGCTTTCTTGAGCAATGTATTGAGCAGTGCCCTGGGAAACGCGCAATATATTAGTATACTAGTAAATCAAGTGGAGGAGTAAATGGTAGCTTCACCTGTGCAGTCGTTATAATACCATCCCAATCATCATGATGCGATCTCTAAAACTCCTCAATGGCGTCAAGATCGCAGAGGGGGATTCCCACGAAAATATTAGTAGATGAAGAAGGATCCTCGTAATTGTGGGTAATGGCGGACTGGCTCGAATCGTCAATGGTTTGGGCAAAACCATACGTATGTTCCATCAATCTGACTATTGAGGAAATCAATGAAGTACCCGTCATAGTCCGTAGGAATGCTGTCATCTCTAGATTTTGTCAATTTCACTATATAGTTCACGTGGGAACAATACAAGATATTTCAACTCACAGCTTCTTGAGGAAGTCATCCATATTTTCAGAGTTCCAATGGGCCAAGTCTTTATATTTTGATTGCAGGATCTTTTATCATCGTCTATCATTGGCCTTCGCATTGCTACGTTGAAAAAGGCATGATCGACTGATCATACTGACTCAATCATAACCAAAGGCCAGATCCTTCTGTTCCACCTCATATAGATCGAGATCAAGCGTTTGGGGCGCAAAATGGATCAAAATATGTTCTATGATAGAGCGCTCCGTTTCATGCATGTACTATTTGGTGAGCTTTAACTACATACTACATCCGTTTAGCCCTTCCGAACCTCAAAAGATGTAACCGTTGGGGGGGGCTGAATGCACAGGCGAAAGTAAGTGTAAGAGACAAGTGTCCTTGTGAGCAATAATCCTCAGGAAAATTTTTCACAGGGCCAATATGCCATCATGGTGTGAAACATGGGAAGGCCAATTCCAGTTTTGGCGCTTATATTGTAACCTACTAGTAGGTAAATAACTTGAAATATCATGCCGGAGTGACGCGCGGCGCGGGGAATATAAGTACAACCGACGTGCTATGCTGGTGATTTTCTATCCCTTGAATGGCCCATAATATCGCCCCAGGAACATATTTGATGCATGTCTTTTATCTACTGGTAGGTATTAAATTTATGAATCATGCAAGAACTTTCAATGTTCTCGTTAAGCATCCGCAGCGTATTTTGGATAGTGCGTTGCTATCGTTATGTATAACTCGAACTGACTTATTTCACCAGTCCTCCGTGACCTCGTAGGCCCACTGGACGTCAAGATAGTGGTTTTTCTCGTCCGCGAAAGAAGACGTTACATCATATCTTCCAAAGACCCCCATGCCGGACGGAACTTCTTCGCCACCAACTGATAGAAAGGTTTTAGTTTCATATAAGGGAAGCCCCCCAGGTGCTTGTTAACTCACATGTCACTTCAAAGTCAGGTTGGCCCTCTAGAACAGGGGCATATGCACCCTATTAGCTCTGTTAGTTGCGTAATATACAGACGATGACGTCGCTACTCACCATGAGAGTTTCGCTCTTCTCGATGAGAATGCCCTGGCGTTTCTTTTCTTCAAAGTAATTCAAACCACGAATGACATCCAAGCGCACCCTGAAGACAATTTTCAGTTGGTAGATAGCGCCCTCTTTGAGTGTAACGGGGTGCTCGGATAGCTTCTTGCGCGAGTCCGGAGTAGAGATGTCAAGAGTGATATCCTCGCGTCCCTCGATCTCAAGGACAATAGCCAAGAATATGACGTTCCTCTTCTCCACGGCCATTTCGCTGGTTATATAGACAAATGAGAGGGCAAGTGAATTGAATTGATGGTGAGTTTGAATATTAAAGCTCATTTAGTGCGGCTCTGTTGGTTAGGCGGTGGAGAAAGTTTTGCCAGTTTTTAAGTGAAGGTTGCGTGATCTGGATGAGGCGGTGTATTTCCGACATATCCAATCTAGCTACGCTCGCTTCATCATGACCCTTTTTTCAACGTTGAAGCAGTATGCACCAACTCAATGACGTTCAATTTTAGAAAATATCAACGGGCACTTCAACAAATTTATCCCGAACATAATCCAAGAAGCCCTTTCCGAAGCCATCAAGGCGGCTAGAGCTGCTCACACCGCGACCCAAAATTCCGTAAACAACAAAATGCACAGCGTGTATATGAGGGAACTCAACACGCTCGATGAAGAAACTGTCATCCCAGTCTGTTCCAATAAGCTGGCGCATACGATCTTTGGTCATGTAATCCCGCAGCCAAGGCCAATGACAAGAGCTTTTAGGGAAGAACCCCACGTTGAGATTCCCACCCTTATCTCCTGATCGACCTAGGGCGACATCCCCTAGTCTAATCTGTTTAGTATCGCAGGCATATATCTGTGGCTCCTTGGGATCATAGGTATCGCGCGTGCCAAGTTCTTCGTATCGGGCTGGGTGCCCGGTCCCGAAAGATGAGATCTTCGGTCCGTCGATGAAGTTGATCGTCTCGTTGATATCTGATTGGCTGACTATTGCAGGATAGTAGGCAAGGAATGGTCTGGGAATTGCTGTTCGCATATCCAACGAAGCGTGGAAACCTTTGTTGTGAGCCTATTGTTAGTTTTTCTCATTTTCGTTTTCATTTTCTTTTATGAATTATGTAGAACAAAATGCAGCGGATCTTGTACATACCAGAGAAATGCCTGAGAGAAATATTTCCCATTGCCTTTGCTACGGCAATGACAGCGCTCTGCTTTCTCGACGTACTGAGTACTCGAAGGTAGGTTGTGCTGTCTAGCTGAGAGCTTGGATTTTGAGCGGCGACTCCGACTCTAGTTCCATATGTTAGCATTATTCTGCGCCCCAATGAAGCCACTTTAGATCTGCTCGATTGCTTACCGTTGAAACTCTAATGTTTCCAGATCATTTATGATATCTGCTGGAATAAAGTGACGGAGTTGCTTTTCGAGAAGATCCCACTTCTTGGGAGTACCATATCCAGTCGCATTGAGAAGAAGCTGGGCTTCATATCCTCCTTGGTAAAAGATCGCACATTTTGTTGTCGGCGGTGGGGGTGATCCTCGAATGCCGGATATCAATACGCTGTAATTCATTAATCAGTTCAGGTATACTTAACTGTAATGAAATCCGAGACGGTTTCAAGGGTGCAGCCGCTTCATCCACAGCACACATACCGATCGTTCCCAGCCTCCTCGACGTGTACGTCGGCAATATGGGCGCTGACATCGCTGTTGAGGTACGTATTTCCCTGCAGTTCGTACAAGAATTGACAACGAACAGTATCTACGTTAATGAACCCATCTGTTCCGGGATGCTTGGAAATCACACATGTGCCATCCCTAGCGATTTCAGCGATTGGAAACCCTGGCGCTATAAGGCTATCCAGGTCATAATTATCAAAGTCAGCGAAATTACCACCAGTCACATATGCCGAACATTCAATGAGATGGCCAGCAATCAAAGATCCTGCGAGCTCGTCATAGTCTGTTTCGCACCAGTCATGCCAGAACCAAGCGGCAGCAATAACAGGGCTGGCATCAGCAACTCGACCACAGATGACAATGTCAGCTCCCCGTCGCAGGCCTTCGACAATTCCTCGAGCTCCGAGATATGCGTGTGCGGAGATCATTGGAACTGGGTCCCCACCATTGTTGAGAAACGCATAAGTAAGCTCGGCTGGTGCTGTGGAAATGTTGGTGGAATCTAGGTGCCGCAATTCCTCCTTTGTGGTTGGCATATTTGGGCCAAGAGCTGGATATAAGTCATCACCCGAAAGATACGCAACACGAATATTGAGTTTCTTTTCGGAAACCTAGTAAATCGAAAGGGTCAGCTATTGGATCCCAAGTCTTTACAGATAGATGTCGATTCAAAAAAGAACATTCACTGACCAAAGTCTCCACCTTTAGTGCAAGTGCTTTGGGATCGAGAGCACCCCCATTGATGACAACTCGGATCCCTTTTTGGGCAATAACATCTATTGTCTGCTGAAGACCATCCCAGGCGGTTGGTTCATACCCCGGATGCTCTCCATTTCTCCAAGCCTGGGCGTTATTGGCCAGATTTACCTCTGGGATACTATATCAGCTGCTAATCCGGTAGGTTACCGATGGAAGGTAGAATGTAAATACACACCAGCAAGATAGTCGCCAGTAATAAAATCAACATCGCCCAGTGTGGCCTGTCGGTACATTTCGAAAGCCGGGTCCCCTACCCCGCAAGATTTAATAAAGAGCCCGAAGGTATTCAGTGGGGTAAACTATGTAAACATACCATGGTAGCCGGAACAGTTGGCTACTTTCACAGGTCGTTTTTCAGTATCGAGTACCATTTTGATGACAGAGAGCGAATTTAAATTTAAGATTTGGATCGAAGCTGAATAACCTAATGGAACACTTTGAAAGGATCTACGGCAATTCTCAATTGAGACCCAAAGCACATCTTATATCCGTGTTTCAACACTCTCAAGAAGCAAGGAGGGATGCCAAAATCCGTGGTCCGAGGCCCACGGACTACTTTTTCGGCGCTGTGGGGTAACGTAATAATTTGCAATGATTCGACCGAGGTAGTCATAGATCAGGTTTTACCTTACATTAGGTGGGCTGAGGCGGGCCATCGGGCGGTTTTTCCCGTGGCCCACGGAGAGTTGGCTGCACGGGCCGTGGGGGCCGAGAGAAAACAATAGGGGTACAATATCTAGTGGGGGAATATTCACTTTGGTAATTATTGATGTCAACTTCGTTATTAACCTTTTTAACCCCATAGTTCCGTGGCGGATCTTTTCAACTTCATAACTCGATCGGCATTGACGCTCTCCATCCTACTGTACATCCGGACACACTCATTTCACCCAACATGGCCATTCCCCACGAAACAATTCCCGGCACAGATGTGTACGGCCCAGGCACATTTATCGACAAGACTGTCCTTCCCGTGCCAGAAGATGCCAAGCGGGTATTCGAGATCATCGCGTCCAGAACACCTGGTTTCACCCAGAACAAGGCCGCATGGGACACTGTTCACTTTGAGGGGCAGCCAAAGCCCATGGTTCCAGGCCCAATTAAATCCGCTGTTACGAGCGCCGTGCTTCATGCTATGGCCGGTCTAGTCGGAAATGAGTTGCTGGAGCTTCGTGATGGAAAGCCTGTGACAGAGGGCAGTGTCACAGTGGACACTGACCACGCTGGAATTTGGCTTGGTTCCGTCTTCACCACCCACATCGAAGGCCTGGACATGTCGGCATGGATGAAGTCGGGAAAAATGGGGTCTTTATTTCCCAAAGACTATGAGCATGGTGTATTCCAGGGCATCGCTGGCCGAACGACGGCGATTTTCCAAACCAAAGATCCCAAAGTCTGGTATCAGTTGCATGGTTCTTTGGATGCTGCAAAAACACTCGAGTCTATGGGAATTGACGCCAGCGTCAAATTCGACAGGCCTCAGGAATACTACGACTATATTCAAAAACATATCCTTCAGTGGAGCCCGGATGAGCTTGAGATGCACAACGTGCGCCATGGTCTCTGTGGAAGTATTTGCTACTCACCTGAAGGCTGGAGGAAGACTGAGATGGGAAAAAGGCTGAACATGCACCCTTTGGTGAATTTTGCCGAACAGAAATATGCTAAATCAACACCCCCCGTACCGCTCGTCAAGGATCTACCTGATCATCGCCCGCTTGCCGGAATCAAGGTCCTGGAGATGGTTCGAATTATTGCCGGTCCTCAGATCGGTGTCACGCTGGCATCTTACGGAGCCGATGTTATCCGGGTGAATTGTAGCAGACTGATCGACCTGAATGTAAGTTGCCTTGTGGTCCCCCGGGTGAGCATAACATTGACAATATACTCATGGCATAGGTGTTGCAACTTGTCTTGAACGCGGGAAAACGGACCATTGACCTTGACATTACCAAGCCGGAAGACATGACTCGTCTCCAAGAGCTTCTCGCCGATGTTGACATCTTCATTCAAGGCTTCCGAATGGAATCTTTGAAAAACAGGGGCCTCGGCCTACATGACCTTTTGGAATTAGCCGCCAAGAGAAACAAAGGAATCGTTTATGTTGACGAAAATGCCTATGGACCGGATGGTCCTTTCCATGCACGACCGGGCTGGCAGCAAATCGGAGATGCCGCATCCGGAAGCTCCTATGTTATGGGCAGATCGCAGGGTCACGAAGAAGGAAAGAGTGTGTTACCACCTCTCCCGGTCTCCGACATGGTTACTGGAATTGTGGGCGCATTGGCAGCCATGATGGCAATTCGCGATCGCGCGATAAATGGTGGTTCATATCACGTTACTAGCTCCCTTGTTGCTGCGGATGCCATATCTCTGGACCAGGAAGTTGGTTTGTACCCGATCGACGTTGTCCAAGATACCGCCAAGCGCCTTGCGTTCCCAGACACTACCCCGGACCAGTACGTCTCGGAGGTTTTGGTATCGGTTGTGAATGGGTGGCAGAAAGCTCTTCCTGGTTATCTGGATGAAGACTCGAAGCTGATGACAACCTTCGAAGGGGGATTCTGGAAACGCCAGACTATCTTGAAGCCTGTTGCGCGACTCGGGGATGAGGAATCAACACCAAGGTGGACATCACCACCCGTGCCTCATTGCCATCATGACCGCTCATCAACCTGGCTCTGAATATAAAGGACCATTGATATCTAACAGGTAGATTGCCATAAGAAGTGTCTCATCGCATTATCAAGTCATTTTAATACAGAACATGTCCTTGATTTGTATACCGTGGCGTCGAGCCGTTGAATAATGATCAACTCGAAAGTCTCAAACAAATGCATTTATTTTCCCTCTGTTCAATTCGAAGATGATGGCATGCCGATAAACATGTCTTGTAAATTCCAGAACGGTGGGACTGACCATTGTGCATTGAACAACTCGGGGTTAGTGTCAGTAAGAAGATCAACCTCATTAAAGACACTTTGGTCAGGGTAGACACGAGGCTGCTGTTGCTGCTCAGGCATAGCGCTGTCTGTATTGCTGAAATTTTCGTTGAGATTGGTTGCGTCTGGATCAATGGCATCGTTCTGTGCTTGGTGGAAAGCGCATCTGGCAGAGTGTTCCAAATCGGAGCATACACTCAATATGAAATCGACAAAAGTGCCTGGTTCTTCACAAGAAACATTTGCGAGGAATTTTGTCACTTCGCTAATCATGCTTAGATCACGATGGGAATTCTTATGGGCAGAATGAGTGTGAATTTCAGATGACAATGCAACAGCTGCTGTGGCGAAGAAATAAAGCACGTTCCTTATTGGTTCGAGATTAGATGGCGTTTGTGAACATTCGCTATTAACCAACTCACCATCTGTAGTCAGATGCCAGCAAACGGACGTACGGTAGCAAAGAAAGGGCAGACCGGGCAGAATCAATGGAGCGTACGCAGAGTGCTGCAACGCCTTTGTCAACCTCGGATTGGGACTCATTGGATGAATCGTTGGCAGAGGTCGTAACCAAGGGCATTTGGCGGAGATTTGCATAGCAACAATGGTAGGCAAGATTCAATCGAAGGATGTGTTCCCTAGAGTTATTTGGTTCAGAATTAAATATCTTTTCTGGCTCAAAGATATGAAGAATAGGAGTTTTCCATTGCAATAAGGCTTCTTCGCAAGCCTTGGCCGATTCGAAGGCTACCTCCTTGGGTTTTTGGATGACGGCTACGGTCTGTAGATGCCGATATATAAGTCTTTGTACTGTTGCAAATTGAGCCAATTGACGAAAGAAGTTGATCGAGGTTCCATTAATAGAAATGATACCCCGACCATCGTGAGGCGACTCGGCTGGCAGCGGCGTGTTATAATCATCCATGTCCTGAGCCGGCGGGCGCCCAACCCGGAGAGAGATATCTGCATCCAAAATAAATGATATCCAGAATGTTCTTCGTCTTTCTTCAATCTCCGCAAGTGTGAAACCCGACGTAGTATTACGGTGTAACCCAATAGAGTGTGCCAGGCGCATTGCCGAGGCGGCGAACATGAACAGGGCTTGAGCATTAGGCGTGCCTTGGAAGTAAAGAGCCAGCCCCAGTAGCCCTTGTACAGCAGGGAGGTCGGCATTGCGCATGAAAAGGTCTACCACCACATTCATTGCGTTTTTGACGTGGCCCAGTGATTTTTGCCAGTTATTGCTGGCATCGGTGGGTTCTTGCGCTCGCTCTCTGTAAGAAAAGGCCATAACAACGTTGAGCAATATCCATGATGAGGGACTATCATCCGGATTCCAGGAGAATTGTCTTTCCGCCAAACTCATCAGAGATATTTCATCGACTAGCGGAATAGTGCGGTTGAAGCTAGAAAGAAATTCGGCAACCAGACTCATTGTGTCATCTTTTGATGGCAAAGGCTGAGCGGCTCGATGCTCAAAGGTGTCTTGAAGGATTCTTGGAATCCAGTTTGTCAACGGCCACTGGGTAGCACTGTATCGGGCCGCATGCTCCCGGTCCAGCTTTGGCTGTTTGCCCTTTGGGATCCTGAAAGCTTGATTGCGATGCACTCCAAATCCAGAAGACGCTCCTGAATTATCAAGTCAAATTCTGAACGTCAGGAGTGATGTGATAGACGTACCGAAGAAGCGCATCTTGCCGTCCTGCGTTCGTAGAACGTAAGATGGCTGATCAGACGTGTCCTGATCGGCCTGGGAAGGTTCATTTTCTGGGGACAAAGGTTCCATTATAACATTACCCTCTCCCCTTTTCCGTGTGTCGAAATGATCAGACTCAGGCCTGTCCGTAGTGGGTCGATGGGGTGTGAAGTTATGGCCACTTTGCTGAAGCGATTTCTCATTTTGTCTCAGCCGCTGCAATTCATCATCCATCCGCCTGACACGCTGTTCAAGATCCTCCACGTATTTCCTACAAAATCGCAAGTTGGTTTCGTTTGTCTCATTGAGGCGGCACGCAAAAAAGGGGGAACTTAACTCACCTGCTGGGGCGATTCGTTTTTGTTCCTGCATCCTCGAAGCCGCAGGGGAGCTTAAAAATACTACATGATGAGCAAGCTGGCCGTTTCCCATCACACTTGACTTTTTTTCGTCGGCAAGTATTGCAAGCCTGAACCGGGTTAGATTCAATGTACGCGACTCCTACCATGTTGGGTTCCACGAACCTTGGCAGGGCGGATTTTCTCAACACGAGAACCTTGCTGCTTTTCCATGTTTGGAAGTCTATGCCAGAACCGACATCTCTCTCAGTCTTCCAAAAGCCGACACAAGGAGCGCGACAGAACCAAGTCTAGCTTCCTCGTCAACAGTCAATTTTGCAGACTAGCGAGTTTTTCATAGGTAGTTTTAAGAATCGATATTTCTGAGAATCATGTATTGAGAAAAAGGTCAAATGGGATCAAGTCAAGTTATAAACTGCATGACAGTCGGTTGAATCGAATCAACCGCGACATCCGACAAAGGCGAAAAAGTCACGTGCCAAGGGTTCGCGTTGGAGTGAGCGAATCGGAAGGAACCTGAACTTGCTATGAACAATTTTAATTTCCGGACCATATTTATTTTAAATTAGGCTATACGAAATATATGCATGTTTTATTCTACATTTGATTGTATTGTGGAGGCTGTGGTTCAGCCAGGGCGTTCCCAAACCAATACGGCATTACGAATTCTCAAAGTAAGGGTTTCTATAGAGGCCTAGCAATAAATTGAAACTCGACTCTGAGATCTCTAGGGCCTAAGGGTATTTCTTACCGACTGGGGGAGATTCGCGGCTTGACTTGGTAAGTTTGAACTTGATTATGTAGAATACCACTTTGTACTATGGACACCGTACAAGGTAAAGCGATACTATGCAAAAGTATTCAAAGCGCACTGAACTCGATTTCCTTCAAGAAAATGCACCTGTCAGTCATCACAAATGGTGCTTCACTCTTTTAAGAGCGGGGAACACCATCTGAGACCTGGTGGCCGGTAGGATACTTGCCGAAGCAAGCATGCTGGTACTGAGCATTCTTCTTAAGGGTCGGAACACCACGCAAGAACCGATCCACAGGACAGAACCCATTCTTAGCACCTTCACAGCCAACAAGGCCCTTAGTCGGCAGCGGGGCACCGTTCAGTACAAAGCGAATATACTTGGTAGTATCATTGCTCTTGAGAGTCGGGTTGGTATACAGCACGGGGTCCAACTCCTCGAACGAAGTATTGGCAGGGCAAGACCAGATCTCCGACATGAGTCTGGCACCGAAGGGGGTCATATCGCTTAGGGCAAAGGCGCGCTGGGATGGAGCATGGGGCAAGTCGCTGGGCAGACCGTTGGGACCGAATTTGAAGTGATCGAGGCCGAGGGCGTTGATTACGGACAAGATAATGTCATCGTGCGACATGTCCATGTAGAAGGGCTGGTCGAAGGGGAATTGGGCTTCGTTGTTGTCGTATGTGTAGTTGATACTGGTGTCGCTTGTGGTAATCAGCTTGTGTTGCAGGCGGGCAGCTAGTTCGAGGACGTAGCCGATGCCTTGAGCGCGGCCGGTCGGTGAGCCGTAGGCGTAGTCACCATAGTACTGGATGTCGACGTTGTAAGCGAAGTCCTTCCACTCTTGCTCGGTAAAGAGCGAGCAGAAAGATGAGCCAGCGAAGCTGGTGTATTCGTATGCGCAGAGGTTTTGCATGGCTAGGACGTCCATCGCGGTCAAATTAAAGTCCTTGGGGAAGTACTGCGAAAGACGGGTACGGGCATCCTTGGTGTATTGTGAGATGAAAGTTTCGGCGGCATTGTCACTGCGCTTCAATTAATGTCACCTCCTCGCGTTGGTCGGACGGGGGGCGAGATGTAGGCTTGCTTACCCTTCAGTCATATCTCCGGGGCAAGACTCGTAAGAAGCCAGAGTGTTATTGAAGGGAGATGTCTCAGGGATGACAACCAGATCATACTGGTCGTAAGAGCTGTTTGCACCGCTGTTACCAAAGTAACCACCTATCAATGGGTAAGTTGTTTTTCAGGGCATAGGCTGGGGTGAGACTTCTACTCACTGAGCCACCAGCGAGCACTCTCCAAAATACGGCTTTGAGAAGTGGTTCGGAAAACAGGCTTGGGGCGAGCAGTCCCGTTTGGCCAGACATTGAGAGACTCATTCCAAGCAGCAACATGGTCCCGGTCAGGACGATAGAGAAGTCGGCCGTACTTGATCCAGAAATGGGCACCGGAGGTAGCTTCGGTAGCAGCACCAGTCTCCATCAGAATATCCGAGCCAATTACATAGTCCCAATCATTCAGGAACTTCAATGGACCGGTACCAATCTTCTTGCCGGGGTGGGCCTTGCTATAGTTGGTGAATTTGGCCGCAAAGTCCTGCATGCCTGCACCGTCAAGAGGGTAGTCTGTGGGGTACCGCTCCGCATGACGATGCAGAACGTGCACCTGCGACAGTTCACATCCCTGAGGCACACCCTTAGGCAAGCCGAAGCTAGTGGCGTCTTTGTATGGGCTCAGGTTGGCCCAGCTCTTGGTCATGTCAAAGCCAGACGCGTATTCAGCGCCTGTTGGGGCAGAGCCAGAGGCAGACGAAGTGCCAGTGGCAGTAGCGCCGGCGATAAGAATCGCTGTCGCGCCAATGATTCCCTTCATGACTGCTTCAGTTCAATTGATGGGCAATTGAATTGGAAATGAGGGGGTTCTGATCGCGGAAAGCTTCCGAAATGGGATGTTGATGCCGAAAATGCGACCCCTGAGCTCCAAGTTCTCTTTATCAACCACGTAGGTGTAGATTGACGCGACGGCAGTCCTTTCAAGTTTCAATTCTGCAATTGAGGACACTTGAAGATGAACTTTTCTGGCGGAGGCATCTTCGAATCCGCGGGTTGTCCCACTTAGTCGGGTCATTGTTGTTCCACAGCTTTAAGAGGCTTATTGAGCGCCGATCCTTTCGGGAAGGTTTCGTGAGAATGCGACATTGGAGGATGACCCTCGCATGGACTTGACCGGTCGGATATTAAGGTCCTTTGAGTCGATGCTATTCAAAATCTTGGAAAGAGACAGAATCGAAGAAATACCAATAGGGCTATGAAAAATAATAATAATAGCGGCCGAGGCCAAGGTGAAATTTAAACTTATCGGCGCGTAAATACCTAGGGCTGAGCGCACGTGGTAGAATCTACTAGGCACCACCTTTATATATCTTCCAAGGTTCCAAGGTCGGGATAGATCATTTAAACCACGAAGTCCACTGAAGCTGTATCTAATCTCCAGGTTAGAATTTGAAATTCTCGAGTTCCTGAGCATCTGGTGACAGATATTGCTAGTTTCAAGTTGGTATTGGCATTGCTAAATATACCTAATTAACTTTTCATGGTGTGTTGTATTTGCTTATCCATCATGAGAGGACAACCACAAAAAACTACACAATCATCCGAATGAAAAAGAAAAAAGAGAACTCCGATAGGGGGAATCGAACCCCCGGCTGCCGTGTGAGAGACGGCGATGTTAGCCACTACACCATATCGGAGAATTGTTGAAGACAGTGGCGATGTTTGGCGTTATAGCCGGAATTAGGTTTCCGGTGAGCAATCTTGACCCACTCCACCACTTTCAGCTTTCAAGTTCTTATCACAGTTTCAGACCTTTTACTTTCACGCTTCTGCTTCCTTTTTCCACGCATTTGTACTGCTCTAGTGAGGCATTTTTCCTATTGATTCAGATACGCACATTCAGCCACATTCGGACACTCTGACGCGACACACCAGCCTATCTGTCTTGCTTTCGCTCTATTAGTCCTATTCTTCCTTAGCTCAACCCCCAGGGGCCGATACGCTCAAGATACAGCAATCTTACGATTAATTCACTCCAGTGGATTGACCTGTAGCCCTGTCACATCTATGATAATTGGTCGGTTAATTATCAGACTTTGAACAAGGATCTAGATGCATTTATCTTGCATTCGTCTTGCATATTGAAGTGAGACACGAACTTCCTCGAGAAATTCATTACCAAAACTCAAAATCAAATATTTACATATCAACATGCTCACAGAGTGTCCAGAACCACGAAATCGACCAGAATTGGCTTCTTTGCATATGTGCATGCCCTTGGATCGGGATTCCAAGGCAAGCCGAGAGGGTTGGGGCAAAAAGCGAAGCGGGTCGGGAGGCTTACCGATTCAAGCTTTTAATATATGCGAATTGGGAGGTGGAGGGGTCAGTGGGGATTCTATAAAAAGAATACCGTTCAACAGCCTGGAAACCAGATCTATCATCCTTACTACTGGCTCACTCAAAATGTATTGGGGGGGTTGGCGGGTTTCTGCTTCTGACGCCTCAGACACGGAGTTGTAGCTGTGGGGCGATTGTTGGAGCGTTGTTCGATGTTCGGTGAAACAATGGGAAAAAATAATAATAATTCCGGCCTGATAAAATAACCGTAGAAAGATGTAAGCAAAGACCCATTTGGTAATTTTCTTCTACCAGATATAGAACGAAAAAGAAACTGGGCAGAAGAGACTTTTGCAAGTAAAATTGACAGCCTCAGCTGCATCTTGGCCAAAGAGCTTTGAACTTTGGATCGGCATATTTTCACCGATCAGCCGCGTGGGATCCTTCATGGGATCTATCCGAGACACCCACCTAAGACGTGCCCACACAGCGTGGCCGATAGGTTTGCGGTTCGTGGGTCTGTCCTGTATAGCGGAGCATACCGACTCCTACCAGTCCCGCTCGGCCCGATAAGGGTCTGACGCCATGTATAGAGTACTCGAAAAGATTTCAATTTGGAACGTCTGTCGCAGGTAGACTGATGTAGACATGTACTTTCTGTCTTCTGAATCCAATTCTCGTATACATTTCACTTTCGCTTTTTCCTAAATCTTTTCCAACCCATTTTTTCAATTTATGTTTCATTTTCAGCGTATCAAGATAACTTCATTCGTTCACGTCGTGTCGCACAGTTACTTGTGGCAGGAGCTCTTACAGGCTCATCAGGCGCCCGATGTGCAATATGCAGCGCTCAGCGTTGTTAATACTTTCGTTCTTGAGCACACTGGTCTTGTCTTGGCCTTACGACGAGTCACTTTCCGATTATAATGTTAACGAAAACCAATCTGCTACAGCCCCAATCGATTACTGGGGAGAATGGCCGAACCATAAATATCACCCATCACCGGATAACTGGCGCTTCCCTGTCTACACGATCTTTCTCGACAGGATATCCAATGGCGACCCAACAAATGACGATATCAACGGGACTACCTTTGAGCATGTCATCGACTCCAATCAAATGCGACACGGCGGGGATTTGGAAGGATTGCTGGATACACTGGACTATATTCAAGGAATGGGATTCAAGGTAAGTCAAAGATAGGCTATGCCGAGGAAAGCTCCATCGCTAATCCAGTCTTTTGAATAAGGCTATTTACTTCGCCGGAACCTATTTGATGAACCTCCCCTGGGCTTACGATGGCTATTCACCGACCGACACGACCCTTCTGGATATGCATCATGGTACACTAGAAGATTGGAGGCGGGCTATTGCAGAGATCCACAAGCGTGATATGTACGTCCTGGTGGACAATACGGTCGCTACGTAAGTTGATGTCCTACTTCTCGAAACACTTTGGACATCTATAAGCTAACCTAAACCGGGAATGAAGACTGAGTAATCTGGTCGGATTCAAAGGCCACCTGAACGATTCGGCCGATTTTAATCCTCACGAATACGAAGTCGAATGGGTCAGCGAGAGACGATACGCCGATTTCCAATTCGGCAACGACTATAACGATACCTGCAACTTTCCCAAGTTCTGGGACGAGACTGGGTTTCCGATAACTTCAGGCGGGCCCGAGGACTTGACAGGTTGCTACAACTCAGACTTTGATCAATTTGGAGAGCTGGAGGCATTTGGAAACTTCCCTGATTGGCAACGCCAGCTCACAAAGTTTGCCTCGGTGCAGGATCGCTTACGCGAATGGCATAAACCGATCCGCGACATCATCACTCAACATTCCTGTGCTCAAATTGCAAGTTTGGATGTCGATGGATTCCGCTTCGATAAGGCTGTGCAGACAACTCTCGAGCCCTTGAGTGAGATCACTGCTGTCTACCGAGAATGCGCGAAGAAGTACGGCAAACACAATTTCTTTCTTCCCGGAGAGATCACGGCTGGAGATACATTCGGAAGTCTTTATCTTGGGCGCGGACGTCAGCCAAATCAGCGGCCAGACTCAGCAGGTGCTGGCGTCAAATTAACAAATGACTCAGATGCAGCTTTCCTGAGAGACGATGGATTGCAAGCGTTGGATGCCTCGGCATTCCATTACACAATCTACCGTTCAATGACTCGGTTTCTGGGAATGGATGGTAATCTAGTCGCTGGATTTGACTTGCCGACCGATTTCATCGAAGCATGGAACGAAATGCTCATTACGAACGATTTCATCAATGCGTTCACAGGAGAATTGGATCCCAGACATATGTACGGTGTATCCAACCAGGACAACTTCCGCTGGCCTTCGATCAAGAACGGCACAGAGAAGTATCTTCTGGGTCTTTACATTGTAACACTGGAGCTGCCTGGAATTCCTCTTATTCTGTGGGGGGAAGAGCAGGCGATGTATGTTTTTGATGCAACTGCATCGAACTATCTCTTTGGCCGGCAACCCATGACTTATCAGACCGCATGGTGGACAAATGGTTGTTTCAATCTGAACACGTCAAAGTTTTACGATTTCCCGATTGAAAAGGGACGAGATGGTTGCAATGACATAACTGTCACATATGATCAGCGAAACCCTGCCCATCCACTTCGCAACATCATGAAGCGGATGTTCGAGATTCGGGCGCATTACCCGGTCGCAAATGATGGCTTGTATCTCAGTACAATCTCCCAACTGACAAAGGACATATTTTTGCCTGGCTCATCTACAACTCCCACAGTGACGGGTCTTTGGTCAGTCTTGCGAAGCTACTTTCCAGGTGTCCAAAAAGAAGCACAAGAATCCAATGAGACACTCTGGCTGGTGTATCAAAATGGAAACTCGACAGAAACCTTTGGCGGTGACTGCAGTAACAAGAGCGCTGCTCTGCTGTCTCCATTCAAGTCGGGGACCAAGTTGAAGAATCTCTTCTATCCTTATGACGAGCTCACTCCTCAAGATGGACCCGAGAGCGACTATGGCTGTGTGAAGAGCATGGAACTTCTTCCTTGGGAATATCGGGCGTATGTTAAGAAGAGCGATTTCGTGGAGCCTGGTCCTACTGTCACCGACTTCTCACTTGGTCACGATTCTCGATTGATTTCTTCACAAGACACGGGCGAGACTTTGCCAATTGAACTTGGTTACTCGATAGAGATGGATTGTACCAGCATTACCAAGGCGATCACTCTGAACTCGACAACTGAGAAGGGGATCACTGCCTCTCTTGATAAAGACAGTGTTAGCTGCAAAAAGATATCCGCCCGAACAACTAGCAACAACTTCATCGGCGAGATCCCTACTGCGTGGACCTGGTCCGCGAACGTGACCAATGTTCACCACGGTATTCACCAACTTACTGTCGCTAATGTTTCCTCGTCTGGAGTCTACACCAACTCCACCGACAAGTTCCTCTTCCGCGTCGGTCTCGAGAACAATCCACTCATAACTCCACTCTCCAATTACTCTACCAGCTTGCTTCACAGATCCGATGATGGATTCTTCGTCAAGCATAGTGCTGCGGGTGCGGATAAATTTCGATACACCACAGATTTCGGGAGTACATGGTCCAAGTGGGCATCATATGAAGGTGGCAATACGACCATTGATGTCTCGGCTTTCACTGGAACAGACAAGCAGAAGTGGAAGGGAACACATGTCCGAGTGCAATACTTTTCCAGACTCACCGGGAGCAGTGACTATATCCAGGAAGGTGACTCTGGATGGGAAAGCGATGGCGTTCGGAGATTTCCTCACTTGTGGTTCAACGGCCCCTTCAACCAATATGGATACGACCAAGGATTGGCGAGTGAAATGAAGTACAACACCGAGACCTCTCGTTGGAACTATGACTTTGTCTACGAGTGGCCATCGGTAGGACAATTGAACGTCTGGGGTATTGACAAGGGAGGCATCCCTGACACAACAGAAGTTTACGGCGACGTTGGAAATTCTTCTAATGTGCAAAAACTTCCCCCCTCTTACTTGTCATCCAACGTTATCAACATCACCAATCTGCCTCCATTCCCGCATCTTGGATGGAAGATCTCTCTCAATGACGCCAACCTGAGGTATGAGTTGATTCCTATTGGAAGCGGTTGGGCTCAACTTGTGCTTTATGTTCTTCTCTGGGCTGTCCCGATCTTGATGGGATTGGCCGGAATTTTCATTTTCATTCAGACCTTCTACCGTGTCAAGCTTAACAAAGATGGCAATGTTGCAAAGGATGAAAAGCTACCCGTGGCTCTTTACCGCAGAGTCAAAAACAGGCTTTCCACACAGAAGGACCTTGAAAGCTCACTCTCTGAGAATGGCGTTCCGACAGACATTGCCGTGGCAGGCGCAAATGACCAGAGACGCACCGTTTTGATAGCTACCATGGAGTATGATATCCAAGACTGGAATATCAAGATCAAGATTGGTGGGCTTGGTGTCATGGCTCAGCTCATGGGGCAGAACCTGAAGCACCAGAACCTCATCTGGGTGGTACCATGTGTTGGTGATGTCGATTATCCTACAGACACCCCAGTTGAACCATACGTGGTGACAATCTTGGACAAACCATACCTGATCAACGTTCAGTACCACGTTGTGGATAATATCACCTACGTTCTGCTGGATGCTCCGGTGTTCCGGCAGCAAACGAAAACTGAGGTCTATCCACCTAGGATGGACGACCTGCCCTCGGCAATCTACTACTCTGCTTGGAACCAGTGTATTGCAGAGACAATAAAACGAGCGCCTGAAATCGATTTGTATCATATCAACGATTTCCATGGATGTTTAGCTCCGCTGTATCTCCTGCCCACACGAACCATTCCAGTTTGCTTGTCCTTACACAACGCCGAATTCCAAGGGCTTTGGCCACTTCGGACCCAAAAGGAGAAGCAAGAAGTGTGTTCTGTTTTTAACCTTTCGATTGAGACCGCAACCAAATATTGTCAGTTTGGCAACGTCTTCAACCTGCTCCACACCGGTGCAAGCTATTTACGATTCCACCAGCGTGGCTTTGGCGCAGTCGGTGTATCTAACAAATACGGCAAACGCTCATGGGCCAGATACCCAATTTTCTGGAGTCTGAACAACATCGGCAGCTTGCCGAACCCCGATCCAGCCGATACTAAGGAGGAAGATGTGCAAGTTTCGGTCCAGACGGACGCGGAATCGAGCCATGATAGACTCCAGGCACAGAAATGGGCGGGCCTGAACGAGGATGCCAGTGCTGATCTTCTAGTATTTGTGGGAAGATGGTCGAAGCAAAAGGGAGTGGACTTGATTGCCGATATTCTGCCCAGTGTCCTATCTACTAGACTTCATGTGCAGGTAATCTGTATCGGCCCCGTCATTGACCTTTATGGAAGACTAGCTGCTGTCAAACTGGAGCGTATCATGGAAATGTTCCCCGGTCGCGTGTTCTCAAAGCCCGAGTTTACAGCACTTCCTCCCTTCATTTTCTCTGGGGCTGATTTCGCTCTAATTCCGTCCCGAGACGAACCATTCGGCCTGGTGGCTGTTGAGTTCGGTCGCAAAGGTGCCCTGGGTATTGGTGCACGCATCGGAGGCCTTGGACAGATGCCGGGATGGTGGTATACCGTTGAATCCGATTCGGCTCGCCATCTTTTGCACCAATTGAGAACCGCTATTGGATCCGCCTTGGACTCATCGCCAAAGACTAGAGAAGAAATGCGCCTCAACTCGGCCAAACAAAGATTCCCTGTTCTTGAATGGGTTCGAAAGCTCGAAGTTCTGCAACGGACGGCAATTCACACTCATCACGACAAGAACAAGGACACTGTCAGAGGCCCATCACGGGAATCGCATATTTACTGGGATGTACAAGGCCTTCAATCGTCTCCTGGATCTCGCCCAATGTCGAGTTATTCTACACTCGGGGCTTCAGAAACCCCCCCAAGCGAGAAACAATCAGCTTGTCCAACCGTCCCTTTTAGAGCTACAAGCAGCCGAGCTCAGGGAAATGCAGGATACCGAAAATACCGGCAAAAATTCACCCCGTCGACAGTTGTCACTTGGTCGACGATCCGGGCCCGGACAAGGGAGGAAGCGTCTGGTCAAAAGGTCGTTGAGAGAGAGCCAGATGCTTGAGAGAACGACAGAGGGGGATGCCACGGATGCCGAGGATGATGGCATTGACACCCCTCAGGAGAACTTCATCTCCCCGAAGAGGCAGTGGCCGCTGTAAAGCGTGCCCTCGGATCTCAGGAAGTCATTCAATCTTCTGGAGATAGCAGAAGTCACTCCCGTAACGACTCAAATCTATCGACCACAGAATCGTCTCGTTTCGTTTCCCGAGATTCTTCACCAGTACGATCTCCCCGACTCTCTCACGATACGAGTCCTGGCGAGTACAATTTTGTTACACCCCCACAGAATGTTTCTGTTCTTTCATTACCCTCCGTTGTTGCGGACCATGAAACACCTGTATTCCATTTGCAAAAGGTCGACCCGACTTTCACAGACAGCATGGGTCATTTCACGCGGCGCTTTGAGGAAAAGCTTGCCAATCTGAATAAGAAGAACTCCGCCACGGATCACTGTATCGAGGTGTACCTGATGAAGAGTGAGCAGAAGTTTTTCAACATGTATACCGACGCACAATTGAAAAAGCAGCCCAAACTTGAAGAGCGCCCCGTGACCGGAACAGACTTGGACGAGGTTGTGGATGACTCGGAGAGCAACAGCCTCCCGCAGGCCGCCGATAACCCAGATTCAAATGGATCAGACGATATTGATCAATGGCTTTCTCGCCTTGGATATAAGAGGCCAATTGCAATCCAGAGATTCATGAGATGGCGTGTTGGAAACTGGCCAGTTTACGCCTTGTTCTTGGGTCTTGGTCAGATCATTGCGACAAATTCGGCACAAATCACACTTCTGGTGGGCACAGTCGGTGAAACTGCCGTCAAACTTTATATTATTGCGGCTGTTTACTGTCTCTCTTCCATTGTCTGGTGGTTCCTCTTCTACCGCTTCCCATCCGTGATCGTTCTCACGCTTCCTTGGTTTATATACTCGATGGCCTTCATCATCATTGGTGTTTCGCCATATGCGCTTTCAAATCTTGGTCAGACATGGGCTCAGAATATCGCCGCAGGTGTATATTCTGCCGCATCCTCTAGTGGATCTTTGTTCTTTGCCCTCAACTTTGGTGACCAGGGTGCCGTTCCCGTGAAAGACTGGATGTTCCGTGCAAGTCTTATCCAAGGCCTTCAACAAATTTACACTGTCGCTCTCTGGTATTGGAGCTCTAGGGTCACTGCAGTGGAAGTAGGAGGAATTTCAACAGCTGCTTTGAGTAGCTGGAAACTTACGGCGGTGGTCATGCCCATTGCTGCAGTGTGCTTTATCATCGGAGTGCTACTTGCTCTGGGTCTGCCCAGGTACTACCGTCAAGCCCCCGGAAAGATCCTTTTCTTCTACACCTCCCTTTTCCGCCGCCGCATTGTCCTCTGGTTCTTCTTCATGGTCATTATTCAGAATTGGTTCCTTGCTTCGGCATTCGGTCGCAATTGGTCCTTCCTCTGGTCTTCCAATCACGCCAAAACATGGGAAGTTGTCGTGCTGGTTGTGTTATTCTTCATTGTTGTCTGGGTTGCTGTGATGGTCCTCTTCCGGTTCTTGTCCAAAGAACATTCTTGGATCTTACCTGTCTTCGGCCTGAGTATTGGCGCCCCACGATGGGCACAAGTGTGGTGGGGAACGTCTAACATTGGCTATTACCTTCCGTGGGCCGGTGGTCTAACTTCTGGTGCCCTTATATCACGATGCCTTTGGCTTTGGCTGGGTGTTCTTGATGAGATTCAGCAGGTCGGTTTGGGAATGATTCTCCTACAAACATTGACTCGAGTTCATGTCTGCTTCGTCTTGCTGGCCGCGCAGGCTCTTGGATCCATTGCCACAATTTGCGCCCGGGGATTCGCACCGAACAAGGTCGGTCCTGCTGGTGTCTCTCCGAATGTGGGATCATCAGTGGATAACGTGGGTAACGCGTGGTTCTGGATTTCTCTTTTCTTCCAGCTTCTAGCAAGGTCGGTTCTTTTTATCTCTTCAAGCTATTTTACTATTCACTAACTCATGTCGCAGCTTTGGATTCCTTCTATTTTACCGCCGAGAACAGCTTAATCGGCCTTGATTTTTCCATCCACCGTTTTCGCTTCTATAAACTCCTGGACTTAGAGACCAATGGTTTCATAATCACCTACTTTTTTCATGTACCGATGACAGAATATCTCATAATCGTATTTATTGCTACTAGTAGAGAATATAAGAATATGACAGGAAGGGTTCCAGAGAACAGAACAGCTCAAATGGCTGAGAGCCTAGTAAGCATGTATTCAATTGGGAGAGAATATCCTGAGGTAGTCGTGTACGAATGTAAAGGGCTACTCAATTATCAAAAAATGGCTTTACTGCCACCAAAAAGCCAATCTCAAGAAAGATTGGGCGGCCTGTTGAATCTGTATGAAAGAAACTGGTTTCCTGCTTTCAGAAAATGCAAAATTATCCGGCCCCTTTGTTCTTGAGGTGAATTACTTGAGGTCTTCAGGGAGGTCCGTGGTCCATGAGGTGTTGCCGCCCTAATCTAGGTTGGTTCGATAGAGGTTGTGTATCTCACAATTGGAGAGGCGTTTTGGACTGTTGAGGTTGATAAGCCAACTTCGAGAAACATGCAAGACGGAAATTCCTCTTACCAATTGAAGTGCTCTCCATATTCGCGGATAAATATTGGCGAGGCGAAGAGAAGAATTTCTATTTGGAAAGTGGTGGTTGGGCAAGAGATGAGGAGAGAGGTGAGAATGAAGTTACTACTAGTATGCATGGAAGGCACGTGTATACCCGAGGCCGGGGTGAACAGAGCCTCATTTTCACCTTGACCAATCAGGGCCCCTGTTACTACTAACTAGTACCCAAGTCATGAGTCGCAAAACGACAAAGTCCTAAAGGACTCCAGTTTTATCAAAGCAATAGCAAAACAGAACCCGACGAAAAAAAGAAGAAAAAAAAAAACATACAACAGCAGGGATTCGCATGTGGTCACCCACCATACTACTAACCTGCCGGCGTGTGGCTTAAGTACGGCTGAGCGGACGGGAAGCCCTGTTCTCCACACCCTATGGTCGTATGTGCTAGATACACCGGGAAAGAGGAATATGTAGTAACCTGAAATATCTGAGCGTTGTTCTAGGGTTGCGAAACTTGGGTGATCTAGGTGAGAATATTCTAGATGGGGTGAGACAGGATGAGAGAGACCCTTATTTGCCACCTAGTGATCGCATGGGCCCTTTGGTGCGTGTGATTTAAGTACAGTTGAGTGGATGGAAAGCCCTGTTCTCGACACCCTACAGGCAATATGTGTTAAAATAAAGGAAAGTATGTAGCAAGGATTGTGCGATTGTGTTGTATTGGTGGGAAATGGCGCTAGATTCTTTTTGAATGCTGAGCCCTGGCAGCCTTTAGATGTTACGGATTGTGCTATAATTATGAGGGAGTTGCAACCTACTTAATTCTTTGCTACCCTTTACGGTATTCTATCTGCTTCATTCCATTTGTTGCTCTCAGATCCGATTATTAAAATATTCAATGAGATCGACTTTGCCGATGCAGGAGGTACTTCATGACTGGAGGAATCCTTAACTAATGGTCCAGATAATAGCACACTCAGGTTGTCCCGCCCAGTTGCTGCAACCTAGCCATTTGCCAATACCTGCCTTCCATTCCCATCAGGTCCTCATGGGTGCCCCTTTCAATAATCCTGCCACAGTCAACTACAAGTATTTCATCAGCATCGACGATGGTATTCAGTCGATGGGTTATGGCGATTGTAGTGCGATATCTCATCATGTCTTTTATAGCTTTTTGGACGATTTGTTCTGACGCAACATCAAGTGCAGAAGTAGCTTCATCAAGCAAACTTCAAATCACAACAAGTCTTAGCATAAAGAATCTTGTGAGCAAAAAGCTGTGTGACTTACAGAATATTCGGCCGTAGCAGAAGAGCCTTTGCAATAGCCATGCGTTGGCGTTGTCCGCCCGAGAGTGTTGAGCCGTTTCCGGTTACTAAAGTACTCAGTCCTTGCGGAAGAGACATCTGAGAGCATGGTAAATTTTCGAGTCCCCGTAATAATTCTAAGAGTATTTAGAATCGAAAGAAAAAGTCTTACCAGGAAATCCTTCAGACCAACGGCCTTCAGAATTGAATAAATCTCATCGTCGGAGAAGAAATGCCCTCCACTCTGAAGGCAATCTCGCAGATCGTTTCCAATCAAACATGGGTTCTGATCAACGAGTGAATAGTAACTACGATAACTGTCGAGGGAGTATCGGTCTATTGGCGTATTGCTAAGCGTTACTTGGCCACTTTCGTAAGTGTAAAATCGCTCGATCAGGTTTATCACAGAACTTTTCCCACTGCCCGTGCATCCCACAACAGCAACAAAAGGACCCTGCGGGAGCTTTGAAACTGAAATTATCCAGCACGAGTTGATCTGGCTGCTTTGGATATTTGAAGCTCACTTGATGGAAAGCAAGCTCTTGCGTTGTTTTTGGCAAAGGTAGTGGCATACCACTTGCCGGTCTTTCAGAGCGATGGGTGGCTTGAGCTTCCATCAAAATATTGACTCTTTGAGCAGAAGAATGTGCACCAGCGATGTCTGGAGCACGCGAAAGGAGGGTGGCTGCTGACTGTGTTCCCCACACTGTAGCCGCAAAGCAGATAAAAAATTGTTGAATGGTGTACTCCCCAGTGGCGATGAGGTGAGTACCTCCGAACCAAAATACGAATGCTATGCTGAAGATGCGCAACGATGTCGTGCATGCGTACATGGCAGCCGAGATAGCCCAGTATCTACTTTGGCTGTCCTGCTCAATTGCCCCTTGGAAAGATTCCATGACTGACTGATGAAGGCCAAAGACTGTTACTGTCCGAATTGCAGTGAGGGCTTCGTGAGCAATAGCCACGGCGCGAATATCTCGTCTCACAAAATCCTCAACTTTTGTGACAATATGGTATTGGAGAAAACCAGAAGCTGCAACTAGTGGAACGGTAGCAGTTGCAGCAAGGCCAATTTTCCAACCAAACAAGCATCCAATAAGGACACCAGTAAGAAGCATCGTGGTACTTTCCGTCACGAGACCAAGAGAGGTTCCTGATACGCCCACCACTTTGGCAGTGTCCGAGGACAATATGCTTACCAATGCCCCAGTAGAATGTTCATCCTCTTCGAAGAAAGGGAGGTTTTTCGAAAGCAGTGCATTAAACAGCTCAGACCGGGCCCGGAAGCTAAGTTTAGAGGCTGAGACTGCGAAGCAGAACCCTCGGAGACAGTATATCGAGAGCACAATGAAGCCATGGACCAAGTAAATCTTTGCCCAGAAGTCAGGGGTATGGCCACCCGTGCTTAAAGAGGGTTTCAAGAGCGACATTATGCCGCCCCCGAAGTATATAGCTTGTATGGGGTACGTTGCACCAGCAAGTACACTGAGAAAAATCCCTGTCGAGGTAAAGAGTATTTCTGGGTAGTTCAAGGCCCAGATCCTACTGATACTGCTTCCAAGTTGGACCACCGATGGGATCCCGTCGGCGCCAGCCACATTGTTAATGCTAACAGAGGCTTCTTTTTGGGACTTCTTGCCCTGTGTAACTTCCACAGATGTACCTATCTGCTCTCGCTCCACATATCCAAGCTCTTGTTGTCGTATAAGAGCCTGGTACAGTGGGCAATTTTGCATCAACTGAGTATCACTTCCTTGATTCAGGATTTTACCACCTTGCATGATGATTATACTGTCTGCATTTCTTATAGTCGAGAGGCGATGAGCAATTATGATTGTGGTTCTCCCGGATGTAGCCGATTCAAGTGCTTTATGAACATCATGTTCACATTGGCTATCAAGCGCAGATGTGGCTTCGTCCAACAGCATAATCGCTGGTTTGGATACAACTGCGCGTGCAATTGCAAGGCGTTGTCTCTGACCACCCGACAGTCTTGATCCGTTTACTCCGATAACTGTGTCATAGCCTTGAGGCATATTGGTAATGCATGAATGAATGCACGCAATTTTAGCTGCTTCTACCACTAGTTGTTGAATGCTCTTCTCGTCGAGCGCCTTTTCGCCACGTCAGTTAGTATTTCTCCATAGCCGACGGTCCTTTCGTAGCATACCTCTTGAGCATTTTGTGAGAGCCCATTGGCAATGTTGGAATGGATTGTTGTGTTGAACAAAGTGACGTCTTGACTGACGTAGCCAATCTGAGATCTGAGCCAGATCAAGTCCATTTCTTCAATTGGATTATTCCCGATCATAATTCTTCCAGTGGAAGGATAATAAAGTTGCTCAATCAAAGCAAATATCGTCGATTTCCCTGATCCAGAGGGTCCGATCAAAGCAACAGTACCTCCTGCGGGCATTTCAAAGCTGACATTGTCGAGTACCAGATGTTCAGAACGCGAAGGATAAGCAAAGCTTACTTCATCGAAGCGAATTGCTCCGGTGGCTAGATCAGGCTGTAAAAATTTATCTTCCGAAGGTCTCACGTCCGGCACTCCTCTGACAACAGAGAATACCCGGCATGCTGCTTCGTTGGCATTTGTGATGCTTACAACAAAGGGCAAAGCTTGACACAGCATAGCACCAGCAACCGTTGTTGCATAAAGGACAGTCAAAACCTCTGAAATGGTGCACTGACCCAAACCTATTAATCGCTCTGCTTGCCAGATCTATAAGGTTCATCAGATGCAATCAATGACCACGACCCACAGATAAGGTGAACATACCCCGAGTCCATTACTCCAGTGCAGTATAGTGAACGAACCCGCGACCACAACCCCAAAGATTAGCCGCTCTTGGTAATCCAATTTTGATGGATATTCCAGATGTGTGCAGTACTTTCGGGCATACCGGTCTTGACTGCGATATGCGATCACGTTTCTCATAGCTCCGAGAACCTCTTGAGCTAAATCATTCGCTCTGGCCATATGAGTGGCCCCCTTTCTCTGAACCTTGCTCAACCAGAACCCCATCAATCCGACGAGAGTGACGAGCGATATTGGCTGACTGACCAAGATAGACGCGAATCGTCGGTTGGTAATAAAAGCACAGGCTAGGGCGATTGCGGTCCCAGAAACCCCGGAAATAATGTCGCTCGCTTTCTGGGAGATACCATCTTGTATCAACTTCATGTCTTGATCAAGATGCGAGATCAACTGTCCCGTTCCAGCATAGTCAAAATATGCCATATTCTGGTGCATGACTGAGTCCAGCAGGTCTCGTCGCACCTGACGCGTGAGTTGCTCCCCGACGGCGTTGAAGCCCCATGTGCTGAGCAAAGTCGTGATAAAAGATCCGATCGCTGGGCCATGGTTAGCTTATTTCAAATTTGCAAGGGGAGAAACTCACCAATTAACACCAGTATGACTGCCAGATGTTGAGTTTTGTGAATAGAATACTCCGGAGACTTATTGTCTCCATTAATGAATCCATCTGCCAATGCTCCAAAGACCACGGTGACCAGGGGCATTGCCGCACCACTCAAGATTGCGCATAGCGCTGAGCCAACAAGCGTACATATTTGCAGTGCCGTCGCGTGTCCAAAGACAGATAAAAGATTGGCTGTGTTCGGCCCGGGCTCGTCATGAGCGATAGGGCTTACCTCCCTGTTAGCGCTAGACCCATCAATCGGCTCGATTTCTTGGAGAAGAATATTCTCTGCTGACGCAGACATGACTGAACCAACTGTATTACATGAGCTGAGGTTCCAATTCACGTCGCGTCCGGTCGCGTCCGGCCAATATCGGTTGAATGGGCATTGACAAAGGGTGCATTCCTCGGACGTGCAGATCCTAGCATATACTAGGTATCAGTGGATCGGCCATGTTTTGGTGTCTCCGCGCCGCAAGGCCAAGAATATTGAATGAATTGAATGATTTGACTCGTCAGTCTGAATGCTGGAGTCATTGGCCCCTGGCTTTCTTGCTGGTGTCCAATGTGGCGTCTTCACTCCGGCCCCATTCACTATTTAACTAGCCCCGGTCCCAACTCGGATAATCAAACGCAAGGGGCTAATTGGCCAAGGCGTTGTTGTTCTTGCTCTTCTATTGTGTCAATGTGAGATGAGAGGGGAAAAAGGGCTCGGTGCTCGCCTACCAGCGAAATAAAAAGAAGAGAATCTTGCTGGTGCAGGGGTGAAGAAGAGGGGGGCAGAGTTTCCAGTGGAGATGGAGAGGGGATTTGAATTAGAACTCCAATTACCCGATGTATCGTCGTCTTTCGGCAACTAGACCCAATTAGATATCGAATTGGCTAAGGTTAGAATGATGGCTTTTTTATTTTCAATTTAACTGGTGTAAGATGGGAATGCTCGCTGGCAGTCTGCGTTGGCAGACGGGTCGATTGCAAGAGGACAAAACCACCACACTCGCAGAGTGCAGGAGAGTCGTAGACAAAGCGAGACGCTATAGAGAAGCGATAGAACGAACAACAGAACCGCTCATAAGCAGTATCTCGATACCGCAACCTCATCAGCCTCAGTAGAACATTTCATAAGGGGGAATATCGCATGTTGTTATTGATACTATGGAACGAACGCTACTTATTCTTTCCGAAACTAAATGGCTGCCTTGTTACTAAGGCCCCAATCACCTGACTCCGATGTTGAGAGCGGAATCCCCCATTACACTGGATATTAAGCATAGACCAATACTATATGCATCCCCTCTTTTTTTGCCAAGACTCGACAAGTCAGGTATACATATACCATGGCCTAACGAGTGGTATCCATCTATGGCAATTGGCGTCAGAATACTCGGGATCATTGAACAGCGCGGCAACATGAGCTCTCAGTTTTTCGTGATGCTAGTTAATTCGCTCTCAATTTTCGGGTCGCCACTCTCATAAACACTCATCAATTGTCGGTGAATATCTTGCCATGCCCCGGCTCGGGTCTTGAAAAGAAGCCACCAGTCGCCGGCAGCATCCTTACCGAGAATTCGGACCACATTTCTAGTTGGATAGCTTCGACAATGTTCAATGTCGTTGATATAGGAGGGTTGACCAGGTGCATGCGCCCTATTAGACATAGGAACACCTGACTTGATCACAGCGCCAGAAAAGTCCGCATTGAAATTGCCCGACATCTGTTGATTTGTACACGCCATGAAGAAATTGTTTGTACGGCCGATGACTGGCGCAGTCCTCTTGTATGAATCTCTTTGAATAGCTGTCATGGCCTGAACTTGTTCCCGAGTCCTGTGCTTCATGAGTGCGTGGCGGTTTTCAGATGCGGTGTATGATAGACTTTCATCACGAAGCACCTTTCCTGAAGAGAGAAGTGTATAGGAGTAGAAAAATGAATTCCCAATGAAGCCTCTCCCGTCTTGGGGGAACCACTCTGGGAAAAGGCGCCATATATTGAACACGTTCATTAACATAATAGGCCGTTCTGGAGAAGGCTTCAGTGCTCTTATCATAGTCCTCATCCACCATGAGATGACTATGTCTCCCTCGCTTAGGAAGGGAGGCTCTTTTGCTTTAGGGACAGCTTGAGCCAAGTCATGTCGGGCTATTTCTGTCATCTTGGACACATAGTGTCCTGGGACTCGAATAGTATGGTCCACTTCATCCTGTGAGAATAGTAACTCCACCATGTATCGAATTCCAAACAAGAGAAGATTGAGACCACTCAATACGAGCCCAAAATTATGGTACTCCTCTTTCAGCTCGTTCTGTCCCAGCGTATGAAGAGGATCGTGATCGAATGGTACCATTGGCGGTATTTCGTCTTCACAACCTCTGAGTACTGCACTCCATGCACTCCAGAAAGACGATCGAGATATCGCGTCGAAAAGGGTGTGGACGTAGCTTGTTGTTATTAGGGTAGTATCGCGGAATGAAACGACATGGATATGAAGTTGTGGGCGATCCGAATAAATCCAGTCGGCAAGCTCCTTAGGACTCTCCGCATGACACACCAATGGTTCGAAAAATCTACCGGGGGGAGAAAGGAATGATTGATCGTATTCTTGACTCGGCAATTTAGAACCAATCTCATGTTCACTGATATCCATGTCATAGTCCGCTTTCGTGAAGATAAAGGCGGGACGTGCCTTTGTGAAGCTTGCGGGTATGTGATATTCCAACCTGTTATAACTCTGAGAATGTGTCATTAAACCGTCCAAAATGCCAGGTCGAGAGATGTTTTACCCTCAGTCTCAAGCGAGCACCTAGCTGTCCCCAATCCCCGATTTCCATCAATCGATTCAAGGCTGACTCAAGCTTTGATACATCGAGAACATCGTCGATGCGAAAGGTGTAGTCGTGGCAGATACATCTGAGATACTCCAGATCATCCCAATACCTCAGTGGAATTACCCGGTCGGTCGGTACTTTTGCTGGTTGCCTTCGACCGAAAATTGAAGAAAGCATTTTCGCGACGTTGATTAGGGATTTTTCAGTGTTATTGGAAATCAGCAAGTGTTCCTAGTTCAATGCGACTGAATGATAATCATAGAGTATGTACGCCTGTTGATAATTTGTAGAAGCGGTGCTTCAGCGAGTTCAAATTGATCAATAATATTGTTTCATGCTAACAGAAACCAGCTTGCCACGGAATCCGTGTTGATACATCAATCCGCCTGTGATGCAAGGCCTGAACGCCATTCAGCGACGGGAAATAGTTGCTGATCGGCTGGATCGAAATTACTGTATGCAAGGGATATCAAAGCGGTGTGGCTGCGCTAGCCACTGTTTGAATGCATCATGAACACCCCAGGTTCGGTCTGGCCAACAAGAAAGATTAAGCGGTGTGACAGCTGGAAAAAATCAAAATTTACATTTGTAAAATATGCGATCTTTGTAATGATGGATTCCCGGCCCGAAGAACTCATTGCAGTTACATTTTACATTCCACTGGCACCAGCAAATTATATAAAAAGATATTAACGGTTGATATCACTAGTAGTATTGGATATGATAGTATCTACGGGCTGCTGTGAAAAGGATTTTTCCGTGTCCGATCGAGTGAAGATACTCTACTTGACTTTTAAATAGTCTGACATCGTGCTTTTTGTAGATAACGACCAAGGGCCATCATCGGGAAATAGTGGCGGTAATAGTCATATCCAAGGAAAAAGTGGTTTGGGAATCCAGTCCCAGTAAACACGCCCTCGGGCCACGAAGACCCAATGCCCTTCACGGGTTGAAGAGTCACTACCAGGTATTGAATTCCTTGCTTGATGGCAGGATCCTCCGGGGAGAGATGCGCCAACAATCCCATCAAAGCCCACCCGGTTTGCGAAGCAGTCGAACTTTGCTGATCCTGACCCGCCGATCGGTATGATAGAAGCGATTCACCCCAGCCCCCATCAGCCTGCTGCTTGGCCTTCAGCCAACGCAAACCTCGCTGCACCATAGCAGAAACTTGCGAGTTATGAGGGTAATATGCAAGTCCACATAGAGCATGACTCGTGCCGTAGACGTAATTGCAGCCCCATCGACCAAACCAAGATCCATTGGGTTCTTGTATAGACGCAAGGTATTGTATTCCACGCGTAGAAGCGGCTTGGAGTGTTGGGAAGAAAAGGCTTGCGTGGGTCTTCTCCGTCATACACTCCATCATCAGCCCGAAGGCTTCCAGTATGCGCCCGGTGATATCTGCACAGGATGTATCACATAGACTATCCATGTCACTAAAGGGGATTTTGTTGAGGAACAGCTTGTTGTTCTCCACATCAAAAGCAGCCCAGCCTCCATCAGAATTCTGCATTCCTGCGATCCATGTAGCTGCTGCTATGACAGAGTTTGATCCGACAGATCCTGCATCATGTTTTACCTGGGCAAGGATTATCGCAGCAGTGTCGTCCACGTCGGGGTACCAGGTGTTCTTGTATTCGAAGCTATATCCACCTGGTAGGAGGCCGGGTCGGTATACACGCCAATCTCCGTAGGGGACGATCAATTGTCGATTTCTGATCCATGAGATTGCTCGATCGATGACCTGTCGATCTGGTGACATGGAGTCGGAGAGTCCAATCGACATCAAGGCCGTGTCCCATACAGGTGAGACACAGGCCTGGACGCGTTTGCCGTGTTCGTCTTCCCAACAAAAATTCTCGATGGCCTGGATCCCCAGCTTGACTGGGGTATCATCAATTTTGTAGCCTTCAAGGACGAAAGCAAACACGCTTCCATGCATGGGGGGGGAATATTCCAGCCCAATCGCCGGTTGATTCCTGCCGATCAAGGATCCACTCGAGACATTTGCGTCGGGCATAGGTGCGAAGGAAGGGAATGGATCGGAGCCCGTTTAATTGGTAAAGTAGTTTGTCCACACACGAGAATGCGAGACCAGGCAAATCGCCGTTGAGCAACAACGTCGACAGAGGCAGGCCATAAGGCACATCTTTGTTCTGAGCATCGATCCACAGTTCATCCAGATAGTCGTTGTTGGCAGACTGACCGTTCGGCAGAGAGTAGATAGGTTGGTGATGACAGATAATCAACAGAGGCGCAATGGTACCCCGAGCCCACGAAGCAAAAGTATATATGTTGATCGGAGAAACCGATGGGACAAGAATCAGCTCTACGGGTAGCGTTGGCACTGCAATCCAAGGAAACAAACCAAAAGTCGCCAAGAAGATTCTCGTGAACATGCGAACCTTTGCAACACCTCCAGATTGGATTACAAATTTCCGAGCTCGCTGCATGACTGCATGAATAGGAGCGAAACCAAGAATCTTGAGAGCCAGATATGCCTCAACCGTGGCAGATACATCGCCTGGAATTTGGGGTGCCAGTCCCCATGAGCCATCTTCATTCTGCTCAGAAAGAATGTGTCGACAGTAGGCCGCTTTATCAGTTTGTATATCGAGCCCTAAAGCATATCTCAGAAAAATGTATTCTGAAGTGATCGTGACGTTGGATCTGAGTTCACCACACCAGTGACCATCGGAACGGACCAAGGAGTTGGCATAATCTGTTGAAAGCTTCAACGAATTCTCAACTTGGGGTAACAATTGACTCGATTGAATATCGTCTGCCACAACCTCAGTAGAGATGGCCATAGTGGAAATTGGGAAGTATTTTAAAAAGGTGGCCGACAGCCCAGGATATATTTAGTTATATATCCAGGGACTCGGAAGTTCCGCCGATAGTACCTCGCAAGGTTCCAAGGTTCTAACAACACTGTCGCAAAATAGCCCCGACCAAGAGATTTGCAGTAGTACTGTAATGTCCATACTTGAAATCTAAGAATACACTGACGTTCAAGTCGGTGTGTCACCTAAAGCAAACACGATTAATTTATCGAATTAACTAGCCAGGCTAATGCAAGATCATTATGTTCCATTGAAGAACTCTATCCCTTACAGAAACCTAGCTTTACGTGCAGATTATCCTGCGGGTTAGCATCGTTAAGTAAGGGGTCAATGTGCGACCAGAACTCTAATAGTATTACAATAAATATTTAGGCGATTATCTAACACGACAGACAACCGGGGGGGTCCTCTCTGATATATTGGTACTTTTCACTTACATGCAGCCATGGCATAGCGAATCCCTCCAATTACATGTATAGCGATCTGTTGAGCCTCTTTACAATGACACCCATATCAATCTTTGGGGTTACCAACAACACAGTGAGAGCAAACTCACCGACTGCAATATTCATAGGCATCAGCCTGATTATCATAATATTCATCCGCCAATCCGTGCGTATAAGGTCGAAAAGACTAGAGAGATCGCTAAACTGCGAGGCTCCACGAGACGAGAGCGATCGTTTTCAATTCGACATATTCGGCATCGTGAAGGCACTCGAGCTGGGATATCACTTCCACAACAAAAGTTCTCTTGAATATACCAATTCCTTATTCGGCCGATATGGGGAGACCTATGCTTCGTATATAATGGGATACCGACTTTTCTTCACCCATAGCGCAGAAAACACAAAACATTTACTATCTACTGCATTCTCCGATTTCGAAAGCTCGCCTTTGAGAAAACCCTTGTTCGAGCCGATCACGCCCCATGGGATCTTTACACTAGACGGCCCACAGTGGAAGGCCAGTCGTGACCAGCTACGCGGACGCTTAGCAAATTTGAGGAAAATCATAGATTTGAACGTTTGTGAAGAGCATTTCCAGGCATTTCTCAAACATGTACCAAATAATGGCGGTCTGTTCGATGTTCAATCTTGTACGTTTGCCTTATCCTTAGATTTGCAAACTCTGTTTTCGTTGGGTGAATCTATCGATGCTCTAAGCTTTAATCAGTCTGCAGAAAAGAAGCAATTCTTTGATGATCTACTCTTTGTGAAGACTCGTATAGTACACGATGGATTCAGAGGGCCACTGCGTCACCTTTACCCCAAGGGTCCATTCCTTCGGGCGTGTGAGAGAGTGCGGGCGTTTGTATTGACACGCGCATCTCGTGAGATTCGGAAAAGAAAAAAGAAAAGTGAAATGGTTGTCTTAGATGAAGATTCCGAAGATATCACTCAACTCACAGATCAAGCTCTGAGCATATTGCTTGCCAATGACAGTATGAGTACCATACTCTCGGGGGTATTCTTTTGTCTTGCCAAAGATCAACACATCGTGGGCAAGCTTCGCAAGAGTATTGTTGATGCCATTGGCCTTTCACCACCGACATGGAATGATCTGGGATCCCTCCAATACGTCCGCTGGGTGATTTATGAAGGTAAGATTCTTTGTCCAATCTGATATTGGTACATGGCTAATATTGAGGGGAAGCTATGCGGCTTTACCCCCCCAGTCGTACTCAATGCAAGAGTTGCGAACAAAGTTTCCACCTTACCGACCGGTGGTGGAATTCATGGAATATCGCCCATTCTAATTCAAAAAGGTGAAATAGTGGTGTTTTCTACCTGGGCTAGGCATCGTCTTGGGGAAGACCTTGGCCCCGCGCCTCATGAATTTCGACCAGAACGATGGGCAAATATTCCAGGAGATGTTCCCGGCTTCATCCCGTTCAACAAAGGGCCTAGGATATGCCCTGGCCGTAAGTCCTTGATTCTACTCTGTTCATTATCTTGCTTATGATGCTTCAGAGAATTATGCCATGATTGTACTCACGTACATTATCGCGCGGATGTTCCAAAGGTTCTCGGTAGTGTCGGATTATAATGACAAGCCTTGGACTGAAAGAATCGCCATGACGTTGGAAAATGATAATGGGGTGCTAATTGGACTGAATTAGACACCAAAAGCTATCTAGGCAGACTATTATTAAAGTACTAGTACATGTTAGGGATACTAGTACAGAAAAAGTCTGCACAAAGTATTGGAGGGCAGGAGTTATCTATTTACTTCTAGCATTCACAAACTCTACCAGTCCTTATCCAATCCTTCCTCTTCGTACTTTGCAAATTATCTCTCTTACTCGGTCATACTCGGTTCTATAAGCTTCTCACTCTAAGCACCTACACTTACTCTAGAAAATACTCAGTACTATTCTGAGGCTCGAGGCAAATATAATGATTGGCCACGTTTATTATATAGTTTAAGTACGGCTGAGCGGACGGAAAGCCATGTTCTCCACACCCTAGGGTCGTATGTACCAGATACCACTCAATAGGGGAATAGTTATATAGTGAGATATTTGATTGAGAATATGCCATGCTTACTGCAGGCACGCCACTTTATTTCCTGGCCATTCCACCAGAGCTGCATCCGAGCTGCATTGATTGGGTGGTACAGAGAGTACATGATAGCTATTTGCGGTTAAAGCCCTCTTGGCACAGGGGGCTGAGAAAGAAAGACTGCACGGCCGATACTCCTCTTCACTTAAATATCGCCCAACCGCCCGTCTGCAACACATCTTGATATATTTGACTCTTCAATATTTCAGTTGTCATAAAAACGGCACCCCAAAGGGACTTTTGATTCGATCTGCATCTTGTAATATCTTTGATGATCTCCCTAAATTGAAGAGTTGGATAGAAAACTGCATCGACAACCATGAGATATGCCATTTTTCAAATCAAATATTGCCCCGGGCGGGACGCTTAGGTTCACCGTCGTCATCTGAAGCGCAGAGCCCCAATAGCGTATGGCGCACCTCTTTATCCAGCTGGATAAGCAGGATTCGGAGAGAAAAACCAGCAATTTCGTCAAGACCAGAGGGTCCAGCGAGGTTAAAACACGTTACACTGGGATCCAAGCAGGGGCTACTTGCAGTGAAACTGGTGCAGGCCAATTCAACGCAACCTTATCAATACGTCGCATTGAGCCATTGCTGGAGGTTTTCTCTCCCCCTGAGAACGACAACGACGAATATCCGGGCGCATGAATCAAATACCCCATTAAGTTCAATGTCTCCTGTGCTTCGTGAAGCCATCATACTGGCTGCTGCATTGGAATACGAATATATTTGGATTGGTTCTCTGTGTATCATCCAGGATGATCAAAAGGACTGGGAAAACGAGGCGCCGAAGATGGGCTCTGTCTACGGCCATGCCGCTGTTGTCTTTGCAGCATATGGGAGAAACCTGGGCATTGAGAAAATTCCCTCTGTTGAAATATCGGACCCAACAAGATCAGGTAATAGCCCTACCATTGCCCGGGAGGAGATAGACCATGGGGTCTTCTTCTCTGTCCCAGAGAATCCAGACTCGTGGTTCGGACGGGGCTGGTGCTTGCAAGAGAGATTCTTCGCGCCCAGAATCGTACACTTTGGCGGTGCGGGGGAAGAATTGTACTTTGAATGCAATTCAGGAATGGAGTGTGAATGCGGATATATAAGCGAGCGGGACAATTGCAACCTAAAAGCAAGGATTGCCACAGCATTGTTAGACATTCAACCTCCAATCGACTACAGCTTCGCCTGCAATGAAATGTGGAAAGATTATATTGATGTCTGTGAGGACTACACCTCAAGAGGCCTAGCCTTCGCTACAGACGCATTGCCTGCAGTTTCTAGTCTGATGGGTTTCTTCGCTCCATACCTGGGGGCGTATTATGCAGGTTTATGGGAGAAATATCTAATCCCGAGCATTGGCTGGGAGGTTCTCTGCACCCCAATGTCGAAGCGAACTGAGTCTTATGTCGCACCGTCATTTCCATGGGCCTCTAGGACCGCACCCGTGATTTGGGACTGGATATACGGCGACATAAACACAATACCCACACCCGAAACCTATCATTTTGCCCAAGTGGTAGATGTTTCCTACATACCTACCACCAATGACACCAACGGGCAGATTGCAATGGGTCATATTAATCTTCGTGTATTTATAACTCAGATGACGATTGAGTCGACCGACGGAAGTGAATGCTCCGGATTGGAGATTGGAGATGACAAAAGAAGGGGTGGAGTGCTATGTCACATTGGACACAATCCAGGATCTGGATGAAATGGAGCCGAAATCATGTGTCATTTGTCTTGATATAATGAGAGGCACGAATGGTGCAGGAAATGTTACATTCATTTCTAGTCTTGTTCTCCTTCCGGTAGCGAGTTGACCTGGTTGCCATCGTCGGATTGGATTCTCGACCATGAAAGCCGAGCATTTTGAGGGCTCTCTAATTTGTAAGATGAAAATTATATAAAAGCCATTTCGCAACTAGTCTTCTTATGATATCGCTGTAGTTTAATCTCAACAAAACAGTCTTTTGACATATGCCTCGTGACGGCGCCCAAAAAGAAAGAAGAAATGAGGTGGTACTGGGTAAGCCTGGAGGGACTGATTTTACCGTTTGAGGCAGTGCTACGAATACAGAAGTAGGGATAGACTATCCGTGCCCGATAAAGACCCAAAGGACACGCAGAAAAGAGAAAAATAGTTAGGCAGGTAGTCACACTTCTTTCTTTGAAGGCTAAAGACGTCCCTTAATCGGTAAAATTCCAGCATCTCTCGGGTCAGCTGGCGGAAGCTCAGGCAGAGGGAGTCTCAAATTCTTCGCAACCTCCCTCGCAGCCCAGAAGCCCGTCACAAAAGCCAGCGCCAGTCCACCCGCGTATCCCAAATTGCTGAAACCACCAGCGTCAACGCCTGCAACAAGAAGCCCTGGAATGCGCACATTATCTGAAGTTAGGGCGTGTCCCTCTTTGTCGATCTTAATCCCACCATAGGTGAACGTGATCCTGGAGGTATCGTTAGTATTCATGAATTATAAGCGAGTACAGCTCAGTGTGGGTAGTATCCTTACGATGGCTGGACTTCAATCGCATAAAACGGACCCTCGCCTTCTACCAAAGGCGTCGGGGGTACCGGGCCAACCGGGGCGTCAAGACCCTGTTCAGCATCCTTGTGGCGAACTACCCTTTCGTACTGCGTAATTGTTCGCTTAGCCCCAACGCTGTCGACTCCCCATCCCGCGAGAATCTGAGCAAGACCATCCAGGGTAGACGCGGTCCCAACATTACAGCCATGCTCGCGGGCTTTTTGGAGGCGATCTATATCACCGGCGTTGGGGAATAACGCGGATACGCAGTGCTGGAGGCGAATTTTCTCGCTACGAAGAGAGGATACTGTGTTAGCGTGGAAACACACCAAAACAAAAGAGACGAAGAATAAAGGAAGACGAACTTGAAAATCAAGAAGCCCCGTCGCTTCTCTTGTTTTGCGAGGTATTGGTTGACGATCTCGTCGCCGGTAGTCTCGTCCGCGAAACGGCGACCGGCCTGGTTGAGCAGGAGACAATATTTACTTTCTGTAAAGTGTCAGATATGCCATAGATTGTACAGTATCAGCTGGGTCGAATGTGTGCTCAACTCACGATATTGCGCCAGTGGAAGATAGTCCTTGGGGTCTACCTGGTCTGCCCGAAGAGGCGCGGCCATGAGATGTCCATAATATGTGTTCATGCCCCTGCTTGTTGCTGCGCCCGCTCCGACCGCGAGATTCAGGCCATCGCCGACGGAGCCTTTGTTGGAACGTACGAATATATTGTCCGCACCCTGGCCGAGGTATTGTGCTGTAAGGCTAGACGAGCCCTGGAATCCACCGGTTGCCAGAACGACGGTTCGAGCTGTGACTTCGTAGTTTGAGTCCTCGCGGCGAATAATTGCACCCTTGATGCGAGATCCCGGAATACCCGGATTTTCCTGAAGAAGTTTGACAACGGTGGAGTTTGTCCAGATCTCCGAACCGGTATTGCTCGACTCGATCCGGTTGCGATGAAGATTGTGCAGGTGGGGGATTTTAATTGGGAAACCGATCCCTGTGGACATGGATGCATTAGCATAAATCAGGGGAACGGTGAGAATGTAATGGATTGTTATAATTACTTACCAATTGTCATGATCCCATCAAATCGTGGTGCTGTAGGGACTTCCTTTTCGCGCATCCATTGCACGGCAGATAAATAGTCGGCCAACCATGCACGCTGGAGTTCTGGATCGCCATCAGGAACCCAGGACCTCAATTTCTCATAGGTCTGGGGTCCCCAGCTGGTTATGATGGTGAGTGGAATGAAATATGGGAAAATAGACGAATAGGAACATGGACATACAACATTCCCGCAGAGTAGTTTGATGATCCGCCCACATTGTTCTGCTTTTCAACCACCAAAACTCGAGCTCCAGCTTGTGCTGCAAAGGAAGCGCAGGCCATGCCTGACATTCCTCCTCCGCATACGAGCACGTCGACGTCTCTGGAGTCCATGGTGAGTATATGTGCAATTGCTTGCCAGTCTTTCTATAATAGAAATACTCGGCATTTCGGTCCATTTATACTGCTTGTTATTCACAGCTTTGGAGAGAAGGACCATTCGGTGTATAAATTAAATGACCGGTCCATCCATCAATCCACTTAGATGCCCCCTCCGCCCCACAAAACGTTTCCCCGCATTTTTCAATCGCAAATTCCTTCTTGACACGCCATCTCCATGATCATGCCATGTCGTCTCCCGGATACGGAGATGAGAAGTCGCAGGGACGCCCTCGATCGGCGGCTGCTCCGGCCTGCGAAGCATGTCGCAGGCTGAAGGTAATCCTCCATCGTTCTGCCCCCCGCCCCATCAAGCCATCGCTAACGACTCAGATGAAATGCACCCGAGCAGCTGAAGGATACGAGAACCCCTTATCCGATCCCCTATCCGCGCCATGCGACAGGTGTAAGCGGACCGATCGCCCCTGCAAAACCCCCGAGTCACGACCGCTAGGTAGGAGGCGCGGAGCTTTGGGCCGGTATCGCGGGCTCGAAAAGGCATACCGAAAACTGCAGGCGGAGGCGAAAAAGGCCAACATTCCACATGACCTTGATGAAAGGTTTGATACGATTCCTTTACACACCGCCGAGGAAGAGCTGGGATTTGATTCTTTTTTGGTGGATGAACCGTCCGATCATCCGCAAGTCACTACGACAACCGACGTGCCGGCGGTCCCCGGCACGCCTTTTCTCGGGCCAGAAGTGAGAAGGCCTAGGACGGCGATTCAGGATGAGCATCATGGAGACGCGGAAGATCACAATACACCGACACACGAACCAATGAGTAATCCGCTTGCTCTGCTGGCGTACGCATCTGATGCCGCCCAAGCGGCGGAAGCAAGATCAACTTCAGTGAATACAATACCCAGTCCATCATCCAGGAGGCAATCCGGCCCCGGAAAAGGGGAAAGCGAGGGGCACCGTTTACTCCACCGACCGGGATATGTTTCTTTGGGACTGCAGTTGGACCGAGCAAGTCTCGTGCAGGGCCTGGATGGCTTGTTGGCCTGCCTTGACGCAGGACATCAGTCTCTCGACTACTTTAAGCGAACAAGTGTTCGTCAGCGCGACGTTGGGCCGGACTTGGATCCGGTCGAGCTGGGGCTCGTTACGATGGATGAGGCGAACTACCTGTTCCCGATGTAGGTGCCCTGGATTCATCATAACTTGCGGTAGAGCTAATCCAAGTATTTTCCTAGATATTTCACACGGCTGCACCCAATTAACGGAATACTTGACCCAATGCTCCACACCCCAGAATTTGTGCGCGCTCGATCTTCGCTGCTGTTTACCTGGATTCTTACCCTAACAGCTCTATTTGAAAATACTTGTGCTCCAATTGCAGAGCGCCTGCGATTGCACGGCGAAAGGTTATCGAGATACGTGCATACTTGCGGGCTCAAGTCTGTCGAAATTGTGCAAGGATACTATATCTCGCTGCTATCTGCTACTCCGGCCAAGACTCTGGCCGAAGAGCGCTCCTGGCTATACACAATGTATGCCATTGGCGTTGCTACAGACTTGGGCATGGACCAGGAAGCTGAACATGATCGATCTGAACTATCGGAAGAGCAGGATGATCAGGACCTGCAATCGCCATTTTCAGGACCAACGGGGAGAACTCGACAATCTATAGCAGGACCTTTACCTGAACATACTGTTTACGAACAGCGACTCCTTCGCAATCGCGAAAGAACATGGCTGAGAATCCTCTTATGGGACCGAGCAAACAGCGCTGCCTGCGGTCGCATTCAAAGCTTCCCAGAGACAAATTTAACCCGAGCGGTTGAAACGTGGTGGCTGCATCCGCTGGCGGATATGACGGACAAATATACCAGCGCATTTATCTGTCTACGGAGGGCACTTGCGTCGCTGCAGGCGGATTTAAAGCAAAGATCGCAAGATTTTCATTCCGATCCACACTGGCGCCGAGAACTGGTCGACGCATCTCTCCACCCCTGGTGCAATGAATGGCTCTCTGATCCGGACGATGGTTTCTCTACTCCATCGCCCGAGCAAGTCTCAATGATCTTCCTGCGCTACGTGTACGAGCATGGACGTCTTTGGACCCTGTCAGTCGCATTGAGTGACTTGATCTCGCGTGCGCAGGACTTAGATGCCATCCGACAAGATTGTTTCGAAATCGCAATTAATTGCTGCGAAACAGCCGTGCGCGACTTGAATAACATCGGAGAACCATTATATTGCATGTTGGCGCCTACATGGGCGATGATATCTTACGCGGCCGTTCTAACGCTCAAAATATTTCCTGCATTATATGGTCCTCGGACGGGCAGTGACTTGGAGCTGCTTGCCTTATTGAGCCAGGTAGCTTTGAAACTCCAGCGCGCTGGTACCACGCCACCGCACCGCTTCGGTATTGCGGCGCTATTGGGACAACATCTTATGATGATTCTTCGGGCTAGAGCTGTTGGTATCGGTGAGGCGGTTTCATCACAGGCCCAGGATCATGATATTCGTCACGGCCACGCAATGGCTGAATGGAAACCTGCACAGCCTCAAACGGCGCATAGAAGTCCCCTGGTTTCGGATTGGGATCCGTTTCTGACGCCGGCTATATCTGATCAGAATGATTTCGGACCCGATGGGTTCAATGACTTTTTCCGCGAGATCTTTGGCCCTGGGTTTGGAGATTTGGTTTAAAATATAGATAGGGCTACGATTTATATGTGACAATAGCTTATGTTTATCTATATATCCCAGATAGCAGCTTCGGCGGAAATTCAAACCGGTTGTGAGTCCGGTGCATTAAAATAGACACCGAATCAAGGGGCTGGGTTCCCGATCTGGCTAAACAGTTACCCCGGGGCATACTAGTACGGGAGAAATTACAAGACAATCATGTCGCTCGCAATATCGCCGGTCTGTAAAACTTTCTCACCGTTGCCCCGTGCCAGTATCACCGCCAAAAAAAAGATAGAGTATAAATGGAAGAAGCGGCGGATGATGTGGCTGTATGGCCGGTGAATATTTCTGTCTGTGGAACACATATCTCAAACAATTTCAACATTCAAAAACTTGGCCTTGGAAGTCATCCATGGATATACTAGCTTAGGTACACAGCAACCTTGTACAACATGCACATCAGTCAACCTACAAGTTGGCCAACCGCTTCTGCTGCTTCGCAATCATATCCAACAAAATCTCCTCACTCCCACCACTAACAACAAGCACTCTAACATCGCGACTGATCTGCTCCACACGCGATCCCTGCCCACCACGAGAATACCCCAGTCCGCCAAAAACCTGCTGCGTCTCCCTGGAAACCTTCTCAAGATGATGCGCAGCCTGGACCTTAAGCATAGCGGCCAGCGGCGAGAATTCCAAACTCGGCATCCGCACAGACCGGAAGACTAGCTGTTCCATATAGGCCTGAGTCGGTTCAAGCCGATTCGCCATTTTCGAAAATTTCTGCCGGATCACTTGGTTCTCGAAGAGGGGCTTGCCAAATGTCTTTCGTTTCAGCGCGTGTCGGTAGGCGTCTTCGTATGCGACTCGAGATAGCCGGAGAGCGGTTATTCCTACCCAGAGGCGTTCGTGGGCAAATGCTAATACAGACACCAGTGGTTAGATTCTTGGCTGGACTCGTAAATTTTGCGTGAGATCATACTTGACATGATGATTTCGAAGCCTTGATTCTCTTTTCCGAGCATGTTCTCTGCTGGGACGACGACATCGTCTAATTCCATGAATGTAGACCCTAAAGATTACACATTATCAGTCACCAGAGATTCTGAAACTTTTCAGCCAGTGTTTCATCTCACCACTAGAGCTCACGCCCGAATTCTCCATCTTGCGCCTCGAAATTCCCTTGCTGTTTAACGGGACGATGAAAACCGAGATCCCCTTCGCGGTCGGCGGTCCCGTGCGAGCCGCAATGAGTCCAACATCTGCCTTCTGGCCTTGGGTAACCCATTTCTTTTCCCCGTTTATAATCCAGGATCTTCCGTCTGCCGACTTCGTTGCGATCGTGGTAAGACCAGCGACATCGGATCCAACTGAGATAGTTGGTTAGCGTGCGTTGGCAGAGGCAGTGTCGGGATTACTCAAGACAACATACTTGCTGGCTCCGTGACACCTAGACAGTGTCTTTGTTCGCCTCGTAGGAGAGGGGCCAAAAATTTCCTCTTCTGCTCTGGTGTTGCGTAGTGGTGAAGTGGCGGGCCACCAACGGCTGCACCTCCGTTGATACCCCAGACTGTCCCAAGGTATCCACAGCGGGCCATTTCATCGATGATCTGGTGTTTGTTAGCTTTATATTTGACGAAGAATGGAATTACTCACAATGGCGTCGTGGAATTCATCCCACTCTAGAATCATTGTTAGTCACCAAGTAACTACTAACTGTAATAGCTTGCTCACCATCCATGCTGAGACCAGCTGGCAGATTCACATCCGAAAGATAATCCTTTGGGAGGGGAAAAGCCGATACTGCAAGAAACCCTAGCGAGGCATGTCTTTTGAATGCCTATAAAATAGTGAGTCACGGACATGACGGCGTAGCATCACCTGGGCAGTGAGGTGTCGTTCATACCTGAAGAGGGATTTCTCCAGCTTTCTCCCACTCTTCGACATTGGGTGCGATGTACTTGTCCACGTATTCGCGAACAAATCGCTGAAGCCGGTGGTGGCTGGGCTTGTAAAATGGGTGGTCGTCCTGCTTGTGCCATGCTGGGTCCGCACCGGGGATTTCAGAGGTGAGAGCGGAAGTCATGTTGAGAGAAAATAAAAAAAACCTCAGCCTTCAATTTTGAAAGAATGATAATATAGCAGTATATGGCCCATGTTTGCAAAATATAAATAGCAGAAGTACACAGGTACAAAATCATGAAGAACTACGTCCTGGCCTCGGCCTTGGGGATCGGAAAATTGGGGCCAATGTCAAAATTCCGAAGAACGTGGCAACCTCGGGAATCGCACAAGTTAGAATAGTACTAGTTAGTATAGAGATATGCATACTCAGTCCATATAAATTGAGATTTAACATGAGAGTTTGTCCCCCAAAATCTTTCTCTAGTATCTTGAATTCATACTTCTCGTCCTTCATAATGGCTGAGCGATTGCAGCAAATTCATCAACAGCTGGAACCTAGTGATCCAGTCACCGGCCCCGATCGCTTAGACGGACAGGTGGTGATAATCACTGGGGGTGCTCAAGGTAAGTCTTTTATGCGTTCCAGAGTTCTTATATCAATATACTAACACTCTATTTGCGAAGGAATCGGAAAAGCGACCGCCTTGCTATTAGCCCAAAAAGGAGCAAAAGTAGCTATCAATGATTTGGACCGAGAAAAAGCAGACGAGGTTGTAAGGGAGATCCGTCAACTCCAAGGCCAAGCGGAAGCATTTCCTGGAAACGTCCTCGACGATAAGTTTCCGCAACTGTTGGTGAACAGCGTGCTGCAGAAATGGGGGAGGATCAACTGCTTGATCAACAATGCCGGTATGCACTTTGATCGCCAGAATATGTGAACAATTTGATTCTGACTTGCTGGAAGGTTTCTGTCATGATAGCGCGATCCATAAAATGGACGATGACAAGTTCGACATCATTATGAAAATCCATAACTACGTTCCGTTCCGCATCGCGCGAGCACTGTCGGGACACTGGATGGACCCAGCGAACAAAGCCATGCCAAAGACAATAGTCAATGTGTCTTCTACATCCGGTCTGCATGGCTCAATGGGACAGATTAACTACGCAACAGCCAAAGCCGGTGTTCTAGGGCTCACGAAAACCATAGCAGCGGAATGGGGCCGGTCAGTGCAATTATCAATGTCGCTTGCCATTCACAATACTGATTCTCATTCTTTCCAGATATAATGTTCGGGCCAATGCAGTGGCATATGGCTGGATCGATACACGCATTACGCGCCCGCCGACCAAGTCGGAGGCGATGACACTTGGAGGTCAAGCCATCAAACTTGGGATCCCAGAAAATGCGAAGAAATGGCGAGATGTTTCTGATATCCCGCTAGGTCGGCCTGGGTCGGCGGATGAGGCCGCGCGGGTGATACTATTCCTGGCGAGTCCACTGTCTTCGTATGTTACTGGTACTTGTATCGAGTGCACTGGGGGGCGCTTTATGTAAATTATGTTAAATCAAGAGAAAGAAAATGAAATCATGGCAAGTAGTTGAGAGTGAATCTCACGACTAGTAAGATCCACCAGCTCTCTCCACACCGGTGTATTTCTCTATTATTTTATAGACCGGTCTCCCCGCACTGTGGCACCGGAACACATTACAGGGACGAAATTGTATCTGGGGTGCTAGGATTCATCTTGACTTAGTCTTGCTAACTCCTTACTATCCGATCATGGAGCAATCTATCGACGAAAGCAATAGCTCATACCGTCCAGAATCGGCCGATTCTCCTCGCAGCCCGATAGACCATGTCGCTTCGCCTTCGCGGACAACAAACGGAAAGCGACTAAAATATATCGGAAAAGCATGGTATATTTTTATGTCCCGAGGTCATCCAGATCCAATTTGCGGAGGTCAAGTTAACAATCTCCTAGCCAGGATTGCCAGCGCCGCAAAGTGAAGGTGCGACTCCCCACACTATCCCTGTCACTTTGGCCAAAGACTTTCTCACACCCTAGCGCCCAGTGTTCCGGGGAGGAGACCTGTCGCAATTGTCGCGATAGAGGCCAGGAATGCGCATACATGCCTCAGACTCGGCGAGGCCGGAAGCAAGGGACGAAAAGGAGCCTTTCGAGTGGGAGGTACGCCCCTTTCTAATTCCTCAACTTGGCATGCTACCAAAGGATACTAATTGACCAAAAAAGCGAGAGGAAACAGCAGAGAATTGAACCAAATGACATACATTTTGATTTTTGGTTTGTTCTCTTTACAGGACCCCGATTAGTGTGCGTGCGCCTGATTGTCCGTTTGTAACAGCAAACCGCCCTTGCCCGGTACCACGACGAGGAGTGATCCGTCTGGGGACTGGAATGATGAAGCCGATGCGTACGATATACAGGAATCCCGCCCGAGAAGTGTTTCGTTGTCCTCTCAGCTTCTATGTCTTCGTGAACTTACACAACCACATAACAAGGGACGAAAATGTGCTCCCGCTGGACGAAAAACGCATGAGGCGCCAGTGTTCTCGGTAGAGCTTCCTCGCCCTGGCAGACTACATGCATTATTAGATGTGTACTTTCGTGATCTGGACTCTTTCTTCCCATTCATCAAGCGCGATGGAACTCAGGCCCAGATCGAAACAATACTGCACAGCCTGGGTCATTCTGATAATCAGCATATTGTCGATGTGAAATTAGGGGAGTACTCGATAATTGCCCTTCTTTGCAACATGTTAGCTATCGCCGAGTCCTTTTGTGCAGCCCGACCCTGGTCATATGAAATACGTCCTGGATGGTCCCTGTTTCTTCGAGGCCGCAAATTGATTCAGCACTGCTCATCACTGAAGCATATTGACATTCACCTTATTCAATACCATGCCCTCAGCTCCGAGTATCTGATGGAGTCAGAACTTCTTCATGAAGCGTCAAGAGCTATTTCAAACGCAGCTCAGCTTGCCATGCGGACCCGACTCAATGAAGAAAGAGTCTGGAACGCTCTTCCCGAACAGGAAATTCAGAACCGCAAGAGACTGTGGTGGACAATATATTTCCTTGACCGCAAAATTTCACAGCGGACAGGAAGCCCATACGTCATTCGCGACACTGAAATCGCATTGTCCGAGTTCTCTCAGCAGCCAACTACGAGAACAGATCGCTATATGCAGGTTTTAGTAGATCTTGGTAAACTATGGTCTCTGATCTGGGATACATTCTTTGCCGCTGTAGCTCTAAAGCCTCAAGACTGGAAGGAAGTGGAGCTTATGGACACTCGCATTCTAATCGTCCAGAGAGAGCTGGCAAGCGAGCTGACATGGGACACAGATCTCCTTAAACGAGTGTATTTGGAGCAACAAGAATCAGAGCCTTACATCCGCCGGCGGCTCGCGATTTTTATTGTAATATGCCCCATTCCCTAGCATTTACTGAAAGTTGCTAATAAAACGCGTAGAGATTGAACCTTTTACGCCTGACGATCCGGCAGAATCCAATTCAGAAGCGTCAGGACACTCGAGGTCACAGCATTTGTGTCTCGCTCGCATCGAAGACTGTGGATGCCATTGCTGCCTTCACTAATAGCTGTCCTAGTGTTATCCCCTGTGGATTCTTCTTTAGCACTGCATTAGTGGAGTGTATCTATCATCTTATCCTAGCCATGCGGGCGACACCAACGGAGAAGGAACATGAAGCCAGTATCCAGTCCTTCCAGCTTGCCTATCAGCTACTCGATAGGTTCTCGCAAGCTCTGGACACAGCCAAGCGAGCCCTTCGAGCCTTGAACTCTGTGGTATCCTTGGCTGCCATAACAAACTCACATTCCGTTGAAGGTCCAAGCCCAGATCTCGACACAGAAGAGGATCGTACAATAGATCTGAGCTTCAGTGTCCCCGAGACCATAGACTTTTTTGATCCTATGTCGTGGCAGATTGATGACATTCCGTTGGATGTAGTGGCACTGGTTTCTTCGATGGGCGAAATGGGAGAAAATAATGTAAATGGCGCCGTTGCGAATGGAAGGTCTGAACAGTCTCTGGCTCCTGATTTGTGTCTTTGGAATTGTGAATACGGCATTGATCCTACCTCTATCAACCTATAACCTTGGAATACTATACTCAAGCTGGTCGACAAAAATCCTAATTGATTATATTTTGTGTACTTCAATTAGACTAAATATATAGCAACTTATCATATTTCAGACATTCTTTTAAGGCTTTAGTGGATAAAATAGAGGCCAAAATCCTGTATCAACGATTGCCATACCAGAGCTGCCCTTTTTGGGGATATCGGCTACTCAGAAAGCAATTTCGCAGCAATCCAGAATATGATCATGAAAACAACATTACCGAGGCAGAGATACTATATTCCGAACCCGGAGTCGAATTTCTCAGGTGACGGGAATACTCATATTACAGTTTGAGAGTCAGCGTGGAGAGTGCCCAGGTGCCCGCGCCCGCGGATATCGAACAGTAAAGGAAATGAGGGTACCCCAGTATGATCAATTTTCCGGCAAATGGGGATTGATATAATGTCTTAGTTTGCCACAAGCATCCGACATTCTCAAAGGCCCCTAGCAAGCATAATTGCCACCTGGTATTCTCAATATACTCAGCTTTGAAAGGGCTGGATCCTAGGGAACATCTATACTAATGACCTAGTCGTAGCAAGCTATAGAAAATCGGAAAACAAAATAAAGGGTTCATAATAATTTAGTAATACCATATATTTTTATTGGGGTAGTTCGGTACAATATGCCCCGGGCCGGCAGATAGAATTAAACCCCGTTTTGCCCCTGTGGAGCCCTAGCTTTTTGATAATCCTATGAGGCTTTCATGGCCGAAACTAGAGGAATATTACTGGTTTTTTAGTCCTACCCCGGAGTCTACCCCGCATATACAAACAGCACTAATTTGTATAAAGGAGTTAGCAATCATCCGGAGTAGTTAGCTTTGCAAAAAATTTACGGTCAACACACGGCATTCCATTGCGACGATGTTTGACGAGTGCATACAGAGTAAATCCCTTCGCCGCTTGGCAAGGTTTAGTTGCTCCGTTGTGAGAATGCCTTGTCTAAATTCGCACGATGCCGAGTTCCGCGGCGACTGATACAATATCCGCAGGGGTTTTTGATTGAGGGCTACCAGGCCGGCGTCCTGGGGGGGAGTCCAAGAGACTAAGCCATTTTTGGATGCAATTGGAGTAAGTGGGCGCCCAAAACTCGCCTGTCGTCAATAAGTATAGACTAACATCTCCTAGCACCCCGGGGGTACGGAGACAATACCCTTGATTGCCTCTTCTAGTACACTGGCAGCGGCATTCGTGTCATGTCTTGTCATGATAATCGGCATGCCGCTCGGTCGGCGGAACTGTATTATCATCGGTAATATCCTGATCACGATAGGGGGTGTCATACAGGCGGCATCCTATTCCGTCCCACAAATTATTGTCGCCCGTGTGCTTTGCGTATGTAGCTTATTCAGCTCCTGTCATTTCCCATGTTGTTGCAAAAAATACTAACATCTACCTCAGGGTGCTGGAATTGCAGTATGCTAATCCTATCATCAATGATTTCTCGTGCACTTGCACTCAATACTGACATTGGTAGTTCATTACATGCAATGTGCCCATGTATATGGTAGGCGATTGTTGATTTCCACCCACTCTCCCCTTCTTCTATGCTAATGAGAGCAGTCTGAAATGAGCATTGAAGCTCGAGAGCGAGGTCCAGAAGTAGCAATTAACTGCTCGGCTTTATTGCTAGGAGTAGCCCTCTCATACTGGGTCAGTTTCGGCTTTACACGAATGACAAACCAGATTTCTTGGGTGAGTCCTTTCTTCATAAATGCCGATAATTGATATTCTGACAGAATCTATCCAGAGATTGCCTATTGCAATGCAGTCTATATTCTCCATCCTTTCCGGTACCAGCATGTTCTTCCTTCCAGACACCCCTAGGTGGTACTATATGCGCGATCGCATAGAGGAGGGAGATAAAACTCTATCACGACTATACGGTGTATACCGAAAAGGAATGCCGAGCTATGGTGATATTCCAGAGATTCAAGATATGAAATCAACCATCCTGGTCAGCCTTAGGGTTGAAGAAGAATCGGAAAACAAGCTCACGTTCTTGAGTATCATCTGGGACAACACCCCTCTCCGAGTTGGCCGGCGCATCCGTATCTCCTTCATCATCCTGGGAATCCAGCAGTCGATGGGAATCAATATCATGGTTTATTACATGACTCGGATTTTCTCGGAAGTTGGCCTTTCCAGCTTTATGGCCTCTCTTATTGCCGCACTGGCGTTGACAGTGCAGTGGATGGGCTCATGGGTTTGTATTCCTACAATAGAGCGCATCGGGCGGCGGAGAATTATGATGTTGACGGGGTCGGTTCAGACATTTTGCCTGCTGATTTTTGTGGTATTGAATATGATTGAGAACAAAACAGATGCTACGCGCTGGGCAGCTGCGATGATCCTATTCCCCTATTTATTCTTCTATGGATGGGGATGGGTCGGGTGCCCCTGGCTTTATGGACCCGAGGTATGTTAAAGGTCTGGTTAATAACGTGAAAACTTGTTAATATCGGGCCATAGATTGCACCTTTGAGGTACCGCCACATTGGCTCCGCAGCCGGACTCCTGGGCGTATGGGTATTTACGTTCATCACGGTCTTCGCTGGCGGAATTGCGTTGAAGACGGTGGGAGCCCGGATCTGGATCTGGCCACTGATTTTCAACGTCATCGCGGTCATTTTTGTTTACTTTATGTGTCCGGATGTGAGTATTTCACTCCCTTGGCATTATTTCCTCTGCTAACATTGTCTCTAGCCTACTGGAAAGACGCTTGAAGAAATTGACCAGCTGTTTGCTAAAGATGGCGCGCTGCTGGACCGTCTCAGCCAATCAGATACCGAAAAGGAATGTGTGCATGAGGTGGAGAACAGCGCATGAGATGCTTGAGACGACATGTATCCAGACGAGTCTTCGATCATCTGTTCCGGACCTCGGAATGCCTGTGTTCGATTCCCTTAGTGAGACAAGTCTTAGTGCTTTTATAACATTGGCCCTGAGGCTGTTGGTGCCTGAGGCGTCGAGTGAGTCACACTACACCGATGTTGATAGCTTTAATTAAATCCGTCTGTCATCCATACTCCGATCCTTATCCTCATATTGCGATCATACACTCTTGTCCTTTTTACAAATTTGAAGTGTTTGCGGTGCCCTTTGATCATCTACTAGCCCCCCCCTCTCTCTCGCGAGGGATGCAAGGGGTAAAGGGGTTGATTGGTGAGATATGACCGTAGTGTCGCGTCGTCAACGCGTTTTCATGGGAGCACAGCTCGGCAGCACGTTTCCATTTCGAATAGCCAGTGTGGTGGTCCTCTCTTGCCAAATGGACGGTATTTTTGTGAGGGATAACCTTGGACGGGACTTTTGGAGTCGACATAGTATTTATATTTAAATCGCATTGAATGTGAGTTTGCTTTGTGGGACACATTCATGGCATGGAATGACTTCGAGCTGAACAAACACTGAAATTTCTATACGATACTATTGGATCATAAATTTCCCTTAATCTGCCTGTTTTCCAAGCGGATTACTCCCTAGTAGCAGTCAGTAATTGCGAAGTTTGATAGAAGTACAGGATATGGGGTCCAAGTTGTACTGACCTCCTGGATACAAGTTGCTACAGGTTCACCATTCTTAGTCCAGATTCGCTGCTGGACTAGACCGCGACCGTTCCCTGCCCAACTACTCTGTATTTCCGACAGTAACCACTCGTCGGCTCGGAAGTATTCCATATTATGAAAATATATGGTATGATCCAAGCTAACCATCATAGACACCCTCGGCTCCTCAACAACGGCTCTATCTTCCGGGGGTTCTAGATGTGGTCGTCGAATCTCAGTGTGTTTTTCAGTTGACGCTGAAAGACCGTTTGGCGAAGGGTGGAACTCGGATATTGGAGTTTCCACAAACTGCCAGATCCCATGACTATGAGGCACACCGGCAAGAAAATAGCTGTCTGACATAAAGGCCAGTGCTGCCTGGTGGACTTGAACACTAGCTGATGGGGACAATGTACCGTTGGCCTTGATCCATTGATGGAAGCATTTATCCTCCGGTCGACGCTGTCCTCCCTTGTCCAATACTCCCACACTTCTATTGATGAAAGGAGAATTTATCTCGTCTCCGAATGTGCACATATCCTCTGGTACTGGAATACCCGGAGGCATTGGGGAGGCGTGCTGAATGTTTTCTTTTCCCTTTCCTGTATCTCGCTTCTTGGTAAAGCTGACATTGCAAATGAAAATCGGCCTTGTTCTCTGTAAAGCACGTACGCATCTGGTACAGAAACCCTTTCCATCGCGCAGCCTTTCTACATGGTAGAATATGGGGTCCTCCGAGTTTCCCGCGTATATGAATGAGCCATGTAGGGAGTTCGCGACGAACTCCCCTTGTACGGTCTGTTGGGCAGCACTGAGGCTCTGTGCAATCGCGAACCCCCCCAAATATTCCATGCGCTCCGGGTCGCCAAAAAGGGAAGATATTCGTGAACACGTCGGGTTTGGTGTCTGGAATGCGAGCAGTACCGACCTGCTTCTCAATTATTGATGGTGGGCAATACGTTGACATGGTTGATGTTTGTAATGGGAATGGCGGTTGTAATCAATTGCAGTAGGACTGCGGAACTTTCCATTATCATTAATTAGGACAATAATGCCAATTAAACTTGAAAATAGAGAACGTCAAAATAATTCCGTTACATCACATTATCTGGACGATCCTCGGGGCTAGCGGCCCGGCCGATTAATGTAGAATCCGGTAATGGTTACCTCGGAGAGCAACCAAACGGAATTTTAAGCTCAGCACTAGAACCCTCGACTCCCGTTATTTCTCCGTCATATGTTCGAAATAACCGGAAAATTCCCGACGTTAGTTTTGGTTATCATAACAAGTCCTAGTGATGAAACCCATATCAGGTCCCTGTCGTGATCTAAAAGGCCCTTAGCTGTGGGAGAGCTTTCATAATCTACTTTTCACACCATTATCGACACAAAATTACTGCTACCCAAGCTACTCGCTATGGCCCCCATAGTCTCAGATATGACGGTACATTTCCGTCACGATAGATCTATTACTCAGATGATGTTAGAGAACACTGCAAATGTCGATCCCAACAAAGTCATTAGTGAGGATATCCTAACGGGTAAAACTATCACGTATGAAACTTTGCGCGGGGAGGCATTTAAGGCCGCCTGGGCATTCAGACATCGTCTAGGACTAAAGATTGGAGATACTGTTACTATCATTGGGAGAAGCTGCGTAAGTTCGGCCCTTGAGTACTAGTATTTTTTGGATATTTCCTGACAAATAAATATAGGTGGATTATATTATCGCAACGCATGCTATTTGGGCAGCTGGTGGGATTGTCAGGTTAGTTTTGACTTTCGCATACTTGTTGCCAAGGTCATTAATCATTTCCAGTACAATAAACCACTCCTCGTCTGCAAAAGAGATTGCCCATGCTGTCAGGGTCATCAAGCCCCAGTTCTTCATTGTGGATGGTATATACCACAAGAAGCTGCGCGAAGCTCTCACTCTAGCGCAGTATGGTGAAGCGACGATTTCGACAATGGTTTCTAGATTGGATGGCCACCTTCTGGTAAAATAGATTCCCTACTATGTCAACCCTAAATTTAAGTTCTGACCAATATAGTTCCCCAGCGACTTCTTCACCTGGGACTCAAAGCGTGTAGAGCCTGAAGCCTACGTTCTGGATGGGCAAGATGCACGAACCAGATGTGCGGCGCTGGTCCTGTCTAGCGGAACCACTGGCCTCCCCAAGGCTGTCATGTTGTCGCATTATAACTTGACTGGTATTTGTGAAGCACTCCGTGGTCATAATCTTGATAACTGGAGAGAGTCTATGAGAGAAGTGTTTTTCCCGGTATGCAACCTCCCGTACTCGATATCCCACAAAAGTACACTATACTAACTTGCTCAGCCGTGTAAGTGACACGGGAAACTAGATGAAAGAAGAATCCAGTTCCGTGCTAATTCGTTACTCGTAGTGTCGCATATCTATGGTCTATATGTCTGCGCATTGATGGGACCATGGTTGGGGTACTATGTGTGTATGGTGCCTCAGTTCGAGTTGGATACGTACTGCCGGGTCGGTCTCCTCTTGGAATTTATTGTCATCACTCACTGATATCGTCTGATAGCTTATGCATGAAAAACGTGCAACATTAGCACGACTTGTGCCACCAGTTGCTGTCATGCTGGCGGAGAATCCTATTGTTGACAAGTATCAATATTCTAGTCTCGAGTACTTTTCCTGCTCGGCAGCACCATTGAAGGTATACTCCTAACAATTTGACGTGTTTGCATTTATTGACTTCACCATAGCCAGCAATTGCGTCGAAGCTACGAAATCGGTTTCCTTCGGTTAGCCTGTGTCAAAGTAGGCATTTGATACCCCGCTTACGGAATGATTTAATTGACTCTGAATTACAGCGTACGGCTGCACCGAACTATCCTCTTGCATCGCACAAAGTGGTGTGAGAGACAAGGATGCTCCTCTAGTTGCTGCGGGCACACTACTTGCCAATGTCAAAATCCAATTCCTGGATGAGCAAGGCAAAGAGGTGCCCACTGGCCAACCAGGAGAGATTGTGGTTTCCACACCCACCATCATGCTGTTAGTATTTTACTACAGACCCCTCTTAGACTAGTATATACCTTCTGACTCATGTTTGCAAAAGAGGGTACAAAGATAATGATGAAGGAACACGTGAGAGTATGCACGGACCGGAATGGTACAAAACAGGAGACCTCGGATACCTGGACGACAAGGGGTACTTGATAATTGTGGACCGACTGAAAGATGTGATCAAATACAAGGGGTATCTCATTCAGACCGCTACATTTTCTTGCAATGCTAACTATACATTCAGCTTCCAGATCAGCCCCACCGAACTTGAGGAGATAATTGGAAGGCACCCGATGGTGAAAGACTCTGGTGTCACTTCAATCTGGGATGATGCGGAGGGCACTGAAATTCCTCTTGCGTTCGTTGTGCCGAAAAGGTCGATTTTATCGATTAATAGAGAGAAAATGGCAAAGGAAGTTCAGAATCTTGTGGCGGGAGAAGTAGCAGGCTACAAGAAGTTGAGAGGAGGCGTGTGGTTTATTGATCAATTACCTCGAAATCCGACAGGGAAAATGCTTCGACGGGAGCTACGCGAAAAGGCTGCATCGAAGGCACGCCTGTAGCCGTGAGTATACTACCGAGGTCAACTTGAGATATGCATCTTTCCGAGGTTGAATTCATGTATCGGGACCCTCCATCTTGTAATTCCTAAGGGTCGCTACTAGGGTATCTGTTAGCTCAGAGACCGGCATATCCTACTAGTAGCGATAGTTACTTTTACTAGCCAAATCTGACATCATCAAGAAGGAGGATTTTGGTGCGGAGTTTATTCAATCAATCTGGACGATCATTCAAAAAATTCCGTGAATAATTCCGTGAGCGACTATAGACATCGCTGTTACTAATATAACAAGAACACGGTGCCCGGACCGAACAGCAAACAGCATTCAAGCAATTACCTGGCGTGCTAAAAGCATTCACCCACAGATGAAAATGCCCGCTCTCGATGGAATCCGAGTTCTAGAGCTCGCAGGCCTAGCCCCTGGGCCCTTTGCTGGCATGATGCTGGCCGACAACGGGGCAAGCGTAATACGCGTTGACCGAGTCAATCCGCCTCACCAACCCAGTCCCGACGTGCTTATTAGGAACAAGTCCTCTATTCAGATAGACCTGAAGAGCACTGCTGGGAAGGATCTATTTCTTCGCCTAGTCAAAGAGGCAGACGTCCTAATCGACCCTTTTCGACCCGGAGTTCTCGAAAAACTCGGCCTTGACCCGACCAACACGTTGCTGAAACTCAACCCTCGTCTTATTGTCGCACAATTGACAGGATTTCGACGCGATGGAAAGTACGCGAAAATGGCTGGCCACGACATCAATTATCTCGCCGTGTCTGGTGTCCTTTCCATGCTGGGTCCCTCGCCGCGTCTTCCGCCAGACGGTCGCGCGCTTCCTCCGACGCCGCCGGGCAACATCCTTGGCGATTTTGCAGCTGGAGGGCACATGTGTGTCACCGGCATCATGATGGCGCTCTTTTCTCGGTCGCAGACCGGGAGGGGTCAAATTGTGCACGCTAACATGGTGGACGGAGCGAATTACCTTGCAACTATGCCGAGAATCTCGACTAAAATCCCCGGCCAATGGGATCGACCTCGTGGCGAGAACCTGTCCGATGGAGGTTGCCCGTACTATAACGTCTACGAGTGCAAGGACAATGGCAACTATATGGCCGTTGCTGGGCTTGAACCCCAATTCTTTTCGGAGTTGGTGAAGAGATTGGGATTAAGTGATCGATCCTGGGTAGCTAATAGGGACGATCGGGAATTTTGGCCTAATATTCGGGATGCATTTCAGAAAAAATTCCGAGAGAAGGAGCGCAAGGAATGGGAGAAAATATTTGATGGCAGCGATGCCTGTGCCACCCCTGTATTCACCCATGCGGAATTGGAAGACGCCGGATACGAACAACGCCCTGGCGTGACACTGACAGGGACGCCGGCCTTGGATGGAGGTCCAAGATCAGGTTGGGACGTTGAAGTTTTGGGACTCGGCGAGGGCGGCGAGGAGGCATTATGGAAGTGGATGGGCTGGCAGCAGGGAAAGCATTATGAGCAAGTCAACGGGGGGGTTGCAAATTAAGAATACTTCTAGACTTTAGATGGCAGAGTAGTACCTAGCACAATTTATGTTGAAGCCAGGCGTCATGAGCCCACAAATCAGTTAACTACTCTGTGTGTCTCACTCCTGTTTGTCGTCCATTGGTCTCCATAATTATCTCTTGCATTCGGCTCATGTATTGGAATATCTATGATATCTGCTTCCATAGACCTATTCTACTCTCTATCATCTAATTTTCGTGGGATTTTATCTAGCGACTGGAAGTGGAATTTGAAATAATAGATTCGATTATAACTTATGTTTAAAAATGAATATCGACAGGAGTTCCATCACCTGCTTCCAGTGCGGTGATTACAGCCTCACATACTTTCACAGCGGCCAAACCATCTTCTTCTGAGCATCTAGGGTTTTCGCCCTGTCTGATGACTCTAGCTAGGTGTTCCACCTGCTGCTGGAACGGAATTCCATCACCGACATGGAGGGCATCTCTGCGAATTGGCACATTCCATCCTTCCTCTAAACCTAGTCTGCTGACTTCTGCGGCATCATACGTCCACAGTACACCATCCGGCTCCGTCAACGTGCCTTGGGTACCGAAAATTCGATACGAGTCAACAGCGACAGGAGCGGGCGGATACAATGGATTGTCACCCGTTGCGGCCTCCCACCCGAACGGACTGGGGACATAATCGCTGACGATGAACGTCCCGACCACACCATTCGCAAATTGAAGCATTATCGACGCGCCTTCCTCAACAAGATCCGCAGGAAGCGTGCTATTATTCTCCCTATGTCGAACTGCTGACACTGCCCATATCCTCTTCACTCTCGATCCTGTCAGGTAGTGGAGCACGTCGATGTCATGAATGAAGTTTGTCCATATCGGACCTCCGCCTGCTGACCGCAGGGAGCGCCATTGAGCTGACGAATAATAGGTGTCTGGCTTCTTCGCAATCCAGGTCCCGGTGATAGCGGTGATTTTTCCGAGCTTGCCGTCACCGATTGCCTCGCGTGCGGCTACGATGGATGGATGGAAGCGGCGGTGATGACCGACCAGGATCCGGCAAGACTTTGATTTTGCGAGTTCGATTAGCTGTTCACCGGCATTGGAATCCGTGCAGAAGGGTTTCTCGATGAGAATCGCCTTTGGCCGTCCGTGGGTAATCACGTCTGTGGAGACTTGGACATGGAGGCTCGAAGGTACACAGATGATATACGCGTCCGGGCTTTGAATCTCTGAGGAGAGAAGGGACTGCACGGAGTCAAAGTATGGAACGCCGATTTTCGTTGCCAGATCCTTTCCGGGTGGAAACGGGTCTATAATGGCGGATAGGGAGCAGGTGGGCGAGGAAAGTAAATACTCTGCATGCAGAGGGGCAATAGTTCCCCCGCCTACAAGAGCAACTGAGACTTTGGTATAATGGGTTTGGTGTTCCATGCTGGATGGATTAAAAATACTACTTCCTTTTCAAATTATTCAATGTACGATCGATGAACCATGGGGGTTTAATTGGGGCACGAGGGCAAGGCTCGGGGATTGATTTAACTGCCGGTAGTTATAGTGGGGGCCCGCATAGGAAAGACCCCGGGCTTTTCTTTAATAACGAGTCCGCGCCTTGTTTCCCGCATTCACTAACTATACTCTCAGCGCGCAGCGATGGATATTCTACAACAATCGTACGCATACGGCAGGTCGCCACTCATCTCCACGTCGAAATCGGTGCCTCACAATGCGCTCCTCTTCGGGGCAAATATCTCAAAGTCTCTATCACCGCTCCTCCATGGCATCCTCTTCAAGTCGAAAAACGCAATCTGGCGCTACGGCAAGGTGCAGACGACTGACCAGGCCGAGTTCAAGGCTCGGCTCACTGCAAGCGACATGATTGGGACTTCTATCACGATGCCTAATAAGGTGACATTTGGCAAGGCTCTGGATCATCTCACCGAAGAAGCACGCGTCATCGGGGCAGTGAATACCTCATTTGTCAGAGTGGCCCCAGATGGACGCCGCCTCCATATTGGCACGAATACAGACTGTGTCGGGATTCGTGAAGCAATTTTACACCGACACTTCTCCGCCAAATCAGTGACCGGCGGCAGAGCAGCGATGGTGGTAGGCGGAGGAGGAGCTGCACGCAGCGCCATATACGCCTTGTGGAAATGGTTCGGACCATCGGAGATCTATATCGTCAACAGACTTGAGTCCGAAGTTGAGGATATAGTGAAACACTTCACGGTCGCAATTCCAAGCATTAAGCTCTGCCATATAAAGTCAATCGATACTGCACAGCAAATGCCAGCGCCGTACATAATCATCGGAACCATCCCCGATTCTACTCCGACGCAGCCGGGCGAAATCCTCTGTGCGAGAATATGCGACATATTTCTTCGTAAGTCGGAGAAAGGACTGCTCGTCGATATGTGTTATATGCCTTCTCCGCAGACAAATCTCATCATAACTGCGCAAGGTCAAGGATGGAATACAATTGCTGGGACTGAGGTGCTGGTACGGGTATGCGTGGCTCAACAGATTTTGTGGGTGGAGGAAGAACCAAATGAAATGGGCGTCCAGCAAGCGTTAGCGGCAATTGGAGAGGAAACAAAGACAGAGCTGGTTAAACTGTAGTTATCGAAAAATGGAATAAAATGACCTGTCTTTACTAAGAATTATGGTGCCTCAAAGAAATATCCGAGCGACAAGGAGTGACGGGCGGGGGGGGGCTTCTCCGCCGAGTCCCATGGCCACATCTTTTCCCATTCCGAGATAATTGCCTATTATCTTTTCTTTCCATTTCTGGTGCTGAATATAATTCCGATCTTTGCCACCATACCCTCCGAATTCGCGCCCCTATGCCGTCGGCGTTTTCTCCGTCTGCGACTCTACGGATGTGAATACCCGAGGGACCTTTTCAGTTCCCCGCAAATCGGCCACTAGATTAATACGCCGGGCCAGTGAGAGGACATCTATATTGACTGATTTGAAGTCTTACTTATTGCAACAATAACAATCTGCAGTGGTTTTTGTTGATTTTCATCAGTCACCAAAATACGTCTTCCGTGACAATGGCAGCGCACATGGCTCCTCTCGCTCAGGTCAGTTCATTGCGTGGCGAAAACACATACTAGTAGTTGTTAACGCGAAAGCACAGCCTATCACCCTGAAGCTTTCGGGCAAGGTGATCAAGAATCGCATGTATAGGACCCCGCTCAGTGAATATGCGTCTACGTACGACGAAAACAACGTCGAGAACTGTGGGAAGCCCTTGCCTCGCTACGCAGAACTGTACCAAGGTATGATTATCTTTTCGCCTTTCCTTACTCAACCCCCAGTGAATAGTATGATAGCTAATCATCACGTGTATATTAGATCTTGCAGATGGTGGCGCAGGTCTGATCTGCACAGGAAACATCCCCATCCACCGAGATAACCTAGAAAACTATAACAACGCGGTTCTCGACATCAATAACCCTTGGGATCCCGTGGAGGCATTCGCACCCGCTGTCCAAGCGGCGAAATCCCGAGGTGCTTTATTCCTACCCCAGTTGCAGTTTCCCGGACGTCAGGTCCCTGAGTTTCTGAACCCGAATCCGAAGTCGTCGGCCGAGCAGCAACTGGAGCCGTGTCTTAACAAAAGTTATGGCAAGCCATCGCCACTTTCAACCGAGGAGATCAAGGATTTGGTTCACCGATATGTATGGGCGTCGGAAGTGCTTTCCAAAGCTGGGGCAGATGGAATTATTGTATGCTTCGCTCCTTCATTCGCTATTTCTTTGTGACACTAATCGGTCGTGCTTAGTTGCATGCGAGCCACGGATACATCATGCAGCAATTCCTCTCGCCGTTGATTAACAAGCGCACAGACAAGGTATGATCTAACTGCACAATTACATTTTGATTTCGCAAAAGACATGTCATTAACTTTGTTGTCCACTTAGTATGGCGGAAGCCTGGAAAACCGCGCCCGGTTTATTCTCGAAATCGTCAACGCCATCAAGGCGAAATTGCCGTCTAACAAATTTGTCATTGCGGCTAAACTCAATTGCCAAGACTGTATGTTTTTTCCTTCATCAATGGCGATATGAAAAATACTGATGCCCGTTTCCGTAGTTATCGAAGGAGGAACGAGCTTCGCAGAGACGTGCGTCGTTATCAAATGGCTCGAGGACGCCGGTGTCGACTTCTTTGACATATCCGGGGGCACCTATGCTTCCCCCGCATGGAGAGGAAACATTATGACCGAGTTGGCCGAGCGTCCGTCCCAAAAAGAACGTGGGAGGTAAGCAAGCTTCATATCTGGATTGAAGCCGAGTGCGAAGTCTAATGCCGGGGTAGTTATTTTATCGAATGGGCGCAGGAGCTCAAGAAGGTTCTCGTGAGTACATCCTCTCCATATCGAGGCGCCCAGCTAATTTATGAAATAGTCTCGTGCAGTTATTGGAACGACAGGAGGCTGGCGCGATAGTCATCGCATGTCCGAGGCTGTAGAGCATGGCGATATCGACATGATTGGGCTAGGAAGGCCATTGCGAGAGGATCCGAATTTTGTTAATCAAGTATTGCGAGGCGAGGTGAGACGCAGCAATCTTTAAACCAAATGAGGCCTGTCTTGGCGGGATTAATGATCCGATGGCATTTGATGCTATGTTAAATTCTGTCTCCATAGATCATAGACCAATTTGAATCCTCGGAAACATAATCCTCCGTTGATAGAAAGAACAGAAAGCAGCTAAGCTCGCCCATCCACCGAGAAAGAAATCGTGTAATAATGCAGATACACCTTGGATATTTGGTTAAATCAATCCCGATTGTCGTAAAGCAGAGTCAAAATGGACAATCCGGTGAATGCAGGCGTAAAAGAATTAATCGCGGGCTTTGCCTCGCTCACGGCGGGAGCCTTAAGAATTAATTTATTCGTGAGAATCCAGACTAAGCTGTCGCGCTGTCTTTCCAAAGTTCTTTTCAATTTATCGGTTTGTATGAATTCATCACTACTAACGGGAGCAGAGTCAACTATATCCCACGTCCTCCATCTACCTCCAAGGTAGTACCAGTAACGAACGAGCTCTGGTCTGTGGCCAGATACCACACAGCATTCGCAATGTCCATTGGCTGAGCAACTCGTTTCATCGGCAGTAAATCCTCGATCTTTTGCAGCCGTTCCTGGGAGTCCGCCCCACTGCCAATACTTGCTTGAAGCCTATAGCTGTCAGTATCTTGAACTCATCTCGTGAAGATATCTGGGAATCTCCTCGTACGTACATAGATGTATTGCCGACTGCTGGCGCGATGCAATTGAATCGGACAGTGGGAGCATACTCTAAAGCCATTGTTTTGGTCGCGACCTAGAATATTCTATTCGTTGGTCATTTCAACATTATTGCCGAGGGAGAAAAGGGTCTTTTACGCTCACTGCTGCCTTCGATGCATTGTAAAAGGCGAACCCTGGGCGGGGGCGTGTACAGCCGGTACTAATGTCGTTAGCAATATCACTTACTCTCCAGTTATTAGAAAGGCCCTACCTCGTAATATTCACGAAAACACCATTTCCCTGTTCCATCATAAATGGAACAATAGATCGGGCACTGCAAAAAATCGGCTATCATGACATGAGCGAGTTATACTTCCAAGCAACAAACAACATCTAGCTAAACACCTACCCTAACATTCACGTTGAAGGTACGTTCATACTCGGCCATGTCTTTCGTATGAACGGGCTAGTAAAAGTCAGTCACGTCGATCAGATTTCTTTCATACATTGAGAATACGTACGCTCTGGGCTCCAGTGATCCCGGCATTATTGACAACAATATCCAGGCGACCGAACATGTCTCGGGCAAGCGCCAATGCTTGTTCCCATGTATCTTGCTGAGTCACGTCTCCGAAAAGGAAGTGTATATTTGGTCCGACAGAAGCTTTCTGTTCTCCTTTCTCCTTATTGATGTCGATGATGATTACCTGATAGCCCTCCTGGTGGAAACGATCTGTTATGGTAGCTCCGAATCCATCTGCGCCGCCTGTGACGACAGCTACTTTTACCTGCATATTGTATTTTCAAACTGGGTTAATGGCGCAAAGGGAAATATTGAGCTTGGTTATTGATTTTTCGGTGCGACATACCATGTTGATGTAGTTATCGAAGCGCCCGCATCTCGGGTCTTTAATCTATTGGCCGGCTCCCCAACATGACATTTGGGTCTCCAAATATTTGCCCCTCCCGTTAGTACGCAATACCAAAGAGCAAAATCTACATTGAACGGGAATACTCAAGATGTCTATTATCAAAGTCGCAGTTGCTACAAACTCGCTTGGAAAGTCAGCCGCCGGGCATACAATCCATCGCAAACTACAAGCCGCCAAAACACACGGATTTGACGGTCTCGAAGTGGCCTTTGAATGTCTCGAGGCCCAGGCCGCAACGTATCCTTCGTTGCAGTCAAGAAAGGACCGCCTTCTCGCAGCTGCTGAAGATATTTACAAAGCTGCGAAATCGTTAGGCCTTGAACTGATCGCCTTGAATCCGTTCGGGGCGTATGATGGTCTCAAAGATCCTCATGATGTTAACATCCGGTTACAGGAGGCAGAGCTCTGGTGCCAGCTTTGTCAGGTTATGCACATCGATATTTTGCAGGTGAGATAAAAACATTAATTTGAAATCACCGATGTTCTACTGATGAAGCCTGGAAACTTTCTATAGATATGCACTGCACTTTATGGAATTGACGAGTCCAAAATTACTGATGACCCAACAGTCATCGCGAAGAATATGCGCACATTGGGTTCTCCTAACCCAACGTTATGACCTTCGAGTGGCTTACGAAGCCCCCTCTTGGGGTATCCACAGCAACACCTGGCAACAGGTCCAGAAGATTATTGATCTCGTCGACCTGCCGAACGTTGGCCACTGTCTAGACACATTCCATATTGCGTCCAAAGAAGCCGGGGATCCTTTTAGCTCCATATCTCCAATCCGAGCTGATGGATACCGAAATCTCCAGAGTAGCCTCGACGAGCTGAAACGCATTGTTAAACCAGAAAACATTGTATATTTCCAACTGAGCGACGCGACCGCGGCAAATCCAGATCAGGAAGGGTATCCCCGCCGAGATATGAACCAACCACCGTTCATGACGCAATCTCGCAATTGCCGGATTTATCCATGCGAGGAGAGTCGCGGAGGTTGCCTTCCCGTTGTTGATGTCGCCAAGGCTGTATTCGATCTGGGATACTGCGGGTGGGTGTCAATGGAGGTCTTTCATACCGACATGTGGGAGAAGCGGAATTCGTGAGTTTAATCCATGATCATTGACAAGAGAAAAGATCAATGCTTATATTGCCATGCAGGGTTCCAGATGACTGGGCAAGAAGGGGAATGGAATCTTGGAAAAAGCTAGCACGCCGTTGCGGATTGAATTCTAGTAAACTATAGGAGCCCTCTTCCTTACATTATGAAACACAGTCCAACAATCCAGTAGGGCAGAAACTGTGACTGGAAAGTATTGGAGAGCTTTGGCTTAATGGGAAGCTTTTAAAATGATCTGAGACCCAGTATGATAAGTCATCCTTTCCTCTCAGTGTATCTATGGTCTTGTCTTCGGTCTTTCCGATGCCTGGGAAATGGACATATAGGGGTCCACATCTCCGGTCGAATCCCAGTATGCTTTGTAGAAACAAACTCAGGCCTCGGAGACAAATTTGGCACGATCGAGCACAACTGCGAACAGGCGATACGGGATACGGGGTGGCTTTTCTGTTGGGACAAAATACGCATCGCTGAGTTGAGGCGCCATACGGTGTATTGTTGCAGGGGATTGCTCGTCACCTGTATAGAAGGTGTGCAGGGCACCGATCGGGAAGGGGTCTTCTTGGTCCCCTTCTTGGTTTGATTCAGAGGATAGAGCTTCAATAACTTCAGTTCGAGCAGGGCGGATGGCCGTCCAAGTAGGGGACTTTGGGATAAAGAACTTGAGAGTCAGAGTTTTATTGGCCTGGAGGTGGGGGACAATTGATGCTGTAAAGAGGCGTGCTGTACTTTCTAAAAGAGAGGAGCCTGCTGTATCGCGGATAGAGCTGAGAAAAAGCGCATGCACAATATATTGAATGTCAGAGATGTTTCCCTCAGTAGTATTGCTGACTGTTATGATATCGGCATCCTGAGTAACCCGGTATACCGGATCAAGAGAGAAGCCGCCAACTGCAGTTTCCTGGCTAAGTTGATCACGGATTTCCTCTTCTGATAGTCTATCTGAGCTAGGAGGCCCACCCTCGTCTATGTCCAAAGCGTCTCGTGTCCCAGCACGACCGACGCCGAGAAACATGTCAAGTACAACAATCTCTCCGACGTCATTCTGATTCTTAACACGCTCAGTGGTCAACTCGAATACTTCTGGTGAGAAATTTTCATGATACCTGCACGTGCCGGAAAACGAGCGGTTGAAGTAGAGCATGTCTGGGCCTTCACCTGCCTCAGCAAGCTCATCCTCATCATCTTCGCCTAGTCGATAGCTGTACGACCGTATTAGGACACAGAGCCCTATACGAATAGACTTGTCGGGATAACCGGTGAATTGCGGAATCAGCGGGGGTGCATTTTCGATTCCTAACCGGTGTTGCTGCTTACGGCGAGCGATTTCGAGGCGGTTATGCTCAATACGGGCGAAGGCGTCAGGCGGGCGGTATGAATAAATCTCAAACATAGGCAGAACCTCATCATTTCATAAATTTTGCATCAGGTATTCCCGTAGTTTTTCGTGGTCGTCACCCAAGGTGACGAGGCTATAAACCTGGATAGGAACCAGGTGGTCGGGTTCTGGGTCCGGCACGACGTACTGCTCAAGCACCACGCGATGACCCAGATGGTCAGCGTAAGTACGCACTTGCTGCCAGTCGCTCCCCTCCATGGCTAATTGGGCGTTTGGGGTATTTGAAAAATAAAAAGACTTGAGAGCAGGATTCCGGGAGTAAATGAGGGGAGATTCAAATGACGCACTTTGCGGTGTTTATAAGGGGCCTTACGTCTGTGGCACCCAACTAGGCACCCACGCCTGCTGTATTCGTTCTCTTTCTCATACACTCCCTTTCCTCAAGCCATTACTATGTAGTACTTTCGCCGAACCGCCACCATCCATTCCCACTCAGATATCGACCGCTATACTGTATCGTGACCAGTGATCATCTGAGCATCCTCACATTCATTAATACATATTCCAAGGCTATAATATGATGTAACTATCTTAATAATCTCAATTAATGTTTTTGATTATTTTCATTTGTAAAAAAGCCCATTTAGATGTATTTTCTAAGAAGTGTAAACAAGTTAGGTGAACGATTCCAGGTCTTCATGTTTTATGTTGGGTCTGAATAGCTTACGTAACGTCGTATTGGGGCACTAAAACCAGTAATTCCCAGGTCCGCCGTTTGTGACTAAACTTGTTCACCAATCCACCTCCGCATTCTCACACAAAACCATGCCAATCACACGAAGTCAAAGCAAGAAATTCGACACCGCCAATTTACCGGCAGTTGGACAAAGTACCATACAGGCTACCGGCGAACCAATGATCGAATGGCTGGTCTTTGATTATTCAGAGACGGCAACTGCAAAGCGAGTCAATTGGAAAGATCTCCTGAATGAGGTCCAAGCTGTTGAGGGGTGTGGCTACATCAATTTTGCCAATCCTGTAGAAACTCCACAGAAGCTATGGATTATTATCCGTAAGGCCTTAGTCCGGGCGACCTTGAAAGAAACTGACAAAAAATTGAATCAACAGAGTGGTTGTCTGGTTCGCACCGAGATAATTTTCACAGAGCAGACACAATTGCCAGGAAGGCAAAGAACTTCCTCTACCAACAAAGTGAAGATATATACTCTATTTATCAAATCAACTATCTTTTTGGAGGGATGATTTCAGTAAACGACCCTGAACGTATCCACGAAATCTGGATGGTTTATTTTCCCATTGAAGCCCTGGGAGCTGAAAAAAGAAATCAGTCTCAACTGCCACGTCTGAAGAATATCTATGAAAAATATGAAAAGCCCCATGAACCTATGTCCGGGATTCTCAGTCAAAAAATAGCGTGGCTATCTGGGGAGGTTATCTACCAGGGAGTGCAATGTCAACGCCTCGCGTGGTTTATGGAGTGGAGATCAAAGGAGGCCGAAGAGCTTTACAAGACAAAAGCACAATGGGATTGGGAGGGGGAAGGCAAAAATCGCAAGCCAAGACTTCTTCTGAATACTTTTATTGATGGCCTGAAGAGCCTTGGAATGATTGGGTATGAGGCATGGCATGCTCAATTTGTAGGAGTCCAAGCGCCGCTCGGTATTTGGTGCTAAAGAGCACACAGCTTAATCAAGACTCAATTGTCTCACGGGAAATCGGAATTTTCATCCTCGCCCATCTCCATCCTATTTGTATCGATCGTTTTATTCCCAGCCTTGCCCCTGAGAAAGGTGCGCTATGACCCATTACTATCGGTAACCAGAGCAGAGCGTCTAGTAGCAGGTCCTGAGACCCTTTTCCTATTTATAATAACTCGAGACCAATCGTTGCTGTTAAGATACATCGCTACCGCGAACCAGACATAGCTATTGGCGTTGGTAGCGGATTTTGTCCCCTCGAACTGTGCTAACTTCCCCGTCAAAACTGGCCCATAAGCTTTTTTTGTTTTACTACTACATGGGTCCAGGAACTTCTCATCTGTAATACCTGTGGAAAGTTAGTAGGTTGAATCTATTTTAGATAATAATCAGAGTACTTACTACCCTCAGAGACTATGTACATCAGTTCGTGAAGGAATATAGATAGTGAAGATACGGCCACCGCTATATTGGTATTTGCTGTAATAGTTTTCGCCCCACTTCTCCAGAGTTACAGGATGTCTTTACGTCTGGTATAACTGAAGATACATGGACAGAGGGTGATCGAGGACCTTATATTGTAGGTTGTAAAAGCCATAACATCGTTTTTATACATAACAATATCATCCGAATATAATCTGAACTGAGGAGCCCTCATTCTGTTTCTCACCCGCCAAGAGAGCCGGTTTATTCTCGATTCAGCTCAGCACATTTGTCCAACACTGCAACAGCATTGTATTTAAATAAAACCGAAGTTTGCGAATGAAGAGCATCTACGGCTCTAAAGTACTCATCTGATTTTCTTGTTTGGCCATCGCTGGTACGTTTCATGGTCTGTGGCTATTTCCGGTACCGCGCTACCTTTGCCATTCGCATCAGACACCTGCTTATCACTATGGCATTGCCCCAGCTCTTCTTGTCTTTATACAAGACAGGGTTGTCTCATTTTGAGGCTCTATATATAATTACCCTTGGATATTTTCACCGTCGACTGTTAGCTATCGATTTGGTACTTCCAAATGAGTTTGCATGTATTGCCCAATGAATTGTTGCGTTTGATAGCCGATAACTTGCAATCGACAAGTGATGTCAATTCGTTCGTCCAAACACATACTTGGTTTTTTGCTGCCCTGAACTCATACCTCTATCTTCAAAATATTCGCTCTGGAAGTTCGGCATTGATTTGGACGGCAAAGTTCGGGCGTCCAGTAGCGGTTCAAAAGCTGATGGACGAAGGTGCTGATGTTGGAGTCACATCTGACAAAAACCTAACACCGCTGGCACTTGCAGCAGAAAACGGACATTAAGCAACAGTCAGAGTACTGTTAGCAGCGAAAGGTGTCAATCCAAACTGCTAGGACTTAGCGGGCCGCACGCCATTGATTATCGCTTCGAAAAACGGACATGAAGCGGTTACCAAGTTGTTACTCAACTCGCATGGGGACAAATCTGACTCCAAGGAATTATTTGGGCGGACGCCGTTATCTTACGCAGCACAGAATGGGCATGCCGCAATTGTGGAGTTGCTACTTATGGCTAGTGGGGTCGATCCAAATTCAAGGGACGAACAAGGACAGACGCCGATATCATGGGCGGCAGAGTACGGACGGGAGACGGTGGTCAAACTGTTGTTTGCTGAAAAACGGGTCAATCCGGACTCTAAAGATTCTAATGGGCAAACACCACTATTTTTCTCGGCACAGAATGGGCACGAAGAAATTGTCAGGCTACTGCTTGTCACAAAGGGTGCTGATTCAGACTTGATGGATAATTTGGGTTGGACACCGCTGGCGTTGGCAGCACAGCTCGGACGCGAGGGAGTGATCAAGCTCCTTCTTGCCTCTGGGCACGTGAATCCAGATACCAAAAACTACCTCGGGAGGACACCTCTTTCTTTGGCAGCAGAGAATGGACACGAGGCAGTCGTCAGGCTCTTGCTCTCCACGGCCAGGGTTGACCCGGACCCAAGGGATTCTGATGGACGGACGCCATGTTCGCGCGCAGCACATAAAGGACATGAGGCAGTCGTCAAGCTTCTATGTGCTCAAGAACGTGTGCAGAAAAATTCAGTAGATAAATACGGAATGACGCCTCTTTTTTCTGGCAACACGGAAAAGACACGAGGCAGTTATTAGGTTATTAGGTTGAGTTTTGTCGTGGCCTTGGATCATGAATAATTCATATACTATTCATGGCAGGGTAGTGCGAAAATTTGGAGTTTGTCAAACTAGCTCAAAAACCGTCTGTGAGGCCTCTCTGTTGTTCCTCTGCTAGTCTTTCCGCATTCAATGATATCCACCAGGCATGGGAGGGATCGTGACCTTGTCCATCTGCCCATTCATCCCACGGTTTCGGGCTAAGTATATAGTGTATATTTTTCACACTCTTATCGCGCCATATGACGTCATGTATTCCTTTCCATCGGAGTGTTTTGAGCGCATTGTATACGTACGGCAGCGCAACCCACCGACCGTTAAAAATATCGCCGAGGAGGGACTGATCAGCGAAATCATATTGCAATGTTGTAGAGGAGGCAAGCTGTGCTACGATTTTGTCATAAATCGCTTGAGATGGGTTCACCACCTGCAAGCCACCATTTGGTATCCCTAATCCTGCGGTGGCTGGAGGCCCGGCTGTTTGTGCGATATCTGGACTGTCATGCTGAGTGGAATAGGCACAATTGGCCGGAACCCTTTAACAAAGCGCTGAATTAGCGATTGGGCAAACGACTAGTGGGTAAAAAAGGTTCTTGCTTAGGACAAAGCCATCGAGCTTACCAGTCTCTGGGATAGTGAGGTTTGTGAAGCGGATTGCAGACACATGCGTGGCTAGCAGCAAACACTCGGTCACCCGTTCCATTCATGCTTGCCGCATCCAAAGTGATGTCCATTAACTCATCCATATTTTGAAGGATCGCCATATCACTGTCCAGCTGCACAACGCGATCATATTCAATGAGTGAGAACGGTGTGAGCTTGCTCCAGCAGTCGTAGAAGCGCATGTCGTTGGTGAAATCTTTCGGGACCGCTGGGAGAAGATATGGTACATGCCGTTTCGCTATTCCCCTCGAGTCCAGAGCTTTGTGTCCATCCGCAGGAAATGAATCTGTGTAAAGAGCAACGAGAGGATACTTTGATCCAGCTCTCTTAAGAGAGTAATCGAGAGTCAACAGACCAGACAAATACGCGGTATTTGTTATGAGAGTGGTCCAGACTGAAAGGCGTTCAATGTTATCATGGGAAGTCTTCCATTAGATTCTTGGGTATTCACACCTTTGGAACCCCCCTAATTCAGGCGGTTCCACTGATTCGGGCACATAGTGACCCATGTTTCGGGCGGTTACAAGGAGCGAGAACAAAAGGAAGAAGATGACCTCAACGGTGTCGCGGAAGCGCTGACGAGCTAGAAGCAAGATTTGTGGGTTTCCGTGTGGGCGGTGAGACGATGCGGCAAAATTTCCCGACGCAACGTACAGTCCCGTTCCAAAAGTTTGAAACACTCTGCTTACCGCCCTGGTCTCCGTCTGCTATTAGCAGGCGGTCAATTATAATCGGCAACGGGGTGTTTCAACCTTTTGGAACGCCACTGTAGCCTGACCGGCCCGCGAGACGCTAAGCAGAGTCAGTCATCTTCATTTACCATCGGTTGATGAAATGACAATTGGAATCAAATTTGTGGTGAAATCTGTTGGATTATTATTTCAAGGAGAGACGGCCACAGAATAGAGGGTTCCTGGTCCTCTTTCCAGATTAAATCTTACGATGGCATCCGACTCTCCTTGCTCTCACCGGATACTCCGACGTTCGGCTGCGGGAGGGACCGTGCCGTGCAAGCTGCAACTAAACCCAAGGGGTGTTTTCCATGCCCAATCATAGCCATAGCCTCATATTGAAACACAGCGTATCGCCGCGACAAAAGAGGCGTACAATGATGACCACAGAGCCATTCAGTTTAGCCGCCCCGATGCGGATTACTTTTGAGCGCGATCCGAATCAGAGGCCATAGCATCTTTTTCTATCCCACACCTTCACGTCAAGAGGACAAATCTTCGTCAGCGCACAGGTTTCCCTGAGAAAAAGGTTGACTGTTACCCTTCTTTATTTCGCACGACACATTAGAGACACCTCCGCCTGGAGCAAACCACCAGAATCCCATCTCCTTTCCACGGCGCAGCTGCTACATTTTGTCCAAATCGATTCACAGTGTGGCAATCAGCAAATTCTAAAGATCCCACTTAACTCACAATGGATGTTTCATCAACTGTCGCTACGTGGCTGTCTTTGGCGGTCACAGTCTTGGGTCTTGGTTCCATCGCTACTCAATTCGGCACGATCATCGATCAAGCAGACCCATTCCATTCCCTGAGGGACATTCGGCACCTAGGCAGCTGGTGGCGTCGACAACCTACAGTTCCGTGGTATCGAATTATCAAGCCGCCTCCTGTCGGGCCTGTTATCAGCGCAGACCTCTCAAACGGAATATGTGGTAAAAAAAGAGTTCATCTTAGCCGTCTGCCACTGACACGTCCAGCCGGGCAAGCCGCATGGTCTATTTTGCTAGCAGTGGTCCATCCAATATCCGGGAAGGATAGTCGTTGTTTGAAACCCTTGGAAGGTGTTTCAATCACTGGCGAGAAAGAAGGTGAACATATTGTGACGATCGCCGACGAACAACTCGACCTCGTCCCATGTGAGACCTGGGCCGATATCCCTCTCCGTCCTCTCGTGAAGCATAGATTGACGACTTGCACCGTGATATCACGCAGTACTCTTTTGGCATTATTCTGCCTAACAAATGCGCGTCAATTATATCGCTATAGCAGTGCTTCTGGTCATCGGGCTGCTTACGCGTCATATTGTGGGCAATGGCGTATAGAATGGCCTATCGGAGACCGCGCGTGTGTGTTTTTTTGTGCACATGATTCACATGTTTCTTCAAAAGACGTATATCCGGCAATCTTCGAGCAGAGGCTCGACAAGTGCTTACAGATGCTGGCCGGTGTGATTGAGTCTGAAGTACCAAATGGCTTCAAGTGTGCCTTCCCGGGACGCAAATCAACCGGCACATGGCGACTAGAATATGCACCTAAAGGGTTTGGCGGCGCGCACAGCGGGAGACATCTTTATAATATGATTGGCGGCAAAGTGAACGAGGTGGACTACTTATTCTTGAAGCCAAGAAGTATGGAAAACGAATCATCAAAAAGCACCGTCGTGCTTCACCTGCCTAATAAAGAAGACGGCACTTCTGATGTCATCTTATACATCGGACATCAAGAATCTGTTGTTCTTGACCAGGCTTTGGATAGCCTACCGTGGTCATTCCTATCATGGTCTATCCATTGGGGACTACGTGATATTCTCACTGCGTATTCAAAGTAGAGAATGGACCTCTACCGGAATCATCTAGCAAATACCCTACGCCTTGCGGTATTGAATCGGCCAGAAACGCTAATCGCCAGAGGATGGGACTCGCGATTTGTCAGGCATGAAATGGCAGACATGGCATCAAGTGCTGTTCTTGCAGGACGTGGAAACTCAGGGGATGCTGTCCGTGTAGTGACAGACATTGCGGCAAGCTTGTGGGACGGACACGTTTCGGCTCTTGATGAAACGCACTTCTGGAGACAGCCAGTTTCTGATTCTGATTTTTCAACTTTGAGCCCAATGGCTGTCATTGCCCTCGTCAAATGCTTTGTACTGGAATGGAGTAATGATTTAGATTACCAGATGTACCATGATCTTCCATTGGAACTGTACCTCGGCTAAACCAACAAAACAATCACAAACTTTAAAGAAACAATCAGTTCTCTTCAATTAGTCATAAGGCATGCGCTTCAATTGTAATCACGCTTCTTAAAGTGTCTCATTCTAGTCGAGAAATCCGAAATCCCAAAGAGGACCGCTGGATACTATGGTTCACAAGGTGGATACAGTTGCTAGCATGTACGGCTTATAAGATCGGATTTATGGATGGATAAAGGTTAGAGAAAGCAAGCCCCAACGAAGGAGTCTTAATTGTTATCAGAACTATTCAATTAGGTGATACACATGGAGTCTTTGCTCTGAACGGTTACTAAAAGGCTAATTTCTCAGTTTTTCGAAGAAAACCCAGGTGGGTCCACACATTTTGAGTAACGGATCAGGGTGCGTCTAGAGATGGGTCATATATATTTGATCCCCTGTCGAAGTGAGTAAGTGAGCGAGTGGGTATTTGTAGTAGTAGAAATATTCGGCGATTGGCATTGCGTGGTCTCAACATCACCAGTTCAACCAAAAGACTCGCTGTGTGACATCTGCATTCGCTTTACTATGTCCATAAACATACTGAGGCTATGTGCAGATGCCAAAAGACCGAGCGCTTCAGGGGTGAGGCTTTGGCACAATGATACTTAAAGCCAGCTCAGCTGAAAGTGGTCAGTGCAGTGGTCGCCCTAGAGAGTATGGTTCTCACCCTGCTCACCCCATTCTCACCCTGTCTATTGCGCACTCACCCTAATCACCCGGGTCGCGCGACGCTAAAGCGGCGCGCACTATATGTAGGCCTTCGTACACACACCTGGTTCCTCCAACCACGCTCTGATGTCCCTTCGGCCCCGATTACGGCCCCTCAACATGGCGTACATTATCGCAGTTGTTTCCACGTCTTCGCTGACTTAGCTCTATCTGATCAGTATTCCGCTAAGCTGAGGCGAAGTCTTCAATCCCTGGTGTGATCATGTGATCCTGATCTCTTGTAGGTAAACCTCCCCCTCTACTGTTCTCTTTCCTTTCTCTTTTCTCCAGAGGAAAGTCAACTACAATTATTATGGCTCCAGGTTCAGTGGTCGGTCTTGTAACGACATGTTATGAGTAGACTGTGTCCCTCTTTTGGAAATATTGCGCTGTACTGACTCTACGATAGCATCGGTGTTAAAATCATCGACATATGCTCAACATGGAAGCACGCCGAAAGTGAGGTCAAGAAGCGTGTGCTTATTGTCGAAGCCTGCTGGAATCGTACCAAGCTCCAAATTGACTTCGTCATGCGCATTATATCCATCCTGGATGAAGAGCATTGTCGCATGATGGACGCGCTCTTAAAACAACTCGAGCTGGGAATTCACTGATGCCAAACGCGCGACGTAGCCAAAAAAAAAAAAGAAAAGTAACTGGTGAGAGCGGCCAACGGCGAGAGAAAATCCTGTGGTTTGGTTGACATCTCAAAACAGTCGACAGAGAGGACCTCGCGAAAACTCAGAATCGCCGACGCTGTAGTATATTGTGCCCAAGGTTGAACACAGCATTCATTGAACGTATGGTCTACCTCAATATTTAATCTAACCACGTTTACTTAATACGATAAAGTCTATTAAATCTCATTATTTAGGAAGCATAAACATCAGAGAATCCAGTCGACCGAACACTAGCAGTCCTTCTTGATTGCTATCAGAAGTCATCACTATGACTCCCTCGGTAGGCCACTCATTATTAGCTATGATAGAGTCCGGGGCGGAAATCTTAAGTATGTGACGGTACTAAAACTGACTAAATCACGCAGCTGATCTGAACATCTAGCCTGACTAAACCTTCTAGTTCGTAAGCGACCCACAAGATCACCGTCTCCAGAAACCTAGACTGGACGAAGCTCCTTGTAGAACAATCCCTAGAAATAGTTAGTGTTTGCTGCACAGCACGGACATGGGGGCATTATTCATGCACTTCTCAAGAAAGGAGCCAATCCCGATTCCTCATCCGCCGATGGTAGAACACCTTTAAACACCCATGTGTTTTTGACCGGTCGTATCTTCGGCCTCACAAAAGAGGACCGTCAGTTAGCTGTCGTAACAGACGACATACATTTTCTCCCGACATCAACAAGCAGCCTTCCGCCAACCCCTTCTTCTGCAATTGAGAAGAGGAAACGCGTTGACCGCTGGTCCCAAAGGGCTGGTCCACGTCTCAGTTTTATGACCCCCAGCTTGGAGAGAACGTTAGGGCCACCACTACTGCCGACGAGGATGAAGATGAGGAAAGCACTCAGATTACACGGGCTGACACTCTGGATGGAACTGAAAGTGCTCGACAGGCAAGTATACCGACTCCCGAAAGGCGATCACAGAGACCAAGAAAAACTTCATACGCCGATATACTTGCACTGTCAAAATAAATAACCTATGTCAGTTCGTGTCGTTTATGCTTCATATAACAATTCCACACTACTTATCCTTTTCTACTATCTTAATAGCTCCCCTGACTTTCGTTTCAGGGCCGATGCGTGCGACGCGCGCGTCTTCCAGTTATTATTTCCATTCGTGTCTTAACGAGGCTTAGCGTGACTTGGCATTTAGGGTTCAGGAAACAATGAGAGAGTGTAAATAGTGACACCGATTGTCGGAACTACCGCAGAGCAATACTGTAGAGCAATACTGTAGAGCGAACAGACATACATTTAGTAGTTCCATAGGATTTGGTTTGATCATATGCCATTACATTTAGAGGCTTGACACTGTATATAAATGCATAAATTGTGCCAAGACCTTTCTAATTTACTAGACTTGTGCATTCCAATACAGGACATGAATTTCACCTAGTGTAATGGGGATTTCCGCTCTCAACATCGGTATCGTGGAGTCATGTGACTGAGGCCTTAGCAACAAGGCCTTCGCATTGTTTCGTGAGGTTAAGTAGCGTTCGTTCGATAGCATCAATAACAATCATGCATGTCCCCCCTTATGAAATGCTCTACTGGGGTTGCTGAGGTTGCGGTATCGATATACTGCTTATGAAAGGTTCTGGCTATTCGTTCCATCGTTCCTCTATAGCGTCACGCTTTGTCTACTACTCGCCTGCACTCTGCGAGTGTGGTGGTTTTGTCCTCTTGTGATCGACCCGTCTGCTTGACAGACTGCCAGCGAGCATTCCCATCTTTCACTAGAAATCTTGTCAAAAACCAGTACTGAAGGCTCTTTCCACGTTAGGAGTAAACGAATGATGTTAATGCTAAACTTACGGTTCAGAATGTTTTTGAGTGAAGTAACTATTTGCAGTGAAAAGTTGGGTACTAGTTACAATCTTAAATTCGTAGCCTCGTTAATCTCTCTGACATTTGTCGAGTAGTACTATGATCTAGACCCAGGGCCTTCTCATACCCTGCTAGTGCTCGCTGGTACATCTCCTTGGCCTCTTTGAACTTGCCCCGATCTTTGTAGAGAGTCCCAAGATTATGAACAGTATTGAGAGTGGATGTATGATCTGGACCCAGGGCCTTCTCCTTACCCGCAAGTGCTCGCTGGTACATTTCCTCAGCCTCTTTAAGCTTGCCCTGATCTCTGTAGAGACTCCCAAGGTCGTTCACCGTTATAAGAGTAGATGTAAGATCTGGACCCAGGGTCTTCACCTTGCCTGCTAGTGCTCGCTGGTACATCTCCTCAGCTTCTTTGAACTTGCCCTGATCTCTGTAGAGAGTCCCAAGATTATGAACAGTATTGAGAGTAGATGTATGATCTGGACCCAGGGTCTTCTCATACCCTGCCAGTGCTCGCTGGTACATCTCCTCGGCCTCTCTGAATTGACCCTGATCTCTGTAGAGATTCCCAAGGTTGTTCACAGTATCGAGAGTGGATGTATGATCTGGACCCAGGGCCTTCTCCTTACCCGCAAGTGCTCGCTGGTACATTTCCTCAGCCTCTTTAAGCTTGCCCTGATCTCTGTAGAGATTCCCAAAATTGTTCACAGTATCGAGAGTGGATGTATGATCTGGACCCAGGGCCTTCTCCTTACCCGCAAGTGCTCGCTGGTACATCTCCTCAGCCTCTTTGAATTTACCCTGATCACAGTAGAGATTCCCAAGGTTATTCACAGTATGGAGGATAGACATATAATCTAGACCAAGGGCCTTCTCCTTGCCTACCAGTGCTCGCTGGTACATCTCCTCAGCCTCTTTGAGCCTCCCTTGGCCTCTGTAGAGATCCCCCAATCCATGAAAACCTCCCCATACAGAAATATCGCTAGCAGAAAATTCTCTATGGCGGACATAATTTGCGTGTGGAAGAAGCCGTCGTTGGAGCTCTGAGCAGTTCCTGTCACTTGCACCTGGGACGTTATATCCAACAGAAATCAGTGCCAGTTCAGAAAGCTGGATTGAATTTACTTTTTCGTCCGTGCTGGCAATGTAGAGGCACCAGTCTCGTACCACTGGGTGCATCGCATAGCTTCCATCTTGTAGCCTACTTTCAAGAAGAGAGAATTCGATGAGGGTCTTCACAGCGATTTTGAACGTGAGTCCGCTTGATATAGCTTTTTGAAGCCAGGTAGGCACATCTGAGCTATTATCACCACCTTTCACTAGCTCATACCAAATATCCCGATTATCAAAGCGCGCAAGTAGAAGTAGTAGCTCTGCTGCATCCGTATCCCGCTTCTTGATCTCACGATATGAGATCATCCACGTTTGTAGCATATTGCCGTGCTGGTATTGACGTCCGGGACTTGATTGGGATTGTAAGTCAGTCCAAGACTCTCGGTAATATTGCAAGTACTCGGTGATGCTGGTTCCGGTTTGACGCATGAATGCCGCCGCGATGACTATCGCTAATGGCAGTCCATCAAGACGACTGGCAAGGGCAAGGGTATCTAGGCATATGAGTTTCGCTGAAAAGGCTTATAAATTGGATGTCCTCGTACCTGGACTGTCTTCAAGGTTCTCATAGGTGATTGCTGATAGACCGCTTTTCTGCAAGAGTAGTTGAATTGCGTTCGTTGAATCAAGCTTACGGATTGGAAAAGACTTCCCCAGCTCGATTAAGCTAGAGAGTCTAGAGGTAATGAGAATGGACCCATGATCGACAGGAGGGAAAAACTCTGCAATATCATATACATCACCAACAGTGCCGCTGATTGGAAGGTATTGATCGACATTATCAAAAATGATAAGCCAGCTTGAGTTGCCATCCAACGCTAGCCATCGAATCACGTGCCTCGCTCGTTGCTCTACTTTTTCGTCATCGATAACCGTATTATTCTGAGACTGTCCTGGTAGTCGGGGGAAAATAGAACTCAAAGACTGCAATAAAGTGCTTCGATCCTTGCCACTAATCCAAAAGATAGCGGTGAAATCACGCTTGTGATCTCGCGCGAAGTGACTCGCCAGCTGTGTCTTTCCCATCCCACCAAGCCCATGGAGAATAGCAATCCTTCGATGTGGGAAGTCTTTTGGCTGTAAGTACTGCCAAAGGCAATCTAGTTCGTCTTGCCGCCCTATGAAATTGTCAATCACCGGGACAGCACCAAGGTCTAATGGAACAGTAAAACAATTAACTAAATACAGAAGTCTTCATTTAGCAACAGGCCCGAACTAGACCAAAGGGCCCACGGATGATGTTTGGAGCTTCTCACCAGCGTCTGCCAGAGTGTCTCGTGCTGTGGGGGTACTATCAATCCGATTAGTCGGAACTACCAAAAGCAGCTCTTTAGCATAGGCCGCCGCCATTGCTGCTGCATATCCCTGCCATTCCTTATTTTTGTGTGAGTCAGAATAGTCACAGATGCCTCGAATGACTAGACATGGGAAGCCATTCATAAGGCCCGCTGCTTCCATCTCCACACAGTATACTCCGAGGTCATGAGCCAGTTGATCTCGCCGCCTGGCATCCTTCACTACCTGATTGGCAGATGCAACCAGTCCATAGTGTATGATTGGTTCTTCATGGTCTCGTGGTAGCCGTGGAACTAGTTTTGACCGATCGCAGCTAGCACATGTATCAGATGTTTTGTGTTCATATTCCGCTTGGTATAGACAGTCCTCTTCGGCTGGACGAGTAAAGCTTTTGGCTTTGTTGGGTTTCATTTTGCTCGAAGCATCGCAAGCAAACTCTAGGACTCGACTGTCTTCTGTAAGATGGTGGGCTTGCAATGTAGCAAGAGTGGTCAACAGAATCTCTGGTGGCCGGTTCAACATTCCTGTTCGCTGGAATTGACCCCCGGTGAAGGCTTTACCTAAGTCGTATTGGATCACGCCTCCAGAAGTGTCCGTCGGTTGGCTGACCACAATATCGCCCAGTCGAATGTCTGCCTTCTTGCTAGGTACCCCTCCACCGATGCCAACCATCAGACCGAACCGGATAGAATGGAAAGTCGAAAGCAACTGCGTCGCCACCATTGCCGCTGATACATTGCCATATGATCCACCCGGTAAACATGCAATAACAACATTATGGCTTCCAATGTCCCCGAGAATGTATGTATTTTTATCGGTCAAAGGTTGAGACAGGCTAGGGTGTATTGCGTCCAGCATCAGTTTCGCAGCCGCCATTTCCAGTGGCAAGGCACATATCCATCCGACCGTGTAATCTTGATGAGATAGGAGAGACTTGGTGGCCATGATATTTTATAACTAGATAGGGAAATATTGATGAACTTGAGAAAGGGTGAAGGTAAAGTCAGGCATGAATGCCAGCCAGTCTTGGGGAGCAGCCGAGTCGAAAAGTGAGGCTGAGGCATGCTAGCCCCACATCCAACCATTTCGAGTGATCGACACCCTACGAAATCATTGTGATCATGTTTGCTCGTTTTGCATCGAACCTTCTAGTCGCTTGGGTTTCCAGATCTTTGAATCTTCCATACTAGCGTCATTTATTATTGGCTATAAATAGATGTCCTTCTCATATTTGGATTAGCGTTTGCTGGAAGTGGGAGTTTCTGATGTCGAGAAGCCGGCAGGTCCTCTGAAACTTCCATCATATTATACACTAATCCAGATGTGGTTTAAGTTGTATTTAAGGGCCTCGTTCCAGCACTGAATGGTACTGTATAATGACAAATGAGAAAACACGAGATGGAGTGCCTACCATAACGATGCCTCATTGCAGGTGTTCCAAAGCCAGCACCAACAACATCTCAACCTACCGCAAATGGCAAGAAACCTCCAGGCCTGGCAGCGCAATATGATTGCTCATATGATACAGTACAAAGTTGGAGACTCACAGTCTCCCAAATGACCACAGTTGCCAGGTGTAGCGAGCGCTCTGTCACTAATATTCACAGGAACACGCGGCTTTTTCGGCAACCCCAGATGCCCCCAGTCTCTGTCGGCCAGCCATCAAGCATTACCTCGGCAATGCTTGATACCCTTTGTGAGCCTCTTGCGGGAAAGCCTGGCTTATACATTGAGGAAATGGGCACTTTTCTAGGGGACGAGTTTAACGTACTACCCTTCTCATCGACCGTCAAGCGTTCGCTGAAATGGGTTGGCTGGACGAAAAAGAAAGCCCAGCAGAAAGTGAAGGAACGGAATCCGCAACTTGGAGATTCATACCAGCATACAGTTTCGTTCGTACTATCTGGGTCTTTATTGATGAATCGGTCTGTGATAAACGGGTGGGGTATCGAGGGACCGGTTAGTCACCACTAGGCGTGACACCGGTCCAAATTGTAAATTTCATCGGGGTTGACGATACCAGAAACTTCCAGCCTATACACAGGATGGAGTCATCCTGTCTTGAATTCTTAAAGGATCAACTGGCGCTGCGCTCTTTGAATCGAATCTCTTGTTGAGCAACTTCTCCAGCACTGTGGGAGATGGCCGGAACCGAACTCTGTGCTCGTAATGGACAATGCCTCTTTCCATTACTCGGACCGAATCAAGCAATTATGTGCTGAAGCAGAGTTAAACTGCTTTACTTACCGCCGTACTCGCCGAATTTCAACCCCATAGAGGAATTTCTTGCTGAACTCAAAGCTTATATCAAAAAGAATTGGCCAGTGCTTGAAGCAAATCCCGACCAAGGGTTTCATGTTTTCTTTCCGACGGTGTATTTGGATGGTCATGATACAGTCAATAGAATTATTCGATCTCGATATGAGCGCTATAACTTGATATATAGAGTGTGGCAGTAGGACTCAAAGAATTTCTCAATTTGTATTGATCAAGCCGATATCGAGAAAGGCTGTATCAAATGCCAAATGCAGTATAACTCGTTTCTCAGGAAGATGATATGGTGTACACGGGATGCGCAATATATTCATCATGCATATATATATTGAAAAACGTAACTAAACGCCTACCCAATAGGCTTAATTCCAATGATATAAGCGCAAATATCAAATCCTAACGCCAGTATCTATCAATGTCTATAGCCCACAAAAGACTAGTTCAGTCAATCATTGTGGAGCCGGTAACAGGGATATCGGGTGCGTACTCTAACAATAAGTTCTATATAACTCTTGCCATCTCGAAATATCTCAGGAGCAACGTTTTTCCCTGACTTGCCTTTGCAATGCTGATAATCTAGGTAGCTTCTCCCTTTACCAACAATGCAGTGGCCGTATCGTTGTCCATCCGGTGCTGGTGGATGGAGATATAATACCATAGCGGCGCCGCTGCGATAAAGAGGGTCGCCAAATGGGTCGGGATGATCCGCTAGATTATTCCTATCAGAAATCGCAAATTCAGATACAAGCCCCAACTCTTTCGTTCTCCTCATCAAATCTAAAACATCATCCGCGTTCATACCATCAGACGAGTCTGCAGGCTGGGGTACCCCAGTGTAGCGAGAGAGCACGGGTGCAGACAAGTCGAGCAAGTATGCCAGAGAGACAAACACGCAATTTTTGGTTAGGGCATTGGGATTGTAGATTGATCCTGTCCCCACTGAAGAACTTCCATAGCAAATAGAAGCTATACGCTGAGCGATCTCTCTATCGGTGTTTGCGTTGCCTACCATAGTTGGTTTATGGAAGACTGGATGGCTTAGATTCAGTGCTGATTAACAAACGTATCAGCTCTAGCTATAAGCCTTTGAATCGATCCGCCCATGACTACTAGACTTACTGAAGCTTTCCTTTAGGGCGTTGAATGAGACCCAATGGTATCCGAATCCCGTGAGAGCGGGTGATTGTGAAGGTGGGGGTTTCAGGAAAGACGAAGATAATAAGCCAGTTTTTGGAGATGAAGCTTTGGAGCAGAAGCAGAAGGGAGAGAAGTAATCGAGTAAGTATGTATTCTCTGAGGCTGTGCCCCTAGCCGCTTTGTGCTTGGCGGCAAACTCACTGGTCCCCGCCATCAGAATAAACAGTCTTGCCATGAAGGAACAGCGCGATGTGGAGGGGCCCATGTACTACCGTTGAATGATTGGACACCAAAGCAGCAGATAAACTGGCCACTCGCCTCACTTTTATGCAATACGAGGGATTGTGTTGAGGCCATGGGGGCCATTAAAATACTGCCAAGAAAGGAGTTCGGGGTGGGTTAACCGTAATAGGTATAGCGACGTTTCAAAAGAGGGACCGAGAAAGAATCTCTGTGTGTAGGTATTGAATCTGATTTCGATCCATGCTGTACTATGTTGGCATTGCGCTAGGCAATAGGCACGCTCTATGTTCTGGATCAGCGGAAAAAGGCCAAGTAATCAAGCCTCCCTGATTATATTACTCAATTTCTCACGTGACAGATAGCACAAAGTCAGGTTGCTCACTGACCTTGTTTTACAGAAGGGGCTATGTGCAGACGCCAAGAGACCGATCGTTTTATGAGGTGTTTTGCCCAATGATTCTGAAGGCCAGCTCAGCTGAGAAGGGCCAGTGCGGTAGTCGCATGACGGAAGTCGATTCTCACCCGGTCTCACCCCATTCTCACCCTGTCTATTGCGCACTCACCCTAATCACCCTGGTCGCGCGACGCTAAAGCGGCGCTCACCCTACTCTTACCCTGGCGGCACCCACCGCACTACTGACTGTGTTTTAGCCACACGCCGGCAGGTCAGTAGTATGGTGGGTGCACATGGGAATCCCTGCTGTTGTGTGTTTTGCTTTTGCTATTTTCGTCTTGGTCTTTTTGCTGCTTTTTGATCTTCCTTGGCTATCGGTTTTGCCCGGAATTATCGGTCGCGCCCCTACTTCGGACCTCATCCTTGGTTGGGGAATATTATACGGACTCACTGCATGCCGGTGTGCTCCAGGGCTACCTAGGGCTATAATACCTGGTGCCAGTGTGGAGGTGCAACGGGCGTCACGGATGATTTATATACAGGTAGTACTACTAGTAGTATCTCCAACTTGAAGGAACTTCCCATCCATCCCAGGTGCTCATGAAAACTTGAACAGTACTACCTGGGCATTACTATCTAGCCTGTAGTGACTGGGTAGTAGCTATATTACAGCAACGTAGTAACATCCATGGATTCAGCTTCAATTTGCTACTAGTATTGAAACAAGACCGTAAATGGAACATTAGAAAAGTACTAGTAGTTCTGTCGTACTATGTCAAGAACCTTGGAAACGTGATGGGAGTCGTAGTACGTTATTGCAATTACAACGATTCAAGTTATTGTGTTATACTAGTACCAACTTGAACTTGCTAGCGCATCTTCAAGTTCTCTTTGAGTTCTTGAATTTTCGCTTCTCACGCATCACTCCCCAAAATGTCCTGCAACATGATGCGCCACGGCAGCCTCATCGCCCTCAAATGTGTTGCAAATAGGACATGACACGACCGCCGCTGTTGTTTGAGTAGCAGCACTTGCATCTGTAACGGCGCCATCATGCCTCTCGTCGACATTCTTCTGCCCCTGTGTTTTACCACCACGTTTCTTTCCTTTAGCGGGACGAATATACATATCCAGCCCCAACGGTTCTGACGAAGGCTCTTCGGGGCCATCAAGACGCATATCACGCGCACCAAACCGATTGCGTCTCCCACTTGCATCGCCTCCCTCTGTCCTTAATTGCATTCCACCCTCGGCCTCTTGGATGCTTCCCGGCTCTCTATCAATTTCTTCTTGTTTCGGGCCCGATGGCTCCTCGCCACTCTGCAGGCTCTGCACCCTTCCGACGCGCCCATCAGTGAGACGCACTTTGACGCCTCGGGGGTGATCTCCGCGCGTAAGCAATTCGCTAACTGCACCTGAAACTGTACGCCCTGTGGGCTGGTCGGCCTTGAGGACGATGTTGACGACCGTGCCAGGGTTGATGGACCTTGAGGGGGGCACGCGTGGGTGGGAGGGGCGCGAGCCGCCGCGCCCACCACGCCCACCACGACCGCCATTAGATTTTTGGCGATTCATTTTGGTATGAATGTTTTTAGGACAAGGCGTGAAGAATAATAGTGATGAATGGGGGCGTGTCAAGACACTCGCGCGTCTCGGGAGGTGAAACATGAAATCTTTGAAATCTTGATGTGGGTCCGGGTATGATGTCGGTGTCAGTTCTCATCACTGCAACACCATCTATTGTATTAATTGCTGGCGGAAGCTCAGGACCTTGAAATGTGGTGCATGCATGCGAATATCTAGGAGAGAGAGAGAGAGAGAGAGAGAGCGCGCGCGTAGCAACAACTTGAACGGGTAGGCAATCACTATGCCTGAGGCATCAGCCTCAACAACAGCAAATAGCAGACAGCACTTTTTCTAATACACTCGTGCACAAAGGCATGGTATAGTCTAGCTCTTGAAACAGGGTCTTGGAAGGCGGTGATTTTCACGTTCATTAACATCATTTACTCGAAAGGGGTCTAATTGCAGAGTTGTACACATAAACATATGAGTAGGAAATCACCTATGAGTTTTGGCTCTCAACGGTGAGCGTTCCCGTTTTTGAGATCAAATACTCCTCGATTGCCACGTCCTTGCCTGCCTCCTTTCCATAACCCGATTCCTTGATGCCGCCAAAGGGCGACTCCGCACATGATGAGTTACCTTAAGTGTGTTCATTAGTATTCATGTAAGCAGCGAAGATATCAAATTGATGTCCACATACCTGTATTCATGCCGATCATACCAGCTTCAAGGTTTTCTAGGAGTCTCCATGTCCGATCAACATCCTTGGTGAAAAAGTAAGAGGCGAGGCCCATATTGGTATCATTTGCCTGCTTAACGGCTTCTGCTTCGGTTTCAAATTTGTATAGCCCAAGCAATGGCCCGAAAATCTCCTCTTTGGTCGTCAACATATTGGAGGTCATGTTAGAGATGATCGTAGGTTCAAAAAAGTAGCCATTGGAGTCCTTCGGCTGCTTTCCACCACATAACACTTTGCCGCCCTTGCTCACAGCGTCAGCAACATGCCTCTCAAGCTTCTCAATCCCTTGACATGTGGTGAGAGGACCCATCGTTGTTGTAGTATCGACCCCGTGTCCAACGCGAAGTTTCTGAGTAGCATCTAGTATCAATTTGGTGAATTCATCATAGACTCCGCTTTGAACATAAACTCGGTTTGCGTGAGTACATGCCTGGCCAGCAGTACGCCACTTGAGAATCATAAGCGCAGCGACTGCCTGATCAAGGTCACCATCATCAAAAACTATGAAGGGGCAATTTCCGCCCAGCTCCATAGTGAGTTTCTTCAAGCCCTCGCTGCAATGCCGGGCAACGATGCTCCCCACTCGAGTACTCCCAGTAAATGTCACCTTCCGTACAAGCGGATGCTTACACAGTCGCTCACTGACACCAGGAGTACTCTCATTATCTGTCGATATAACATTCAAAACGCCAGCTGGAAGCCCAGCACGAAGAGCAAGATCGGCCAAGGCCATAACGCTCAGGGGTGTTTCGGGAGAAGGCTTCACGATCATAGAACAGCCCGCTGCAAGGGCTGCTGCGACCTTTCGGATAATCATTGCGACCGGGAAATTCCAAGGAACCAAAGCGACGCTCACGCCGATGGGCTGCTTTATCACGAAAGTGCGGCGGTTTGAGATCGAGGGCTGAGCAACGGACCCTCGAACGCGCTCAGCCTCTCCTGCAAACCACCAGGCAAAGCCCAAGGCATAATCGACCTCGCCAACTGCCTCGGTCATAGGCTTGCCAGTCTCATAAACAACAATTTTGGCAATGTCCTCTCGGGCGTTGGTTATAAGCTCGTGCCATTTGAGCAGGATTTTGGCTCGTTGGCGAGGATTGATGGTTCGGTAGCTCTCAAAAGCGGTTTGGGAGCTTTCGACATATTGATCCACGTCAGTGGTATCATTCGCAGGGCATGAAGCAAAGACTCTTTTCGATCCGGGGTCTATGGGAGCAATGAATTGTCAGCATCTAGAGAGGGCCGGTGGGTGATAATTTGGCAGAGACAAACCTTCCACATCAAATGTCTTGCCCGATTTTGCTTTTACCCATTCGCCATTGAGAAGCGATGCTTCATGAAGGAGCGAGGGGTCGTTCAACTAGTAAAGAGTTAGAATCTCGATCCGACGAAAAATAATTTCGAATGGGTATCAGACCGTAAATAATTCTGACTTGGTCATCTTTCCGGTTCTTTGTTCACTGATTTGAAGATGCTTTGATTTTTGGGTTGCGATTCGGATTTTATTTATACAGCACTGCTCCTCGACACTCTACCATCTAGCCAAAATGCCTACTTCTTGGAAATACCAAATATTCCTCGCACTCGATTGGTTTACATCAACGAACGGTTACGTGGAAAGATGGAGTAGTCCCGACCGGAAACCGGCCATATATCCGGCTTTGAGCTGCTGGAATATTTTAACAGAATTACGACAGTAATCGTTTGATTAGAAAACCAAAATAAGATTTACACTAGTCACACATCAATTTCCGCGTAGAGGGGTGCAGGAAAGTGGGGTGGCGCCGTGGCCTCGGCGGAGATGTCCCATCGCAGGGACGGAGACGGCCCGAAAGTCACGTAATCGAACGATGACCGACGACAGTCAGCGCTTATGCCTTGTAATTAGTATTCAAGTTTATAGTATTAACTTATATCTTATGGTTATTTAAATATCAATTGGTTCTTGTTCATCGGGGTCTGGAAAATATTGATCGCTTGAGTCTAGACTTCAAACTATCAGTTCAAGACACAGAGTCCTCGAAATGGCTCCTCCCAAGCATGTCAATATTGCAGTCATTGGTATGTGATTTAAGCCCAGATTTGATCAAATGTACTGGGAAAAAAAATATCTAATATATTTCCATTTTGCAGGTACCGGTGGAGTGGGGTCGGTTTTCATGTCTCAACTTTCATGGATCGCGAAGAATACACCATCAACACATTTCAGCCTCTGCTATATCGCCATGATTGACAAAGCTCTATATCACCAAGACTACTCCCGAATCGAAATTGATACTGCGGTCGAAACTATGGAAAAAACAGGCTCTCCACCACCCGCAATTCCCGCCATTATCGATTATCTTTCAGGCGCACCTCACAAAGTCATCATGGTGGATAATACTAGCTCTGGAGCAATCGCCGAGTCATATCCGAGCTTCCTCAGACGAGGCATCAGCATTGTTACTCCCAATAAGAAAGCTTTCTCCGGAAGTTATCAGCTCTGGCAAGATATTTTCAGCGCCGCAAAGTCTGGCGGGTCGCTCGTTTATCACGAGTCATCGGTCGGAGCAGGCATGCCTATTATTTCGACCATGAAAGACTTTGTCCAAACAGGCGACGAAGTGACAAAAATTGAGGGTGTATTCAGCGGCACCATGTCATATCTGTTCAATTCTTTCGCCCCCTTGAATGGAACGGGAAGCAAGTGGTCGGATAATGTGAAGAGGGCGAAAGAACTTGGATTCACGGAGCCCGATCCCCGTGATGATCTCAATGGTCTCGACGTCGCTAGGAAACTTACGATTTTGGGTCGGTTAGCTGGATTACCAATTGAAAATCCCAGCTCATTTCCTGTTCAGAGTTTGATTCCGAAAGACCTGGAATCTGCGAAGAGTGGGGATGAGTTCCTCCAGAAATTGCCCGAATTTGACTCGCAAATGGAAGAGCAAAAGGCTGCGGCGCAGAAAGCTGGAAAGGTCGTACGATACGTCGGCAGCATTGATATGGCCAGCAAGCAAGTTAAAGTTGGCATGGAATGGTTCAATCCGACGGACCCTATTGCTACGCTGAAGGGGAGCGACAATATCATCAGTTTCCACACAAAGCGTTACGGAAGTATGCCACTTATTATACGCGGCCAGGGGGCTGGTGGAGATGTCACTGCCATGGGTGTTTCTGGGGATCTGTTGAAGGTCTTGGTTCAGCTCGGTTAGTAGAATTGAACAATATTACTATTTCCCTGACGCGTCGTGGTTTTGCAGATCTATTTTCCAACGCTGCGGGATATTGTATAAATCATAAAAGAAATATCAAACATTTCTCCTTTTCATTTAGCATATTCTTCACACAATAAATACAACTGACAGGAAACATATCATTATTATCGTAAAAACAGACATTATTCAATTTGTGATCCAAGTCTTCCAGATGGGCGAGTCGTAGGAGAAATCGACAAAGTTACGGTACGTCTGGAATGTTTGTGTATCAAGCGGCTTCGGACAAGTCAGGCGGCACTGGACATCTGGTCTTAAAGGAATACCCTGGGCTGCAATGTCGAAGTTATGATCATAGAGCTCCGGGTAACTTCCAAAGAATGATGGGTCGATCTTATAGATTGACACACCACAAGCCATGTTAAGCTTGTTGAAAACAGCCCTGGAACACACGGGGGATGTAAAGATGGTTGCAACATCAGGTGCAGGAAGAGCAGCCTCTAAGATTGCAGGGTCTTCTTCAACCTTCGAATCAAAGTTGGCGATGATGTCTGTAACACGGATGTAGGCTTTTATTGTAGGGGCCCCCATAATCAACTCAGACATCCAGGTCTCAACCACATAACTGCTCACGGTATCGCAAAATATTTGGTCAATCTGCGGGTTGGCTGAGTGAAGTTGAATAAGGCGGTCGCGAATTGATGGGAATGGTATCCAATCAATGACGCTGGGATATGGGGTCTGCAACTGCAATGCGGTGGGCCGATATTGGGGATGAATTGAGTTGTATGTCTTTGTGCATGGATTTATTTGCCATGCTGTGAGATTGACGATATGGTAAAATCGTGTTTTCGCATACCACTTCATCACATCTGGTCTCGTGAGGCTATTGAAGAGAGATAAAAGCATCATGACTTCTTGGTAAAAGCTATCAAGGGGTCAGTCAATAGTATTTTGCGTGTAATATCTGGATACAACTCACAATAGCATAGCCGGTCCTGTTTTTGGAGTGTTGAGGTCCACCTTGCTCTTAAGGGTTGTGCGCAAGCTTTGAATGTGATCCGAAAATGGGGAATTGGTATCAGTCCAATCTTTGTTCAATCTCATTCTGCAGCTTTGGTTGCTAGATAAAGCTCTAGTATACGGATCGGTTCCCATCTGATAGTCGAAGGACCAGATGCTAGGAATTTCCTGGGCTAGGCTGCTGACTCTTTCGGAGATGGACTCTGACCTGGAAGAGTTTTCGCAAAGCCGCTGGGGCCCTTCGGATAGATCTAGGCAAATTCCGGTTGGCGATTTAGACCGAGGAGATCTGAGCGAAACAGCCATTTGTTGCGAATTATGAGATGGTTCGGAAATCTGAATTATATCGTCTTCAATTGCTCCGGATTCAAATTCTCCAAGGATATCATTTAAATCAATGGAATAATCGTCTGTGTTTTGGTCTGGCCTCTCCGGTTTTGACCCATCGATTGAGGTGGAGACTGTCTCTGATAGTGACTGCAGGTTTGCAGTCATCCTGGACAGTTTTGTGTGCACGTCTATGAGACTTTTCCGAAGCCGGCCATTCTCCTCGCGGAGTTTGCGAATCGTTTCATCGTGTGGTTCGTCATTTGAACCAGCACGGTCGCGTAGTTCCCGCAGATGATCCGCCTGTCTGCGGCGAAAGGCTCGCTGCGCTAATCTATTACGAAGCTTTCTGCGGACATGTTAGTTCTAAGAATGCCACCCTCTCGAAACATTGTTGATAGACGAACCGCTTCTCCACATCAATGTTCGGAGATCTATCATCCTGCGGGCTGTTGCTCGGAGCCATTCGTGGAGATGCAACCTTGCTACCTCGCATATTCTTGACGCAGTAAACTATCTCGAGCTCGGACACGGGAGATGAATTGAGGAGAAGAGTAATTGATCAATTACTCACGGGCGCGATGGCCCTACTAAACATTGGGGAAATCGGGTCAAGTCATTTGCGGGAATCCATACCGGGAATGGTTTCCCGCTCTACCATTCCCGTGTAAAATATTACAAATGGCGATAGAACGAGCAGAACATCTTGGAGAAATATATGAATCAGACAAATGGGATGAAGATAAGGATTCCCAGGGCCATCGGTAGCCTAACTAGATCCCGTTGGGCCAGTCGGCACATGTTAACAAATAAGTAGTACAGGTATGAAGTAATCAGGACTCTCAAGATTTCGTACTATCAGTTTGGGTTGCAGGGGTTCAACGTATACTCACAATGCCCACAAATTTGAAATCTGCAAAATGGAACAGAACTTGGAGGGCCACTCTATACTTAAATGATTATGAGGCTCTTGCATGAAGACTCGCATGCAGATGCGATAAAAGTGGAGAACAAAAGATTTCGGATCAGCCACATGGCATAGTGACGCAATGACAGGTGCTAGGCATGGCTCAAACCCGAATTGGAATCGGCTTAGATGCAGGAAGTATGGAGTAGCTCATCCATTTATTTTCCCAGGTCTTTGAATTGACAGACCATTCAGGGGAATGGGCGATGGTGATTGGCCGACCGAGGAGCAAATTTCCCGAGACCCGAGAATTCTCGGCTCAGCCGGTCGTCGGCTTTGAATTATGAGGTTCGGTTCCAACTCTTCGGCTTACAACCAGCATGAAAATTCAAACAAAACAATCGGCTTTGAAAATTGTGGTCCGATTTCACGAGAATGACATCCTGCGTGATGCCTTTTTTAAAATTATTTCTCTTTCTTCAATACTCTGCAATTGTCTATTCAGTGCTATCAAGATTGCTCCTTTGCTGAGCATCGAGCCCGTTCGTCGAGTACATTGATTCAGTCTAGTAAGACATTCCAACCCTCGCAGGACTTAAAAATAAATTTATACTGACGTACCTTAAAACAGACTTTCAGAATTATCTGGACAAAACTCTAAGACAAAAGCAAAAACAACAATGCTTTGTCCTAATCTTTGCGGCATGGCCAGCTTGCCGGAACGGGCTCTGACCTCTGCCACTCCCAATGTCTGGATTGAGTTGGCAAACCCCAAAGAGAACATCTACACAACATCAGATGAAGTTCGCGGGTATATCAAAATCGAAGTTGAGCGGGAAATTCCCTTAGAAAAGATCGACATCACACTTGAGGGAACTTCTTCTACGTCTCTAAGCCGAGCCATCGCATTCGTCCCTGGCCGACGGGAATCTTACCAAAAGTTCTTGCAATTACGCCAGCCAACAAACGAATTGGATTATCCCAAGATTCAAATCCTGCTGCCAGGCCAGCAATATCAACTGCCATTCACTTTCGTCATTCCCGAGCAGATTCTCCCCCAATGCTGCACCCACGAAACCCGGAATGCCGGTGTCAAGAACGCCCACCTTCGTCTACCACCTACTCTTGGAACCGGGCCTACTCCGTTCTGGAATCTCCGCTCTACTCCAGACGATTCTCCAGAGATGTGCCGTATTCAATATGGCGTCCGAGTCCAAATGTACGGCAAATCATCCCCCGAACCTATTAGCGACCTCTCGCAAGATATCCGGGTGATGCCAACGACTACGCAAAGCGAAAAGGCCTATGATCCCTCAGTCCTCTATATGCTCAAGGAGCAGGCTCTCACATCGGGTCTGGGCCGCCGCGAACACGGCAACTTGGAAATCTCCGCCACCAAGCCTACCCCGATCAACCTTCAATCCTCCAATACCGGTTCCACCAACTCCTCCCCCACAGCTCTGCAGTTACATCTTCGCTTCGATCCTCTCAAGAACGAACTTCCTCCCCGTCTCTCCTCTCTCAAGTGCAACCTCAACACATCGACCTTTTACGCCACCGTCCCTTGGGAAAACTACCCTACCCAAAACGACATCACCCCGCTGCAAGTCGACCGTGAAGTCTACGAGAAGAGCATGTCCCTTTCCTCACTAGATCTCTCATCCGTGAAATGGGAGAAACTCCCCTCCTTCTCCACAATCTACCAAGAAAAACTCAAGAGCGACGACGAATCCGACGCATCATTTATCCCAAGCGAGGAGCAAATCGAGTCCTGGGACCAATGCAGCTACACAGCAACGGTGACTGTTCCAGTCATCCTCCCCAACAAGAAAGACTTCTTGCCTACATTCCACTCCTGCTCCATATCTCGCAGCTATGCGCTTGATATCTCTCTGGGCCACCGCACGTCTTCGGGTCTTTGTGGCTCTAGTACGAGTTTGAATGTGCCGGTAGAAATGGTTTATTCCGGCAAGCAGTAAATTTCTTGCTCGGGAGCTTTCTTTCATTTCGATTTCTTTTGTTCTATACCACTTTGCTTCCTTTTTTTGTGATACCACCCATACTACCTACCTGTTTTATACAAAAGCGTTGCCTCGGAGGATGGATTGCATATATTTTCCTACTCGAGGTAGATCACGAATACCCCTACTACTTTCTATAGAATATCATACTAGACATACATCATAACGAATTTTCTATCACATGATCTTTTTTTGTAATTTTCTATATTAGCTGGAACAATCAATTTCATAATCTCCGTCTAACAAGTTAAATCGGCCTAACTGGTACTGGTAAAGTACAATGCTGCTGCATCTGTTGTTCAAGTTGTACAGTTGATCCTGAAGTCTATTCTAGGAGTGGAGATAGGATCGAGTCTTGGCTGACCGGTATTTTTGGCCTCCGAATGATGGTTCTAAATTTGCAAGACAGCTTACCAGCTAGTAGAAAGAAAGAGGACGGATGGAATTTGGATAGATATCTTGAGGCATACATGATCTACAGCAAATGGTGTATGAAAAAGCTGGGAAGCTACTCGTAAAGGCCAAATAGTACTAGGAGTCTTTCAAGTTGACAGGCGGTGAGGTCGAAATTCATGATATTACTCGTAAAGATACTCTGTCCGCCAGCGACACTGATTCAAATATACAGGGAGGGCAAGAGGAGCCCAGGAGAAGAGAAGAAAGAGCAAGATGAACATCGGCATAGACCAGGCTAGGCAGGGAGGGGAGCGGTTAATCAAGAGCTCGGCGGAGATCACTCCATTTTTGCCTAAGAGTTTCGTGATTTTCGGAGATCTGAACAAAGTGAAAGAGAAAGCATCAGTAAGTCTTGTTCTTGTTCGTTTTACAACTCCAGCACCAGAGCTTGGATTGATACGTACCTCGGCCCACTTCATCTTAGTAGCAACCAACTCTTTCTCCATATCCGCCATATTCTCCTCCATGGAGCGATTCTCATTTTGCACCTCGATGTTGCGCTGCATGATGCGTTCCATCTCAAGGCGGAGCTTCTCCTCCACTTCGGCGGGTTGCTTGTCCACGACTTTCTTCAGCTGGCTAACCTGCAGGTTTAGGGCTTCTGTTAGGTCGCGGAGTTCCTCGTTCTCAACCTTGGCATGGACGAGCTCGGAAGCTAATTGGACGTGTTCCTTATCGGATGCTTCGGCGCGTTCTTCCAGAAGGCGAATCCGGGATGATTGCGTGGCGGTGGTGTGGCGGAGGTGTTCGAGTTCGAGTTCGCGCTCCTTCTCCGTTCGTGTCTTTTCTTCCCATTCGGCTGTGTATGAATTGAGCATCTCTTTTGTGAGTGGGATGTCGCAAGCATCTTGCACGAGGATGTCTGATCGGTAGACTCCCTTGTCTGCGGCGCCGGAGCTGCCGAAGAAGCCGGATTCTAAGATTGAGGATGCGGATGGTTGCTTATCAATGTACACGTCGAAGATGCGCTCCTTGAGGAACGTTGTAAGGGCGGCCATGTCTTTCATTCCCAAGAGAGTCTCTGTATTGCGGCGCATGATCGCAACGGCGAATTTGACGATGGTGTTCTCAAGACCCTCTTCAAATATCAAGTCGTAGATGCGAAGGACAAGTTGGAGAGGGAAACGGTAGGCGAATAATGTTAAGAACCACTGTGTAGCGTATAATTGCGGGGGCACGCCACGGCGGCGGAGATGGCAGTAAAGAGCTGGCTCGAGGTCCTCCAGTAGTCGTTCAAACTGATAAAGACTGCGATGAAGACCAGGCATGTCCGCAATGAACATTTCACGAAGACCGTACTTATTCATCAATTTCACGAGCAACTCAAAGGCATCGACCTCATCGTTCTGCATTCATAGTTAGCTTAGTCCCCATGAGGGAGTCGCATTTTAGTACTTACGTTAAAAAGCAAAGGCATGACGATGAAGTTCATGCCCTGGGCGTATCCAACGGCTTCATCATAAAGAGCGTAGGCTTTACACAATCCGTACAGACTTTCTTGGCTTCCTTGGGAGATGAAGTACTTCGAATAGCTTGTCCGTGCACCCAAATCTCTCCGGATAGTTTTCTCCAATTTTTGCAATGCGGTAGCCTCGTCCTTGGCCCTCTTTGCGCGGACGCTTTCACTGGCAGCCTGTTCTTTGGCCAGCCTCTCAGGGTCCATCTCCTGAGACGGACTGGGAGTGGTGCTCGTTGGTTGTGTTGGGGAGCCCGAGTGGTTAGAGCGAATGGACGATCGCGATGAGGATGTCTCGGTGGTGCCGTTAATCAAGAGATCGGGTGTGCGACGGTCCTTGTCTGTTCCCCGAGCGACGAGTTCACGGTAAATATCCTCCAACTCACCAGTACGGCAATCGGACAAGATTTGCCAGATGACGCCTCGGATGGTCTGTGGGATACCCCGTTTGATGGCCGCATTCAATTCCTCCGAGCTACCAATAGCCTGAGGTCCGTTATTTACCAGCTGCTGCCAAAGATCCCAGTCAACGGGTGTAGATGCGTCAATGGCGGATTGAGAGGACCCAGACACGGTGCCTGGTGCTAGACTTGCGTTGATCGTCGATTGAGCCCCACCGGGCGATGTTGCTCCTGGGGCGGGTGCAGGAGCGGCCAAAATGCCTTCCTCTCCTTCTTCCGGGATGATAGGCGGACTAGCTCCGGCATGGCTAATGCTCGCGTGACCGGAGCGGACGCTGCCATCATCATTCTCGTGGCCATGCCCCTGGGCGTGGACCTCTTCTCGCATGCGCAGCAGCTTGAACTGGTCCTTGAGGCTGTTCCTCCGCGGCTTCTTCGAGTTGACGCTCGACGAGTCCCCATCTTCACCGTCATGGGATCGATCCAAGTTGCTTGCGAGTGTAGAAACAGAATTGGCAGTGTTCCGTCGACTGGTAGACTGGGGAGACTTGATGTCCTTGGTTCCGGTCGAGCTTCGGGAGAACCACGCAAAGGGCCCGCTGGGTTTCCGGGTGGGCGCAGGGGGCGGAGCAGCAGGAGGAGGAGGAGGGTTCTTGTTCACTGGAGGCGGTCCCCAAGGCAAAGATGGCAAGGCTCCAGACAAGCCCATGAGGCCTCCGCTCGGCGGGGAAGCGACATCATCCTTGGCAGGGACCGGGGGCGACTGTCTCGTTATGTCTGGGGTCGTAATGTTGGGGGCGACCGACTCATCCTCTTTGGTCAAGGCCACCTCGTCCAATGATGAGGTGGTTGATAGACGGTGGGAGGTGAGTAGGGGGGACTTTTGCGGGGGACTCCTCACGGGCGTGCGGTCTCCATCTCCCAGCTCTTCGGTCTCCAGGGGTCCATCTAGCTGAGCCTGCTCATCCTTCTGGTCCTTACTGCCATCGCCCTTTGCTTCTCCGACAGTCTCGAGGTCCACGGTGTCCTCCACGGCATCGCCTGGGCCATCCTCCACGGTGGCGTTATCTTGCTCTTCGACCTCATCTTGATTCTTTCCCTTCTTCTTCTTGTTCTTCTTCTTATTTTTCTTTGCGCTCTTGGTTTCACCGCCGTCAGTCCCGTCGTCCTGCTGCTCGTCCTGCGATGCAGTAGGGAGAGGCGGCTTCTCCGTCGCGTCGGGAGAAGGGGCTGTACCGACGGGTGGGCTGTCGGTCAATGACCTGGTTGAAGAGGATTGAGGGATTTTGACATTGAGATTCTCTGGGTGTTCGGGGGCATCATCGAAGGACTCCTATAGGAGACCGGGTAATTAGCGGACAGCACGATGAAACACGACAGCACAACACACAACACACTTACCCCTACATAGTCGTTGCTGTTGCGATTCGACGACATGGCGCGGGGGGGGATCTCATAAAATCAAAAAGCGTAACACCCCATAAGAACGAGTTTAATGTGAGCCAGTGAAAGGTCGTAGGGGTAGGTAGAGTAGAGAGAGAAGGAGGGGAGGAATGGGAGAAGGAGGAGTTGACTTGACTTGACTTGCGTTGATCAAATGGAGACAAGTCAGGCACTCCCCCCGCTGATTGGCCGGTGAAGAGTGGACAACAACCAACTATAGTGGACTCACCTGTCGATCGGAACTTTGGGGAATGCAATCGACAGTTGCATGGGATCGATCAAATATGCGACGTCTGATATCGATATGAGTATGCAGGGGTGACATTCCTGCATGTCCGTTGGGCTGGGATTTGTCCATGCACATTGGACACGTAGACGTACATCCTAGTCATACTCCCCCCCATTCCGCTACAAGACACTACATATCTACTAGTATCGTACAACAGGTAACTCTGTGGGCCAGTAATGATCATTGTCAACTTGAATGTTTCAATTAGGTAGCTGCTGTGATTTCGGATTGCAATGTTATCTCCAAGTCAAGCCATCGTTGTCGCCGCAGTGGGTCCAACTGCTTCAGCTCCGAGAGCCAGCTCAGAACCTGCCTGTGATCTTCAGAGGCCATGTGGCCCGCGACTTTGGAGACCAACAACGTGCATTCGATCAAGGACTGATAGATATACTTGCAATCTTCAGCCCCATCTAGCATTTCTTCGATCTCGGCAATCTCCCCCCGCAAATACTGAAGTCGCTCTGACGTCCCCAGGTTCGGAGCCATGGTCCGAGCCGCCAACGCCGGATCAAAGACGCAAATCAAGTTCTGATGGTAAAACCATAATGATTGATCGTAAGGATCAATCAGGGCTTGGTGAATGAGAGCCAGCTCTGTAGTACACGGCGAAAAAAATGTCAGTTTATGACGGGGTCTTTGCTCTGGGGAGGGCAGAAGGGAGAGAGGGAGGAGGGAGGAGGGAACACAAACCATCGTCCAACATAGCCCGGCGTTCCTCATCACTGGCTGATTGTTCCTCCAATAACCGGAGAATAAGCTTGGTGCGGTAGTGCCACGCGGAAAAATTCGATAGGTTGGCGCCGATCATTTTCTTTGCGTAGTCGAATTCTTGCTGGGTCATGTTTCTGGATTCCTCTTCCGATCCCAATTGCTTCAAGGTCTCCACGACGAGCCGTCGATATCCCCAGCCGTGGAAATTGCGACTGTCGAGAGTCAACATTTTGCCCACCAATCCCAGTTCTTCCTGCCAGAACCGACGGGCAACGGGTTGGGGCAGTAGTCGCCGAGCTTCATCCAGTAACCAGAGGCGATAATTCCAAATCCAATAACATTTGGGGAAGCTCCTGAGCAAGGGGATGAGGAACATCAGATCATCCTTGATCAGTTGGACAATCGACTCGGCCGCACTCTCCGCGGAGTCTCCCGCATCTCCCCCTGCTGTGGAGAATTGATGCCGAATGGCCTGTCGCCGGTAGTTCCAGACAGTGTAATATTCTGGGTTGCGACTCAGCAAATCGCAGATCTGCCTCAATGTCTCGGTAGAATACTCTTGTGCGGCCACCTAGCCCGGTCAACATTTCAATCCCAAGTAAAGTAACATGGGTCATGAGAAGTACCCCACCTTTTCAGACACAGAGTTTTCGAGAGTTTTGTACTCTTCAATTTGCTTCAACTCTCGTTGGTGCTCTTCTGGAGTCTTCTCCACCGGTTTGAAGCGGCGGACGCCATGCTGTCAAAGGATGTTAGCCAGGTCAAATGGCCGATAGGGACAGGCCTGTTTCACTCACACTCGCCATGATTATGTATTAATGTGAGTGTCAATGTGAATCTATGTGAGTATACTAAAAGGCAACACCAAGAAGAACCCAAGCTGGAGTTGCCTTGAAGGCGGCGGGTACGGCAGTCGATAGCCGCCACTTTGCAATGATTATGTAATTCATTTTTGACCGGCGACCAATAGTAAATAGTACTAGTACTACATATTTATCTACATACTACAGAAAAACAAAGTATACATATATATTGTATATTCTACAACTAGCCATCACCTACTTACTTTCGGTATACAAAAAAGTAGCACTCAGTAGCTACTATCCCCTACTTTGTTGTATACTCAGTAGCCCGGCCCGCTCCCTTTTCGTAATAAAAAAGGCAACGCTCGGTGACCATCACCCACTTATTTTTTGTATACAAGAAACAGTGTACTACGTAGCTTATTAATGAGCATTCTTTCGAGCGCGTTCGCACTTGTAAATGAAAAAGTTAAGGTGATCACCTACGGGGAAACCGCGATGCTTGGATCACGTAAGCAGGACATCCACTATCAAACACGCATCGCAACTACAGACTACAACTGCACTTCATCCAGTCAACACTCACCAACAGACTCGCCTCCGTTCAGGGTGGAGGTCTCTTGGGTACACTGACACTCATTTCATTTTGTCATTGAAATATACTTATCGCGTGGCTGTTTTTACCCCGAACAATGGTCGATTCGCGATGCCATTCCTTCGAGGATGTTCCCTCAGTCCGCAACCACCATGCCTCACTAACGTGTTCATCTCGATCTGAATCTTCAGATGATGGCATACTTACTGGACTAAACGCATCTTTCGCAACGATCAATCTTTCGTTTCATGAACTGCACAATACCTCTCAAATATCACTGACCCACCTTCCAGCGGACACCCGTCCCAATACTCGCCATCCACTACTCAAGGAAAACAGAATTAGAAGCCCCAGCTCTCCTGAACACGGCCGAACGAGGACCAGAGTATCTCCAAATGGCGATGTGCCTCGTGGAACCTTTCGCAACAGTCCTTCATCTCCTGATCGGTTCATCCCAAAACGGGAGTATATGGATCCTCCCTCAACGCCGTTCCGTGTGAACAAACATCCACATCTACTTTCCCCCCGAGAAAGATTCCTGCGAAGACGTGTTCCTGGGCATGACCCTTTTCTTCCAACGGCTCGCCGACCTCCAAATTTCCCGGGGCAGAAATCAATTCCTACCCGTCTCCGCCAGCGGCCTCATCAGCGACCCGGCCTAGTCACGGGATCGATGTTCCTGGGAGGCGTTCGGACTGATTTCTTGAGACAAGTGAGCTCCGGCTCTGTCTGGGGTGTCGGTGGTATCTCGGCTATTTCAGCGTATTCCTCAGCGACGGTGTCAAATGGTTCACGGAATGATGCAGGAAGGCGCACCATGGCACCGAACTACGTTGCCAGATTCCTTCCCAGAAGGACTGCCGCTGATGACCATAACAAGCACGAGTCGCGACTTGCCCTTGCATTGGACATTGACCCCACAGGGAGACTCCTTGAGACTTCTGTTGCATGTACGGAAAACTACCTTCGCCCAACATCGACAGATCATGAGCGGTATGCACATTTCGTATGGAAGGATAATGCTTGGAAGAAGGCCGAGAAAGACAATTGTAAGTTCATATTGTCGGTGTCTTGTCATCCGCTAGTGACTAGCGCATTACACCTTTGTCTTTGGGGTCGCGGTCGGACTTTTCTATTGAGAACATATATACGAAATCTAAACCTACGTGAACACAGGTTGCGCTCCATGCCATTTACAGATTCGTCTGTGGCATCAACTGATTCTCGGGCTTGATAAACAGGGCCGCCCACTCGAGTCCGACGACCGGAGGTGGCTCCGCCCAAGCCTTTCCGTATCTTGGATGCGCCTTTTCTTCGTGACGACTTTTATTGCTCGACCCTGGCATACTCATTTACCTCAGGAATTCTTGCCGTTGGCCTCGCGCAATTCGTCTACCTATGGTCAGAGGGCAATTCGGTGAACCATCCCCCATTCGGCGATTTCCACCAATCAAACTATGTGACATCTCTGTCGTTCTCATCTGAAAGTGGTGGTCGAAGCATCTTGGCGGTTGGTCGTCAATCCGGTCAACTGACGCTCTGGAGCGTTTTTGATAGTACGGTCCGCTTCGAACTCAGTCATCCTAATAGCATCTCGTGTGTGACATTCAAGCCTCGGACGACACGCCGAAACTCTGAACGATTTCCTGGCTTGGAAGTTGATACAGAAGAGCTCGTGGTTGGTGATGAGATGGGAAGTGTGTGGTATTACTCGGTCGAATGGCCAGTCATTCAAAATAAGTGGAGCTGGACTGGTTCCATGACACTACTTGCCAAGATTGTCGCTCATACCCAGCAAGTTTGCGGTCTGGCATGGTCCCCTGATGAGCGATATCTAGCTACTGGTGGCAATGACAATGTTTGTCTGCTCTTCGATATCCAGGAACTTATCCCTGCACCCGTTCTCAACCGCTCAGCATATAGTCCTGCCTCGTCAAGCTTAGGCAGTTCTCCGGATTCGATGACCTTCCACGCCTTCCCATGCCTGACTATCAGCAACACTCCGGGAATCAACCGGGGGAGACTGCGATTGTTCAACAGGGAACACATAGTCAACCAACTCTTACCTTCGTGGGCGCACTCCCCAACGATCAGAGTCTCTGCGGCTTCTCCCGTTCTGAGCAATTTGGGAATCCTCATCTCGGGGCTCGGAAAAACTGTGATCATTCCACCAAACCGTCAGAAATATCGCTTACAACATGGCGCAGCAGTAAAGGCAATTGCCTTTGCGCCCTGGCAGCCAACACTCCTCGCAACCGGAGGAGGATCCAACGACCGGGCAATCCACTTTTTCCACTCCAGAACCGGAGTTTGCCTAGCAACAATCAACGTATTTGCACAAGTAACGAGTCTCATCTGGAGTCAAACCCGGCGTGAAATCGCCGCAACCTTCGGATACGCCCAACCAGAACATCCTTTTCGAATCGCAGTTTTTGCCTGGCCGAGCTGTGCACAGGTTGCAGTTATCCCCTGGGGGCCGTACGGAAGCAGTTGGGACGGACACGAGGGCGACGTCCCGAGTTACGACTGCGGGCGAGCTTTATGGGCTGTTGGATATCCCGGCCGAAAACCCCGCGTTTCGACTCCTGCAAAGGAAGATGATAGCAGCATTATTGGCGAAACATCTTCTTCATACGCCGCTTCTCCCACGTCTTCTACATCCAACGGCCCACAGTCATCCTCGGCAAGTGGAAGTCAAGCAGACTCCTCGGCCAGGAGAGACCGGACGACAGTTCAGCCAAAGGAAAAGGAAGGTGGGATGTGGTGTACACGTACGATCGAGGAGGGATGTATCATTGTCGCGTCGAGTGATCAGACTGTCAAGTTCCATGAGGTTTGGACTGGGCCTCGAGCGAGCGTTGGGTCGGCTAGTGGGTTGTTTGGAGGTAGTGATATCCTAGAGAGTATGGAGGGTATTGAGAAATCCGGGAGTGAGGTCATTCGCTAGATTGGATGCTCGCTTTCCTTTCCTTTTCTTTTGGGGGGTTTTGGTTTGCGCTATCTTTATTTGTTTGTGGTAGCCTTCGAAAGACTTGTATAGGATGGTGATTATCTTTAGGTTTAGGTATTACAGAATGCAAGTTCATCTGTGCCCAATGGACCTATGGATTTGTCATTATGGTAGTCTTTATTTTATTTTACCGTTTGTAGGCCAGTGTCGGGGTTTCTTCCATGTAACGATACCACTTCGATCGGTTTGATAGATAGAATGTTTGCTTCTTGCACTTTTAACTCGGATGTCTTCTTTGTATATCGTCTCTAAAAATAACATTTGGGTTGCAGGTGGTTATAGCAAAAGGATTATGCCAATCGATTGTCAATTCAATTCAATTCAAGATTCTATTATCCTAATGCAGCCTAGCTAGTGAGCGCCGTGGCTATGTAGGCGTTCCCTCCATCGGGAACCAGAGCCATCCTAACGCCACGCCCGCAGTAACAAAGACAAAGGAGATACGGCGTATTGCCATAGAAAAACGAGTAATGACTCCCACAGAACGGTAATTAAATTCCCACAATGAATGTAATCGGCTACTGCTAGCTCACACAGCGCCTTGCGGCCACTCCCCGCGGCCATTCCCACACTCTCCCCATCCCGCCGCAGGTACAACCTCAGTCATGCCCTGGTTCCTCCTGCAATTGTTCCTCAATGGTGTAGGAGCTCTTCCGCCTGTCGACCCCTCGTAGCCACCGGTTGATAGTATACTTCCTTATACGTATCGTCTTCACCTCCTAGTGCTCGCTCTCTTCGAGCGTGTCTATGTTGGCATCAACCTCCACATCTTCATCTGCCACATGGCGGAATTGACCCAGAAGCCCTGTTTTATGCATGAATTCGGCCACGTAGCGAATGGCCTGCGAGTCCGATACAATCGTGTTGTAGTCGGTTGTCCGCCCCAGATCCGTCTTGTACCAGATCGATTGTCGCCTCCCAGATAATGAGCTGTTGACATCTCGATCTGGCATGCTGACGGATTTACCAAGCTCCAAAACCTTGACTCGCACTGAGGCAAGTTGTAGCAGAGGATTTAGTTTGCTCTGAGAGGGGCTTTTATGTTGTTTCTTATTTGCTATTTGCCAAAACGGTGCAGTCACATGTATACATCCATGGATCGTGACCTTTATATGGCCTTATCTGCCGAGCTATCCCACCATTTTTTTTTAACTAATGCCGAGGTTTTTTCCTATCTTCTCCTTATTTATATAAAGCACTAACTACTCTGCGTATATACTAAGTATCTTTGGAGGACAAACTCTGAATTTCTATGTCATCAGCGTGAACGAAGGCATAGGTATGACTTGCGGTGGAATATTGAAAAAGATGTCTGGCATTCAGTGATAAGGTACTTGCCCTTCAATTCCTGGGGTCGAGCCTCTTTCATGTCAAAGAAAAAGAATGACTATAACTTGAATGCAGATTACAACTTAAACTTCATTATGCCCGGAGTTGCCGTCCGTCGATCTCCCCCCCCCCCCCCACACCTCTTCAAGAATCTTTTTGACATCATCACTGGCATCCTCATCTTTTCAACCCCTTACCACCAAATTATTAACTCCAATCGAGTAATCACAATCACAATATCAAGTCCAGCAATACACCGTCAAAATGCGCATCTCGTCCCTCACCCCCTTCCTAGCATCTATCACCCTCGCAACAGCAAACACCCTAAACATCACCGTCCTATCCGCCCATAACAACCGCTCAACCCTCGAATGCTGGGCCCTAGAACCAGGCTTCACAACCTCGACGACAGCCGGGACATCCGGAACCGAAGTCCTCAATCTCAGGTCCTGTCGGCGGCCTCAATGCCGGTAATGCTTCGTACTCGGTTCTCCCGGCCAAATTCGATGGAGGGAGACATAATGCGCCCGCACTACAGTACGTTTCATGATTGTGTTATTTGTTTATTCTGGAATTCAATCCGCCCGAGACCTTGGAAAGGATTGCTTCTGGAAAAGAACAGAAAAGAAAGAGTAGAGTAGCTAATCGCATCTCCTTCCTCTCCTTGCTCAGATGGGTCGTCTTCCTCTCAGGACTAGCCCATATTACTCTCCCCAACTCAACGGCAGACGCATACATCCCCGGTGGCAAAAACGGGGCTATTCTCGCTCTCGATACGGCGGATGTTAGCTCCCTGGGTCATATTACTAAGTATCCTTCCCAGGAGAGCACTGTTGCGTTGCAAATTCCGCTTGGCCAGGGGGGTATTCCTGGTCATGCTGTTTTGCATGATGGGGCTTGTAAGGGGGTGGAGTTGCAGGTTTGATTTTCAAATTGTTCAATGGAGAGATTTGAATTTGGATTTGGATGATGGGTGTATATAGTATGTGTACCTACTATTAGTAGCTAGTTAGGCTTGAAAGACGAAGACTGCGATGGGTCTGTGAAAACAAATTACACTCTTGAGTACGAATCTAAGTACGAATCTAAGTACGAATCTAAGGGAAATGAAGATCAAGCTTGTAAATCCATTCAATTGAGTCGATTCAGTGTGGCTATAGACACAGTTTCCACAAACCAGACAAGACGCAGGTCATGCATGCCAGTATATAATTCTTTTGGGAGAAAAAAGGGAAAAAAAGGAAAAGTAAACATTTCAAACATTCAAACAAAATCCAACAGAAAAAAACGTCTTTCCCCGAATTCGTACATAGGAATCCCATCCCTCTTCTTCATCATCTTCTTCTTCGTCTGCTTCTGGTTCTGATGTCTCTTTCTTTCCAGAAATCAATCGCTTCATTTCTTACCACCCTTCTTCTTTCCGCCCGTCTTGGGCTTCTTCGTGGGCGGCGGCACAGACTCGACAGCATCATCGGATCCCTCTTCCTCAGTATCAGCGACGAAATCCACCATCGAACCCTCGCTGTCCTCATCATCATCCTCGTTCTCTTCAAGAGACTCCTCAGCATCGGAAGAACCAGCCGACTCTTCCGCCTCGACGTCAAGGATATCATCGACCTCATCGTCGTCGTCGTCTTCGCTTCCATCATCCTCATCATCCTCCGACTCATCGATACCATTCATCATAGACTCGTCCTCGTCAAAGGCCTGGTCACGAATAGACTTCGTCCGAGGCTTAGCCTCAGTCTCACTATCCTCCTCATCATCGTGACCCTCGACATAAATAACGTTGTCCTCATCTTCACTATCCATGCCCTCGTCTCCACCGCGAATCGACTGCCGCAGACCAAGCTGCGCATCCAGCATATCCAGCTTACCCTTCAGCAGCAGCAACGAGGGCAGACTGGACGACCGCTGATCCATGACCTTGTACAGCGTAGCCATGCGCTTCAGCAGCTCAGGCTGCCCAGCCAACGCACCGCCATGCGCGACGCAGGTCCACTGCACCCAGACAAGGAGGTGTCCATACCGACCAGGGCGGGAAGAGAGACGCTCAGCGAGACGCTGGAGCAGGGTCGCCGCGAGCGAGGACTCGAGACGCTGGATGGTTGTGCGGATGATGGAAGTGTCGCCAGTGTGGAAGCAGGACTCCAGCATGGCGTTATCGTTTGTCTTGAGGGATTGAGTCAGGACAGTCGCCAATGAGACGCCGGTGGGGATCTGCTGCACTGCCACTGTGGGTTTGCCGGGGATCAGGGCGCCGGGCAAGACGTCGTCGTCGAGTTCGGCCTCGACGTCAACTTCCTGTCCTGCGTTTGCGCGCATGAGTTCGCCGAACGAGGGCTCGGCGCCTTCCTCTTCCTCCTCTTCTTCGTCATCTGATGCGGCGTTGTTCATCTCGACGTCGGATTCAGCGGCGGCGGTGGTGTTGCTGGTGGACTTGTTCTTCTTCTCGGTGGGCTTGACGACGTCTTCGTTGTCGGAGTCTTCGCTTCCAGAGACGGATGCCGCGTCGTCGCGGGATTCGCCCATCTCGATATCGTCGTCCAGGATGTTACCCTGCTCCACGGCCATGTGCTTCTCATCAACACGGCTCTCGCCGGAGCCCTTGGCGCCATTTGAGGAAACCGAGGTAACGGCCTGGCTTGACTTGCTCTTCACGACGGCCTTGGCGCCTGTGAATGCGAGTTTGTCGGTGGTCTCGTCGATGACCTTCACGCGCTCGAAAACGGGAATAACACCGCCCTCAGTGTAGGCGACGATGATCTCATTGCCGTTGAAGAGGGTTGATACCACCGGCACGCAGGCATCTGAGGAGTCGGATCGGGTGATCTTAAGAGTGGCATTGGCCTTTTGGGTCATTTGTTTCCGGTTAGCCTTGGCGCTGCTGCCGGACTGCGCATTCTGCGGCTGGAAGAAGGGTTTCGTGAAAAGTTCGATGGTACCGTCTTCGGTGACGGCGGCCAGAATTTGCTTCTCGAGAGCGGCGGAGCTAGCGTTCAGAGAAACTGATGAGACTTCCTGATCGGCCACGAGGTTGCGCACAAGCTTCTGAGCTCCGGCATCGAAGACGTTGATGAATCGATCGCCGTCGGAGGCGAGGAATGCGCCCGTGCCAGCGGACTCTTGAGAAGAAGAAATGACGGTGTGAATCTGGTTGCGCATTGCGGGGAACTTGGCCGGCTCGTCGGAGTTTTCCATATCTATTAAGAAGGGGGTTTGGGAGGCACAGATAACGGGCTGGTTAGAAGGAACGGGGCGGGAGAGAGCAGTGAAGATAGAAGATGTGGGCAGGTGAATCGTCCTAATGGGAGAATCTGTCAGTAAAATGGAAGAAAAATAAAACGCATTGTCAAACAATCATAACTCGAGTCCTCGGGGTAGACCATACTTAATGCTTTGACCTGTGCGCAAATCCCATTGGACAAGCTTGTTATCACCTCCGATACTCCAAGCCTCCTGGGCGGGCTTTCCAGCAGTGAACTTGAAATCCTTGATACCCTTATCATGTGCGCCGGTCAGGGTGCCGACAATCTTGTCCTCGGACGGGGAGAACATGCGGATATCCGAGGTGCTGGTACCGAACGCAACAACAATATCGCCCTGCTCCAGACCGTCGGCACCGTTGACATCGGATCCACGCTTGCGCTTCTTCTTGGACTGATCGCGACTCTTTCCCTGGCCTCCATAATACCCCCAGTCCAACGAAGTGATTGTCTCCTTCGGGCTCAGTGCATGCTCGCACTGTAGTCGACCGGTGTTGGTATCGTGGATGCGAAGGTGCTGCGCATCGAGACCTTGGATGACGGATGCGAAAAGCGCCAATTGGTACTCCGACGGAGAGAATGCAGCTCGCAGGATCGAAGATTTGCTACCGATTGACGAGAGGCCCGCGGCAGGCGATGCGGCCGACGAGACCTTGCTCGCGGGGCGAGATGTCTTCTTGCCCATTTTTTTGGTGGTTGGCGGTTGGCGGTAGCTTTTTTTTCCCAATTCCTTCACGACTTTTTAGTCGGGTAACGAGGGAGAGATGGAGAGGCGAAGTGGCTGGCGATTGACGGTCCCCGAATTAAAAAGGAGATTCCCACGATAAAATCACAAAGCCCGGGGGACGACAGGCTGGAGGTTCTGGGACTCTGGAGGTCTGATGCGGAAAGGAAAAAAATGTTTGAGTAGGCTCCGGTTGGAGCTAGCCTTGATGTGGTTAGCGTGGTGGTCTGTTCTTATCTAATCGGGTTCAGCCACAGTTAGCGCCGCAGTCACAGCCACAGCCACAGGTGTGGCACCAACATCAGATTCGATACTACGACGAGTAGTAATATTGGTAGTTGACTAGAGAAATACATATTTGAGAATAGTCCATCGATAGAATTTCTTCGCAGTAACGCTGTCTACAGTTTCACCTGAACACTTCAGAGGTGTGAAGTGCTGCAAGGTTCGGTGTCTCCATAGGACAGTGCTAGTGGCCTTGCTTGGTACTGCCCAGGTGGTATATATATTTCTTGAAAACCACAGTTGGACTCGCACTACTGGAGTACTAGTAGTACTAGTATTAGTACTTCTAGTTAACTAGAACCAACAGATACAAGAAGGGCCGCGCAATGATTCACTGGCAGCTGAAGGCGAACCCATTATTCTGAATTTCTCTGATTGCATCTAGTAGTTCTTGTGATGGCCTAGACCTGATCTGTAAGGGTCCGAAATGGGAGACGCTGATTGGAGAATCGTCCCACGGTGCAGGAGAAACGCTGAAAAACACAATTTACATGAAATTTGAGCTGTAGTAAATTTGAAGCTTGAACCTGGGGAGGTTTATAGATCTGGCGTGGGTATCAGGACAGTCCTCCCAGCTCGGTGCTTCACCATTTCCTTCAAGTTCTACAGGCTCTTCCAGTGTTACTAGTAATAACTCGAATGGTCTTTTTATTTGTTACCGAGTCCATCGTATTCAAACTCAAAATTGTTTATAATATAACACCAAGGTGAGTAGTAGAGTAACCAGTAATATCTTGTTCGGGTCGGCAGAAAAGATCCACCACCGGGGCGAGTCGAACGGCAGACCTCGACCACAGGCAGGCTGACCTCGAGGGTAGCCCTGGTGTGCCCCTGCAAAGAATGCCGATGGTACCTTTTCGCAAAAAGGCCATCCAAAATCGTCAGCAGAATTCCCCAACAGGCTTGGCGTCTCTCGGGCCTCTGGGGATGACAGGCGCTAGCATGGTTTCTGCATCTATACCTCGCTTGTTGGAGATTGTAGTACTATATACAGGAGTGTGGCTTATTATTATGATTATGGTCATGGTTATGGTTATTACAGAACTAGATATTTACACCATAATTGACTGTGTACCATCCATCCATAACACAGGGTGTATACAGCCGACCGCCGGAAGGGGAGATCACGTGCAGTGACGTCGGGACTCGACGGATCAGACGCTTGAGCCAAGGGCTGACCAGGGCTGACCTAGACTAGGGCCAGATGGAGAGGAGGGAGAGCAGAGAGGAGGAGAGCTAGAGTTAGGAGTTGAATGGTCATTTACATCCCCTGCAGATTCGGTGACTCATTGATTGCAACAAAGACCACAAAGCAGAGTGGTGATTAAGATGCTTCTAGAATGTAAATTGTCAGAAAATATAATTCTTTAGCAAGGATTAGAAAAAGAATTAAAAAAGCAAGAAAAAGAAAAAGGAAAACAAATCGAACCAGTACGAGTATACTCATACTCTGTACTGTACCCTAGGCATACCGCCAGACCAATCCAGCTGAATGCAAATTTTTTTTTCCCCTGCAATACGGTACGGTACTCAGGGCGGGCCAATCAGGGGGGGCGGCTAACCAGTCACCAACCAATCAGCGATGAGCGGACCCAGCAGAATCCGGGCGAACGAGCCTGGTGGAACTCGGTGCGTTTGTACTTAAGGATTCTTATCCCCTCCGAGCCTTTTTCTTGGAGCTCCCTCCTATTTTTTACCTATTTTCTCTCCTTGCCCCCTTGACCGCCCACGTATCCAAGGTTACTCTGTGGTCTCCCCCCCTAAAACATAACACAGATCCTCCGACGCGTCGCGTGCCCCCCCTTTTATTTTTTATTTTTTAACTGGTCACTTCCCCCACCTCCCCCCTTTCTCCAATTATTATTTGATAATTCCGCTTTCCCTGCTTTTATCCGAGTCCGAGCCACCTTCCCACCTCAGTCTCAATCTCAGCCTCAGGCAGCCTCAGGCAGCTATCCTCTTATCCCTATCGACCCTGATCCCGTGACTTACCTGTTCCTCCCACCCACGTGATCACTCGACCGCCTTTCTTGGCAGTATTAATTTCTTTGCCCCCGTCGCATTCTCCACTCTCTCTATCTTTCGGACTTTGCGCCCAATTCCCCTACCTGCTTCCCATCTTTATCGTCAACCTACCACTGCCCCCTCTACCCTCTCTCCATCTCATATTTCATCGCGTGTTTTTGATTCCTCCCGCGCGACTCTCCCAATTTAGCTCGTGATTGCGCGCGGAGAGCAGAGTGTATCCAGTTTCCAGCTCGCGCAACCCGATATCTCCCACCTGTCCGTGACTTCTTTTAAAGCCTGTACTTTGCTCCTCTCGTTGCTCCATATGGCCACTCCGCCTCCAGAGGCAGCTCCCGTCGTCAAGGAGGAGAAGCCTCAGCTGCCTCCTTCGCCGACTGGAGCTTCTGCCCCAGATGTCGCGTTCACTAGGTAAGCCATCTATCCATCTTGCCCATCCATCTTGGCCCCGCGCACTTGCGCTGACTTTCCCCTTCAGTGGTCAGAATGCAGCGATTGGCCTGAAGACAGATTCTCCCGCTCCAACTCCCACTCCCGCAACGGAAAATGTTCCTGCGACAAATGGTCACTCTCCCAGCGCGCCCCCGACTACCAACGGAACTAGTGCAGCCGCATCGCCTCCAAAGTCTCCCGCACCGGTGCCTAATTCTCCCTCTACTTCGGCACCTCCAACTGCACCAGCTACAAGTGAACCAGCAGTGAGCGCCAGTGTGATCGCGAGCGTGACCTCGCCCGCAACACCTGAGATCAAGAAGTCCGAGGAGACCCCTGCTCCACTTGAATCGCAACCCCCTGCGACCTCAGTAACTGCAAGCACTCCTGCCGACAACACACCTCAACCTCAACCTGAACCTCAACCCTCCACAAACAGCTCTGCCGATATTCCCGCTGCGCCACTAGCTGCCACGGACAACAAACCCGCCGAAAGTGAGGATAAAATGATCATTGATAATGCAGCTGAGGCAGCTCCCTCAACTCAACTTCCTCATCACCCAACCACGACCGAAATCGCCACCCCCATCCTTCCGTCAATTCAAACTGATCACGAAATGAAGGATGCACCAGTTGCCCCGATGTCTCCTTCTAAGCTCTCTCGTGAGCGTGAGGCCGACCCCGCGGAGGAACCAGCGGCAAAACGCACCAGGGTTGAAGGCCAAGATGCTGCCTCCAGGGAATACAGGATGGCTGTGCCCCCCACCCCTGCTGCCGCACCCCCCGCACCGGTTTCCGCGATCAGTGGAGCCAGAATCAGCAAGATGCAACAAAAATTCATACAAAAGTCTCTGACAACCCTGAAACGCATGCATGATTCGCGTTTCTACCGTGAAGCAGTCGATTGGGTGAAGTTGAACATCCCCAACTATCCCCACGTCATCACGGAGCCAATGGACTTGAGCACCATGGAGAAGAAGCTCAAGAATAACTTGTACTCATCTACCCAGGAGGTCTTCCGCGATTTTGATCTGATGGTCAACAATTCTCTGGTTTTCAATGGTCCCGATCACCTGGTGTATCAGGAGGGTGAGAAGTTAAAGCACACGTTCCATAAGCAGATGACCAACCTTCCCAAGCCCGATGAGGTTGAGGAGAAGAAAACAAAGAAGACGACTGAGAAGACCTCTGCCGCTCGACGGGAACCTCGCACCTCGCTCGGAAGCACCACTGCCAAAGCAGCCTCCCCACAGAGTACCACCTTTGCATTGGGACCAGAGGGACTCCCCGTTATTCGCCGGGATTCCACCAACCCGGATGGCCGTCCCAAGCGCTCGATCCATCCTCCCAAGCGAGACCTTCCCTACGCTACTAAGCCCAAGAAGAAGAAGTACCAGTGGGAATTGCGATTCTGCCAAGAAGCCCTGGAAGAGCTTTGGAAACCCAAGTATTCACTGAACGCAATCCCCTTCTACGCCCCCGTTGACCCCGTCGCACTCAACATCCCGACCTACCACAGCATTATCAAGAAGCCGATGGACATGACCAGCATCAAGAGCAAACTGACTACCGGCCAGTACGAAAACTCGAAAGAGTTTGAGGCTGATGTCCGTCTCATGTTCAAGAACTGCTACCGATTTAACCTTCCTGGAGATCCCACCTACCAGTGCGGCAAGGCCCTCGAAGCCGTCTTCGACCTCAAGTGGGCGCAGAAGCAGGAATATCTGGACCGCCATGAGCCACACCCCGAGCACAACTCCGATTCTTCCGACGATGATAGTGATGAGGAGGCCGAAAGTGACGAGGATGATGAGCAGCTCAGTGAACTCCAGAGGAAGATCGCTGAGATGTCCCGTCAGGTTGAAATGATTACCCAGAAGAAAAAGAAGACACCCCCTACCAGCAAGAAGTCCGGCACCAAGACCAAGGCTGTCAAGAAGGAGTCGAAGAAGACTACCACTAAGAAGGAAAAGAAATCCAGCAAGCCCGCCAAGCCAGAGAAGGCGCGCTTCGTATCCTACAATGAGAAGCAGATCATCTCCAATGGCATTAGTGCACTCCCCGACAAGAAGATGCAGCAGGCTCTCCAGATCATCCAGAGCAATGTTCCTTCTTTGAAGGTAGGCATTCCATTTTTGACCCCCATATGAACTTGTGGACTTTAGCTAACATGATCTTCTTTTCCACAGAACACTGCAGAGGCCGAGATTGAACTGGATATCGATGAGCTCCCTAACGACGTCCTTCTTCTCCTGCTCAAGTTCGTTAAGAAGAATGCCCCGAATGTCGTGGATGACGAAGAAGAGATCCCCGGAAACCCCCACGTCTCCGCCGCGAAGCCCAAGAAGAACAAGCCCATGAGCAAGTTCGAGCAGGAAGCTCAGATCAACATGCTGGAGAGCAATCTTTCTCGCTTCGCCGGTGGTGGCGGTGGTGGCTCACCCGAGCCTATGCCCTCGGTCGAGGCCATGGACTCTAGCGAGGATGACTCGGATGATGACTCGGAGGAGAGTGAAGAGGAGTAAATACCCTCTTCTGGTTTCCACCCACCCACCCACCCACCCACCTTTGCGCGGCTTTTGCTGTTATTTGCGTTTTGAGCGTTTTGACTTCCCTTTCTACTGGCGAATCTTTCAATTCAATCTCCACCCTTTTTTCTCCTTGACCCACGACACTCCTCCTTTCTAAGGTCCGGGTCGCTGGAGCTGCCTGCACCTTTCTGCTTCTCTGCTGCCGTCTCTCTCTCTCTTCAATGCGAAGTCTCTGGGGCCAATCTCCCCAGCCCGCCCCTTGTACATACTTTTTTTCTTTCTTCTTTCGTCTCTCGAAACAAAACTGAAGCAGGCAGCTTAGCTTCACTTGTATGATTATGAAAGAAACGCGCAAATGCCGAATATCTGTTTTTGGTGCTTAGCTCCTTGAAATTCAAATCTGCCCTGGAATAATCCCAGCGTATTGCAGTTAGAAAACTGTCTGGTTCCTTAACATTGTAGTTAGCCAATGCCAATGGCAGTGTCTTTGGGTTGTGGGTAGCTCCCAACACTCCGTAGTAACCAACGCGGATGTCGATATCCTCGGGTTAATCCCGGCGGTGAAGTAAACCTCCCTTCATTCTCCCTCCACACCATGATTCCCCCCTGCGACCCTTCCGTTCTCGAACACAACCCCAAGTTCAAACGACTCTATGAGAACCTGACACTCAATATCCTCAATCCGGATGGCTCAACACGCGTCCACAGCGCCGACCCGGCGCGCACAGTCGTTGCGGAGGTAAGTCGGGAATGACGCGCACTCGCTATGGATTTACGTATGGCTCTACGACCAACAGAGCACCAATTCTAACGAATTTCCTCGCGTCGTGTCAATAGGACCTGAAACAATGTCAAATCCGGAGCAGCAAGCGACGAATCAAGGAGCGCATCCTCAAACAACTGGCGTTTGCCTCGGACAGCGGGATACCCGATGAGGTGAGTAGTCCCCCGGGCAGTACAAACGAATCCTTCCCATGAAACACCGAGACTGATATTGATACTCTCCCTTCTATACAGTGCCATGACAATCTAGCAATAATATCGCTATACCTCGAAACCCCTTCCCCCGTAATCGAGCCTGAACCACTAGCGCCAGCACCAGCTACGGACGAGAACGAGAACGAGAACAAGAACACCGACAACACAGCTCTCTCTCTCCTAGTCCCAGACTTCGAGACCTTCTACAATACAATCCCAACCCTCTCCCGACAACTCTCAACCCTACTCTTAAATTCAATTGCAGAACTCCGCTCACTATCCAGCGACGATGAACCCTCAAACGAACCCCCATCCTCCCGCTCTACATCAGCAACGCACCACGCCCGCACCCGAGCCCGAGACAAACGACTCCGAACCTCAATGGCACCCGTGAAACCTTTATCAACACACTTAGCCGACCAGGTCGCATATCTGCGCCAGAGACAGTTATTCGAACTACCCACCGCCCGACGCGCGATGGCAGCGACGGCGGCGCAATTGTTGGCTGTTCAGACCGTTGTGCTTGAACGGTTGGTTGTTGTTCTTGAGAGGGGTATGCATGGGGCGTTGGCGAGGAGGATTAAAGCTCGGGCGGATCATTTGGGGACTGTTGCGCGGGGTGTGGAGGGGAAGGCTGAGTACGTATCCCATCCTCCCTTAAGGGTTGTTTTTTTGTATCTTTTCATCTTCACGTTTAAGGGGTGATTATCGTTGTGGAGGGTTTGGCTAATTCGTTTGTTTGAAATGGTAGGGTTACCAAACTTGAGATCGCTGCTATGCTTTATACACCTGAGACGCTTGCTGCGCTGGGGAGGTATCGGGCTCATTTACGGGAATTGAGGGATCGGCTTGATCAGCGGGGGATTGTGGCGAAGGGGGAGTTGAAGAAGTATGGGGATGTTGGAGAATTTGAAGTTGGGGAGGGGAGTGGAAGTGATGGGGGGGACGTTGGCGGAGATTGCGCGGCGGTATGGGGGGTTGTTGAGGGAGGTTGAGAATGTTCGGATGGAGATTGCGAGGATTGGGGAATGATTTCTAGAGAAATTGTGTTTCCAATTGGCGAATATGTGCAGCTAACGAGAGTTGGCTGCATATTGAGGCATGAATGAGGTGTCGAATATGTGAATTTCAATATCAGACTTGGAAGACTTCTATTGGAGGACGTTTTTTATTTCAAGACAACATTTAACACATAATTTGACATAAATTGAACATACCAATTACAGATTGAAATCAACTTCCCCCTACCTATAAGAGCTGGCGTGACTATGGATGTCTCTGCGCAATCCCGCTTCTTAAGCAACGGAAGCCAACCGGCTACAAACCGGCACATTTTCCTTCCTTCCAGGCTCAGGGAATCCAGAAATATCGACGCCCTTCCGGAAAAGCAGACAATGAGTAGACCCACCAAAATGGAACATGCCAATCTCGTCACCCTTCTCAACACGCTGACCTTCCGTGACAGTGATATCGCAAGTCGAGACCTCCGCCATCCCCACCCCAATGAACGCCATAAGCCCGATAGCAGGCTCATCCGCCTCAATAAAGATCAGTGCACGTGTTGCAGCCGCAGTAATATACGCCTGGGAGATGACTTGGCCTTCAAGATCAATATCCTGAGAATGAGCAGCCGGATTCCCAACACCCTCGAATAGTGGCTCAGAATAATAAGTCCCGTCAACCACATAAGCTTTAACCACCTTTCCAGAGACGGGTGCATGCCAACGGTGATAACTCAATGCACTCAGGAACGCCTGGTAAATGGTTCCACCAACGAACTGCTCAGCGAGAGGATCATGGCCCAGCATATCAAGAACGGAATAGGGCTGAGACTTGATCCAGAATCGATCACGAGCCTTGACATTATGAGCGATTCGGTACGGCTTTGACTCACACGCGTTAGCGATGACACTGCCATTTCCAGGCTCTGCGACTGGACGCATGCCATCATGCCATGTTCGCGTGAAGAAGTCGTCCCAGGACTTGAAGCCGTGATTTGGCGCTGACGGGTCACATTTGAACATTTGGTGGAACTCGAGATTTTCTGCTGCTGTTGGGCCGATCTTTGCCGCGGCTGTTAATTGACTGTATCCCGTTTCGCCGAACCATTCGAGAGAAGATGAGCCTAGGACGTCGGCGGAGGCGGGTGAGCGTAGGAAGTCGCCCCATGCATTGAGGATCTTCTTTAGCATTGCGTTGATTTCTGGGTCCAAGAATGCCGCATAGCCGCTAGGTGTGCCCATGGGCCAATCTAGCAGTGCGTTGATGGGTAAACCGACTAGGCCGACTCGGTGAGCTTTGTCAGTCCATGATGGTGCGGTGGTGAGAAGGTGGTTGAGAACGCGGAGGAAATGGTGATAGTCGCGAATCTCGGGGTGGCCGGTAGGGTCTTGTCGGTAGGGCCTTTTGTGAGGGACTTCTTCGAGCATGCCTTCAATGAGCATGTAGACTCGGGTGTTGGTTTCGATTAAGTGTTTGAATTCTTCCAGGACTGGGTGCAAGGTATGTTCTTTTTTGTCGACGTGCTTGATAAGATCGCCGAGCCATTCACGGTGAGCAGCGTGGTCTGGATGCATCCATCCACCGATTCTGATTTTGGGGTTAGTTTCCAAGGTTTCAAATTGGCTTTGAGCTGTGATATACTTACTTATGGAGGTTGTGGGAGGTTTCATTCTTCTTCGTCGACATGTTGGATAATATCGGCCGTGTAGTGTTGCGTCTCTAAAGGATCAAATGTAGTAAATAACGATGGAATTTCTGGGATTTCTTTCAGATTAAATAATACAAGAATCGACTGCGGGGCTGTGATCGTATGATATAATATAGTTCAAGTTGAAAGCTTAGCACTGAACTAGTAGTTGTAGTCGGTGCTGCCAAGGATAAAACAGGAATGACCGATGACGTCACCATAACTCGATGAGAATGACATGGGTGTTACTAAGAATTGCCCACCTGGCAGTTATTTATAGTAGTATACTTAATTTTCCAAGAAAGCAACATCAGTCAAGTACTGGTATATCTACTTGAGAAGGGAAATGCTGTTTAATTATGGTGGTAGTTTAAAAATGCTGAAATAATCAACAATAATTTAGCAAAATCGATATACTGCTCTATCTCAACCAGCCGAGGTCGTAGAGACTTCTAGATATACACCACTTAATTTTCTAGTCCCAGTGCTTTATTTGAAGAACTTGAAGCGACCACAGTTCGACTCAATTCACAGACGCATGCCACATGATATTTAGCGCCTATATGAGGGGTAATGGGGGCCACTGGTAATTTCAAGATAGTAAGCGGGCCGCTGCCGCAACACCCAGACAGAGGTCCCAGAGCGGACTATCTCGTTAGGCCCGAGGCCCAGTTATGAGTACATCTTCTTCTCGCCTTGTCAAATCCAAGAAAAATTATACAGTGGGCTGGATCTGTGACCTTCCTACTGAATACCTCGCCGCCCAGGAGTTTTTGGATGAGGAGCATGACAGACCAGAGTCATTACCAGCCCCCAGCAAGAATGAATACACCCTAAGAATTGGTAGGCACAATGTGGCGATTGCTACAATGCCATTGGGAGAATATGGCATTGCATCGGCTGCACGTGTAGCAGAGGAGATGCTGCATAGCTTTCCGAATATTCGCATTGAATTAATGGTGGGCATTGGTTGTGCGGCGCACCAAGCCAAAGACATCATCCCCTCGATCGATAAATAGCCTCATGATTTCTTCTTGCCCATACACGGCAGAAATAAAGATAACCTGGGACATGTCTATGATGCCCGCCTCTCTACCAAGCATGAAGGTGATTTATTCCTAACTATACCTTTAATTATATTATCTATATTCTCTATATTCTTTGGTTATAAGTTAAAAGTCAGTAACTAAAAAAGAAATGAGAATTTTAGAAAGTAATCCTTTATAAGAATATTAAATTCACATTTTTATAAAAAAAAAAATTGATATATAGATCAAAAAGTAATTTCCAAAATGATAAAATTCTAAATAGATACGATTATTTAGCTTTATGATAACATGATTGAGTGACGGTGCCACTTTTGAAGCGGAAGAGCCGGATCCCATTACCATGGACCGCTTCTCATGCAATGGCAGGGATTTTGAAGCTTCTAATCGACAGAGGCGCTGAAATAGAGTCGAGAAACGTGCTTGGCGAGTCTTCTCTAGCAATTGCCTTTGAATTGGGGCTTGAAGGGATGGTGAGATTACTCCTTGAAAAAGGCGCGAAATTCGACATGAAGACGTTCACCGGCCTCACACCACACATGCTAGCGGCTGGGATGGGACACGTCAATGTCGTCCAGGCTCTCGTAGATCACGGAGCCAAAGTTGAGAGAAAGGGTCATCTTGGCCTGACGGCACTGACCGCGGCCATTCGAGGAGGGCATGAGACGGTAGTGAAACTGCTTCTTCAAAACCAGGCAAGTGTGAATCACAGAGGCTTTCAAGACAAGACGCCATTTTTACTGGCAGTGGATAATGGGAAGGAGGAGATTTTGCAGCTCGTACGAGATAGTCTGACTCAAAGGTCTTCGAACTTGGAGGAAGATATCTCTGAGTTAGAGGACGAACCTTGGGAGGACGCTTATTTTGTGTGGAAGGAAAGTCGAAAATTATGGGATAAGCGTGTACGAGAGGCGAGGAAGAAAGTCCTTCAGGGCCAGACTTCACAAACTAAGTGGAGAAAATTTGTAGATAAAGATGCATTCGAAGAGACGTCCAATAGCCACAGAGACAGCCAGTAAGATATGAACATAGCCATTCCCCTCTTGTTAGTCGACTAGATATTAGGAGGGAGAGTCCTGACGGCTGCGACGGAACAAGGCGATTTAAACTACGGCCTGAGGCGCCAAAGTATCAACATGCATATAGTAGGCTAGGCTCACCAAAAAAGCAGCTGAACGGAAAGAGACTCCAAAATTTGCCGGAAATCATTCGGAATATACTATTATATGTTCCGTAGACTTTGTGTACAATGTACTGTATACAGTAGCCATGTTGTATACTCCGCAGTCACATGACTCTCCGCAACTTTTTCCGCCACCAAATCATTTTTTGCCTCTTGCTTGGTTCCTGACTCAACCCTCAGCCCTCAAAACAATCAAATAAGACAAGATAGGACAAGGCAGTCTGCTCCGAGTCTTTCAAAATGGCCGACGACGCTCTCTCCATCTACGATGAAATCGAAATCGAAGACATGACCTTCGACCCCGCCATGCAGATCTATCACTTTCCCTGCCCATGCGGAGACCGCTTCGAGATCGCCATCGATGATTTGCGCGACGGGGAGGAAATCGCCGTGTGCCCGAGTTGCTCTTTGATGATCAAGGTTATTTTTGACTTGGTATGTTTGACCCAGAGGAAAAGCAAGCGGGCAAGCGGGTGGTTGCGCGCTTTGCTTAACATTTGACCTAACTTGACCTGACTAATTTTTTTTCCTCGACGCATAGAGCGATCTTCCTGCTCCGGATGATGGACCTGGCTCGGGCTCTGTTGCTGTACAGGCATGAGGTTATCTTGCGACGATACAATAAACGTGAGACATGCTGGGACTTTCCCTCGACAGCGCAAGCACCACTACCGGCGGAATGAAACATCCTGCGACTTTGCCTCGACAGCGCAAGCGCCACTGCCGGTGAAATGAAACATGTTGCGACTTTATCTTGACAGCGCCAGTGCTAGTGCCGGCGGAATGGAACCTGCACAGGTCGAATACGACGCATCGCAACGGCTTTCCACATATACACTGCTGAGAACAGCGGATACCTACCGATTATGCAGGATCCGCGTGCGTACACCAATTTGCTTTACCAGTATGTCTGGATGCGCGTGTGCGCGCTGGAAACCCGGTTGTCCCACGGGCACGGGCTTTGCAGACGGAAGAGACCCTCTACCACGAGACCACTGCGTCACGAGTTGTTCTCGTCATGTCAAGAGTTTGTCGGAAACAATTCAATTTAAAGCTAAAAGCTTCGCACGCGCTGATCAAGAGACCGCTCACTCGCTTGGAGACACCGTTGTGTGTATAATGGAACTGTTGATCACTTGCTCAACAGAATGTCCCACCTAAACCTGAGATGCTTAAGCTGAACCACTCGATTACGAAGCATTTGCACTTGAATATCAGGCAGGATGTCCATCAAGTAGTTATCTATCGACTACCAAGCCTACTTACGATACAAAGCAAATAAATACCCTGCAAAGCAAAGAAATGAATCATACCTCAAGATAGTAAATGCAACCAAAACCTAAAATACAATGTACCATCATACCCACACATCACACCACAACTACAGAATCGATCAATTCTCCAATTCAGCTACCAAAGCAGCCCTCTCTCGTGGCAAGATTCTTCCCCCGCCGTGTATTGCAGGCAGACATGCCAAGTGGAACTAATCTACTCCACAATCTGCGAATAGATATCTTTCGGCAAATTAATGGTCAACTCCGTATTAAGCAGCTCCGTCAGATTAGACCCATCCCGCAAATAGACCCACTGCCCATTGGCGAATTCCCGCGTCTCCGCCTTCTCGTGCATGCGGTCACCCTCAACGATCCAGTCATACCGCTTAGGTCCGGAGAGAGGCGATGAGAGCCAGATCTGCTTGTTGGGCGGTTGTTTGTTTAGGACGTAGGTTCCAGTACCGGGGACGGAGACGTTTAGAACGCCGGCCTGGTTCAGTTAGTGGGGATGGTTTGGAATGGATTACGTCGGAACAAATTGAACTCACACTGTACTCTGCTTCAACGTCACTTCCTTCCTCTTGCGCTTTCTCTAGCTCCCCGAGTAACACATTGAAATAGTGCTCCGAGTACTCATAATACTCCTCCGCGGAGAGTGGGGTGGGTTCTGTGACGTGCGCTGCGGCACCGGCAACGGGAGTTTCGTTGTGCGGTGGCTGGGGGTTCTCTGTGTCTGGCTGGAGGCCCTTGGCGAAGGAGCCGGTGGAGTGGAATGAGCGGGCTGTAGTAGCAATAGCTGGCGTAGAGCTATTGGAGCTTGAGCTTTGGCTCGGGCGGAGGAATCGGGTTGGTGGGTTGTTGAGCGCGGCAAGACGGGCCGGACGGGCTGTGTAGCGGAGGATTCTGGGGGCTGTGCGGGAGAGCATTGTTGGTGGTGTCGGGACTCTCTTCTTGGGAGGGTTGAATGGGGGAGCTGAGAAGAGGAGAAGTCTATGGTGAAGGCGGAGGCGGAGGTCGTTCTTGTTGTGGAGAGGGCTACATCATCGTGCATTACACCGCCTTCCGTATCCGGGTGGGAAGAGGTGGTTGTCATTGATGATATGCTTCTTGGTTTTATTGGGGCTTGATTTTACTTAATTTTCGGTTTCATGGCCTGATTGAATTGAGTGTCGAAATTATTGATTAAATATGTAGAAGTCTGAGGTGAGTGTGAGAATGTGGATGAGTCGTGGTGCACATATCGAGAATCGATATACTAGTACTCCGCGGAGACTGAGGTGTAGTGAAGGTAGAGTACTAGGTAGATTGCACAAAAAGCAATTAATGTGACCAGAAAATATAAGATGGTTCAAGTTGAAAGGTATTTTGCTTTTAGATCGATTTTACTAGTATTCCTTCTTTCGTGATGCCTCTACGAAAGCCTCCCTTTCCGATTACGAATTATTTTCCTGAAATAATACTCCTATATTTCTAGTATGTGCATGAGTATATCTTGGACAACATTTAGAATTGGGGAAAAAAAGTGAGCTGGGCTTGTTCATAAAATGAGGTAAATACAGCGAGCACAAAGTCTTTCAAAGTCTTGATTTGGATTTTGCTGTGCATGGAATTAGTAAAATGATTAGAACTGGGAGACTATACTCTTACCTTCAAGCTCGGCCTTCTTTGACTTGAACCTTGCAGCTGGCGCTCCACTTGCAAGTCTTTCTGAGAGCGCATCGGTGGCATTATAAATGGCCAGGACCCGTTCACTCCTAAGGGGAATATTCTGCAGCCGCTTCGTCTCCATCATACTAGCACCATCATTGATCTCAAGCTGTTTCTCCAGAAATTGGACGACTGAATCATGGAAGCCTTCAACGGGAAACACTCTGTTGACCAAGCCCCAACTTTCCAACTCTTGCACAGTTAACTTTCGTCCAAACATGAGGAAGTCGTTCGCGCGAAGAACACCAATATGTCTGGCGAAGTTGGTCGCAGATCCTGCCTCTGGAACCAAAGCTAACGAATTAAAGGGTACCTGAAGATATGTGTTTTCAGCAGCAAGGACAATGTCAGCGATTCCTTGGAACCAAGCTGCACCTCCTCCAACACCAGGGCCGTTCAAGGCCAAGACAAATACTTTTTTGTGGTCGATGAGTGATTTGAGCAGCTCGATTACTAGTGGAGTTACTTAACAAAGAGTGCTAGTCTTCTTTTATGAAGGTCTTTCTTACCCAATGAAAAACGTTCGAGGTGGGCGAGTTTCAGTTGAACTTTCGTTAGGCGATCCGCCCCTTCGTCAAGTGGCCGCGAACCTATATCCCCATATATTTAGCAAGACGACCATCATGATAAGAAAGAGGCGATCGGAATTGTCTGACCTCGCACGTCAGCACCAGCCGAGAAGAAGCGACCTTCTCCCGTCAAGACGGTGAACACAGTGGTTGGATTCTCTTCGAGCTCTCGCACCGCGTGCAAAGTATCTACGAGGAGATTGCCTCCAAATGAATTCAGAGATTTGGGGCGATTGAACTAAGATCTGTAAGTATCTCAAACTGTTGTAAGGAAATATTGGGTCTTTACTTTGATAATCCCGATCTGACCCTTGACTTCAACTTTGATATCTGTGTAATGATACGGAACCATGATTGCAGGTTGTAATATTGACTATTGTTCTTGTCGCAGTTTCGGGAAAAAACAGTTGCTGTCTGGTAATTTAATCAACGAGGTATATCGCCCCTTGCAGGGAAATCCCAGTAGGCATTCAGCCCGCCGGGTCTGCTTGCCGTCGGTACCCCGCACGGAACGCCTCGGATATGCCCCCACAAGGCCGAGGCTGACTTTATGTTCATGATTCATGCTGAGCTCAAAGGTTTCGGGTCTTGGGCTGGAAAGTTCATTTACCCTGAGACCTACCGTGCGCGTCGATGACGTGGGACGAATTGTTTTTAGTTCACCCCACGAATATAAATCTCGTCCTTTCGAAGACCTGCTTCTGCTTACGGAACTCCCCAACTATACATACGTGTCCATCTATTGACTAGTGCTGACCCTCGGTAGAAATTGTACATAGTCTGTCATATTCAGCACTCGCACAGGCCAACAATGACTAACAATCGTCTAAAAGAGCTTACTAATTCTCATGAAATCGCACATCTCTTACTCGTCTGACGACCTTGGAAAAGAATGATCTTACTGGCTCTTGCAGCCATAGCGGAAAAGCCCTCAGTGAGCCAGCGACCCTTAGATGTCGAGGAAGCACAATCTGGCCGCTTTTCCGTTCGAAAATATGCTCTAAGACCGCCTCCGAAACGACCTTCGGGCTCATAAGCTGCTGGCCAAACTCTCCTTGGTATTCTGTGAAACCCTTAATCATAGGGGTCTTGACCCAGAGAGGATGAACAATACTGGTAATTATTAGCGTGACGATATTGCATCCTATGATCGTTGAAAACTGACCTGGTTCGCACATTTGGCGCATCGTACCAAAGTTTCAATTCCTGCCGAAGGCCTTCGTGGAAGGAGAGTGCGCTGGCCTTGGAACAGCAATAATCTACCATCTCGCCAACAGCAACAAAGCTTGCAATACTTGCCATTGTAATAACATGGCCCTTATTCTTACGAATCAACGCAGGCAGGAATTCCTTCATGATCAGAAAATGCGAGATCGTGTTGACGTCAAATGTCCGACGCAGCTCAATTTCTGACTTTTCGAGGATACTACCGTGGTAAAAGACGCCGGCATTATTGACGATAATCGTGGGGTCTCCGTGTGTCTTTCGAATGAATGTGGCCACTTCGGAGAGAGACGCTGCGGACGTGATGTCTGTTTCGTAGAAAATTACGTTTTTCGGAAGCTTTTCTGTTGGTCGCTGAATATCGAGAATCACGACACGAACGCCCCTTTCGGAAAGGTCTTCCATTATTTGTTTTCCGATTCCTCCGTTGCCTCCTGTCAAAAGAACCATCTCGCTCTCCGAAACCCATGGCTCGCTGACTTGGTAGTTGCTCAGAACTTTCTCTGAAATTTTGGAGTGGATATAGTAGACAACGAGAAAGCTAGAAAGGGCTGCAAATATTTTGAAAGCGACTGACGCATGCATGATGTTAGACAGCGATGTAAGCCACCTGATAGATGCGTCAAGAGTTTGACCAGCCATGCTTTAAGATATCGATATCAAGGGATAAGCGATTTAAAAAAGCAAAAATCTAGGAGGTTTAGAGAAAAGAGAAGAGCAGTTTTGCCGACACTATTTCAGGAGCTGCTTCCCAGGCTTATTTATGATCAAAAGCCATTCACTAGACTTGGGCCTACGATGATCAACCAGCGGAAGATATAACCGACTGGTGGGTATTATTAAAGATACATAGAGGAGGATATAAAAAGGACAAGAGCATGGCAATCATTGACTCGTGCTACTCAGAGCTGGCTCGGAGGCTAGCTGAAGCGAGCGAGCCCCCAGCGGCCTGTAAACTTTGAGTCTTTCCTAAGGTTTCCGCTCTCATTTGTTATTCAAGAAGACACCATTTTCAGGCTAAGGACTTAGACCCGACCAGATAGTAGACTTGCGACCAAAGCGCCGAATGAAGATGTTTGTAAGCTTGTGGTTGATGTAGGGAGGCATTCGAGAACACCGTCATGCGATGCTGTAGTCAGACCCCGGATTCCGCCAATCGCTTCAAATTCACTATTTAGCGACATTGCAAAAGTACGAACGACTCAAAGTTGGAGCACTTAGCCGAGGGAGATTTATAGGGAATTTTAACGACAATTATGTCATGACATAGTTGGATTCGTTTGAAATTAGTTGGAGTCCGAACATATGCGATGTAGGAATCTAATCTATAAGCCTCTAGTGAAGCCCTTCGCTCCCAAGTAAAATCCCTCCAATTAAAGAAATTTGTGCAGCACCTTAGCAATATGTGACTTAGTTCTAGCTTCTGATTGGCCTCTTTTCCCCATTTTATTTGGCGGCTTGCATCATGATCTGATACCTTCTCTGATCGGATATATCCGGAATAATACATCTAAAATTAGTATCAACTCTCACAGGAAAGTTATTTATACAGTGTACTATCGGTATGATAAGCCGTTATCCTAGGATTTCTCATAAGTCTAGATATGAATATGGGGGATCTTGCTTTACGCACAAGTCTACAACATCATAGTCTCGGCCTGATTTCCGGTTCGCTGTCTTCTTGATAGGCTTCAGTGCCATATCTAACCATCAGCATGTACTTATTAGCAGCCTCCTATGAAAAGCCAAATCTTTCGTCAGAATTGATGTTACCTATAATCGAGCAACAATCAGCTTGGAGATATTTACGTCATAGTCATGGATTGATAATTTAGGAAAAGTATTAGTTAGTAGGATGTTACTATCGAGAGACAGGAATTGTAGATTTGCTATTACCAGATACAACCCCACGTGAGAAGTTCCGTGTTTTGATCTTTGGTTGTTCAATGTACGGGCTCCTATGATAAAATTCGGGCGCCATAGGGGCCAGCCCCCATGGGCTCAGGAACTTTCACCTTGTCTCACAGCCCCTATGTAGACACAAAGGGACAAGGCATCTACATCGGTTATTTCCGAGATAGCATGGACCGTAAGTTACTGCTCACGTACGACTAGGCCTGCAATGGGGGTCTCAAAATTTCATGATACTACGAGAAGAGGAGCAGTTCAATTTGATTTTCTATATTTTTCAAGTAATTCTGACAATGTTACGATTGGGTTACATTAAGCATAATATTGACGTCAGAGACGGTAAAACAGAGAAAACCAATAGAGATATCTGTCAGAATCAAGCGAGGCGTATGGACTAGTGAAGTTGAATCCATTTGCAAGAGTTGGTATACCTGGGTGCTGCCCGGTATGGCCAGTTCACATTTGTTGTACACCCAGTGCGAGCGTTTATGCCCGCAGGCGTGTTACGGAGTACATGAATAATAAACAGCATCATATGTACATACAGTAAGACCCAAAGTGTACATAAATATGCGAGCTTCCGAGTCCCTCTATGATACATACATCAACTCGACCCGCCCAGCGCTCGAACACCCAGCAAACCAGCCAGGTTTAAAAGGGGGCGGGAAGATCTCCAATTCTGCATCCCCGCCCGATCTATCGATCAGCCTGGATTTTGAACACGGTCTAGATGCGAAAAGGGGCTTCTTTCATCCGGATACACCGGAGCTTCTCAAAAATTAGAGTGGTTGAATGAGAATCGTACCATCAGCTAGAAAATAGGAGACTATCTCGGCGATACCCGAGGACAGGTGGATGAAGCTTGAGGCTAGACTAGAAGGCTGGGAGAGGTTCTAGGGCGGGCTGGACTATGAGGGCTGTTAAAATTAGAGCACGCTAAGGCACTAGTTAATTGATCCTCCCGACTGACCTGCCGGCTGGGGCCTAAATGGCGTTGGCGTAGTGCCTAAACTACGCGGAGGAAGAGAGTGTTTGCGACTAGTACGCTGTATGACGAGTCAACAACATTTGGGGCGAAGGACTCGTATTCCGTAGCGCGGGTCTGCTTGATTCCAGCGACCAAGGGAGATCAGAGGAGATCAGGGGAGAATCTCATCGAAATATGGCCACCCCCACAGTCGCCGGTTCCCCTCACGCTGAAAAGTCGCCGAGAGGCCAAGAGGAGGTAAATTTGAATGATTACAGTGATTGCAGAGTCGGAGTTCATTGGAGTCAAATCCAATATTCAACTGTCAGCCACGTTCCTGGAGCCGACCATGGAAGTTTGCCCAGTGGAAGACGTCTCGAGGCAAATGTTCCTGAGCCGCCACCAGCACCGGCCAGAGAAAAACAACCTATAAGAGAAGCAAGAAGTTCTTGGCCGCCCCAATGGGCATCGTAACCAGTTCTCCAACTAGCCACCGGTCAGCGACCGGCAGATGGGGAAAAAAAAATCGACTTGTTCGCCATCCTATCCATCCCACCGGGTTACGAACGGATTACTCGTACAGATACACAACGGAGCCACACTGACGAAAAGACTTCATCTTGGCCTGACGTCGATGGGAGGCCAGACCTTCCCCACCACCCGCCAAGTGGATGCCCAGTCTTGTGCGCCGGCGAGGCTTCGCCTGGCTAGCGTTATGCCCTAGGGCATGGGCAATGGGACTGATCGCCGGCCAGAGTGGTGTCTCAGGAGCGATTCATTTGGCGCGCGCAGAAAGTACTGTACGAGTACATTTTGATGGGTCCCAGTTCCCCATTGTGTGGTGACGGGGACTCTAGCCCTGAGGAGTCAAATGTGAAACAATGGCGTCGATCGGAGGAGGAGGCCGGAGCTACTGTGACTGGCGGATGTCGTCATGTGGTGGCGCCTCCTGCAGGAGTCGTCCATTCTGCAGGGTACCTGTACTTGTGATTAATCCAATTATTGCTGAATCATTGACAGGGCTGTACCTCTACCTTTGTTCCTGAATCAATAGTTATGGGGGGTTGGAAACAATGTCCCTTTGGCCAAGAATCCGACTCGGAAATTACGACCAGATAAATCAATATTTTGGTCTAGATCTGATGCAATGTCAATGGAGAACCCCTCAATGCGATCCAAAGAATCGAATGTTAGGGTTGTAGCTCATTTCAGCCAATCACAGCAAATGCCCTGAACGGAACCAAAGGAACGACATCCCAGCGCCACTGGATCACCAATCACGTATGCTGTACACGCAAGCAGTTCCGTGGTACTCGGATCCACCTCACACCGAGTTGAATAAATATTATTCATGTTTAATATTAAATATCCATATTCACATGGTCTGTGCCTGAAATGGCCGAGGGGAGTGAATACTCATGGGCTCCCCTGCCTAACCGCCAACCCCCCTAGATGCTGCTATTTAGGGACATTGCATGAATTACTAATATCCACACTGGGTGAATGAAAGGAATATGGTCACAGTGAACTCATAATTACCAAAAATATGATCTTGGATATCTTTGTACTAGCAAAACTCTCTCTGCTGGTCGCTATCCCCGCCAACGGTCTAGACATCCAGAGTGGAGGACTTTAGATCTCTCGTGGAGTAAGTCCAAATGATCCACCTTCAGTAAAAAATGCATCAAGTGAAGCGCCCCTCCGGTGCTTGAACCAATAGGTGTGCAGTGTCAGGCTGTCAGGCCTCGTCTTTGCCTCCCCCTGGTTTCTCCCCGACTTGCGTACCACGGTAATTCCTAGATTCGACGATGCTGGTTGGGCCTAGCGGGCCATTGAAGAAGAGAAAAATACTGTAAAACAGCTAATCCCCTCATTCAGCGAAAATTCCCATGTGGCGCCCAATGATGATTCTGTCCCTGATCCACCACCAGGGACAATGAGGATGAGGAACGGTCTGGTTCCAGTCGGGTGGTTTGGCTGGTAGGTTTGACGCACAACGAGCAGGGGCATCTGCGGTGCATTTAATAGCACCTTTCCCCCCCGATGTTCTTTTCTTCTTCTCTCCTTCGGTTTACACATTCATTCATTCCTTCGGTCTTCGGTCCTCTTTTGCTTTCCTAGTTCCTGTGCCGTGCACGGTCTAGTCCTTCATTTATCAACTTCATTCATTTCGAGAACAGGCTTCTCTAGATCTTCTGATCATTCCAATCCTTCGATCCTCATTCATTTTTCGGATCAATCCAACTACAACAGTAAATCAATCAAAATGGTTTCCTTCACCAAGCTGTTCACTGCCGGCCTGATGGCCACCTCCGCCCTGGCTGCCCCCGTCAAGACCAGAAGCGCAGCACCAGCAAGCGTGGTGCCGCTTACAATGACATCTCCACCGTCCCCGCCATGACCAGCAGTGGAAACGTCGCCTGGGCTTACAACTGGGCCATGTCCCTGTCCGGCAGCATGCCCACCGGTGTCGACTTCGTCCCCATGCTCTGGGGCGCCAGGGACTTCGGCGGCTGGGTCGCTGCCATCGAGACTACTCTGTCCAGCGGCAGCGAGTACATCCTCGGTTTCAACGAGCCTGATATGGCTTCTCAGGCCAACATGGCTGCCTCCGATGCTGCCAGCTACTACCAGAACTACATCACCCCTTACGCCGGCCAGGCCAAGCTCATCTCACCCGCCGTGTCTTCCTCGACCAACGACGGCCAGGGTCTGAGCTGGATGAACTCTTTCCTGAGCGCGTGCTCTTCTTGCCAGCTCACCGGTCTCGCTGTTCACTGGTACGGCAACAACATCGATGAGTTCAAGACTTTCGTTCAGCAGGCTATCGACACTGCTAGCACCTACTCTCTTTCCGAGGTCTGGATCACTGAGTTCGCCCTCGCCGCTGATGTCGGTGGTATCGTCGACCAGGCTACCACCAACAGCTTCGTCACCGATGCTATGGCCTACCTTGACAATGAGGCTGCCGTCACTCGCTACTCTTACTTCATGTCTGCCGACAACTACCTTCTCTCCAACGGAGCTCTCAACTCTGTCGGTGAGACCTACTGCAACTAAGGGGATTCTTTGTAACAAAGATCATATGAGGTGTGAGGTGAGGTGAAATGAAGTCTCGGCATCGGCCGAGTCAGGGTGTTATGATTTCGTGATGGACATATTCTGCAACAAAGATGGGTTTTTTTCTTTCTCGGCGTCAAGGAATGAAACCGGGTATGTGCGCATCCCGGCACTCTTCCAGCGTTTCGGCGCATTTACGGGTCTCATCTGGATTGTCATTTCTTTCTTTGTCCATATTAGATATCTGGGTTGAGTTCAATACGAGAATTCTTTCTCTTAAGTTTCAAGATCTTTAAGTTTCACCTCGTAAAATAGCCGTAGCCGTTGTATGTGATCTGGCTTATATTTACTAGTAGATATTCAGGATCAACAACATAACTTCATGCCTTACATTTTGCTCTACCGCTTTCCGTAATTTCTCCACTCAATTTTCCTTATCAAAGATTGAGTCGGCGTTATAAAAGCATAACGCCTCATGGAATCCCGTGGAATCTTGGCAGTTCTGGCGATCTAAACCAATCTTAGAAAGGCTATTTCAGTTAGCGGCCTGGAAAGCGGTGTTTTAATCGCCTACTTTCATGACCGGTGGACTTCGCTGTTACTTTCCAGGGTCCGAACGCAAGAATTCGATCGTACAACCATTTCCAACACTGCTGTATCAATACAACCTGTTGCGAAGATGTCTTTCCGTGAGCTACCCAACGAAGTCATCTTCATGATAGGCACACAGATTGAGCGCGAAAAAGACATTTCATCACTAGTCAGAGCATGTCGATCCTTCCATAATTTGCTCAATAATTATCTCTATGAACGAAATGTCAACCGCGGAGCTCCTGCATTGTCCTGGTGCGCCGAGCACGGCCTCACAACAAGTGTTGAGCGGTTATTGAAAATACAAGCCCGCGACAAAACAAAAGGCTCCTTACAACAGCTTAATTCAGTCAATTTTGTTGATTCACCACTACGTTCCGCTATCTGCTTTCACCATGCTCCAATAGTCAAGCTCTTTCTTCAGTATGGAGCGGGTCAGACAAGTGGCTTCCCGATCTCGACCCCCCTCCATACCGCCGTGGAGCACAGCAGCGAAGAGGTCGTGCGAGTAATCCTGGAATATGGATGTGATATCGATTTGATTGTTCCAAGGGGAGCAGAAACCGCTCTAGTCGTCGCCGTGAGAACGCAAAAGCCAGACATAGTGAAGCTGCTGATCGAGCATGGAGCGTGCTTGAATACAAAGCCGCATGTTCCAGTCGAGGCGGCAGAATGGGACAGACTCGTCTGGACGACCCCTCTACACACGGCCGTTGATAGTCAGTATGGAAATCGTGAGATGGCAGAGCTACTTCTTTCACAAGGAGCCGATGTGAATGTTCGATGCGGGGACGGGGGAACTCCGTTGCATGGGACAACGCGCGAGATGAATGTAGATGACTCTCGATGGCTTTTGGAGAATGGAGCAGATCCAAACATTATTGATGATCAAGGAAATTCCCCACTGCATGTTGCAATCAATTTTGGCCGCCACGGCGCGGAACTGATAAAGCTTTTTCTCGAGCATGGAGCGGATCCGAATTTGAGATGCAGAACGGCACCGACACACCCATTGGAATTATTGGATGGAATGGACATTCCGGAAATTGAGCAGTTGCTCCGGGACCACGGTGCTCATCTTCCTGACTCTGTATAGTGAGCACTTCAACTATATGGTCTTTGAAGCTCTAGTCCAGCATCGATGTACGGACTCGGAGTAGTTGGTCCATAATTTAGTTTCCCAGAGCAAGTATAATTTTCCAGCAAACGCAATGCCTCCAATTCTCCGATGCGGGATTACAAAAGAATCCACTAACGGATATCCGAGATACTCCAATTACTGGCCCAGTCTCCTTTGAAGAACATCCTTGGGAATTAATGACAAGGAGAAAACTGCCCAATCTTGCCTGCTGGGCGAAGACAATTTTTCTCGCAACCTTCTCTCGCTAATCTGCCCAAAGCAAATTAATGATCGTTGGCATCGATCGCATCAACCCCCCGATACTCAAAATACTTATTCCACTCAGGATCATCAATAAGTGCTTGTTTAAGGCTCTTCTCATACGATATCGAAAACTCCGGTCCTTCATCGGTGTCCGGAGGCGAAGCACGCGGGGGGTAGATGATATTAACACCCTGCGTGATGCTATCCACGAGAACGCGATATATCACAGGCCTTGCAAATCCAAAATCAGCTCCCGTGATATTAGCATTGCGATGATCTGTTTGCAGAATCGACATGGGCGGATACGAGGTGATCCGGATATTCAACGCCGTTTTGTCGCGTATATTTGCGATGGCATCAAGAGATCTGTCAAGGGCTTCTTGGGTCGTACTATTGGTCATCTGTCGAATGTGAAAAGCGAGTTTCCATAACGGCCATTCAGAAATTACCTCTGCCGCCACGGGCGCAGTTACAGAAACTCTGTCTGAAAGCGCAGCAGACATCACATTTTGTTGAACCCGGGAGTGAACCTTGGGGCTGTGCATACGGCGTCGCATGTCAACTGCTTCAGACCAAAATAGCGGCGCCGAGAGATCTGGCTTGAAGACGGGTGCCCGTAGTCGACTGACGGTGCGCCATAGGTAGGCGGAAAAGGCGTCGTAGGTGGAAATTCGAGATCCGTCTGGTGGTGACGCAAGCCGTTTCAGCTCCGCTGCTTTGCTTTTCGGCAGGTGGAAAAGGAGCATTTCAGCAGTGATATGGTCGAGATGACGCTCTGGCATGGGGGGCCCATCGATTCGGAATTCTTCCGGCACCATGGGCTTAGTTAGGCGTGACACGTCTAGGCATGAAGAGTCCCACGGGGGAAAAGATGTTTGATTGACGATCGCATGGGAATTCTCAGCCAGTTGATGTGTAAGACCTGCCCATCCCATCACATCGTTTGCATAATGATGATGAGCCATGATGAAGACTAGTCCTCCCCGGACAAAATTTGCCTTGTAGGCCGCTACTTCAGGGCTAAGATCAGGATGGGCTTCGGGCTTATCACCATATGTCATGGGAGGTATACTCCATTCGTTGAAGTCGGGTAGAGAAGTGCTGCAAAAGTTTTGCTGGGCAATATCGTCAAACGAGGGATATGAATCACTGTCCTCGGGGGCGTCGAGCCACTGGACGATAAATCGCACCGTGCTTTCTTTCTTCTTCACAAAGGAGTGACCCCCGGACTGATCTTTCTCAATGGTTCCACAGAGAATTCGGGCTTGGCTCAGAGTTCGCTCAAGGGCGGCCTTTAAAACATCGACCGCTTTTTCCTTGTCGCCATCTTTTAATCGGAAGAAGATTGCAAAATTGCAGTATGTGAGACCGGTCAGGTAGTCAAGAGTAGAAACCTTGAAGCGCTCCTCTTCGAGATCATTCTCCCAGCCAAGGGGATGCAGATGGAGTGTTTCTTGTCTAGGCATTGTTGGGCATTGATTGCGATGATAGAGAAAATGAGGGTTAGAGAGGGGTAAAAAAGTGAATTTGAGATGACACATGTACTAATCTAATATTCCTTGTCGAGTGATGACGCCAAGGGAGTTCAGTTGCTCTGTTCTACCAATGGAAATAGGTAGCGCAATATTTTGAAAGGAAAGCGTTGAGAATAGACAGGAAATATATAACTAAACTGCTAGCACCTGGGCATCATGCACCCGATTGCACTAGACTGCGGGGCACTGTAATTGACTAGTAGTATAAGGTTTCAACCAATGGCGCAAAGTTGAAGTGGCAAGTCCCAATTACAACTTGACATTTGCTTTAAGTAATCTGGGTCAAGCCGATGACCTGCGGTTCAAATTCAAGCTTCCCCCAGCGGTCACTAGACATACCTTATACCTAGGTATAAATAGAATCGAAGATAGCTTTATATATAAACTTGAACGGACGCAGCGTTGAGAAATTGCCAACTTGAACGGATTACAATCGCCCTTTCAATGATGCAACCACTGCAATCATCGTCATCACATCTCAGTCAAGTTTGAAGTGGTGTTAGGCGCCCAGTGCCGAGACGGGACGCCTCGCTTTTTCCAAAAAAAAGAAAATGATGGCATCTAGGGTCCTGAGGTCATGACCGAGAATTTCTCGGTTGCTTTTTTTCTCATGACCCGGAAGACCTCGGACTCATTTTTTGATGATGTGAATGGGCTAACTCAATGGATATGCTGTTATTTATTCGTTCTTAAAGCCCATATCTCTGTCACCAGGATATAATCTCATTTTCTTTTCGTTGACTTGAAACGAATTGATAAAATATCTCGGATCTGATATTACATGACCAGATGTGCATCCCATGACCTGGAGGCATCACCATCACTAGGAATAAATTGCCGACTGATAAACTTGGAACGGACTGCTCCCATATCACGTGACGTGAAGAGCGCGCCCGCAGCCCTTATTGTAGCCATCTCAAAGAGCATCGCTTCCTCTTTTTTTCTTTTTTTTCAAGCCTTATTGCTTTTTCAAATAGTATACGGCTATTTTGATGGGAAGGAATTTCACCGAGCCACCGTGTTGGGCCACTGGATCAGTCGGCATGTATGATCTGAGGATGAATTTCCCAGGCCATCATCGAATATGATGTGGATCGCTTCGGAACAAGACCGAATCTGCGAGATCTAGAATCACTTCCATCCCGTCCAATTTTCTGCGATCAAGTAGCAAAATAGACAACAATTTTATTTCAATTCAAGTGTAAAAGGGTCAAGGAAGTAAGACGAAGAGAAGGAAGACAGATCGAACAAGCCCTTTGCTCACAGCAGAGATGACTCGCAGCTTGTTGAATTTTACACCCTACGACTCCGTCTATGAATGGATCAGAACCATAGAATATATCGGCCTAGCCATACACAGATACTGAGTCTCGCACAGCAGTTGGAAATTTTGAATGGGGCCGATCTGGAAAAATTGTGGGGTTGGTAGCAATGAGTTCTGGATGTAATATAATAGGCTGACATCTGGAGATTGGGAGATTGCCCAGGTGCCCTCACTGGGTACAAGTCTGCAAAACAAACCCACTCTCACTTATCAAGTCATTCTCCTCGATAACAAAGGAGAGGGTACCTGTATAATAAGCATTTCCCTGAACATTAATCACCACACCATGTCGTGTTTCGCTATTCTGGCCTTCTATTGGGATACCCTCATCCACAATCTTTGCGGTGAAAGCTCCAGTGTTGAAGTGGTTCGAAACAAGTGAGTTATATGCCCATGATTCGCCCTTGACTCTTAATTTCTTTTCATGAGCTACTGCCATTCGTGCTGCGACACATGATCCCGTGGGAGATCGGTCAATCTGGTCACCGGCAAAGTAGCATAGACCTGTCTCTGCCCCTGCAACACCGCCAGGCCTGAACCCAATTTCATGATCAACTACCATAACGGAATATAAAAATGATAGTCTCTCGTCCTCGGGATGCTGCAAAGCTTTGCGGACTTGCGGATCTGTTTCGAGATGTCGCTTCAACTTTTTCACAGCGAGAGTGACAGAGTCGAGGTTGAAGTTACGCAAGCCAGTCGAGAATCCGAGCTCGTGTATATCGACCAACGCGTAAAATGCGCCACCGTATGAAATATCGAGCTCGATGGACCCTTTGTCACCAAGCTCTGGCCACCTCACCTCAGCAGGGATAGGCACCTGTAAGTTCGTAGCAGCGCAGTACGCTGGCGTCGACAGAAATCTAACAGGGCGAGAGGGATCGGACTTTTGACCATCCTCGGATGTAGGAACTGTAACGCGCACAAGGCCGCATGGCGCATGAATGTTGACCTTGACCTCGCGAGCAGCAAGATCCGGTTTCAAATCATTTCGTCGTGGAAAGACCGTGAGATCATGAGTGTCAACCAAGAACCGACCGAGGGCAATCGTGGCATGTCCACACATGGTGGAGAAACCACTGTTGTGCGTGAACAAAGTTCCAATATGCGCCTCTCCGGAATGAACCAGTTCGGTTTCTGGAATGATGATCGCTCCGTACATGTCATAGTGTCCGCGAGGCTCCAACATGAGACGCTTTCGAATATTGTCATATTGACTCTTCGCTTGGTCACGCTGCTCGAGAAGAGTTCCTGTCAAGTGAGGGAAGCCGGAGTAGATGATGCGAGTTGGCTCTCCAGTGGTGTGCATGTCAATGCACTTGATCGCGCCATTCTGTTCGAGTTGCTGAACGACATCCATGGTGGCGAAGCTAAACGGCGATGATAGTCGCAGTGTTGAAGTGAAGGATGGGTGGCGTGGAAGGTGGCTTGGTGTGATTAATTCATGGACAAGAAGCGTCGTGAGTTGTCAATTACTAATGACTCATGAACCTTGGAATCCCTTCCCCACGTTGAAAGTGGGACTCGTCGGAACGGATGATGCATCGCGGATGGGCCATCCGACGACGCTTGCGATATCGCTCGGCGACTCGGACCACCATAGCGTTAAAAAAGCCACCTCGAGCGAAAATGTCTATCGAACTTCAAAGATTGCCGTGCAAAATTTTTGCGATTGCATGGCTCTTGATTGTAGGCTTTTTACCTGTTTTCCAAAAATGTTGATTCCCTCACACTCCGACATTTTGAATATCATCCTCAACCTCTCCTTGAACAATGCAGTCAACAGTATTATGCTCTGAAGAGGGTATATTAAACATTTACTCTTCTGATCAAGAGGTGCGCCGAGCGAAATCCATTGAATGCAACACCATGTAGCAATTTATTCCTTTGGAATGGGAAAGGTCGGTATTAGATCAATTGTGTAAAATCGCGCAAAAGAATAACGACATTCTTACAATCAATGCCTTCAAGGAAAGAGTAGTGGGAATGGGATTGATGATGGCCCCCGCAGTGTACAGATCAAGCTTAGCTGACGATAGGGTGGCATTGTCATCCCAAGGGCGTCCTATTGGCCAGCACGCCCTGCCATTAACATGTCTCACATCTTCTGACAACCCCCAAAGGCGTGAACACAACACTTGCTCAGCAGAACATAAATATCAACCGGCTCCCTCAAATTGATTTAATGCATACCTAACCGGAAATTACATTGGTTCCCGAGGTCGCACCACTTACAATCGTCGCGGGGAGAAACACTCCACCCGCCTCTCAAATTTCATCGGCAATGGCCGACATCCCCGAGATCCTCAATTTCCGCACTGCCAGCGCAGATGATGCATCCGCTATCCAACAACTGATTCAGGCCGCATTTCGTGCCGAAGATACCAGGCAAGGATGGGTTGCCGATATGGCCATCAATTCGCGCTTTACAGTCGACATCGCCCACATCGCCAAGACAGTCACCGAGCTTGACAGCGACTTCCTGATAGCTTCCAACAAGGCCGGGAATATGGTGGCGACTATTGCCGTCTCGAAACTTGACCCTGATCTCGCCCGTATCTTTATGCTGGCTGTAGACCAGCGGTGGCAACAGGCAGGGCTGGGCCGACAAGTTCTTGCGTACGCCGAAGAATATTGCCAGCGGACTTGGGGCGTCACAAGACTAGGTCTAGATGCTCTGTCTACGCGTCAGGAGCTCATTTCGTGGTACCTCCGACGTGGCTATTTGAAGACCGGAGAGACGAAGCCATTCCCCCGCGATGCATATAGTGATCTCGATCTGCCAGAGGACCTTGTCTTTGTTCAATTTGAGAAATCGATAAGCCCATTGGATGCGTGAAAGGAGGAGATTTCTAATTTGGTGGCTTTGTTGGGTAGATATATGAGAATAGTATCGGGGTTGGTCCGATCACGCGGCGCGTACAACATGGATTTTGAGTTCAGTGGGTTTGGATTCCAAATCCGGGACGGATTTAGAAAACCATCGCACGGCGGCGGCTGTCGGTTGAGATGCCGGGAGTGTCGGGTTTGGGGTTTGTGCTACCAATGAAGAGATAACGGGTTATCCGATGATCAAAGATGCCAACTGGTAACATTCCCCAGAGTTGTAGTCTTGTGGAGTTGTTTTATCGTCATAATGATTGCGGGGGTTGTATTCAGGCTTTGTGTGTGGAGCTTTGGGTCTATAGATGAGCTAGTGGCCAATTCGCAACAACCGAATACCTTGGATTATCATATATGCTCGGTATCCAATACCGTAGTGTTGATTTGGTGGGTCCTGTGCCTAATCTGGGTAATTGAACGCGCGAGATAGGGTTGCCTTGCCCAATCGGAAGCTCGCCAGGGCGGGTTTGCGCATGGCAACTCTAAATCGGGTTGCAGACCACATGAGCACTGTTTAGACTTCAATACTGCTGTTTGATCTATAAAGAAGTGATCGCATTCGCCACAAAATAACTCTACCAGAGAATCAAGCAAATACAGTTTTATCTCTAATTCAGATCTCAAGATCGCTATGTCATCAATGCTTCACTATCTCGGCTTCGGCAAGGACGCACCTCCTACGAAGGAGCCTGTCGACGAAACACCAATTCGGGCTCTGCCAGCATCATGGTATACATCTCCGGAAATGTACGAGCTCGAACGCCGTGCGATCTTTTCCCGGAGATGGATTTTCATCACACACAGCTCTCGACTGAAGAACACGGGCGACTGGCTCCGCTACGAGATGGCGGGTTATGACTTTATTCTTACTCGGGATCGTCAGGACAATATCAACGCCTTCCACAATGTCTGCAGACACCGCGCCTATCCCGTGATTGAAAAGGAGGGACAAGGAAATTCGAAGATTCTGTCCTGCAGATATCACGGGTGGTCCTACGGACTCAATGGCAAACTCGCCAAGGCCACGGGGTTCAAGGAAGACTTGAAAAAGGAGGATAACGGGCTTTTCAAGATCCATGTCAAGGTTGACGTGAACGGATTTATCTGGATCAACATGGACGCGAAGGAGACACCGGAAGTTTCATGGGAAGAGCACTTTGCGAATGTCGACAAGCAGGAGCGTTATAAAGCATACAACTTTGACAACTACGATCTTGATCACAGTTATCAATTAGATGGCGAGTTCAACTGGAAGATCCTTGCCGACAACTTCAACGAATGCTACCATTGCCCGACAACACATGCCGATATTCCGGACATTCTGAACCTTGAATCATTCGACAGCGATCTCAAGGATGGCCATATTCAGCACCACTGTGAATCCACACCAGAGCAGAAGGCTGCTGGTCTATACACTGCTAGTACATACTACTTCCCCGCTACCGCAATGGTCGTTTCGTGAGTACTCCCAAACCTTCCCACCAAAGCATCAATCTAATGAGTCCAGCCCGCATTTTATCATGATCCAGAAATTCATGCCCAAGGGCCCGAAAGCCTCGGCTATGGCGTATGAGGTTTACCGAAATCGGGATTCCTCCGAGGAAGACTTCAAGCGGATCAGCGACCTATATGAGCGCGTGATGAGGGAAGATAAGGTGCTCTGCCACAATGCACAGAAGAATCTTGACCGTGGAGTTTTCGTCAATGGCCAGCTGCATCCGAAATACGAGAAAGCGCCTATCTTTTTCCAAAGCACATGTCGGGATGTGGTTTCAGAGCATTTTGAACGCGAGAAGGCCGAGGGACACGAAATTTGGCCGGCGAGACAAAAGGTCCCCGGCAATTCGCAAGTGAGTGAGAAGGACGAGATGATGTGTGCGGGACTGGCATGTGGACCTCAGCAAGCGGTCCTGGCCTGGTGAGAGGGATGCTAATTTGGAAGCTAAGAAAATGGCTTCAATTAATTCCTGTCTGTTTAGCGACATGTTATGCATTATAGCTTATTAGAATGAGGTTGAATCTATGTTATGAGTATTGGAAATGTTTTGCCTAGATAGTGAAGATTACGTATGACTGAATCATTGCGGAGTATGATTCTATTTCAGGTGGTGACCAATGATCCAGTAACTCCATTGGCGACTTTTTGTTTGCTTCAGTCCACTGTGCCAGGGAAGCACAATTTCCTTGCTTTGGAGTTCCTTTGGTTCCTGGAAGCCCAGGGAGAGCAGTCTGGCCATGGAGCTCTGCAGGTGATTGCCCTTTGAGCATTCATGAGGTAGCCATTTGAATTAAGCAAGAATAGTGAGGGAACCTAGACAGTCTAATGATCTGTAGCGGTACCCTTTCCGTCCACTGAGTAGATAATCAGGCGCTCATTGTTCCGAAATGATCGTTCAATATGACTTTTGTTGTTTCGGATTGTTGATTGTTAAGGCGTGGGTGCCGCAGGCATTCAGGTCGCCGTGCTGGCTTTCTGTCAGAAATGCCGTAAAACTTGAAGGCTACTCCAAAGAACTAGATTGGAAATCTAATGCTCTGCCTATTGAAATGCAAGATTAATTGTATTCATAGTCACGGCGCTCCATGGCGGCCATTGTTCAGACGAGTGCCTCAGGCTTCCCAGGTCTACCTATATCAGTCTCCCTCCTTTGCCTTCCTCATTTACATCTTTCACCATTTTCATCCTCCATCATGTAGGCCTCAACCGCAAGCAATAAACCAAGTGCAGCCTAGGAGTGTCCCAAAATGACCAAGGCTCTGCGACACCCTCATTGAAGCAATTATATAGATTGTTTGATCCTAACAGTTCAGGGAACTGGATATATGACTGGGTAAGATGCTGAGTAGGATACTAACTAGTATAATGTTTGTATATCTAATACTACTAATAACGGCTAGTACTAGTATCTACTACACAGTTGACATACTGGAACCAACACAGTACTTCCTGCCAGTGCTCCTGACTATAGATATTCTCCAGGTGCTATATAGATATTTACAGCATCCACTAATCCGAATCTTTGTCCAAATTTACATAAGGCTCGCAGGTAAGAACAATGGTATTTTGAGGATGCTGTCAGCCTGGCGGAAACACTGGGTCTATTATCGCCATTGAGGATCGACTACATAGGTACTGAGCGTAAAGGCTTCATGCCAGGCAACAGGTCCTAGTCAGTCTATGCCCACCTTCCAAGACAGCTCTGGAGACCCTCACTCATCCCATCACCATCCATCTCTCACCCTCACTCTCTTTTCTCAGACCAAGCGCTTTCCCTCGCTCAGTTCAACAGCTTTCTTCGCTCTGAAAGTTACCCCCAGTTCCGAACAACATGCCAAAGAAACGCACTTACTGGGACACACCGAATCCGCGAGATCTCCCAAATCCGCCGGCTGGTTCAGAGAGGAAGTCATACTACAACGCGGGTGATCTAGTCTGGTATTGTCGTGTGGGACGTAGGTAAAATCGATATCCTGCTTTAAAACGAGGCCTTTACTGATCAATCACAGAAACGGAATGGCGCGAAGGTACGATTGATTCGAGTACGAAAAGCACATTATTGCAAGCAGTATGGAGCTCTCCCCCCCCAAAAGAAACAATCTGTGATGTGATGTCTAATTTAGAGAAAGTCAGAGACGACGAAACCGGGAAAGTATATGAATTCCCGGTGGAGCGAATTCTCCTTCGCTTTCAATACTGATTCACCTGCGATTCTGGTTCGCCTTCGGTTTTATTCGCTCCCGGTTCTTATTCGCTTTCGGCTCTTATTTTCGGAATCGACATGTCAAGCATCTCCTCCCAGTCTTGCACAAACAGATGAACCCATTTCCACAACTCTGGCGAAGCCACAAACAGATTTTCTCGGAGACTCGGTTCTTGACTTGCGGCATATTGTCGTTTCCAATCGGACACTAGCGTGAGCTTCATGGCGATTGTTTTTCTGAAGTCCCTGTCCCGAAAATAGTCTTTTTCTTCTTCTTCAATTTTCAAAATGGGAGGATCTTCTTCTTGAACTTCATTGTAAAGGTTAATGTAGTGAGGTAAACACCGCTGCTGTAAGAAGTATTGCCCCATGTCTTGACCAGAGCCACGCGCAAATTGCCAGACAGTGGCAAAAAGGTTGTAATCACGAATCGAGTCGAGGCTGAGAAGTCGACTCAATGCCCAGGCAACTTGACCCAGCTCCAATGATTCGCGATATTTTTGGAATAATTTCTGGTCCGTAGATTCAGGAATAGCTGCAATAAAACCATCTATGAACGGTGTTTGCAACTCTGAGCAAAGTTCGTCGCCGTATTGCGGTAAACCCGGCATGGTCAAAAGCATAGCCTCAGGGATGGATGATGCAAAGCCCCAATCGATAAGACACGTAATATTACAATCATCATCGACAAATATGTTATTGACGCTCAGATCGGGGTGGTGCAAGGGAAAGGTCCCAGGGTTGACAGCTGGGAGTTCGAGTGTCCGTAAGATATCGCGGAGAGCATCGGCCACGACGACATAATCCACTCTGTTATTTGCCGTGTCAATCTTGTTTCCGACGGTCACGAAATCGTTCCATAAGTTCACGGCCTTCTTGCATTGTGTACTGGATTGGTACTCGCCCGGCGTGGGAATAGGCGCCACGAAGCAGTTGGGCGAGATTTGTAGGCCCTCTGCATGCTCTGAGAGTGCAGAAACAAGGCTGTCATAGAACTCAGTTTCAGAAACGAAAGGCCCCCGTGGTATTTCCAGCAGATATCGGCCATGCAACATGTGACCACGCGAAAGACATTCCTTGAGTTCAAAGGACCCAGCCTCTTCGAAGAGTGACCCGATTTTATCGAAACGCAACTGTGAAAGCTTCCAGCTAATAGCACCGAGTTGGGAAAGTATTTTGGCCTTCTTAGCGGTCTCCAGGCAAGGTTGAAAAGCGTCGAATGCTTTCCAAACTTTCGATAGTGGCCGTCCAGGTGCTTCACTCATAAAGATGAATGGAACACCGATGTCGTTATCGGAGGAAGCACTATTGTGTGTATGTTAGGACCAGAAAAGTGGGATTTGGGATAGGAGTACCCATTACCAGTAGTCGTATACCTCTGGAACTGGAATGTCACTATGAGCTTTGAGGTATCGTAGCGTGGCAGCTTCGCTTGCAAGTAACTTTTCTGCCTGTTCATCTGGCATGAAGGATCTCAAGTGTGGGACTCGGACTACCCATTGTACTCCGTCTTCAAATGAAATGAAGACGGCCCAGTTAAAACTCCCCGAGGCAGGATGTTGTTCGGGATCGCAAGCACACGGAATGCCCTGTCGTAGTGCACTCGCTCGACGGCAAAGCGCTTGAAGATCAAAGTTGCGGTAGAGGAACACTCCATCGGAACTCGATTTTGCGGACATTTCAAATATTTGGTGCGCTTCCAAGACGAAAGCTCCTGTCGTTCAATATGTCAATGTTGATGCGGCTAAAAGTGGTGAAGAGCGATTGTGCATTGACTCACATGCTCACACCCCAAGGATCCTGTCGAAGATAGAATTGAGAAAAATGGTCAAAATAGGCTCGAATGGACTAGCGGCGCGTAGGCGGTTTGGTAATACTGAACAGAGGGCACGAATGAATGAGAGATGGTGATGGAATGAGGCTACCCTCTGCGACTCAGACTATCTAGATGTGGGATGACTCAGCACTTCGTGCCTGAGGCTACCAACTACTAGTTAACTAACGTAATTCCCGCTCGAGTGAGCCACCCGGCCGTGTGGGCCACCCCAAAACACATAGTAAATGCAATGAATTACAACTTCATATCTCAACAACCACGCGTAATTTAAATGGGAAGTTAAACCTATTTAGTCTGAATAGTATCTGTAACTAGTTTATAGAGTATGAAAGCAATAAGGCAATTAAAGGTGGAGGTATACATATTTATTGCTTAAATGTCTAAATTACTCTGTATTTTACAGTAAGGCAATAAAGTATTGAGCTGAATATCTTAGTATCAAGATATATTATAACTTTGCGTATATAAAAGTACATATACTTAAAACCAGACAAAATTGATAATTGGTGGTTGAAATATAGAGGGACAGAAAATGGAATTTACTATGTGTTTTGGGGTGGCCCACACGGCCGGGTGGCTCACTCGAGCGGGAATTACGTTACAACGTTGGTTGAAATTGGAAGATATATTCAATTCGGAATCGCCGAGACACATTAGTAATATGTGTCTGATGACTCCGGTAGAAAGGGAAATTCTGAATTAAATAATGATCCCCGCCCAGCCCTGCCAAACGTAGCTACTAGCTTCGCACGCCTTAGCATGATATTGTTTTGATATTCCTATGAGGCTAGTTGGTAAGAACGGAGAATGAAATCATAGATAGCAATTTTCTTCTTTCTTTCCTTGAAAATTACCGAGGAATGGCTAATCCTGCAAAGAATTAAAGGGACGCCAAAACTCGCTACGCCTCCTCCAACGAGGCAATCCCGTCAAAACTGATAGACCTCTCTCTCGCACCAAATAAGGCTATTTCCGTTCTCATAAAATACCCGTCTACGATTACCACGCAGAAGCCGATTTCAATAGTATTGCACAAGAGAACTACGAGCGCGCAAGTTTCAAAAAGGCCATTATGTCATCAAGATCCTTGCAAGAGGTTGCATTTCGCAGACATTGCAAAACCTTCCAAGCTTCTATCTCATATCACTCAAGTAGGTAAATGGAAAGTCAAACATAAAAGAATACAACAAAAATGAATTTCTCACTCCCGGCGAGCTTGAAATTCGAAACTTTCATTGTACGAAAGTGGTACAAAGGTGAGTGCAAAGGCGTTGGTGCCTCAGGCATAAAGATTGTGCTGCAGTTCTCGTTTATCATCACGTAGATCATGATTATATGGCTTCTCGGATCTTCATGCTCGAGCAGTGACAAAGGGTAACCGATTGGGGGTATTCATAAATCGAAGACACAAGCTCATTCATGTGAAGTTCATTCTGACATAACAATCAACGGGTAAGTTATAACCATGAAAGAGCATGTTCACGAGCCCTTTGCCAGATTTGATCTATTGTACCACTCATCTTGAATACTACATAACGAGAGTCTTGCTAAGCCCTGTACGACGTGTGCAGTATAGCCATATCATGTAGAAAAATAGTCTCACTTTCAAGCAGCCACTCAGATCTGACCATTTAGCGCCGACTCGGTTTTTGGGGTTTCAGCCCCATGGAGGCGGAGGGGTTCTCGCGTCTCACCCTTATCTGAATAACTTCCCACATCCAAGTCCTGACTTTTTGCCCACCGCCCCAAGATGGCGCACTGCGGTAGCCGCGATGAATACACGGTCGGATGGGTGTGCCCCATGGAAGACGACCTCACTGCGGCGCAGATATTGCTTGACGAACAACACCAAAGTCCAACTGTCGACGATACGGAGGCAAACGTATATAAGCTTGGTAGCATCGGTGACCACAATGTCGTCCTTGCAAGTCTGCCAGCGGGTAAGATCGGGGCTAATTCCGCCGCAACATTGGCCACTGAGATGAAACACGCATTCCCAGCTATTCGATTCTGGCTGCTGGTGGGAGTCGGAGGTGGTGTGCCAGGGAAAAATGTAGATATTCGACTTGGTGATGTTGTTGTTAGCCACCCGGTGAATGACCATGGCGGCGTGGTGCAGTATGATCTTGGAAGATACATTCCAAGTGGATTCAAGAGAAGGGGATTTCTCAATGGGCCACCTGCAATTCTCCTCGCCGCAATCATGAAGCTGCAGTCAAATCAAGACCTCGGGAGAAGTAGCCTGACGCCAAACTTATCGAGGCTCAGCAAACAGCCAAAGTTTCGACACGACCAAGCAGGCAACGATGTTTTATTCGAAGCGACATACAGTCATGTCGGTGATGAAGGCTGTGTATCATGTGCCTCTTCAAAGGAGATCAAAAGACAGCAACGAGTGGCCGGACCACCAGAGGTTCACTACGGTACGATTGCATCGGGCAACCGAGTCATGAGAGACGGTGTGGACCGGGACAAGGTCTGCTCAGAAATCGGAGAAGTTCTCTGCTTTGAAATGGAAGCAGCCGGCCTGATGAATAATTTCCCCTGCCTGGTGATTCGGGGGATCGGTAACTATTCTGACTCCCATAAGAACAAGCGATGGCAGCCATATGCGGCAGCGACAGCAGCGGCGTACACAAAGGAGCTACTGCTCATAGTACCGGTGATAGAGGTGGTGAAAGCGAAGAAAGCCAATCAACCGAGTACCGGTAGGAAATCCCATTGAATTGCTATCGTGGTCCACTAAGCTCACCTTGGATAGATCGGATGCCATATTTCTCCCTTCCCTTTCTGAGGAATCTGCAGTTCATTGGTAGAAGTTCAGAGCTTCATGTGCTCAGGCAGAAACTGCTAATAGACAAAGATTGCCAGAGGATGGCCATCAGTGGCCTTGGTGGAATTGGGAAGACGCAAGTGGCATTGCAGTTCGCATATTTTGTCAAGGAAAACTATCCAGAATTTTCAATCCTCTGGTTACAGGCGATGAACATGGAGACCTTCAGGCAGGGCTACATGGGGATTGCACAAGCATTAGGATTACACCGACAGCTGGAGCCTACAGAAGACTTGAAAGTGCTAGTTCAGCAACGGCTATGTGCGAAGAGTGCAGGAAAGTGGCTTCTATTTGTTGACAACCTTGACGACGTGGATTTACTTCGCGGGCAAGGTCGAATGAAAGGCGTGCTGGACATGTTACCGGAAAGTGATGATTGCCTGACACTATTCACGACACGACACGGAGCCGTTGCCCAGCACCTGGTTGGTAGCGATGTGATTGAACTAGGGAAGATGACAGAAGAGGAGACCATGGACATGCTGGAAAGGTCATTAATTCGAAAGACCGACTCTCACGGCAACAAGGACATGGTGGATCTCCTCGCCGAGCTGGAATATCTGCCTTTGGCTGTTACACAGGCAGCAGCGTATATTAACACAAACAAGAGCTCTATATCCGAGTATCTAAGCTTGTTCAAGAACACGGCGGAAGATGCTATCGCTATCATGAGCTCGGATTTTGGTGACAAAATGCGATACTCGAATTTGACAAATGCAGTCGCGAAAACATGGACGATAACGTTCAATAAGATTCAGTGCCTCGATCCTATAGCGGCGAATCTCCTCAAGTTTATGTCTTGTATCGAATGGAGGGCAATACCATACTCAATTTTACCAGCAACCTGCTCGAAGGCACAGCAAGCAAAGGCCATCGGCGTACTCTGCTCCTTCTCGCTTATAGAAAGGATAGATCATGGCACCAAGTTCAACATGCATAGGCTAGTCCATCTAGCGATCAGGATTTGGGTTGCAAACAACGGTCAACAAAAGAAGATAATCATGGCGGCATTCAAACAACTCTCGGCGGTATTTCCATGTCATTACCAGACCAACCATGAAAAATGGCGAGAGTATATGCCACATGTGGCTCATATAGAGCGATATAAGTCACATTCCGACTCCGCCGAGAGGGCCGAGCTCTGTCTGAGGGTTGCCAAGTGCCTATTGGTTGATGAGCGTGCGAAAGAAGCCACTGTCTGGCTGCGACGGTCTTGTGAATGGAGGGATAAGAATCTTTCTCCACATAACGTGCAGAGACTTACCTCACAGCGTTATCTCGCCATGGCATATCGACAAAACGGACAGCTCAAAGAGTCAATCGGGCTATTTGAGTATGTTGTTGCGATTTCAGCGGGCGTACTATCAGAGGATGACCCCGATCGCCTATCATCACAGTCCCAGCTTGCGATATCATATCAAGCAAACGGACAGACTGAAGAATCGACCAAGCTTCTTGAGGGGATTGTTCGTATATAAGCCCACCTGCTGCCATACAACAATGACAGACGTCTTGGGTCGCGGCACATGCTCGCAATGGCATATCAAGCAAATGGACGAATTCTGGACTCAATTGAACTACTCGGGCACATTACCGGGACGGAAGCAGAAAGACTCGGTGACGATGATCCCAAGTGACTAGCATCACAACACACACTTGCGATGGCATATTCCCACACCAGTCAGATTGAAGAAACAATCACACTTCTTACACTTGTACTATTAAAGCAAAGTCTTTGGTGGAAGATCATCCGGATCGACTTGTGTCGGAGTACGCACTTGCGATGGCATACAAGGACAAGAGTCAGACCGAGGAGTCAATCAAACTCCTGACACGTACCGCTACTATAGAAGCGTAATTTCTCTTACTATGAGGTTATGTCGAATCCGGAACAGAGCTGTCATCCGTGCTATACGCGAGGGTTGTCCAGCAGATGAAGGGGACAGACTCGACTGAACTGAGGAGTGGAGGAGTCGCAAACCACCCCTCGTTATTGTAATACATCTGCCTCGGTGTTTAATCAGATACTGCCACACCAGGTACCGGGGTTCTCGAGTGTTTCGATATGATTTCTGTCGAGACGGATGAAGAGCGTTTTTAGAAAGCGAAAGAAGGACTATCATAGGTTATTTCCTGCTAAGAAGGTGGTGACTATCATTGACTATTTGCATCCCTGGATAGTATATTCCACAACTGCTATTAGTAGGAAGCTTGGATCAAGTCAGGCTAGAGGAAATAGATAAGGTACCTATCACAGTTAACTAAAGGTGGTCCCGTCTACTTGCTTGGGTTCCTAAGATGGGTGACTGAGCAGCCCCGAGATCTGCCGAGCTCTTAATTTAACCGCCATGAAAGCCTTGGCTTTTGATGATCCCGAACGTTTTTGAAACTATTCATCCATTCTAAATTCGGGATGGAATGACCAGGCTATCCTCTACGCCGAGTCGAGAATTAGAGTCGTCATTCCCGATGTGGCGGTATAATAATATTTGATGCGTAAATCTTGATGTGGAAAGGTCAAAAATATGCAGACAATACCAATACCCACGCCTCAAGAATCCAGCCAAAGGCCACACATGCAATGCCAAAACCCCTAGCCAAATATAACACCAAACACCGGGTATTCCCAAATTCAGAAAACAAAATGATCACCCGTGGCAAGCCCGATGCAAAAATACAACCAGAAAGAGGTCCAAAGACGCAGAAGGTCCCCCGGGTGGGGGGAGGGAAGGGAAGGGGAAGGCCGGAAAACATATGCGTTCATGTCATCATCACATCTTGCGCTGGTGTGTTCGCAGAAGATGGGTCCAGGGGAGTTTCGGCTTCGGCGTTGGCTTCGACATCTTCCATATCTTTATCTTCGTTATCCTCTCCGGGACTGATAGCAGAGACACCGTTGACGAGGGGAGTAGATGAGGTTTCCTCTCCAGGGATCCGATGATCCTCATCAAAAACCTCCTCCCACAACCGAACCGTCAAATCAAGACCACAACTAACCATAAGCCTCTTCCCATCCAATTTCCCCGTATGCACACAAAGAACAGGCTCCGTATGCCCCTTAATGCGCTGCAAAACATTCTTACTCACAATATCCCAACAAAGAATATCTCCATCCTCACTCCCCGACACCGCAAAGCAAAGCGGAGGCGAATATTTCATCTCAGGCTCCCCATATAAACCAAAACAGCCCGAAATACTGTACTTGGTATTGGCGTGACCCTGGAAAGTCTTCACAACGCGCGACTCAACGTAATTCCACATCCGGATACACCCATCAAGCGTCCACGCCAGGATGTATTTCCCGTTTGGTGAGAATTTCACGCACGTTGCGGGTGGGTTGTCTTCGTGGACTAGAGTGCGCAGACACTGGCCGCTATGCGTGTCCCAGACTCGGACTAGTCCGTCATGCGCGCAGGAGACGATTAGGGTACCGTCGTGGACGACGTCTATACCGGCGACGGGGTCGGAGTGTGCGGGGAGTGAGCGCATTACGCTGGCTCGTCGGACGTCCCAGAGGAATACGGCTTCGTCGTAGGAGCCGCTGACGAGGATGTTGCCCTTTGGTGCGAAGGCGATTTGGTAGACGTAGTTATGGTGGCCGACGAAGGGTTTTGTGTGTGCTCGACCCTGGAGAATAAGAATGGCTCTGGTTAGCATTTTTGGTATGGAGTATATGGACGAGGTAGCCTGGACGTACGGTTTTCACGTTCCAGAATCTGATTGTTTTGTCGTCAGATCCTGATGCAATCCACTCTCCATCCGGACTCCAGGCCAATGTAGAGATACCGGCGAGATGGCCTTCGAATGTGTATATGAGTTTGCCGGTTAGGGTTTCCCAGACCTTGATGACGGCGTCGGAGCCTTTGAGAGGATGTGATCAGCAATTGTGGCATGAAGAATTGAGGGAAGAAAGACATACCGCCACTCGCAATCATACTGCAGTCCGGAGAAAACTGCACCGTTGACACACCGCGAAGATGCGCCTTGAGCACATACTTCTCTTTGTAGTTCAAAGACTCGGGCTTCGGGGCAGGTGGAGGTGTCGCATTGGCGGGCGGCACAGGTGTCGAGGAGCGATTGGAAATATCGTCTCGCGATGAGTGGTGATTGTGTTCTTCTCGTTCTCGGCGATCCTCAGAGAGCGCGTCGGATTCGTCGGGGGAGCGATCCTCGTGGCTGCGCTCTATTGGGGTAGGGCGATCAATGGGCGAAGGGCTGCGGCGACGAGAGCCGGAATGCGAGTCATGCCAATACTCGTCTGCATCTCCAGCTACCTCACCCGGGCTATCGGACTCGTCATACTGGCGTTTATTGGGGGATGCGCGTTGCGGGGTGAAGTTCTTTTGGTGCGACCAGCTTGTTCGGCGGCGCTTTGTCTCTTCGCGATCTGACCCCGCGGCTAACTCATCGGCGGAGGACTCGACGGGGGACTGGTCGCGAGTCTCTCGACGGCGACTTCTGGTTTGCGCATTGTCCATGAGGATTGGAGATATTGGGGAATAGACGCAACGCTGCGCAGCGCAACGCGTGAGCGACGAGAAAATCCCAGGCGCGTTTCAAGGCGGTGAGACTACAACAACTACAACTATACTGCACTGCATTCAAGTTGCATTGTTACACTAAGGAGATGATGTATTGATAAAAATAAACTTGCAATGAAGTAAAGCAAGCTGTCAACTGGTTCGCCTTTTAAATTTGCACTGTCTGAACAATGGCATAGTGTACTGCATGATTGAGCCTAGCCAGCCATCGTCGAGTATATTCCTGTAAGATCGACAATTCCACGAGATCAGGAATATGTTTTCTATCAGGCTCGAAACACAAACACGTACTCCGGAGGCGATAGATCCAGCAGCTTCTCAAAACACTTGATATTTTGAAGGTACCTGCGACCATATATCTCAGCCCAGGCCAGGACAGGAAAAAATGTGTATAATTACCCCAACCAAAATATTTCCAGCACCCTGAGGGATTGACTTTGATCCGGTGTTCACCAGGCCATATTCTGATCTTACAATGGTCAAGATAGCATCTCGTTCCATGTGGGGATTTAGGCGCCTTTTGAAGACGGAATGCGATTGGGCCTTGCCATCGTTGTATCCTGGTCTTCATATTCAGTTCCATGTGCAATTTCACAAGAGTATCCAATTTTTCAGCCGCACACTTGATATCGGCTTGGATATACGCTTCCCGTCGCTCGTCGTCCTCCGCCCTGGCAAGAAACTCGGCTTCGACATCGCTGTCGTCCCATTCATCTGCCGCAGCTCTCTCGCAAAGAGTTCTGCACCGATATTGCTGACATCTGACTCGTCTGCCGACGCTCTGGCGAAGAATTCTACCTCAATATCACTGTCGTCCCACTCGTCTCCCGCAGCTCTCGCAAATAGCTCTGTCTCGACATCGCTGTCATCCCATTCGTCTTCCGCAACTCTCGCTAGGAAATCTGCCTCAATATCGGTATCGTCCCACTCATCGTGGCCGCAAGAGGCAACATCAGGACAAGGGCTATATTCCATCTCACCCAGAAGAGCCACAAGCCTCGGAGGAAACGAAGAAGAGCCAATTTTTAACAGTCATGAAGAACGAGAGGATGGGTTGCGTACTGGCGGAGGTCGGCGCGAAGGCGCGGATAAGCGCGAACCGACGCGTCCACATAAGCAGGTGCAGTCGAGGCAGGAATGACCCCGGGGATTCACTTGAGGAAGGGGCATTCGGTATACAACCGGGATGATGTCATAAATAAACCTTACCATTTGACAGCGGAGAATCCCATGGGATACATCAAGAGATATCAAAAGTTGGCATTTGATATCGTGGAGCAAATGGGTGGCAGTGGTCCGGCAATAAGGTGGAGATTTCTCACGCCAATGCTTGCAGAGCAAGAAGTACCAGAAAGCAAACGACAAGCGAGAACTTGCTAATGATCCATACTGGGGCCTCTCCTGGGTACTTGGTATGGGCGGCGAGGAGAACGAGATAGGCCAGCAGACCCGCCAGGAGTGCTTGGAGACACAGCAAAAAGGTGGGACTAAATCCCGTTGGCTGTTGCTTCCCAGCAGGGCTTGCAGAGGTGAGCTTGCCCGCCATATTGATTTGCGGGAGTGAGTGCGAGGATTTTGGGATAAGGATGGAAATGGAAATGGAAGCGGATATCAGGGGAAGAGGTTGAAGATGAAGAGGTCCGGGCAGTCTCCGCCCCCACCGTTAGGGCTGTGGGGTGGGACACTCTAAGTAAAATAGTAATGGGCAGAGCCCCAGGGCATTATTTCAGTTAAACAACGAGAAAGGTTACATCACTCTCAATATATGGTAGGCACTTCAGTATGGATCACTCTGCAAGTAACTAGTAGTCGCCGCTTGATAAGGCCCACCTCTGATGAATCCGGGGACGAAACCCTATCAAGAGATGTGACGCATATAAACTTGAATCATCCCTGTCGGCATACTCGTAGACCTTGAACGGATAGACCGGCGATACCATTTAGTGTACATATTGGACGACGAACGTTGACGTCGTAAGCAAACACTGCTTTTTTGAAGACTACAAGCTGACCGTACAATTGCAAAAGAACGTGTATTCTTCCATCGAATTGCTTCAACTTTCCTTGCTTCGCCCTATGCATCTCCCTCAGGCTGGCTGTTGTCCGGTTTGATGATTGCCTCGTCGATTTCATTCACTCCTGTCCCGGTAGAAGAGGATTCTCCGGAGTGACGGAGTTGGTGCCACAGCGTGAGCTAAAGACGGTGTTTAGCTTGAGAATGACTGGCTGTTCGGTTTTGAAATACCATCGACTGGTATGGTTGTTCTTGAGGTCTTGGGAAGCGAAGGGTTGATGGTGCAGACCGCAAAGGGCTCGATACTGAACGACCCACCAGCCCGCGAAGGATGTTGAGAAGTTGAACAACCCCACGCGGGTTTTCAAGATTTGCCTCGGTGATTCTATAGATATCAGCCGTGTGGATTGTAAGTGGTGAGTCCTGACACTTACATTGACGACATCGGGCGACGAAGTTCATCGAGCGACGCATAGTGCAGGTTAATAGCACACGCCGGGGCGGCAATGATCGACAACGCAGTCTGGGCGATGCATTGTCTCCCAGGAAATACGTCTGTCGATACTGATGATTCCCCAGTCGAGTTAAGTTGGGTGATGTTTACTCTCCTTGGTGTGGCGCTCAATGTTTCTGGTTGTGGCAATGCCTCATGGTCCAGGGTATGGGTCAGTGCCGGTCCGTCGACCGCACTTTGCTGGTACTGCGTGCCCGAGATACTGCTCGAATTTGATTCACTGTAATTGCGTACGAGGAAATGCGGGGTATTGAGAGGAAGATTGGCGAAAGCTCAGAAGCAGGAAGCGGTGATGCATGCGAATATGCGTGGAGGACAAGCTATCGAGGAGACGGAGGGTAACCATGGTGCCTGAGGCAGAAAACGCCCATCCGAACCGCATGTCAACAATGTCAACAGAAAGCATTTGTCAACAGGAAAAAAAAGGAGAAGAAAAAAAAAGGTGCCTGGTAGTTCAATGTGGGTGAATCGTTTACCTGGAGATTCTGACTAGAAAAGCCAAAATATCAACTCCAATTGGGTATGTCATTCACCCATCAGCTAACTCAAAGGAAACCAATGTTCCACCAGGCCAGATGGGCCCGCGATACCAGAATAGAGACTTCTTACAAATGAAACAATGCCATCACCCTCCTTTGGCGAACAATTTCATAGTTAATATGGGGCTCTGCACTTAAGTCTCACATTTCTCGCTTTTCCTCAACATCTCACCACTTTATCCATCCTTTATAGCCCCCAGAAACTCCCAAAGCTACATACCCATCCTGACCAACTTCCTTTGTCCCTCATCAGTAAACATCAAAAGACCATTCTGATACCCGACGGCCCAAATCATCGGATACCGCCAATGAAACCACATCGGGTGATCCGAAGCACCAAACCATCCAAAATGACGATCAAGGTTATAACACAATACATTGCAACTACTCAAAATGAGCAACGAAAGCAGAGCCGTGAAATGGACTGCCTTCTTTCCGTAATATTGGTCGACAATGAAGCAGTTTATTATTCCGCCCATAGCGCCGCCCATGCCTAGTGGACAGAAGACGAGTGTCCAGAGGACTTTGTATAGAAGGTCACGGGTGCCTGTCATGATAAAGACGCCGACTGCGAGAAAGACTATTTCGGCAATGAGTGAACCGCCGTAGAATAGGAGGAATGGGCGCAGGTATATCATGCGTCGCTTTTTGGCGGTTTTGATATCGGCTTCTTCGGTGTGTAGTACTTGGAAGTTGTTTTCCGTCATGTTGAAGATCAGGATGATGCCTTTTGAACAGGATAAGAAGAAAGAAGTATGACGCGATCTGTTTATAATTTTGAAATTGGGATATACTGGCATAGTGATACCTCTAGTATATAAATAAGAACTTCTGCTTGGTATTTCGATTGATTGGTCTAGTGGTACTTAGGGTTTATGATCGTGTAATCAAGCAATCAAGACCGAGTGCCGAGGCGGGGGGGAGGAGAGACTGTTCGGAGTGAGCATGATGGAGCCATTGGGGCCGAAAGCTGCACGGATGAGTGATCAGGGGTTCTAATCCGAAATTTCCGTCTTAGCATACAGCATTTTATGCACGGCAGTGCCGACTGACCGCAAAGTTATCGGAATGTGGCGATCTTGTTTAGTCATACGTTGAATTACCGTGCTTCGAGGAGTTGTCGGTCTGCCGGATATCGGCATCAACTAGTAGTACTCATGAGAAAAAATCGACCTACTACTATTCACCGAAGAATTGATTGATAGAAGAACTATACTAGTATGTAGACCCCTCTTCAGAAGATCAGATTTTCGGGAGTTACTACTTGCCCTGTTGCTGCGCTGCTTTAGTTACCGAGAAGACCGCGATTACTAAACGAACTTGAAATATGTAGAAGATTGCCCAGCTGAGTATGCGCCGAATCATCCTGCTGCTCGTTGGCGAAATATCTGAGTCTCAGACGACTGAATTGATGAATCCCTCTCGAAGTGGCTGGCTAGATGTCTGTATTCCATTCAAGACTTTTGCCGTGATCTCGCAATACGAGGGACTGCAGTGAACTACCAATACACTTGGCTCAGATTATGGTAATGGTGTGGACAGTCCGCCATGGGTTTGTTGGGACGGAAAAGCTTCGGACATCAACATGATAACTAGTAGATGCGTACACAATTCTCCGCCGGACGGGTCGAGAAATTAGTTTTACGAATGAGTCTACGAATAAGTCTACAATCATACTGTGATAGCATAAACGAGTGTTTTATTTCCTCATAGCTAAATCTGGCGAATTTTCCAGCCAGTCCTCATCAATCATCATCAAAGCCGTAAGGCCATAGAGCATCGTAGCAGCAGGTGAGCGAATTTACTCAGCACACTCGCGCTTACGCTCGTCAAAGACAGCCAGAGCTTCCTCCGCAGCCTTGACACCGCTCATAACCATAGCACCGAAGGTAGGACCCATACGGTTGAAGCCATCGATCTCGGACAGCTCCATTCCACCGATAATAAGACCCTTGGTGACCTCACGGGTGTTCTTGACGATAGCGTCCTCGGCCAGGTTCATGTCGAGACCGCGCATGCCGCCGAGCTTGTCGATAGCGTTCATGGAGACGAGACGCTTAGCACAGAAGGCACCGAATGGGCCGTCGTGGCCGGTGGTACTGATGATGACGGGGGCGTTGATGGTGTTGGGGTCCATGCAAGAGTGGTCGTCGTGGTGCAGGGTGACCAGGGTCCAGTTGACGACGACACCGGCGAGGCGGATGTCGGAGCCATCGGGGCGGGTGATCAGGTCCTCGACGCAGGTGGCATTGAAGAGCTTCACGTTGGGGAAGGACAGGACCTTGGACAGCAGGGTCGAGGTGAAGAGGGCAGCGTGCTTGACGACCACGAAGTTGGGGTTGTTGGGCTCCTCTTCGAAGGGGACTCCCAGTTCAGCCAGGAAAGCGTCTGCGGGACGACGGAGGACCATGGCGGAGAAGAGTTGACCTCCGAGCCAAGCACCACCACCTAGTTGAAACTGTTAGCCGCTGTGGATGTTCTATGATGGTATATGAGCTAGAACGCACCAGGAGACACAGAGGCCTCGACAATGGCAATCTTCAGGTCGGGACGAGCCTTGGCAAGGACGTAGGCACTGCTCAGACCGCAGGAACCAGCACCGACGATGACAACATCGCTCTCGGCGTAGTTGTCCAGATCCTGGAAGTAGCGGCGAGTCATGGCACGGGAGACCTGGCTCTCGCGGATAGGGGCGAACTTGAACTCATCCCACTTGCCGCCGAACTGATCGAGGAGCTTGCTCTGGCCTTGGCCGGTCAGGGTGGTAGCAGCCGTCTCGGGGACGATGACCTTGCCCTTGATGCCGGTGGGCACAGTGGTGGGCTCGAAGATAGCAGCGGGGGGGAGACATTGTGGGTTAGAGGGATCAAGTCGTGAAATTGACTTGGGCCTTTTGTTAGTTTAGGCTCCAACGCAGAAGGGGGAATGGAAGGGGGAAAGCATGATCCTTTCGCTGGTATTATCCAGATCAAGTTATCGCCGTATAATCTCAGGACGAACCCACGTTGATGGGGAGATTTCTCAACAAAATGTAGACAAATGAAGAGAAACCTTCCACCAACGCGAGAACGAACACCGGCTCACACCCAGAAGTTACCTGGTATACCTTGATCCCAAAGAGATAATGTGCCCAACCAAAGCATGTTCATGGCTCCCCTGATGGGAGGGCTGAATGTACTTGGAATTTGGCTGGGGAGAGGTTAGTCGTGTACCAAATGGTGTAAGGGTTAATAGTTACTTGTAGAGTGGTAGCTGATAGCTGATGGTGAAGGAGTTGTAGGAGTGAAAGAAAAAAAGAAGAGGGAAAGCAAGAGATGAGATGGAGGGGCAGCATCAACCTTAAATGGGCGGATCCCCCCACCTTGCCAAATCCTGAGTCGTCACCACCTCCGACTCTCTCCGGTGAACAGAGAGGGGAATGTTGATCTTAATCGAATCATGACGTTTCTGATTTGCCCGATCTTACCTTGTAGCCCTTGGCGATCCTGGTCTAGCCGTTGCTCCAATCCAGAATGGGTAATCGGTCAATCTGCCGTAGCCATCTCGGTCATCACAATACTAGGAGTAGGAGTACATCAACATCCCAACATCGCCAGAACCCATTTACAACTTGGAGGAATGTGCAATCGGCCAAAAATATTGACCGACATATCTCGCACATTATTCTCAGAAGATAAATTGAACAATTACCTCAAAACAACATCATTTTCCTCGGTTTGCCTCGGAAATCCCCAGCTCCACCAGACCCTCCGCGGACCTCAGTTCTCCGGTCTCCCCCTCCACGACTGCCCACTTCCCAATTACGAGAGAATTAGGGTTTACAAGATGAAAATTGTCGAACATGCGTATCCATACAGTGTCGCTTGAAATTTTTATTTGCGTACTGATCGCACAATCAAGCTAATACTTTCCGCACCCCAAGAGTGACATCATACCCGGTCATTACAATGCACAACTCATAGAGATGCGGGGGACTACAACAAGTAACTCCAGTGGAAACATATGCAAGTAAGCACTTAGGGGAGCTTGCACTGGTTGTTGCGTCAAAAGTCCGACGACAACTTGGTCTGCCCCTCCCCACCTCGTGGAACCGCTTGCATCGTGGTACTCGTACACTTGAACACTATTATACAGTGTGTAGAAAGGCGAAGTAAAAGGTCGACAGTCACCCTAGGAAGAACTGTTCTCCCTTCACCTCCCTCCTTTTCCAACGTTGTCGCCATGACCGAGATGTCGCTTGCTCACTCCGCCGCCATCTATTGCTACGCGGGTCTCATTCTCCTCGGCCGCCTTTTCGCGGCTTACCCATGGCACATACACACCCCAATACTACGCCTTCCAGGTAGACCGCGCTCCAGACGATGGCTCGACAGGTTCGCGTATCATACCAGTTATCGACCTTGCCGTCGGCCTGACGCTATTACTGGCTTCAAGGAGATTCAGGACCTCGGTAGCGATCTTCAGCAGCGCGTGCTGTCTGATTGGGCTGTCCATGCGTATTCGGGAGGGGAGGGGTTTCTATAATGATGTGGCTTTGCTTAGTCTGTCGGCTTATACGACAATATCGCTGATTATGGTTGGGAGGGCTTGATAGGTGTAATCTTCTGTTGATTAACGGGACTAGTAGTTGTACCACCCTGTTGTAATGTGGAAATTCATATCCAGGAACAAAATCAAATGAATCAGCCCGAAGGCCTAAGCAATAAGACATCCTCCATTCTGGTAGAGAAGCTAATGACCTCGATGTATCCAGCTGAGGATACCTGGTGAATCGGTGCCATTCCGTCCCTAGTAACCCCTTTCGGATCAGCTCCATTCTCGAGAAGAAGTTTAACGACCTCAAAGTGTCTAGTTTGGGACGCCAGAAATATTGGTGTTTTTCCATCACTGCTCGATGATTTGACATCTACTCCACAATTAATTAACATCCAGACAATCCTGAAATGTCCCTTTGCAGATCCTGCTCGTAATGCGGCACATCGATGCATGTTTGTTTTACCGTGGACTTTCAGTTCACTTAAAAGTGTTGTAACTCCGACTAAACCCAGCCATGCAGCATAGTAAATTGGATTTTTCTCGTCGCGTTCAAACCCTTTCGCACTCTCGTGGGCTGCTTCATTTGCATCAAACCACTCCCTCCAATGTCTCCAGCTCTGACCTTTGACGTCGAAGAGTTGATTGATAAGTTCGGTCAACTTTTCACCTTCTAGGTCCCCAATCAAAGCATGTTTTTGCCAGGATCTTGCAGAATAATTCGTGAAGTTTCCGAAGGCAGGACCATCCACTGAACTTTGGTCACATAACCAGACAATGGGTGAGTTAATTTACTTTAGACACATCGTCGCAATTAGTGTGTTTTCTGTTGATTCGTTAGTCAAGCTCCGGGTTTCACAGGGCAGCAAGGGCTTTACTTGGCTTGCAGTAGCTTATATAAAATACTGCTTCACAGAGAAATACGCAGATGTATCGTTCTGAGTACAGGATCGCACTCGTCTTGTTGGCTCCGAATTTCTATGAGTGAGCCGTAATAATATAATATCTCGATTTCAATGTAGCCGTCGTCGATAATCTCGGGTAAATCATCCACCGGTACATTATCCTGTCTTTCACTGATAAGCAGAGCCTCTGCGACCTCTCAGACTGTCAGCGGTCGTAGAGAGAAAGCCGTCCAACGGAGGAGTGAAACAGCTCGGTTTCACTCTATTTCTGGAAGCTGTAGTATCGTTGCCCAGTTTCGCTCATATATCTGATCTAGGCCAGGTGGAGTTGAGGCTATTACGTTCTCCAATTGCTTTTTGTTTTTTTCCGCTCCGTAAAAACCTTTCCAGTAGCTTTATCCAAAGAAACTGCCCACTGCAGCGATCGACTAGTAACTGGCTGATATTTTCGTGTATCTCGTCAAAGTTTGGTTTCTTAGACAATTTTCGTAAAAGGTCTCGGGAGTATAGGACAACATCAGGCCGAACATCTTCGGGAGTGATTTTGTGTTGAGAAAAGGAAACGACACTTATAATGTCGTCAAAAAAGCCTGGTATTGACGTTTCATAGCGGCTGAAAATCTATATTCGTGTGGAGGTGAATCGAGTCCCTTCTTCTAATGCGTGCGGAAACTCGGCAATGCCTCCATTAGAACCGTACTTAATGTTGTCTGCAGTCCAGCTGCATTCATCAATACCATCCACAACTAATGTACAATTAGGAATCGCTAACGTAACTTGCTGCAAAATTTCGACGATATCCTTGCGTGTTGCTTGATACCCCTTTTGGGCTTTCCATTCATCGCATATCAACTGAAACGCCAAAAGATGGACTGTCAATTGAGAGAGCCATGATCGTATCGTTATAAATGCACCTTTTTGCTTTCAAAATCAGAAGAACGGAAGAAATGCACAGTAGGCGTCTCTGAGTGATCGAGCAGATGCTCAATGGCTTTTGTGCAAAGAATCGACTTTCCAAACCCCGCAGGACCATGAATCCAAAGGGCCTTGGAACGATTTTTTAGAAAGTTGGTTGACGACCAGTCTCGAAAGAATGGCTTGTTCAGAATCCATTCGCACGTTCCCTTCAATTTTATTCTGATATTGTCTTCATAAAGGGTGCTGGCAACCTGATTGCCCAAAAGCCATACCCGCAAGTCTCTAATTGCCTCGGCTGCGATACTTAGCCAAAATTCAAAATTTAGGATACCGAACAGACCTTGAAGCTCTTTTTCAATTCTTTTTAGAGTATGTTCGAATTCCCTCATCCATGATTCCTAAGCAGCGGATTCTTCTGGATAAATGATTAGATTAGTTCTGCAAGAAATGTGGCTAGTCACCTGCTACCCATGCCTTTTGGAGAATTTGAAATCTCTTTGTTATATATGGATAGTCCAGACATTGCTAGCTGTTGTTGATTCTGATCAATAGGGACCAATTTATAGAGGTCCTCCACTAGCGTTGAGAAACACTCAACTTGTGCGATCCTTCGAGCCTTGTCCTTTAACACTCAGCTCAATTTTTTTTCTTGTCGAACCAAGGTGAATATGTATTGAGGAAACCTTTCTGCGAGATCGATCATAGTTGACTTTTTTGTCTGAAACAGTCAAATCTTTCGGGGAAATCTCATCGCTATAGCCTGCGATATCTCGGACAGCTGAAAGGAGCTCGTTGACTATTGAAATAATTCGCGGATCATCGACATGTTTGCTGTGTCCTTTTGATACTTCACCTCCTTTTAAACCGACAGCCTGGCCCATTTTTCGAATCGAACTTTACAGAGTCGAAATCGAGCTATTAAAGAACGGGACTCTGTTATAAACCCCTTCCATGAATCAAACATTTGGAGGGTGTCTAAAACTGTACTGAAGATACCACTCAAGCCTAATATTCCAACTGTAAAGCTCACTGGCTCCATAATCACTGGTCGAAATTATCCAATTATTTAGCGATCTGATGGATTGCAAAGGTAGAGGATACTTAGCTGAGTGCGGGGTATTGGGTAGTGCGCCGAAGGACACCGTCCCCGGCCCTATTTAGGCCGATGGCCTCGACCATCTGCTGAACAGTAAAGATTCGGTAAATCCTCGGAGAAAGGAAGACCATTCCAAACCGAAAGCCCTACCAACCACCTACATTAATCGAAGAAAAACTCGATTGATGGATCGGCGCGTGTGAAGGCGCTGTGACCTAATCAACGCGCTCTTGCTAAACTCATTGAAATAAGCCAACCTGGCACTGAATTAGGCACTTGAATTAGGCACCGAATTAGGCAGCAAAACCAACTCGGCTCTCTCCTCAACCTGAGCAGCGAGCCTCAACTTTGATAACCTTCATCAACGCTCACTTATTGAAATACCATTTTCAACAACTTCGAAGTATCTCCATCTGATAATGGAGGCCTTATTCAGAGAGAATAGTTCCCAAGACGCTATTGCCCAAGCTCGGCTTCAGCAAGACTTCCTTAATACAATCACATCTATCATAAAGAAACCAAAACGGCTTAAAAAGAATATCAGGAGGCTTGACATATATATGAAGAATTCATTCCTCGAGATCAACTTTCAAATTGAAGGAATCTCGCCCTTGATGAAAGCCACATCAGAATCAAAAGTGCTCAACGAAATTTTGCAGCACGAAAGGATCGATGTGAACTTTCGCGACGCCGATGGCCGAACATGCCTATTTTCCGCCGTGAAATGTCCACATATCCATTCATTGGGAAGTCTGATAAGCCACGGGGCTTATGTTGATCTGAAAGATAATAATGGTCGCACGTCGTTATCCTTGGCTGCAGAGCTTGGGCAACTCGACCATGTGAAAATTCTGCTCGACTCCGATGCGGCGATCAACTCGACTGATTTAAAAGGCTGGACGCCCCTTTTCTGGGCAGTCTCAAGCCGCCGTAGCGAAACAATAAGATATATGCTTTCAATTGAGAGTACTGACAATGAACACCGAGATCTAATTGGTCGAACTCCATTGGTTGCTGCTGCAGAAACTGGGGATAATGGAATCATAAGATACTTGATCGATGCGAGATCGAAGGGCAGAAAAATCTTTCATGTTGAACGAGACCTTCTGATCTGGTCAATCTTTCAACGAGACATCGTGACAGCCCAGCTGTTACTGGAGATTGATAAGAGCTTAGCCAATCATCGGGTCAAAGGGCGGTCGCCGCTGTCCATGGCCACAGAACTTGGTCATATTGAGATTACCAGACTTCTCATCGGTTCAGGGGCAGATTTGGATGCAGTTGATGAAATACAGTGGCCTCCGCTCTGTAGATGGCTATTTGCAACTTATCTCCCACATGACGATATCCTGCTGGAAATTGAGAATTTCTCTCTGCTGAAAATCCACCAACAAAGAAGCCTCTGATGTTGCTAGCTGCAGAATTTCAGTACGTTGAAATATTGCAGATACTTATCAATGGGGGAGCAGATGTAAATTCCGCTGACGAGGTTGGTCGAACGGCACTGGCATGCTCAGTTGAAATGAGAAACACCAGAGCCGTCAAAATCTTATTGGAAACCCCAATGATTTGCGTTGACTCTCGCGATGCGGAGAACCGAACTCCTCTCATGATTGCAGCCATTATGGGCGAAGACACTATCATCAAGCAGTTACTCAAGTCAAATGCAGAGGTCAATGCGGAGAATGAGCATAAGTTGACACCACTTTTCTTGGCTGTTGCGAATTCTCACGCACAAGCAGTAAAGATCTTACTTGATCACCCTGGCATACGGGTCAACCAAAAAGACGAGTATGGCCATACCCCTTTTTCGTATGCTGCCAAGCGTCAATTAATTCAGATAATGATCGACCTCATCGAAAAAGGGGCAGATCCTCACGTGTGTGACAGAAACGGTCATACGGGTTTTTGGTGGTTCCTCCGAGCCAGGAATACTTTTGCTATGAAGTCAGCTTGTAATTTGGGACAGCTAAGTCTTAACAGAGCAGCAAATCCATCTACTCTGAGTTTTCTGACCATGGCTTTGCCTAATCCAAATAAAAAAGACGAGAGCGGCCGAACTTGGCTCTTATGGGCATCTCAATATGGTGATGTTGAAATCGTGTCATGTTTCTTAGAAGACAATGGAGTGATGGAAAAAGCCGATATTAACATCTGTGATGGGACAGAAGTCAAATTCTCCAAGACTCCGTTGATATAGGCACTGGAAGCTGAGAATGTGGCTGTGATTAACCTCTTAAAAGAAGCCGACAACAATTCTATGCATCTACTGGTGGAGGGACTGAGCTCAATCGACCAAGAGGCGACACTAACTCTAGTGAAAAAGCTTATCCAAGCTGGCTATAACCTTGATCAAGTTGACCCGCGAGGGAGAACTCCTCTGCATCTTGCATGCCTCAGTTGCAGGCAGGACATTGTATCGGCTTTAATTAGCGCGAATGCAGATGCGAACTCTAAAGACCACACTGGAAAGGTTCCTTTGCAGTATGCTTTGGAAACTCGAAACAAAGATCTTGTGGATCTATTGCTTAATGCTCCGTTAATTGATCTCAGCCGTATTGGATCCGAGGAATGGTTCTTCCTAGGCGACAAAAATCTTTCTTGGATTCAGATCACCAAGTTGGCCCAGCAAAACAACAGTTTCGCTGTGGAGTATATTAATGAACTCGAGTGCAATTGGCTGCCTAGCGCAAAACAAACGAGATTGTGGTGAGTTGATCTATATTAGAGTCATAGTATTATATCTAACATCCCAAGTATCTGCGGGAAACCCCAAGTTTGGTCGCTGTTGCCCAGAAGCTTAGGTATCCATGAAATGCTGAGCACTTATAAGTGTTATTGGAAGGAAACTCAGAAGGATTTTGGCCATCGCTTTGTCACTTATATCTCCCTGTCCTTCCCATGTGACCAAAATCGGGATGAGTATCCATGGGGCATTGCGTGGACTAGCAGGAATACAACAGAAGGCCTTGCTTATGGATTTATCAGTATGCTTCCTCGTGGCGGTGTTCCTAATAATCCTTCGGAGTTTTTCAAAATTTTTCTGGAGCATCTCTACCAGCGTTGGAACAAAAAATGCAATTATACAAACGAGAGGGTAGAAGAGCTGGTGAGCTTCTTGATATATTGTTCATCCATGAAAGATGAAATTGGGAGCTGATACAAGAGACGTGACTGTGCAGAGACATGAACAGGTCAGAAAACATAGTAGAAGTCATGGCTTAGTGGACGAACTTGCCAAAAATGCGGTAGAACGTGCAACTTTCCGTCGGTGCTTGCAATCTCACGTTGAAGGGCTTCATGAAGTGGTCAAAAACAATTCAACGCTTCAAAGAGGATACAAGCCTGAGCTAAGGGCAACCATTGACAACCTCGATCAAACCGTGACTGCGAAGCTTGACCACATGGAGCGGGCCGTCCGGGAACTCCTCCAAATCGTATGTTGACTAAAATAACCCTTTTCAAGCAGGTGTTAACTTTGCAGGAGCTGGCATGGGTTTCTACAAATGAAGCGGCAAGCTTTAAGCGCCTTAGCTGGATCACCGTAAGCTAAGCCTTCAAGTCATCTTCTTCAAGTTATGTATATAACTCATTGACAATGTCATTTACAAAGTTTATATTCTTGCCTTTAATGTTCGCCTCGGTAAGTGACAACTCGAGGAAGCATTGCTCTTGATACGATGACTTACTAAAACCTAGAGTCTATTTGGCATGAATATCGACCTGCTTCAAGATAATCCTGATTGGAGGTGGTATCTTTTATTTGGTTTTCTATCTCTTCTTCTTACTGGTTTACTTTGGTCGATATCTAAGTGTGCCCCTGTAAGGACGATCATTCTCATCCATACCACAGATGATACTGACTTCCTTACTTTAGCAAAGAATGCCAGGAAGCTCAGAATGGAGGATAAAAAGTTCGCACAAAGGTAGTACTACGTTGAACTCAAGATCTTCTGTGTGACTCTAAATACAGAAGCGAATTATCGAGTACCCGCCACCCTATAAAGGATTGAGTGCTTGCTGGGCCAGGTCCATGTGATAGCTCAAGTAGGAGACGAGCTCAACTATCTTTCTGAGCCGAAACTGGGTTCCGTCATAGTAGAAGCTTTCCACTAGTTTACTCATTCTATCCACTTGGAATTCGATTGGCAATACGATGTACTTTAGATGCCCTGAATTGCAATTCGATGATTTGCTCCACGTCGTAGCAGATTCGACCTGGAGAGTTTTCCAAACTCCCGCGATATTCCCTAGTGCTTCAATCATGGGCTCAGTACGATTGTGTACTCCATGCCAGATATCTGAGAAGGTGGAGATTCAAGTCTGGTCGCTTGGCTAATATAATGACAAGATCTTGGCGACGAGTCAAAAATTGCAAGCGCGAGGATACATAGTGAAGCATCATTTTGAATATTTCGCTCTCTGGGCCTAATGCGCTAGCAAGATCGAAGAGCTTTGGAACGACCTTGGTATGTTCTTCGCTTCCCAGCGGAAGATCATCAACCGTGAATAAGAGTTTATAAAGACAGATAATTGAAAGGCGTTACATATCGTACTTCTTCCCAAAGAAGTGAAGTCGTAGATGCAGTAATACCGTGTCAGGGTGTTTGCATAAAAAGTCCCGCAGCCCACACTCAGAGTCAGAAGGTACATTGACAAGAGATGAAATTAACCTTTTTGACTCATCAAGAACGGACAAACGGTTTAAAAATAGGATATCCTCTCAAAGGATAGAAACATACGCATATCTTAGATGAATTGTTTCTCCTTGTTTACCATTTACCACAGCGTATACAGGTTCGGACTGAGTCTCAGAATGCGTTTTCTCAGGGCCAATCAAATAAACGTCCGATATTTCATGTCCATTTTCGACGAGATAGCCCAGCCCTTGTTCTAAAGTTCGGAAGCCTCTGTGTTTCTTGCCTTTGAAGTCGTTAGTCAGTGCATCGGCGTTAGACCTGAAAATGAAATTAATACATCTCAGTAAGCCATAGCTGTTAGGATTGCAATACCATGATTGAGTTATGATGCCTGAAATATGCCCGCGAGCGACGGCGTGGAATTCTTTTGCTCTGTGTTTTGGCATCCTTTATGTGTAGATTGTCTAGAAGGAGGACAGCACATATAAATAGCCGAAGCGTTATCTCACTAATTCCATCAACTAAGAAACGTCATCAACTACATAAATCGAGGCTAGGTTTGCGGGGTTCGCAGACCACGTCAGCTGGCCTGGCACGGACGCAGAAAAAGGCGCCCTGCAGCATCGTTTCCCTATCCTATCAACAGTTGCAGCAGGAAGACGCCTTATCTAATATGTATCGCGCAGCCTTGCTCCATTCTACCTTATAAACAGCCTGTCCCTAACTCATCATGACTCATCTTGCCTGATCTACTGTACTCGCCCGACGGATAGCCTTTCTGCTCCACAGCTAGATAGAATATACATTCATAAGAATCAAGAGAACCTGCTCGAATGAATTAAATTTGTTCCCATCTAAAGAATTCCGAAAAGCGGGGTTTTTTGCTGCTCTCTCAAAACTCATCTGCGCGTAAGATCTACACGCCTTTTATCAGAAACGGGTGGCTCATCCCAGAGAAGGAAATATAGTTGAGCTTAATCATAGCTCGCCGAAATGTATGAGCTCCACATCTCCCATCTTCTACAGTGCCTTAGTTTACCAATTATCTCCATGATATTGCTCCCTGACTGCCCGAGCTTTAATAGTTGAATATCGTCTATAATATCACCTATGACTAATCCAGCCGAAGTAACTACCAGCTTTATACTTGCTTGCAAAAAAGTTCGCCAAACAAAAGATATCCCAGGCGCAGGCTTGCTCAATCCAGTCACCTAATATAGGCATAAGCATCATCTTACGATTATGGATCAAATTATTCCGGCTGAGTGGTCAATGTATGACAGAGTGAGTGCGCAGTTGGCAATGAGAACGGCATTTACCCTCTTAATTTGTCCATCTTGGGATTTTACATGCCCACCTTCATCTATTATAAATTTTAAAGTCTCGTATCATTTATAGAGCCTCCAGCTTATACATTTATCGTTTATAAGGAGGTCTTGGTCAGTAGACCCGAAATAGGCATTCCACCTTATACCACTCATCTAGGCTCTTAAATCAGATTAATAACTTGACATTTATCAGTCATTTGATCGCAAGACTTACAAAAAGAAAATATTATTTGACTGTTGTATGTACGTGCAAGCTTTGTATTTGAAATCGCTATCTTAGAAATTAATCGGACGCTTCAAATCCGGCCAGCGCTCGGGTCGTGCTGCCAAGGCAAAAGAGTTAATGGACGAAATCTGCATGCCCATCGCACGACCGGTGGTATAATGATATGTTCGTAACGAATGTCAGAACCAGGATAGATTACGCGATCGATGACTTGATGCCCTCTGCTAAAGTCAGATGTGCTATTAAATTAATTAAGTTCCTTCTCAAAATTTCGATCTATGGGAATTCATAGATTGCAACCACATGTCAGTCTAAGAACGGCAGAGTATATACAAGGCCGTCCAGCGGTGATGCGAGGTCACTCACACTGATACTACTCACCGCAAACCTAGATAAAAATTCTTGAATAGCTAGAATTGTACCTGAATGCTAGTATTTTGAGAGCTCCGTGGGTTCTTCGGCCCAATATTTAATATTACAAAATGTGAACGTTGTATCATATGTTTCCGCGTTGTTCAAAGCAAACTTCTTTGCAAAACATGTAACAATAAGAGGCAAGAGCAAAGCAAATGGTGAATTTATTTCTTGGTGAAAGTGGAAAAGCCTCTCGCGCAATATGGCTCTTTCCATCAAACTTTTACCCCACCAGCATCTGAATCATCATCACTCTTACCATCTAAACTGTCCCCTCTGGGATTTGAGAGCAAGCTTTCGGTATAGATGACTGAGCCCATGGGAGGTATTTTAGGGCTATAATGATTCTGATTTGGAAGTTCAAAAGCCCTGAGAAGCTCTGGAAGGGAAAGATCATCGGCAAATGGGATAAGATCAGATTCCATGTCAATAATAGTAGATATGCCCCCTGCTGTCGAGTCCGCGTAGCTCACCCGCCTACCGACTTTGGCAGCAATGTCATTCTTCAGATCCATTCGGACCGTATCAGTCATGCGAGACAGAATATCATCTTGATTTCTATAACGGATCGCAGCATTCAAGCTGTCGTCACGGATATCCGGAAGTCGCCAACTTAAATAGAGTTTCTGATGAGAAGGCGGTCTTGCATAGCCCCCCCGGATGACAGGTGATGAATATATAGCAGAGATAGCATGCCGGCTTGCTGCATCCAATGTACCTGTCCTGCTCGAAGATAAATCTGCCACCAGTTTTTTCAAAATGATCGAGCACGAGAAGTTCCGCGTGCACGCGTGTTTTTCCTTTAGAAACGTCCTTGGACAGGACCCTGTCCAGTTCAGTACCCGGGTAAATTTGTTGCAACTGCCGCAAAAATGCATCCCGCTTGTCAGATTCAGAAAACATACGATTGCTGATGTCCTTTATTTTACAGGTCCGGGGCAAAAGGGGGGTCCGCTTCTCCGGTGATCCGCTTATCGTCTCGATACGGAAACCCCGAGCCAGCTCAGAATGAAGTGCAATAGTGGCCTCAAGCAGACGTTTGCACTGAGCTACATGCTTTCCCAATTTGTAGAGTAACTTAAAGAGTCGCTCTATCCCACGGGTTTGTTCGAGGTTTCCAGTGTGGTTGTGCAAGGCCTCGAAGATCTTTCTATTATCGTAGCTGGAGAAGGCTAGGATTGGCATGTCGCGTTCTTGTAGCGGAAGACCATCTTTCGATAGATTTGCCGTAAACCAGCTGCGAAGCTTGATCATACTAACATCATCTGTTCATGGTTGTGAAATCAATTAGTTTTGTTGCTTCACCGAACTTGTTCTTGCTACAGACAACGCTGCGTACCTTTTAATGCCGGCTCGGTGCTCAGCCGCATTAATAACGAGGGGACCATTTTGCTCACTTGCAGGTAGTATTGAAAGATTTTGGGAGCGTTGAAAGCCAGCACATGTTCAGCTAAGATCTTCATGATCTTTCGGCCCTCTGTCTTGGTCAGTCTTACGCCGCTAGGGTTCTTGATTACCCATGAAAGAATCTTAAGAACGGTCTCCAGAAAAGTGACAACCTTCACATCAATGCCACCATTGGCAGCCAGTAGTACCACTATCGCGTCGGGAGCTTCCTCTATGGCTGCCGCGGTAACGTACCCAGGCTCCTTTCGATACGCACATATGTAGGAAATGGCGTCAACTAAGTTTCGATGGCACCTGGGGCCAGAGAGCCCTCTGCCCTCATCGTTTAAGTCGCTTGTTTTGATCCGATCACCTCGAACTTCGCCCAAAGCATGGAGCAAGCCTAAAGGCTCATAGAGTAGTCGAAGTCTCTTATCTTTATAGGCCATCAACGAAGCTTCAGCGGATTCTTCATTCATTGCGTCTCAATCAAAAAAGCGGTCCAAAAAGAAGACTTAAGAAATCACGATCCATCGATGTCATTGTAAAATTTCCCCTTGTACACCTGATATATATACCCGAGACTCTGTTTTTGACTATTGCTGGCTCACTGCACCTGGGTGATTTATGGGAAGTTTGGTTGAAGATCGCTGCCCAAGCTCGCCATGACCCTGGCCTCATTCTCAGTCCTATCTAACTTGGGGCTACTTTCTACTGGTTTCCACCCCCTCTTTTTCCTTCGTCACGGAGCGATATTGGGATCCATTCGATCACCAAATGACAAGTCACATCCAAGCCACGCAATATTGCCTTGATGAGCGCCCAATAACTTAAATTAGCCTAATGCACATGAACCTCTCCTAATTGTAATAGTTAGAGTCGGAGGCTGTTTCTATCGTGTTAAATCTAATACCTTCTCAGGTTGGGCTCACTCATGTCTGCCATGTAAGACAATGCATGGTATGGCTTATCTTACCCCGCAGGACAACGCACCTACGCGAGGCTGTCAGTCATCATCACAATAGCTTACGCATGTGATTTCATAAAAAGAATACAATCACGGCTAGTGAGTCGAGGTTTCTTGCGGTAGAGCCCCAAGATGAGTCACAATTGAGCGAATTCCACCCTGCAATTACTGCATCATGATGTAATAAATATTTCAAAGGGGACGATGAGATTAATTACCATAACTTCTCCATATTCCTGTTCTTCTAATTAGTGATATTCCTTTGCTACAACGACGAAGCAGCAACATGACCAACTTACTAAATCATAACCAATCATCCGGCTCCGATGGTAGGTAACATGGCCATCTTTTAATCTGCGTCTAATATTCTGACATTATATTATACAAAGACCATCTTATCGGTACACTTGTCTGTCGGATATCAGTGATCTCGTCGCTCATAGGCTCTGTAGCATCGAGAGATGAGACTGAGGTTAGCCCACTGCTACCATTATTACCCCGAGTTGACCTTTATTCTAACGCAAACACAGGCCCATTTCAATCATGTTTTCCAAACATTTGACTGGAATGGAATAATTAATCCGCTCCGTGCCTCTCAAACGTTTCCTTTGAGAACTATTGGAGAAGATAGCAGTGCCCGAGATCATTTTGTTACTCTGATTGGGCAGACCTACAGAGTTTCTCCTGAGCCGCAAAAGCTTACGCTTATATGGAACCTTGGAGATATATTATCACAAACCGTGCCCAGACAGTTCAATGCTAGTAGTGACGGAACGTTGGGCATGGAATCGTCGCAGTCGAATTCTCCTAGTTCAGCTCATATGGATCGTAGACGACATACGGAACACGCAGTTGCTCTCTATCGATATACTTCTATACTACATGAAAGGGCACAGAGGGAGAATAGAAGGTTCCAAAGAGTCAGCGAGGAAACCATTTCACTTGAACCTCCTTCGTTCAAAGTAACGGTTCAGTATGGAGATGTTACCTGCTCTGGTAGGGCTCGGACAAAGAGAGAAGCAGCACATTTGGCCGCCCGGGAGATTTACAACCAATTGAAAGAAAATATTTGAATATGTTTATAGAAGATAACTTATGACAAATTATTCTTCCAAAGAATTTCCCAAAAAGAGCGCGATTGGGCTAATGTGCAAGTTTGTGAGTAGTCATGAGCCATGTAGGAACTTGGCAAGCCCATTACCAAAACCTAGTTTAGTAGGCAGCCTCTGGCAGCCCAACATGTGCATTTGAAAATCATTTGTCAGAATGAAAATGTGTTCATTTTTCATTGGAGAGCATAGTTGCTATTAGAGTAAAGACGCCTTCGTCTCCTATAATCCCGCATTTTGATTTCCTCATACCCCTCCATCACACCATCTTGTGCAAAACTGAAATTTACATGCAAAATGGCTCTGGATAATAAGGGAAAGCAGCTGATTCACGAACGAGCGTACCAATTGGAGATGCTTCGAGCTAGTCTTCAGCAAAATATAATTGTCGCTGTAAGAAGGGGGTGTTGTTCCGCGAAGATCAATCCCAGGGTCTAACTGAAACACTTTAGATGGGCACCGGTACAGGGAAAACGCTCATGTTTGTCACTCTGTAAGGACTGATAGTTCTTTTACAAACCATTGAAATTTATTCCAGAGCAATCCTTCGCATCCGGGAAGCACTGAATATGAATCCAGATAAGGTAATGCTTTTCTTTTTCTTTCTTTTGTCCCTCTTTTGGGTATATTTACCAGTGGTACGAGGGTGGGGGCTCAATCATCCTCCATCTAGCTTGTATGGTTTCTTTGTCCTACTATCGCGCTGTGTGAGCAACAGGTGAAGGCTCTTCAAACTCATCTTCCTTCAAGCCGCCCCCGAGCTCTTACGGGCAGGGATCAAGTCGACCATTGGGGAGAAAAGGTTGTCTGGGATTCCGCTTTGGCCAATGTGCGAGCCGTGGTCTCAACCCACCAGGTCCTGCTTGACGTCTTAACCCATGGGTTCATGACAATGGATCAACTTTCACTACTCGTGTTTGATGAAGGTAACTTAAACTGGGAAATGTCTAGGCCGTTGAGAAACTTATCTTCTATTAAAATCAGCCCATCATTGTACAAAAAACAGCCCGGCGAATAAGATAATGAAGATCTTCTACCACCCCTACAAACTGAAGGACCCAAACACATTACCTCGGATTTTGGGTCTTTCTGCCTCTCCGGCCAATTCTGATGTTTTCAGCCTCGAGTAAGTTTGCAATTGAGAAAGATGAGAGGAATCGTTGTTGATTGCCCACATAACAGACAGCTTGAGAGAAACCTCGATAGCAGGTGCATAGCCCCAGATGTACACCACCAGGATCTAATGAACTTTACCAATCGTCCGCAGGTACGCGTCTGTTCTTTTCTTGATAATCAAGAAGTACGCTGTACAGCAGAGCCCAGGCTTTTGACTCGACTTCGCGACATGGTCGATTATACGGTTAGAAATTATCCTTTGTCGATGGCCTCGCAACTTTATCAATTCAAACGAACGTCGGAAACCATATACCATGAGCTAGGTAGTTGGGCCGCTGCTGAATACATGTACACTTCCATCATGCGTTTTAAAGAGTACCAACGCGAAGATGCTGAGGCTAACTGGTCTCCTAACACTGTCAAAGACTTCACTATGCAAATTCTGTGTGACCTTGACTCCCTGGAACAGCCCCGTTTACCTATCATGCCCGCTGACCTCTCCCCCAAATGCCGGGTTCTGCTCCAGAACTTGTCACAGATGGCAAATCATGACTTTCATGGGCTGATATTCGTGGCTCAACGAGCGACGGTGATGATTCTAAAGTCACTAATTGAGCAATATCCCAATACCAAAGACAATTTCCGCTGTGAGACTTTTGTCGGCATGTCAAATAATCAGAGCCGGACTGATCTTGGAAAATGCCACAATGACATCAACGGCCAGGAAGATACACTAAAAAGGTTTCGGACAAGAAAATTGAACCTTATCATCACCACGAACGCATTAGAAGAGGGGATAGATATTCCGGCGTGTAATACCGTCATCTGTTTCGACAGGCCTCTTAGTATAAGGTCCTTCGTCCAAAGACGTGGAAGGGCTCGCGAGGGAGAATCCACCTTCATCGTCTTCGTAGGCAACAAAGAGGACGAGGAGGGGCTGGGGAACCTGATGAAAATTGAAGACGTGTTGGTGAAAACATACCAAGATGATACAAGAGCTGTCTTCAATCATCCACTCCAGGCAGAACCTTGTTTGTCGTTGCAGGTGAAAAACACAGGGTATGTAAAACACCCTTCAAGAATAAATAGAGGCCGGGAGATCGTTATTAATTTAGGGTAGCGCTCACCTAAATATGATGGATGCCGTGAGTCACTTGAATATTTTCTGCGCAAAGTTACCGAAACAACCGTACATCGGCAATCAGCCACTATACCATCACGAGGAGAGCGATGATAGCCAAGTTCGAGCTATAATCAGTCTAACAAGTGCTCTCCATCCTTCTCTTCAACAAACAAAAGGTTTACGGTGGTGGTCTAGTAAGAAACTTGCGAATGCCGACGCTGCGCTGCAAGCATATAAGGCCCTTTGGGCGGCAGGCCTGGTGAATGACTATCTACTGCCAACAAAGCTGGCAGATCTCGTCGATTCGGCATTTATCTCTTCCAAAACCATCCATTTTGTATCTGAGCCAATAAACCCATGGGCCGAGATGGCTGCTCGATGGAATCTCGATGAAGTGGACCTGTACGCTCACCGTGTGCAGATCCAACACCCACGAAAGGAAAGTCTCGAACTGATGATGATCATCCCTTTGCAGATACAGAGGCAAATTCAATTCCCCCTCTTTCTGAATGATAATACAACTATCGGGTTTCATCTATCACCAGGCTCACTGATCGCCCCTGACAATCAATTTACCACGTTATACCGACAAGTCACGCATTTGATCCTCCAGTCTGTATATGAGCACCTGCTGCAACCTAGGCCTTGCATGGATTTCGTCGCACTATTTGTTCCAGATGCTGCGCCAGCTGCAATGCAAGCATTTTTGGATGCATACTCTGGCAGGATTTGCCTCGACGAGGCTATGAAAACTGCATGCCGCACACGGGTACCAGGACTTCTTCGTAGTCCACGATGGTATAACTATCCATGGATCATGGATTTTTGGCCTCCAGGCCCCCCCATGCAGCATTGATTGTCTTCAGGGGGGGCTACACCCTTTGCCGCGACGGCGAAACTTTCTTTCTCGCCGCGCACCCAGAGGGTTAAAACCAAATTACCCGGGGCCTAACGATGAAATAAAAAAGATGTTCTCAGGAGTACTAGATGCGACGATGGATCGACTGCCATCTATATGGGGGCAGGCAGCTCTCTATATCCCCTGTATTACCCATGAGATTGGCGTATATATGGTCGCCGAACAGCTTCGGGAGAAAGTTTTATCAGGCATGTCGTTCCGCAGTATAGATCTCCTTTCCGTGGCTATTCGACCTACTTGCTCCGGGAGTCCTGCTCGATTTCGGTCCCTGGCTTCTGTGGGGGCCACCTTTCTGAAGTATATCACTAGTGAGCAGCTGTTTCTGCATCACCCTGCCTGGCATGAAGGCCTGCTTTCCAGGGTTAAGGAGGCTATTATTTCGGACTGTGGGCTAGCCCAAGCAGCCAGAATGTGTGGGCTAGAGAGATTCCTTATCACCAGGCGGTTTAACGGAAAAAAGTGGAAACCTGCTTGGGTTTCCAATCTTTTATCGCCACCGAACGTCCCGGAGTCGCGAAAGGTCAGTGCTAGGACACTGGGAGAGATGGTTAGGGCGATTGTGGGTGCAGCCTATACTGATGGCGGTAGGAAGCAAGCCGCGAATTGTGCTGCGGCTCTTGTACCGGCAATCAAGACCTGGCACGCTGCAGTGCTAAGTGATGGCAGCTTTGAGCAGAATCGGCCTGGTCCGATGACCTCGTACTCTTTGGCACTGGGTGAGATGGAAAAATTACTCGGATACAAATTTACAGACCGCAGCCTGCTAGTGGAGGCATTGACGCATTCTTCATACTATGCATCTGGACTGCCTCAGACCACTGCCTACGGTCGACTGTCCTTCCTAGGTGATGCTGTGCTGGAGTTAGTGGTTACTCAGTCCCTACTCTACGCTCCAATCAGGACCATGTCGGTCGATCGTTTACAAAGTTTGAGAACTGCTGTCACTAACAATCTATTCTTAACATTTGTATGCCTGGAGTTCCATCTGGAAGTTGAGTCCTGCCTCGATGAAGTCCCTCAACCGACTCTTAGTCGGACGGTGGATGCCCGTGACGAGGTCTATCTGTGGACTTGTTTACAATCGCACAGTCAGGAGCTTACTACCGGCCTGAGCAAATTTCGATTGGCGTCCCGACATGACTGCTGGAGAATTCAAAGAGCTTTGCTGAGGACGATGCGATATCCCTGGGCCGACCTAGCTGCCATGGGCGGCCACTCTGTCCTGAGTGATATCGTCAAAAGCGTGTTAGGGGCGGTATTTGTGGATTCTCGAGCCAGCCTGCAGGATTGCCGGCATTTGGCTGACAGAATGGGGATCCTCCGCCGCGCCAAGCAATTCTGTCGCGATGATGTGATCACGGACCACCCCAAGGTCCTGTTACAGAAGTTAAATCCGGGGGCAAAGATCGTCTATCAAATCTATACTATACCTAAATCAGAACGCGTCTTCTGCTGCGCGGTCTGGTTGAATGGGGAGAAAGCTATTGATGTCCAAGAATACCCCAATCGGGATGCTGCTGTGGTCTCTGCCGCCCAAAGTTTAGCTCGGCTTCTTCAACAAAAGCCTAGGGTCCAGTAAGGGCCAGTGATAGATTGAGCAGACACGTATTCTTAGATAGGACGTTTGAAATTTCGGGCGCGAAGAAATCTTATGTTTGAGAATTTTTCTCCACTATACCAGATATTTAAGTATTTCCAGTCCCGTTTTTAAGTCATCAAGGGAAAGCAAAATATTAACCCTTGTTCGTGGGAAGGGGGTGCCCTTATCATTGTGTAATGTAAATTTACCGCCCTCTGCATCGTTTAGTAACATAAATTTTGAATAGTTACCGCTTCTCAGTAGATCCTCCTATTACTAGGGAGTAGGGAGCTGCCCTGGTCCCAATTGAATTTTACTCTCGAATAAAGTGTCCCCCGGTCGTACCAGTTTCAGCCTTGCCAACCCCTCTAACCCCTATCACTTCAGCACTACCTAGAGCCAGTCTATACTTGAGATTCTGTGATTAGCTCCAGAGGTACGTATATGTTCAATCCGATTTGTTGAAACCAAGCTGTGCTGAGCTCATAGGGTCAATACTCTGGTACATCATTATTCTCGACATACAACACCAGACAAAGGTACTCAAGCAATGTCTATAGGGATTTCAAAGTGTTTACCATAAAAACGGGAAGCCACTTATTTTCCCGGTCGAAGGAGGAAATGATGTGGTGAAGAGGTACCCAGGTGGCCCCGTAGGGTGTATTGTGGGAATAAAGAAGAAGAATAGAAGGAGAACAGGGGACAGCCAATATTATGGGTAAATAAACATACTGCACGCGCAAGGTAGAGAAGTTGCCTAGAGTACGGGCAACAAGGGCACTTTACAATTGAAGAAGGTGCCTAGGGCTCGGTATATTCCAAGATTCTAAACTCTACAGTTATAGCACATACCTAAAGCTCGCACCATAATTATCCTCCGACAAACCAGCATCAGGCTTAGTCGGATCGGCCTCTACCTTCGGGCCATACTTTTTATCAAGCTGTTTGTTCTCCCAAACCAGCAGCAGGCGAAGGCAAAGCGCAAGCAGGGAAGTAAAGAACATAAACGCAGCACAAACCGACATGCCTTTAATATAACGGGGAGCCGAGGTGTCGGGGAACATATTAGTTCCGAGGAACGGACCACATTGACCGATGACATTGAGCAAGATGATACCTCCACCACGACGGGTATCGGATCCCTGATTATCTGAACAGTGTTAGCGAGAACCTTAGGGGGCGGGAATTGAAACAAGTTGAGACACCAAGATATGGACTTACTCAAAACCCAAGGCAAAATATTTGCGATCGACGGAAAGACTCCACACGCAGCGAGAAAGACGCCGAAATAACGCACGCCGACGGAGCTGCAGGCCACGCACAGGATGTACCCCACACCGCCGATCATCGAGAGAAATGCGATCATCAGCCCACGTTGCTGAATCCGATCCGCCACATAAGTGGTTGCGATCGTCGCGATGAAGGAGGCGAAAAAGGGTGGTGCGGTGAGGCCTTGGGCGTCGACGGCTGTGAAGCCCATTTCCTTGAGGATGGTGGGCAGGAATACGGGTAGCGAGGAGAAGCTGACGTTGCAGCTGAAATACATGAACTGGGAAGATGGTCAGTGATGAGAACTAGGACTCTTAACACAATTGTGATTTCTTTTTCTTGGGGTTATTTTTCTCCAGTCCTCCAAAGGCGCTGGCTGTACTTACTGCTGTGAACCATGCTTTCGCGTCGAGGAGGGTCATCGCCAATTCCTTCCATTGTACCTTTCCCTCTCGCTCCGCATCGCCGGCTTGTTGGATACCACGAGCTCTCGCGACCTCTTTCTCTTCCTCGGTCAAGAATTTCGCCTTCGCAGGAGAATCCGGTACGTAGAACCAGGCCAAGAGAGCGGCCGCGCAAACCGGCAGGCCTTCGACCAGGAACAGAAGTCGCCAATTAGCGATGGCGGCATTACCGGAAGTGATACCATATGCAAGGGCACCGGCGAAAGTATTCGCGAGCGGGGCAGCGGACAGGAAGAGACCACATCGGAGGCCGAGTTCATGGCGTCGGTAGAAGAAGGAGAGGAGGTAGGGTACACCGGGACCAAAACCAGCTTCGAAAGCGCCCATCAAGAATCGCAAGGCCATCATGCCTTCCCAATTCTTTGTGGCCGCTTGGCATGTGGACACCAGACCCCTGGATGTTGCATTAGTATACACGTCACAAAGCACAAAGCACAGCTTTCCTTCACATGGGTGCGTACCAAGAAAACACGACAAAGGCCGCCCATCGGTGTGGTTTGACAATCTTCCACATCAAGGCCTGGAATTCGAACAAGGTGTATGAGATGTAGAATATCGTGAGTAGCCATGAGTATCGACCACTGTCTAGCTCTAGATCCTCCTCCATCCCGGCGATTTTGGCATTGCTGTCTGGCGGTCAGTTTCATTTGGAATTCATGTTGTGCGATCGTGGACACACCCGATGTTACTTCGATCAAGGAAGGCAAGGAGATCTAAAGAGAGGCGGATATTAGTAAAAGGTCAAAGACTGCGATGAGTCGCAAGGGAACGAACGTACAGAAAAACCCCATCAAAGTCGGAACTCGCCAATCCAATTTTCTCAAAACTCTCCTCTCCAACTCAGGATCAATTGTCGCAGGCACAGCTACCGGCTGATTGGGTTGACTGGGCGTCTCCTCATGCGATGGGATACGCTTCTCGATATCCGGATCTGGCGGCGCCCGCTGGATCTGATCCTCCGGATATTCCGACTTTCCAAAGAACCCCATATCGTAATTGTCGCAGACGTTTCTCGTCAATTGTAGGGTACCCTAGGGTATGGGGAAAAGAGAAGCGGACTTTTTCCGGGGAGGGGGGAAAGAGTCCGGGGGCGCTGGGATCTTCTTATGGGGAGCGAGAAGCGAGTGTTGATCCTGTTGATCCGCGGACATTGTGACCCGCGAATGGAGTAGAAGTCCCCGCGGATTTGGAGTATCCTCGGTCTGAGTGCGTCTGTGGCTGAAGTGATTGGCACCCTGCGATGTTCCCCGCTGAATTGCGGTGGAGCTTGTGGTCTTTGGAGATGGCAAACTCAGCGGGGTCAGCCAATCCCATCGCGGTGTTCTTTGGTGGAGAGAGTCTGCGTCGAAGCTTGGGTGGAGCCACAAAGCTTGCGATTGCAACCCTCTCGGTCTTGCCAATTGCCGTGCAAAATCAGTCACAAATGAGGTGGGGCTACGTTGAAATGTGTTGGTGTCGATGATCGAGGGGCGCAGATTCTCAAGGGAGCCCTGGGAAGTGTAAAGCTCGGGCAATCTGGCAATCTGACACTGACACTCGGCCCGATTTTCGGGATCGCAATGAGATTCGGTCCGAACAGCCTCGCATTGGAAGCACCAGAGTGACTAAACACCAACTTGCGGTGGCTGACCAGCAAGTAAGAGTTGATCCAACTCCTGCGATCATGCCAAATCCTCTTTCATCTTAAAAATTGCTCCTAGTACTAATCTCATTTATTAGTCCAGAATATCACAAACTGGCAGCGGGCTTCCAGTTCCCGAGAGCTTTCATAGTTGCATAAGTACGACATGCAATGGACTCCCTAATGTAATCCGAAGATTGATCTCCTGGGTTGAAAATCAGGCCTCGTATCAATCCCGCCATCGACAAGCTCCCGTAGATCGAGATGGTTCTCCGAGGAGGGAAGGTTGATGCGGATACGAGTCTTGTCTTGGCTCTGCGTGTTTCAATGTGAGTCAGATTGGCGGTCGCTTTATGACGAGTATATCCTCAGGCTATTTAAATTGTTCAAACTTCCCCACCTACCTTCTTGTGCTTTTGCAACTTCGGTCAACTGACTTATATCCGGTATTAATCCTGCTCGAAAGATCAACTTCATCATGGCCGACCTTCAGAATACACTAGCGAAACGGTTCAAGGATTTGCATAAACCCGGCGATCCGGTCATCCTAGCAAATGTATACGATGGAGCCTCAGCAAAACTAATCGCTTCATTGCCACAGTCGAAGGCGATTGCGACCGCGAGTTTCGCCGTCGCAGAGGCTGCGGGCATGAGTGACGACACGCTCAGTAGAGAGGAACTCCTACGGGCGGCCAGAAATATTGCTACTTCGATTCAGCCCTTTGATAAACCTTTGACAGTCGATGCACGGGATGGCTATGGAGCACAGCTTACCTCGACAGTCAAAGAATTGATCAAAATTGGGGTCGTCGGTATCAACCTGGAGGACTTTGATAATGAGGCTAAGAAATTGTATACGCAGTCAGAGGCTGTGGATCGAATCAAACAGGCACTCCAAGCTACCGCAGATTCCGGAGTCCCGGAATTTGTGATCAATGCTCGCTGCGATGCATTGCTTCATGATGGGACTCTCGACGAGGTCATCACTCGCGGAAGGGCCTATCTTGCCGCCGGTGCCACGACTGTGTTTGTTTGGGGTGGTAGGCCTCGAGGAGGTATTACTCGGGATGAAGTGGTGAAGCTTGTGGAAGCATTCGATGGTCGACTCAATGTATCTAAAACCAAAACCGGTCTTACCCCGGCGACGTTAGCAAAGATCGGTGTTGCAAGGGTTAGTATCGGGCCTGGGCTTCAGTGGGCGGCATTGGAGAAAATGAAGGAGATGGCCGAAGAGCTCTTCGTGTCTTGAGGCTCAACGCTGGCTATCTACTAGTAGGAAATCAAGTCACGTATTTCTTTGTATCACCGTCAGTGGCGTGAATAAGAAATATAAGGGATCCCCGATTCCTTTATCTTTTGCTCTTGATTGGAGTATGAGGACTGGAGAGCTGTTAGTTCGGATTAAGCCTATTCAAGGGAGACTGGGTAGGCCGATAACGTCTACTCCCCCCACCCATCAACTTTCGATTCAAATGGCTGTGATCTTCCAGGCCACTCTCTTCTTCAGTCTGTGTGCCTATTTATCGTGTGCCGTGCCTTTCATTTGTCTAGATAGTTTCGCTCTCTCTTCTCTTCTCTTCTCCAATAACCCACTGCTACAACAGTCCGAGTCACATACCCCCATATACCACGACCTCCTTTGATCGAGCGGGACGTACTGCCGCATATGATGCTCACGCCGGTTGCCTCCAATGTCTGAATGAGCTCTGCGGTGGCATCCTCGCTGGAGGAACCCTCTACAAAACAACTATGCATACACAAACGTTTCATAAGGCCAACCACGGAAGGCTCAAGAAAACGAAGTGGTATATTGCACATTGCCGGTGAATGTGGTGCTCCATCTCTATATTAGTGGAGCATGTGCCAATGTTCAAAGTAAACCTTGGATGCTACTACTCCCGCTTCAGACTTCGTCGACCAGACTTCGGATCTGGGATAATCTTCCGCCATTCGCATATATCAAAATGAAACACTGCCCAAATCAAAATCCGGCATTCGGCCACAACATCTTGGCCGATGATATTCGAACATTGAATTCAACTTCAATTTGAACAAATACCGTACTGTAGCGGACTGTGGGCTCAAGAGACGCGAGACTTCAGCGAATGGGAACCTGCCTGGGAATCTGCGAGAAGAACACCGTTAGATTCAAGATTGCCGAGCATGTTGGGCCTGAGGTTTGGCTTCTCGTCTACAGCTATTTGTCCGACTGTCCGTCATTCCACCCTATTCCGGCGCTCGTTTTCTTGGGAAGTGGAGCAGGAGGACTACTAATTGCATCGCCAACCCGATGGCGAACATCTGCAGACATTCGACTCGCGTTACCAAGAAGACACAGGCCAATACTACGATGTTGAGCAATTCCCAGGCAAGAAGACAGAAAACGCGCCCACGCATGGACGGAACGAGGACGCTGATCACCAAATATCAAGTGGTCCGGACGATCAAGCTGTGGTGATGAATAGAAAAGTTGAAATTGGCGATATGTGACTAGAGAGAAGAGCGAGTGAAGCTATCCACTGGAACGCCGGCACAGCGGCTTTGATGCCTTGATGACTTGATGCTTGAGGTAACAGTATTATCGGCGATTTTTCAGTTTCAGCGTTGCGACAAATTCACATGCGGTTTATATAAAGATTTGATCCACAATCTGACTGTATCTATTTGAATTACAATCGCTTATTGGATTTCCCCATGCTAACCCCTCCGGCTGTGGCTCCAACATCCCATGGGAAACATCATGGGATGCCCAGGTGCGCAAACATCAAGCGGACTTCATGAATGCTCTGGGTACTAAATATTCAAAGTGTCAAGCAATATATCGAAAATCTCCAACTCGAGAGGTGCTGGTATTCAAATTCTTCAAGTTATGTCGAAAACTTGAACCAATGATAGCATCTCTTACCCAGCAGTATATGTTCCAAAGTCTGGCGGGCATTATGAACAGACCACCTCAGGCTCAGAGTCGGCATCCACTCCGACTAAAGGAAATCAGTGAAGGGTCCCGAAAAGAGATACATCACATCTGGAATCCCATGTATCCAATTGACTCCAGTTTTTAAGTTCATTGTAATCCGTGAATCCCCAGGTGCAGATAATTTACTGTGGTGAAGTATAGATATGTTGCTGCCTCAGGTGTCATGCACAGTTGGTCACTGTGGCGCACCCCACCGCATCAAAAATCTCCCGCGTCGCGTTTGCCAGGAGCTCCATCATCAGCCCTGACCACGCCGACCCGCTCTCTCTCACCTCCCCATCATCCGAGAGAACCGTCTCATTTATCTCGGCCCATATACACCTCTTTGCGACCCAATTGAACCCATCTTACACCCTTCAAGGGTTCTAGCCAAGATGGATGACCCGGCATCCCGTATCCCGGGGCAGCTGGTATGATCCCCCAACGCGCCATCCACGCTCCCCGCAAGCTCCCTAGCTCGAACATCAAAAGCTGACCCTGTCGCAATGACTATAGCTCCCTCACATGCACTTGATCTCTCGGAATCGCTACCCGAACATGCACATGATGCCCCCGGAGACCGCCGTCGAGTACCTGGCTAGCGCACCCCGGATTTGCCAATCACAACCTATGCATTGGACTTTTCTGGATGGCCCCGGTGACGGTACTGTCATGCTGACATGGCAGCCGCTCGCGCACTTGGGCAACAACTTTGCCAGTGATGGTTATGTTTGGGCTGATGCCGAGCAGGGACATATATTGGAGGTCCGAGGTTATGTACGTTTGATCCACTCCCAGCTTGAGCCTGAGAAACTCTTTCGCATTATAATCTTTCAACAAACTAATATGCCGAACCTCAGACTGTTGAGGTATTCGTTCATCGCAGCGGTTACCACCCCCCGAACGAGAACATGGCCACCCACAGTCGCAAGCGTTATCGCATCGTTTCTACCAAGATCGCCAACGCCCCCCAACCAGACCCTTCACTGTGGATTGTCCACTACTCGCGCGCGCCCCAGAATGACCAAATTCCTGCCAACCGCATTCCACCCACCCCGCAAGTACAACAATCAATGAGCCAACGACGATTCCTCCAAAGCCAAGGTCAACTTGCTCGCAAGGAATTCCTCCTGCACGACCGTAACAACTGGCCCACTATCAACTTCCCGCAACAGGCGGGCCAACAGGGTTTTGCCCAACCCCAACCACCTTATCAGGGCACCCCACAGGCACGACCGGGCTACTACCCGCCTCAGGGCCACCCTGCTGCGGCTGCGCCAGTTCCTCCTCAGCCCAAGGTCCCTCGCCCTCATCGTGCTTCTTCAGCTGCGATAGCGGCGGCGACCGGCGAATTCGCACTCGAGGATGAGGATGTGTCTAGCGGTGACGTTTTGGATGCACTTACACCCCGCGAAGTTAGTAAGATGCGATACGTGCAGCACCACGAATGGATGGAGGAGATCTTCGCTTCGCCATACTCCATCTCACAGATCACACCCGTTTCCCTCGGTTTAGGGCGTAAGGGAGAACTCCAAACGTTGACGGATGGGTTCTTCGACGCACCTAACGCAGAAGGTCAGGGTGAAGAAAATGTTCCCGACGCGACCAAATTAGAACCAGCCAAGGCGGAGGAATTTGCCGATCGTGTGACTAAGAAGGTTGCTGATATGACGGCTGAGATCGAGACGTTGAAGAAGCAACACGCACAACGCATGGAGCGCTTCAACCGCAGCTCCCTGTTCAAGGACGCTGAGCTGCGTCTCCGCGAATCCGCTGCGAACCCGTCAGAGTCGGGCCCGGAGATCTGGCGGCTTGAGGGTCGCATCATCGTTCCCTCCGAGGAAGATGCTACGCCCCAGCTGGATTTCGTGGAGGAAGAGAAGGCCAAGTACAAGGTCGATGATGTTGTGCGCGAGGTGGAGACCAACTGGAAGAAGCAAATCATGCCCGAACCCAAGGTTTCATGCGTGGAGAAGGGCGGTCTATTAGAGAAGATTGAGCCTGAGCAGGTAGAGCCCGAATCATTCACCAATGACATGGTTCTGGACGACGACACTCACCTCCAGAACCAATTCGATACCCCTGCTCCTGCGACCGCCGAGCAGTCTGTGCCTGGCGGAGTACCCGGAGACGTCGAAATGGATATGGGCGATCAACTTGCCGGCGGACCGGGTGAGAACAGCGAATGGGTGATGGTGAACAACGAGAAACAGGAGGGTCATGCGGGTGGCGATGCCAGCCTCGAGAGCGGATTCGACTTCACCAACATTGACAGCGCCGGTGATGCCTTGGCCGCGTACACGGAGCAGAATGATGATCTTGACCTACCCGATCTGGACAATTCGGCGTTTGGCGATGCTTTCCATGCGTCGGATAATGAGCACTCGCATCACCCGGACGCGGATGACATTTCGTAGCCTTTGTGTCCCAATTGAAATTTATGAAAGGCGTTTCTCCTCTTGATGGGTCCATTCTGCGTTCTAGCATGCTGCACGTTCTTTGCAGTTTGCTTTGGGTGTTGGCCGGTGTGTGGGTATGGAGGTTTTGGATCTGATCTGATGCATGATTTCCTGTGTCTAATTGCTTCATTTCTTTTTGCTGTATGATAAACAGGCAGAGAATGTACTTCCGAGGCATGGCCTATGGTTGATTCAAATGTGTACACTGCTAGTAGTAAGATAGATGGCATTCCGTATACATAACGAATAGTAGTAGAGATGAAGTATAACTAGGGCTCCACCTATGACTGCTAGTATCGGGCCGCGATCCGTAGAGCTGGAGATGTGGAGAATGACGATCGGTTGCTCACGAGGCATGCATGAACCAAACTCAGATAGCCAGTTTGTCCAGTGAAATCACGCCAGACTTGATAGAAATACGCTTTGCTGCAACCATCCAATATGCTCTAACTGGACCAACTCTGGGCTAACTGGAGTGCTGCTGCCACTTCCGCCCTTCCCCGTCGTGACGTCAGGCAGCCACTTGAAGCAGAAAAGAGTGGGAAACAGCGTCATCTATAGTTCGCACTACCACAAGTTGCTAGCTTTACTACTGCTAGTGTCCGACTTGCTGGGAAGGTGCTCTGCTCTGCTATAAACCAGCTCGTTCGTCACTGATTTATACTTGTTCCGCACTGCACTACACTGCACTACACTACACCCGTACCCACGATACTCAACCTTGACCTCGCCAATATGCCGATGGCAATGTAAAGTCCTACCATGACCATTCTCTCACTCTACATCACTGACACTTCATTTCACTCTACAGGAACCGCGCACTATCCATCCGGTCCTCCCGCCGAGACCGCGAGAACACCAGCGGCCGGCACCGCTTCAGCATCTCGACCTTCCGAGGAATCCAAGCGCCTGAACTAAGCCGCCGACTAAGCCGACTGATCAAGAGCGAGAACAATGCGATCGGTGCATACGAAGCCGCCGGCCGTGAGCGCAGTTCCATCGCCGCCCAACTCTCCGACTGGGGCGAGTCCACCGAAGACGATGCCGTCTCTGACATCTCCGACAAGCTGGGCGTCATGTTGGCCGAGATCGGCGAGCAGGAAGACCTCTATGCGCAGAATCTGGAAGACTCGCGCGGTGTTTTGAAGCATATTCGCAATATGGAGGCTTCGGTTCAGCCGTCGCGTGAACAGCGTCAGAAGGTCACTGATGAGATTTCTAAGCTCAAGTACAAGGATCCTAATAGTACTCGTATCACCACGCTGGAGCATGAGCTTGTTCGTGCCGAGGCGCAGAATTTGGTTGCTGAGGCGCAGTTGTCGAATACCGTATGTTGAAAGACCGAGACCCTCCCTCCTTCTCATTGCTTTTGGCACTGGTGGTTACTATTTATACCGTGTTTGCTGCATGATTCTGACGACTAACTGACACTTTCTTCCTATACAATAGACTCGATCAAAGCTCAAGGAGGCATATGATATCCAGTTGGCTGCGACAATCGAGCGCGCGGAGAAGCAGATCATCCTTGCTCGCCACGCCCGTCGACTGCTCAACTACATCGATGACAGCCCCGTCGTGCCTGGTGATACCCGTGCCGGCTACGAGCATGAAGTCGAAGCACGTCAGGTCCTTGAAGATGCGGAGACTGATCTTCGTGCATGGGAATCGAGTGTCGAGCCTATTACTTCTGCGGCCCGTGGTGCCAGTCTGTCGGAGCAAGGAGAGGGCGCCAGCTTGATCAACGGTGACTCCATGGTTAATGATGTGCCGCCGGCCACGAAGCAGATGGAGGAACCTCAGTCGGCCAAGTTGGAGGCCGAGCCCGTCCCTTATTAGTGAGACATATTTGTGGCCACCTATATTGTGGTTTGCTCTGTAAAGTGGTGAATCGGGTCGCGTTTTAATATTGCAAGGTGTCAGGCAGTGCAAATTGATGAGAAGAGGTGAAACCTGTATTCTTTCTTATTCAATTCAACCCATAATCGTGGATATTTCCAACAATTGCAATCGTGAGATTTAAAATACCAGGAGATATCGTAGTTGACAACTTGAAGTTATGAACTCGCAAGTTGTAGTTGTAGCTGGCGGAGTGATGAGTCCACGTGACCGCAGGCGCCCGAGTGACGACGCGGAACTCCCAAAGCTCGGAGCTTCCATCGTCGCCCATCATCAACTCCCTCCAACTTCCCCACTCCTCTCTCATTACCGCCCATTCGACCCGTTCCTTGTTTCCCTTCATATACGCACATCATGGACAAGCTAGTCGCCCAGTACTCGCGTCCCGCGCATCAGAATGAGCTCTACTCCGAGCAAGAGCAACAGGACCTCAACGAGAGCCTCCCTCCGCTCTCCCTCAAGTTCAGCATGCCCCCTATCGACAACGTGAGTTGCTGCCCATGTCAAAGAAGGCGAGGTTTACCCTCTGTGTCAGATGGCAATGCGACCGAGATCCCTTGTCCGGCCTGTCATCTCCCCAACCCCAATAGCTCCAACGATGCGGCGAAGGAAGCTCCTAGCAAACAGCAATCCCGCCCGCCATCTCCAATCATGAACCTCAAGCTAATGATCTTTGCTCCCGGTGATCTAGTCTGCTTCTTTCCTCCGCGCTATGACCGATGACCACTCCAACCCCAGCTGTCCTATCAAGATCGCTCACGGCACAACAACCCTGGCTTTCCGATTCCAGGGCGGTATCGTACGCCTCCCCCGAAACGAAACACTGTCCGTGATAAGGGGGAACAATGTGCTAATGAATCTACCGTACAGATTGTCTGCACTGACTCTCGAGCAACGGCCGGAAACTGGATCGCTAGTCAGACTGTCAAGAAGGTTATTCCGGTGTCACGGTTGAGCCGTGGTGAGGACAAGCCTAGCAATGAACCTACGCCAGGTCTGCTGGGTACTATGGCTGGTGGTGCAGCTGTGAGTTCCATCTTTCTCATTGATCCGGATGATGGCATTGGCCGTTTGATGATGACCGGAGACCAAGGTGTAGATCGGTGCTGATCTATCTCTTCACAACAGGATTGCCAATATTGGTTGCGTTATTTGAGTCAACAGTGCACTCTTCATGGTGAGTTTACCTATCTCCCAGAATATGGAAATGCCCGCTTTTACAGTGATTTGGTGCAACATGGACGAAAATGAGCAGAACTAACCGCATCATCGCGCAGAGATCCGACACAAGCGCCGAATCACCGTTGCCGCCGCTTCCAAAATCCTCGCCAACTTGACCTACGCCTACAAGGGCTACGGCCTCAGCATGGGAACCATGCTTGCTGGTGTACGTTTTCCATCTCCCCCAACATCCCGATCCATCTACCCAAGCACCTACACCAAAAATGTATTCCTCCCAAACTAACACTCCCGCCCAGGTCACCCCGCAAGAAGGACCCGCCCTTTACTACATCGACTCAGACGGCACCCGCCTCCCCGGCAACCTATTCTGCGTCGGATCAGGACAAACATTCGCCTACGGTGTTCTGGACGCCAACTACAAGTACGAGATGACAGAGCAAGACGCACTGGCTCTGGGCCGTCGCGCCATTCTCGCCGCTATGCACCGTGACGCTTACTCTGGTGGTTTCATTAACCTTTACCACGTCAAGGAGGAAGGATGGGTGCACCACGGCTTCGATGATATGAACCCTATCTTCTGGAAGACTAAGCTTGATAATGGCGAGTTCTCCAATGTCACGTCTGAGTTGTAAGTTGTGGGGGCTTTTTATGAGGATAGGATAGAATCTTGTATTATTGATTGCAATTGAGATTCTCTTTCTGTGTTAATGGGATTATAATGTTGCGATTTCATTTGTCCTGGACTGCTGCGCTATTTTGGGCCATCGGGGCCCTCAACCCCTTTGAGATGTAGATGTAGTACTGTGCCAGTAGCTTGAAAGTCTGCTTTCAGTTCGCTATTGTACAATCGCCGTTTGATGCCCAGGTGGGTTCCCTCTTACTGGCAATACTTCTATACTGTAATCCGCACATCCCATGCATGGATAACTATTGCGGCAGCCCCGCAAGTGGTCCAGTTTGCATTAACCACTCCCCAGGTCTGTGTTGGTGTATCAATCATCTGTGAACAAAGACTATCAACCAATGAACTGATATTGTAGTCATTCTTTTACCTAGAAATACTACTACTATAACTCAAGTACCATAATATTGCAAGGTTGTCACTGTCGATTGTCTCTAAGGTAGGCAAGTCTAGTGAATGCTGCCTGATCAAAAGCCCCTGGCTTTCACCGGTTGCCCTGCGAGATTTCTTACTCGTTAACAACCCTCTAATACATACCGTTTTCAAGGTTTGGAGCGCGGGGGGGAAAAGCCCGGTCAAGAAGGGATATACTTTACAAGCTGGAGTAGGGATATGTCCTTGTCCGGTTCTTGAGTTGGATTGCGCAAGTTCAACACTCAACTGTGCCTCGTTCTCTGCTTTTTAAGCGTGGAAGCAAGGCTTTCACGCCCTTGAATACCATGTCTTCAGGTATAGCCTGGATAAGGATCTCACCTGCGGCTCAGAGGATGCTGGCCATTTCTGAGACAGCGACGCCGGAGTTTATCGCCTCAGCACCAATCGCTCGCGTCCACAGAGATCGAACTCTTTGTGAGCGGAAAGGCGTCTAGAAAAAGGAAAGGGAATATCTTTGGTGACAAAAACCTGTCACTTTACACAATTGTGAAGATATCCCAGGCTTCGACAATCGTCGCCGCTGTCACTCCCGGGATCTAGTCGCTCGTTTCAAAAATAAAAAAGCACTGTTTGTTTATAGGTTGAACTCTACTTTGTCCTATTTTTACTTTATTCTTCCTTTTCTTCCCGTTAGAGCGAGTACGACTGTGTGGCATCTTTGTGGGTATAGACTTGATCTTATCTTCCGAGCCCTACCCAGTCACCAGGTCTGCCGGTGCCTGCAGCCATGTCTTCAACGTGCAGCACGGCTTGCCTACGGGCAAGGCTACCATGATCTTGCCAAAAGAATCCTGGGAGCACTAAATGTTTAAACATCGTCGCTACTCCTTTATGACTTCCTTCTGCCATTTCTGTGGCAGTTGTGTAGTATACAGAATCGCTTCTTCTCTTTCTACCAACAGAGTGTCCGCTTAAGGTCGGGGTTTTCAACGCATCTCGCCCCCTGGGTTGTCTCTGACTTGAGCCTACAGCACTATCTCTAGCTTTGCCCAACTGATTCATTGCTTACAACAAACGCAAAGCCAATTTATTCGTAAGTAGTAGGCCAATCCTATCGACAGAGATCTCTCACTGATCATTTTAGTGTCTAGAAAATGGCGTCGCTTCATGAACTTCCACCTGAACTCCTCTTGTGCATAGCGGACTACCTCCAAGAGAGGCACATTCACGCGATGCTACTGGTCAATCGCCGTTTCTCCGGCGTGTATGCGGAAAACATTTACCGCAACAATCGAGTCCATCACAGTTCTTCCTGTTTGGGTACCCACAGATTTGTCCGAATCAAATACTTGGGTGCATTTGGGAAATATGGGGCGTTGAGGGCCCATTTGTTTTCGGTCAACCCAACAAAATCAAGATATACTTCAATTGTCAGGAGTTTGAACAGGTGTCCCAACTTTTCAGCACTCGTGGGTTCGTCTGTCAGCGGGTGAGGTGGAAAACCAAATGGAACAGTCATTTATGTCCCCTTAATATCCTTTTTACTGAAATCGTTCCAAGCTTGTCGTCTGTAATAACTACTCTTACCGGGCGTGTTTACTACTTGAACTTGAATTAGAGTTCTTACGGGCTGTAATAATTACTATTACTATTAGTAGTATGAAGCTAAACTTGGAACCTTGGAAATTAATAGTTTTGAAGACATGATATTGACCTCGTAGAACATATGATAATATAAACAACATGGAAAATCACACCAGACGCTCCATCTATGACATAAACTGTGAACCAGGGAAGATATAAACAAGCACAACTTGCCACAGTCCCAAAGGGGGAAAAAAGAAATCCAAAAAAGCAATTTTTTTACAGATCAACAACTTGAACCCAGCATCACTCACACCCAACAGCCGCAGCAGCAGTAGCAGAGTGGACGAATGATGGTTTCAGTTCAGTTATCAACCCAGAACTTCATGCGAATACCCATAGCGGCAAGTTCAACATCCAAGTACCGCAACACACCAGGCACAGCAACGACCGTAACATCATCACCACCAACATACCGCAACCCATCACCATCCTCCCAAGCCTCAGCCCTGGAATCATTAAAGCCAGCCTCATGCGCACAACGACGGCAGCGCACGATACCAGTAACACCACCCAGCGCACCACCACCCATACCCACACCGCCGGGACGGGTAGAGGAAGGTTGTTGATTGGGCGCAGCCTTGGCAGCAGCAGCGAGAGCGCCGGCATTGACAGCAGCCCGACGCGAAGCGCCCGACCCTGCGACGGCAACTTGAGTGGAGAGGAAAGATCCACAACCGCGGCAGATCCAGGCGAGTTGGGAATCGGAGCAGTTCATCAGACGGTCTTGGAGGAGGAATGCGGCTCCGTGAGCGATGAGAGAATCGCGCTCCATTTCTCCCACACGGATACCACCGCCCTTGGCACGACCCTTGACGGGTTGGCCGGTTAAGCCGTTTACGGGACCCGTTGTGCGGACTTGGAATTTGTCGTTTACCATGTGACGCAGTCTTTGGTAGTAGACTAGACCCATGTAGATATCTGCGGCGAATTCTTTACCCGTGATTCCGGAGTAGAGGGGTTCGTTGCCGTAGTAGTTGTAGCCGGCCTTCTTGAGTTGGTGGCCGAAGTAGTCGGTTGCTGTGTTCTCTTCGCTGAATTTGAAGGGCGTTGAGTCTTGCGGGTGGCCGTGGAGGGCGCCGGCTTTTCCGGCCATTGATTCGATCATTTGAGCGATTGTCATACCTGGGAGGGAAATTTGTTAGTCTGGAATTTGGGGGGGGTGGCTTTGGGGGGAAAACTCACGAGATGGGAAAGCGTGAGGGTTGATGATGAGATCGGGTTGCATGCCGCTCTCGGAGAATGGCATGTCGACTGCTGGCCACAGTTGGGAGCAAACACCCTTCTGTCCGTGACGAGAGGAGAACTTGTCACCAATAATCGGTTTACGGGGGATACGGTACTTGACGCTGATGGATTGGATAGGTTCGTTGCCGTTCTCTGAGCCCATGAGGCGGATGCTCTCGATGTAACCGACCTCGGAATCCTTATACTTGAGGAAGTGGGTGATGCCGTCGACATTAATGTAGGAGTCGGAGGCGGCGTCGTAGCGGACATTGTGCCATGCGGCAATTTTATCACCCTCCTTGACGCGGATGCCGATGTGGGGAAGACCGTCTTCATCGATGATGCTCTTGGCTTCACCGCGGATCTCGTCACCGGGTGCGAAACCGAACAGCTTGCTCACGTCACGCTTGGACTTGCTGCGGCGAGAATCACGCTCCGCCAGGGTGTGCACCTTCGTCTTGTAGATAGTTCCGTGACCGAACCCGCGTTCGTGAGCGGACTTGTTGATGATCATGGCGTCGTCCATGTCGTAACCGGTGTAGGAGATAATGGCCACAACGGCGTTCATGCCGTTGGGGAAATTATCCAGACCGTAGGCGTTGTAAAGAGGAGGCCGGACAATGGGAGTCTGACCAGTTTGAATGCGGTACAGCTTGTTGTCTGTACGGTAGGCGATCGATGTACCGGGGGTACCCATTGTTTGCTTGCTCATCTGGCACTGGTACATGTTACGGGGCGATTGGTTGTAATCGGAGAAGGGAGTCATGTTGGCGACGATCGAGAGGATGTTGGTAGGGGTGAACTCAATGTGAGTGGACAGGCCGGAGATGAGATCGGATTCCAGGCAGGCAATCTCCATGAAGGGCTGCTCGAAGGGGCCGACGTAGTCCATCTTGTCCAGGGCAAGATACTTGACAGGACGGTACATTCTGGCGGATTGGGAGAAGAGATAGACACCAGGATACTGGCCGCCGTTCGAGTTGGGGACGTAGCCAATCTCAAGTCCGAGGGGAACGTTGTTCAAGCCGGCGACCTTCCAGTAGCGGAGCGTGTCGTGGACCTTGCGGGCTTGGTCGGGGGAGCAGAAACCAACAATTCGGCCGTCAAGCTGGACGACAACGCTGTCATCCACGGCGACAGAAGACTCGGGCCGGACACCGAGCTGAACGAGAAGCTTTGGAATGTGGGATACCTTGAGGTTGTCCGTGGAAATTAGACACTTGTGCGCCAAATGGTTTAGCAGACCGCAAGGAGAACCATCAGGGGTGTGGACAGGGCAGAGGAAACCCCAACTCTCGGGCAACAGTTTACGGACGGTGGTAGTCTTCAATTGGGCGAAGAAACTACCACGATGAATCATGCGGAAGTGACTGATGAATCGGTAGAAGTTGATCTTCTCGGCCATGACGGTGTAACCGGAGGTTTGTTGCAGATCGAGACCGGTAGGACTGACCAAGTTACCAGTGGAGAGGAAGTACTCGAGGGCGTGACCGATATTCTCGTTAGATCGCTTCACGATCTTGGACAAGAAATCGCGTTCGAATGAGGGATCTGTGAATTTGGCACCACTATTGCGGATGCTCCAGTCACGGGCGATGGGGCCGAAAGAGCGGAGCCACTCCTCGATACGCTCCTTAAGGATCATACCGTAGAGGAAACCACCAAGCAGAATCTCTTGGTTTGAGACAGCATCGGGGTTGTCAGGCGCACAGTCGCCGGACACCAGAGCATACAGTTTGCGAATCATGAAGATGATCATCTTGAACTTGTCGTAGTCTTGGGACTCGGTGACGTTTTGGAAACCCAGGTGAGGCAGGACAACTCTGCGCAGGAACTCGGTTCCCACCTCCTCGTCGGGCATATCGGCGGGAACACCAAGAACCGGACGGAAGCTCTTACCGAAGTGAGCTCGGCAATCTGACTTGCTGTGCTTACCGTAGGCCTGATAGGTTCGTAGGAGAAGCTCCACACGGTCTGTGACGAAGGTGTTCTGCATGCCCTTGGAAGAGGCGCTGCCCACGATACCCTCGAAGATCTCGCGGTCGTTGGTCTCGACCAGGGCCTTGAGGATCATCATGACGGGAATTAGGAACTCATTCTTGCGCCATGAGAAACGGAAGGTGACGTTTCCGTCGGAGAGGTAGTGTAGGACGTTGGTCTGCGAGGTTTGATCAGGTCGGACGGATCGTATTTGCACACCGAACTTGGTGTAAGTGTGACCACGCTTGACGAAGGAACCACGAATGATGGACATGGGGTAGTTGCGCTTGCCGACGATCAGCATACGGATGAGCTTCTCGTTACCGTTGACAATGAAGTAACCACCTAGCTCTTCGGACTCCTCCTTGCGGGTGACCAATTCCTCGGGGGTGGCCTTCTCGAGGTGGCATCGGTTGGTGCGCATCATGATGGGGACTTGGCCCAGCTCGCGGACCGACTCCATCCAGTCACCATTATTGACCTGGTACTCAAGACGGGCGCGCAGCTTTCCACGGTAGGTTGAGTGGCGCTCACGGCACTCTGAGGGGTAGATGTTGCGGTTCTTGAGGCTGTGCTTGTTGGTAGGCGGGAGAACCGGCTTTTCGAGAAAAACTTCCTTCACGCGGACATTCAGGCGGTTGCGCTTGGGAGCGCGAAGACCCTGAGCTACACGGGCCTTCTTTTGTTCGGGAGTCTCGAGCTCGCCATCTAGGAAGGACTTGACGCCGATATCCTTCAGACCGGCCTCGAGGATCTTGCTATCGTCGAAGATGGCATTGAAGGAGTCGATATGAGGGCGAATGGAGTCGGACAGGGAAGGGAAGGCCGTGTGATCCTTGGGAGGGTTCTTGTAGAGATTCTCGCGTCTCAGGGTGTCGAAATCGACGGACCACTGTGTGTCGGTGGGCGCTGGCGCCATTGTGAAATGAAGCTGTCGGATTAACCGGTATAGAGCAGAGAAACGCTGACGGTCAATGGGAAATAAGAAGTAAGGGAAATTGAATGGCGGGCAATAGATGACAGACCCTCAGCCTCAGCCTGCCAGGGGAATATGCAAACAAGCAAGAGGAGTGAGCCAGCAATGGCAGCTTGGATGAAGACTACCTGAGGTTTCTCTTTCTCGCTGGGCCGTCGGGGAAATTTTCGAGAGTGGATCCTTATCGGCACGTGGTGATAGCGGGCGGTGTATGGAAAAGTAGCAGAATAAAACAGCGCAGCGTAGTATGAGGCATGACTAATCACATAAAACTACATGCAACAGACAATATGCAACATACAAATAGAAAACAATAAAGATATACAGATATTCTTGCTTTTAAGAAGACCATACGGATGAATAGAGGGATCAATACATACAGAACAACGTTAATGAATTTCCTTGTTGAGTGTTCTCTAGTGGAGTATGCACCACCACTACGTCAGCCTCATTCCCATCTGGGTAGAGAGTAAGCGCCCCTCTCCAACGGGAGTCATGTGGGCGTAGATCTATTCGATACTGCCTAAACGCTTCCCCTGCTTTTGTGCTCTTTTGTTTGATTCTTATTTTTACTATTCCTGATTTTATGATATTTGAGTTTAGTTTAGTTTAGTTTTGTTTATTTCTTTTTTTTTCCACTGTTGTCCTGTGGGTATTCTACTTGCTTCTTCCACTTCTTCCACCACTTCTTCTTCCCTCTTCACTCCTCTCGACCCCACTCTTCTCTCCCACAACCCAATCCAACCCAATCCAATCTATTCCATTTTAATCCAATCCACTTGCTTTCCTGCTCTGCTCTGGCCTGCTCACCTATATCATAACTGGTCACGCTCCCACTTGCCCTCCTCTCTACGTCTAATCCTGGTCTTGATTCTGATTCTGGTTCCGATCTACGCGCCTTGGTCTACATCCAGTTTTGGTCTTCCTCTTCTCGACTCAGATTCATCTCATCTTTCTCATCTTCCATATTCACCTCCATCACCATGGCTGGTATCTTCCGCAGCATCTATGACTGGCTTCTCAGGATGTTCTGGTAAGAGTGGGCCGTCGAGGCGTCCGGGAAGACCCCCCCCGGCCCGTTCCCCCGTCTCCCCCGCAGATGAAGCCTGGCTATGGCTAACCTTGGGAACTCCTGCAGGGCAACCGAAATGGATGTCACCATGATCGGCCTGCAAAATGCAGGAAAGTCCTCCTTGCTGCGTGTCTTAGCAGTATGTCCTGTCCTCTCCTTTCCTCTCCTTTCCTTTCCTTTCCCCCCATTGTGTGCTGTTGCTGTCCCACTTTCACTTTCGCTGTCGCCGTTCCATCACTGACTGATTATCGCAGGGCGGGGAATTCACTATCGAGTAAGTTGATCGTCCAAGCGTATTCAAACGTATTCAAGCGTATCAAATCCCATCGCTTTCCTCCGCTCCCGCTCACGAGGTGACAGCTCCATCCCGACTATCGGGTTCAACACCAAACGAGTCCAAAAGGGCCATGTGACTTTAAAATGGTACCCCTCTTCCCCTTCCCCTTACCTTTCCTTTTCCGTCCCCCACTGGTCTGTCCGCTGTTTCTAACCCCGCATAGCTGGGATCTGGGCGGCCAACCTCGCTTTCGTCCCATGTGGGAGCGATATTGTCGAGGCGTCAACGCCATCGTGTAAGCTAAGCCGTTTCGTTTCGTCGTCCCGCCGTTCCCTCGGGGCCCGCACCGAATGCCATCGCATCTGCTGACCCGTCAAAAAAAGATATATTGTAGATGCCGCCGATCAAGGCGCTCTACCCGTCGCCACGGAGGAGTTGCATGAGTTGATAAACAAGCCCACCCTGGACGGGATCCCACTGCTCGTATTGGGTAATAAGTCCGATTTGCCGGTCAAGTTGTCTGTTGATGAGTTGATTGATGCGATGGACCTTAAGTCTATTACGCACCGCGAAGTCAGCTGTTACGGGATCAGCGCGAAAGAGGAGACTAACCTCGACGCGGTGCTGCACTGGCTGATTGCACGGGCGAGTCGATGAGGTGAGGTGAAGGTGAAGCGATCCCTCTCCTCGCTTTGATCGTCCCCTTTTCATTGGTAATGTTATGTCCACTGTATCTGCGACTTTTGATTATCTGCGATCATCATCTGCGATTCGTTTAGCTCGACGCATTTCGTGGCACTATATCCCTGCTTTTCAAGCTTTTCGTTCTTTGGTTCTTTCTGTCTGAATTCTTTTTTTCTGGTTTTTGTTTTCTTTACTTTGGTCCTGCAGATGCGGTTCTGTTCTGTTCCAGTAGACGGTTAGGTTAGGCTCACAGCCTTTGACGATGCAACGAATTATGTGATAACATTTGGGCTTGCGGAGTAGTGGTGTATGTATGAGTGATCATGACAAAGTACTAGAATCAACCTTAAGATCAAGATTGCCAGCTCGATTATTCCCAGGGAGACGGCGAGTATAAATAAGGCGAGCACACACGGACCAAGTGATGCGCTGGCAATGCAGCAAGTGGCCACCTGCCAAGCGCGAACATGTGGATACTTTGGGATAGTTACTTTGGTGATAATGTAGTACTGCTAGTACTAGTAGGACTAGATGCATACAGTTGACTATTATCCAGGGTATACTAGCAGATATTAGTTAGTCTAACTCATAGAATAGTACTAGTAGAGAGTACGTAAGCAGCGCCAGTATAACTACTCCGTATTCGTACTTTGTAGTCATCATCAACCGCGCCTCACTCCACTGTGGCGTGATTGGCCTGGGGAAGAACTGCGCCTCGATGGCGATCATTCTGTGAATCAGGATAACTATTCACCGTCCAGCCACTTGTTACCTGGTATATTTCATATTTATTCTTTCTCTTCTATTTATCGTTTATTGTTATTTTTCCACTTTATCCTAGTATTACTAGTACTAGTACTAGTACGGAGCATAACCTACTAAGTACTACGCTTGACTGCAGCCTAGTGCCAAGCCTCCCCAGCCCCGGCAACCTTCACCTTCACATTCACCTCTCACCAACTTCATTTCTTCTGCAACTTTGCTTTCTCACACCATCACTCATCATGGCCATCATTCCCCGTTGGTACAGTAATTGGTACAGTTCTTCCACTTCTTTACCTCTACCTCGCTAACATCCCCATCCATAGCTATGGCGACGACTGCTACTACGGCTCCAACTGGGACCGCTGGGGTCGCTGGGTAGCCTTCGCCGTAATCGTTGGCTGCGCATTCCTCCTATTCTTCGGCTTTGCGTGAGTCTACCTCCCCTCCCTTCCCTCCCCTCTTTGCTCTTTCGTTCTATTCCGTGGCGCCTGGCTCGGCCTGACCTGACCGGTCGCTAACGCTCCCTCCTAGTTGCTTCAACGCCCGTCGCCGCCGCTCCCACGGCCGCAGACCAATGACCGGAACAGCCTGGATGGCACCACCACCAGGTCCCCCTCCCCCAAACCAACCATACTACCAACAACCCTACGGCGGAGACCCCTACAACCAACAACCACCCCCGCCCCAATACTCCGCCAACCCGGCCCAGTACGGCTACTTCGGCGCCGCCCCCAACCAGGGCCCTGGTCCCCATCCGCAACAAAATGGAATCGAGCTCCAGTCCCCGCCGAATGCGTATGGACAGGGTGCGCGCGAGTATGCCCCTCCTGAGGGCCCTCCTCCTGCGAAGGTCTAGATGTCTGGGTTTGGGCATGTGCTAAGCTGCGATTGAGTCTGGTTGGGTTGGGCTGGACTGGGCTGGGCCGGGGAGTGAAAGGACCTGCTCTGCTTTCCTTCCGGTCCCCTACCCGACAGCCCCTTCCCCCCAAGCTCGCGCGCTGCCTGCTTATGTTTATACTCAACCTCGGTGGATCCGATCGGACTTCCCATGGCCCCCGTCTCGATAAAGGGGCTGCTGGTCCGGTCGGGTCGAACTTGATAATGATGCAGAATTGCTTGCTTGCACGGGAAATCTGGCGTTCTTTTTTTTCTGATGGTCCTTTTTAAATTCCCCCCCTTTCGATCGGTTTGGAATTACGTGGGAGATAAGATAAGATGGTTTGGTTTGGTTAGGAGGGGGTGCGATATCTACTTTCTCTTTTTTTCGCACTGATATACGTCTGCGCGTTTTTTGTTTCTGCGAAAAGACCTGCGTTGGTTTTTTTTCCCCCTCTTCGGCATACCTCGGGAGATAGCTCCCTAATACTCTTTACGCCATCACACTCCGCTCTGCTGTTCTGTCGCTCCCACGCGTGGCTGGCGTGTAGGGATACAGATAGAGCCGCAGCGGACCTTCTGTCCGTACATGATTATTCCTACTATAATGACATATTCCATTCAAAAGCGACTCTAAAGTACCCGCTTTCCTCCACTAGTATCTTCCACTATACTCGAGATCCTGGTCCTCCGAGTCCGAGCTATTCATAGACTCAGGCTGAAACATGCCCACGGACATGATCCTGTACAACATAATCTCCCGAAGTCGAGTCCAAAGATAGAATGTCTGTACCGGCGGATGACGTGTTTATCTTTATTCGACACGTCTGCTTTTCCCTACGCCTCTGTACTTTACCCTGGAAGTTCAAGTTTCCCGGTCAAATGGTGAGAGTAACATTCACAATAGCTAGTAGTTGGTACCAAATGGACCTCAATCATCGCGCAACTTCCAGTATAGAAATAACCTCCAGTACGCCGTAGCAACATAGATGCAAATTCTGAAACAAGGTACATTCATCACAGCCGCATAATCGCAGTTTCAGCGGCAATGCCTTCAAGAAATTATTGTCTTAGCCAATCAGATATCTCATTCAGCCCTGTAGATAAATGTGACGATCTTCGGCGGCTAACGATTTGATCGAAATAATGCGCCAAGTGAGGAATTTGTTTCAGTGACCTTGGGAGGTTTCAAGGTCGCCTAGGCGCCTAATCTGCCTAGGTGATTGAATTCAAGGTCTGGTAGTATCACCTACAAACTGGCCCATGCCGTACGCCCGGGCTTTGAAGATCTGAGGTTTAAGTTCGGAAACTTTTGAATTCCAAGGTTCCATTATATACTCCGAGTTCAAGTTTAGGTGCATGGCGAAGTGATTGAATGTCGAGAACAGGAGACCGTTCAAAATACTACTAGTAATCACTGGCACACTTTCCATGGCTCTGAGTCCGAATCAACTTCAAGTTAATTTGATTAGAGAGACTTCCAAGTTCCAGCTCACGATGTGCTCTGCTGATATAGGCTTAATGCATCGACTCCGCACGAACAGAGCTTCAAACTCCACAGACAGCGGCACTATCCGGCGCCAGGAAGGGGTAGTGTTTGATTGGGCTGAGACATGAACACGTCCATCGACTCAATTTACGCGAATACTATCCTTCCTAGCCACCCCCGAAGTCCAGGGTGAGGTGGCAGGTTACTACCAGAATCTATTGGCTGGCTAGAACTTCCCTACACGCGATGGGGCTTTCGTATCGTGTCCACGTCAGGAGCAGCAGGTGGGGTGTGCCATCAGGCGTGATATGCTAGCGCGCGAACAAAAACACCTCGGTCTTGCAGATGGCTACATGACCCTTGTAGGAAGGCGCTTGGCTTGTCTTCTGTCTTGCTCGGCAAGCTGAACCTTAGGAAAGGGGGGGTCGTCGCTATATTTTTCTTTGCTGAGTTGTGGACCTAATATGCAAGATTCGTGCCTCGTCACAGATTAGCCTTGTCACTTGTGGTTCGTACTTTGGGTAAGCGTGGTCGGAACTTTTCGTCTCACTTATCGTGATCTTTCCACCCTGAGAATTCGCCCAGGGAAACTTAGGTGATTGTCTGGACTATCCAGCTCGACTTAGTGGCTGAGCCCTCGATTTTGATCCGAAATCATGTCGGAGAACAATAATAGTTGGTATCCCCCTGCACAGCCAATACGCCCTTTAACTGACCATATCGGGACCAGGAGGCTCTTCCGATGTCCGCGATGAAATGGACCCCGTGGAGGAGGCTGGAGACTCGTCCGTTATTCACAGCACGGTCGGCCCTCAAGAAGACAACAGAGAAAGCCCCGACGTCTCAGCTCAACATATCCATGACGACGAAAGCGGACAAGACTCTACCATTGAAGAAGATGCCACCGCTGAAGATGATCGGATAGCGACTGAAAGACTCAAAAATTCCATTGTCGACAATGATGAGGATGATGTTGTCTCGATCCTCCAGAGTAACCCAGATGTGCTCGAAGCGAAATTTGATTTCATCTTTGAGCGCGAACAATTCAACGAGCTTACAGGGGAAGCACTGACCCCTCTGGTTCTGGCGGCGGGATTGGGTCAACGTAATATCGTGGACATTCTTATGGACCGAGGTGCCGATTTTGGTACACGAACTAGGGGTGGTCAGTCTCCTTTCTTCATGGCCACTCACTTCGACCATCGAAACACCGCCACTCAAATTCTTGAGAAAGGAGGGAATGATCTACTCGAGTTTAAGAATAGTTGGGGTGTGAGTCCTTTGCTTGATGCGGTCTTTGGGGCGCGGCATGAAACACTTGCATATCTTCTGCATAAGGGCGCAAAGATCACCATCAAAGATCTAGAGGATTCTTTTAGGAGATTTTCAAGTCAAATCTCGGACAAAGCAGAGCTTTCTGCCGCTCTCTGTGGATGCTGGAGTGCTTTCGGCGATTTCTTCCAAGACAATGTACCATGGGGCAGCAACAATCAGGGGAATACGGCACTGCATCTCGCATGCATGGGAATTTTGAGGGGAAGGGTCGATGTTAAAAAGCTCGAATACATGCGAATCATTAATGCATTGTTGACGGAACATGGCGGCCTCCTAGAGAAATCAAATGATGCTGGGGAAACACCACTTCTGACTGCGGCTTGTTGGGGATACTGGGAGGCTTTTGAATATCTGGCTAGGAAAGGTGCCAATCTTTCTGCCCAGAACTCCAACAAGGACACTGCATTGCACCTCGCCTGTAAAGGAACTATGGGAAGCCTGTCTTGTATCCCAGGTCCTCAGCATACGCAAATTATCGGAATGTTACTACAATATAAAATCGATATCATGGAACAACCAAACGAATCAGGGGAAACACCGCTTCTTGTTGCGGCTCGCTGTGGTCAGTTCGGGATTGTGAAGCTTCTCTTGGACAAGGAAGCATACCATCTAGCGTCAGACGATGAGGGAAACACGGTGGTTCATCTATGCTGTCGATTCCAAGAGGAGGATACGAATCCTCCTACAAATCCGCAAGGTTGTTTGAACTTGGTCAAAAGAATCGTGAAGGATCACCCTGAGCTTTTAGACAAACGGAACAATGACGGTGAGACCCCGGTTCTTATTGCAGCTATGAAGGATCATTTGGGTCTGGTCGAATTCTTTCACAAGCAGAATGCGAATATTGAGAGCAGGGATGTGTGGGGATTTACCCCTCTACTCAACTCTACTTTCAGCAGTTCAACCTCCGTCATGCGATACCTTTTGAACGATAACGCAGATTTGACAGCGATAACAAACTCCCAAAACAATATTCTCGAGATTGCTTGTCAAGAACCCAATCCCGATGTTATTCAAATCATTCTCAGACTCCAGCGCGATCAATTGAGACCACTCGCAAATGGAACTAATAAGTCGGGACAAACGCCATTGATGACGCTTATCGAGACTGGAGATCAGGAATGTATAGTTCTACTATTGGAATCACACATCTACGTTCCTGACGATCCATGTCTGGATGAAATACATTACTCACCGGAGCCTGAACGAGGGATTGTCTCGTCGTGGCTTTCAGAGGGACTTGACGAGAAAAACGAAGATACAACCAGATTTTCAACCTTCAAAGCCAAGATTGACTTTGTTATCTACTGGGCCCTTTCAAATGGTGACAATAACCTGCTCAAGGTCGCCATGAAGCACATCACGTCTATTGAACTCGAAAAAGGAAACACATGGCTTCATTTCTTCGCACGTGTTGGTAATATCCAGAGCCTGAATTTATTGAAGGACTGGGAGTCCTACGTCTTGCAAGTGGGGACCAAGAAGATGACTCCGCTTCATCTTGCAGCAAGTAGAGAAAACACTGATCTCGCTGAAAGGTTTCTAGATTCACTTCATACGGAAGGAGATTCGGCGGAATATCAATCAGGAGATGCAAGAGATCATGCAGCGAAATCAGCGTCACTAAAGATACTGGATGCCATTCTTCAGGAGACGGAGGATCTCGATACCGTGATATCACTTGCAGTTCGGCAGCAAAATTCAACCCTGGAGAGAAGCCTTTGGATCAGAGCGCTCAAATTGGTACAAATTCACAACATCTTCTTGCGAATTTCACTCGAAGAAAGGCGAATCGCCGAGTTCGTCATGGGAGTGGCAGCTTGGCGCTACACTACGGGCGAACCGAAATATCTGTATGGCTTCATGAATGTGGTGAGAGGTCTACCCTCCAACCAGCCCGGTCAACAACCTTCGCCTTTGAAATTCATCGTGGAGAATAATTTTCCAGTCGCTCTTTGGTGGCTACTATCCAGCGGCCGCTATCTTGGCGAAACGGATATAAAGGAGTGCGAGAAACTGACCCGCAGCGAAACATCGCTAAAAGACAGCCCTCCAGATGACGAGGTCCAACGGATTCTCAAAAATCCCCCTCCAATACGTGCCCAGGTATATGACGGAGGTCGTCCTCAATTTAAACATGACCCACCAGCAAAGGGTTCGCTGATTGCAACGCTCCTCGACTTCTCTGTAAAACCCCATCAGGTCAATCTCAAGCTCAGACGAGCCGACATTGATGATTTGATTCGAGCTCATGGACCAGAGTCTATCATGGCAGATAACGAATTCCATAAGTTCCAAGACTACAAAAATAGCCTCTGGTCTTCTACCGGGACAACACCCGAAACAGAGCCACAGGCACACGGAAAAGAAACCAAAAAGACGGGGAATGCAACAAAACGAAAGGTGGTTGGAAACAAAAATGATTCCAAGAATGAGAAAAAGGGCAATTCTTCAGATTTTGAGCAAAGTTCCGCCAGCGGGGTGAAACACAAATTCCGCTGGATTCATCTACCAAAAAACGACGTGAGTTGAATCAAAGCGCTGGCAAATCTTGGAAGTGATATACTAGTTGGAATACTAATGCTAAATTAGCTACAATATGTTGAGGTATTAAAATTTTGAACTTCAGTGCATCACATACTAATACATTTAGGATCTCATGGTTCGATTGTCAGTTGATAGAGGCAGGAGTAATAGCGAACATTTCCACTTAGCCGGGCTAGTGGAAAAAAGTTGGATGGAGATTCCTTCAGGGGGCAAAACCTTCTACATGAGACCGAATTGTCAGATTGAAAAGTCCGACAAGGCTAAGATGCTGAGTCTTTATGTCAGTCCTTTCGCCATTTGAGCTCATTCAAGTTCCAACTTTGGAGGCTAAATGAATATTCTGCATAGGTGCCATACATATTCTGGAGAGACGCACCTGCAAGAAATGAAGTCAAGCCCAGCATCCGTAAAGGAAATCCTGACTACCCTGGTAATGGCCCATCCTCAAAGTTCAAGTTTACATCCCAATCTCCAGATTCGAAAAACACAGAAAAAAGGACAGGGAATATGACACTCGAAACCGCAACAAACCAGCCCCAGGGCCCTCGAAATAGTGCCAATCATGATCGTAAGCACAACCAAGAAGATCTCGATAAAACCGTTCAGCTAGATCCATATTGGCCACAATCCGAGGAAAGCATTGGAAAGCGAGTCATTCACAAAGATCTCACTCTCGATCAATACTACTACGAGTCGCTCCAAGACACCAACAGCCGGGATTGTTCTCAGGTACTTGGACGGCTGTTTGATCATGAATCAACCAAGACGGACAACAAAGGGAATCCAGCCGGCCAGTCTGGGAAAAGTGGAAATGCCAAAGATAAAAAGAAAGCTCAAATTCTAACGGTCAATCAACTTTGGCTGTGGATTCTGGATGATGGCATGCCCTACCTTTCCTATCTCTTGTCCAATCTTCCATCCTAACTCCCCTGTTATACAGACACAATTATCACCAGCACCACAGAAGAGAGCAAGGATATCAAAAAGACATTCTTTCAACGTGTCTTTGACAACATCCACCAGACTGATCTGGACAAGCTTTACGAGGACGACAAACACTCACCGGTGATATATCACCTTGCTGATATCATCATGGACACGGCTAGAGGTTTGTTCGATGCTCGGGATATTGAGCTCAATAATTCAGAGGATAGCGGGATATCGCCTTTTGATGCTTACCGGAAATCAATCCAGAGAATGGTAGGTACCAACGCTATACCGAAGTGACGACGAGACGACAAGGCTAACCCAGCTCGATCCAGCGCGACTATGAGATAAAGCTGTTTACCAAATTCCGCGAAGCCTTGGACAAGACCAATTCGAAGAAGTCGCAAACTATCCCTCAGCGGTTCCTTGCGTTTTGGCGGAGTTCCCGAACACCCAACAAGCCTAGAGAAGGGAGAGACAGGGTGGAGATGGGGAATAAAATTGAAGGCAATTCAGACATCTCAGACGATTTGGGGAATCCATACGAGAATATCCTAGACGAGACCCGGCTATTGGAGGAGATCAAAGATGTCTTGGATGAGTTAAATATACTGAAAGCCCTATCCCAGGACCAAGAACGTGTGGATAATGCCTGGAAAAGAGTCGCAACTAAGGTGAAAATCAGTCGAGCTGTCAGCGCGTCTGAGATTAAGATTGAAGTTGAGAGTATGATTGAAGATGCAAAGAGTGTTCAGGGTGATATCAACTCATTGCTAGATCTGAAGCAAAAGGAAGCTGGCATTGTCGAGGCACAAGCTACACGCAGGCAAAGTGATACTGTGATGACATTCACGATTGTCACCATAATTTTTGTATGTGATCATTCCTCCGTCGTTGAGTTAATAGCTAATCTGTTCAGCTACCCGCGTCGTTTTTGACGAGTCTTTTTGCCTTGAACGTTTCCGACTTTCCTCACCAGAATGGTAGCGTTGAATACAAAGGATCATGGATATTTCCCATTATCTGTGAGTGAGCCATCTTTCAGATTCAAAGACTGGCTGGCTGGCTGACATACTCTGTGTTCGTCTAACTTAGTTGGAGTATCTACTGCCATATCTGCAATCTTCATAGCTCTTGCGTTTAACACAAATGGGCTGAAGAGGTACACACATATCTCAAAGGAGAACATGAAGGAGTCTTCGCGGGCTCGGATAAAAGGAATCTTTGGGGTACGAGGTGATGGCACTGGAGAGCAACGAAGTCAAGTGTAATGCCCTTGTAGAGGAATGAGAACAAAGCCACTTTTACTCTACTTTGCAAGTGAGGTATGAAGTCTAAATAAATCGTACTTCAAACACGGACCTGTTAATCTGCAGGTGGTTGGGGGCTGTAGTCAATACAGGTTGCTTCTGATGCTCATTTCGTCCACACTACCTGGGCCAGTCGTCAATCATTGAAATCGTAGGCAATGAAAGAAAGTCCATATTTTCGATCTCCGCCATCATTGAAGGCAGATCATCGAAGAAAGAGGCATCATTGCAAAAAGCCATGTGGTCACTCTCGAACTTATCTGTGGACGGGCGCACATAATCTTAGTTAGGTCTGAATCGAATCTGGGGATCATTGATTCTCACCTTCGTCCGTTTGAGGTGGCGCCGCTGCTTCTATTGTACTGTGGCAAGTAGCCTCATCGGGCCTTTCGAGCACGAGCCTCAGAGTCGTGACTACTCTGCTTTCTTCTCTCGACAAGTCAGGTTTGTGGCTCCAGATAGCCAAGCTCCTCTCGAGAAGTGCTCGCACTTCAGAAAGATACTCCTGTGGGAGCATATTTTTGCGATGCCGAACCAGAAAGCATATGATACTTGCAGCTAGAAAGTACCCGTTATTTATGAAGCAGGAGTCCACCATACCGGGAGGGCAAAATGCGTCCAAGACTTGGGACTCTTCTGCATTGCGGTGCTGCAGCCGCATAATCTCCGAGGATGCTTCGATCACGATATTCCAGGACTGATCGGTCTGAGTCGTATCCTTCGAGGTTCGGAGAAATTTCCAATTTATCAGGATCCGGGATCTTTGGTAATGCATGTAAATATTCATACGCTAATAAAGATGACGATGTTAGCAGGCGCTCAATTCCCCAGTATGCCTTTGTGATACCTGGTCAGAACACCGACCTGAAATACGACGCTTGGGGGATCCAACAGAGATTCCAATACAGGCCGTAACTTGCAAGGCTCGGGAATCGTTGCATGCATCAAGTCCAACTCCAAATTGGCCGCTTTGAGGTCCTCGTGTGATAGCGGTTTAGGACTACAAATCATATCCGATACTATGGCTAAGCTAGTAGCCACATGAAGCTTCGAGAGAATCACGGTGCTTGAAGTAAGCTCATTCATAGGTCTTGCGGGTGGAAGGTCAATCGAGTCGGCGTCAAAATCACGATCCTGGAGGTTCCGAGGTGGCAGGGTATCGCTGAGGGAAGACTTAATACTGCTTGGCAGACCCATCTGCGTTGCGAATCCTATGTCAAGGGAATATATTATAGCCCACATGCGGCGCCTCATCTCGCCTTCGTAGGGAGATAGGGACTTGAAGTGCTGCGGGTCTCGATGGTAGCCCATTCTAATAGCTGCGCGGACTTATCAGCAGGCGAAACGTTGACTTATAAAATCATAAACACGTACCTATTTGGACAATATTACCCATCAAGAGCCAGACCTCGATGTTGGACTCCTTGTTCATGTAGCTCTCAATCAACAAGTAGTGAACCATAGTTTCCATAATGTCAGGACCACCCTTGGCAAACTGACCCCGGACGAGGCATTGCACAATCTTCTCTCGGTAGTTCAAAATCTTATTCGAGGTTGCAGGTGACCAAGCATAGGAACCGGTATCCTGGAGGTTCGAGGTACCGCCATCCTGTCTCTTGCCATGAATGGTGAAGCAGAAGATACTGTACAAAAGACCGAGCCAAGGGACAGTCGCTCCGTTAGGGTTCTCCCAAAAGAGGTTATACTAAGTTAATGCGGTTACTTTTTCGTCCTTTCGCGTCATCTGTGAGTACCTACCCTTTTTAAGAACTCGGCCGGGTGTATCACAGCTGTAAAGTATAGCATCAGAAAGGGCAGAATGAGGATTGCCTTCCTCGCCTACAGGACCACTCACATCGATATTCTTGAGCCCGGAAGTAGATTGCGACTAAGCGGTCACATTCTCCTTTGGGCGGCATCGAATCGAGGATTTCTTGGTCAGTGGCATGTTTGCATCCCTGGAAGAGGAGCACATTCTGATTAGGAGCCAACGAATCCTGTTTGAAAGTGATCTCCGATTGAAAAGCGGAGGGTAAATTAGAATGGCCGTTCGTTTCTGATACGCCGTCCAGAACGGAGGTCCAGTGAGTAGAATCTTTAAAGCCAGTCCCGGACTTGGTTAATTCCAAATCCGTGGCCCCGGGCGATGAAAAAGAAGCTGAACTGCTTGGCGTAGCCAATCCGTATATCTCACCGGCCGTTTTCTTGCTAATCCCTAGAGTGAAATTTCTTGGTGGGGTTGAGGTGTAAGGGATTGACGAGTCGGCGTAGATGCACGTCGGTGCGAGGTGATGTTTCTGATCCACATTGCATGGCGTTGTCAGCTGTAACACCCTTGGCTTGTCATTCTCTCGAGATTAGGGGCTAGGGAGCTTACAATGCAAAAGGAACATGGCTTTCCGCGGTCACACTTCCGTCTATTCGCTGCGTTAGCTCTTTCTCCGTTTCTATCGATGGCAGAGCGGACGAAAACATACTTCCGCTGACGGCAGTGATTGCAAGAAAGCTGCGGTTTATCGCGCCGATAGGTTGAACGTGGGCGGAGATAGACTGAAGATCCGCCAGGAAGACTCATAATCTCATTATATTGTGCGTGGGGGCGGTCGAAGATGTAAGAGAGATGGAGAAAGAGACTTGGACTCGTCGCTATAGTCTATTCTTATGTCCGCACTTGTTGTTATCTCCGCCTCCGCCACAACGCACCAATCACAGATCATCCCACCCTCCGCAAAGACCCGCCCATCGTCCGCCTCCGAGCTTCCTGAGTATACTACAAGTATACTAAAAGTATATCGATAAGAAAGTCGACTCCCGGATGAATTAATTTGAAAAATACCATTGAGTCCTCTGTTCCAACCATCCCTTAACGAATAGAATATTATATTTCCTTGATTAATTGAGTCAATTTGGTTGTTTTCCCCTCTCTGTTTCAACGATGAGTCTCAAGGTCGATCCCGAGAATGGTGTACGACGAGATTCAGATCTCGAGGAGTCAGTTGGAGGACTCAAACACGAAGGAGACTCAACGGACGACGCTGCTAAAGTTGAGGACGATGTCCCACCCGATGGCGGTTCCGTTGCATGGTTGGTTGTTCTGGGAGCATGGTGCTGCTCCTTCACAAGCCCAGGCTGGATCAACAGTGCGTATAATTGAATTGTCCCTTTCCAGTGGCTGGATGCAATAAACTGACAATCTCTTTTTTCTCACTAGGTATGGGTAGCTTTCAGGCATATTATGAGGTTGGCCCTCTGAAAAACTATTCTAGCAGCACCATTTCCTGGATTCCGTCCCTCCAAATATTTTTCGTTTTTGCCCTCGGCCCAGTCGTTGGCATACTTTTCGATAAATACGGGCCTAGGCCACTCATAATTGCCGGGACCGTCTTTCACGTTTTTGGTCTGATGATGGCATCGCTGGCGAAAACATACTATCAATTCATTCTGTCACAAGGTATTTGCAGTGCCATCGGCGTTGCTTGTCTTTACTCGCCGGGTGAGTCTAAGCCGAATTCCCCCCATTGGCATTCAAGCTAAACCTTATGTCTGTTATCAAGCACTTGCCTGCGTGGCAACCTGGTTTTCCAAAAAGCGTGGCGCAGCTATGGGTATCATGGCTACCGGCGGATCACTCGGCGGCGTCATATTCCCAATTATGATCAGCCGCATGATTCAAAGCACTGGATACCCCTGGGCTATGAGGACGGCAGCATTCCTGATCCTTGGCCTGCAGCTGATTGCAATCCTCACGATCCGACCGAGAACAAAGCCTGTCCCTAAAAAGATGCCTCTAGGCCGTTTGACTGCCCCTTTTAAAGAGCTACCGTTTGTCATGTTGCTACTGGGTGCATTCATCCTGACCTATGGTATCCTTATTCCCGTTGACTATATGGCCGTACAGGCTTCGCGAGAGGCGCATATGTCTGAGCAAATGTCTCAATACTTGGTCTCCATCTTCAATGCAGCGAGGTAGGTTAAAAATCAGCCCAGTTTTAGCATGATCCCAGCTCCAGATCATTGCAGAACGCTAAAAGCTATACCCAAGTCTCTTTGGCCGCCTGGCGTCCGGTTACGGAGCCGATAAAATTGGAAGATGGAACATTTTCATCGTCGCCTGTAGTATTTCCGGAATCACCCAGCTTGCGGTTTGGATCCCCGCCACGCACTCTTCCGTCGTGATCGGCTTCGCCATCATGTTCGGCTTTTTTTCGGGAGCGTTCATAGGTCTTTCTGGCGCCCTTCCCGCGTCGGTGTCACCACTGCCCGAGATCGGCTACCGGCTGGGCATTATGTTCCTCTCCATCTCTATTCCCGCCCTGACCATGGCACCTGTCGGTGGAGCTATCCTGCAAAATGCGGCCGGTGGTTGGCTGGATGTGAAGATCTTTGCCGGTGTCATGTCCTTGGGAGGTTCAGCGATCGTTCTTTATTCGCGGATGCTTTATACTGAAAATAAAATCCTCACCGTGTTTTGAGTGTGGACTCGGAGGTACACCTGGGTATAAACACTGCCAGTGGGCATTCATCAAATTGAGTTGCGGAAATATGCAAAAGGCACCGTGCTTCGCCATAATATAAACTCAGTTTAAACTGCGCTCGAATTTCCAATTGAGATGGTCGCGAATTAGTCGCTTATCAAATTAGAACTTGAATCCAAAGCAAGTAAATCTATTGAACATCCTCTTGCAAATTGCGCATTGTTTTGGCCCTGTAATATTAGCCTGGGTTTGTACTGAGGGTACCACTATCCTTGTCTGTATTGCATATTGCTCTCTGTTGGCGTTGCACCCATTGCACGCCGTTTGTCATTGGATTGGTAGATATAGCGTGAGGATTCTCTCCATCGCATAGATCTCCCATCCTCATCTTCCATCTCATCCTTTCGTCTCTCCCAGTAGTTTGTGACGCGGCCTGCTTGCATGTTCTTCCAGCGTTGTATCAGAAGCAGCGGATGCACATAGACATTGCAGATGCTCCGAAGGAGATCTTTTACAGAAGGATGTAAGCGATGCTGGATTGCATAGTGAATTAGGTAGACCCGAGGTCTGCGGAAGTGTCAATTTCGAAGGGGATCAGGATCGATATCCCATAGATTGTTGTGGTCTGAAGTGTGGTTGGTCGAAGGCGTAGTGGAAGGAACGGCCTCTGAGATTCTTGGGACAGCATTTCGATGTTTCTCTAGCTCTTTCTGCACAGCTCTCATACGAGGGTGCAAACTGTCCAACGGGCTCATGGTCTTCATTTTGCAGTTCACGTCAAGCGGGATTATGCATTTTATACTTAGCAATTAGTACTATTACTATTAGTAGTATACAGGCACTACCTACTGCTGTTTCTATCTAACAACCTCCAAATAATCGTAAAATAGCTGGTCATGAAGTAGTTAGTAGTTAGTAGTTAGTAGTTAGTACTAGTAGTATAACTAGATGCCATACTAATAGCCAGCTGATTCTGTCTGTGTCATCTTCAACTTTAACTTCAGCAATGGAATGAGCAATTGAACGATATCATCTAATTGCTATAGAGTATACTGTATCTAGTATACTATATCTACTAGAAGTATGGATAAATGTAGCTCTTTAATTAAGGTATGCACGGGACCCACCGCCATCTCCGCTCTCCGCAATTTTCGCGTCGCGATCCCCCTCCACCTCAACCTTGCAATCTCACCCTCAATCCCCAATTCCCTCCAATCCAGCCCAACCCACCATGGACATCGACGACATCCTCGCCTCCGTCGATCACGGGCCAGGCGCAAGCCCCGAATCCACATCCCTAGACCACCAATCACTTACACGCTTCTGGGTCTCCGAACGCGCCGTCTCAGAAGTCCTCCCCTGGCCAACAGCTCTAATGGATCGAATGATGGATCGCGTCCGCATGCAGGTACGCCAATTGCAGCAGAAGCAGCAGCAAATGTACCTGACACTGACCAACCCACTCAGATCGAATCAATCGAAGACATCGCCGCCTCATCAGCAGACGCACCCCCACCAACAACCCACAACCAAAACGCAAACGCAAACCACAACCCAAACCTAAACCTCCGCCTCTCAATCCTACAAACAGATCTCGCCCGAACCCAATATATAATCCGCAGCCTCCTCCGCACGCGTTTAGCAAAACTCACAAAATACAGCATGCACTACCTCGTCAAACTCTCCTCCACAAACCAGAATCTCTCTCAATCACAGTCGCAGTCGCAATCGCAGTCACAACCAATGCCCGAAGACTCGGTACCCGACATCTCGGCCATCGCTTCCTTCGACCCGCTCTCTGAGAGCGAGGCGAGTTTCGTGCATGCGCATCAGAAATTACTCGCCAGCCACTATAGTGGGTCGTTTATGGGGGCTTTTCCGAGGCAGTTGAGACGGTTGGATGATAATGCTGGTGGGACTAGTATGATTCAGGGGCCTGAGACACGGGAGGTTGTTTTCGTGAGGTGTCTTGGTGCGGCGGTGCCGGTTCTTATTGTGGGGGAGGGGGAGCAGGAGGAGGATATTGGGGTTACGATGAGGATGGGTGATGTTTGGGTTGTGAGGTGGGAGGGGGTCAGGGCTGCTTGGTTGAAGGGAGAGGTTGAGTTGTTGTGAAGCTGCTGCTGGCTGCGCTTATATCTTTTTTCGTGCTCATGTTTACTTGCATGGGTTATGTTTACTGCTTGGCTGGACCTGCTTGGAGGGGGGAACCTTGGAGAGCAAAGTCGCCAGGTCGCATTTATGGCGTTGTTGGGATTTTTTGTGATGTACTGCATTATTTTGGATCATCATGGCTTGTCATTTATTTCATTTGAATTATGGCTGGGGATATCAGGACATCCCTGGCCGAGACCTTTGGTCGTCATCTATGAACATTCAATCGTCGCCGTCCGTAGGCGTAACGCCCTCCGCTAATATCAAAACACCGGTTATGCGACGTGAAGGATGAAAAAAAAAAACCCCGAACTGAATAAATGCCATGGCAAATAACGGAAATCGGCGAGCGAAAGGAAACATAAACATCGGGATGTCATTATCGTCATCATCGTACCATTTGAAAATTATTCAGGCAACGTAGCCGTACGTGGGTGGTTCCTCGCCGACTCGTTCCAGGTACTCGCGGTCAATCAAGCTCTCAATTCGACGCTTGACCATGTTGACATCTGGTACAAAGCGAGCGGATAATTGCGCAAGGACCTCTGTCATGAGCTGAGAGTGAATCAACTTTTTGCGTTGTCTGGGAGAGGTTAGCAAAAGATCAACTACAAGTGGGATAGGGTCAACGAACTTCATGATTCGAACGAGGGCCGCCTCAATTGTACTGCCACGCTCCTCGTTGAGCTTCTTTTCGGTATCCTTGCGTTGATCCTGGTTCTCCGCTTTATTGGAGCCGCCACTGACGACGCCAATCCGCACTTTGACGAACTGACTCTGGAACTCGTTGTTGAAGAAGAACCGATCTGTAGGCTTAACATCCTTGCTCATCGGCTCTTTCTTAAGAACTCTTGTCTTCGGCGCCACAGCGAGTGACTGGAGATTGCGAATGAGGTCATTTTGGGGAATGCTGGTGCGACCCTGGATTTCTTCGTAGGTGTAAGATTCACTATCCGGTAGGTCGTTGAAGAGGGAGAGAATGATCAGGGCATATGTTGACACGTTCAACTCGTATCGCTGGGTCTTGCCGCTCGCCCGTCGGAATGTAGCACGGATGTCAGCGGTACCCATTCCAGCCTGCCAAGAGAGTTTTCGTCCACTGTGTTTGCCGAGATAGAATTTCTCGAAGCTCTGTTTCAAGCTCTCGATCTCCTTGGGGAAAGTGCATGGCAATTGGACGTGGCCATCTCTGCTGGCCATCATCTCCATGGGCCACATCGTGCTTGTGAGAACATTGATATCTAGGTCGATGCGCTTTGGGTCGGGCTCCGCACTCTGAGCAATATGCGCTTTGTAGCTTGCTGATAAATCCTCGGAGACGGTCATATCCTTGAACATGTGTTCAATGCGCTGGGTGAACTGGTTCCCAACCTCCAGTTTCATTTTGGAAATCATTTGCCGCTCAGCATCCATGCTGGAGGCGCGCTTCATCAACAAGCGACGGGACAGATGTTTTTTATAATATGTCTCGAAGAGATCCTTATCCTTGATGTATCGAAGCAGAGTGATGCCGTTATCAAGAAGAGCGTCAACTTCAATCTCGGTCTTGCCCTTGATACCTTTTTTCAAGTTCTCGTCGAAAAAGAGTGAAAGGTACTCTGAGCTTCGTGGGTTGATGTTGATAAAATCCGAGAAGCTGCCCATGATCGAACTTTCTAGACCTTGGTCAGACGAGAAAGCAGTCTCCCAGACGGTATCAAACTGTCGTTTCAGGGCCAGAATATCATCCACCCATTGAATCGCAGATACTGTTTGTTGGTTGACCGGCTTTTCTTTCGACTTCTCTGCCTTCTTCGGCTCCTCTGTGCTTTTACCAGATAACGCCTGGCCTTGTGAAGATGTAAGAGCCGAAGCATTGATCTCTTTGCCAAGCTCAACAATCCGCTTGTTGATGGCTCTAACGAGAGCATCCTTCTTCGGGTCCACTCGAGCATTGAGCTGATAAACATTTCGAAGACCATCCAGCTGGTTGTGGTCCAGCATATGTCGAACCCCGGTACCCTCTAGCTTCACGACCTCCTCAATGTTCTTTCGGATTAACTCCTCGTCCAAAATATGGAGGATTTTGGATTCAGTCGCCGACGCCAAGACGTAACGGCATCTTTCTTGTTCTTCCGCAATTCGCTCAGAGGTAATACGGCAGAAGGTGCTTGCATCTCCGATATCAATGAGGCGTTTCCCTTCGCCTTGGTAGAACTCTGTACTTGTGCGCAAAAAGGCAGGCTCAAACATCGAGTGATAAAGCTTGGCACCCTCCTCCTCATCCATGTTCTCATAGAGTCCTTCGAGCATCTGGATGCAATGTCGAATCAAAGGCCGCTCAATGATATGACCGTTCCGTTCCAACTGGACCATAAATAGTATTGTCGATTCGAGTATATCGTATACGGTGGTTTCGGACTCGGCACGGGCGGCGGCACGGAGGATGTGATCTCGGAAGAGGGCCATGGCGACAACATAGATAGAAGGCTTCGTTCGGTCTGCGGAAATAATTCGATCCTGGGAGGGACTATTAGATCTGCCCCCTGCGTGTGCGGCGACGGAACCACTAACCATATACATCAAGACATCGGTGATCATGCCCATGCAAAGCTGATGGTCTTCCCACCTCTCCTTAAGCACGCCCAGGAACTTCTCCCCCGCAGCTCGGCGTTCGTTCGACTGGTCTTGCATTTCCACCACGCCTTGGGGACGTATCAGACTTGCTGAGATCGACTCGGTGACCTGGTGTTGAATGTTGTCGCGAAGCCAATCCTCCTCAAGGCCCTTGACCTTTTCGTAAAGATCGTCCCCCCCGCATCATCAACACAATTCTGTAGGCACTGCGGTAGATCTCCTCGAAGGACAGGGCAGAGGCATTTTTGGTATTTATTTCGGTTAGAGAAGCTGAGAGGACCTTCCAGCTGGAATCGAAGTCGTCTGTTTTAGCAGAAGGAAAGCCCTGTTTGGTAAATATCAGTGTCGAGTTCCAATCCAAAAAGAGGGGAGGGGAGGGCAGAATAGTCCGGCATACCCGACGAGGAGCTCGTATTTTGTTGCGAGCCCTCATGGCGGCCATCTTGGAGATGGAATGGATGAGAGGAAGCTGAGAAGGAAATAAAGTCAAAAAGAAAGCAGTTGAGGGTAGAAGTAGTCGGTAGAAGTCGAAAGGAAAGAAAGAAGAGCTGCTTTGCTCTCCGCGGAAGTGCCACCGGAAGATTGTTGACCCGCCACCGCCTTGCTTTGACGTTGACGTCGTTGGCTCAGGCCCTTTCTTTTCTTTCTTCACACTCCCTCATTCAATCAGCCCCCATCATTACAGTTAAGTGGAGGAGAAAAATCTCTATAATACAACATGCGCCCCTTCTCATCACAGGGCCTCCGCCCTTTGCGCTCGTTAATCTCCTCCGCCCCAACCTCGGCCCTCGCATCGAGTCGCGTACCTGTCTCCCGATTCTACTCTTCACAACTACTCCATCAAAAGCGGAGCCTACCATCACTCGTCATTCTTCGATCCCAGCGCGGAGTCCTTCCGTCATTATACCGATTCAACTCCACCGCGCCCCGGCCTCTCACCGAATCCCCGGCTCAAACTGAGACCGACGCCGAGCGCGAGCAAAAGAACGAGGAGCGTCGCAAAGAAGAGGAGGCCTATCGCATCACTTTCACCTGCAAGCCATGTGGCGAGCGCTCTTCTCACCGCATGTCTAAACAAGGCTACCACCGCGGCACCGTCCTCATCCAATGCCCCTCCTGCCAGAACCGTCACGTCATGAGCGATCACCTCGGCATCTTCTTCGATAAGGGTACCACACTGGAAGATCTCCTCAGCGAGAAAGGTCAAACGTTGCAGCATGGTCGTACAGATGGTAATCTGGAATTCTGGGACGATGGCACAGTGAAGAGTTTCACTTTGGAAGGCGATCAGGTTATGGAACCTACCAAGCCAGAGTCTTCAGCTTAAGCCCGGACGGGCGGGACGGATCTTGCACGTATCCATTTCTTGGTGCGTGGTGGTCTCATTGGTGGATCCAGGTCAACCATCGATGCCTTTGCGCAAAATTGTATATTATGTATGACTCTCCACTCTCTGCATGGCGGGTTCCAGGCATCGATGAGGAGAAGGGGTGGTTTGGGGGTAAAGACGAGGGTGTCTACCTGTCGGATATATTTTCATGTAACAACAACATTGTATAATAGATTTAGATGTCTGTGGGTGCCCACTTGAGGAACGCAGAGGTATTCTGCGGAGCATTAAATGTCAAAGCAAACCCAACACATTGGCCGTCAAACTATAGTAAGCTGTAAAGTCAAGTGTGACCGACCAAAGGGTTCAATTCTGATACAAACTTCGGAACGACTCGCTTCTACTGTCCTGGCACTTGCACTCATCGGGGCTGCCTTTTTCTTTATTTCGCGGAAACTCCGTAAGATTCAGCTGCCAGAGCCAGTGGGAGGAAGCTCATACGCCAGCCCTCGTGATGGGGCTTATGAACTTGCGTCAAGTGGAACTTCCATCGTCAAATGAGACTGAGACAATCATTGTGACAAAACAGCCGAGAGAAGAAAGTGGCAGCGTCTTTGAACTGCCAGGATGACGGCCGTCATGTCTTTTCTGCAACATTAACAGGTCTTGTAGTTGAATTTGTAGCTGTGATATCGAATACTGTACACTATTTCTGCGGTAATGGCTTCTCTTAATACACCTGCTTGCTCACATTAGTTTCGGGGTGATCTTTTCTCATATTCCAAGTCTACTATGTGCCGGTCATGCTCGAACCTTTCTATTGCGAGATACTTCATAATTGATAATGTAGCTTTGTGGGTTGTTCAGTGCAGAAGTGAGCAGAGGAGAGGAGATGTGTAGTAGCTATGTCCAAATTTGTTAGGGGAATAGTAGGCACAGGCACCGTTAAGAATGAGAAACAAGTCTCTCCGGGCACCAAGCCCCCGAATAGTCAAGTGGAATTGGCACAGACAAATATCCGGGGGGGAAAGAGTGAGGAGGCTTTGAACAGACGCACAGGGACGGATGCGTGCCTATCATCTTTTTGTTTTTTTTTTCCAGGTCGAGAGGTCGAAACCGAGCCAGGGAATTCATTTGGTTTGTTTTCTTTTCCCTCCTTTCCTTTTTCTTTCTGTTTGTTGCTGTTGCCCTTCTGCCTAGTAGTCCCTCGTGCCTTCCCTACAAACCGTTTGCTGTCCCCATACTGAGTGGGGGTCCACTTTTCTGCCGGCTAAAATAGGCTTGTCCGTTGTTGTTAGTTATAGATCGCTGTAGACTCGAATAGTCCAAGTACACAACCGATTGCAAGGTTTCAAAGTTGAAAACCGCAGACCGTTCTTCCAGGACTTGGCTCAATTGAAGTGATTCTCACAGCCAGCAAACTCAGAAATTTAGTTGTCTGAAGCCTCACACCTTTGTTCGACGTCTGCCAGTGTTTGGTTACCGTTAATCACTGTCTGCTAGCACATAATCATATGGAAAATTCAGCTGGTCGACATAGCTCGTTGGACCTGGGAAGAGTGTAAAATATAAAAGTTGCCCAGGCAAAGGGGGAAAGCAGGCCCCAGGGGGTATTAAATATCTCAACCAAGAAGGCTGTGCAGCCCCATCCTTGAAATCTTCCTCACGCCTAGGCCAAAATAACGGCTCAGCAGAGAAGCCTTGGGGCCTAAGCCATTGTTATTCTCGAAACTGAAATGCTGGACAGGAACAATGGCGATCTATCTTATTGGTGGTGGGCGTAGCTCGTTACACACGATTTCTTGGCTTTCGCCTAGGTGATCGCCCGGGTGGCTGCATTCCAACGAAATGAGGCGAACTAGCGGGGCGCTTAGTACATATAAAGAGTGAGGCAAATGAACCTTCCTTTCTACTCTGATCAGACAACCCCCATCTTTGATTATTGAAATATTAAAGGTTCTTGAAAGTATCAAACTTAATTCTTCGCAATATTACCAGTATACCTACTCTGTCTTTTCTGAATTATGCTCCCCTTTCTGATCAAGTCCGATTTCGTGTATGATCTCATCGGCCACTACTCCATCTAGATTGTGGCCATGAACAAGCTCCAGCTTAGGAGGTCTATAGGTCTTGCGAGCACTAAAGACCCAGTTTGACGCAGCGATCACGAGAATCACTCCAAAAGCGGCAATGCAGTAGTTCATGTTGCTTGGTGTGGTTGGATTCGATGTTGGCCAAACGAAAAGAACAGTGGTGAGCAAAGCCCAAGCAACATCTGCAGCATTGCAAATATACCCAATAGTGTTGGGCAACTTGAAACTGCGGTTTTCGGGAAGCATGCGACGGCCACGCAGCATGTTGATTCCTGGCGGGATAGCGTAGGTGATAGTGAAAGAAACCACAGCAGCAGAAATGATAGCGTTGAAAGCGTTGTCAGAGCCGAGGAAGATAAGGCCAAGAACAATAACCCAGCCGAAGCACCATATGAGTCCGGCTACGGGGAGGCCAAACTTTGGGCTCACACGTTCAAAATGACGATTGAAAGGCATTCCGCCATCCCGCGCCAACGCGTATGCCATGCGAGCAGCGGTGGCCATATCGTCGATGGCGCATAGAACAAATGATAGCAGAGGGAACATCATTAAGCATATACTACCAGCCTTGCTCGATGTGGCCTGGTAGTAAATTTCCAGCAAGGGCTCAGAGGCCGATATAGCCGATGGGATATCAGTCATGACGGCGAGCACGGCGGCAATATATCCAAATCCAGTAATGACAGCCATTACAATAGCGGATATCATCAGCTTGGGGCCTTGGGTCGTGGGGTTCGGCATCTCTTCAATCATATGGATGGTTGAGTCATAGGCAGTCACGGAGAAAGCACTTGAGCATATCGTTAGCTTTGAAGTTAGAAGTAAAGGCTTGAAACATACCCCTGCAGTAGACCCAATTGCCAGGCCCAGCCATCTGGCCATCCTGATTCATTGATGAAACCCCCAAACACAAATTTCGCACTCTGGAAATCCGGAGCCGCGCACGCGAGAATAACTATCAAGCTGATTATGAAGCCCGCGAGCGTGAAGAACATGTTGTACTTGTTCAGATGGGAGAGGAAGCGATTGGCGAACAAGTTGTAGCTGAACGCGATAGCACCGATGGCGATATACAACAGGAATCGCTGCCACGGCTTCGGCTCAAAAGTAGGGTTCACCAGCTCAGCATAACTCATGATGATTCCACTCACAAGCAAGCAATTGGCTGCTGCTAGGCAAACCCACGCAGCGAGGTTGATCCAACCAGTAATATAGCTGACTGCGCGTCTTGTCGATTTCCAGCTGGCAACAGCTGCCCAATGATACTGACCACCTGCGGTCGGGTAGGCAGACAGAAACTCGGCAAGCGACACGCCACAGCATAGGTTGAAGATTCCTGCGATCAAGATACCCCAAACAGCGCTGCTGGGCCCGCCAGATGGTAGAGAAGCATTGACGGTGGTTCCGATGGCACACCATGAGTTCACGATAGCAAACGCCATTCCAAGCATCGACATGCTAGAGAACGAATTTCGCTCTAGATCGGATTTTATGCCCATCCGCTCAAGGGAGGCATCAGCCTCTGCAGTGGCATTGGTATGGCGCTTTCGGGTGGTGCCACCTTCTTCCATGTTGGAGGCGAATGGTTGAAAATAGGCTGTTGAAAATGATTGTAGCAAGAGAGGCGGGAAAAGGAGCAGGAACAGGATACAAATAGCCTTTCAATCCTCACAATGACATGCGGCGACCACACTATGTCTCTCTTAAAGGGCGGGTCAGACGGTGGCGCGCTAGTCTAGGGGAGTCCATTCCTTCGCGGATCCTTCGAAACAGGCAATTATTAGCAAAGGAAAACGACAATCTTAGACCGCGGTGTGGGTCTCTCTTATCAACTAGCCAAGATAACGTGATAAGGGCTCCACTAAGCTTTTTCCCGCGCGGTCCTCCATTACGTGGGATCCCCGTGGTTATACTCCACAATCTCGCCCCCGAGCCATGCGTCAACCTCAACACGCGACAACCTCGACACATCCCCCAGATGAATTCAACGACACGAAAAACGATCACTCGGTCGCGCAATGGATGCGCAACTTGCAAATCAAAGAGGGTAAGTACTTCCTGCAGTCAAGACCACCCTAGCTCTCCAATCACCAACAACCAGTCTATGTTTTAGTTGAAATGCGACGAAACCAGACCCAGTTGCTCGCGCTGTACGAGACTCGGCATCCCCTGTCCAGGCTATCAAAAGGATCTGAAATGGCCTACCCGTCAAAGGACTCCCACAAAGAAAGCAAGGTGTTCTAGCAGCGCTGAAGCTGGCTCTCTCTCGGATTGGACCAACTACACATTCAGTCGAGCAGGGTCTTCTACGCCTCATCAATCGGTGGTAGACCTATTCTGTTCAGAGATATTTGATGAGGTTCCAAGTTCCTATGAAGCTAGTCATATTGACACGGTGGGCGATGGCAGTCTTACATCGCCACTCTCATTTGATGATATATCTCGGGAAATGAATCTTCAGTCGCGACAAACTCCACGGAAAGCGACATTTTCCAAAAGCCAGACGCCCAAAAACGATTCTATATGGCCATCATCCTTTACCAGCATCTCGGACTTGCAATTTGATGGCTCATCGAGCTTGGGATCCCCGAACCCGATGTCGCTGTCTTGCCAAACGCCACTTGCACAACCCCTCCAAGATCATTCGTCTATACTGGTGGAGTACTATTTCAGGGAGGTCTGTGGAATGATGTCCTGCTACGATGGTCAATTGAACCCATACAGAACCACAATCTCCGATGCCTGGTCTGGTTCTTCATCCCTCTACTATATCACCCAGAGCATGGCAGCTGCATGTTTATCTGACATTTCGCCGAAGTTCTCTTCTGTTGGCCTGCAGCTTCAAAAACAAGCATCTATATGCTTGTCGGAAGAGATTCAAGAAGATCAGATACAAACGTCGTCTTTATTAGCCTTGGTTATGCTCGGGATGAGTCGCTCCTGGCACAACCCTGGCGAAGTGGGCCAGTCAGAGTTCGAAATACTTGCCACGACACTTCTTTCTTCCAATGCCTGCCAAGGCAATACCAGTCCACCTAATGAACAGAAGATGTCCTTTTTCCAGAATTCTCTTGTCTACTGGCAGTTATTACTTGCTTTTGTTTCTGACAGGGAGCCGAATATCCAGGGAATGAGGCAAAAGCGGGCACAGCCAGCCCAATCAGACGGGCACAGGTTGGATGAACCACTTATGCCCCACCCCCAAACTGGCGTTGGAATTGAGATCCAGATGCTCGTTGCCAAAGTTGGATGTCTCGTCCGAAAGGAACGAAAGCGTATTCGCTCTCGCCGATTCGCCTCAAGAAACGACATCAACCAAGCCCACAAGGCCATTCTTGAGGCAGAACAGTTACAATCTCTGCTCTGTGCAATTCAGCTCCCGCATAAAGATACGATTGCCGACTCCGGCGATGAAATGACCCCACCAGATCACTTACTCAAAATCGCCGAGGCATATAGATGCACGGGCTTACTGCAACTTTACCGAAATTTCCCAGATCTTCTGTTGCCATATTCATCACTTAATGACCCAACGCACGAATTCATCACATTCAGCCCGGACCGTGAGACATCCTCTACCCCGGATGCTAAATTTCCAGAAAATGCATGGCTGATTTACTTGGCTTTGCATATTCTCGACATGGTACAGGACATTCCTGTGTCATCGACGAGTCGATCAATTCAACCATTTTTACTTGTGAGTATTTGCAGTGAGCTGGCTCTGGACTGTGCAGGCGGCTCAGCTGCCAGTGCACAGCAACTTCCTCTGGCAAGTCTCGCGTCTAGCCCAAGGTTGAGGGCTCCGGTCACTCAAATCGATATTGTGCGGGCGAGGAAGTCCATAATCTCCCGCCTTTCATGTTTTGAAAACATGCTAGCTGCGAAGCCTATACGGCAAATGCTGCTCCTTGTCAAGGAGACGTGGGCTTGTATGGAAACGGACCAATCGGATGTCTACTGGATGGATGTCATGATTGAAAAGGGATATACGACCCTTATGGGGTAAATTTGTGCATCGTAATCTGATTTTGCCCTGGTTATACTATCTTCTCCAGGTTATCTGTATAAATGACCAGACTTTTTAAAATATAAATAGTTATAGTACGCCACAGACTTGGACATTTCATGATAATAATGTGGATCACTGGCACCTGGATACCCACCTTGAGTCCGACCCCAACCTCCGGAAATGTACAAGTTGTTCCGGAGCTTCAAAAATAGTACTTTATATTTGTTGAAGCCTAGGAAGTGCTATCGCCCCTTTCAATTTATGAGACACCACTCCGTAAATGGAATTCTAATCATGATAATGGCTAATTAGTATTTCACTATCAAGAGGCGACGCGAAGCATCGGACAAGCCACGCGTGCCCACAGCGCCAACTTGGGTGGTCAACCAATCGGGAGACTCGAATTGGCTCCGCTAGGCTTGCCTAATTGGGTTATTGAAAGCTAAGCATATTGAAACTTCAAATGGATTCTATCTAGCCTTTATCACAACACAAAAGAAACGTAAAAGCTCCAACAAGATAAAAGAAACTTGGAGGCTTTTTTGATCTGGTTCTTCGAAACTTTGGTAGCCAATCTGCTTATAGGAATTTTCCTGATAGCAACTTTTTCTTCCTTTGGAGTTTCAAGTCACTCGCCATGACCACAAGTACACCAAACGCTTCCTTCAAGGTCGCTCTCATTCAAAGCAGGGCAAAGGTAATTTAAATCGTGGCATTTTGTTATCGGACCATAATGCTAATACTTTTCAAAAAGCCCCTTGATGCCGATTACAACTTTTCTTGTGCTGCTGAGCAGATTCGCGCTGCTGCTAGCGGAGGCGCATCGCTAGCCGTTTTACCAGAGTATCATTTGACAGGCTGGGTTCCTGAAGAGCCATCTTTTGCCTTGACTGCCGAGAAAGCTCTCGAGTTTCGCCAGAAGTATCAAGACTTGGCTGCGGAGCTTCACATCAATATATGCACCGGCACTGTTGTCTCCGAGGCACCAAATCAAACCCCATCTCACAATCATCTCAAGGATGCTGGGCGCACACTCCTCAATACATCCGACTTTATCGATCACAATGGCAGCTTCTTGGGGTCTTACACGAAAACAAATCTATGGATCCCCGAGCGGCGGACATTGACATCATTTATCGAACATGCACGTGGGGCAGCGAAAGAAGGGCAACCGACCCCAAACCCTCATAGGGTTATAGATACCCCCCTCGGGCCTGTTGGCATTCTAGTATGCTGGGATCTTGCTTTCCCAGAAGCATTCCGACAGCTTGTTCTAGCCGGCGCTAAAATCATCATCATCCCTTCATACTGGACATCGTCAGATATGTGCAGCGAGGGACTTGCATACAACCAAGAATGTGAGAAAATGTTTGTTCAAAATACACTCGTTACTCGGGCATTTGAGAACACGGCTGCAGTGATCTACTGTAATGCCGGTGGTCCCGCACAAGAGGGGTTCTTCGGCTGCAGTCAAGTCGTGTTACCTATCTTGGGAACTGTGCCTGGAAGCTTCAATGATGGTGAGGAGGGAATGCGCACCTTAGAAGTTGATATGCAGTTGGTGGATATTGCCGAAAAGAACTATCAGATTCGGAAGGACTTGGCGGGGGAGAATTGGCATTATGGATATTCAAAGGCCAATTTGTAGTCTTTGTCCATGTTTCTGTCGTGGCTCGCTGGTGAAGAATCACAGGCCTCTAGTATTCCACTGAAAGCATAACTAGCGATTGATACCTTCAAATCCCGGAAGATTTTCATTCGTTGAGCCAGATTTCTCTCTATCAACCATACTGTGAGATATCTCCAGAAATGCAGCTGAATCTGCACTAGTTAGACTTAGATCTCCCCAGGTCTATCAGTATGCGAACGGACTAGGCAAAAGGCGCCAAGCCAGTCCCTCGCATGACATGCAGGTGTTGTCCAATCAACGCCCTAAAGCCCCTCTCGCCCACGATTATTGGGGGCCATAGAAAATGGGTTTAGAGAGAAAAGAAAGATAGTGCATTTGAGCGTTCGACACGATTTATGTAGATGAGAGGTGGATAAGCGGGCACAAATTACAAGCATGATCAATAATTAGTAAAATTTAATGTAGATAGGGACATACGCGGTTGGCACGTAACTGGCACATGAGGGAAGATTAATCTATGATAGCATCACCATGAACATCATTTTTTTGTCATTTCGGTCTGTCACTCAGTCGGATATAATCAGGTATTAATGCAACCTAGAAGCTCATTCCTATTATGGATAATTCCATGGCCTCTTGATTCATCGAATAGACTTGGGCGCTGCATATTGCCCGATATGATCGAGGAGGATCATATTCTAATGCCGCTGTGACATCATTCAGGGCCTGAAATCTCCAAGTGTAAATCACTTGGCATTGGGGGCTGCCATATAGATCGCTTGGCATTGGAGGCCTAGATATCAATTACTTGATATTAGCGTTCTCATAGGCTCTTTCAAATGTTGTTTTGACACGAATTTTGCCCCGGGGCTATACTTGAGTCTGATCATACCCTTTTATGGATCATCACACGGTTCTCTAGATGTAACAGCATAGCTTTACATTGCACTTCATTACTATTTTTGATGCTCACGTCACCTTTGCGATTCACGTACCAAGGCACATATCCTTAACCTGAGTAAATATGTGTGCAACTTTGTATATTTGTAAGCTCCCAGTACTACTAGTACATGAAAAAGCTATTTAAGCAGGGAAGAATTCCCTCTCTTCTACTAGAATTTCATCCATCTACCAGCTACCTCTTCTCTATATTTACACTTAAACTTTTACAACAATTTCCACTATGAGACTCTCCACGATCCTTGCTGTCGTCCTCTCGACGGTCTCTGTAGTTCATGCTGCTGCTATAGATCAGCGAAATGCCGGACTCGAAGCGCGAGGCTGCAGCTATGACAGCTGCGACGCTTGTCATAACAAGGACCAATACTGCGTTCACTGCGATACTGGGGGTGGAATTGGCGTCTCTTGTGCTGTCTGGTTCGTCTTCACTTGACCCTCGCCCATTACTAGTAAATGGCACCTCTAATCGAAAAGCCTTATAGCTTGGCACATTGCGACCCCTGCTGCTAATCAGGGCTACTGCTGTGGGAGGCTTCTTGATACCTTGCGATCTATGCGTGAGTAAATATGTAAGCAGCTCCGAGTCCGCATTTTGAAGATGCTCGAGATTCTGATCACTCTAACATCATTCAAGCTCCAAGGTTCTCCACCTGGACATACGGGACGATGTGGAAACTTATGGTTCTTGCGGTTATATAACTGGCAAGGCGCTCCCTTCTCTGATTCAATAGTAAATCTAGCTTTCATTGTCTATTTTCTCTGGCATTGGAAGATCCATACCTGGTACTACTATTGAACAGCAAGCATGTTCCTTCTTTAGTAGGTAGTTACACATCAAGACACTCATTCAAGTTCCAATATATTCTATCGAGTAATGTTTACACAAACGTAAAATTTGCCTTGTAAAAGGACTTAAAAGCAGGAGGCAGTACTATTGATATTACCTACTAGTAACACAATCGCCTCAGGAAGCGATCAGCTCATGCCATGCACCATCTTGGTGGCTCCTTATCGAAAAGCATAAAAACAGGTTGAGAACTGGACAGGAGTATTCGACCGTCGTATAAGGACGTTTTTCGCGGCAATGAGGAACTGTGAGAATACAGTTGACCAGCAAGGCCAGTGTCGTCTCTCAGATCGAATGCGACACAGCCAGGAGACTAGAGGCTTCTGAATGTCTGATCTTATGCAATTTTGCACAGCTTTTTTCTTTGATGCGATATACCGGCAAAAGATGGATCAACGCCTTTTCAGGCCCACAAAGACCAATGGCCTAAATGAGGCTTGGAAAGAGCGATTGGACTTGCTGGATTAAAATCAACGGAATGAGATAAAACGACTATTATTGACGACCAAGCTGGAAGAGATGAACGACAGGGTCTTGGCCTGGGATCCGGCTGAGCCTACCAAAAAGCTCTTCAGGGGTTAAAAATGACGAGAGCGAAGAAGCCGAAGGTGTATCAAGGCCGTGAGGCAATAAATTGAGATGTTGATAATTTCGGTACATAAAACACAATGATCATCGATCCCTTAATTCACAACCTCATTATCGCCGTTTCCAAGGTAATCGCATTCTTAGTACCAAAACTAATCGCTGATTTTCTAACTATTTCTTTTTAGAAGAGGAGTAGCCCCAGTGAATGGCACCTCCTTTGTGTTGGGTGCAGGTTCGCTGAAACTGGCGAGGCCAATGCGCATTATAGCTTAGCTCTGGTTTATGTACAGGGGTGTTAGAACCAATCAGAACACTGTGCATCAGAGACCCTGAAAATTTGAAAGAAAAAATTTTGTCATGTGTACTCCCACTCTCTGTTACTGGTCGATGAGGCGTGCCTCGGCGTCTCACCCCGCAAGGACGTGGGGTGCAATCAACACAGATTATGGCTCAGCACTTCCCATCCATCGCGCATGGGAGCACGGGAAAAATGAAACCAAATATCTGGACAAGGCAATCGTCCTTTGGCTTGATTGGCAATCGCGTCAAGGAGTCTTGCTCAGGTGGTATCCCAGCCAATTCTTCCAACCTTGTAAGGTTCCCAGGGATGCTCGATTTCCGATAGCTACTACAGGACTACGACCAACTACTAGTTACCAAGCGAAAGGACTGGTCTCTTCAAACAGGCCAAGAGAGCAAACACATAAGATTTGTCTTGAAATTGAAATCTATTCGACATAGGTATATACTTAAATGACCTAGATACCACCCCCAAACGCCAGCTTTTAGGATGCCAGTCAAATCATAAATATGCAACATGAAAAACAAAACCACCGTTCACTCAGACACATCATCTGTAGTCTACCATCCGCGTCTCTTTCCACGGTGCTCCAGACCCTTCTCCTTTCTCTTCTCTCTCTTGCGATCGTTCCTCCTCTTCTTGTCACGCTCGTGGCGCTCTGGATCGGCGACAGCCTCAATGCGACGCTTAGTCCGTCTACCTTCACGACGCTCCTTGACAGTCTCTTGCACCTTGGTCATCTGGGCAATGTACTCGGAACTTCCGAGCTTCTTTTGCAGCAAGTCGAGGACCTCGTGGCAGTTGGAAACAAGTCCCTTGTAGATATCCTGGAATGCAGGATCGGCTGAGCGTGGGCCGGGGATAGTCGTGTCGGTCAAATGCTGAAGGGGAAGGAGGATGACCGGAAGCGAGGGTTTGATTTGCTCGGGTTCAAGGTGGCGGATCAACGCAGCGAGCAATGTGATCGATGCAGTCTTGGGGACCAATGCTGCGGGACGACCTCCAAGGACTTCCCGACGGAGTAAGTATGCGATTTGCCCGAAGATATAGTGGAGAGCGGTCTTGGTTGGAGCGGCGCCGTTTGTGGCGGCTTCGATGACAGCCTCGTCAGCATCTTCGTCCTCTTCTTCCTCGTCATCTTCTGACTCGACATCTTCGGTCCCGGTCTTCTGGAGCTCGAGACCGTTCTGGGCACAGCAACGGCCAAGGAAGACAATGTTGCGCACATTTTGCAGGGCAAGGTCATCGTTGAGACCTGGTGTGCGTAGACAGCGGAGACTGGCTCGGATGAGTTGCAGCATAGCCTCTTTGTCAAGGACGAGGCCGGTGGTACAATTCAAAGGAAGAGCACTGTAGCCAGCAGCAGCGTGTGTCTTGGCAAGATCGGACAACCAGGTTCCTACAAGGTTGGCAGCACAGGACTTGACCCAGGTGTGAGGGAAGAATAACGATTCTCGAATGGCGGTCCAAATAGCAGAGCAGTCTTGACTCAGAGCGAGAGATGGAACTGTCTTGCAGAGCTTCGTGAAGAGCTGCAGGGCAAAGTAAAGAGTCTCCCAGTTCCCGTTCTCATGATCGTCAGCGATTGGCTGGATCAGGTCGGGAAGAATTCCAATCACGAAGCGAGCCTGCTTGTCCTTCTCTGTCTCCTCTGCTTCGAAGTAGATTCGCATGGCCTGCAAGCCGACACTGCTCAAAGCCATGTTATCGGTCTGCTCCAGCCACGAGCGGAGAGGAATCAACATTGTCTTCATCTGCTCCCGGTCCGCACGGCTATAGAATTGGCTGAGTAGAGCACCGGCCATCTCACGGCACTCGGGCGAATCGTCATTTGCCATGGCAAGCACGACGGGCAGGAAGAAGGTGCTGACAATATCTTGCGCCAGTTCCTGTCCTGTCTTGGAAAGGAGCAGGTGGACTGCCTCCAAGACCGACTGCCGTCCTTCTTGGTGCTTGTAATCCAAGTTCTTCGCAAGGAAGCCAAGCTGCTTTGTCCAGCGGTTCTTGGCTTGAGGATATTCAGTCAAAAAGTGAATGTATGTACCCCGAGCAAGATCACGAGCAGATCGAGTCTGGTTTGTGACCATCATGGTTGCGATAGAATCCATCAATTCATACATCTCCGTCACAACGAACTTACGCGACATGACAGCGCGAATGAAGTTGAATGTGATGCCTTGGCGATCAGGCTCTTCAATGTCGGCCTTGAGACGGTGGAGTAAGTATGCGAGATGTCCATCACGAAGCTTGGTGCTCTTGCGTTCGCGGATCATGGCAGAGATTAGCTTGAGAGACGCCTGGGATGCCTCTGAGTTGGTGGTTGGGGACTCCTTGATCATCTTGACAGCTTCCGTGAGGTAGACATGAGAGTTTTCATCAAGCTCGGGCATTGGAAGCTTAATGATTGTAGACAGCAGGCGAAGAGCAGAGGTTTTGACTTCTTCATGAGATTGCACGAGGGCATCGCCAATGATGGGCAGGAAGCCAGAAAGATTGGTCGGGGTCATGAGCGAGCCGAACTTGTTGAGAATGGCGCGAAGGATGTCAAGCGAGAACCTGGTCAATTTGTAGGTATGCGAGGACGTGATGCCACGCTTCTCACCACGCTTGGCACCCTGAAGCCTGACCAGAAAGCGCCGCTCGATTGCGGTTTCTGGGCGCTTCTGTCGTCCCTCTGTGTTGTCGTTGTAAGACTCCTTGATGATTTCGTAGCAGAACATCAACAAGTCTCTGCTTTCGGCACCGGAGTTTCGCAAAAGACCAATTCCAATTCTCCTCATGAGCTCATCAAGCTTCCTAACCATGCTGGAATTAAGCTTCTCCCGCAAAAGAGCCTGGAGAGGGCTAACAAGTTTAGAAAGGTCGACGACTGTGGCGTTCTTAGCGAGGAGCTCCATTGAATCGTAGCTCTTGCTGCTCTTGACTTCCTTCATCTTGCTGACGTAGTCCTCGGCTTCCTTTTCTTGTCCAACTGTGCCAAAAGTATCGTCCATGACGACCGAAACCAGTTCTGGAAGGCAGTAGTCCAAGTCACCCTGATTGAAGTGATCGGTGGTCACAACCAGTAAGGAGTGAACAGTAAACGAGAGAACGTGCAACTGGTATCCACGTAGAAGAGTATGACGCAGCTCCTTCAGGATATAGCCGAAGTAAGGCGGACCAAGAAGAAGGGAGATGTCACTGAGCGTTTTCCGGGCAGTGTCTCTCGCATCTTGCGATTTACTCTTCAAGATACTGCAGACATCGAGAAGGACCGGCGACAAGCGAATGGCCATTTCCTGCTCGGTGAGAATCTTAAGAAGCTTGATCGTGGTGACAGCAGCCGGCAGACGGAGACTCATTTCGGCCGCGTTCTTGTGGTGAAGGAAGTGAGTCAGGAAAGGAATGAAGTTGGTGGTCAGCTCGGTTGAAACCTTTGCCAGATCGGGAACAGTTTTCGCGAGCATGCACTTGACTTCAACAGTATCCATGGCATCGGCATTAACACTGGACTCGCCGCTGGTCTCCTTCTTCTGGTCCATTGCACTAGACAAAGCATCGGACATTCTGCCCAGAAGTCTGAGAATATTCTTCTCCATTTCTGGCTTGCTCTGCATGTACCCGCGATATCTGCGGAAGTTGTTGCGGAACTGGCTCCAGTCCAGCCACTCGGCGAGGGCACCAATAGTGGCGACAGCTTCGGCGATCAGGTTGTGGCCACTCTCATCCTCAGCACCTTCAAATGCAAAGTGCTCAATGAGAGGCAGGAAAATGGAGCCCAAGTTGGTGGGCTGGAGATTTCCCTTGGCGGCTTCGCCTGCCAGACGCCGCAATGCACGGAGACGACGGTGCTGCTGGATGTGAAGAATATTGGTAAAGAAAGATGCCTCTTCGTCGTCGCCCATAAGCAGATCATGCATATCCTGCACGGATGGACGAGTGGGGTTCAGCTTGATAAAGTAGCCAAGGGCAGCAACGATCTCAGCTCGAATTAATTCGGCCTTGTTTCGAACTCCAAACTTCATGGCGGGGATAAAGACCTCATTCACAAGAGCTTCAAAGTCATCCACGCCGGCCTCGGTGGCGGCTCTGTCGATGAAACGTCTGAGACCGAAGGAAGCGCTGGATCGAACAGCTAATTCTTCTTCGTCCTTGACATAGAAAAGCATATTGTAGAGAATAGGCCTCCACTGCTTAGCATTCAGTTTCTGCGACAGATCATCGTTGATCTTTCTGAAGGCCTGAAGACGACGTTCATAATCCGGCTCGAGCTTTTTGGAGGAGCGAGAGTTTAGATCCGCACAGAGTTCAGCGACTTCGGCGAGTTCTTTGTCGTGACTCGCGAGCGCAGCGAAAACTCGGGCCAAAACCTCTCTGTTCGCATCGTCCTTGAAATAATCAAACATGGATACAACCGCCTCGAAAACTTGCTGGGAAAGCTTGGCATCGTCCTCCGGGGTGTACAAGGGCAGGAAATGTTCGAGAATTCGCAAGAGTCCAGACTTGGTCTTGGGACTGACACGGTCGGGGGGGTTGGCGAAGCAGATAGGTACAGATGCTAATCAAGCTAGAGGTCTCCTTGGAAGATTCAACGCAGGGAGCAATGAGTGAAAGAGCGTTGACACCTGAATTCAGCACAGGCTTCGAAGGAGGGCCAACTCTCAAAAGAGGGCCGAGGAGCGAGAGAGCGTGCTCAAGGTAGGGAGAGAGAACTTCGGAGCGAATCTGCTCGGGGGGGGATATCCGACATTTCCTGGTCTTCTCCCTCCTTCTTTCCAGTGGACTGCTGCACAAGTGGAATAAGGACTTCATCCATAACGAACATCTTAACCTCATCGCGTGCCGACTCGACGCCGAGGCAGTCAATGACCTTAGTGAGGACATCTTTGTTGTGCTGGACAAGATAAAATGTCGATCTCGGTGCAGACGCCCAAGTGTGGAAGAGGCGGAGCAGTCCGGAGACACCCTGGGCGGTCTCGATGGGGAATAGATCCAGCCTGTTATTGATCAACTCTTTGAAGATGATGGCAACATATGGAGTCCAATCGAGGTCGGACGAGACCGAAAAGATCAAAGTCATACAGCGAATACAGGTCTGGCGGATATTCTGGAAGATTGCCAGAAGACGTTCGTCTTCTCTATCCACATAAATGTCACGGTTTTCGTCATAGATTGCTCGGCATGCTCGAACCAGACAGTAGATGACCACGTTCATTGTCTGGACAGAAAATGGAATCATGCGGCTCTGGAGAGTTTCGAAAACTGTATCAATCATCTTGAGCAGACCAAGTTGTCTTCTGGGGCTGGTGAGCTCCTCGGAGAACGCGGCTGGTACCTCGCTGTTGTCTTTGACAACAGAGACTTGAGATAGAGGGCCGAACGCGAGCTGCATGAAAAGACCAAAGTCCTCCTCCGAGAGAAGAGAAAGAGAGCGCAGAATAGCCTTACGTCGACCAACCTGGCCAGCCTGACCAGATGCACCAGCCTTGGAGATCATGCGACCATAAAGAAGTCGAAGAAGTATGGGAAGCAAAGCAGGGCGGTGCTCCTGCTCGATCAGACTGTCTTCGCCACCAACACGCACGAAGACAGACATCTCGTCTTTGAATCTGGCCTCATCCAGAATGTTCAGCAAGTTTTCTTGATAGGGTACAACGTGCGCATTCTTCCAAGTGAAAAGAGCTTTGAGAGCAGCTTTCTGGATCTCCGAGTTACCGTGGCACAAAAGACCAAGGACTGCATCGTGAACTTCGGGGGGCCTTGTACAGAACCCTAGGGTTGAGGAATTGGCCAAGCAGACCAAGCATAGCCAGGCGGTCTTTGAATCCCCATTTTATCGGTGTGGAATCGGTCTCCGTGTCGGCATCATTGGTGTCCTTGGCGGTGGGAACATCGTCCTGGTCATCGCGTGTAGCCCAAGTCAGGAATAATGGCATGATTTGACGTGAACGCTTCTCGGCCACATTGGGGGTAGCACTCAAGACGCGCAGCGCATGGCTTCGGGGGAACCCAGGAACAAGATCTGCAATCTTGTGATCCTTGTCAAATTGGATGGACAACGCGGCCAAAGGATCCTGCATAGTCTTCGCGTTGGCGGTGGAAACATTCTCAATCTTGCGAACATTGAAACACTCGAAACGGCTCGAGACAAATGAATCTTCATTCTCTTCCTCGGGTTCTTCCTCGTTCGTAGCGCCAGAGTCCCGCTCCTGCAGCCACTGAACAGACAAGTCTGAAACAATTGTCTCTCCCTCTGGATGTTCGCTGATGGTTTTTAGAGCGGCAGCGGAATCATCCCACAGAGGAGTCAGCTTCTTCGAAAACAGACCGAAACAAAAGTAAGGGATAAGGCTAGCCATCCACCGGCGAGAAGCGATCTGGGGGTAGAGAAGTGCCAATTTGCGGAGATGCATCGATACAGTTCTGGCACTTTGAAGAGTGAGGGGGCTTTCTTCGATCTCAATTGCCAAGGAGACAGGAGAAACCTCATCTCCAGGGACCCGGCTGATCAATTCACGCAGGATCTGGAGAGAGACAAGTCTCAGTCGCTGTGAAGGGCTGGCGAGATTGAGGATCAAGCTGCGCGCAAATTCTTCCAACATCGAGGTTTCGAGCTCCGAAGATTGGGGGAGAGCAGAAACGAAAGTCAGAACACCTTCGAGGAATAGAGGAAGACGCGAGAATTCAGCCGAGGCAGTAAGGATTGGTTCCCATAGCTCTGCGTCCAGTTTTCCGGCTTGAGTAGCCAGATCGACGTAGATCTTGAACCCCTGACCAAGGTAGAAAATCAAGCCACTATTCTGCTGAGCGTTTTTCTGGGTGGCGGCATCGTTTAAGGCAGAAACAAGATTGCTATGGAGCTTCTTCACAATCTTAGGCAGACTAGCAGAGTCTGCAAACAATGAGATGGCTTTGGGAAGTTTGACCAAGGCGTTCAAAACACGTTCGTCACTTGTAGGGTAATTCAAAGAGTCATAGAGGTGAGACTTCAAGCCTTCGGGGCACGAGACATAGCCTGGCTTCGAAGCTTCGGATGTGATACAGCCAGATTGGTTGAGTCGGAGGAGCGTCAAGCACGTTTCCCATTCGTGCTTTTTCCAGGAAGCATTGAGGAACTTTTGGAAATAGGGAACAAGAAGACTTTGGAAACGCTCGGAGCCCCATTGTGAAAATGTGTTGCAGAAGAACAAGAAGTATTTTGAGAGAGGTCCGGTGGACACATGGTCCATCAGGGGTCGCAAAAATGGCAGCATCTCATCCATTGGAGACAACTGAAGGGCATAGGCGACGGCGCCGAGGAGCTGTGTCGTTGTTTCCGAGTCTGCATCCGGGTTTGATGCCACCTGCTTCAGAAGTGACACAAGGGTCTGATGCACGGCCTTCCAGTCCCTGATTCGGGTTGCCTTACGGGTTCCAAAGCAGACAAAGATTAGACGGCAGCACTCGGGCAAGTTGGGATTATCAGAGCCCTGAGACCGGCTTTCAACGTATTCCTTGACTGTTTCGAGGATAGGGCCAAAGGTCTCGGGAGTGGTGTGATGAATAAGGTTGATGACCAATCCAACAGCAACCTGTGCTGGTTGACTGCGAGTCCCACTAGAGGGGGGGAATCTGGTCCAGAACGCAACGCAGGATATCCATTCCGTTGGAGTGGAGACCATTGTTAACACCCTTGATGGCATCTGCGAACATGACCATTAAACCCTCCTTGTAGTTTTCGACATTGTTTCCTTCCTCGGCTGCTTTTGAGATATCGTCGTAGAGGTAAGAGACGGCGTTCTCGAGGGGCGTCTTGTTTTTATAGTAGGTGAGGCCTGCCTTGCGGATCAGGAAGGACATGGACTCGGCGGCAAACCGAGCTACAAAAGGCTTTTGTCGCTCTTTGCCGAGATATGGGGTCATAATGCCGAGAAGTTGACGCAAGTCCGGCGTCAAGAGTCTGGAGAGGAATTTAAAAATCCATGCTAGACAGGTGAAACTCCATTCCACCACTTCAACATCGGGGTGTGTTGCGGCAACCGACGCTACCAAAGTCACCGAGGTCGCAAAATGCTTCTCAAACTTCACTCCCAGGTCTCGAGCAAATTGAGCCAGCAGACTCATCAGAGGCTCGATTGAGTTCTGGTCTCTCTTTTCGATAAACTCCACCAACAGGGCCATTATCTTCTCTTCGTGATACAGAATCTGGGCGAGGGTCTCGGAGAGGTTGTTCACACGGCGGGCGAATGTGCTGAAATTGTCGGAAAGGTTCATTTCAACCCAATGATCGAGGGCCGATCGGAAATACGACGAGGTCTCATCATCTTCACCAAAGCTCGCCCGGCGCACGCGGTGAATGGGGTCGATTTTTAGCTTTGCGATACGCTGCGAAAAGGGCTCCCAGCGATGATTTTTTGTGGTTTCAGTGCCCTGTTTCAAGCGCCTTGTAGGCTTGTCTCGTGAGCTTGGCGCTACCATTTTGGTAGCTTGAACAGGTAGCGCTGTCAACGAGAAAGGTGCTCGATCAAAGTGATGGCTTGCCTTCTATCGATTCCAAAAAAACTGAGCGGCGCCGGTTGCACTTTCTTCCGACGCCGCGGAGACAAGTCTACGCTAGGCCTAAAGCGTGCTAGCTCTAGTCACGGGATGGCCCAAGCTCCTCCGCAGTTGCAACTTGAACTTGCGATCCTGCCGCCCTCGACTTTCTTATCTCTTAGATCTCTGTGAGGATATACATCATGGCGTCCAAGATGTAAGTATTTTCCAAATCACAAAGCCGAATCGCATACTAATCAAGGATCACTAGTATTGTTCTTGGGAGCGTGAACTGCCAATTGCGTGCAGCATTCACCAAACTGGCCAAGCTGCAGGTCAAGCAAAACTTCGCATTCGCAATTTTAGTCGGCAATCTCTTCGGCGACTGCTCAACAGAAAGCGAATTGGACGAAATCACCGCGCTACTATCAGGAACGACCAGTGTCCCGCTCCCGACCTACTTCACTCTCGGCGACAAACCCCTTCCAACGAGGATCGTTGAAAAGATCGAAGCCAATGATGAAGTCTGCCCTAACCTCTACTTCCTGGGGAAGCGTGGGACTCTAAAGACCTCAGAAGGCATTCGCATCAGTGCGCTAGGAGGAAAAATGCATACCGACGCAGCCTCACAATCAAAACCAGAGACCAACGCCGCCGGCAAATTCCAACCCACATACACCGAGGCCGATGCGCGCGCTCTATTTGGAACACATAGCGCCGACATTCTCATCACCAACCAATGGCCCAAGGGCATTCGGACCGGATCAAAGGTCGTCATCCCAGAAGATCAGGCCAAAACCCTCACCGAAGTCCCATGTCTATCTGAAGTTGCCGCCACCCTGAAACCCCGCTACCACTTTTCCTCCTCCGATGAAGTCTTCTATGAACGAGAACCGTTCTTCCACCTCCCAACAGAAGACAGCCCAGACGTCAAGCCATTGACCCGCTTCATCTCAATGGCCCCATTCGGCTCAAAGCAAAAATCAATGTACGCCTTCACGCTCGATCTAGCCGCCGCACCACCCCTCACAATCCCCGCCGGCGCAACCGCCTCACCCTTCCGACCCCCACAAACGAAACGAAAAGGTCTCCCCGCCCAACGCGAATCATTCAAACGCTTTGCCACAGACGACGACTACCACAACAATAGCAACCGCCCGCAAAAGCGCCACCAACGCGCCCCTCCCCCAGGCCCAGATCAATGTTTCTTCTGCCTCTCCAACCCCAATATCGCAGCTCACCTAATCACATCAATCGGCAACGAAAGCTACCTCACAACGGCAAAGGGACCCCTCCCCCCCAAACGACCTATTCACTGACCTCGGATTTCCGGGCCATATGCTGATAATCCCATTCTCGCACACGCCAACGCTCAACTCGATTTCGGACCCCGAATCGCGCGCGGGGACGTACGCGGAAATGCAGCACTACCGCGCTGCTTTGCATCAGATGCTTTCTGATCGCTCGTCGGGTAAATTGGGCGCTGTCACTTGGGAAGTTAGTCGTGGCAATGGAATTCATACACACTGGCAATTCCTCCCCGTGCCGGTTGATCTTATCGATCAGGGACTGGTGGAGGCTGCTTTTAAGGTTGAGGCGGAGAATTTGAACTATCCCCGTTTCGAGACCAAGGCCGAGGGCTTAGATAGTAGTGCTGAGCCGGGTGATTTCTTTCGTATCTCGAGTTGGAGGAGTTCAGAGAAGGCTGCTCAGGGGGGAGGGACAGGGGGAGGAAGAATCTTCTGCAAAGACCGCTCCTGGAAAAGAGAAAACCCTCATGTTGGAACTTAATCCAGATTTCAGATTCGATATCCAATTCGGTCGTCGTGTTATGGCCAAATTACTTGAATTGGATAAGCGAATGAACTGGAAGGATGCGACGCAGTCGCAGCCTGAGGAGGAGGCAGATGCTGAGGCTTTTAAGGAGGCTTTCAAGAAGTATGATTTCTCGATGGAGTGATGAGGTATATCCCATTTGCTCAATTCAGGATTGACTTGAAATGAAAACGCATTGTCTCGTGCACAAGTAAGCCGAGCCCTAGGGCTATTCAGTATTATCATTATACATTCATGGATACAGCAGTACTAGCACCGTTACTAGTAGTAGTAATGGATGCCAGACGTTGGTTAACTCCACTGCCCTAATACATAATAGTTAGTATGTGCTACATACTAGTAACATTGGCCTAATCAGGCTCTGGTAAGGGATTTCGATGCCTTGAAGTTCAGGTATTCAGGCAGAACTAAAGGTTGATTTCAAGAACATCTTGAAGTAGCATGAAGAGTAGCTCCCGGCAGCCCGTACCTTGATGACTGAGTTTAACTGTCAGTTATTGACTAATTCCAAAGTCGACCCGATGCTAGTAGATATCCAAGTAAACGTTCAAGGATAACTTGAACTGATGTCAAAACTGCCTACGGGGCCTGTCCCGTTGAGCAAGGGAGACCACGAGTGGAATATATATCTCGTGTCCCTAGACCTTACCCCTGACTTCCAGACCACATGGATCGCAATTAATGCCACCTTAGTCTACTATCAACGGCGAATTCGATATAAAATCCAACATGAAGCTCTTGAACTATAGCCTACCTAGTAGTCTACGCCAACTTGAAACTGCCATCAAAATTCCCAAGTCCAGCCCCAATCGTACCTATCGCACACTCCGTCGCCGCTCCGCTCCCACTGGACAGACCAGATCCATCCACCCCACAAGCCCCTGAAAATTTTCTTTTTGACAGGTTGCCATGGCAAATAAGCTCGTCTCAAAATCGAGGCGATTGGAGGAGACCATTACCCATCTGATGCGTTAGCCTTGGTCGGGCGCGGGCGGACGACCGCGCTATCCTATCCTACGAGTAGGATCTGACGAGTTCATACGCAGGATTCAGGGGAAAGGCGAAAGGCTGCCAGTGGTGGTACAGAGTATGGAGTACATACGTAGTCAGTAGTTAGTAGTTAGTAAATATGTCCTGTAGGTATGGTGGGTTCCAGAGGTTGCCAGTGCAACTTTGAAAGTCGGACCCGGATAACCGCGATTAGATCAGGGCCGAAGACGAAGACAGTGGCTGTACAATAAAGCGAATCCTTCGAACTTGTAAAAACCCGAAATTCGAATATACATACGGCCGGCGGGGAATGTACTAGGTAAATTGTAAAATGACAATCCACTCTGCCAGTGTCCGAACGTGAAGTACTAGGTAACCCTACTACTGTATACCTAGTATTCAATAGTTTGGTTTCAACGAATGCACCCGCCCGGTGGTCAGAATGACGGATGGAATGGAGTCTGTGGGTTTTGGTTGGAATGGATCGCGACAATCGTGATCATGGTCGACGTTGTCAGGACAGCGAGGACAGGCTATTGAATTGATGACGGGTGCGAAAGTCAGAATGACGGATTTCTGGAAATTGCCATGATATTATACTCGAGTTCGAGGCAGTGCTTGCATTTTATCGAAATCCTCCGGGCGACAGGTCGCATCTGTGAAGTGCCAGTGTATAGTCTGTAAGTTTGGCGTAGTACAAAGTGACAAAGTACCACCAGTAGACACTAGGTAACTACATACTACATACGGAATACAGTGCCAGTGTATTTTGAACCACCGGTTGTGGTGGGGAGGGCAGTGGGGAGTGGAGAGGTGTCGGATGCAGTGTGTCGCGGTACCTGCAGCGGATGGATGGAATGGTGGAATGGTGCCCAGGTGGAATGGATATATATCATTTGGGTTTTTAGTAGTTTCCAATTTACTACTCCGTACTCCGTACATCTGTACTTACCTACAGTACATACAGAGTACAGTATATAGTACTCTACCGGGCGGTCTTTACAGTCATTTCAAACAGACCCGATTTTCCGAATTTACGACTCATGAAACATCCAATCCACCCATCTACGAAACCCCAGCAACGGCCGTGATGCTGGGTCCCCGGTCGCAAAACCAGACCGCATGTTGCAAATCATTGCCGCGATAACCCCGACACTTCAGTCTAGTACATAATGTGGTACCGGACACGTAGCGTCACACGAAGGCGATGGATCAGTCATCGCTATAACCATAACCATGCGCCTGTCTGCGCTTATTTGCAGCTAGCCAGGCTAGTCGACCCATGGATATGTACTCGTAAGGCAGTTGACAGCTTACCGCAGAGTGGATAGCCAGACCTAGACTATGGCCTGGATGCAGAAGGATCCATCCATCCGATGATCGGTTTAGGGGTCTACAGTAGGGTACGTTGATCAGGCACCGGGCGGGTTCGCTTGTGCGACAAATTGAATGTGCATTTGCATATACGGGTTACGGAGACAGAGTGCAGAGTGTGTACTCCGTACGGAGTACAGAGTACGCGAATACCAGATGTGCATACGTACGTGTTCCAACTTCCGCCGAGAAGGGCATTATTACAGATTTACAATAGTAGATCACGATTGCAGAAGTAGATTCATCGAATTAATTGTCCTCCGTAGATAAGTACGAATAGTAGCTACTGGGCACCACTCCCGTAGCTGTCCGACTGTGATCTATCTGCAAACTACGAGCTAAACCCCTATTGGAGAAGATCCAGTCCAGCCGGAGTTTGCCCGGAAGTCCCAGTCGCTCCGTGCCACACCGGGGCTGTGCGAGGCACCATGATGCGCTTATGTTGAGACGCCAGCTTCACCACACAGTCGAAGCTGAGCTTCCGACAGAAGGGCATGCGGAGGACAGTGCAGAATGAGTACACAGCTGCTAGCACGATTAGGGGCTCTGGGATGGATCGGTTCCTGACAGCCACGCCTCAGTCGTGGGTAAGCGCATGGCTGACGGCCGGGGGATTCAATAGTGCCGTCGATCGGGGATGCCGGGCTGGAGAATTAATTGAGAAATCGCCGGGGGGGGTATTGAGGCTGGACAAGGTCGAGCTGTAAAGAGTACACCAGTGAAGTTAGTGAGGTATGGGTATTTCGCGTAACGCAGATACATTCAATACGACAACAATGGGAAACAAGATCTTGAGATTGAAGATGCGGTCATCGGGCCTGCAAGCAAGAATCGAAGATGGTGATTCGATGATAATCATGGGACTACGTACCGGTTCGCGTTTGTTGTAGCCCTTTGCCCTTTGTTTACTTCGCGTCAACCTGAACATTGACATCACCACTGGAACGGAAAAGAGGGGAAAGTGTGATGGACCCCGCAGCTGCAACAAGGCAAATCGGTTCAAGTCGAGGCTTCACTGGTCCATCGCACATGGCGCTGTGACACTTTGGACGCATCACATCATTCCTCTGGGCGCGACCCCACCAGAGCTACTGCCGATGCGTAGCCAAAGATAGACCAGTATCGGTCTGGCCGAGAAGCCCTATCCCGGTCGCAATGCGTGATATCAGCCCCAGTGCAGCCGCCCGCCCGTGTGATTGGATTGATCCAGTTGAGTTTGGGGTTGGTCGCAGATACGCGAGGGTATCGGGCTGGCTGGGGACTCCGATTAGCATCAACAAGAAGAACAATAACAACAACAACAACAGACATCTAGACCGACGCGTCCAGGTACCAGAATTAGAACATCAGGAATCGACAATTCTAGCCAGCTCGGTCGTCGACGTCATGTACCCCCAGCTCGGGGAGTTTCCAACCGGTTGGGAGAATAAATTAAATTGCCTGCGATCACAGACCAGCTGGAGTGACGTAGCCTCACGGACCAGCATGGGGTCAATCGTGGACAGATCAATTGCTGAGGACGGAGTGGATGGACAGACGGAGCACTGTGTGCATGTACAGTACGAGTACACCGCTTCTATCAAAACGTGTGGTGGTCTGCACAAAAACTGGATTCAATGCAGACATCTGCGACAAAGCTGACACCGGATCCGATATCTTGCATCCCGGTCGGAAGTGGGCTGGACCATCACGAGGGGAGAGTCCAATGCGCCCGGCGTTTCACGCGAGAGGGGGCTGACTTCTCCGTATGCTTGGCTAAAATAGCCAAAGTCGTGGACGTGGGGTACAGGATTTCGATCCAACGCCCACTAAGACTGGATGGTTTGTCGCTGGGGACCCATCCACTAGTAGCTTCATAGTCAATCCCAGAGCCGCTTAAGATATCAAAGTGGCAAATATTGTTCAGATCGTTGCTTTTTCTCGCGCTGCCGAGGATGATCTCCACGTTTGGTCTCATCATGGTTGGATGCTCCGATGTGGTCCACTCTGGATGGGGGTACATATCACCACTCGTAGTATGTATCCCCCCTCTCTTCCTTCGAGATTGAGATGATCGCTTCGATGAACCGAATATTGCCGGGCTTGGGGAGATATCGGACGGATCCGACGACATAGGGATGAACCTGATGGATGGGGTATTCCTGATGTCAGCGCTTAATTGTGCTCATTTGTTGTGTTGACACTGCCTCCATCCGGTTAATCAATGGGGGGTTTTCGGCCCCAAAGCTAGCATTAGTGTTTGCCATCGTCATCAACACGGCTCACCCGAGGCTTGGCCGGAACTTTGTCAGTCATCGCTGAGGCTCGCGTATTGTATCGCATCATATCACGAAGCACACAGACACGCACACAGTTCATCGTTGACCCGGACGACGGAGGCGTTGCTCCAGCATCGCGGGAGGGAGGTCAGCAGAACCAGACGAAGGTTTCAATAAACTACCACCTGGGATACACGCTTAATAGCTAAAACATCCTACGAAGGGGTGTCAAGGGATGCGCGACATTGAAAGATCCCCTCGCGGACCCTTGATTACTCGGAATGTGGGCAGGGACTGAGGTAGATGTAAGGGCCGGCCGGGGTATGGGTATGATGAGCGAAGAGCACGATAACCTCAGCGGCAATCTTGCCTCGCAATTTGCTGGAATGACTAGCAGATTGTGCCCTTGTCAGCCATTCCTTGCCCCCGTGAGACTCAATTCCAATACCACCGTGCGTGTTTCTCTCCGCACCAGATTGAACTTGGTGGGGTAAGATCGCGTTCCTGGATTCCCCTTTGGGAAAGGATCTCACAGAACGAACTCCTCGATGATGCGATTGACCATCCAGGATGGTCCCGAGCATGTCCCAATGCGCCCATCCATCGCTTGTCGGAGATCTGAACTGCCAATCAGCGACTCGGGAGGTCAGTCCGAAATCTTGATCCCGGCTCGATAGGACCAGTCGGTCGTGTTTTATTCTATCATTTTTTGTGTTCGTCCACTCGACCGGGCCCCCAATTTCGCGTTGACGCTGCCCTCTCGCTCCGGGAATGATCGGCCTCGTTGCACTGCTCCATTCGCGAGACTATCTGCTTAGCCTGATCGAGTAACCCCGAACCGTGTACTGAGCATACAGAGTACCTTACCATGAAGGATTATGTTCACCTACACAGGAAAGTTTAAGAATGACGTTTGATTGAAGGTGATGATTTATTGTATTGCTTCTCCAGGGCTGTCATTCCATTGGATCATCATCTCGATCTGGGTGTCCTTGCAGGACGATCGGATCACTTGCATCCTCGTTATGTACATTTCTATTTTCCGAGTGTAAGGACCAAGTGGAGTCGACTGGCCTTAGGCTCGATCTTTCTCGGTCCCCATTTTATTTTAGTTTTTTTCTTTCAGCTGGACAAGACACGGGAGAGAGAGGAAAAGTTTTTTCATTTGTCCTCTCGTGAGTCGGCGGTGGATACCACAATGGGCTGGATGGAGACCGAAGACCCATGGAAGACACACGGAAATCCGTTTGTTCGTTTCAAACAGACCCGTTCGTACCGGAGAATATATGCACAGAAGGAGCAAGACAAGGCGTAAAATAAAGAAAAGGTCCCTACAGAGTGCATAAAATGGAGCAACGGCGCTGGAACATAGTGGTCTCCTCACATGGAGAAATTGACTAGACAGTGTGGGCATTGGGATTTCCCCATATTCCAAGGGCCAGGAAAGATCTCAGGGAAGGGAAAAAGGAAGGGAGCAGACGAGCACATGGGAAGGGACGTGCACGCCTCCTTCCAGGCTGGGAGTGAGAATGAGAGGGAGGAGAGGAGAGCTTGTGATAGGCGCTGGGTTGCCGGGTAAGTGATGACTCTGGGCGGCAAGGGAGCCGGGGCAACCACCGGCGGGCACAGAGCACTGGAGGGACTAGCTACGGGTAAGCAGTAGAGTACGGGTACGGAGTACTGAGTACTGTACTCCATACCCATACTGTATGTACTCCATACAATACGTATCGTCATACTCGTAACATACTCATACAGCTATCTGGAGATCACTCCCCACTTGCGTTGCCCATTGCAACAGACCCATCCCTTCAGCTTCACGAGTTTCTTTCTTCTAACCGTTCCGTTCCACCTTTTCTTTCCTCGTTCCCTTCGACATTCCATTCTATTCAGGTCCCTCTCGCCAACGACAAATTCGACCTTCGACAACCTCATCGACAACTTGTTCGCCGACTACATAGCATATACCTCAGTGCTTACTTGTTGGACTCACCCTGCGCCTCCCCTCCCCCATCACCCACGAGCTGTCGGCCCCTCTCTCCAATTACCTGCATAAGACCTCCGCTCTCCACCGGTCATGCCTCTTTAACTCGCCTATCCTCCGTCCCCGATATTTCACAACTTCCCGTCCTCCTCCCTGAGGTTTGCGAGAGGTTCACCACGGGATTTTCTGGATTTCAACCTCGTCGTCATTGCTGCTAGTTTCGGTCTCGGTTTCAGGGTCACATTGGGTCATCAGAGTGATTTAGGTGCTTAGGTGCTTTTGGTCAGCTTTGGAATTGCGGTGGAGACTATCCAATACCTCGATCGTCGGTCCATTCGTCTGTGGGAATTCGTGAAGACGGTGTCTCTGCTCTCAGCTGGAAGTGATCAATTCGAATTGGAAACTGCTCGGGCTCATTGCGGGTTTACATGAGTCTACCTCGTCGTCATCCCCTCCAACTATAGCACATCACATTACAATATGGAACATTCATCTCCATTGGCCGCTATGCAGCCCCCATCCATGATGTTTGGTCACTGTTTCCGGGCTGACGCCCCCACGTCATACCCGTCACTGTCGGGATTCAACCAGAATAGCTTCAACTTCAAGGATCTGTCTATGAAGAAGTCCGGGTCCGATTACTTCAATATGAACCCCCTCCATACCTCGTCACCCGCAGCTAGTCTGGCAGCCGACCTGTCGCAAAACTTCCACATCGACCAGAGGTTCGTTTTCATTGTTAGCTGGTGCGGTGCGGTGCTGTGCTGCGCCGACCAGAACAAACGGATGTATGGATCCTTGCTAACTTTATGAATAGCCCGCAGTTGGCTACGCCCCGGCGGTCTTTGTTCTCGTCCAACATCTTGAGCCAAACGAATTCCTATGGTAAGCATTCCTTGCAAACAAAGATGCTATTTCTTTCGAAAGTTCCAGTACTAAGACAATGAATAGACGACGTGATGACCACCCCTCCCCTCCCTGCCTCCTCGCCCGCCCCCGCTATGGACATTATGGAAATGTCGCCGCTGCCGCACAAGAAGCCTGCCTATGTAGTGACTACTGAGATCGAAGTGCACTCTCCTTCACCTTTGGCCAGTCCGATCTACTCGCCTTCCTTCTCCGCTGCTGCCAGCCCGCTACAGGCCTCGCCGATGGAAGCTCCTGCCGAGTAAGAGTATTCGACAAAGACTTTCCAGAATGAACACTAACTTGGAGTATAGACGTCGTCGACCTCACTTCCTTCGCCCCAGTCTGGCGAAGAGCAAGGCTCAGTCCTTCCAGCTCGGTATGACCCGTCCTGCGCAGGAGAGCAAAGCACCCCCATTCCGCTTCAACTCTGCGAAGACCTCATTGAGCACCTCGACCTCCCTGGAAGACATGTTCGGTGACTCCCCCCCTCAAGAGAGATCTATCTCTCGCAACTCCTCGTCGAGCAGTCTGGCCCCGCCTCGCCTGCGGCCGCCTTTCTCTCACGCCCGTAGCAGCGGATCGCCTGCCAACTCCATCCGCAAGCCCGCCCATCCCTTGATGCGCCCACGCAAGCAGTGCCGCCGCTCATTGAGTATGTTCGAACACCCCGCGGACATCATCGCCGAAAAAGAGGCCAAGGTAACAACAAATGCACCCACACCGTCCATCAGTGACATTCAGAGTTCGCCCAGCCTGCAGCTGCCTCACTTTGTTCCCGAGGACAAGGCGGACTCATTGCCTCGCATTAACCAGACCACCCTCCTGGAGGTTCTGGATGGGAAGTTCAACGATCAATTCGACAATGTGATTATTGTCGACTGTCGGTTCGAATACGAATATGAAGGCGGTCACATTGACGGCGCTATCAACTACAATGACAAGGACGCGCTGGCGGGTGATCTCTTCAACGCTCCTCAAGCTCGCACCGCTCTAATCCTGCACTGTGAATACTCCGCGCACCGCGCGCCTATTATGGCCAAGTACATTCGCCACCAAGATCGTGCGGTCAATGTCGATACTTATCCCAATCTTACATACCCGGACATGTACATTCTGGACGGCGGATACAGCTCGTTCTTTGCCGAGCACCGTTCATTCTGTTACCCACAAAACTACGTCGAGATGAATGACAAAGAGCACCAGTTCGCCTGCGAGCGCGGACTCGGTAAGGTCAAGCAACGCTCCAAGCTGAACCGCGCCCAGACTTTCGCCTTTGGTCAACACTCGCCTCAGATGGAGGATAGCCCGACTGGCCGATGCCGCAATGATCGCGCAGATCGCCTCCTCTCGTCCCCCTTCGCCGAAAGCCCCGTGCCTCATCGCACCCCCGGCCGCCGTATGCTCTCTTACTGATTTCTCCTTGCATTGGTGACTTTCCAATGACTCCTGGCGGATAGCATGAAATTTTTGAATTGTTCTTGGAGCGAGTTATTTTCATTGAGGCATATTGCATGGTGCCTTTTTCTTCTCCTGGGTGGCTTTTTCTACTTCTTCCTTTTTACCCTTCTCACACCCACCTCTTTCTCACCACAAAAGTTCGGTCCGTTGGCGCAATGGTCTTTCTCCTAAGCACTGGCTTGCGACTGAAGCTGCGCAGAGCGCGGTTTACAACCGACTTTCATTTCCACAATCTTCTCTGACCGACCCGATATCAACCATCCCTTGATATCGTCTTTCATTCCTGGACTCCCTTTTCTTCTTCTCTTCTCCTTTTCTCAGAGTCCGACACGATACCACCGATTCTATTTTTCCTTTCCTTACTTCTCGATACGATATCCCGTTGCTCGACTTTTCCTTTACTTCGCATGGTTGACACCATCGCGTCGAGCACACGCAACGATACTGGGCAAATCTCTTTTTTTTTTTCTTTTTCACCACCCGATTTGCCCCGTGATGAACGACAGCCTCGACACGAATCGAGCAAACCTCTCTCCTATGTTCCCGATGACACCAGTTGATAACGCGCCCGACGCCCCTGGCTCCTGCTCGGAAAAAACCATTTCCTTTTCCATCCTCCGCATTGCTCTGCAGCAGCAACGGATCTCATCCAATCTACTACTCACATCAAGTGAAACGAAACGCTCACGGAAGCGTTTTCTAATCTGCCGTCCACTTGGGCGCATTCCATTCTCTTCAAAACAACCCTAATTCCCTTTTCACCATACTGCCCCTTTAATCACTTCATTGTACAGTGAACCACCGATCCTTTTTCTTTGACTTGACACACACTATTAATCACATGATGTTCCGGAATGAACTTCCATTCCCCGCCTGTACCGAGTTGCATATCGAGCGAGAGTCTACATCCTTCGAGAGCGCTTTTTTGACCATGATGTTCTATTTTATGGCATTGCGAGTGGGGGAGCGTGCTTTTTCATTTTCATTTTGTTTTTTTTGTTGCATCGTTGCCTTGTTTCCAGCCCGTCGGTTTTTCGATGATCTCTGCCGTACATTGCATTTACGGGGACGATCGTTGGGGCTGGAGGGCACGGATTTGCATATCAATCGAACCAAACACACATCACGAGTGGCTGTGCAAGCTGTACATACGAGAGCGATATTTGCCTGGCAGTGAGGACGGAGGTGCAGGAAAACAACGACTACTGCTACTACTTACAGTGGTGTTGTGTTGCACTCGCCTGTTGGGAGTTAATGGGTGGCTGGAGGGCCTCATGGAGGCTGCAGATAACTTCTTTTCCTTTTGTTGAGCAGAATCTACCATTCTAATAACATGTTCATGAGTAGTTGTAGTAATAGCCGAGTAGTACTGTAGCAGTGGTAGGTAGTGGTGATAATAAGCAGTACTCGTACTCCCTAGCATACAAAACCCTTCGACAAACTCCCATATTTCCCTGTGCACTCTGTCTACTCGTACTCTTGTCTCATCAGAAAGAAAGAAAATTACAAGATCGGCAAACGGTGGATCGAGTCTCCTCAGTTTATGACGATTGGCGGTTCACCAGACTCCCACGAGAATGTGCGCTTTCTGATAGGCTCAACTCGACGGGGCCAAATGGAGCCTGTCAACCCTTCTTCCCCTTCTTGACCCTTTCCCCTCCGTGTTTCATCTCGTCCTTTCGTCCTTTCGCTTCTTTCTTGTGTGAAGGGGAAGAAGGATCTTGTCTCCGTTTGACTTCTTTTACTTTCGCTTTATTCTCCTCAGGCCGTCGCTCGTTTTGGCCTCGACTCGACTCGACTTGATCCACGCTCTTCCAACACTCCACCTTCCACTCCCTTCAGCCGTGCGGCGCTGCGCTTCGCCATCTTTGATGCGCAAATCCTAACGAACCCTGCTGCCTGTTCCATTCTTTCGTTCATTCTGTGTCCTGCGCGAATTGGTTTGCCTGTTCACCTTCGAGACAACCTTATATCGCTGCGCCTACGCCTGCCCCGCCAACTGTTCTATTTCTGGCATCGCTGGCATCGCCGTTTACTACTAGTAATAGTGCTTATCGCCGCCTAAGTGAGACATTTTTATTGAACCCCGGATTCCATCAATCCGTCTCACTCGCCTTCTTGGAAGGCATGCGGATTGCCATTCTCAACCAACTCTCGTCAATCCAATGATCGATTCCTCCTAGCAACCCCTCAAGTCATGCATCTCCCCAATATGAGCCCCGTGACTCAACCGATCTTCGCTCGCGGCATCTCCGATGAGTTCAAATCCGTCAACAGCTGGGATACGTGTATGGCCAAGTCCTGGTGCAAATGGCCCGTCATCGTTGGTATCATCGTCGGATCCGTCATCGTGATCGCGATTCTTGCCTGCGTGATCAACTGCCTCTGCTGCGGCTACCAATGCTGCAAATGCTGCTGTGGCTGTTGCTGCCCCTCCGGCCGTCGCAGAAACAAGCAACCAAAATACTACGACGACGCTCCCCTCCACCAACCACCTCCCCCAGCTGCGAACCCAACCTACCAATCCTCGCCCGCCCCTCCCGTCTACCGCGGCGCCACGCAGACACAGACCGCAACCTTCGACACCCCGAAAACCGCGAATTCGCACGTCGATGAGGATGCGCTCCCCGCAATGCCCACCTGGGCCAACGCTGTGGACAAGCATGTCGAAGACGAGACTCACCACGAGGACGTGGAAATGAAACCATTGGACCGAAAACAGGGCGCTGGTACGCCCTTCCGCCCGGGTGGTAGCCCCGGCGGCGCATACTCGGATTATACCAACGACAACAATGTCTCCGCTGGCGGCTACCGAGGCTTCAACCCAACAGACCCCTACGCGCGCCGTTCCCCAGGACCGCAAGCCGCCCTCAATCCCACAGACCCCTACACACGCCGGTCCCCAGCACCTCAAGCTGCATTCAACCCGGCCGACCCCTACGCGCGACGCTCCCCAGGCCCTCAAACAGCCCTGAACCCAACAGACCCCTACGCGCGCCGCTCTCCAGGCCCGCAAGCCGCCTTCGCCGCAGCAACAGACCCTTACGCCCGCCGGTCCCCAGCACCAATAAACACCTTCGGCGCGGCGCAGGACCCCTACGCCCGCCGCTCCCCAGCCCTCGCCTCCCCAGTCGGCACCCCAAGTCCCTACGACTCCCAGCCCTATCAAAGCTACGACACGGGCAATGCCGGCTACCACGCCGTATCTTCGCCTTCGCCCGTAGCTTATAACCCACACACGCACGGCGCAAACTACAACGCCGTGCCCACGGCCCTCTCCCCGGCTGCTGATCCCCAGCAGCAACAACCTGCGGGATTCACTCGCCAGCCCTCCTTCGGCTCAAGCCAGTACCCGCCCACATATACAACTCACCAGCCGTACCGCAGCAACACGGCTTCACCGGCTGTCGCTTCCTCGCCGCCGCCGCCTTCATATGTTACTTCGCCGCATGAGTACGCGTCGCATGAATATGGTTCGCATGAGTACGCGGCGCCTGGAATGGCTATTGGGACTGCGGTTTCTGAGCCCCGGGATAATCGCCCGCCGAGTTTATTGCAGAGTGGGCGGAAACCTGCGCCGAATACTTATCGTGATGTATAAGTGAATTGTGTGTATGTGTGTGAGATGAATTGTGGGGTTGGGCATGGACATGGGCATCCACATCTGCATCCAGCAACATAACACTGCGCGTTCTGTATTGTATTCTACCGGCCGGTGTCGGGCGTGCGTAGATATGACCTTTTTGACTTCTTTTTTTTCCTTTCCTTTTCTTTCTCTCGTTGTTTCGACTCCCTCATGCCTTGATTGGATTGGATTATGGATGAGGATGAGCATTTGATACCATTTCCCTTTTTGTTTTCTCCTTTCTACTCTTTTCTCTTTCATTTCTCGTCTCATGTATGTGCTTGGTCGATTCCCTGCATCGTACATAAAATTCTTTCTTTGGTTGCTCTTTTCGAGGATTGGATAGATTCGGATTGAGATGTGGGTTTTTTGGCCCTATGAATTCCATGTTTTCTTTTTTCTGTGATTGTGATGGGATTGTAATTGTGTGAACTGTTGCTTTTACCTTTTCACTATGTAGAATCAGACTGAGCAGGGTAATTAGCCATTTAGTTTGCGTTTGCTAAGTGCTAAATTGTTCCTCAGTTACTAGTAGCCTGCGTGTCCGCTCTAGTTGCCTAATTAATAAGGCACCAACATCTTATCAGCTTATCATCTCACGCTAGTCCCAACGTGGTAACCCCCGAATTTTCTGCGGACAAACTTCGCGCAACTCCGACCCTCCAGACGAGCTGTGACCGTCCAAACAGCTTCTACGAAGCTGTAACACTCTCTAACCACCCGAAGCAGGCATTGAAATCTGCCTCAACCCTCAACCCACCACAATGGGATTCAAACGCCGTCGCGAACTATACAACGTCGACACCAAGCTCGTGGAGATCTATGAAGATCTCGCCAGCGAGAAGGATGAAATCCGCCTCAAGGCTGCCCAGGGTCTGATCTCGCAGTTTACTCCGGACAAGGAACCCACCGATGAACAGATTAAGAAGACTCTTCAGCGACTCTTCCGTGGCCTTTGCAGTAGTCGGAAAGCTGCTCGTATTGGATTCTCGGTTGCGCTCACTGAGCTATTGACTCAGATCTTCTCTGTTAAGCGCGAGGATGCGGAGTTTCAATTTGCGGATGCTTTGAAGATTTGGGAGTCGCTTTCTCATTCTGCTGGTAGTGAGTCGGGACAGGTACGTAGAATAATCTATTGCCAGGGCGGGGCACGGCAGGCTCTATGAACCTTCCAGACTAATCATATTCTACGCACAGGAACAACGCGATCACCACTTTGGCCGCCTCTTTGGCGCCGAAGCCCTCATCAAATCCGGCGTTCTCTTCCTCCCCATCACCCCCTTCACACAATGGACTCAGGTCCTGGATCTTCTTTTCGAACTCGCCCAGAAGAAGCCATGGCTTCGGGAGGAGTGTGGCTGGGTATTGTACCGCTGCGTGTATGATCTCTCTGCACGACAGATGGAGGCTAAGTACCTGGAAGCTGCCATTGAGCGCCTGTGCTCGTATGATCTAGCCCGCTCTCCCGAAGGTATTGCCGTCTGGCTCGCCGCGAAGGATATGTTCCCCAAAGCAGAGTTCCCCGCGAAGGTCTGGAAACACGATGACCCCCTCGACACGAAGGAGCGCAACAGTCTTTCCAAGATTATGAAGGAGTCTTCTGCCGAGGAGGCTGATGGCCAGAAGAGCAGCAAGTCTTCTGGTGTCTGGAACTCTAAGCTACACTTTGCCTGGGATGCGGTTCTTTCTCGAACTAGTGATGGAAGCTCCAAGTCGTCTAAGAGCTCCAAGTCTGGCCGTTTGAGCTTTTTGGATTTCTGGACCGAGGTCGTGGACAGTAAGTACTCTCTGTGGCTCTACACTTAACACTGAAACGGCCTGAACTAACGGGTTTCAATAGATGGTCTGTTCGCCTCGGCTTCTTCCGAGGAACGCAAGTTCTGGGGTTTCCTTCTCTTCAATAAGGTCCTCAACGAGGGATCGCCCCAGCAGGCGTCTCAGGTCTTCACTAAGAACCTCGTTCGCTGCTTGATGAACCAGCTTGCCGTTGAGGACCGCTATCTACACCGCATGGCCGTCAAGACTTCAAAGGCCATGCAAGCCCGTGTGTCCAAGGACCCTAGCTTTGCTGCTCCCGCTGTCCAAGGTCTGATGGGAACCGGCGGCGCTGTCCTCTTCGACCAAGTCACCAAAACCAAGACCGTGGAGAAGATCGTAGGCGATGCCAGCCCAGATGCGCTGAAGGAAATCGTTCCATTGTTCGAGCAGCTTATCAGCAAGCCCGGTGCTGGTGATGACAAGACTGCTGCGGCCGACCGCCAATTCATTGCCGGTCTTCTCCTTTCCATCGTGCGCGCGAAGGCCGCTACCGGTAACAGTGACTCGGAGGAGGACTTTGAGTCTGTCCTCGAGCAGATCCTGTTCATCTTTGTACGATTTGCCTACTTCACAGATAAAAATGCCTCGACGGCCGCAGAGCCGGCGGTCTCAGAGGCGACTCAGGAAATGCTGCGCAACAGGGTTAGCTCTTCTCTGAACAGTCTCCTCTCGTCGCAGAAATACGCATCGACTATTCCCTACGCTGTTGTCAAGCAGATTCGCGACAGCGCGAAGTCGGGCGAGTTTGGAAAATTCATCATCAATATCGATGATAAGTTGCAGGAGTCTGTTAAGGCTGCCTTCAAGTCTCTGAAGAAGCTTTCAAGCAAGGAGAAGAAGGGTGAGGGCTCGAGTATGGCCGCTTTCAAGCTCCTTTACTCCATGACAGTCCTTCAGGTGTACAACGGAGACGCCGATGCGGTGTCTATGCTTGATGAGCTTGAGCTCTGCTACACTCAGTTCTTGGGCGATGAAGCATCCAAGAAGAGCAAGAAGAAGGATACCTCTGATGCCTCGGATGCGCTGGTCGAGATCCTGCTGAGTTTCGCGTCCAAGCAGTCGCAACTCTTCCGTCGTATGAGCGAGCAGGTCTTTGGTGCTTTCGCAGATCAAGTTACTGAGAATGGCTTGGAGTCTTTGATCTCGGTATGTCGTTTTCCCTTCTTATTGGAAGAATACAAGACTAATGAATGACCTCTAGATCCTGGAAGCCAAGGAAAGTCTGGCCGGCCAGCAAGAAATGTTCGACCAGGACGATGACGATGACGTAGAAGAAGATGAAGGATCCGGTTCAGACGCAGAAATGATGGACGTCGACGGCGAAGAAGACAGCGACGTTGAAGTCATCGAAGCCGGTGACGCCGAAGGCTCTGACTCTGATTCTAACTCCGACGAGGAAGAAGAAGAAGAAGATGAAGAAGACGCCGCGGAAGTCGCCGCCTTCGAAGCCAAACTCGCCGCCGCCCTCGGCACCCACCGCGCAGACCAAGATGTAAACGCCAACGACTCGGAAGAAGACTCAGACATGGACGACGATGAAATGGAACAAGTCGACGCCCAATTAGCCAATGTCTTCCGCGCCCGCCGCGACGCCGTCTCCCAACAAAAAGACAAAAAAGACGCAAAATCCAACATGGTCAACTTCAAAAACCGCGTTTTAGACCTTTTGGAGATCTTCGTCAAGAAATCTCACTCCCGTTTGCTGACTCTGGATCTCTTGCTCCCTTTGCTTCGTCTGACCCGCCGCTCGACCGTTAAGCAGATCGCCAACAAGGCTAACTCCGTGCTACGCGAGTACACGAAACTATGCAAGGGTTCTGCGGTGCCGAAGATCGTCGATGCCGATGGCGATGACGAGGATGAGGATTCTGAGGAAAGCGTCGAGGCTATTTGGGAACTTTTGAGAAGTATTCACAAGGAGGCGGGTCATAGTGGACCGCCTGCGCATGCGACGGCTGTTAGTCAGGCTTCGCTGCTTGTGGTTAAGGTTCTTGTTGCGCATGATAAGAGTCTTGTTGCGGGTGCTGTGGATGTTTATGGGGAGACGAGGAAGGATATGCTTCTTAGTACCAAGTCGCATGTTCAGCCTTCTTTCTTTACGGATTGGAATAACTGGTGTGTTTCGGCTAGTAAGCAGTTGAAGAATTAGGTGCCATGGTGTGGACCTCGTGTGGAGATATGGTTCCTAGGTTTGAGGGGGATGAATTATACAGGTTGTACAGATTATTTTATTCTAAATCGAATGATTAAAAGTTTTATCAGATGTGGTCGTTGTAATAGAGTAGGGACTAGAGATGATCCATATATCCCTGAACTAGCCGAGAACTGATAAGATCACGGAGTAGATGCCCAGGTGGATGGGAAGGATGCCGGGAATATCCTTAAATGCCGCCAAGTCAACCAATTGGCCCTTTGGCCCTTTGTAAAAGGTGCATAATCCAACCCAATCAGAAATGGAACAGCCGACCAAATCCCTTGTCCCAGTTCGAATTCTTTGCTCATTTGGGCAACCTGTAAGCGTCACTGAGCCATAAAACTAAACCACTTTTAACGAGTCTTATATGCAAGCAACATGTCAGACCAGAGGAGGACCAATCGCACAAAGTAAGTGTAAGCGGCCTCCCTTGATTCAGTTTGAAATTGACTGCAGTCATCAATGATTTAACTTTGGCAAAGAATTTTGGCTGAGCCATGGAGCTAAACCACAAACATCTTAGACCAGGATTCTAACCAACAACATAAGAATTTTAAGCCGCATAAACAGCAAGGTGCAGCATGTTCAGAACTTGCGTCGAAGAGGACGCTCAAGTCCACCTCATTTGTGACTAGAGCCGATGAAAATACGTAGATGGAACCTATAGCCTTAATTCACTTTGAACTTGTGGCCGCGCCAGGCTGAGGCTGAACCGTTAGACTAAACCACAATTATCCTAGATCGCCATCCTGGCCCCTCAATTGTTTGCTTCATTCTCTCAGCCGCAGCTGAGAATACGAGCAGGGCGCAGAACCCTGTCAAAGAAGTAATGCAAGTTCGCGTCATTCGAAATGAGCACCAATCATGATACAAGGAGGGAGACTCTAGCCATTATTCAGTTTGAAAATATCTCATTCAGTCTCATATCGGCCCAATCTGAGCCGTTAAACTAAACCCCAATTATCCTAGATCACCATCCTATCCATGCAGTTTCCTCTTCATTCTCTCAGCCGCAGATGAGAATACGAACAGGGCGCAGAGCCCTGTCAGCCAAAACGATGATCTTATCGGAATTTGACGGGAAACCTGCGAGGCAACGGGCAGTGCTGAGGGAAATATCGTGTTTGACGGCGAGTACTGTTGATTCTGGCCAATCGCAAGAAGTGGGAATGGCCCTACCCGGTGAATTGGTTTGAAACCCACCCTCCTCCGCCCCCCGGGCGCCAATTTCCACCCTTTAGCTGAGCCGTAATTTTGCCCTGCTCTGTTCTAGATTTCTGCACATTGCTGCAATGCTGACATCGATGTTAATTGGAGCGAATCAAATGAGACGACTGTGGCCCGGTTCACTGATCTGGTTCCACTTCAACGGAGCAAAAGAGCCTCATCCTTTAGCTGAGCCATAATTTTGACCTGTCCTGGCTATAATTTTTACGCCCCGGCGTCATGCTCAAGTCTACATTCACTGTAGCGAATAGAGAGAGACGACTGTAGTCCTGCCCACTGATTCGGTTCTAAAGGCCTTGGGTCGCACTTTTCGTTGTAATTGCCTTGCATGAAATAGCTGAGCCATGAATTTTCCGGGTATCGACCAACCCCCCAGAAAGATTTCGAGATGGATTCATGATCAAGACGAATTCATGGCAAACGCCAAGAAGCACCTGTTTCAAGTAGCCAGTCAGATCATATGAAGGAGATCATGCCCATTAATTAAGTTTCATTTTCGAAGCTAAGCCACGATGTGGTGACGACTCACCCGAGCCATAATTTTTACTCTGTAGGCAGTCAACAATTAGGCAGATGCCAAAGCGATTTTCGATGCCGGGTCATCCACGGTGGCCAATTAGTATAGGTGGATGTAGCTCTGTCCGCTGAAAAGGTTTCATCCTGAGCCGTCTTCACCGGTCAGTATGAGCCGTGATTCTTCCGGGTATCTGGCGATGCCCTCAACAACCTTGGAAGGTGGGATCTGAAATATTCACAAAGCGCTGTTGAAAGGCGAGGAGTAGTAGTGGCCCTAAGGTGGTTTTACATGAGAAATATACAGACTAGGCTCAAGGCTTCAAACAGAAAAATGGGTGAGCATAACAGTTATATTGTACGATAGATAACTGTAAACCACTGCTCCTACTACGAAGGTCACATTGTAAGTATATGCCATTGACCACGTAGCTAACGGCTAACTATATCTGTAGTGGTTTCTACCAGGTGAAGAACTTGTATTCTCAAGCCTACATTGGTTTTATGCAGCATGTCAGGATGTAGTTATGGAACCGATTGATTTCAAGTTGAAAAGGGCAACTTTATTTTTAAAAGGTGGGTCAATCATTCATTCCAAGGTTGCATGTAATTATCATTATTGGAGTAGTAGTTGAGAGAACAAGTTGAAGGCATTGGATTCCGAGTCCCTGGTAGAGAATTGAGGGATCGCATGCAAATTGAAATCTATTAGTACATATCACTCAAGAGGGGTTTTATGTGCTATCGGGATGTCAAAGAGGTCTTGTGAAATGGAATATATTGACAAATTGGCTATGTCTAGATGCAGGCAGTCAAAGATACCCTATTTGCTTAATTGGCGTCTGACTGAGCAGCAGGATAATTCCACATATCTGAAAAATCATACTGTGGAAGTGCATCAAAACCACATCCCAGTATACATCTGCTCATGGTAATTGCCTCCTTTTTGGCCTGCTCCTCCGAGATACGAATATAAAAAAAAAGGAATGAGGCAGTGTGTATTCATTGTATCTGGCCGTTGCGTAATTTCCAACCTACCTATCAACATCGAACCCGGGAAATGAAGGCGTGCTCCAACCCAAGGTTTCCGGTTCTGATAAAGCAGTATAGCTACTAATGCTCGGCAGGATATACCACTATCCGATCCAAATCCGCACCTTTATAATCAAATCCATTAAAGAGACCGCCAACCGTAATGGTGTTTGCTTTTCCTTTCTTCAGTTTCAGCTGCAAGGGTGTCGATAGAATGATTCCCTTGTGTGTATCTCTCTGGTATAGTGTTTGCATGCTTGACACATCCCCGTTAACGACAACGCTGCTGATCCGGCGTAGCTGCCATGAACCGCCGATTCTGTCAGGCGTTCCTCCGGCTATGAACTGCGTTAGAACCATGACCCAATATTGCATAAATTTCGAAAACAAGTCTACTTACGTTGATCACCGAATCCCATATCATCTATGTCTAGTATCTCGTCAGATAAAAATTCCGAATAATTAAGACCGAGATTGAAGACATACTTTGGTAGTAAAAGGATACCCATTGGGGTTTCCCTGATCCCTCAATGTTCTCAAAAGTAATGGTACTATCGTTTCCGTAAATTCCGGTGAGAATGACCCCATCGGTAGCAAAATTCTTTTTATTTTATCAGTCGTATACTTTTGACCGGTGGCTTTCCTATACTTACAGCTTCCTGCTTATATGCACCTCCCGAAGTTTTCGCATTTTGTACACTATATGACTTTCCCTTGACAGGAGACCATTCACCAGTTTTACTAGAGAAACGTTAGTATTCGAAACCGTCAGAAATAAAATCATCCTTACACATCAAGATCATAAACATCATGCCAATTGAGTTCCAGCGACTTCTGCTTCTCATTGACCTCAATTGGCAGCCATATGTACCGGCTATCCCAGACAGAGTTTGAGTCCCATTGATCTCCGATATAGAGGTAAGTCGTCTTCTTGGTTCCTTTTATCCTGAGAGTGAAACCGGACTGCGAGTTAAAAGTTCTGGTGTTGAGCGGAGAGACAATAAATGGTTGAGACCACGGTCCACTCAGCGAGTCGGCTCGGAATGCCACCACATCTGGAATATTAGCGGAGAAATTAGCAAGTCGGCGGAAAATATCTTACTATTTGGTCTGTAACCTGTCTTATGACTCATAAGTGCCCAGTAACTCTTCTCCGTTTGCATGATTGTAGGTGCTTCCAGATCAAACTTCGGGAACCGATACACAGATTTTTCGAGGGAAGTAAGATTTTTGTCGAAACTTGAAATGTAAACATCCCGGCCTTCCACACTGTCTCCGTTAGAGTAAAGGGCATATGTTTGCTCGTTTTTATAATCTGTGAACATTCCAAAGTCCTGGGACCAATTACCAAGAGGTGCCGTTGCATCGACAAATTTGTATGGCCCGCCAATCGTGGATGAGACTGCATGGCCTTGGAGGAGAAGTCCATAGGAGGAGTTGTCGGCATGCCACCACATCTGCCGAGTCAGTTCCATCATTTATTTGTTAATAATAAGGTAGATTTGCCGCCCACATACATGATAATCATCAGTCTCTGTACTGTAGGCCACTTTTGGTCGCTGGATTATATTCTCAGGCGATATATAAGGATGTCCCTCAACCGGAGCTGAATATTTTTCTTAGAGTCAGGTTTCCACCACCACAATTGAGATAGTAAATATTCGCGGGAAGAAAACATACCCAAAGCCAATCTTTCCCAGGTCCAGGTACCCAAATCGTCAGAACTATAAACCGACACGCCTCCGCCTTCTGGCCGATCTTCTGTTTTGTATTCGCCGAACCACCAAAATCGGCCAGAATTTTGATCGAAGGTGATTCCAGCCCCATGCGCGTTTATAATTGACCCTTTTGTGTCGTGCCATCTACCCCCAGGGACAATATATTTGCAGGTCGCTGGAACGACTAATAAAGCGGCGAGGAACGCGTCGATTGCCCGCATTTTGATCTTCTTTCGGCAGTATAGACTAGGGTAATTTGATCTTATTTAGAAACCATACAAACTTTTGAAATGTTGTTATATTTATAGTTATTTTGAAGCACATGTCGGTCTTTGTTATGCCGAAATCGTGTGCCAATACTGCGGGGTAGCATAACTGTAGATGCTTCTTAGCTTGGCATGGGAACCGGCACCTTCGCTTAGAAAAATAACCAGCCGGTTACCCTGATTCTGGGGAAATCTTTCACGTAAATCATCACCAAAAGATGATTTTCGAGTGCTAAGCACCGGTTTAATTTGTCCGATGCGGTTTGCACCATTTTGTATGAGTAGGAGGCTATAGTGGCATGTTTGGAGATAATTTTGAGCCGCGAATTCTTCCGCCCGGGGGAAAGGTCTAATAGGACGACGGGAAATGCCCAGGAATTCTAAAATTTGGTTACTCCGGGGCTCTCATAATTCTCTCGCCAAAATCTTGGTTCATGGGTTACATATGGTCCGAGACTTTAGTAAGAAAGCAATTCCTTGATCATTCGTTGCTAAAATTCCCGTAATATTGATCGTTCTAAACAGACTGGAAGAGCTTTTACATCTTTGTCAAGACTCAGTCGGCAAATCATCAATGAATTTCCAATTTTCTTTAATCCGTCGATCCGCCTTGAAGATCTTGCAGAATTGCTTTGGGTCTTTGGTTCGTATTAAATTATTACTTCAATCTCTCGCTGCGGTTTTAGTCTCAGAGGTTTGGCCTGAGGCAGGCATCAACCTTGGAAGGTCGCAATTATTGAACCACGTAGAAGTATTTTAGTAGGCGGGATTTTATGGGTTTGAGTTTAATATAATATTTGTTTCTTTAAAAGAAAAATACAAGTGTAGACTGTTTGGTATATTTGCCACAATGGCGCAGTCAAATGGCGCGCCCGCCTCTTGAAGACAGAGGCCTTTAGCGTGGCACGGAACAAACATTCTCTCAAGACCCAGCTACTGAGAGACTTGGAAGGTATGGACCCAGTCCGGGAGATCGTCTTGCGCGAACAGTACAACAAACCCGCCAAAACATATTCCAGCGAATCAACTCGAACGTCCCGCAACGTTGAAGCTGCTCTCATGTAGGCCAATGGAATCGTTCCACCAGCCATTTGCACCTATTATTTGGAAGGAAAAGGAATGTTCAACCAATGTATCACTCTCCCCACTGATAGCGGCGCTCGCGAATGTGCCAATTGTCATCTCCACAACAAGGCAGCGCTATGCTCGTTCAAGAAGCACGCCACGGCCACTACGAGGAAGACCTGGGCCTTGCTCCCCGCTGCAGTGACGAGGGAATCCAGCGCCAGTTCGATGGCCGAGGCCGAGCTGCCCGAGAAACTGACTCGAATGCCCAATGCGCGTGTGAGGTAAGAGGTAGGAACTGTCCGTCGTACCTGCCTATTGTAGTAGTAGTAGTTGGGAGTCAAGTCAAACCTCGAACGTCAAGCTTAACAAAACCTCCACACCATCCCACTCAGTTAACTCGTCTTGCTTCCTACTCTCACAATGCCGGTAATGTTACTTGAGAATTACGGCATCAATTGCTATCTGGACGTAGCTAATATGATGTATAAGCCGCCGCCCGCCGAGCACCCCAGCGACGACGAGTTACCCTCCGCCGGGGATGTCAACAGTCTGGCCCACCTGTTCAAGAATTGGGGCTGGTGGCACTCGATCCTCTTCCTCATCATCATGATTGTTGCCGCTGGCTTGCACCGCGCGGTCCAATGTTATATCAAACGTAAGTTTGATATCCGCCGCGCCCGGTAATATACACGCTACCTCCAGACCCCATACAGACTGTGATTCATGCAACACATAATTGAAGAGCCTCATACACTGCTAAATGGCTAATACATATGCTAAATTGTGATATAGGGACCTGGCGGACATGCAATTGGACCTGGAGGTCGTCCGCGCCACAGGTCTCCCCGTCTCGCGGGCTCACACCCCAGTTCGGACTCCCAGTCCCGTCCCCTCCCAGCTCCTCCTTGGTCCTCCAGGACCCTCCGCCTCCCCTTCAGAGGAGGAGTCGCTAGTGCCCCTCAGGTCACCAGCAACCAATTTGCGGTACGGCAGAGGCGCCAAGGGTACGGCCGCGAGCCAGCCAAAGGGGAAGGCCCAGGGCAAAGAGAAGGAAGTCTAGATGTAAGTCGTAATCGTAGACTGCTCTTTGACTGTTTGATCGAAATCCTTGAGAAGAGTCGATAGATGCTTCGAGGTTTTTATATTACTACCCTCTGTAATGCGCAGATAGGGGATTTCTTAGTTTCGCCCCTTTTATCCTTGCTTAAGGTCTCCAAATGGTAACGGAACGTGGCTGACATTCACTTTTCTAGGACATGAAGGACTGCTAGTTTTTGTGTGTCTTGGTTTTGAGATTATCCTGATCAAAAGCCTCTATATATTGTAAGATGGGAATGCTCGCTGGCAGTCTGTCAAGCAGACGGGTCGATTGCAAGAAGACAAAACCACCACACTCGCAGAGTACAGGAGAGTAGTAGACAAAGCGGTGCCCTACTGAGAAAGCAGCATTCAGAGCATTCGAGCCCTTAGCATAACCGCAGCGTGTATCCGAATTACGAAAATAATATTGACCCGAAAAGGGGGTGTGTAAGTTAACTATCATCGAGGGCTTATATACTATATGAAGGTAAGGCCTAAATAATACTATTGAAAAACTCATTTTTTTTTTTTTTTTTTTTTTTGATTTATCTATACTACAGATTTTTTTTTTTAGTATTAAGGCCTAACACGTCACCTGATATCACCAGAGCGATTCCCCCACTACAATACGTAGCATGTATTGTGTAGAAAAACTTTCTGTGGATAAGGAAACAGTGATCTATTTGGGGGGGATTTTGTAAGTTAACAAAGCCTTATATATATAGATATATTGTGATGGGGATATCCGTTCTCAACAGCGGGATCAAATGATTTGAGGCTTTAGCAACAAGGCTGTCCTTTTTGTTCTGGGGAAGAATAAGTAGTTCGCTCGATAGCATTTTTAGGACACACACACCTTTCGAGCTTCGCAATTCTGTCTTTTCTACCCGCGAGCGGTAGCGGTAGCGGTATCGGTATATCGTTCATGAAGGCTCGAATGCCTTAATATATCGCATCTCAATAGGACACTGCTTTTTCTGCTATCTTCCTGCACTCTTCGAGTGTGGTGGTTTTGTCTCTACGATCGACCCGTCTCCCAACGCAGACAGCCAGCGAGCATTTCCATCTTTCACTAGTTTAATACTGTACTCTTATAAATACAGAGCGTAGCTGGAGTAAGTTACTTATAACAGATAGTATTGACTACTTGTTCCCGAGCGTTCTGATACTCATAGGTGAAACCACGTAACGCGGCACATACCTTCCTTTCGTCTAGCTTCTTTTGTACTTCTTCTGGGAGCATCTTCGATCAAGTAGCTGGGTAAAAATGAATTTAGGAATGGCAGGCTGGACTTGGGCCCTTGGGGTTTTATAACCTACCATACAGATTGGGAGAACGCAACGCATCGCAGTGGGTATTCTCACCCCTCTTACCCTGTTCTCACCCCTTCTCACCTCGTTTTAACCTCTCTCACCCCAGTCTCCAGAATTCTCACCCATATCACCCGCACTCACCCTAGCCAGAAACTGACGCTAATTTATGATCCAGGGCTCTTTGGTTATTGATCGCGTTTAGTATGTAGCTTAAGTACGGCCGAGCGGACGGGAAGCCCTGTTCTCCACACCCTATGGTCGTATGTGCTAGGAACTCTGTTGAGTACTCTCATATAGCCATGAGATGAGACAAAGGTATGAAAATGGAGCGACTCAGAATTTGAAACGTATGAGCGTATACCGTAATGATGATTTAAAAATGCTTGAGATTGTTGAGTTGAGCAATTTTTGCTTCTACATCACGCCTGTGAAGAGCACGGTTCCGACGAAGATCAAGACACGACGAATACAAGGCAAGGTGTGGTGATCAGAAAACGAAAGTAATAAGCTTAGAGAGACGGAAAAATAGAAGGGGGAATAGGAACTAGGTACATATGAATGAGTACCGGAATGGATATCATCCGATCAAGGAGATTCGCGACAACGCTCTTGAATCACAGAGAAAGTTACCACTCCGACTTATAGTTCAAACGATGCTTGTATGTCCAACAGGAACACGGGCATGAATCATACCCTGGTAGTGTTTCTAAGCGAGACACTTCGACAACAGAGAACTCAACCCCAAGCCCCCGAAATCCCTCTGAGTACGGAACTCCATCTGGAGAAACCTCCGACATAAGATCATTTGGCGAACGAAAGACCATGACGCCTTCTGGGGTAACGGCATCCGTAACATCCTCCTCATAGTATAATGAGCCGTCTTCTAAAAAAAGCGAAGCTATTTGGCAAGTCAAAGAGCGAAGATGTATGTAGCCATCGCGCAGAGCCTCGTATATTTGTAATATTGGGAATATTGCGCATTCATTGCGGAATTTGAGATGCTGTAAATTTGGCGGAAGAAGCTTCGCCCAGTCCAAAGCTGAGGCCGGCTTCAACCAATAACATTGATTGTCTCCAATGCACATTCTCGGTGAGATTGTGAGAGATTGAAGGGCTGGAAAGTTACTGAGATCGACTGGCTCTTCCCAATGATGGAATTGAATGTCAAAGTCAAGAGTTTCGAGAGATGAAGAATGGGCCCTGATAGCATCGATATATAACAGTCGATTTCTGTCCGCAAAGCTGTAGCCAAAGTCAAAGGGACTTTCCTGACCCTTGATAGTGAAGTGCTTGAGTTGATGGGGGTAACGAAGCATTTGTTCAATATCTCTGGCAGGGAGATCACAGTTCAACAATGTAAGCTGTCGAAGTCGGGTTGATCGAAAAGGTGCTGCACGTTCTTTGATAATTGCAATTTGAAATTTAGCCCCGGCGATAGTCAAACTCTCTAGACCAGGGTGGTGGAGCAAGAACCATACGCCTCAACTGAAAAGGACCACTCGTAGCCATAGTCAAAGCTGAGGGTACCTATTATCATCAGAAACCTCTTCTCAACGTGCATTCATAAAAGGATCGGACTCGACTTACAGGATCGCAGGGCGGGGAGTGTTTCTTGTGGGCGAGAAAGTAGCTGCATCTTATGCGACTTTCGTCGGTCAAACCAACTTGATCTAATGACTAACGACTCTAAATTCACAAGTTTTGCAAGTACAGGTTCAATATCTTCCGGGGAATCATCGGTTTCTTCATCCAGGTCGTGGTAATGAATCTGGAGTTCTCGTATAAGAGAAGTTAAGTAAAAGGAGTCTGTAGCTGCCCCAAGGAAACGATTCATAGACTCCGGACTCCGAATGACGACCGAACTGTAGAGAGGGGGTGTTGCTAGAACGTGTAGATAACGACAAGACTGAGATAGAGCCTTAAGAGTGTCCAATGAAGAGCGGACTACTGACAAAATAGCCTCTAGGATCTCAGGGGGTAACTTGAGCAGGGAGATCGGTTCATTCATTCTGTAGCGCAATACAGATCGGCTCCAGATGTAAGTCGGCTGGAATTGTTGCTTCCTGAGATTGCGGGGAAGTGGGATTAATGACATAGGAATTGCAGCCGCGGTCCCGCACGGATGTTGCCTTTTTTGGATGGTTTCACTTAGCGCCCGGGTGAAGATCATGATAAGTAATCTTTCCCTCACTAGATCCCTTCCAAGGTTTTATTACGAAAGTGAATTCAGCTGACAGTAACGTCGCCTACGTCGCCTCCTGCTGATTCTATTTCGCTTAAGCGCCGGCCCCCAAGAATGTTCAAGTTGAGAACTCGCTCAACCCTCATTTATACTCCGGCGCTTAGTTAACTAGTAGGCGCCAACTCCAAGGCTGAGACTGGACCTATCTATTCTCAGCCAATCGATACCACTGAAAAACCCGCATTTTCAAATTCTAGCGCGACTTCCCTAATATTCATGCACCTCCAGCACTCTATGGACCCAATCCTGGCGACTAGAACTTGGACATTATGGCAACGGCAGCCCCCATCACAAGTCTTCACGTCCTTGCCATTCACCGAAAAGCCATCTGAGTCTTTCCCCTTTTTCACGGTGCATGTGGCACTCCAGTGTGCACATTTGGATATGTACCCACTGGAGTCATATTCGCTGCCGTGCAAGAAGGCTCCGCCCGGATCGGTGTTGTAATCAATACTCTTTGGTAAATTGGTAACATCTCCGCTTTTGAGTGTCTTCTTCGCCTTGGCTTCGTCACACCAGTTGGGGTCTTTGCCGTTCGAGAGAAAGTATTTGAGCGGTTCGGTCTTGCCATTCGCTAACCATTCGTCCTAACCTTGTAATGCAAGAATCATAGACCCAGTTTTAGTTGCCGATGCTGCATGGCTACTCGATGTTGTAGTTACAGCATGAATGCCACCTTTTCCCGGGGCCGCATAGGTAGGCCAGGTGGCTGCTCCTAGAAGCACCACCAGATATGCAGGCGTGGACCACATTCTATTCGGCTGAGGTCGAGAAACGGCAAAGTGCAAGAAAATGCTCAGATATCCTGAACAATTACGGTCGGAAGGACCAGACTATATAGCAACCGAAAATACCTAGAAACACGAGAGAAATCGTTACACGTCCCGAAATGATATCCCCAGCGCCCTCAGCTTCAGGATTCACGCTAACAAGCATGAATGGCCCCAGTTCGCACTTCGTTTCCTCTTGAATCACCAGCGAAGAATAGGGGGGTCACATGGTTGAGGGAAGAGAATTGGACAGAATTGCTATGTTTACAGTAATTAGTAACTAGATCTTACCAAAGTAGTCAAAAAGGTATAAGCCATTCCAGAAGACAAGGGCCCACTGCTTAGTTCTTCTAGGCCCATTTGTGCCTTTACTTTGATCATGGGTTTGAACATTGGAATTCCACTATTCGGGTAGTAACAAAACCACTTGGCTGGGAGATGAAGGGTGACACTTGTGAATCATCGACCTCGGAGGTAATCTGTGAGGTCGATGTTGTCTTTGTCGATGATCTCAAATTGCTCTTTGATCGACGGGGGCCAGGCATTCCAACCTCGGAAATACCAGGGTTCATGGGGGCTCGGTGTCAGATCGTCAGGTCGGTAATTTTTCAAGTTCCGGGTTAGTTGCTAGTAATCACTAGTAGGGATGCCTATCGGATATATCTAGTATATCCAGGGTTTCGCATAGTATGAGGCAAATATGCCCCGTATTATTACCACGTACCCACCGAGACCGAATCCAGTAGTATCATATGACCTCAAATCCCTTCTTTTTATATCCTTGTCGCATAATGTGGGACAGATTGCTCCCTTTGGCCGCATGAATCCGTTCCCCACCATTAACGGTAACCATATTAGACCTTAGTGTGTGAGTACTATATTAAGATATGAAGTCTTAATCATCAGATCATTGTGTATGAATCTGAGTCGGAAACCTTGGAAGTTGAGTGTTATTTTGCCTTTTGTATAGAAAGGGAGCAGTGAGTAATTGGTATACTTTCGCCGCCAAAGGCGGTGATGCTTCTACTTGTAGTACTATCTTCAACATCTTCAACCATATTTTCATGATACATGCCAGTGGAGCGTCGGATTGGGCATTCATTTTTTCCCATTTTCTTTGCTTGTTGTCAGTATATAATAGAATGTCGGACATGGCCGAGTTTCGAGAGTGCGGGTCAGTTTGATCACTAGGCGCATGGCTACGAACATCTCCGACTTGCCTCGCATTTCCTTCGTCCTACGCTATCTTCGCCATTTTTTGATTTTGACTTAATATTGCGTTCCAAATTCTCAGCAACTATGAATCAACTCGTGGACAGAGTGCTATATTTACGGGCATGGATATTTGAGACATTGCTATCAGAAGAGAGATCGTTTGCTCGCCATGCTCAGCATGACCTGGATTACAGTTGGCGGGGAGACCTCGTGACACTCAGCAGCGGGCATAATGCCTGATTAGGACGAACCAAAGTCTAATATATTGTTCCAACGTTGGCCAAGTATTTCCCCACATCCACGGATTTTATTCCCCTACTCTGCAGGGATCCTGCCAAGCCCGGCGGGCCCGAGATGAGGCCCGAAAATGGGAGCTTTGGCTTGGAGATAGTGAATAGATATCCTATGAGGAAGCTTGTACTCAGGTAAGATATAAAATGTTATGCGGTTCGAATGATTGGCTGAAATCTTGTAGAGGTTTGTAGTTCTTTCTCGTTTTGTTTTTAATAAAAAAAAGCTCAAGTACAGATAAAGTGGGCGCCCCGATGACCGAGTAATAGTGCCAGGTGTGATCGACCTGGTCACTGATGCCTTCGGGCATTCGGAGAATGGCAGTACTTGGCAAACAAGAAGGATGAATAATTCACCTGCCAAGCTGTAAGCCTATTCCTCATTGGTCAATCCCAGCGTGAGTAGACTTTTAGGTTCGTTAGCGAAGCGGGGGTCGTAGCATTCGTCATGCAGGACTGACTATATGAGTACCTCACCCGATTTAAGTACCCATTTTAAGTAGTTTCTTGATCCATAGATGCTGGTTTCCACTTTTCGTTCTTTCTACCCCGATATAATTCAAAGCCTCGGTGCCAAAGTAAAGACAAGTCAAATACCATGTGAGCAGCCCAATACCTCCGTGGATGCTATGTTATAAATTGAGTGATATTTCCCGACAAACCCCGAAATAATGCAAAATATCTCTTCAAACACGAGCGATCGGTGAACCCAGTACGGAACTCAGAAAATAGAGGTTTTTCTGCTTCAATCATGTTCTTTAATCTTCAATTGCTGTTGTTAGCTCTTCTCGGACTCAATATATACGCTGCCCCTTTACCAGAAGAAACCTATGCACAAATTACCAAGAGAGGGGCCAGTCTGAATGAGTTTTTAAATATTCTCATCGGTCACCTACCGGTGGTCAGCGAGTCTCTCACCAAGGGTACAGCTATTATCACTGATTTAAGCAACTTGCTCGGCATCTTGACCGGTGCGCAAGAAACATATAATGAAGCTGGAGGCACGTGCAAAGAATACACCGTGGTGTTTGCTCGTGGTACAGCCGAGCCGGGAAATGTAAGTCTCATGGGGTATCAATACGAGAAAAAGCACTTGCTAAATGCTTCTCGTCGCTAGGTTGGAGTTCTCGTCGGGCCACCATTGTTTGATGCTTTGCTGGACACATTCGGTGATTCTGCAGTCACTATCCAGGGTGTCAACAACTACGCAGCATCGGTCCAAGGATACTTGGCTGGTGGAGATGCGGCTGGAAGCACAGAAATGTAGGTCGATGAAGAATGTCGCACAACACTTATGAGATATTGACCAGCTTTACCATTGTAGGGCGCGGCAAATCGAGGCCGTGAAATCGAAATGCCCCAAGACCAAACTAATTGCTTCGGGGTATTCACAAGGTTGCCAGATTGTGCACAATGCTGCTTCGAAGCTCCAAGCTACAACTGCAAGCTGGATTAGCAGCGTATTGCTGTTTGGAGATCCCAGTACGAATTAATACTAAATTCAGGATGATATCTTGACTTTCTGCTGACGATGAATAGAGAATACACAACCACTCTCGAATATTCCTGCTTCAAAAGTGTACACAGCATGCCATGCTGGGGATGATATCTGCAAAAATGGCATCCTGATCGGTCCCGCCCATTTGACTTATGCTTTGAATGTAGAGGACGCTGCCAAATTTGCTGCAAATGCGGCATAGATATAAATCCAAGCTGGGCCAGGCAAGCTACTGATTTGAATGGTGAAAGTTTTTCGAAAGGTTCTTTGTGCGCTATACATTACTACTTGTAGTTCTAATATAAATCGAAATCTGCAGTAGCCGTCTGACTCCATATGGGGAAAGCGAATAATGCTTTGGACCGGTGATTTAGGTCTTTTTCTCAACCGTTATACTTCGTGTCATTCTGTCTACGGCTGTATCGCTGTTCATTGTTGGGACCAGGTACTGCGGACTATATTTAAATAGGATCAGTGGGAAACATCACTTTGATGGTTGTAAGTCCCGGTAAATCAGAACTTGAAGCGAGTATTCAAATCCAGCCTCAACGCTAATAATCCACTCTGAACTCTTTGAAACCCTGGAAGTAAATATAGAGGTTGAAAATCTCCCTGGAGCTAGAAGCCGATAATTCAACTAACTACTAGGTAGTGAAGTCAGACACACTAATCCTATAGACGCAAAGACAAAAATATAAGTATATTTGTAAAGCAAACTTGAGTACTCTGTTCGAGTTGACCTAGTACTATAATGCAAGTAGCAAGCCAGCGCCCAAAACCCCGGAGAGAAAATGGTTTGATTTTCCCGTGGACGACGCTGCTAGCCCCTTGGAGGAGGTGCTAGTAGCACCACCACTTTCGGCAGTTCCAGTGGCAGTTGCAGTGACATAGGCCGTTGTCACAACTGACTCGGGACCCAAAGAGCCCGAATTACCCCCAGACGCGGTGGTCTCATTGGGACCATTACCCGTCGCCGATGTGACAGGAGAGGGCATCAGCGTCGCCCCGGGAACCGCAGCTGTCCCTGTTCCGATTTCGTGAATATCATCGTCACCCCCGTTGTAATCTGTATTCGCAAGTGAGATCTCATTGTTTGCAAGGTCGTAGACCACGTAGGCCCCACGCAAGAATGGGTCACCCATAAGATTCACCCCAGATTCGCTGTACCCAAGACCAAAGATGCAGTCACCGTCGGCGAAATCAGGCTCACTGTAGTTCTCGAAAACTAGTTCACTGATTGGAATCGTAACCGTGGCACCTGAAAAGCTGAAAGTAAAATTGTAGTCTGCCTTAGCCATACTGCAAGGGATATAACCATAGCCATCGGTCGATGAATAGCCGCCACCGACCTCTTTGTAGACGGGGTCTATCAGCTCTTTGGGGAGAGAAATTAAAGGGCTTCCATTGTCCAGGGTGACAGCTAAAGGAAGACCCTTCGCATAACTCTTGGTACCTTTTGAGCTTTTAACAGAAATATCTGTCAAGGCAATGGCTAGAGATAGGTAACGACCATATAGCTGTACAATAGGCACAGTCTGCAGCTCGCCTTGATACCTCGCTTTGTTGACACCCCCGAAGAGAAGATTTCCAGTGCCATCAAATTTGTTCAGCCACAGACTATAGGCGGCTGATTTGATGGCACCGCTTTTGACCAAAGCCTCCGGGAGGTTGTTGTATTCCTTTTGAAGGTTGGCTGCAGCATAGGTAGCCCCCGCATATCCAATTCCAAGAATACCATCTGTATACCATAACATCGTATTAGACATTAGTCAAATATAATGAGTAACTTCGCATCGATGCGCGTTCAATGACCAGGGCTAGGTTCAAACTTACGAGGGTTTCTACTTTCCTCGGCCACCGCGAACTCCATATCTTTAATCGTAGCACCCCCAATCGCCAGTGTGTCGGTCGCATAGGGCCCCGCAGCCAAAAATGCATCCACATAAGTGGCATTCATGTCATAATCCAAAATATCAAAAGTTGAGGAGTTTTTGATATCGAATAACCCGGTTGAGGAGCAGGGATCGTCGTCTCCGGCACAGTAGGTAGAATTTGGGACATTAACCCAGATATCGCTGCTACCGGTGTCGAGACTGAGGGATACATTTTGGGCCGGGGTACCAACGGTGATATTCACCATGTAGTACACGTTTTGCTATTTTGTGAGAGTTAGCATGGATCTTGGTCATTGAGGCTCCCTCTGGAAGCTAGAAAAACAGCCCCGGGATCGGGAAACTGTCTCATACCACATTGTACAAGGCCGTACTGGCGACTTTGGAACTGCGTTTCTGTAGCGCTTGGGAGCGTTCGCTGCGAGAAATTGGGAGTCCGAGGACCGCAGGTTCGTCACGTTTGTGCAGGGTGATGGCATTGGCGCATGGCAGCGCAGCCAAGGCAGCGATCGGCAAGATTGAGGCTCCCCACATCCTTGTCTCCACGCAGATCTCGATCGTCGTAAATTTCTCCGAATATTGGCAACCGTAGTTCTGTAGAACCAAATACGGCGTCGTCGCTAGGAAATATACGATTTGCGCGTTCCTCCAGTAATGAATGCGACCGAAAAAAATCAGAGGGAAAACGGAGAGGGATATGCCTATGTACCCCAATTTCCCTGGCCACCCTCGCTACATGCTAGCTTGCCCCTAAATTCCTGCTAACGATTGTGATTCCACGAACGATCATGATTCCACGAAGTGGCTATTGAGTCATCTTGGAAAGGACCAATTATCTTAGAATAAATCTTGCGTTGCAGCTCTAGTGGCAGACTAAGGCTCTCGCTAGCTCAATCCATTCGCTAAGCGGAGCCTCTTCTATGGACTAAGCTCGGAGGTCAACGGAAGTTAGACCTATAACCGATTCAAAACACGGACTAGTGTGGTTCATAACCGGGTTCCACCCGGGTTATGGATGGCACTAATCCACAAGCTTTATGGACCATTTTTAATGGCCCCTATGCATCTGTATTTCCTGTTCACGACTAGCCTGATAAATTGGTTCATTATTGATAAGAGCCGTGCGAAAAGTTTACCAAATATGTCTTATTGTCGGATTCAGCCGCTGTGTAACTTGAAATTGATTAACATTGGCAAGTTAGTTATGACCTTGAAGCCTTGATTACATGTAGCTTTCCGCCGAGAACCCACAAAATAGTAGGTGTGCTACTCCTTCACCAGTTTATATTTTGCTACCCAATGATATACTATACTCACTTGAATTCCCAAAGATCCATAGCGGTCCCGGAAAGAATGAAATATCAATAGTAGGCATAGTGATATGAAAGGAAGGTACTCGAAAATGATGTCACTTTCAATAAATGGCACCCAAAGTATGTTAACACGTACGGGTTATAAGCTTGAGGTAAGTCTAATTTTCGGTAGGAAAAAGCTGTTGGTGCTTGAATCACTTTTCAATTGACCATTAAAAGCCTTGTCCATATGATCAAATTCACAACAATCCATTAGCGTAGCCATCATTTCAAAATTATTAGCAGGCACTGCAATCCGTAGAAGCAAAGCAGGATTGATGAGTGAGTACTTTCTTCTGTGATTATAAATCTCGTGAGACTTATCTTGAATACATGTGGAGAACTGCCTGACTTTGATTATCAATAACTCTAGCCGCTCCAAGAACGACGAGCTTATCGAATGATTCTATTTCAATGGAGCCGTATTGTCTATTTAGCATATCACAGTAAAGTTTTTCCGAGTTAAAGAGGCGGAAATACCTCACTCGGGTCTCATTTATCAGACTCAGGACTCATGCATGTGTCGAGACGATGACAAATGAACCTGTAAAATTACAACGACTTTGGCGATCCACAAACGGCGAATGGCCGTAATCAAGATACAAGTAACAACCAGGGGCTCGGCCGGCAAGTCCCCTAAACGGGTGTTCACCTAGTAAACCTTTGGAACTCGATGGAATCCCCGCCCAATAGCACGTACATTCAGATCAGGCGACTCCGAGCAAATAAATCCATCGCCCTAATCAACGTTGTCGAACATATCCACAGAACATTTCGGTCAGAATCCACCAATGTCGGATTGGCTCTCTCGTTATGGATGTCAAGCCAAGAGAAGCTCGCATGGTCTCTGAAACTAAACCAATAGGAGTCCCCCGCCCCCATAGACTCCACCGTTGGGGGAGGGGCCCTATAGGGCAGAGCACTCAGAGCGAACGGACCCAGGGGCGGCCAAGAAAATCCATCGCGTCTAGTCTGGGACGAGGCAACCTCGATTCCAGGGTCTCGCTCTGGTGTGACTGGTAGGTTGAAAGATGTCTCCTCGTCATTCTATTTGAGAGGTGGTTTTCCCGTTCACCTTTTTGTCGTCAGCGATCGGCGACAGCTATGAAGCATTCGCATATTTTTTGGGTAGTCGCCTTGGGTGTATCGACATCATGTCTTGGTAACGATTTACACACATCATTTCACGGCCTTTCACAGATAGCCGTTAATTTCAAATAGGTGCCGAGACAAAAGAATGCGACACTGCCACCAACGTGGTCGAGGACGGCACAAACGTCCTCGAACTACACACCCCCGATCAGCTAGACGCGTTTGAAGGGTGTACAACGCTGAATGGACATATTGTCATTCAGTCAGACTATGCCGGCGAATTTATCCTCAATGGTGTGACTGAGCTCCATGGAAATATCTCCACGGCTAGTAGTGGCTCGGACGGCTTACATCTGTTCGAGATGCGTAACCTTGAAAAAGTCAATCATATTGACCTTTTTCTTGCCGGCGATGTTCATCTACCAAGCCTAAATAGCACAGGGAACCTAAAGCTTGTCCAGAAGTCAGGTAGTGGCAAGATAGATCTGAAATCGTTGGTCGAGGCTGACAATGTCTCAATTCGAGGGAGTTGGCCAAGGTATGAATATTCTCAGCTCTGTGACATCAAACATGATTCCATCTCACACACGATTTATAGCACTGATTTTAGCTCACTGAAGACGGTTACGGTAGCCTGTGAGTTTTATGGCTACCAAGTTTATGGCGGTTCTCCTGATGGGACCCTTACGCATATCGTGGTTGATCTTCCCTCGCTCGAAAAAGCAGATTACTTCGATTTGTCGGGGACAGTGGAAAGGTTTGGCCCCTTGCCTCTAATGTAAAATTATTGCTGATTCTATGATACTCAAGCGTATCTCTACCTAAACTAGAAGTGCTGGGATACATAGAGCATACTGATCTTTTCCCCGCCCAGGGGCTATCCATCAGGATCGAAGATGAGGAAACACTCGACTTTGACGCTCCGAAGCTTCACACGTTGAATGGCGAGCTTTTCGTTTACGGTGGTGTATCTAGGTTCGACTTTCTGGCTTATTTATTATCAGCCCTTTCATAGCCTGTGATATTCTGATCATTTCATAGTCTAAGCTTGGGTTCTTTGGGCAAGACCACCGTGCGCGCTGAAATAACCACAAGGGTTCCCCTTGACCTCTATTCGACTATTCAAACTGCCAGTTATTTTAGGATATGGGGGGGAGCTACGCAGGTTTGTTGAGCATATATCGCGTCTTTTCGACATGAAGCTCATAACCTTCGAAATACAGCATCTACCTACCCGACATGGATGATTTGGGAGATGTCGACTTGTCGTATTACCCAAGGATACCTTGCAACGATACGCTGTATCAACTATGGGAAGGGCAGTCAGAAAACTCAAGCGATTGGGATGACTACAATTCGTGCCTAAATTACGACTTTCTACAAGAAGACGAAGAGACAGACCGGGCCAGCACAACGGTCATCACTACCCCTACTGCCACAACTACCCCTGGTGTGACAGAGATCACCACAAGTGGAAGCGGTACCAAAACAGCTGCTGATGACCCAGATAGCACTGAGAGCCCGTCTTCCGGGAATGCTGCTCGCCAGGCATTGTCCATACCCTCGACCAGCGGTATGGCAGTGATTATAATGACTCTCATACTAGCCTCTTTCTGTCGGTGATGCTATTCCAGTGTATCTAGTTTATATCATGTGTGAGACCATGGAATGAGCGCCAGGTCTGGGAAATCATAGATATCTTCGAGTCCCACTGGCACGGAACCTTGGAAACAGAAACTGTAATATGAAGACTGCATTGACATTTTGACTTCTGCTTTCTGTCTTAAATATCAATGCCTCGGTATTTCAATTTATTCCAAGGTTTAGGACAAAAGCAATCCCTGTTTAGCATCGCAGAATCCATCACCCCCCTTCTTCCAAACCAGATTGTAATTGACACTCCTCCAGTCCCGCAATGAAGCCCAATCTCGCGTATTCCAAGGGAATAATATATGTTATTCCACGTGAGTCCGATGTTATCAAAACAAGTATTTCTCTATTCCACATCCTCCTTGACCTTCGACTTGTCTAACTGTCGGAAAAGAACCCAGAGCAGAACGGTCGCTCCACCCAGCAGTCCAGTCAGGATGGCATACATCGTGACCAAGTGCGGATCCCTGGTCAGTGGGGTGAAGGCCAGGGCAATACATGCTCCAATCCCAGCCATAGCAAGCCAGATCGCTTGGACCAATGTCTTCATGCTTTCTGGTGCCTGGTTATAAGCATACTCAGTTCCCGTGGTCAGACAAAAGACCTCAGCCAATGCTCCACCAAAGTAAATCGGAATCTGGAGAAAGACCGAAATTTGGTTGGGGATTGTAGAATTGTCGGCGGCGACACATTTAAGTGGTGAATCAAAGCATGGGCCAGTCTGGTAGATGAGCGTTTGAACAACGGTGGTATAGGCCATAGACAGGGTCAGCAGGAGAAAGCCGACTGACATTCGTGCGATAGGCCCGAATGAGACTCCTCTTTTTGTAAGGAAGGGATAGAGTCCTTTTTGAATGATTGGAGCAACAATTATTCCTGAAATCGCACCGGCAATCTTCATCATGTCGTTTGGAATACCGTATGTAACCATTTGACCTGCTTGGGAGATCAAGTTGTTGAATGTCTGGTTATAGCAGAGCCAGTGAATAGGGAACAGAAGCCTACGGAGATGTTAGCTCTGGGTGTATATGAGAGGGGGGATCAACTTACAATACTCGGCATGTTAGAAGACTTCTTTTGATATCTTCGACAAACGAGTCTGTCCAGGGAACCTGGCGGCCGTGTTGGTGAAGCTGCGCATCCGGCTTTGCGGCATCCATTTTGAAACGACCGGTGACCCCATGTCGAAGCGCGTCGCATACCTGGGGCATGATGTTCTCTGTTGGTGAAGCTCGGACTGTGGTACTCGCATGTTATTAAACCGTCTTGACGGGGTGATAGGGGTATAGACTCACCAAAGAACGTGCGACCGAAGAGAATCGGTATAAGAGCTGCCCACATGGCGCAGCACGGAATTAAATAAGCGAGCCAAAAGCTAACATACCGTTCCAACAATGGCGTTGAATCGGCTAGAAAGCCCACAACGTTTATAGCCCTGTTTATCGGGTTAGTAATTATCGAGAAACGAGGAAAGGGAGTTTCTTTACCAGTAGAAGGCATTGTAGATATAGGTAATAGTCAACTCTCGGCTAGTGACAACCTTCTTTCCGCTTTTCTCAGTTTTGATTCGAAACTCGGTCTCGTCGTATTGGTCGGCTTAACGATATTAGCTTTCGGACTGGTACACCAGAGTTTAAGAAATCGACTCACCAATAAACGGGACCACAGTAGTTTTGAATCCCCCAGATCCAATAGCCAGCAGTACACAAGCAACTATCATTCCGGGTAAAGCAGCCCCTTTATCAAGGGCGACGGGCAGGGATGTCGCAAAAAGAATAGTTGCCCCAATGGCCTCGATACTGCGAGAATGTTAGTCATCACACAAGTCAGGGGCAGAAGAAGACAAAGAGATAATATGTCACAGTACATAGCACAATATAGCATGGTTTTATAACGACCCAGCCAGCTATCGGCGACAACGGCAGCAGGTACGGGCGTGATATACGACCCGATTATCAGTGCATTGACGATGTTAGATGCAGTGGCTTGATGAAGTCCTAGTGCTCCCGGAACCTCACCACCTGATGGGTTTTGGAGGTAATTCTCTGTAAACGATCAGCCAAAGAACTATTGTGGGCAGGGTGGGGATACCACGCACGTAGAGGAGCGGTCGCTCCATACCAGACAAAGCGCTCCAAAATACCCGCGATACATGCTATCCAAAGCCGAGCCGGAATGTTGTCAACAACATGAAGGAGTTCGAGCACTTCGTCTTCGGAGGCCACGCGACCGTCATCGTCATCGTCGTCCGAGGGAGGTAGACTCCTATTTTCATGGAAATCTGCTTGGTCCTGTTCTGTTTTCGGCGAGGCAAGAGAGGCTCCCGTGTTAGTCTCATCGCTCACATCACGAGCATTAGAAGCCATAACCAACCGTGACTGTAAATTAGACTCCGCGGCGATATCCGCAGAGTCGTGCATATCGAGCATAGGGCCGGTCATTGTCGTAGATGCGATCTGTAACTTTTTGTCTGGGCTGCCACGACTTGTATAAGAAGGATCGGGGGGTCAGAGTCAAAGACAGAGCAGAGCGAAGGAGCAGTTGGTTGCATAACACTGTTGCACTGTTCAGGCGGTAAGATAAGGAATGAGCATGGGTATTGGCCTGGGCATCGACATGGGTATAGACAGAGGGGTTCGGACCCCAGAACTCCGCTCCGAGTGGGTCATGTGGAGATGGAGATCCCGGATATCCGTCGGAATTAGCCCCAGCGGGAGTGGAGATACTCGAAATAGCTTTGTTTTTGTCAACTTCTCGTCATGCTATTCTTTCAATGTCAGTTCATAACAATCCATGTGATTTGATATCGCTATCCGGCCCGGAAGCTATTGACTTCCCGTAGTCTGAATGCGCTACTAGTTCCATAGCTTCAGGTAGAGCCGCTGCTCGGCTATATACATTCTGGCGCTCGGACATAGTTGCCGCAATCGACCCGGTGTCTCCCAGGTTCTGCCACGCCTTCAATGAACTTGAACATTTCTACCTGTACATATTGATTGATCCCGGCCATTCATGGTACTGGATAAATAACCGAGTAGGATGGATGCTGAGTAGTATAATGAATGCATATCTCTAGTTTATGGTTACCCTTCTCGATTGCCAGCAAGCTATTTTTCCATGCCCTCCTCGGGTGAAACATCGGTGACAAGCTTCTTGGTGCTTGGCAATTTGAGCCGCTCCATTGCCCAGCTTGCCATCCAAGCAAGGGACGGCGTAGCGAGCGCAACCCAGAACACATCCTTCAAAGCGGAGTTAAATGCGCCCACGACGACATTCATCGACTCCGGAGGAGTCACCTCCCTGAAACCACTCGCGCCGACCGCTACGATCGCTGCACCATCTATACCTTGAATCTCGCTGAGATTTCGCAGAAGCCCATCAGTGAAAAGATTCTGTCCAATACTAGGACCGAGTGCGCCTCCGAGCATCTGGAAAAACATGATCATGACAAGACCAGTTGGTATGTCTCGCTTCTCGAGGACGACCTGCACAGCGAGAATTGGCAGTTGATTACAGCAGCCATATCCAATCCCGGATAATATTTGGAGCCCTATCCATTGTCCACGCGCACTGTCAACCCGAACGAGTTCGTATAGACCCCCTCCAGTAGCTAAGATAAGAGGTCCGATCCACATTAACGGTAAATAATGCCCAAATTTGGATACTATAACTCCCGCGCAGAGCATGCTGATGCTGTTGGACACAATCAATGGCAGTAAATTTATTCTCGAGACTTCGGCATTGGTGTTTCTGACAGACTGGAAGTATATGGGCCAATAGTACGATTGCACGACTATAGCCACCTGGACGAGCATCGTGAAGCCGCATGAGGCAGATACAGTACAACTTCGGAAGATGTGAAGCGGGATATTTGAACTTTGATAATGTTAGACAAAAGGCTGCATATGTAGGCCCATTGCAGGTGAGACTGATACTTGAAAAGAGGAAGAGCCGACCTTTCTTTGCCTCGGAATTGTAAGACCAAAAACACAACCAAAAGAAGACCGAAGCCAATCAGGCATCCGAACACCTTGGAATCAGACCAAGGGTGAACGATGCCACCCCATTGTAATGCCAAATTCAAACACGATGTTGCACCTAGTAGTAGAATAGCTCCTGGGAGGTCGAGCTGGCGTAGCTTCTGTATCCAGGGCATGTCCACCTTCACGGCGGGTGGTGGCTTTCTCAAAGTGAACCAGACCAGGGCTAGCCCAATAGCTCCGAAGGCTTGAATTTTGTTAGCTCGCGATTGTATATGCCTCGTTAGGAAACGAAACTTACGAAGATTGATCCAGAAAACAAATCGCCAAGTCAACGTTTTGTTATCTGTTATAGAACCACCCACGAGTGGGCCAATGGCCGATCCAATGTTGTACATGCCCAGGACAATGGGCGACAGCATCGCCTGTTTTTGCAAAGACACGCAATACGACAGAATAGTTGTCGTCCCACTCACCAAGCCAGCAGCACGTAGACCAGAGATTGCACGACCTATAATAAGCACAATAGAATTTGGGGCGACTGCAGAGACGACAGAGCTGAGTTCAAAGACGGCCAGCGAGCCGCAGTAAATCCATTTGATGTTGTAGAATGAGTAGAGGCGACCACATGTCGGCATCAGTGACATTTGGGCGATCAAGTAGGAAGAGCCATACCAGCCTATGTCGTTGAGGCTATGGAAGTCGCTGGTGATACTGGGTATCGCCGTCGCTTGGCAGGACAATTAGATTTGATGCTTCCTCTTTGATATTATGGGTCACGAACCCAAAATTGTATTGTCAATAGCCAACACGAAGCAAATGGACATGAAGGCCGGGGTCAGGGAAACGAGAGCCCACCCTTGCATGTATTCGGTTGTGGGCTCTTCACTCTCCTGAGTGTCAGTTCCATCCGCGGTCACCCCACCAGGGGGCGCACCCTCCGAAACAGGACCCATCATTTCGTTCCGTACGCCCATTCTCTCTGTAAACCTTTGGTATGCAAGCAACGTGAAAACACGGTGTGGTAATCGAATGACTCCGAAGTCTAACAGCTTATAGATGGCGAGGCGCCAGACAGCCTTCTGGGAACATATTATTTCCCCGGTAATGGGTTCAGTCCTTGTTAATAAGAGGTCTTACGGACAGGGGCTGCGTGGTCGCATTGTTTGCCTCAACAGGATAGGCGAGCTCCGTGTCACTTTCATCACTTGTATGCGGATTTGTGGGTTCAGATAGGTCCCCTGTCTGCGGGCTATGCACCCCCGATAAATTTGGGGCATTTATGTGCATATGTTCGATACGCTGTCAAAAGCGAAGACTGACCGCCATTTAGCCTATAATAGTACACCTGTCCGAAGTTAGCTTCCAAGTTATTTAAATGAAGACTTGAACAAAGCTTTATGCTAAGCTATTTCTAATGCGGGGCCCCATGCATCCGGATCGACTACCTATGTTGCCTTCCCTCTCAAATAGTTTGTCATCCAAATCTTTCCATGCATGGCCATAATAGTCCAGAGCTTAGATTAGCCATAAAAAGGTACACCAGACGGGCGCAAGCTGCGCCGACCTTGATGAAAAGTCACTGTCGCCCAAGGCTTACCGCTGACTCCTAGTAGTTGCTTCTCGCTATAGAATAATCCAATTTTTTCGCCCATCCACCACCTTTCTGAATGCTAAGGCGAATAAAACTTTCTAAAATTCCTCAAATTGTTTTACTTTTTAAGAGTGTCTCAAAGTGTAAAGTATTAACACGCCAGCGATTACCTTTCACCACAACGACCGCTCAAGGTGTAATCTTTTACCAACTCAAGTGGCCAGATAGCACTTTCTCAACTTAATTTCTATTTCTGGGAAGGATACTATATGCTTTATTAATTTCCTTTAGCTCTTTGAACCAGTGTGATCGAAATGAAATCGAATGAGCGTATCAAGGAGAATGCCGATGTATTTGACTTTGAGTTGGATGACGATGACATGACGCTCCTACATACCGAGGAATATTCGCCCACCGCTTGGGATCCCACTATCCAGCGGGACTAAAGCCCTTGATAAAAAGTCTCCAGAATGTGCAGTAATAGTTAACTTTTCATTCTTTGAATCAATTTTATTGTCAAACCAGCGAGAAACGGCAACAAATGTCCCAGTCGACTTCTGTATACGCGTAACTTGAATTATACATGAAAATACAGAAGGCAATTTAGAATTCTCAACAAGTCTCTTGCCTGATTTCAGCCGTGGCCCTGCAGATACGGCACTTCCTTTGACTATTAGCAAATTGAATATGCTGCATGTAGCCTAAGTCAAACAGGCGCCGGGATATGAACATGCCTTGTCAAAATCCATGAATCACTGGCTGTAGTGTCGTCGTCTGCCTAAATCTTCGAACCAAACAAGAAAACTGCCCGCTTGTTGCTGAATTTGGGAACGTCGCTCACAATTTTGGCTACTTCGGGACTTCCAAAGGCTTTCTGGAACCCTTCTTTGCTTTCCCAGGCAACAATACTTCCGAATGCATAGAGACACTCGAATCGAACGTGGTCACAGACCAGCTCTGAACGCCGTACCTCTTCCACCGCCGTTCAATAAGTGGCATGTAATGCGAGACGTAGTATTCGATATCATACTTGGCATCGGGTTCGTTGGGGAAAAGGACAGTGATGGTGTTAACTAAATTTTGAATAAAGAGAGATATGGGCGATGGTTGGGTCGACAACAACCTCACTGTTGAAGTTCCGAAAAGCCGACATAAGATGCCGAGGTGCCTATTTCTCCAAACCCCCGCTCTCGCCGGGATTTGGAACAACTCCGAACGAGTGTACAAAAGTATTATAAGTGCGTCCCCTTTGCTAAGATTCGACCGTTATTCAAATATGCCTGGATTATTAGGACTATCGGCTGTAACCCTGCTGGGTGCAGGAACTCAGGGGACCCGACTTGCCTTCATGGTTCGTGATCACCTGCCCCCCCATTGGCTTGGGTTAAATCTGAATCTACAGTGGTCGCGACTGGGAAGGCCTGTCTACCTCGTTGATAAGAACCCGACACAATTGATTCGGGCACGGCAGGAAATCGAGCAACTGAGAACCAATACGCCATCGCTGGCCGAACCCACCCAGTGGGGAGAAGTCATCTGTTCCCCGGCTAATGATCTCACGGCATCGCTTTCCAAATCCTGGCTTGTTGTGGAGGTAAGTTGGGTAGGAACTAGCGAATGATAGATGGCTTTACTGATATCTGATAAGTGCCTTCCGGAATCCTTGGCCCTAAAGCGATCTATCATGCAGCAACTCGGAGACCAGGCTGGACCAGGCACAATCGTTGCGTCCAACTCCAGCAGCTATGATATTGTAGAGCTCATGCATGGGCTAAAGACGAAGCATCCTAGCAATTTCGTCAGTTTGCATTCCTGTAAGCATTGATCTCTTTCTTCGCGCCTATTATTATTTTATTGGAAGTCCAGCACTAACATGCATTAGACTGGCCTCCGGAAACCCCAGGTGACATATTCCACGAATAGTTCTCTATGAAAAAAGGGCTGACGAATATCAAAAGCAATCGAGATCATGGAATCGACCGAGACTAATAGCAAGATCATATCGCTACTGATGGAGCAAACAAAAGCTCATGGGTTTGACCCGTTCCATGTCCGACGCCCTTCTACAGGCTATATTTACAACCGGTATGTACTCCCTTTCGAGCACTAACAACGGAGGGGAAACCTGCTGATTCTTTCAGGATCTGGGCGGCTATCAAACGCGAGACGCTTCTCGCATTGTCTGAGGGGGTAGCAACGCCCGCCGAGATTGACTGCATATTCAAGTCGGTATTAAAGACCCTAAAGGGTCCTTGTGAGCAAATGGATATTGTGGGCCTGGATGTAGTACTGGATATTGAGAAGCATTACGCCGAGCTTCGCCCGGGGCTTCCCGAAGAGCCGCGGAAGCTGCTACAGGAAATGATTGCCCAAGGGAAATTGGGGGTCAAGTCAGGCACCGGCTTCTTTGAGCACGGAACAGAAAGGAAGCGTGCGTGAGAATGGAAGTGGAGCAATCCGGGCCTATGGTCTGTGGCTGAAATCGTATTTTTAGTTATCGCCTGCTTTGTCTTGCTAAGGTGTGAAGCTCGCTCCTATAACGGAGTCAAAAGCCTAGGTAAAAATACGAAGCTGTACATTCTGCGTAGCCGGGATGGTCTCCCTATATATTGCCGAAGCCTCGTGTCTCGTTCTGAACAGTCCCCTTCTTCGTATGCTTCTCTATGCATGATTGAAGCCCACCCTTTTGCGAAGGTGTCAAGCTGTCTTGTGTTGTTCTGATGTTCCCGGTTTCTCTCCTACCCACTGGACTCCGCCAAAAGGTGATCAATATTCCGATTCGAGGCATGTTGGATCCCGGTGTCGACGTATTCGGGAACAAAGGTTTCTGCGAGTGATCCGAAATTGAAGGGCAACGATCCATTCGACTGCCCCTGAAATAGGAGATCAAAATCAAAGTTATTCTGATCTGGTGCCCATATTACATCAGATAACAGTTGATCCGATTGCTGGATCGCATTCCATTCCTCCACTCTCGCGGACAGTTGATCAGCCTCAACCGGTTGATTAATCAGGTTACCTAAACCATGGCCCATTTGCATGGTTCTAGTCGTCCCTGACCTGGTGGCTGCTGATGGGGAGTCCATGCTCGAGTCCCCGCGATATCCAGTTCGATCTTGCCTGCTTCGATCCAAATCACTATCGTATCTCACATTCTGGTCTGTGAGCTTTTTCATCAAGTTGATGAAAAGGCGAAGAATCCAACCCGCTACAGGCCAAGACCTAGCAAGTTCGCTCATTGCAAGCATGCACTGACGAGCTCGATTTTCAGCAAGTTGACGCCTGATAGGATCTTTGCGGCGGATGGCAACGGAGTGTATGGAGAGAGCTGCGAATATGGCGGGAACACTTTGTCGATGTCAGCATTTTCTAGTCATTAAAGGTAAAAGGATACGTACAGGTGAAGCTGACCATATGATAATGTTCCAGCAGCTAGCAAATCTTCAGCTATACGGGTGGTCAGATCCGCCGCTATCATAGCTCTTTTCTCACTCTCTACTTCGCCCAGGAAGGCTGATTGAGGACCCCCGGGTCGAAATAGAAGAATTTGACAATTACTGAGATATTTTCAGCACAGCCCATAAGTCAGAGAGACCATTATCTCACTCACTGATAGCTTGCATGCAGCATGCATGACCAGAAAGATGCAGTCATAGTTTCGTCCACTGGCTGTCGCCTTAAATGCAATGGCAACTGGAACTCAAATTGATTAAGCTCTTGCAGGAGAGTTTCTCGATTATCGCCTATGCCATATCTCCGGGGCGCAAACTGCTCGGTGAGGACCTTGCCCACTATTGTTCTGCTTTAGCAAAACCTCACACGGTATTGGACTTAGTATGACTCACAAATGACTGCGAGCTTTGACATTTCGATCGTATAATTGACGTGAAAGTCGTGCTGTTCACATATTAAGTTGTTATCGAAGTCTTGATCGATCAGGAAATCGGATTTATTCAGCATTTCAACATCACAATCTTCATCTTTTATACGCGTTGGTCGACCAAGAGAAGCAGCAGCGTGCCGATCACGAGTCTACTGGTGATTAGTATCGAGGCAAGAGAGGGGCAGGAGTGACAAACATAGATGGACCACCAGATTCTTTTCCATAAAGATTGATGCGAAGGCCGCATGCCAGAATTTGCAGTGCTGACCACTCTTAGTACCAAAGAACAGCCAGGACAAGTTCATATGAACATGGAGTACTCACGATCGGTGCATTCCCAAAGTCTGCGCAAGACCAATAGCAGACCCATGCCAATGCCAAGTATCTTTCTGATCCTCAGGGCCTTCCCACCAGAAACCCAGCAAAAAAAGCACGGCTGTGAGCTGCACTTTGTCCTTTTCGTAATCCATGTCATAAAGTGCCTTGGCTCGAAGATAGCATGTCCTTCTAGCAGTGAGTCGGTTCGGATATCCAGCTCTCTCGACCAAGTCGTCACTGCAGCTTGTGAAGGCAAGGAAGAATATCGTCTGCAGGACAAGGAATGACACTCTTTCCTCACGATACAAAGCAGAGAATGCTTGTCGGTCAAGGACAGGATATGCCGGGTGAAAGGAAGTGAAGAAAACGCGGATGAGCTCATTGCGAACATCCTGTGGCGGTAGTGAGAATGAGCCCCGCATCTCAAGATACGAGATTGTCGCTGGATCGGAGTGCTTCAATCCTTCAGCCGCGTCGCGCGCGTGCTCTGACACATTGGTGGGTATAGGGTAGTGCCGCTTAACGCTGGTGCCATGACCAGAGTTGTTGTATATTGAATTAACCACGAACGAGAGACTAAAGGATTCTCCCATATAGAAGGATCTCGCGTTATCGGACTGAAAGTTTGGTTCGCGCTCGCTCGGTTGGGCATCGACCATCCGCGCATATAACATCTCAGGTCCCTCATTCAACCCATCATGTTCTGGGTGATTATCTTCCAGTTGACTGCCTGTCATAGGTGGAGTGAGTGTTTGTCCCAAGGACTGCGCATTGTCAGATGGATTCCCCGTTATGGTCTGAGGTGTAGGCACGTGTTGTGATTTCTGTGCCGGCTCCTTCTCCCTCTGAGAAACTCGATCTTGGACTCTTGTTCCCGAGCCCCTTTTTCTCGCGTATCTAGGTCAAATTAGCACCCAACTCGACCTCAAAGATACCATTACAGAGGAACAATTGAGCAGTGTCAGCCCTACCTTCCGCGTTTGAATTCTATGAGTTCGCCAGTGGTGCCCCGCAGCTGGCAATGCCAGCATGGCTGCGTCGTGGCTGCGTCGCATTTCACGCGCCTCGCATGGCAGGATTTGCACGCGACCTTTGCACGTTTGACATTCTCCATGCTTCCCGGAGTTCGTGATGTGTGTGTTTCCTCGTTGCGAGGCGTCATCTATGGATTAAATCTTAACATTTGAGCCCAGCATTTGGCGGCAACGCAAAGGATGACACAATAAGAGGAAGAATAATCTGTAATCAAAGCATCCCGAGTCCCCTGCATGCTTCCCGAACATAGGGAAGAGGCGGGGATTCGCTAGGAACATACATTCGCGACGAAGGGACAAGGGTATAAGGCGATGGGGAACCGGGGAGGCCGAAGCACCGGAGCACCGGGGTATGGGGTAGTGGAGTAATGGGGAAACACACGAGCATTTGAAGATCAGTATGGAGATCTGACCCCAATCAATATGCAGGATTCTACTGCAAAACTGTTGGGAAGGGTGAGGAACGAAGAAACAAATCCCCGAGGTGACTCGCAAGAAGCCGGGGATGTGGGGGCCCCGGACTCTGCCCACATTAGTCATCCGGGTCACGCGGCACTCGACTAGACGCATGTTCCGATTGGGCAATGAGAAGGATGGATGAGAGTATTTAGATGCGTTAATAGCTCTTTTCTTTGCCATTGCACCTGAATTGCTCCATCAATTCAGAATGATCGAAGCACCTCACACCTCCGCCAATGGCACCATTGTCTCTAGTCCAGAGCCTTACACCGTCTCCGAGAAGATCTTGGGCGTAGCCCGCCATCTGCGGGTGATATCTGTTGGTGCAGGAGCCTCTGGCTTAAACCTGGCACATCAGATCAGTCAAAATATGCGGAATATTGACCTGACTATCTACGAGAAGAACCCTGAGGTTGGGGGGGACTTGGTATGAGAACAGATATCCTGGCTGCGCCTGTGATATACCCTCCCACAACTATCAATTCACATGGGCGCCAAATCCAAATTGGAGTACTTTGTGAGCACTGAAATCATCTCTTAAAGCAAGTTGGAAGATCTCCGGCTGACGTATCAAACTAGCTACTCGCGGGCACCCGAAATTCTGGAATACTTCAAGAATGTTGCTAAGAAGTACGACCTTTATCGATTCATCAACTTGAACCACAGCGTCATCAATGCCGAGTGGGTAGAAAGTGACTCAATCTGGAAAATCAAGGTCCAAGACAATGCCACGGGCAGGATCATTGACGACTGGTGTCATTTCATGATCACTGCGTCCGGCATTCTCAAGTGCGTTGGTGCCTGCCAGTATCTGAAGAAAATATATGCTGACTCTACTGCTCTAGCAACTGGAAGTGGCCTGATATTCCGGGTTTACACAGCTTCAAGGGTGAACTCTTTCACAGCGCAGCGTGGAACAAGAATGTCTCATGGGAGGGCAAGACTGTTGCAGTCCTTGGCTGCGGTTCATCAGGCGTGCAGATCGTACCCACCATTCAGCCAGGCAAGAAACTCAGACTTGATTGTATCGGTTGTTGCCAACACCCTAGCAGATGTGAAACAGCTCGTCACATTTATTAGGACTCCGACATGGATTACAGCTGGATTTGCTCAAAACAAGGCAGGCCCGAATGGATCAAACTTTGCTTGTACGTGAGCCATAGTGTTCTTCCTTTTTCTCTGTACTAATATGATTACAGTTAGCGAGGGACAAAGGGTATATAAGCGATGTCGTATATTTTGTAGACTTTTTCTGGTCTAAGGAAACGCTACTGCAGCTAGTTAAGGTCCTTGTTCGTGAAATATCTCTCAATTGTCCAAATACCCCGGAGAATAGCACAACAAAAATCGCAATGGGGCATCATACGGAGGTTCCTGGGCGCAAAATCTCGCTTTTCAACCTTGCAGTGAGTATTGATGTCTTACCGCTGGACATAAGTACTAACTCCCGCAGGTTGTGCTCGCCCTGACGCTGGGCAGCCTGACATATGGGTATACCTTCAGCATCACATCCACCACCCTTGGGCAACCAGGATGGTACCTCTTCTTCGACCTCTCTTCGGAAGCTACTGGTCCTAAGTATTCATACACTCAAGCCATTACGGGCACCATGAACGGTCTTTTCTGTGCTGGTGATTTTCTTGGGTCGATATTTATCGGTTGGTCTTGTCATGCGATGGGACGAAAGAACTCACTATGGATTGCTTCTCCTCTTGCAATACGGGGTGGCGCACTTCAAGCCGGTGCGGTGCATATCGGCATGTTCCTTATTGGGCGGTTCATAGGAGGGTTTGCCGTTGGTAGGTATTGTAAACCATTTCAATCCAATACCTTCACTAATTGTATGATCCTAGGTATTCTCATTGTGTTGATCCCTCTATTCCAGGCAGAAATCGCACCTCCAGCAGCACGTGGATTTCTAATTTCTCAACATGGTAGGTTCTTTCTGAATAATGACCAGGAATTTTCTAACAAGTCTCAGGCGTTGTCCTCGTCCTGGGTTATTCTCTTGCCGCTTGGACCGGGTTTGCCTGTTTCTTCCCGACCAATCTCTCTTTTCAATGGCGATTCCCGCTTGCTGAGCAATGTCTTTGGCCTTTGCTTATGCTGATTCTGACTCCGTGGATTCCCGAATCTCCTCGCTGGTGTAAGTTCTGTGATCAGTCGCGATTGTACAAAATTCTGACCAAGCCACAGTGATTATGAATGATCGTATGGATGATGCTTGGTCAGTAATTATCAAACTGCACGGGGTTAGTCAAAATGACACTACCTCGGCCGCTGCCTCCTTCGCGCGGGAGGAATTTTATCAAATGAAGCAACAAGCCGTTGTCGACAAGGCTACAGCATCTGGTGAGAGCTTTGGTACTCTTTTCACGAAGCCCTCGTACCGGAAGAGAATGCTTTGTGCATTCTTCACAATGTTCGCGTCTGAATCTACAGGGATTCTGGTGGTGTACAGTGAGTTCCGCCATCGCGCCACCTCTCTGCGATAGTTATTAATGTGCGAATGCAACAGATTACTCTGTTCTCCTCTACCAAGGTCTTGGGTTTGATAACAAGATATCTCTCTTGTTGTCTGCTCTATATGTTAGCGTGGCCTGCGCAGGAAATTACATTTCTTCGATTTTGGTTGACCGTGTGGGACGGGTCAAGCTGTTCCGTGAGTAACATCACATGGACTCCGGTACACAAAATTGCTAAAAAATTCTTCCCTATTCTTTCAGTGATTGGGTTTAGTGGCTGTTTGATTAGTTTGATCTTTGAGACAGTGATGGTCGCAAGATATACTGGGTCCACAAATAAGGCTGGCTTGAGAGCAGGCGTCTTTTTCCTCTTCATCTACATTTTCTTGTAAGTTCAATGAGTTATTTTCTTCAGACGGCTATAATTGACTGACAAATTACTTTTATTGTATAGTTATGGCTGTTGTGTCGACGCTACGACCTACGTCTACTGCAGCGAAATCTTTCCGAGTCACATTCGTGCCCGTGGAGTCGCGTTTTCCCTTTCTATTCTTTTCCTTACAGCCCTGGTATATCTGGAAGCTGCTCCAACCGCATTTGCCCATATTGGATGGAAGTACTACGTGGTTTTCCTTGTCGTCACTTTGGTCAATATCTTCGTGGTTTGGTGGCTGTTCCCCGAGACAAAGGGACTCAGTCTGGAAGAGATCGGCGAGCTATTCGGCGATGACGTGGCTGTACAGCTAACGCAGCTTACAATGGAGGAGAGAGAGCTTTTGGACCAAAAGATCCTCTCGGAGAAGAGTATGGGAGATGAAATTCATATTGAGGTTAACACAGAGCGGTCGGAGGGAAACTAGAATTGGTCGCATACCTCGGTGCTTGAAAACCGGAAGATCAATTTGTGATTAAACCACACCTTTAGCAATGGGAGCACTGAGGTGAAAGCCAGTGGTTGTCGAATTGTGCTTGTTTCGATATTCTAGTGGAATCAATTGGTCGTTGCGTTATTTGATGAAGATCGACATTTTGAACCCCCCTTGCCAGAGAAACAAAAAAAGAAAAAAAGGAATAGTCAGTGCTTTATAAAATGCCTGAAAACATGGTTTGAGATCAAACTTTGGCAGAAAACAGAAGAGCATTGAGAAGCCTGGACAAGCTGGGGCCGCGAGTTTCTAAAGCACGAGCTTGCCGGATGATATCAGAAAACTGACCCTCGAAATAAAGCACAATAGATTAAAAGGGAGCTCATAGACATGCCATCTTAAGATAACGCTGCTAGTGCCAACTCATCTAAGTCAAGGCAACTGCAAGTCACTTAGAGATTCTAGCATATCGACCTTCCATGGAATATAAAGCTTTTACAAGAAGATCATGTTTCCCACTGGGCGATCTGCAAACTCGATAAAATCTATTGTGTATGAGAGTACTCAGGGACGTATGTTCTGCACGACATGAGCATTGGTAGTCAGATCGGCCCGAATATGGTAGTTGGCGACTTGCTAAAAGGCGAACATCCCCGCACTTTCTCCGGCTTCCCTTTTTTGTGATATATCACCACGTCTACAGAATCGGTTTGTTTCCAACCTATTCGCAAGACTTCCTATGGTTCTCATCATTGTTCCTTCACACCTATCTTATAAAATGTCCGGAAGGCTTAACGGCAAGGTTGCTATCGCCACTGGGGGCGCTCTTGGATTTGGCGAAGGGATTGTGATCAAGTTCGTCCAGGAGGGCGCATTAGTTGTTATTGTCGATCTGCATAAAGAGAATGGAGAGCGAGTTCTCGCATCACAGCCCCGGGAAACGGCCATATTTGTTCAGGGCGATGTGTCCTCCGAGCAAGATTGGGAAAAGGTGCGCGACACGACACTTTCTCGGTTTGGGAAGATCGACATTGTGGTGAACAACGCAGGGATTGTTAACAGCGCGATTGTATGTATGGCCTACAATTTACATAGAATTTTACTAACGCATGAGTAGTCATCTCTCGAACTTACTGAAAAAGAATTTGATCGTCTTTGCAGAGTCAACATCAAAAGCCTTTACTTCAGTGCCAGAGTGATTGCTCCATGTATTCAGAAGCAAGGTACTGGTGGTGCTTTTATCAATATCTCTAGCATAAGTGCTCTTCGTCCTCGCCCGAATCTTGTATGGTACGCAGCTACCAAGGGTGCTGCCAGTGCGGTATGTTTGATCACTTGACAGGTGTTCACGATCTGTATTGGCTTGTGCTAATTTTCGGATCTTTTTGTTAATCCAGGCCACCAAGGGACTAGCAGCTGAGTTGGCCCAAGATAATATCAGATGCAATGCCATATTCCCCGTGGCTGGAGAGACTGCAATGTAAGTCTTTGCCTCCTTATCAATTGACAATCACTAATGATAATCCTGGACTTGACAGGATTCCATTGGTCCTTGGAAAGCCCGATACGCCCGAAAATCGCGCGAAGTTATTGTCTGGTATTCCACTTGGGCGATTTGCAACACCTGCGGATATCGCGAATGCAGCATGCTTCCTTGCCAGCGACGAGGCTAATTTCATAACCGGGGTGGAGCTGCCAGTAGATGGTGGAAGAGCTTTGAATTAGTCGCAGAACATTTAAAGAAGCCATATGCATCCAAGTTCTCCCACTTTCAAGTTTTTAGGCTCAATTTTCAAGACGGCGTTCTATGATGACACCATGTTGACGATGTGTCTCTAGATCAAGATATAGAATTTATCGTCTTTTTACCTGCCGATCATAAACTTCTGACCTTTTTTTCTAGTAAAAAGAAGAGCTCGGAGACTCGGTAACAAGAGATACCTACGGATTTGTTGCTCCCGTCTATTAAAAACTAACACTACGACGGACCAGGCTTTAGCAAGTCTAATCCAAAGCGTGTTCGTGACAGGTATACATGTATCCGCACGCAAGTGCTCCAGTTTCCTCTGGCAGCCTACATCATGTATTACCAACAAAGACAGATGTTGCACAATAGCTTCATAACAGTCAGAAGAGTGTACCCATTGCCATCAATAATATATTTCTAGCGTTCTGTGAGTATTTACTCTAGTCCGATATTTCTTTCAAAAGCCAGTCAATGCCATCCAGCAACTCTTGCGCAGCTTGTCCCGACGTTGATATCTCCGGGAAAATCCAGAAGGCATGCGGCAGTCCCTGATAGACATTTACCCTGACAGGAACGCTGTTTTGAGGTCTCGTTAGCGCAAAGCAGAATAAGTCATTTTGCAAGATAAAGCCTACCCATATTCCTCGAGTTTGTCCGCATATGCCAAACCCTCATCTCTCAACGGGTCCCGGCCACAAACCTGAATATATGCCGGTGGCAGATCCGTGAAATCCATAGCGAGGAGGGGAGAGACCGACATGTCCGCGGCATCGGGTGGGCTATACCATTCAAGAAACTGTACCATAGATTGCCGACACAGAATTGGGGTATCATGGTAGTAATTCATGCTCTCAAGCCCAAGATCGCGATAGTGAGGAGTGCTTTGGCACACAATAGGAATGCGAAGAAGTTGGCCACTGATAGTTACACCCCGAGCTTTTGCCTGATGGCATATGACTGCTGCCTTTATAAGAGTATTAGCCATTTCCAAATACCTTTGTCACCGGTTGTAGTCAAAAATACCAAGTTTGCACCGGCACTTGTACCGCCAACAAGGATCTTGTTGACGTTGGCCTTGTGTGTAACTTGATTGGCGAGAACCTGGTTCAAAAAGACAGATTAGTGTGAGAAACCAAAGGATTGTCCACTTATTCAATACCCATTCCAATGTGGCCCATGCATCATTTAGAGCGGCAGGATATGGGTGCTCGGGTGCACTTTCTTGAATTAGCGTAGTCCCAAGGAGCAGACAGATAGACAGAATACTTTCATACAGCCTGTAGTTTACGCCCACAACAACCATTCTAGTGCTCACACAAATGCCTCTGCAGGTTCGATCTTCGCCCTCGAGGTCTCCTAACGCCCAGCCTCCTCCATGAAAGCTGATCAGAGGTCAATTTCCGCATTAATAGCGAGTGAAAACGGAGGAAAAGACTCACTATATCATAATAGGTAATCCTTCACTCGGGGGGTATGGTGTATAAATCCGTAGTTTTGTTTCTACACCATCTTCCGAGGAAATAACCTGATCATTGACAACCAGACCCTTGTTAATCGGCACCGCCTTGTTTTGTCCACCCATTTTGACATTCAACATGATTTCACGTAGGCTTTTGACATTCCCAACTAGCGTCGGAACAGAAGCTTTGTTCTTGAAGTAAAACTGAGTGCTGTTAGCTCGCTTAAATGTGTCTCTAATCAGCGTGTTTGGACTCGGCTTGTTTGGGCTCCTACCTCCTCCCATTCAAGGTGCTCTTGTCCATATTCGTAACGACGAGCAAGCCATTGACCATTTTCGCTCGAGACTTTTCCTGGACTCATACTGAGCTGCGCTTCAAAAATAGAAATAAAACTAACTTCAAGTGTTACAGAAGACAAGGATAATAACCCACTGTCTTTTGCTATGTAAAAGAGGAGTCGGATAAATCGAAGTTTAAAATCTGTGATTTATCAAGAAAGTGAACAAAAATAGGTCCACCGTATTGGAGTTATTGCTGACATCAATAGGGCCATTAACTCGGCAGCACCAAGTTTGCCGTTTTGGCCCCGGACCAGTGTGTTTTCTCTATACATTTGAACGGCACGGGATCCTCGACTATCCGAGACGGCGACTTGAATACCTCGGGGACTTTCTCGTTCTCCACAGGGCCAAAGATTTGTGACACGTGATTCATCGCTCTGATAGAATGATTTGCCCAAATGTAAAATTCTAGGCAAGGTGAAACGTTTTTCTATATCAATAGAGCAAGGCTGAAGTGCTCATCATCTATGAGTTTTGTGCATTTGCTTTCATGTCTGATAGATTACGTTGATTACTATATTTCACCGTGCTCATTGAATAATAGAAGGCGCCATGGTTTGAGAATAGAATTGAATTAAAGTATCAACATGCTTCATGCTTCTAGTTTGTGATTTGTGAATCGGAATATTGAGCCTGAAGAGAGAAACTCGGTATACTCTACTTAAAAAAAGCCTGCACTGCATATGAATGCAGGCTTGATGAGACAGGTTCTATATACTTTTGCGAAAAACTTTTAACTGTCCATCCATCCATTCCGAGCATGCATACCAAACTAGAGGAGCGAGGAGATGGTGGCTTCAAAGTCTTCCGGCTCGCGGCCCAGCAGTTCACGCAAGAGAGGAGATGCAGCACTAGCCTCTCCTAGGCGGAATGCTTCAAAAGCGCTTGCCCAGGCTGCGCCGTAGTCAACACCACGGTAGGTGAGGAGTTTGGGCCGACCTTAGGCTGCCTTCCAAACTCTTCATCGGAGACCTGGCGGATCGTCACCGGCTTCTTTACAAGCTTAGCCAGGATATCGACCGTCTCTTGAAGAGTCAAGACCTTGGTACCAGAGAGAAGAACAGTTTTGTTGCGGAATTTGAACTCCTTTGGGTTCTCGGCGAAGCGTCTCAGGAGCTCGGCGGTGCCTTCTCCCAATTCCTCGCGCTTGACCCAGGCAATGCCAGGGCCAGACCCATCATGCGCAATCTTGATCTCATCAACTGGGTTGCGAGGATCAAAGAAGGCGGTGTAAAGGTTGTACGATTCGGAGTAAAGACCTTCGCGTACAACTGTGTATTCAAACCCGGGATGCTGGCGGACGCACTCTTCGAGATACTTCTCGGTCATCAAATGGGGCTGCATCACATGGGCCACTGATCTTTTGTTATCTTCGCGGCCGGCGAATCCTAGAGATCCGTAAAAGATGTATTTTACACCGGCACGGATAGCGAAGTCGATCGCAGTTCGGTGACGCTGCAGCGCTGATGGTTAGTTATTATTGATCACTGACTCAAAACACTTACCTCGGCACGGTGCTCCACTTCGACTGAAGCATACGAAATGAGAAACAATGTGTCGATATCTTCAAAAGCATGCTCCAGATTCGCGTTGAAGTCGTAATCAGCCTTTCGGACAGTTGCTCCGGCAGCTGCCGCAAAGTCTAAGTTGGCAGGGTTGCGAGCGATAAAGACGAGGTCGTTAGCAGGATGGCGAGGGAGAAGATGCTTGACAGTGCCACCGCCAATGCCTCCCGAGGCAGGAAAGACGCCGATTCTGTGACTGGCCATGGTGAATAGAGAAGATAAAGTGTAGTGAGTGAAAAGGGTGAGGACCTGATTATAGTGAAAAAATTGCCGATCTTTTAAGGCTGAATTTCAATTGTAAGTTCTCCTTGCGTTTGAAACTTCTGATCAGAGGGTTTTCATGATGAGAGAACTATGTAATTTTTCATCTAGCTATGACCTCAGAGACAGTGGATCTAAGGATCTCATGATAGAATGCGAACCACCATAGCGGAGACTTTATCAAGATGAATGCTTTCAAATATCTCCGAGGCCTGGGGAACGACCTGTGTTGGGCCGAGCCGTGGCTGAACGAGACTTGGGGTTTGGGAGCCCAGGTCGAAGAACCGGAATGCCGTCTGGTCACGATTCGGCCCGAGGTGGAACATCTTTGTCTTCAGTAATCAGTCGCAGGATATACTTCAGTCCCTTTTAATTTAGAGAGAAGGCAATTAGAGAGATGACTGGCAATGTCGCCATTAAGTTGCTGGCTATTCTACCAACATTCTGTACGAAGGCTGTGTAGTTTTTAAGTGTGAATTAAACTTCGGAATTTATCTCGACATCTGGCCGTAAATATAACTATAACTTTATTCTCGTTTGCTAAAAGATATCGTCGTTTCGAATGGTGATGGAGATTCTAAGCCATCGGTATGTACACTCGGAACTTGACTACCTCGGGGTCTGCTTCGGTTTCTTAAGCTACGTGAGATGCGTTAGTCTTTCTTTAGACCACCCGTGGACGCTGATGAGTATCATAGTGGCTATCTTGAATTTCAACGTTGGGTTCTCCTTAGCCTAGTCACCCGTTTATATGTACCTCAATTTTCCTGTCAAACCTCACCTGGTTTGTTTGTATCTGAACTTTCTGAGGAAGGTAAGAGTGAAACCGAAGAAAGAACCGAGCCACGCCTAGGACAAGTCATTCTACGACATTCGACGTATTGCCAGTAGTCACATACTACAAACAGTAATAGAAAAATGTCATGGTGTTCGCCCGCCAGTTCTATCGGAGTGCTACGAGCTCACCTCTTGCGAAAGTCCGCTCAGCTGTACTTCCCTTAGTTCGTTTCTTCCTCTAATTATTAATTGCTTATACAAATCATCGTCCTAGTACACGTTCTGATTTTGCACATCGTAAATAAGAGTGGAGACTGCAAAAAGAATGTCTATTTCGGCAAACACGAGGAAGCACCGGAGTGGAACCCGTCAATTATCCTTTCATTTTTATATATAAATGAGGGCCGATAAGGGCCGCCCTCCAGATGTTTTTCTGAGCGATCTATATGCGACTTGTCGAGGCCTAGGCTGAGCCACGTGGGAGATTTGTAGGGAGCTTCGCAAATGCGTTTGATTGTCCCACGTCAACCGCACGAGTGTCAGCAAGCCATATCGCCTTTAACGGGCTATGATCGAAACTCCCGTTTGTAAGAGATTTACCGTGTGAGCTCGGTTTGTGACCTGCCGAAATCCGCCAAGGCACGCAGCGAAATACAAAGGCTTATTAGGACCGACAGGGGGTTCAAAGCTTAATATCAAGATCATCAGCACGCGTCTAAGAACGTGCTCATATAACATCCATGATTAGCTGAAAATCCACAACGTTCGGAAATTAACTTGGCACCTTGCTTGGCGCCAAGTCTTATCACTTCAGTGTTCATAGAGCAACTAAACAGGTCGAGTGCCATGATGGCCCCCATAGTTGCTGTTTCTAGGGAAGAAACGGCTTGCGATCAGCATACAATTTCACTTAAGCCTAATAGAATGTTCAAAACTCATCCTTTTGAACAACGCCTTCCAGCTTTGGAATCCAGGGTGCTCGACACTTGGTAAAGAGCTCTACGGCAGGTTTGGCTTCCTGCAATAGATTGGGATGATCAACAGTTCCGACCTGGACTACGGCCATTCCGCCGAAAGCCTCGTTATCGGCTGTTTTGTATATAGTTCCTCCGCAGTCTTCACAAAAGTGCAATGTGAGTTTCATGCCGGTCTCGTGGATTTGCGTGTTCGTTTTTGCGGAACCAGTAGTGACCGAAAATTCATTTTCGGGGACTAGGACATTTGTTGTGTGGGTACTACCGCTGATCTTCTGGCAAGAAAAACAATAGCAGAGTGCCTACAAATAAGGGTTTATCTTAGCACCTGGATGCATAAATCAGTAGTGGGTAATCAGTGTGTACCATCCCTTGTGGGTCTCCTTTAAATTCATATTTCAGCTTTCCGCAAAAGCATGAACCAGACGGCATCTTGTTTTGGCTTGGTATGATGTGGAATAAGAGAATAGACTTCTTTCTGTGTTGTTCGTTCAAGACGAGAATTTTTCCGATTTTGGGGGGTCAACTTTTTCTTAAATATTTTGGGGCCTTGTGTCTCGAGCACCTTCGCTGGTGAACAGTGGTGAATAAGTGGCTGCCTACTACTTAGAAGTAGAGTCATTTGATCATAATCCTGCTATGCGAGGAAATGAGGCGTTTTGACTTCGAATTCTTGTCTCGGTGTAATAGGGCGGCCTGTCATTTGTTCTCGCGTTAAAGAGGCGTCGGGTGCGGTTTGAGATGTGGGAGTGGGGTAAATGTGGCAACATCCCAGGCTCCTGATCGAGGTTCGTGGCCACGGCTTATACTTTACGAATTTTTTGACTTTGGAAGACCGATCTCGACCGAACGCTGCTCATTCCACCTCGATTCCACCTTACTGGAGATTTTCTGCCTCAGGCATCAAGATAGCCTGCCTTTCTTATCTTCCATACCTTGTCATCCACACATATCTTCGCATGATCACGAGTTTCTGGCTTTGAGATTTCAAAGCAGCTACGACTATCTGGATCTGACGTAGTATACTTGGTGAGATGGTGTCTCGGAATCTTCTCCAACTGAAGCGCATTGATTCTTTCCGAACTGCAATAAGTCGAAACAATAGTTTCCGAGCAAGCTTAGCTTGGAGCGAGGAGCTCATTTACAGCAAACGGGGTCCGTACTATATCCACATTGATGGCGCGTACTTTGGTTTAAAACGGTACAGCATCATCAACAGCAATGATCAAGCCAGTTCTGATTCGGAAAATCTCGGTCTCCCAAGTTTCTGAATGTCTGGATTCCAAGCCTCATGGGCCTTCCGTGTCTCGATAAGGTGGTATTATGATCCTTTGGCCAGCCTGAAAATTATGAACCAGCTTCATAAAAAAAGCTCTTTAACCAACTTCTGACATCTTCTTCCGGAAATACGAAGGGAGCTCTCAGGCCAGAAGGCATGTCTCTTGAGGACATGTTCTCTCCCATTTGAAACTCATAATTAGAGGTTGCAAGTAAATAAGGACCCTCGTTCCAAAGCTGCGTCACAACGTCGAGATGTGCAAATGGATGGTCAGTAAAGGTACAACGGTGACGAAGCCGCCCATGAGATAGGTCATAGGGCCATTGAGTTGGGAGCTCTGGGGGATCTAGGTTATTTTTGTGAGGATCTCTCTTCTCAAGTTTCTCAATTTCATCTATCAAACGAAGTTTATCGCTGAATGTAATAGTAAGGCACGGGCAAATCTCGATCATTCCAGAATGCTGAAAGTCAGTATTTTCGAGTAGTTTTGACGTCGGACAGACAATAAAACCACGAAACTTATCACGTAGGGTCAGGCGATGAGCTTTACGTTTCGCCCTTGGGTGAAGAAGCCAGCATTCATCGCAGAATTTCCAGCGACTATCCTCAAGCTGGCGGAGTAACTGTACTCGGGGCCGTTGCTCAATATTCGTATTGATACAAAGGAGCGGTCTTGATTCGGGTGGGCAAATGTGGGCAAATTGAACGGGTTTAGTACCTAGGAGGTAGCGAAAGGCCTCATAGAGATATTTGCAAGACAGCGAAAAGCAGACCTGGTCAGGTACTGAAAGCTGACGGGAAATCTCCAGCACTATTCCGAAAGGAAGGTTCGCGTTCATAGAAAAAGCCAGCTGCTTGCAGGAAGAACATCCTCTCACTGTAGAGTAGATACGCTTCATGTTGTTCTGGTGGTGCAAAGTGGCGAAAGCTATTGGTAAAATGAACACGAAATTGCATTGGCATTATCCGTATCACATTGCTAGGATATATTTCCATCCGTGGATCGAAATGCTGAAATTTCCGAATTGGGCGGGAATGATGGCAGAAATGCGTAATCCCGACAAGGTCGACTTTCCGTATTTGGGACAGTATGTGATTGAAGAAAATTACTAATAATACGAGAATGAGCAAAATGAGGGTATCATAAGATGCGAAAGTTTTACCGAAGTGAACAGAGCTAGGTCGAGGAGTCTGAGTCAACCTTGGTAATTGATACTACTGGTACTAGCAGTATTTGTGAGTACTACTATTAACTTGCAGAAGTTGAAATTGTATCAATGACACTTAGAATTTGTCCGCGGGAAGCAAACTGCCCAGGCGCCCAGATTGAGGCAGTGCCAGTGCAGTGCCCAGGTGGTGACCTCGGGGGCCTCGGGCTTCCATCCTTGGAAGAACTTGAATCCCTGGAGTGCTAGTAACTTGTTGTGAATGTGCAAGTGACCTCGGGATATGGCGGTGTTGGTCAAAAATATACAGCAGCATCAACTTGAACTTTTTTTTCGTAGTATTTGCAAATCATGTCCAATCTGGTTTTGGTGAAGTTCCTCTTCAAGTTTGTTTAACTGTAGATCTCACACTTAACCGGCACCGTCGGATAGGTACAAACAGTGGGTATTCGAGTCCCAAAATCGAGGATCGATTACTGGACTCCCCCTTGTTTCAACGGCCTCTAGTGTGGGGATCTGTTCTAACTTGCTTCTGGAAGGTGCTTGATTCCCGGTTTCTCCGCACCGGAGGTCCAAGAACCCTAACTAAACCCTACGGTTTAACTCGATCCGATGATATCTTCTCTAGCGGCCGAGTCGCGCATGAGGGGCCCCGGGGGGGTCTTCGCCGGCCCGGTTGGGGTTGAGCCGGGCCGGGAACAAGCCGGGCCTGGGGTTGGTTCGTTCGTGCCCGACAGGCAAATCATACCTGTTATAGAAGGCGGTGCGTGGGGGCGTGCATGAATTCTAAAACACGAAGGGTTATGTAAGCGATTTTCTGTGGCGCATCCGACAGCTTTTTTGGATCTATATACGCGTTTTGGGTGCATTTTGTACATTATTTCGACGCTAGAAAAAAAAACTGGATCAGATAGGATCTTTTGCCGTACTAGGAGACTCGGTGTAAGCTCGAATCAATCACTTATCAGGCGCTATCATGATGTAGTTATGATTTTAGGTAATTTTTCTCCATTTTTCTCCATTTTTCTCCATCGCCACGCGCCAAGAGAAAAAAATATGGGTCGCTATGTCTTCACCTCTGGTCAACCTCCACGTCGCGCGACCTCCGGATTTCTTTCTTCTTGTCTATCTCGTCTGGACGCCTGCCATATTCACTCCTCTCCAAAATAGGCCGTCATGACCGCTCACGAAGCCCCCCAATATGTCGCGGACGACATTGAAGTCTACAATGACTCCACCGATGCTGAAAAGCAGTACCAGAAAGATTCTGTCCCTGAAGATGACCCCTTTGGAAATGAAGAATCCGGGGAAGTCAAGTATCGAGTCATGAAGTGGTGGTAAGTACTCGACTTTACCCTTTCCCTGCATGGAATCATGTCACGAATTGCCTAACCTAACTCTTATGCAGGCAAGCTGGAATGCGTAAGAACCCATAATGTTCCGAGATTACAGCCATTGGAATCCCCCTTTCTAACAGAAAATGTAGTTATGGTTGCCGAAAACATTTCGCTTGGTATTCTATCTCTTCCGTCTGCTGTGGCCACTCTTGGAATTGTCCCGTAAGCATCTCCTATGAGCTTGTCTTTACGAGACGATGGCTGATCATTCGCTAGTTCGTTCCTCATTCTTCTCGGCCTTTCTGGCATTTCATGGTATACCGGATATGTCATGGGCCAGTTCAAGCTGCGCTTCCCCCAGGTGCACAGTATGGGTGATGCCGGTGAACTTCTTCTGGGTCCCATAGGCCGAGAGGTTGCCTTCGTCGGCCAGCTGCTGTTCATTATCTTCTTGATGGCCAGTCACATCCTTACATTCTCCGTGTTGTTTAACACCATCACCGACCACGGCACCTGCACTATCGTTTTTGGTGTCGTTGGCTTGATCTTTTGCTGTATTTGCGCATTGCCACGCACATCTGGAAAGGTATTCTATATGTCGATTGTTTCTGCTATTAGTATCCTGGTCGCCACTCTTGTTACCATGATCTCTATTGGAGTCGACGCCCCCGATAATGTTCAAAACGATATCACCACCGAAGTCTCCTTTGTCGACGCCTTCCTTGCTGTCACCAACATCGTTTTCGCCTACATTGCCCATGTGTCTTTCTTCGGCATCATGTCTGAAATGGAGGATGCGCGCGAGTTCCCGAAGGCCCTCGCTATGCTGCAGGTTGTTGATACTACAATGTACATTGTGACGGCGATGGTTATCTACTGCTACGCAGGCCCCGACGTGAAGTCTCCAGCTCTGTCGTCAGCTGGCCCGATCATGAAGAAGGTCGCTTACGGCCTGGCCATTCCAACTGTACGTGTCTTTACTCTTGCTTTAATTTGTCGACAAATTTCTCACTCTCCATAGGTTGTTGTTGCCGGTGTCGTTTTCGGTCACGTTGCCTGCAAGTACATTTATGTTCGTATCTTCCGTGGCGATCGCTCCCACCACATGCACCAAAACAGCCCTCTTGCACTCGGAACCTGGGTTGCTATTGCCCTGAGCACTTGGACTATTGCCTGGATCATCGCCGAGTCGATTCCTGTATTCAACGACTTGCTCAGCTTAATCGTATGCCCTCCCCCCCCCCCTTGTGTTATGCGTCACTAATACCTCTGCGCAGAGTGCCTTATTCGGTAGTTGGTTCAGTTGTAAGTTCATACCCACCCCATAATAGAAGATCGAGTATGAAGCAGAGCTAATCCTGCATAGACGGACTGCCCGCCCTATTCTGGATTGTTATGAACAAGGGACAGTTGACCGCCAACTGGAAGAAGATCACTCTCTTGATCATCAACCTCATCATTCTGGGAATTGCCTGCGCTATCGTAAGTCATAGAGCTCTGTTCTCTGCCAAAATTGAAACCTTTTCTAATAATACTAGTGCGGTTTGGGACTTTACGTCTCAGGCAAGTCGATCAACGAAAGCTCGTCCAAAGCTACCTGGACTTGCGCCAACAACGCCACTTAGATGAGGTACTTTAGAGATTGAAAATTTCTCCGTCGCTACGTCTGAGACAATTGTTTTTTATAAGTTTATGTTGGTACATTTATCAGGGTATGGGTTCTTTCTGATTAGACTGCTATAGAATGGCTGCACATGACTGGGCGAGCCTAGTCATTGTATATAGATTTTGCTCATTTACATAGAAGCTTCGCATTTTTGCATTCAACAAGTTGCTGTATATGATTATGAAATCTTCTCTTGACCGTGAAATCCGAAGTAAAAGAGCTGTACCAATTACTCTCTAACTTATCGCAGGTTGACAATATCTTTCGCCGACACATGTGGCTGTAGCGCTCCATCAGGTAGCAATAATCGATTCGGTGCTTCCGCCGTCTTCCCTAACTATAAGGCTCTGCCACCTCCTCAGTGAAGCTATTCTACCTTTATAAGTTTGATTCTAACACTTCAGGGTGCTGAGTATATAACCGTGTAGGGTACCAAGTAGTATGCCGTATACCTCTAATACTGGCTTTCTACACCCCTTTCCGTTCACGGGCCTGACTTCAGGTACTATTCTAGAGGTACTATTTACTACACAATATACTTGTCTCCGTCCAAAAATTAAAGGGAATACTATAGTAAATTTGGGACGCTGCTGTCCCTGGCAGAAACACTGGGTCGATTGCGCCGCAATGTGACCTAATATGCGTATGGCTTGCTACCGGTTCTCTTCCGGTTCAGTCGGCCGTAATAAAAACGCAACAAAACACAGCCCACAGCGACAAAGAATAGCAGCGCAGCATTTGTCCAGTGCCCAGTCGGATATCCTTTCTCCTTTTCGTCTGCTTTGTAAATCCAAACACCGACAATTTGCCCGGGAGCACCAAAGGAGATATTCAGCGCAATAGCGAGGCCAGCCGCACCGGTAGAGTGAAGATTGGAAGAAAGCCAACCCAGGAGTGGAGGGATACAGGCAAAAGCGCCACTTGATGCAACAATCAAGCAACCATACCGGTGCTGTGGTATCCTTATTAGTAAACCCAATCAATATGGTTGAAAATGATGATTCATCGCCACTTACAGCGTAAGCCTCAGCTGGAAGTACAGCAGATGCCAAGAAACCGATTGCACCTATTAGTGCGAATATCGTAGAGTGTAGTCCTCGCCTTTGATCAAAAGTGTTAGATTCGTATAAGTAGCAAAATCCGGGTATCTAAAAGTTTTATATCGAGACTCACGCATTGAAATAATCTGCTGACCAGGCCACTGCGACCGTCACAACGTAGGCAGTCGCATACGGAGGAACCGTCATCAGCTGAGCCCTCAAGTTGGAGAATCCCAAACCAGATGTGATTGATGGGGTAAAAAGTGAAAGACTGGAAAATGGTGTGGAAATTCCGAAGTAAATCTAGAAGAAAATGAGCCGACGTTGCCACAGTGAGAAGTATCTGAAGCATACCAGATAGTGCGCATATAAACGCCAGTCAACGAGCGTCTTTTTTGCCTCGGCCCAAGTGAGTCCCCCAGACTCACCATGGGATCCCTCAACAGAAAGTCGTTCGCGGGCCAGATCCTTTTCTTCATCCGAGAGCCAACTGGCAGTCTCCGGGTAGTCTGGGAGGAGAAACCAGACCAAAAAAGCAGATGCACAGGATGGAGCTCCTTCTATATAGAATAGGTATCTCCAGGCTGAGATCCCATTGACTCCATTCATCTGACCTACTCCATATGCAATCGCACCTCCAAAGGCTCCGGCGAGTGTGGCCGATGCAAGAATCAATGCAACCCGCAGAGACCTCTCCGATGTGCGATACCAGAATGTAAGATAGTAGACCAGTCCAGGGAATAAACCAGCTTCTACAGCGCCCAGAAGAAATCGGACTGCAGTGAGTTCCCCATAGTTATTGACACCACCTAAGCCAATTGTAAGGGCGCCCCAGGACAACATCAAGAATGCAATCCATCTCTGTTCATTATTAGCTAGGTCTTCAACGAGAGAAAGAACATAACGAACGCTGGGTCTGAGCTTCTTCAGCAGGTAGTTGGATGGAACCTCAAATATGGCATACGCAATCAAGAATACCATCAAGGCAATCCTGCATCATCATTAGCACCAGCCGAGATAAACTTTGCACATCCGTAGCCAGCGTACGTGTATTCAAAATTTGTGATTTTCGTCTCAGTCACCAAGTCATTACCTGTATCTGCATTAAGTGTTTTGGCATTTCCTTTTGTAAATATTAGCGGATGGGCCCCAGTCGAGCAGCTAGTGCTTCCTAAGAACTCACCGATATTGGACCGATCCAAGTAACAAAGAAGATAGATGAATGCGGATAGAGGGACGACTCGTAAGTCTTGCTTCCACACCAAGGCTTTCTCACGGGCGACATTTATTGACAGAGCACTCTCGTTGCAGGTCATCTGTTGGAAATAAGTTAGACCTTAATCACAACAATGCAAAATTGGTGCATAAGAAGATCATACCCCTTGTTCCTCCTTAGCGATGCCTGTTTCCACGTCTTCTGTCATCTCAGCACGGTCTTTCGGTTGGTCTGCCATTGTGATATCGCTAAAGACGAAACTGAAATCCGGGGTCCCCAGATCTGATCCGCGCGGAGCCACTTTATAACAACAGGAGTTCGCATTTCAGGCTGTGCGGTGAACGGAACCGCGCACCGATGACCTCCGCACAAGTCAGAGGCCATTATACCGATCAGATGGGGTAAATGATTTGCCGATCCATATAATAGATAGATTTTCCACATATTGGATCCATCCAATCTCACCAGACTAATTTAAAATAGGGCGACCGTTCAGGAATTGGATGTTTGTTAAGAGTGGAGACTCGGGAGGTAGGACGTCGGGGCCGATGGCCGACGCGCCTCAACATCTGTGGGGAAGCTTCGATGGGGCCCGATAATAATTCAAAAGGCCAGTGTATTTCTTTTGATGGAACTCTGTCCTTATTAACGTTACTCGATTTCTCCAAGTTCAAATACAATCTTGACGCGACAAATTGACAGGCATCATGCAGCAAAAACCGCTGCGAGTGGGAAATGTTTCGGGCGCGACGGGCGACAGCCCGAATGCGATGTATCGCATGGCACAGGACGGAAATGTCGATGTCATTGTTGGAGACTGGCTATCCGAAATGAATATCGCTTGGAACGCGATTGCGAAGGCCCAGGACCCCTCCTTAGGCTATGAGCCTGGTTTCCTAATGCAACTCGGCGAATCGATTGATCTGATAATGGAGAGGAAGATTAAGGTCGTGACTAATGCCGGGGCACTGAACACAGAAGCATTGGCTAAAGAAGTCCGTGATATGTGTCTAGGCAAGGGATATCGAGACGTGAAAATCGCCGTTGTGCTTGGTGATGACATATCCGAGTTGGTTCAAGACCCCAAGACTCGTAGCAACCTGGCTCATCTTGATCATCCGGATTGGATTTGTGAGGACTGGCCTCTTGACCCACATTGCGGTGTGGCATATATTGGAGCATGGGGGATTGTTGAAGCCCTCAAGGCTGGCGCGGATATTGTGCTCTGTGGTCGTGTCACCGATGCATCCCCTGTGATAGGCGCCGCAGCATGGTGGTATCAGTGGTCCAAAGACGCATGGGATAAGCTTGCGGGTGCTTTAGTTGCAGGCCGTAAGTCTTTGATTGCCGGAAGTGAAAGAAATAATTTTTCTAACAATTTCTTCTCCAGATTTGATCGAGTGTGGTCCTTACGTCACAGGAGCCAATTTCTCTGGCTTCAAAGCGATTTTACCAAAATTGGTAGATCTTTCTTTCCCAATAGCAGAGATCGAAGCAGACGGTACCTGCATCATCACTAAGTGTCAGCAATATGCTGGTGCAGTGACAAAGCATAACACTATTGCCCAATTCCTCTACGAACTCCAAGGAGAACAATACCTCAACTCGGATGTTGTGGCGGATCTCCACAACGTTGAGATTGAAGAAATAGGCTCGGACCGCATACGAATCTGCGGCATTGCTGGAAACCCACCACCTGATACAACTAAAGCAATCATTGCCGCACCTGGTGGCTACCAAGCCGAGGCAACCTTCTACATCAACGGATTAGATGTCGCCGAAAAGGCAGAAATGATGCGCAACCAGCTATCCCATATCTTCCGCCATAATAAGTTCAGCAAACTATCCATCGAGCTGTACGGCTGCCCATCCGCAGACCCAAAAAGCCAGCAAGAAGGCACCGTATCCCTTCGTGTCTTTGCACAAGCGAGGAAATTGGAAGATATCGCTGCTTCGAAATTCAAAATTCCCATCTATGCTCTTCGCATGCAGAGCTATCCAGGTATGGCGGTTCTAATTATATCTGAGTACCCTCCCCGACATTGAACAGTTAGCTAATGAGTTTGCTACCTACAACGTATAGGCTATCATATGAATCTCGACTTCCGCACCATGGACCCAAAGCCGTTTATGGAAATCTTCCCTGTGTCGATTAAGATGAATCTTCTCAATCACCGGGCTATATTGTTTCCAGATGGTCCCGAGATCCAAGTCGCGCCTCCATCCATAACTATGAAACAGCCAGTTCAACGGCCCTCTTATGAGACTATGCATCCTGTCTCTTTGGAGTCATTTGGCCCAACACAGCTAGCACCATTAGGAAGCATTGTGCATGCACGATCTGGTGACAAGGCGAACAACTCTAATATCGGCTTTTTTGCACGACATGATGACGAATATCCATGGCTACAATCGTTTCTTACAGTTTCTCAGTTGAAACTCTTGTTTGGAGATGACTGGACTGATAATACGGAAGATGGAGAAGAGAGAAGGGTGGAGCGCTGTGAGTTTCCCAATATTTTGGCAGTCCATTTCCGCGTTCTGGATTTTCTGGATGGCGGTATTGCCAGTTCGAGCAGAATTGATGGGCTTGGTAAGGGCATTGGAGAATTTCTTCGCAGTCGGCTAGTCCCTGTTCCCGTGAGGTTTCTTGAAAAAGGTCGCATTTGAGAATCCCTGCTGCTAATGACCTTTTTTTCAACATCATATCATTTTTAGTTTAGATTATAGAGTTTTTATTCATTCTCCCCACAAATGCACTGCATCTAAAGCCATACCTCCGATTTCATGTAGCCAGTCTTGAGAGAGTTGTTGAATCGGCCCGTCGCCTCCATGTGCATCATGGAAATGCTGCAAATCTTCAAAACAGTCTCGGAGCACTGAATCAACACCTATTACGGAAGGAGAAGAATCTTGCATGGGGGCTATATGAACGCTGGGATCAAACACAGAAAGTTGGGACTCTGTGTGGGGCGTGGCCAGTGTATCTGATGGCAGATTTTGCTGAACAGTCGGTATTAGCGGACCAGCCGACTGCGACTTGGTAAAAAATGAAATGACGTCGGCAAGAACAGCGTCACCGAGACGGTCGAACACTTTATGACAATGACGCGGTGTAGCCCAGCGCTCTGATACCGCTACCAGTACAATCGAGCAAGACCGGCAAGTATTGACAACTTCGAGGATCGTTGGGTCGATTGTAAGGGAAGCGGCAGAACCAACCACCTCTGGGGTTGCACGACGTGCGCGGAAATGGCGGCTCACGGCATAAATGTAAGATAGGCCGGCCATGAAAACAGCATGCAGAGTGATCCAAGTATAGTTGATGCGTTGGGATGTATGCAACATTGCATAGCGAGAGATTGCTTCTCTCGAGGCGTCAAATATAGGCTGAAGTACGACAGGCGCGCGAGTGGGGATGTTGGATAGCGCTGGTGAGGGTCGATAAAGCATAAGCAGCGTGTTGTAGTATAGCAACTCATACCACTCAGGTGACAGATAACTAGATTGGCGCGTTTTCTGGGTATCTGCGATAAGAGACAAAGTTGCTGTCTCGCTCCTCCAATTCTCTAACTCCTGAGTCAACGCCAAGCGTGTTGCTCCGGTAGAAGTCTCATCCTGAGTCTGCCCGCGGGAGCTATGAAGTGAGACCATGACCTTGCCGCTAAGTATTCGATATCGAGTCAGATGATTGAATATGGCTGTCGGGGATGGGGTTCCATCATGTCTTTCCACATCTATGCCATTCGATTCATCAAGATTTGGGTCTGGAAGGGTGGTATCTACATCTTCAAGATGGATAGCTAGTGGCCGGCCCAAGGTAATGCTGACAACCCTATAATATGTGTCAGCAAGGGAGGAGAAAATCGAGATTTGATTTCGTACCTATCCATATCAACAACAGACCAAAAGCATCGTCGACGAGTCTCACTCTCGGCTAGAAGCTCGCTGTTGCTAGTAGCGTGAGACATTGTCGGGGCACGGTAAGTCTGGTTACGATGCAGTCCCAATTCAAAACACATCCGAGCAGCAATTCCAACCATATGCCATAGGCTCGCTGAAGTTTCTTCTGCCGAACTGGTCATTCTATATTGACATAGGAGGAGTACCGCTTGGAGGGCTTTAATGTCGGTGCACTGCAAGACCTCGTTCACCCGAGCCATGGCGCGAGCTTGGAAGTTCTCGCTCTCGGGCAAAGACTGCCACTCGCATTTATGAGCACTAGCCATTGCGATTGCAAGGATCATATAGAAAATGAATGACATTCCAGCATCTCTTTCCAGGACAGAGCCATCGGTGTAAATGCGGTCAAGGTTTGCGAGTACGAAGTGGCGGTTGAGGAATGGAAAACAGAGGTGATCATGACTGAGATACGCTTCGTGTAAATGTCGAGCTACTCTCTCCGGTGGTAAGGTCTCCTGTGCGAGTGATAGCGAGGAGGTAGGCTGTGGGGCCGTAACAGATCGCAAGGACGTCCGGTGGACGGATTGTCCCTGCTGAACGGGTGGATGCAACGAAGCAACCCCCTGAACAAGATCCGCAAATATAACCCCACTAGCAACACCCAGATACTGGCCATCGCCACCAGCCTGTCGGGAGAGAAAGGATACCTCGTCGGCGACCTCACCGCGGTCAAATGGGAACGGAGTCGCGTCGGGGCTCTGCGGTGCTGGTTGAGAATCTTGACCTTGCTCATGACTAGATTCACTCCGCTGAGATGTCTGGTGCGAGACCAGCTGCGAAGATAAAGCGCGATTCTTGGCCTCCATTTGTCGCAAGCGTCTTTCAAGCCGGTCAAAGACTTCTCGGCGGACAGTCGGTTCCCGGGTCCGGTCCACGTAATGGCATGGCGCGCGCGCTCTTTGGCATTGGCCGCACGTAGGAATGGATTTGTCGCATTTTGACTTGCGACGGTAACAGCGATCGCAAGCCTGCATTATGAGGCTATGTATACCGCCCCCCCCAACCCCTCGATGGCGACGTGAAATCGTGGAGAAAGTGCGGAGAAGTTGGGGTTGCCACATATCGGCGATCGGCGCCGATGCCCGAAGGTCGTTGGCGGCTGCTTAAACGGCTACAAGCTAATAGGCTCACGGCCTTTTTCCACTTGGAAGGTTTGCTAGATCACTTGGGCAATAATTTTGAGAATACATGAGCTCACTTTAATAAGCCTCTCTCAATCGCTGTTTTCCGAGTCGTCCTTGGGCCGTGAAGCTGAAAATAGGAGCACGCATCCAACAATTCTCGTTTCGACATTCTCATACTCGTTGCAGAGAGCCTGGCGAAATTCTTCTTCTCCATCATCCCGGTTTCCAAAGACGCCTTTATTATTATAGAAATTCATAAGACGAGTCCCGAACCAGTTATGTTGAATACCCTTCCCCAAAATAGTGGATCCATACACAACTCCTTTCTGCGCCAGATGAGGCTTTAAACTGGTAAAAAGCTTCATTTTCTCTTCCAAAAGACCGGGAAGACAATGGAGAAGAAAGAACAGTGAGATTGAATCATAGACACCTTCCAGGGGAAGTGTTTGGGTCACATCGGCTTCGATGGTCACAGTCGACGGTCTGCCAAGTCGTTGCTTTGCGACGTTAAGTGAATTCGTGTTTAGATCCAGTAATGTCACTGCGGTTTCTTCTGGAATGTTGCCATGCTCAAGATAATAGCCTGAGCCGGGACCAATGTCGAGATGTCTTTTGCCAATGAATTGTTTGAAGAATGGCAATTGGATGCTCTTTGTCGGGCAGCGCCAAGCAAATGAATTTGAGATTTTGAGAACCCAAAGATCGTAGACTGATAATACGAATGGTGAATAAATTGCAGCTCCAGCCTCTCCGGTCTGCTCAGTAGAACTTCCTACTACTTGCGTGGCCATGCTTTCTTTTGGGATCGGACTATAGAGATGGTCGGAGGTAGAATAAGCTGGAGATAACCATCAATGAGAGGGTAGTTGTACAGGCTTCTTTGCTTTCATTTATTATATATTTTGCTAAATCCTTCAGCCAGATAGATAGCCAGATTGACTCCACCGAAACATGAGTAGGTTTACTGATAATGGCTAGCACAGTGGGGCCAAGATCAACTTTTGGTGTTGAGCATTGGTTTCGTGAAGCGGACTAGCCTAAAGGGGAGAGTGCATAGACGCCACTGAAAATTGCGACCCCGAAACATCCGAGTCCGCCAGGTAGATAAACCCTATTGGAATTGGAAAAGGGTATTTCAATGTTTATTAAATATTGGCGAGATTGGCAAAGGCAATTGCCAATCTGCTTTGCCAATCTGGTTGAAAGCTTTCGTGACTAGTTGTGGCAACACCGTCATACCTTCGTCTATGCTGGATTATCTTGGTCTTGGAACACAGACATATTAATGTCATCAAGCGATCCCCACCAGTGTGACCACATTCCTTGTTCATGGGCATACGTGCTGACTTCAGTGAGAAGATTGTTGAGCGGCATATCCAGATCCAACGAATCCGTACCGGCATTCGTCGCGGGAGTAGGAACTGGAACGGCCTCTCGCTCCGCGCCCTCTATTTCCTGGAGATGTTGGTCAGATCGGTCAACAACCCGAAATTCGTGGATCGACTGATGCAGAACGTCGAAGTCTGCCCGTGATTTCCCTTGGTATCGGGACCTATCGGACGTGGCTCGCTGGTACAAAAGCGATGCATTCTTGATAGTTGCGAGCTATTCGATTGAAAACTGCTTGTTAGTCACACTTTCTAGAAAGAAAGGGCTGGGGGGTCTCAATGTAACTTACCCAACTATCTCCGAGTGTCCACACCTGTCGAAAAGTTTCAAGATAAGCCATGCAGTAAGTCAGGTTGCGCTCTGCATTCTGGCTACGGCCCAGGTTCATTTGTGGAAACCTGAAAACGTAAAGATTCATGTATGCCGCTGAAAATGCACAGAATCCCACAAAGGGAGATATAATCTCGGCACCACATTCAGAAGCCTCGTGCAGAAGGCAGGCAATGTTTTCTGCGGCTCCGAACAACTCAAATGCACTTGCTTCCCACCATCCTTCTGGTGACTCCCCTTCGAGTGTTGGAGGGTCTATTGGTCCTCTGGGGGCCGTCAGTCCAGTTGGCATGAATGGAAAATATTCACGGTGAAGCATTAATGTACTAAAGTTCACCTTATTAATGTCCGCTAAGCAGGAGCCGAGGAAAAGGTTCTGCACGTACCATATTGAATAAAGCAAATTAAGATAAGTAAAAGATTCCCCGTAGCCTAATGTCGTGTGGGCCAGCACACTATTATCAGGATAGTAAAGCCTGTGGTGCTGATTGGCCCGCCATGTTTGAAGGTGATGTCTTGTTTTTGACCAGGGTGATTCAGAAGCCCAAGGACAATTCTGTGGAGCGCACATTCCCGGCGCGCGACGTCCATCATTATAGATGAAAGTCATGACTTGTGCCCAGATATCAAATCCAGAGACGAGGACTTCGAAGGACTGTGTGATGTCGAACAGAGCGGTCTGCTCGCGTTGTGGTGTTGAAAGATTGTTTTCAGTGCCATTCATTTGCGAAACAAGATCAGGTCCAAATGCAAACTCGACCGCACTTAGAGGCCGAAACACTTTGAGTTTTTCCATCTCCGACCATGGGAGCATAGGAGGGTTGTATGTCCCAGAGCTGACCATGCGATCTAGGATGAAGCAGGCCCAAGTGGTTCTATTCTCGATCGCAAAAGACACAGCCTCACGTTGGTTCGGAGTCGAATCTAGTGGATAAGGTGCAATCCGTGAACTATTTAAAGCTTGCATGATTCTTGTGGCGATACCTTCTGGTCATTAGCTCACCGTTGACTTGAAGATTAGGTTAATTTCGAACTTACCACAGTAAATCCAGGCCCGGTGAAATTCTCGAGTACCCCACTCGTATACAGTCATTATAAGAAGCGCCTGCGCTACTTCGAGTCTGGGGGCCTCAAAAGAGCTTCGAGACAGTCTGTCTCGGGCATACTCTGCATAGCGCTCTTTTGGTAAGAGAGAGCTTTCCCAAGGAAAGGTGATGAGCAAAGGATGGGATCGGGTGATTGCCAACAAGGCAGCTAGCAGAGTCTTGATTTCCTTTGTATCTTGCGATTGGTGCTTCTTGGCGAAGGAGGGGAGGTGAAGAATGGCCAGCTCGGGGTATTTATTCACAAAGACGTTTAATGATTTCAAGACAAGGTCAGTTGACAATCCCGTCAAGTGTCTGTCAGTATGCGAGAGATCTCCTTCGTCATGCGGGAGCTTTTGAGTGCTTGGTTGCAGATCCTGGGCTACTCTTGCAGGTGAAGTCGCTGTACTTGACGGCACAGGGCTTTCATTTTCGTGTTCGTTGACGGAACGTCGGCCTGGGGTATCAAGTCTATCGCGACGAATGGCCTTTCGTGGGGTCTTGCTTGGTGGTCTGCTAAGTTCACAGCCTGGTACTCTTGATTTTCGGCACTTTTGGCATGGTGCCGTGCCTTCATTAATGCATTTGATTTTTGACTTCCTATAGCTCAAATGTCAGCCCAGAATCTAATGTGACGAGTGATGTCACTTGACCAGGGGTCATTATCCCACCTGCAGAATTCACACGAGAGGCTTGATCGCATGCCGAATAAGCTGTGGCCCGTGGTCAGCACTGAGTCTAACTGGATTGCAAGAATGTTTCTCGGATCTCGTCGGGTTTGCCGGATTTCACCGTTCCCGATGTTGCTGAGTCATCCAGTTTCGGCTTTGAAGATGACAGCGACTTCGGCTTTGGCTTGGCTTTCTTGCAACTCACTCCAAGCACTGGTGGATGTTTGATATTTCTTCTCGCTATCAATATTGGCGTAGAAAGAAAAACGGCCTTGCTTGGATGTCTTCCATTTTGACAAGCAACTCGAGGCTAAATTGAGAGAGTAATAAGCAGTTGTGTTACTCTCGACACAGTCAGCGTATGGGCACTTGAAAACAATATTTATGACATTTTGAAATTGAATTTCGGAATATACTAGGTCTTCAACATACGCTTACCCCGCTCAATCACGTAGTGGCTGACGCTGATGTTGATTTATGCTGAAAGGGGTGGCCCGCCAAGACTTGAGGCTCAACCACTCTCCTCCCCTGAATGGACTGCAACGCCTGGGCAGTTTACCGATCACCACTTGCTACTATCCACTCCTCGTTTCTCAGTCCATATTATCACCGCCTAGGGTCCCCGGGAATTCTGGATCAGGACAAGCATATACTGCCATCCCATGGATAGCCTCCCCGGTGAAATCCTACTTGCGATCGCAACCAACTTAGACTCCTCGCGCGACATCAACGCGCTAGCTCAAGCAAACCGCCGTTTCTTCAATACCCTAAACAACCATCTTTATCGACAAGATGCACTCTTCGATGAAATGGAAGCCCTTTCTTGGGCGGCGCGGAGCGGAGTCGTCGCAACGGCCCAAATCTCAATAAACGCTAGCCGGGCAATCGATGATGATTGCGAGCGACTATTTAATATCAACCATGCCCTGTACGATGCCGTCGCGTACCGGCATATTGACGTTATCTCTTGCATTCTTACGGTGGAAGGCGCAGATCCGAACATCCAGAATGATTTCCGCCCAATGACTGCTATGTGTATAGCTGCACGTGAAGGCTGTACGGAGATTATCAAGGTCCTGTTATCGGCCAAAGATACGCTTCCGAACCCAAAAGACTCCGTTATCCCATCACCTCTGTCCCTAGCAGCTTACTGGGGCTTTGTCGATATTGTCGAACTGTTACTAGATGTAAAAGGAATAGAAGCCGACTCTCGTGACTCGAAAAACCGCACACCCTTCTTCTATGCTGTCCTATCAGACTCACCTTCACCTGAAGTAGTATCATGTTTCCTTCGTCGCAGCGACCTAAACATCGATATCAATGTTGAGGACAGGGCAGGGGGTAGGAACACCCGATACCTGGGCAGGACGCCACTCATTGTCGCGTCACAATTCGAATTCGCTGGGGTCGTCAATCTCCTCCTAGCTGTACCGGGGATTGATGTCAATCACGCCGATATATGGGGGAAGACCGCGTTGCATTTTGCAGCCGAGCTTGGCAGAGAGGATACTGTACGCGCTTTAGTACAGCACCACGCTGACCCCGACCCAAAGGATAATGAAAATGAGACTCCTCTCTTTCTGGCGGCGAAGAATGGATCAGTGCCAGTTGTCAAGATGCTACTGGAAGCCGGCGCTGACCCCAATCACATTTGCGATAATGGAGCACATGCACTAGGTGCGGCCCGGACGGAGGGCCATGGAGAAGTTGCGCAGGTTCTTCGCGACTTTGGTCGACTTGATTCGAACTCTATTGGTCCAGTTCCTCGGAATTGGAATGCTTCCCGTGGCAAGATGTGGAGTGAAAGAGCCCGAAGAAATTCTGACGACCACCCATGAGCATCAACCTTGCTTTTCTTTTCTTTTCTTTATTTTGTTTATTTTAACGATCAAGACTCCGTTAAAATTATGACGATTCAACTTGTATTATCCCCTTGTTTAACATTTTCCGAATAATCATGAAAGCCAAAAATAAAATTACATACAACAGCACGGATTCGCATTTCGTCACCCACCAAACTACTAACCTGCCGGTATGTGGCTAGTCTACGTTTAGTAGTTGAATGAGTGCCGCCTGGGTGAGAATAGAGTAGGTGCGCAATAGACAAGGTGAGAAGCCAGGTGATAATTAGTCTCCACTACACAACAACCGCACTGGCCCCTTGCAGCTGAAAAAGAGTTTAATATTATTGGGTCACCTGTCTCCATCCGAAACGTTCGGCCTCTTGGCATCTGCACACAGCCACTTGGCGGAACGTGGGGATTCAATAGAGCCAAAAATGGTGTTTATACTCGCTCCTTAGGTATACTCTTGGCAAAATCAACTCATACTAGGAATATTGAAGATACTGTCAGAATATTGAGAATAATTTCATCTTTCGCCGAAAACTAAAAATAGCTATCGAGGAGCTAGAGCGCAACAAGGATATCTTTGGGGAAAGATTTCTTTCAGACTTGAAGATAATCCAAGCCACACGGGCTGGTCTAGACAAAGGAAGCCTAATGCACAGATTGCCATAGTCGACGGCCACATGTAATTTCTGAATGGTTTGACTGAGAGACTGGGAACGGTTGTCCAGAACCCAAATATAAACGAGTCAAATGTAGCCGAAGGATGGCAAGACCACTAGAGGGCGTTTGCGATAGCGGTGTATGCAGCCTTGGGATTGTAGTTACCATCAAAAAGCAGAGGGCTGGAGCTGGACCGCCACGAATCCTAAACATCATCCGGTGTTAGTATACAGTAGTTATATTCTAGACAACATTGGCACTTGGCACTTACAGGGTCAGCCACTCCCCAAACTGTGATTCCGACACACTTTGGCTGGTTCAAACAGGCGTTGACGACCTATTCGTTAGGTGATTAGCAAGAAATCATCAAGCGAGTATTGAAATTGCAGATGGAAGGGGGAAGATGGTGAGGAGCTCACGTTCACATAGTCGGTAGAGCTTGCGCCAGCAATATCAAGCTCGGTGATGGCAACTTCCTTCGTTCCCGCACCTGCCAGAGCATTAAGGGCTGTAAGAGGCCGTAAGCTACTACTCAATTGAAAAAAGGGAGGACGGTACTTATCCTGAAACTGCAGCACCGCCACCGGCACCTAAGTGGGTTTGCGAGCCTTTGACAAGTAAGCAATCATGTTCGGTGAGCTACTATGGCAGGTGTCTTACCAATTCCGTCAATTGGAATACCGGCAGCAATCCACTTCTTGACATGGCTGACCATACCCTGCACTTTAGAATAGGAGGCAGAATCCAGGCTTTGCAAGATCAGAATTAGACACGAGAAACAAATAATAATGGGAATGGGAATTGGCTGAGACTCACTTGTAGTCATTGATGTAGAGCTTGGCATTTGGATCAACAGCGCGAGCTGTTTCAAAAGCGATTCGTACGAAGTCCTCTCCGAGAACATTGTAGAATACACTGTTGCGCAGGAACCGTCCTCGTTGAAGATTTCATTCACAACATCCTAGAATCGATCAGTAACGTACTAGTAGTTGTATGGAAAGTAACATAACTTACCCAGGCATAGATCTTGCCCTTATAACGGTTCATGACTGTTGTAATGTGGTTCTTCATGACATTGGTCAGAGTGGTCTTGTCTGAAATGGAAGACACCCAGGATGGGAGCTGAGAGTGCCACACTTGACGAGTTCAGTATTTTTATTGTAATATATTTGAGCCCCTTAGGCTCCGAGAACATACCTAGAGTATGGCCACGGATCAACTTCCCATTTGATTGAGCAAAATTGACCTAAATTTTGTAAGCATCGGGCAAAGAAGCGATTGTCTTTTAAATGCTAGCTGGGTACGTACCAGATAGTCCGACCCTGAGAAGGAGAACTGTCCTTGGTTTGCTATTTCGCAAATAAGCTTTTGATACGAAAGTATCTCATAGAAATTTGTCCTCACGCTCAGTAGCATCCCACTTCATACTGTTCTCGGGTGTCAATTGACCGAAGTCGGCTTTGATAATTGCCGGGGTCTTTGCGTTCTTGTTGAAAGTGTACTGTTCGCCAATAGTTCCAAAATATTTCTTTCCGTGTGTCTTGAATTTAGCATCAATGCTCACAGATGCCTGTCGGGGGTCAAGAGGCCCGGAAAGTGCTTGGCCAGCGAAAAAGATAGCCAGGGCTACTGCCTTGATTTGAACCATATTGAGGAATGCAATAGTACCAGATGGATAATAGAAATGAGGGTAGAGGATGATACTATCTAAGGAGCATGAAGACAATATTTATACAAGATGACAGTCAAAGTTTCTTGATGCAGAATAGTTTATAGCTAAAGCAACTACTAGCAGAACGGACATCTTTCCCGATTGAAAACGGATGTTGCATCATCTAGGAGGACCCTGTTTCACAGATGGAGAACGTATGTGTCTAGTCAATTCAGCCCCTTAGTAAAATAACGCGGGAAAAATGGTACTCGTTCTTTTTTCAGCCTAAATGATCGCATTTAAGGTTTCAGGCTGGATCTAACAAACATCTAGGCTCATTTCACGCAAGTCCAGTGCAGACCATAGCTCAGCATATACCAATCAAATAATATCAATTTTAGCATTTGTTCAAGGAGAGCCTGACGATACGGTCTGCAGAAGCTAATCAAGGGTCCAAATGTGGAGGCTGTGGCGATCACCAATACGCTAAAATTCCAAACTAAGCTGCTCCAACCTCGCTACAGCATACTAGTATTTCAACTCCTCGGTTAAATTCACCGAAGTATCCCCGAAACAAATTTGGTCCACCTTTCTTCAAGGAGCGTCAAGTCTAGCAAGGCATACCCCCAACTAAAAAGATAATAGCCACCAAGCAGAAATTATTCTGAGACACAAGTGTGTTTTATAGTGAAACATTCCTATAATGATAACTATCAGGGCAAGTTTAATCTGTCTAGCGTCACCATCTAGATTGACAATTCCTTTGATGAATTTACCCAGCCTCGCGGGCCGTTCCACCGTTCCACGAATCTCTATGTCACAAGATGGTGCTCTACTTCAAATTACAAGGATGGGATGGCTAAAATGGTGCGGGGTTTATGTCGGAATCTATTCCTAGAAAGGTGGCCAATGATTGTTTTCTGCCTAATGTAGTTTACCCAGTCAGCACTCCGAAACCATTTCATTGAGAAAAGGAAACGTATCAAAAGCCATAGTTTCAATTTAAACATTGCAGAGTTTATCCAGGAAGAGGAAAGATTAGGATAATTTGTTTTCTCACGTGAAAGTTTCGCTGCGAACCTTAAAAACTGTTTAATCTAGAGGTCGTACTGGAGTATTTGTACCAGCTAGGCCCCTAGCTAAATACTTCTGGGCTTCGCTTTGATCATTCATTTCTTTTTTCAAAACAATCGATAATCGGAATCTCAACAACAATGAAACTTCTCGGGGCGAAAGCTAGTCTGGTGACTAGCATAGTCTTGCTCACATCAGTGCCGGTTGCCATCGCTGATTGTGCTCTTCCATCAACTTACAGTTGGACATCAACTGGCGCTCTTGCAAATCCTAAGTCTGGATGGACGGCAATCAAAGACTTCACCAACGTGGTTTTCAATAACAAACATTTGGTCTATGCATCAACCACCGACGCAAGTGGGAACTACGGCTCGATGAACTTCGGTACCTTTTCGGATTGGTCTGGTATGGCATCCGCAAGCCAAAATACAATGGGCTTTTCAACCGTCGCGCCTACCTTGTTCTATTTTCAGCCAAAGAACATCTGGGTCCTAGCCTATCAATGGGGCTCTAGCACTTTTACCTACCGAACATCAAGTGACCCCACCAATGCCAATGGGTGGTCATCGGAGCAAGCCCTTTTTTCAGGGAAGATCTCAGGTTCAAGCACCGGCGCTATTGATCAGACTCTTATTGGTGACTCTACAAATATGTACCTTTTCTTTGCGGGAGACAATGGCAAGATCTACCGTTCTAGCATGTCTATTCAAAATTTCCCCGGAAACTTTGGAACATCGTCGGAGGTGATACTAAGTGATGCTCAGAACAATTTGTTTGAGGCAGTCCAAGTATACACTGTGAAAGGTCAAAACAAATATCTGATGATTGTCGAAGCAATTGGATCACAAGGGCGGTATTTCCGTTCATTTACTGCCAGTAGTCTTGGCGGTTCGTGGACGGCTCAAGCTACAAGCGAGAGCAATCCCTTCGCCGGGAAAGCCAACAGCGGCGCAACCTGGACCAACGACATCAGTCACGGCGATTTGGTTCGTTCTAACCCTGATCAAACCATGACCATCGACCCATGCAACCTGCAATTCCTCTATCAGGGACGAACCCCAAGTTCTGGTGGAAACTACAACACCCTAGCGTGGAGGCCGGGTGTGCTCACCTTGAAGAACTAGATGAGATTTGGTACTGAGAGAGGAGGATGAAGCTGTGTATACGAGACTGTGACAGTTGTGAGATGATGAATATGTGGATTCTAAATTTTATGGAGAGTCATTCTAAGGAGATGTGTGGCGGCGGAAGAATATGGAATGCTCAGGTCCGGTTTCATTACTATTTGCTAGTTAACTTCGATGTAAGCCGGCTCATACTCATCGGTCAACGCAATACATTTTCCATTATTTGACAGATGCCGCTGTGGGTTTGGTGTCAACATATTCTTGTATATACTCCTTTGACACGAGAACTTTTGTTGAGGCCTGGAGACTCTCCAGGCCTCAGGCATCCAGGGAGTTGCACCACCGTTTGCTAGATAGTAGTAGTTACTTCCTCCATTAGCACCTACACCACAAGAAACACAGTTATCACCTCACCTATCGTATCATCTCGCTACATTACGCGAGTCATCAAATTTTACTGGAGCTTCTAGCACAAAAATACAATTCACCACTGGCAGGTCATATTTATGAACTTTATCGACAGTCCCCACACCATCAAATACTATTTCATATTCAAGCAGCCATGAAAAACTCCCAAGTCGCATCCGGAGCAAGAGAATTCCCAACGCCAAGGGGTGCAGCGTCGTGTCCTCCATCATAGGCGATAAAGGAAACTGGCTTGGAGCATCTTTCAAAGTCCGTTCGAACGAAAGCATTGCTCCCGGGACCAGGTTTACCCACATTCTTTGGCTGGCACCCGTTATTCCCAACGAACTTATTTGCCAGACCTACGCCCCCATCAAAGGGCAGCACTGGGTCGTTGATCCCATGAATACCCAAATAAGGAATAGGATCATTACCCCCATCACACCCACTGATCACCCCACCGCTCAGCACGCTCACTGCTTTAAACTCCTTCGCCCGCGAACAAGCAAGCGCATAGCTCATTCCCCCGCCCCAACTGAATCCCGTCGCGAAGCGAGAACTGGAGTCCACGCAGAGGTCATCCTCAACTTGTTTGATGATGGCGTCTATGAAGGATACGTCTTCACCGTTGGTGTTGGCCCAGCCAGCGTTCCTGCCATTGGGGGCTACCAGGATTGCGCTGCCTTGCGCTCGGCTTTCGAGGCCGTACCAAGGTTGAACACTCTCACCATCGGTGACAGAGTTCATGTTTCCGCCTCGCCAATGGAGGCCGAAAATGAGGTGATGTGGTTTGTTTGGGTCGTAGTTGTCGGGGATCTTGAGGATGTACTCGCGGTCATTGATATTGTGGACTCCATTGGTGAGGGTCGGTTGTTTGCCGCAGCCCGTGGACGTGGCGGCATCAACTGAGGCTAGAAAGCTCAGGGCTAGGAGAGAAGGAAGGAAGATCATTTTCAATTGACAAAGAGACAAGATCACAGTAATGGAACTCTTGTCAAGTAAAATTTTGGATTTTGTCTCAGCCTTCGAGGTTCCAAGGTTGTTGGTGAGTGGGAAGGTAAGAGTGACCTCGTGAATTCACAGCTATTGCTATGTACTAGTATTTATACCTTCGGCTCTGACTTCTAGATGATTAAGACGACAATACTAAGCTCACCGAAACTCCATTCCTTAACCAGACAGGTGCTCTGCATGATACACTTTCCGTAGGAGGCACCTATTTCCCCGAGTATCATGCGAGGCCTTCGTTTTACTTGATGTAACGACGGTTTTTCTTAGACCCTGGCCGGTTAAATTCCGTGCAGCGACTTAAAATATCTTTCACACAATGGTACTTTACCGGGGAGGAAAGAGCTGCCAAGGCGCAGGGTTGTTGACCCTGTTTCTTCAGCCCCCGCAGTTTACCAAGAAGTTATGTAACTATTACTCGCGGATCACATTCCCACCCCGCTTGATGTATATACGAAGGATCGGCGCAGGTGTTGCCATGAACCTGGTCAAATTCTGGATAAATAGCTATAGGTCGCTTCAAAACGCCCCATGATTTTTCAATGAGCGTCACAGGCGTAGAGATACTCCCGAGCAGGCTATTACGTCAAATGTCAGAGGGCTAAAATGCTGCAGAGTCCAAACAGCAATGTGATTTATGTAAGGCCTCAAAGTTCCATAATAATTGTACTCCGTATGACTTTCGGACTTTTTTCGGAAGAGGTAATGTGGTAACACGTAGAAAACAGCCCCTGAATCGTTTCCACATATCATAGTTAACACACTAACACTTTCAATCCAACACGTCCATCAAATTGCCATCCTTGAGACCAGCTCGTGTACATATCCCGCTTCGTGACGTAGTACTTCATTTGACTCAATCTGTAACAGACCCCGTAAATCGAAGGATCCAATTTATTTCGCCAAGACCCTAGACTCTTGATCTACCAATCATGAAGACCCCAGCCATGGAATAAGGGATTTAGTATTTACATGCCAAGGCGCTGCCGGCAAGTAGGGTCATTGTTTTTGCCGAGAGATGTTTGACTAAGTATTAAGAGCCCATGACCTTGGTATCGATCATGCCCCTATTCATTTATAGAAAATGGTGTGGATTGATTCAAGAAAGGGCTAAGATTAAATTGGAGTGTGGAGTGCCAAGAATAAAATTGAGCCACTCATCGAACACCGATATCTAAGACGCGGAAGAAGGCATTCTACAGAGGTGAGACAAGCCAACGCAAAGAATAAAAATAAATAAAATAACTTGAAAAAAGAAAATTGCTACAGATATTGTATGGCGGTGGTCACCTAGCGCCCTCGAGTTTGTCCTCGGCGCCCCCCTTCCCCTTCACCGTAACGAGCATGAATCTGGCGTCGACGTATTGGAGGCAAGGCCGCTGGAACAAAGCAGAGTGGCTCGAGGTAAGCTTATGGAAACAAATAAGACGAATCCCAGTGCCTATCATCCTTTCACATTGACAAGTATGGCCAACCTAGTAGCTCATGCCCTTAGGTCATCGGGTCAAGAAACAATCGCTTTTCTCATAATGACCGAATGTCTTCCAAATCGGGAGCGCAATTTGGGACCTGACCATGCGAATGCTCTTGTTCCCAGGCCTTCTTTGAGCGAATGGCGCGGGAATGGTGACTCCGCGTCCATCTCGCTCATTAAACCCACGGCTGAAACTGAAAAGTAGAATCAAAGCCTACAAAAATCACATCAGGAACTTGGGCTGAGATAATAAGAAGACATTCCTTCAACAGTAAAGCTTAGTGGGCAGTGGTAGGATATCAACAGGGTAGTATAATGTTTATCTCGAATATTACTGGCTACACAACCACTGTTAACTAGCACTAGCTAAGTACTTCCTGGCACTGGCTAGAGTTTATAGGATTGAAATGGGAATCCCGAAATCAATTATCTGGAAAACGATAACTCTCTAAAGGAAGAGAATGATTCGAATCTTGCTAGCCGGGTAACACCTCCAAGAATCCTCATTTCGAAAAGTACCACTATCATAGTAGACCTTTTTCAAGAGAAATACAAAATCAATCATCCTCCAGATGATGACATCCTACTGAGCCGTGGGGTCACAAGGGCGGGAGCTCGCAGATATCCCTTGAAAGCCTCGCGCTGAGGGTTCTCGCGGATTTGTTACTCGCTCAGCATAACAGGATCTTCCACGCCGGCGGTGACATTGTCCTTGACCCGCCGTTCTCTGTACCATTTCTGCACAGTGGTTGCAACCCATATGAAGAACTTCCCAACTTCCCCTGCGACTGTGAGGCCAGGAATGAACCAAAGAACGACCTGGTAGGGAAACCCGAGGATCACGCTCTTGGGGTCTATTTTCATGCATATAGCTTTTCGGTGTTTTTGAATCCAGCTGTTCTTCTATGGCAAAATACCGTGGAAGGCAGCATGTTGCTGCCGCATATGCATCCAATGCTGGTTCAAAACAAAAGGGATTTCGCTTAGTAGGTCCGGGAAGAAAATGAGGAGGGGGATGAAAGTGAACAGAACGCGAATGAAAATAGCCCTGGTCATTGTGGTTGACGCCAGTGATGAATTGAAATCCCTTTGGAAACAGAAAAAGGCGTGGCTAGTGAGACTGATTTTCGCGTGGTTGGGAGAAGAGGAGAACAAAAGCGAGGCGAAGTAAAATGGTAAATGTGAATGTGAATGTGAATGTTTGTGTGCTTTGTTTACTTCGTTGTCGCTCCTTCTATATATTGTTGATGCTGAACGCACCTGATTTTACGGTGTCCCCAATTCAGAGAGGCTCGCAGTTCGCTCGATAAATGATCTGCGCTAAATCTGGCGATGGGGCCAGAAAATAGTGATTGAATGCATATCCCACTATATCGGATCTTCGATTTCCGAGACTCCTCCCAGTGATGCTCTGCCTATCAGATCGCTATATCGATCGGATGCTGATGTTCCCTCGCCGGGACTCGGAGTAATGACCATTCATGGGGCCAAAATGACAAATAAACGCCCACTACGAAGTAGTACTCAAATAATTCGAATCCTTCTCTGGGGCCGACCCCTCATGAGCTCGGGGCCGCCAGCCTTGTCTGGCCAGGAATCTGCATCGAATGATACCTATGTAGTATATAACCTCCAGCCCCCCCTCCAACTTAATGCTACACCATATAATCAGCCAGCCCTCTTACGATCACGACTAGTATGTTCTTCGGCAACTCCCTCCCCTTCAACCCCGAGCAGGACATCCCCTCGCTCGCCGGCAAAGTCATTCTCGTGACCGGAGCCAACATCGGCTTGGGCAAGCAATGCGTCCTCGAATACGCCCGCCACCAGCCGTCACTGATCTGGCTGGCCGCACGCACCCTCGATAAAGCTCAGACCGCGGCGGACGAGATCCGCCAACAGCTTGAGGTCAAAAACACGCCCACCATCAAACCCCTCGCCATGGACCTGTCCTCGCTCTCGTCCGTCACCACCGCCGCCCGCACTGTTGTGGCCGAGTCCTCTCGTCTCGACATTCTTATGCTGAACGCTGGCATCATGGCCGCCCCGCCGGGCCTGACGAGTGACGGCTACGAGCTACAATTCGGCACGAACTACATCGGGCACGCTCTCTTCACGAAACTGCTACTTCCCATCCTTGAAAAGACAGCTGCGACGATCCCGGACGCCGATGTGCGCATCGTCTCGCTCTCGTCACACGGCCACGTCTACGCTCCAAAGGAAGGTGTGCTATTCGATACCTTGCGCACCGATGCCGAGAGCTTGGGGGCCTATGGTCGTTACGGGCAGAGCAAGCTGGCGATCATTCTATGGACTCGCCAAATGGCGCGCAAGTACCCGCAGTTTACTCTGGCGTCGATCCATCCGGGCGTGGTGCGCACGAATCTTATGAATAATGCGACGGGGAGCCCGTGGGTGATTAGGCTGTTGGGGATGGTTGCGAATAAGGTCGTGACGCCGGTGGACCAGGGCGTCAAGAATCAGCTGTGGGCGTCGGTAGCAAGAGATGTGAAGAGCGGGGAGTACTATGAGCCTGTTGGGATTGGGGGGGCCACAGACGCCGAGGGGAGAGGACGATGCGCTGGGTGTGAAGGTGTGGGAATGGACGGAGAAGGAGCTGCAGGGGTATGAGTAGTAGTAGATAGGATAGGTACTATATAAATAAAGAATACGACTCCACTCTAGCACATCTTATGGTATATAAGGTTAAAGTCAGACAGCTTAGGAAAATTACAAATCCTATGAATACATTAATTTTATGTTTATGAACTGATATACAATTCATGGATGGTTGTAATATTGTTGAATCCCAGTCCATACTCATCCCCAAGGATCCTCCAGGGACGGTGAGCCCCATTCTGCCCACAGATCGACGTCTGGAGGGAAAGACGTGATATGCCAAAGAGCCTCTCAACTGCAGATCAGATTTAAATCAATATTCTGTGGGCTGTGCCTTTAATGGCCGCTCTTGTTAAGGTATCATTGCGTTTCTGGTATGATTGATCGAGTGATCTTCAACGCATCATATCTTCGGGGGTCTTGGCACACTCCGGTAATGTTGCATTGTATTTTGCATTTCATTTACTAGTGTCTAGTTAACAAACAGCCATGATTCGTGAGCATATTGATATGGGTGTGGACTTGAGCCCCTCAAATCGGAAGCTTATTCTGTGACACCATGATGCAATCGAGACTTATTCAATCAAACGTAATTTTAAATTCAAAAGATACCTAGGATTCTCAAAACCCAAGCCCCTCATACCATTTTCTATTCACATATTTATCGTGACATTCGTTCCAATTCCAGGCGGGACTTTCACAGAACGCTCTCGTAGTACGTAGTCAAAACATCAGTCTTGGCGGGGCCAGCAACAGCCTTCAGTGCCTTGTGCGCTTCACATTCGGTATCGTAGTATTTCATATCATCCAGTGAGGCAAAGGTAGTCTTGACGGAGATGTTGAAGCCCTTGTTGCGAGGGTCGTCGAAGGATTCGCCGACGGCAGCGGCGACGATGTAGGGCTTGCCATCCTAGATGATTGCGCATTAGATAGGTTGTTTTTCTTTGGAAAGCAAAAGTGCAAGTGACGTGAAGCAAGTGGAGTGGCAAAACAGGGCAGTCTAGTACAGTTCAGTGCGAGGGAATTCCATTTCCATACCTTGGTTGCGGTCTTCGCGAGCACCTTGTACTGCTCCAGCAGGCGCTTGCGGTCTTCCGCCTTGGGGACGTTGAAAAGAGTGATGCGCTCGATAGGTGCCATGATTGTAGAGGTAGATGAGAATTGCCGGAGGTATTGAAGGGAGTGAGAAAGGAAAGTGGGTGAGGCGCGGGGCATCGCAGTCTTTTAAAGGTGGATTGTGGTTGCGGGGAGAGTGAAAGATGGCGGGGATTGCGTCGGCTGTTTATTCATCGCTGTACCATTGACAATTTAAGACCGATATACCCCGATTTTTGGACCCGTAGAAGCAGGATAGAATAATCTAACTCCGATTCATGATTTGATTTTCTAATATCTTGATTATTGTCTCTTTTGCTGTTGTTGGCAAGCTCTTCTCTACAAAATCGGATATAGTCATGTCCGAAGGAGTGCGGAATCTTCCTAAGAAGTGCGTTACAATTCCGCGCGGGTCTACCAATTCTGACGTTGAGCGGAAATTGCTAGAAGGATACTCGTACCATACGGCGAGTAATATTAGTCAAGGGCACTAACTACATTTCATCTATTCTTTCGGATTTACTTCTCTCACAAACATCAAACAGGAGAAACTGTATTTGTCATTGTCATACTCTTGAAGGCTATATTCTATCTCCGCGAATATCCGATTCGACATGCATCGCTGAATTCTGATCAGCCCCGAGATCTAATGCTAACCGCAAAGAAGAAGAAAAAGAAAAAGAAGAAAAGACCACATGATCACCAGTTCCCCCGTAAAGCCTGCTCCCTCTCAAACGCCTCAAACAAACTTTTGAAATTGCCAGCCCCGAACCCATCAAATCCCTTCCGCTGAATCACCTCCAAAAACACCGTTGGTCGATCACCAACATGTTTCGCAAAGATCTGGAGTAAATATCTACGCTCGTCGAAGTCAACAAGGATATTCAGTTTCTCCAAGACATCCACATCGGCCTCAAGAGACCAAGGAACATGAGAAAGACGCTGTCGAAGATCGGTATAGTACGCCGGCGGGACATTGAGAAACTGAACGCCGCGTTTTTGGAGATTCGTCACTGCTGTGACAATATCCTCTGTGCGAAATGCAATATGTTGCACTCCGGCACCGTGGTAGTAGTCGACGAATTCTTCGATCTGGGACTTTTTCTTGCCGGGCGCTGGCTCGTTCATGGGCATTTTGATCATCTCATTCGACGAGGCTACCACAATCGAACGCATGGCCGAGTAATCACTACACATGTCCTGGTCGTCGACTGTCCAGTACCGGTGGAAATTCAAACACTCTTCATAGTACCGCACGGCCTTGTCCACGCCTCCCCATGGCTGATTACCAACACAATGGTCGATCTCGACAAAATCCACCGGAGGTAATAATTTATTGATTGGGTCCGCTTCGTCAGCCGATATGCTCCGATAACCCGGGAGAAATGGCGCTGAGGAAGAGTATTGGTCACGGTTGATTAATGAATGCACTGTTTCACCATATGTCCCGATGGTAGCTGTTGTGATCTGACCGTGTCCTTCGACCACGACGACTCGCGGCTCTGCCTTGCGCGAGGCCCCATGTTCAATCGCCCGCTTCCAAATCTCCTCGATATTCCCCGTGACTCGGAATGCAACATCGGCGATTCCGTCCCCGTGAATGGTCAAGTGTTCGTGGATCGCGGTCAATGTCGCACGGTCTTCGGCTGTGGCGCTTCGTAGGACTTTGTTCTCTGGGTGTGAGGGCCCGCAAACTGGACTTGTGAGAATGAACACGGAGGCACCGTTGGCAACGACGTAGCTAGTTAAGTAGGGTGAGCCCGTCTCTGGTCCGCGGTAGGCGATTAACCTGAAGTTGAAGCGTGTGCTGTAGTAAGAGGCGGCTTGCTTGGCGTTGCCGACATACCATTGAACATGGTCGAAGGCGACAAATTCAGGGCCGAGGTCGGTTGGGAAGATTGCATCGTCGGGTTTGTTGGGAATTGACATCTTGCGGTGTGGAGGGAAGTATGGTATGGTGTGGATGCGAGCTCGGGGAAAAAGATAGACACGTCCACAATGGACGGAGAATGAGAGGGTGGAGTTGAGCTCAACAACAAAATGTGGTGCTTGAATGTTCCGAGAACACTGAAGTTCAAGTTGGAAAGTTGAAGTGACAATGAAAGTGAAAGTCAAAAAATCCGGGTTGGCGGGGGTTTTTCTGCATAAGGTTTCAACACTCCGCCTCGCTTTTCCTCTCCGCGGATAGGCGTAGCTTCGTTAATATTGACTCAAGACACAGGCTTTAGACTAAATATAACTTGTTCGGTCTCCTTGGATCCACCCAAGGAAAAGCCAGGTATTCCCTGCTATCTTTCTTGCCTGTGGCTGGATATTGCAATCCTGGCTGAACATGCCATTCATCCCTTGTATGTCCTATGACATGTATGAAACCTGACTTGGTCCATGCATGGCGAGCAAGACGTATCTAGGTCCCCTCGTACTCAGTGTACTCAATGTACTCAATGTACTCAATGTACTCAATGTACTCAATTGATATGGAACTTCAATAAGTCCAATATCCAATATCCCATTCGATCCCAAGGAGGCGTCCGGATGTTTGCTTCACCGGCGCGGTCTGAGCCCGCGTCCCCAATGCCACCTTTTAAGAGAAACAGAGAGCAGAGCAAAGAAGCAAGCTCAGCACCCTCTCATTTCAACATGTATTCAAGGTAAGTCGATACTCCATCCGATGGAGTAATCAGATATTGTTGACGGGCTCCGGCCTGTTCTTGAAAAATACCTTGTACCGAACAATCTCCACAACCTCAAGTTCCTCAGTATTTTCGGATGAAGACCGCTTCCGCAGAACAGCGAGTGGCTTTGGCAGCTTCTTCACCTCGCCCGTCATACGCTGGTACCGACCAATGTAGAGGTACACCCGCTTCATCCACTTGGTATCGTCCGGGTTCAACAGCGAGTAGTCCGGGAACATGAGTTTTCCGACCGGCGTCTCGAAGGTGGCCCCGTCGGAATTCAGAGGGGAGCCAGGGCTCGCATATTGATCGTCGTCACTCTCGAATGTGGGTAGGTTGATTGTAGCTTGCAGCTCGAGGATTGCCAGGCCCGAAGGAGTTTGGAGGAGTTGGGGGAGTGGGTTGCTAGCTGGGAGGGAGCTTGGGTTTGAAGTCGTTGTCTCAGCGGGCTTGCGGGATGTCGGGTGTAATTGGATTGAAGGCATGGTTTGCGTGTGTATGGTCTTGTAGTTTGTGGTTGTTTTTTCTCGCAGAAATGCTGGATTTGCTGGGGTTGTTGAAGTTGAAGTTCAAGCTCGCGCGCGACGCGACTCGCGTTGTCCCCACATCGTGGGGTTACTCGACTTAAATGACCCCACGGATTTAATTCCCTGGCTCGAATCAGGCGGAATGTTATGGTAGTCTCAGTCATTGCTACATAGTTCCAAACGTATTGAATTTTGTTTAAAAAGATTCTACTTTGTGGTAGGTTCTCATCGATTCCCACTTTGCTAGCAATTAGCCCAAGCCAGGAGATATACGAGAAGGGTCAGGGTATTCGATTTGCTTCTCATGATATCATTGTCATCGGAATCATAAAGGCGAGTTTGGATAGAACTCGTCACCGCTAATATACAGGAAATGTAACAAAATTCACAAAGTAGACAGGTACATCTAGTACATATCTCACTCCATACTCGCCCCATAACAAGCGTTCTCAAGATTCTCCAACCCCCGAATAGCCTCCTCCCCAATCCTACTCTCCATCCCAGCTAAACCCTGCAACTTCCCATAGCGAAGATCACTCAAATCCCCAACCGTCGATTGTAATTCCGACAAAAGCCCCGCCGCCTCGCGATCCACGTCCCCAATTTCCCGCTCAATATTCGCACAAGCAGCCTCCATCTCATCCAGCAGACTAGCAGTAGAATGAAAACGCTCCTGGTCGGTAGAGTTCTGACCAAATAGATGAAGGTCGACGTCAATTTCACGCTGCTCATCCGCATTAGATCCTTCGACGCCAGCAGCCAGACTCGCCTTGCGGAGCTCGGCTTTTTGTCGCTCGCCTTGTTGAGACTCTTGGTCGATGTTCTCATTTACCCGGTCCATATCATGTTCGCGGACTTGCTGCAGTTCCCGATATAAAGTCCGGATATGTGGGTGGCCTCGTAGGCGTTTGGGGAAGAGATCTGTGAACTTTTGTAGGGAGAGAACTGTTGGCAGCGGGGCTGGGGAGAGCAGGAAGTTGCTCAGTATGGACTCTTCAGTGGGTGCCATTTTGGTTTCTGGATCTGGATCTGAGATGTAGCTCTGCACCTGATTGATAGCTTCACTTTCACTCGATGATGAGACGAGTGGTTAAGGTCTTTTCGGCCTGGAGTATCGGGCACGTCCTCCGAATGAAGCCGCGACGCGTGTGTCTCGCGAAATTCCGTGACGGGCGATCACGTGGCTAGCATCAGGAAATTGGGCGACAGCGAGTATCCTTTTTTTGGATGGATTTGAATCAGTTTAGTCAATCTTTTTTCAAATCAATTTGCACGGCTGACGTCTAAGTCAGTTAGAATGGATAGAAAGGTTTCGCAAACGTCGTGGGGTAAGGAAGTCCGGTCCATCCGATCATCGGCCAAGATAGCTGCACAATATCAGTTATGTGCCACGCTAATAGTCGTCGCATGCCTAAAACTTGATATATAGCATTGGCTAACATGATGTATCAGAATTGTGAATAATTCATGCCCAAATAACCAGGATGTTGCAAAGATTGTCGCTAGAAGTAGGTACTATGAACCGTAGGTGTAAAGTGTCCTCGACCACAAGGTATATAACATTCTCGGGCACAGTATTTAGTAGAGATGCTCCATTTGTCCCTCTCATTAATAACTGATTGGATATGTCTAAGAGATTAGCGCATCATCTTGCACGGCAGTGGTCAAGAATATAGCTTCGGTACTAATAGTACACCAAAGGCTCTTAGATCCAGTTCAAGGGAGCAAAAAACAGATCACCAAACTTATACTTTTCCCAAGGCATGTCTGAACATACCCCCTACTCAATCATTTTCTACATAATCCCTCTCGGGCTTAACCTTGCCATGATCAGGCCTTTCTTTTTTGTATGTCCTCCAAGAGTAATGCTCCATCACCTCTTCCCGGGATAGGGAGGTCCTTCACAAAACAACGATGTGCTGCGATAAAATGTAGCAATTCGATATCTGATTGCTTAATCTATTTTATCTATATGAAACTATCTAATACTAATCATCAAATAAACCAAGGCTCGTGGTGGTTGATCCTCGTGCAGCCCCGGCCTTTAGCTTATGTCATTTGTAGCGCGGGTTCTCCAAGGGGAGAACTGCAACGCGCCCGCGCCGCCTTTTTTTTGAAACCCAGAAACTCCCCAGCCATCAGCCCTTCACAACCCCACTTGATCAAAGATCAAAGATCAAGCTGTTCAAAGATACAAGCTGCTCTGTATTGTTTCATCCAGTGCGCGGCTTGGTGTTCATTCCCAACGCATTCCAACCAAAACCTTGAGAGTTCATCGGGACCGGGCCAGATTGCCCTCTTTCCATCGAGATATCGTCTCGCAGTCGACCATATCAGCAAACCCAAGTATAAAACTTGGCCCGATTTGCCGAAACCACGCTTCGGCTGCTTTTGTTTCCGGAAAGCCGAGTTCAAACGCGGCTTTGGTTGCCTTGAACCGTCGGCCACGACGCCTCAGTCCATCGACACTGCTCGACCAGACGCGACACTCCCCGTGCTTTGCGTGATTGATTCTCTCTTCTTCTGTTTTCTTTGTTCCAAAAGCCTTCTCTCTCATCAAGAATCCCAATCTTCAATATGCCTCCGTCTATGTACACGAAGGACGAGAAAGTCCTGTGTTTCCACCATGACATCCTCTACGATGCCAAGATCCTTGACGTGAGGCACAGAGACGGCGACAAGAAGAACCCTCTTGAGTTCCTTGTTCACTACAAGGGCTGGAAGAATACGTAAGTCCCACCACCCACTCCCCTTTGCCCTTCACCTGCTCTTTGAGAGATACGTGCCTGCGAAATCCGGTCTCGCATCAAGAACGAGGCACAATCATCTTTCCATGTCTATTCTGGTCTAGACGCCCCATCGGCCTTGAATATCGCGTTGGATATTCCAAAGGGCTTCTTTTCCGGTTGCCAGTCTAGCATTAAACTCTGAGACTACCGCTGACCACTTTTGTAGCTGGGATGACTGGGTTCTTGAGGATCGGCTGAGAAAGGCTACTGAAGAGAATCGTGAGCTTGCAGCTAATCTTCGTCGTGAGGTCGAAGCATCTGCTCGTCAAAAAACTGCTAAACCTAACAAAAACAAGCGTCCTCTGTCTGACCGGGGCTCGGTCCGTGATAGTGAAGAGCGTGGCAGTTCAGTGCCCGGCCGCGGCAACAAGCGATCCAAGGGCGAAACTGATATTGAAAAGGTGAGTCTACTGATTCCATATCTAAACTCCCCCCCGCATCAATCCTGGGGCCCAAAAATCCCCTTTTCACCTCTCAACCCCCTCCCTCCCTTTTCCGTCGCATCTCCTGCCTCATCCCCACCATGGCGCGCACCAAACATACGACAGGCCTGCCTAATTTCCTGCCCATCCCTCCGAGGCCCAGGCTCAGCGGAATTATTCTCCCGCTGCCTCCATGACTCTTATTTGCAATGCTCTGACCATCCCCGCGAACAGGAGGAAGCATTCCATATCCGCCCGTCCATCCGCATCGTGATGCCGGATAACCTGAAAGCCCTCATCGTCGACGATTGGGAACGTGTCACAAAGAACAGCTCCGTCGTGAAACTTCCCGCCGAGAAGACCATTCGCCAGATCTTCCAGGACTGGCGTGACGAAGAGGAGCCCAAGCGCAAGGGCAGCCGTATTGACATGGATGTCCTTGATGAAGTCGTCGCTGGCATGATGGAGTACTTTGACAAGATGCTCGATAAACTCCTACTCTACCGCTATGAGCGACCTCAATTCCGCACACTTCGCAAGAAGACCCAGCACGAGTCCGGTCCCGGAAATGGTCCTGTCGATGTCTATGGTGCGGAGCACCTGATTCGTTTGTTCAGTATGTTTGCCCCCTCCCCCCTCTCCCTTCCCGCCCACCTCTATCCCTCTGTTATATCTTGCAATATGTGAACATTGCTAATTCCTTGAAGGCCTCCTCCCTGAACTCCTTGCCCAAACCAACATGGACCTGCAGTCCACCCAGCGCCTGCGTGAAGAACTCTCGAAATTCTCTCTCTGGCTGAGCAAGAACTCGGAAAAATATTTCCGCACAGAGTACGTCCCTGTCGAAGATACCTACGAGAAATCGCCCAAAGCCGCGAAGTCATCGCGTTAAATCATACATCTGTCGACGTTAATGGCATGGGGCCGCGGAGTATGGCTTGCAGTTGAGAGTGCGCTCGAAAAGGTTTCCCTGGCGACAGCTGTCTTCGCAATCAAGCATGTTCCCCTTTCACCTCACTTTTTCTCTTCTCTTCTCTTTTGTTTTTTTAATAGCTTCATTCGATATGTGAAGGTTTTTCTTCTCTGTTTTCATGTTTTTTATCCGGATAGGTTGGCTTTTTTAGCGAGTGGCTCTATGGGAAATAATCAATCACTATTGGTGCTCACTTTCTTCAAGTGGTACTCTTCCACATTTTGTACGAGTTATCTAGGAACCAGGTAGTCAAAGAAAGAAAGGTAAACAGTACCTATGCAATTTACCGAATATACTATTTCTACTGGATATCATGAACAATAACAGCCCTGGGGCAGGTACCTAACTGCCCTGTTTGCAATGGGTAACGCAGGTATGTAATCAACTAAACACCATCCATCCACCGACTAGCATCCACCCGGACCACCCAGTGTGCATCCATTCATCCCATTTTCCATGCAGATATGCACTCACTCCTACTACTAGTATATACCCTCATCCACCATATACCATACTACCACCCATTGCAAATGAACCTGAAATCCCACTGCCCTCATCCTCACCCTCACCCCCCAATCAAGAAACCAAATGCCGCGCATCATCAACAGCACACCGCGCTGCCCTCTTCAACTCCCCCTTCCAATCCGTCTCCCTCCACCTAATCCACGCATTCAAGCCCTCCGGCGGCTGAATACTAAGCGTATCATACCCCTGCTTAATAATCCGATGAACTTCACGCGGAGAAAGATTCTTCTTTTTAATCGACGGCAGTGCGACGGGGATTGGTTCACCGTCTGGTTTAGGGCTTGGGGTCACGGCCGCTGTCGCCGCTTGCTCGGTGCCATCGGATTGGAAGAGGAGGGCGTAGAAGTGCGTTGAGACGGATAGCAAAGTGTTGACTGCTGCCACGTGGATGCTATCCTGAGTTTGGGCGGTGGTGATTGGGGCAGCAGGTGTAGACGACTTAGATGGGGTTGAGGGGTAATAAAGGTCGCGGAATTTCGAAATAACGGGCCCGGTCTCGACGAGCTTGTAGAATAGATCGTCGTAGGAGGATGGGTCTGGTAGGAATGTGTCGCCTCCTGAGACGCAGAAGGCCATTAGCTCTGCGAGGGAGCTGGTTAGGGAGTGGATTTTCGGGTTGTTGGTTAGGTCATTTGCGTAGGTTGTTAGGAAGCGCATTAGGGAGAGGAGGGTACGCCATAGCTCGGACCAGTGATAATTCAGGCGGATTTTGTTGGTTGAGAGGTAGGAGAGGAGGCGGAGGGTTATGGCGATTGCTTGGCTGGGTGGAGGTGTTAGGTGGGTTCATAATGAGTTGGGCAGGCCCCTGGGTGTATAGTCATAGCTGTTACTTACCAGTACAAGTTCACGTCGAGTCGTCGGCGGAGATTGTGGGTGATCGTGTCTATCATGATGTCGAAAATTACCGTGGCGAGGACACGGTCTCCGCCGACGAGGGGGAGGAAAGGTTGTCTCTGCCTGCAGATTCGGACCTTTCGCTTTCCGTCGTCGTTGCAGATGTGTTTGCATAGAGTCGGGTCTTCGACCAGAATGCGGAGGGTGTAGAGGCTCAGTTCCGCGTAGTGAGAGACTCTCGTGGATCGGTAGGCATGCTGGAGGAGATAAGATGACAGCGAGAGGAAGCTCGAAAAAGGTGATTCATCGGTGTTTTTCTCCGGCTTCATGTGGACCATTTGGTAGCCGAAAAGCTTGTTAGAGTTGGTGAAGTCGTATGTCGCCAACAGGATGGCGGCTTCTTGGACGGGACTACTAGATTGTGAGTTGCATGATTCCAGATTCAGAGAGGGATGGTGTCTTACAGCTCGGCAAACATTCCCTTCGCCTCTTCGGCGGTTGGGGGGTTCGCCTTGTTGTGTGTGCCAGGAGTCAAAGCCCGGAGTCCAAAGAAAATCAGAGTATTTGTCAAGGACCAGCCTTCGGGGATGTCATCTTGCACGGCAATATAGCCATTGCGAAGGCCACCACATGCCAAGCCAACACCTTTGGCAATTTTTTGGATGCTCGCCTCGTTGACAAAATCGTCCAAGCGCAGCTGGTAGGGGTTCTGGAATTCAAACTTGTTATAGTTTGCCAGAAGGCCCAACAGAAGAAATGGATCGAACACTTCTAGAGCTGTTTCAGAGTCATTGACATACTGCAGACTATTAACATCTATTGCGTGATATGTAGCATTGCTTCGTGTAGCATACCTTCATCATGGACGGGAAGAGGTCCCTATGGGTGAAATAGGAGACGAGACTTGTCTTGTAGGCGCCACTGGTCATGGCAATGGCCACTCGAACGGCCTTCCGCCGCACCTCAACTAGTCAGATACCTAGGTCAGCTTTCTGTCTATCAAGTCAATTTACTCTTGAGGGAGAACCTACAGCTCGAGCCATTGCGAATGATGTTGTCCAGGACGGTCACAAACTCTGAAATGACCCGATCGACCTCATCGAGTCCAGCCAGAACAGTAATGACATCCGAGCTGGGATTTGTGTATTTCTTGCTCAAAATACTTGTCAAGAAAATGGTCAAGGTCTGAAAGTGATGTCAGCGATCTAACAGGAGCAGGTAAATGGTGCAGCTGGACACTCACATCCAATGCATAAGCATCGCTGGGAGCAGTATTAGAAGCTGCCTGACGGATAGCCCGCAAGAATATATGTCGAGTCTGGGTCTGTAAGGCTGAAATTAGCGTTGTGCACGGGTCCAACGATCGAACCGAAGCAAGGCACTAACCTGCAAGCCCAAGGTCTCATCAGGGCTCAACCCATCCAGTAGAGCATGCAATTGGACAGAGTCGGGTGGCAGAAGAAAAAACTCTCTCCAAAAGCCCTCTGAGGGCTCTTCGGCCTCATCGGCTGGCTAATACAGACATATTGATATCAGCGTTGGGCGGAGTTAAGGCTCACGTGGAGGGGCATACTTTGAAAAGCGTCTCATAAAGCTGGACAACCTTGGGCTGGAAGATCTCCGGTCGACTCTGCTGGGTGAGGGGCGAGGCCTCCATGGTCGAGAAATGATCTGCACCAGCAAACAATAATCAAATTGGATCACTGATGTTGGCCTTAGTTCTTTGAAGAGTTGTGTCGAGTCCGAGCAGCTTGGCACCAGCCACTTTGTCAGCGGGTCCAGCCACATGTCCTTTAGGAGTAGGCGAATGATCCTACTGGATTAGGGTGGAAGAGCTCTTAGGAAGAAGTGTAATGTAAATGATATATTTTCTATTTGGGGTCATTTCTTGATAGATCCACCTACTATCCTGACAATTGGTAGTATGTATCCTATAGTATACTTGCAAGTTTAGTTGGCTGTTTAGTTAGTGCTGTGTTCTGTGCTTGCCTTCCTCCGAGTGTCGGGGGATCCGCTCCAGCTGGAATGACTCAGCTGCCGATGGTCGGCTATGTGGTCATCGAAATGCATTACCATGTTGATCAAACAATCCGGATTGAATAATTATATCATAGAAAATACTGAAAAGAAAGGGACTATATTTAGGCAATTAAAGTCAACACCTGCTGACCCTGTTGACCTATTCATCTCATCAATAGACCCTGACTCACGCCATCACCGCGTGGCGCCACCAGCTGTCTTCAAATACCTCAACGCTGATTGGCCACTCCGGGTCATGCAACCTTAGTCATCTGAGCGACCCCGAGGGTGACCGTAGAACTCCTCAGAACTCCAGTTGTTGTTCACCCACAACTTTCTTCTCCCTTCCGGTCTCACCACAACATTGTCCCGAGCCAGCATTCCTATGCGTACATAACCGTCCCTATTGTCTCTCTCGACTCTTCGATCCCTTCTCTCTCCAACATCATGAGTTTTTGCACCAACATGCAGCGCCCAGTGACATCATCCGCCACTCTCCTCCGATGGCTCAAGCCCTCGGGCCAGCGCTGCAACGCTCTGCGCTCTTTCTCTTCCTATGGAAATGTCCACCAGTCCTCTAAGCGCGACATGCAAACCGCCACAGCCTATCGCCCACACACTCTACCTTCATCTTTCCCGATGCCTCGGAGCACAGGCGGTCCAGCCGAGGGCTCAATCTCAGCAGACTTTGCCTTCCCATCAGAATCCGCCCAGAAGTCTTCTCAATCAGAACACTCTCGAACAAACCTGCGAGAGACCGAGGCTCAGAAGCCCAAGCCAGCCACCACCGCCCCTCCGAAGACTTCCCCGAAACCCCGCCGACCACTCCGTGCCCGCAAGGCCGCCATGAAGTTAACCCCCATCGCTACAGAGCAGCTTCGCAAGTTGATGGCGCAGCCGGAACCAAAGTTCATTCGAGTGGGTGTGAAGAACCGCGGTTGCTCCGGTCTCGCCTATCACCTGGAGTACGTGGAGAAGCCGGGAAAGTTCGACGAAATCGTGGAACAAGACGGTGTGAAGGTTTTGATCGATAGCAAGGCTCTATTCAGTATCATTGGCAGTGAAATGGACTGGCAAGAAGATAAATTGAGCAGGAGATTCGTTTTCCGCAACCCCAACATCAGTGAGTTTTCCCCGGGAAAGACAACACCACACAACAATCTTTCAGGAGCCCATTCCGCCTTAGTCATTGCAATACTAACAATATCTTACAGAGGAGGAATGCGGCTGCGGAGAATCCTTCATGGTTTAAACGCTCCCTTCAAAACGATTTCTTATTCGATTACTTTCTCTCGGCGTCTCCCTTCGGTGCATCGGTCGGCGTTTTCTTTCTATCTATACGGTTTCTCAGGGTCGTGGCCGCTCTTTTGGTCGAGTACATACGCTTGATATCCAGTCGATACGTTCTTCTTTGTTTTTTTCCTTTGTCGTTTTATACCGATATCACCCCGTTCGATATTACCCCACTCGGTGCAGGGGATACGGGTTAAATCTGTGCTTTATACAGCTCTCATAGAGCCCGGCTGAATTGCGTTTCCATCGCTATTGATTATCAGTTGGCCGGAAATTCGCTTTTCATATGATGTGACACTAAATACTTGTACCATGGTATAGACTAGTCCAATAAACATGATTATGATTTGGAATTGATACTCCTTCCTGCTAAGTAGCCATATTGTCTAAACTGAGGCTAGTTTCACACTTGCCAATAATTTAATCAGTGGCATGACTCCAGGTACCCGAGTAGCATGACTATACCTACTAGTTCCACCCTAGTAATTTGCATTCAGCAAGATATGCAGAAACGCCTTCCAATCCAGGCACCAGGGCAACTAATGGGACTACTCAGCAGGTAAGACGACTGAATATATCACATTCAAGTTTTACCAACAGCAAATTATAATCAATTCAAACGAAAATACTCGAGTATCTTCAAACTGAAGCTCATCCGGTTCCTCTTCTTCCCCAACAGCAGCCTACTACGTCACATGATGGACCGGCGGCCTCGGCCAGCCTAACGCCGTTAGAGCCTCTCCGCAACAACCCCATCCCATCCAAGCTCTACAACTACCCCAATGAAACAAGATTAAAGAGACAAACTCGCAATGGCCCTGCCAACCTCCCTCGCCCCAAGCGAGGGACTTAACACCTTAAACCCACCCGACGCCCTCCTCCTAACCATCCGCTTCTCCGCCTCAATACCCGACCTCCCCCTCGACATCCAAACCCCAACGCAAACAACAGGCGCCGGCCTAAAACAACTCATAAGAGCCGATCTCCCACAAAATCTATCATCCCACAGACTCCGCCTCATCTACGCTGGCCGCGGTTTAGACGACCAAACCGCGCTCTCGACATCTCTCAAACTACCGCCTTCGCCAGCTCGCTCGCCACGCCCCGCAGAGGACTACTCAGAGCAACAGCAACAGCAACACGCTAGTAATAATCCCCGGGATCTAAGCGGTAGTCGCAATGCAATCGACAAGGGCAAACAGGCCGTCCGTGATTCTAGACCTAGAATCTACATCCACTGCTCGATTGGAGATATTGCGCTTTCGGACTCCGATCTCGAGGCTGAGGCTGCTATTGCTTCGACAACTCTGTTGCAGAAACAGAAGGATGAATTGATGAAACTCGGACCTAGACATGGGTCTTCGCTATTTCCTTCTACCGGTCCGGGGGGGCTTGGATGGCTCGGGCTTGGGCTCGGGCTCTTCCCAGCAAGCTACTGCTGCTTCTTCTGCTGCAACAGCACCGCCGACGACGACCACACCTGCCCCGCGCGGCTTCGACCGTCTCCTTTCAGCGGGATTCACAGCTTCAGAAGTAACGGCTCTGCGATCGCAATTTCTGGCCGTGCAGTCCGTGACCAGGACGCCGGATACGATGCCTTCTGGCGAGGAGTTGCGGGATTTAGAAGATCGGTGGATGGACGAGGGGAGTACGAGTGCCAATCTTGGAGGTGGGGATGGGGCTGGTGGTGGTGCTGCCGGGGGAGGGGGTGGATTTGGTGGAGATGAAGATGGTGGGTTGGGGACTGGGTCTAGGAGTGCGTGGGATGATATGCTTTGGGGCGCGGTTATGGGGTTCTTTTGGCCGGTTGGTTGTGCGATGTGGCTGAGGAGGGAGGAGGGGGTTTGGAGTTGGAGGAAGGGGGTTGCAGTCTTTGTGGGAGTGGTTATGAATGCGGCTTTTGGTGCGGCGAGGATTATGGGTTGATTGGTTGCGTTTCTCTACTAATATGTATGATGTTTGCTGGTTTACTGTTTGGTCTTTTGCGATATACCCTCTTCAAGTTTTTGGCATATTATTTTGAATCTCATGGATATAAACTACTACCTACGCCTGTGGCAATACTTGCTGTTCATGCCAGTGACGTCTGAAACTGAATAGTTGTATTGCTAATTGTAGTTTGTTGTGCTGTTTTATCGATTGAGTTACGGTTCTACCAGGTGGCTGTAGGGAAACTGGTCTTTGCATAATATCAAATATTCAATTACAAGGTTCAACATCTATGAACCAGACAAGGCATAGAAAGCCTTAGATACTGCGAGAAAAGGCTGTAGCATACAATATCCATGAAGAGGAAACAGAGAAAAAGAAAATCCCAAGCTAACGCCATAAAACCCCACCGCTAATGAAACTTGCTATAAATGACGGCGACAATAAGAAGAACAAGGACCGTAATGATAGCAATGGTGATTATCCGATTCGTAGCCATCCTGTCAGAGTTGGTCAGATTGGCACTTCAAACGAGCCCCAGAGCCATGGGGCGGGAGGAAATAAAGAAGGGGGATCATTACCTACGGGCCATGCCCCTCAAAGTCTTAATGCTGGTATCAACGTAGCCCTCACTCTGGTGCAGGTTATCGCGCGTATGCTGGATCGTCTGTCGCTGGACGTATAGATCGCCCAGGACGCCGCGCCCAATATCCTCCGTCTCCAGCGCCATGCGCTGACTATCCTGCAGTCGGGCAGAGCTGCGCTCTAGTCGGTCGGTTCCGGAGAGAAGTTGCTGGCGCTGCTCGACTTGCTCGTCTTGGGGATCGTCGGTGTATCGGTCGCCGAAGACTGCGCTGCGATCGTCGGTGAGTTCCTTCATCTTGCGCTTTATTTCGTCGATGTCGGTTGAGTAATTGCGGAAGCGCTGGTTCACTTTTGACCGGACTTCTGAGGGAATGTTTTGCTTCTCCATGCGCATTTGATCGAGCTGTTTTATGGTTTATTGCGTTAGTGGTTTGCTTTGTTCTCGAGAGTCTTGTTGCCTGCAGATGGTGATGCGGGGTTGAGGCCGGAGATAGTCTATCTGCAGGCGTACTGGAAGGACTCACCAATTCTGTTGCCTCGTCTAATACCTGCTCCGCTTGGCGAATTGCGTTTTTGCGCTCCTCGCCGCTGGCCTCGGTGATCTGGTCCAGTTTCTGGTTCAGATCAGCTTGTACAAGCTTCAGTTCGTTCTCGTAGCTGCCGAACATCTCGGAGCCCGCATCAGTGTCCAGGGGATTCGACATCTTGGAGGTTATGTCCTAGGGAATGTGCTTCGAAGAGAGTGTGTCTGTTGCGACGGTTTGCAGTGATGATGCTGTTCAACCGCAGGCTCCACTGTTATCTGGGGGTTGAGCTATTCCGCTGGGGCGAGTGGCGATCGTTCAAAGGTCTCGACCAGATTCGTATATTGCGAATGCGAGGATGAGTTCGCTCAGCCTGTAGGTAAATGCTTCACTGTCGCCGAATGTTGAAACAAGAGAGAATGTGATGAGGCAATGTACCGGAGGCTGGGGGATGTCGAATGGTGAAGGTCCCATCGGCCCACGTGATCTTCGCCGAGGCCGGGGGTGAGCAGTCGGTGGGGTTCGAGTATACTATTAGTAGTACGAGTACCTAAAAACAATAATTACAAATGCAAATCATGAGAAGATTGAGCTGTACTGATGAAAGCCCGATTCGACCTTCTCATCATCTACTAGGTGTCATTGTGCCTTTCTTAGAAAGTTCCTGCAGGCACACAACAGATCAGCAGACACAGACACACCCACAGCTGGTACCTGACAGCTCTACTTGAAACAACACCATTGGAGGTCAAATAAACCAGGTAACATCAGATAGCATTAGCATAAAATTCGAGGCCTACGCAAGAAAGATTCGCCTTTTCAATACACAAAAAGAATACCCCCATGGTATACATGACAAATCATGGAACTCCCTTCTTTTTCCCTTTGTCCAATATTCTCCATCTGTCCAGGTCGTCTAGAGAAGGAATTTGCTGGCATCCTGTTGGACGATCGCAGCGCTACGCTTCGCATCTAGGAACAGATCTTCACACTCAGCAACATCGGCCACCTCGATTCCACCAGGTCGCCCGTTAATGCGAGCAAGAATGCTGGCCGGAGTCAACAGTTGCAAAGCGTACCGCAGGGAAACCTTGCTACCGTGCTCGGCAACCTTGTCCAGCGCAGGTTCGGTGATGTTAAGGCCCTCCGTCTTCGCACGAAGTCGGATGATAGTCTTGATCTCTTCGGGGGCGTAGGGGTTGGTGGGGACGATCAGAAGGCGGGCAAGCAGGTCGGGGGGGGATACCGTGGGCGGCGCTGATCTCGTCGGTGCCGCGGATGACAGTGTGACCACGGTTGGATGCAAGAATGACAATAGGGGAGATGGTGGACTCGAGAGCGCGGTTCAGATATGTGAAGCACTCGATATCGAGCATGTGGACCTCATCAATGAAGAGCACACCAGGGACAAGCTCAGCCACACCCTGGTCGATATATCGGTTGACCACCTTGTTGATCTCTTGTCGCAGCTTGTCTGTGATCTCGGTCTTCTTGGGCTTCATCAGTTGGCCCATCATACTCATAACATCCTGTCCACCTTGCGGCCGGGCGTTGGCCATGTCCAGATCGTGGAGTGTGACATCTTGCACAATCTCCTTCTTCTTGTGAACCTCGCCCTTGGGAACGGGCACATACTCCTCCGCCTCCAGATCGAACTCGGTAGCATAGGCATCGGAACGACCAACGCGCTTGCACGCACCGGTGTTGGATTCGATATAGATGACATCTCCGACGGTGACGCGCTCCTTTTGGATAGCCTCGTAGATGCTAGGGTCCAGACGAAGCTTCTTAGTGCCCTTCGCGGACTTCAATCCAATTATCAGGTGGCTGATGGTGCGGCCGTAACCACCCAGTGGGTTCTCCGTCTCCTCGGGGGTGAGCTCGGTCACTTCACCCTCATAGACCTCCTTGGTTTCGCGAACGCGCAATCCTAGACCGTGTTAGCCCAATATACCCTCAATCTCCCGGTCTCCCGGGTAATATCCTATCAATCGCGTCGCGTACCAATTGCCCTTCGGAAGTTCTCCATCAAAGCCTCTGTCTTCTTGACCTCCGCAGAGTAGATCTCGCTACCGACGATCGGGCAGAAAGGAACCTTTGTTCCCAGCTCCTGTGATACAGCAAGAGCAAGTGCGGTCTTTCCGGTACCGGGGCCACCAGCAAGCAGGACTGCTCGGCCAGCCATCTTCTTAGCCTTGATAAGGTCGACTACCACGCCGCATGCCTGTCAAATGGAAGGTCTACCGTCAGCTCCGGTTTCGATCCAAAATCAAAAGAGAATGGGTTCACTCACCTCTCGGGCAGATGCTTGCCCGACGAATCCATCACCTGTAATCTCCGAAGTGCCATCAGAGCGCAAGCCCAACCCGCGGATATGGGTGTGCGCTGCGGTCCGGTTCTCGCGCGAGTTGCCCTTGACTTCACTGATCTGGACCATGATTGTAGAATGTGGCTTCGTAGCCACCGGTGTGGGAGGGGGGAGGGGACGAGGGTCAATGGGGACGAGAGAGAAGAATCGAAAGTAAAGATGAGCTTGTAAGAGATAAAAGAACCGGGTAATGCGATGATGGGGGCTCCGTCTCCGTGGTATCTCTTTGCTTCGTGAAATTCGCGAGCAAGGGATCTGCGCAGCCACTCACGGCGTCGCGCTGAAGGCGGTCAACACCTCCAATTTCTTCCATCCGCGCCCAAACCAGCTTCCCGTTGAATTGTGATATTGTGATACTCACCAACTGCTGTCGCCCTACACTCTCAATGGCAGCTATTCACTCTCGATCCGCCATGTCGGCCCCCCTTCTCCCTTTCCTCGGCCTTTCAAAGCCTCTCCCTTTCGACTCCGAAGCGTTCCTTCTCCACCACATTGGCTCCCATGGCCAATAAGCCTCTCGCCGAGCATATCCCACCCTACCCTTATGGCGCCAGGCAATGGTACAAGCAGGCCGACACTGGTCTCTACGGTGGCTCCATGATCCGTTTCGGTAACAAGATTTCCGACGGTCGCAACAAGGGCAAGACGCGCCGTAGCTGGAAGCCCAACGTCCGCCGCAAGAAGATGTACAGCGATGCCCTCGACCAACACCTGTTCATCAAGGTGACCCGCAAGGCGCTCCGCACAATTGAGAAGGAAGGCAGTCTCGACAAGTACCTCCTGGGAAATGGACCCGGCCGCATCAGAGAGCTCGGCATGTTCGGATGGAATCTCCGGTACCAGATTATGCAAACCCCCAAGATCCAAGAACAATTCCAAGAAGAACGACAGAAGCTGGGACTCTCCGAGCCAAAGTCCTTTGAAGAGTGGATTAAGGAGAGGGAGGACGAGGTTGAAGCGAAGATTCAAGAGCGACTCAATATCAAGAAGGTCACGACACCGCGCCGGAAGGGCCAGGCCGATCCCCAGAGGATTGCTCAGCGATCTTTGGAGTGATCGTATCGTTTATTGATTTGATTGAGATACCTCGGTGTCTTTTGTTTTTGTTTTTCCCCCCTTTTTGGTTGGTATCCTGCATTGGTCAGGATGCTTTGGACAAGCGCTCCTCCTATTGTACCATTATCGCAACGAACCCGTTGACGCGATTGAGCATCTCTTTTACGCCAAGTCACCCAGCAATGTTTCTCTGCCAGCACCATGATATCAGGAGACTCAGCTGGGTTTTTACTGGGCTTGCATATTAAATTTTCTGTATTTATACTCCAATCACATCTACATTGTTACAATCTGAGTTGTCTGTGGCTGTTCTTCGAATTCTACACGTAGCCAAGTTGTCTGGGTGTAATAGACTGGATTTTATAATGAAATTGAAAGATCCATTGGTAAACAATCCTGGAGGCGCCACGTGCTCGACGGTGGAAAATGTAAGGATCTTTCAAGTTCCCTTAAAGTATGGTGGTACTCTTCCCGAGGTCTTAATAACGGTGCAACATATATATATCCGATGCTTAGGACGTAGTACCCACCCAGACTACTAGAATATTGCGAACCGGCAATTGATCCCTTGAACGGAGGTAATTTCCAGGTAGAAAACAAAACAAACCTATGATTTGTCGATCTCTTATCTTTCGCAATCGAGTGCTAACTCGAAACGGGCAATGCTGGTGAAGGACGAGAAGTCGTTGGAATGCGCAGGCAGAGACATGGCCGGATTCGGAGATTCGGCGGAACCCTGCGAACATTGGAACTTGCACACTGGAACATCCAACCTCGTCATTGAAACCACTCACTTACGGAAACTCGCTCGGTCTAATTCAAGTTCCCCTGTGAAGCATTTGTTCGACGGCCTTTGTAAGATGGTCTGATTTATTCCGTCCCATCTCATTCCCATTCAGCAACACAGCGCTGGGTATCACCTCTCGCCATGCAGTTCGCTCTACCTCCGCGGAGTCCCCATCCTCTCCCTAGCGCCCGATCGACTCGATTGCCATACTACCGCAAGAAACAGCTGAAGACTGTCGCTGTCGCTGCGATCGCAATTGCCACGATCCTCTATCTCCTCTCCTACTTTACCTCTTCAAGCTCGACATCTGCTGTGACCGCGCCGGCTAGCACTTCAGGCGTTGTGATCGTCACAGTTCTGGATCGTAAAGTGCTGAGTGAGAGCTTCATTAAGAAGATCGTGACCAATCGCGAAGATTATGCAAAGCGTCATGGTAAGCTTCTACATGGTCAAATCCATCGCGCAAAGCTTTAAGTTTATTTGCTTGCTAACCTTGTTGCCCTTGTCTTGTCTTACAGGGTATACGAATTTCTTCGCAAGCACATCCGACTACGAGGAAACCATCGGCGACTCACCCCGAAGCTGGGCTACACTCCCCGCCGTCCGACATGCCCTTGCTAAAAACCCAAGCTCAAAATACTTCTTCCACCTCAGCGCCCATGCGCTGATAATGAACCCGACCAAGTCGCTCAAGTCACACTTGTTAGATCGGAGCAAACTAGAATCGCTCATGATGAAGGACGTATCCGTCGTCCCGCCAGACAGCATTATCAAAACATTCTCGCATCTCAAGGAGAAAGATGTGGACCTGATTGTTACCCGGGATGGCGAGGATCTCAGTCCTGGCAGCTTCATCCTCAAGAATGGCGATTTTGCTCGCTATTTTCTCGATCTCTGGTTTGATCCGCTATATCGCAGCTATGGATTTGCAAAGGCCGAGACGCATGGATTGGTATGATTGAAACTTCCCCTGATAAACGCGCGCTGGACTGCCCGGAGCGGCAGGGAGGGATCGATTGATATAGTTGACTAACACACATCTTCTAGGATCATATCATTCAATGGCATCCGACAGTTCTCGCCCGAACGGCTCTGGTTCCGCAACGCGTTTTGAATGCTTACAGCAAAGACTCGTCTGGCGCAGAAGCAGATGGGACTTACAAGGATGGCGATCTCGTCCTTCGTTTCCCTGGATGCGAAGCTAAAGGCGGCGATTGCGACGAACTGAATCCGTATTACATGCTCTGGCAGAAGAAGGCGAAAAATGGTTGATTTCTGTTCTGGGATGACTTGCACCGGTGGGGTGCATCAGTTATGATTATCATCTGGCTTGGAGTTCTTGGTCTTCTCGGTAATAGTTCACATATAGCGTGGTTAGTTCTCTTCTACTTTTGGAGTGCATACGGTCGGCCCTAAGGAAACATGGTCATTATTTTCTACATATGCTCAGTAATAGAATGCAGTGTCTACTTTATACTATTTTTGAAGCTTTGCTTTGATGTCTCCAGAGCCTCTAGCAGCTAACTAGAGGGTATCGTTACTAATTGGGAGAGCTGGATAAAGCCACTACATACTTGAGTTGGCATGTTTTTTACCGCTGGCCATGTAGAATATCTCTTAAAGATGAAGGTAAATTTGTTCAATTACTAAGAAACCATTAATGAAGACAAAATGCCTTCGGGCATATTTCCCCCATTTTATTTGCTCAATAACAGAATGTATGCGTTATCGTCGCGTTCCCATCATTTCTTTCACTGATTTTCGTCCGAAGGGCCCGCAGTAGAATATTTAAACCACTTTTTATTTGAATACGGCAGATAATAGTATGCCGATGGAGTCGAATAGACGTGGGTCATGGTTGTGTTGTTTTGGGCATTTCAGCCCGACTCACCAAGTCAATCGTGATTTCTGCCCATAAGCCTTTTATAGAATAGGGCAGGGTACATCAATCCCTTAACAGATACCAGCCAGCAGGACAGTGCGCTTCTTCTTATACTTATCGCCAAAGTCCTTACGGTAGCGCTTCTCCTTCTTCCAGGCCCAGCTCCACATCTGCAAACCACCGACGAGAGTGAAGATAATCACACTCCAGTTCAACTGGCTAGCGAGCCAGATACCCAACCAAGCAATGATCTCAAACATATAGTTGGGGCAGGTGACCATGTTGAATCCAAAGCCCTGGGGAATGCCACGCTCGGTAGTACCCGGGCGACGAAGGCCGCGCAGAATCAGGTGGGCATTGAAGTTAAAGATCTCGCCAAAAGCGAATAGGGTCAGACCGGCATATTGCAGGAGCGGGCTAGGCTCGGAGGTGGCGGCGACTGAGTCAGGGCGGAAGACCCAGTAGGCGATGTTGAATCCGGCAAGGGCCCAGTAGTGCGCGCTGTTCTTAAAGATGTTTCGGGCGGGCATGGTGGCGTTGCTGAAGCGGTGCACGAAGATTGTTTCATACTCGCGCTTGAGGAAGTGCAGAGTTAGGAGGGCGCAGACTAGGAGTTGGGTGTCGGAGGGAGCGGGGATGGTGTCGAAGTTGAAGTAGAGTAGCGGACGGAGGGGGAAGAGGAAGAGTGCGGGAATCAGGAGCGGACCAAGGTACTCGATGATAAAGACGGTGCGCCAGGCGATTTGGGGTCCTGTTGGATGCTTGTTAGAACGCGTTTCTTGAGCTGCAGGGTGGCGGCTGTGGACATGTCCGTATGCCCCGCCGCCATTGCATCGACATCAGTTCAAGCAACGCTTGTAGGTGGCGTACCTAGATCCTTGATATGGATCACGCTGGACTCCCGGAGACCGGTCTCATCAATGGTTGTGTCCTTGGCGTTGGGGACGACGCTGCGGTCACTTCCCTTGGTGATTCGCAGACGGTGGACGGAGGAACCGGAGACATCGGCGATCATGTTATGCAGATCTTCACCAGAGGCATCGAGTGCAATGGTGAGAGTCTTGGGGAGCCTCCGGATGGGCTTGCCTGTTCATTGTCAGTGTTTTGAAGACTTGTTGGGATTATCCCCTAAAGCTAGGACTTGTGATGGTGGGGAGCTGTGTATGCTTACCCCGAGGCTCCACAGTGAGAGTGATCTTGGCCATTGTGTGCTGACAAGCTCCAATTCAGAAGCTGGAGATGTTTCAGGCGAATTGAGGGGACCTGATGAACTTGTTGGGGTCACGCGAAGCATCGAGAAATTGTTGGTGATCGCCTTGGACGACCTCGGCATCCGCAAGGTCACGTGGTATAAACACCTGAGGCATGAACACCGGGTCTCTAGCCTCCATTTGAGAAGAGCAGAGCAGAACAGAACACAATACAATACACTCCGACATACCCCTGGAAGATGTCGTTTCGAATTATTTCGAGTCAGCTGTATGAGACGATTCTACTTGGCAGCGGCTAAGAAATACGAAGGTCACTTCGACGGTTTTGCAGTAATGCAAGCCTCATTTCATACTACAGATATACCATCAGCACGCTAAACGGGCCGTCTCGTCAGCTATGACAATGTCCGTTTGTACATTCGCTGATTCGACCCTAGGCTCCATCAGCCAAATTTGGGGCCGTTCCCAGCTGCACCTCCATAAGCGATGCAATCCGGACAAGCTGAATGGTCTTCTACCTCGGGGATTGCCCTGCAAGGCCCGATCGGATTCGTGGAGAGACCCGGAAGCCCGGGTTGAACGGACACCCCTGCAGAGACGGCCTACGATTTGGGGCCAAAATCCACTGTTCGTTGCCTGGATCAATTTCTGAGACCCGGTCGGATATCAGCTCACTTGAGCAAACGGCGCGGCTGTGCAGCTGTGCATCATCGGCTAGTCTGCCCGAATGATGGAACCAATCAGCTCCCCTAAACCCACAGTCCTCCGGTCTGACTATGGCCCAGATCTCTGGCAAGAAAGAATACTGGGAGATTTTATGAGTCTATATTCTTCTGACCTGCATCTTAATGCAGCCCGTGCTATGAAAAAAAAGAATGACAATACATTATGAAATGCTCGGATTACTTGACTGCGGGGCCAGTTGCAGATCGCCACTGGATAAGCTGGCCTGTCATTGTGCCAATGACAGCTTAGGCCAACTGCCCCATTCCTTCAGGCCTGCCACGGACACCATCTGGACTTGGCCGCGACGAGGGTTCCTGGATTGAAACCTCTTACATTGTAGGCCTTAACCAATACGAGGCCTTTTTCTTGACCGAACTTTAAACGGCTTCGTGGAAAAAAGCAGAGGGGGTATTATAGGAATTTCTGTCCTCACAAGCGATTCGACGCACGAATAAGGAGTGCCCCATTGTTCACATTGCGGTGGGGCACCCGGTCGTCTGTCTTTTCCCATGCAAACACCAAGGCGCACAGCTGGGTGGTTAGGGTTGTGGCGCTAGATGACAGACCATCACCGAATCAAGCCAAGTCTCTAAAAAACTATGGACTCATTAGCCTGGGTACGGCTGAACAGCCCCAGCCGTATTTGCCTAGTCGTGTTGCCCTCGGATTACGCCGCTGGAAGCCTATAATTGCCCCAATACCCTCCGATGTGTCCTCATGATGGTAAATTTCTTCTTTTAACAATATTCCGTGCTGTACTTGTTGAACCGCGATTGTTTTTGATTTCCCCCTTGGTTCCTTGTACACAGTTGGTCTGAAGACCATTGCTCTATACGGACATCCTCGGCTCCACGCTATTGTTCTTTGAGTTGGTATGACGACTCCTTGCTATTCTCATTAGTTACCCTTTAGCCCCGGCGACCCTACCCCTCCTCAAGGATGGACAAAACTCCAAACCTCGAACCCCGGATAAATTAGAATTTCGTTTTCTTTCTGATATTTAACTCACCAGCTAACGCCTTCTTCTACAGCTTGAGTACTCTATCTTTTTTTATTTGTATAATTATCCACTACTTCCATGATGTCTGAGAACAACAACGGAACTGCCAATGGCAGAGAAAACCCAATTGAAAAGATTGAAAAAGTGGTTGAGGCATCCCTGAGGCCGTTGCCCACTGAAACCGGCGATGGTACCTATATTCAAAGCAAGAAGATGACTGGATTTGCCAAGGACTTGAAACACATCGATTTGAATGATGTGAAGACGCTCGCCGAGGTTGCGAAAAGCGCAGTTAGCGGAGATCCCCTTAACGACAGAGACTATGTTATGGAGGGAATTGTTCAGGTTTGTTTTCTGTGGACGACTTTTTGAGTATTCCATTCTCACATCTGCCTAGCTTGCGGCCGACTTGCCTGCGACATCTCGGGCTGGAAAGGGATTAACAAATACTTTCCTCAGTACACTTTGGAACGATTTGGAACACCCGCCAAGATCGTGAGTCTAGTCCTCTCTTCTACGTCATTGATGCTTTACAAGGCGTGGTACTGAGTACTAATTTTCTTGACGTGGAAAGGTATCTCGGCCGTGATGCTCTTTATCGCAGCGCCGATGGCTCAGGAAATGTATGATTTACCATATGACGCTGCCGGTAGAATTACCTTACTAACACAACCAGAATGTCTTTTGGCCAAAACTAGGTGCTGCAGGCACTGCATATGCTCGATCCGTTAGACCAGTAACTGTTCAGTCGGCTTCTCTTCCGGAGCCAGAGACTCTTTTCGACAGTCTGCTAGCCCGAAAGAGCTTCAAGGAACACCCGAATAAGATATCTAGCACTCTGTTTTATCTTGCGTCTATCATCATTCACGGTAAGAGAAAGCTCGCAAACCAGCCCCAATTGCAATCCAATTCATCGGACCAAGCTGACAACTAGGAGACCTTTTCCAGACGGATCGGAAGGACAGCTCAATCTCAAACACCTCTTCATATCTGGACCTGTCCCCCCTTTATGGTAATAACCAGGAAGAACAGAATCTCGTGAGAACTTTCCAGGATGGAAAGCTCAAGCCTGACTGTTTCTCCACCAAGCGAATTCTGGGCTTCCCTCCCGGAGTTGGCGTCATGCTCATCATGTTTAACCGCTTCCACAACTACGTGGTGACGCAGCTGGCAGAAATCAATGAAGGTGGTCGCTTCACGAAGCCCGACGAGTCCAACTCCAAAGCTTATGCCACATGGGATAATGACCTTTTCCAGACCGCCCGTCTTGTCACCTGCGGTCTATACGTTAACATCATCCTGAAGGATTACGTGCGAACGATTCTTAATCTAAACCGTACCAATAGTGCATGGAGTTTGGACCCTAGATCAGACATGAAGGATAGCCTGCTGGGTGATGCTGCTGCGGAGGCCACCGGAAACCAAGTGTCTGCCGAGTTCAACCTTGTCTATCGATGGCATTCATGTGTCTCTGCCCGTGACCAGAAATGGTCGGAGGGCTTGTACGAGGAGATATTTGCGGGACAGAATCCTAATGATATCAGCCTACAGCAGTTTGCTATGGGGCTCGGCCACTGGGAAGCAAAACTCCCTACCGACCCCGTTGAGCGCCCATTTGCCAAGCTGCAGCGTACTGCCGATGGCACCTTTGATGATGACGACCTGGTTCAGATTTTCGAACAGGGAGTTGAAGACGTGGCCGGAGCTTTTGGGGCTTCCAATGTGCCTGCTATTTTCAAGAGCATTGAAGTACTCGGGATGAAACAGGCTCGGTCTTGGAACCTGGCAACCCTGAACGAATTCCGTACTTTCTTCAACTTGACTCCTCACAAAACCTTTGAGGATATCAACTCGGACCCCTATATTGCCGATCAACTCAGACACCTTTATGACCACCCTGATCTCGTGGAGATGTACCCCGGGTTGATCGTCGAAGATGCTAAAGAGCCAGTGGTCCCTGGCAGTGGCTTGTGTACCAATTATACTACTTCCCGGGCCATTCTCTCCGATGCCGTTGCCCTAGTCCGCGGCGATCGCTATTACACAGTTGACTTTACCCCGAAGAACCTCACGAATTGGGCCTATAATGAGATCAACTATGACACCTCTGTTGACCATGGCCATGTCTTCTACAAGCTCGCTTTGAGGGCATTTCCCAACCATATCCGCGGAGACTCGGTATATGCGCATTTCCCGATGGTGGTTCCCAGCGAAAACAAAAAGATCCTGACAAGCCTTGGACTTGGAAGCACATACAGCTTTGACCGGCCTACTTTTCGACCTACCCCCCGCTTCATCAACTCCCAGGCCGCCTGCAAGTCGGTCCTTGCTAACCCCGATACCTTCAAGGTAACGTGGGGCAAGAAGCTCGAGTTTATCCTGCACCGCGATGGCCAATCATTTGGCCGAGACTTTATGCTCTCGGGTGATCGTCCGCCAAACGCAGCGTCCCGGAAAATGATTGGCAATGCCCTGTACCGAGACAAATGGGACTCGGAAGTACGCTCCTTCTACGAAGATATCACCCTACAACTGCTGAAAAAACACTCGTACAAAATCGCTGGAGTGAACCAGGTCGATATCTCCCGCGACGTGTCCAATCTAGCCCAGATCAATTTCTGCGCCAATATCTTTTCGCTCTCGATGAAGACTGAGTCTAATCCCCGAGGCGTTTTCAGCGAAATGGAGCTTTACCAGATCATGGCTCTGGTCTTCACGTGTATTTTCTATGACGTTGATGTTGCAAAGTCCTTCCAGCTTGAGCAAGCTTCCCGCCAGGTTGCACAGCAGCTTGGTGAACTGGTGATGGCGAACGTCGAGCTTGTCGATAAGGCTGGGTTCATTGCCAATATTGTGAATCGCCTCCATCGTCATGATACCTTGAGTGACTATGGTGTCCACATGATCCAGCGCCTGTTGGACAGTGGACTGCCGCCCAAGGAGATTGTCTGGACGCACATTCTTCCATCGGCTAGCTCTATGGTTGCCAATCAGGCGCAGCTATTCGTTCAGTGCTTGGACTTTTATCTGGAGAAAGAGAATGCTGCTCACTTGGCTGAGATCCAGCGGCTGTCGAAGGACCATAGCCCTGAATCCGATGAGTTGCTTCTACGATAGTGAGTTTTGATCATGGCTGAATTGTCTTTGCAGTTGTCGTTTTGCTAACTAACACTCTTTGTACTAGTTTCATGGAAGGTGCCCGGATCCGATCATCGGTGGCATTGCCGCGAGAAGTCGCCAAGCCAACCGTCATCGAAGACAACGGGGAGAAAGTGACGCTGAAAACCGGACAGAATATTTATTGCAATTTGGTAAGTCGAGCCATTGTGTTGTATTCCCTATTCCCAGGTGCTAATTTGGCCTTTTCAATGTAGGTGGCTGCCAGTCATGATGCCAAGGCGTTCCCGGACCCCGAACAGGTTCGATTGGATCGGGATCTGGATGAGTATATTCATTTCGGATTTGGTCCGCACAAGTGTCTTGGGATGGATGTTTGTCAAGTGGCCCTGCCAACTATGCTCCGAGTTGTGGGACAATTGGAGAATCTCCGTCGCACCCCGGGTCCTCAGGGTCAACTCAAGAAGATTCCCGCGCTGGGTGGAATTACCATGTATATGAACGCAGAGCAGAGCGGTTTCTCGCCGTATCCGTCGACGCTGAAGGTCCAGTGGGACGGAGAGTTGCCCAGGGCGAAATATTCGTGAAGGGTGAAGGAGAGAGAGGGGGGGGGGGGGTGAGAGGATGGTATTGAAAGGGCCGATATTTGATGTATTTCTTTGATGAGAGAGGGGATTTTCTTTTATGTGAAAATGAAAATTAAATTGTTCTATGGTTATTGCCGAAATGTAAGATTCCAAGCTACTAGAAGCATACTATTATACTAATAATACCATGTAATTTTATTGTATTCTTTCTGATAGTTAGCAGTGTGATCCTCCGCCGGTTTCTAATAAGAAGCTGACCCCCCCCCACGAGCGGGATTAGACGAATTTACAAAGTACGCTTCACCGATAATTAAAAATTAAATCAGAAATCTCAAAGTAAAGCATAGTTTGCTACTAAAGTATTCATGCCCAAGTATGCCTTAGTGCCTGAGCCCGTCGCGGGGAATCCAACGTAGTCGCAGTCCGCAGTCCCGCTCTCACCTGCAGTGCCTGCCAGTCCAGCTCTGCTCTGCTTTACAGCTCAGGTTCTTCTTTCACCTTCTCTTCCTCCACTGCATCCCCCCTCCTCTTCCTTCTTTCTTCCACACCACCTCCCCCCCAACCTCCCATCATTCTGTTCTCTATTTTCTCGACTTTTTGCCTTTGATCGCTTTTCGATTGTCATCACCCCAGGGCCAAACGACCTGCACCCGTTTTCTCTGGTCCGTTTTGACTGCAACCCATACCTCTATCTTCCATCCAGCCTGAGCTATTTCTGATTCCTCACAGCTCGATTTGATTGTCGATTACTTCTTCCTCTATTCCGACCGACCTGAAATCTTCACCTGCCATACGATTCGCGCGTTCCCACGACCCCAAATCGACTCAGTTTTCGCGCGGCCGGAGAAGAGGATCCCAAAAACGTCATAAGGCACCCTCGCGCTTGTTCCGCGACCCGGTTGTCTCGACCTCCCCACTCCACCCTCGAGGAGGCTCCTCTCCTGGATTTTCAACGCCTCCTCATGGTTGGCTGTCCTTCTGATCGTCAACATGGGGAGAATTAAGAAGGTGGCTAGCCGCAAGCATGAGGCTACAATCGTATGTTCCCCGTTCCGTGACAAAAGAGTTGATCGATCCACGCCCTTCGGAAGCCTCCTCCCCCCGTCTGCATTCCGACTAAAATTTTTTCTACTTGCTATAGTCACCTTTTCTTGAAGAATTTATCGGGAAATCAATAAATCTCCCTATCCCAGAGCTTCCTGCACACCTGAGCTCGTTCCCCCGGCTATGGCCCTTTCCTCGCGGCGACCTTTACCACTGGATCACAGTTCTAGACCGCTTCGATGAAATTCTGGCCTCCGTCATCGAAAAATACTTCCTAAACACCGGCCCACAGACTCAATCATTCGGAAGGAGTGTCCTGGAAGAGTCATATGCTGCCGATCCGAGCAAGAAACCGGCGGAGGGCATTGATGCCAAACTGAATAACCTTGGGTATGGCCCGGAGGGAGACAAGGAGCTCGTGGAGGCGATATTGAATTTCTCGCGCCTTCTACTCGAGAAATGCGGCAACCGCAGCCTCTACAATAGTAGCGAGCGACTAGGCGACCTTTTGAATACCACATCACTGTCTCTTCTCCAATCCACCTTACGTCTGGCATTATGTCTAGCCCAGAGATACCACTCGCGTCAAAGGGGTCATCAACAGCAGACTATGCTGGCGACACACTACAATATTGACTTGGAGAAACTGCAAAAGATCGCTGCACCGTTCCCTCGCCCGTTTGTCACAAGTCAAACTCCGTTCGCCGATTCTCCTGCTGTTGGCGGCAAAACCAAGGAAAAGACTCCCCCGACCTCGACCAAGTTGAATGCGAATGAGTTGGTTTCGCTTGTGCGCGATGAAAATGGCTGGGAAGAATGGGGCAATCTTCGCGTGCTTTACTACCCCACTGGCAACTCTGAACAGATGAGAACAACATCCGACTTTGGTAGGGGCGAGCAAGATCCCAGCACTCCGTCCACGCCAACCCCACTGCGTCGGAGTGCAACACATCCTACTCCACGTCTAAGCCGCGGCTCGAATGTAGATGAGGCCCCAGTCCCCGTGCCTAATACTGGCGGCGGTGGTGGTGCTAAGACCGAGGAACCATCTCGAAACGGCAAAATCTTGGATCTCACGTACTCCAAAATCTCATCAGCGAAAACGGAAGATATAATCGCCTCCAATGCACCGAATTTGCCCGTGGAAGCAAAGTACGAGCTTCTTCATAAACTCCGTGTGGCCCAAGCCTTGTCTACATCGCGGGAAACTCGCGAGCAGATCCTGTCGATTCGTATCTTGGCCGTGACCAATCTGGCCTATGTCCAGACCGAGTCTGCATTCCAACACAAGATCCTGCAGTACGATATGGAACAGTCGAAACGCCTTCAATTGACCTACCAGCTTGCGGAGATTGTTCACCTTGGCGCTAGTGGCGACCTTACGGTTTCGAGAACATTGCAAACATTGGCAATCCAAGCCCTTGATGCCTTGGCGAAACACAAATCTCGTGCCATCGATGTTTGTGCTGCTTTGAGCGTCAATGTCAACCATGGTGTGTTGATGTTCCTTACTCGCAAAGTGGTAAATGAGCTGGGCGCAGAGGATGATGGAACCGATGATTCTTTCCACGACGAATGGCGGGATGCACTGCTTGCTCTTCTGCGGACGCTTCCCAGTTCGAGCTCCCGCACTCCAGAGACACTGGTCGCGGCTGGTTTGATTCCAATGTTTGTTGATATTCTCAACCTCCGCACTAGCAAATCTCGCCGGGTCTACTCGCGAATTATGGAATTCCTGGACACTTTTGTGCACGCCGTTCGCGATGCTCTTGGTACACTCACTGCTGCCAAGGGCTTCGATGCCATCTCTGACCTGATTGACCATGAGACCAAGACAGCATTTGAGAATGTTTCTAGTGGAACTGGGTTCCCGGACCAGTATAAGAATCCCTCCATCGATTATCAGATCCCCTATTTCCAGCAGCAAACCCTCCGGTGGATGTTCCGCTTTGTCAACCACATCATGCAGCATAATGGTGGAGGTTTCGATCGAGTCCTGCGCAACCTGATCGACTCACCCCAATTGTTGACCTCCTTGAGATTGGTCTTTGAGAATGCTCGGATTTTCGGTTCCCACGTCTGGAGCAATGCTGTCAATATTCTTAGCAGTTTCATCCACAATGAGCCCACTAGTTATGCGGTCATTGCCGAAGCTGGACTGAGCAAGAGTTTGCTTGCGGCTGTGATGGGGCGTGAGCTCCAGGCTGAGGAAAAGCCACCCGCTATAGAACCTGAAGATGCCGGCACTGAGGCGACGCCGTCAGCACCTGCAGCCGTTGCTGAGCCTACTCCGGCAGAGGTGAAAAAGACAGCAGGCCGTGAGTATGTTCTTGCGCGGCCCCGAAACACTCCTCTCGCCCCCGGAATCATCGCTGCTGCCGATGCGCTGGCTTGTATTCCCGCGGCATTCGGAGCCATTTGCCTGAACTCATCTGGCTTGGATCTATTCCAGTCTTCCGACGCTCTCGAAAGCTTCTTCGAGATCTTCGAGAACCCCGAACACATCAAATGTCTGAAAGAAGACCCCAATCTGATCCGTTCCCTTGGTACAACCTTTGACGAGCTTATTCGTCACCACCCTGCTTTGAAGACATCAATCATGTCCGCCGTTATTGTGATGGCTGCTCGTGTCAATATACTTGGTCGAGTTAAGGCTTGGGAGTTGGGCCTGGGTACAAAGTTATGGACTCAGGATTCACAGGGCCAGTCTGTTCTTTCTGGAGATATCGCCTCTTTGTTCCGAGACATCGGCGTGGCTGTCGATGCGTCGGTAGAAAACCCCCGCTTCCTCGGTATACATTCTCTGAATTCCGTTGCCCTGCCAAACGGTGGAAAGCTCAGTTATGGTGCTCTAGAAAGCCTGCTTCCCTCGCCAGATGCCAGCTTCGAGCCCAAAGACTATGATGAGCATGGTCTAACACTCACGGACTATATATTCCCTGCTATTCGTTTCCTTGGTGCCTTTTTTGAAAACCAGCCGAATTGCACAGCCTTCATCCAGGCCGGAGGATCGGAGTTTGTCCTTGACTATGCTACCCTCCAGGGGATGTCCTTCCACTTCCACGGTACAGATGCTAACCAAGAACTGACGGTCCTTGTCCATATGCTCGCCGAGACAAAACCACACCTGATCATTCCTTCCTTGATGGACCGCGCGCAACTTGCAGTGAACAATCTTTCGGCCTTCTCCACATCCCCCAATCCTTCTGGATTTTTCACTGCACTGGCCAAGCCCAATGACCCGAAGGAGCCGATCACAGAGCCTACACTCGCCGCTCAGCATGGCACATTCTTCGCCAAGCATCTGAATGCTGTTCTGATACTGACGGATCTTCTGCGTGAGGTTTTCGCCTTGCCGCTATATCAGACCCGATCGGTTAACCAAACTGCCCCCTTCGCTCAAGTCAATCTTGCCGATCGTTATTGTACATTGGTTGCTTCTCTTGGTGATCTCCAAGCAGCATGTGTCTGGGAAGAAATCATGCTGGAAAAGAACATACCCGAGAAATGGGTACAGTCAACTGGTGTTCCTACCGACCGTACCGACCGGAATACAAAGAACCTTCCACCTGCTCAACAAGCCACGGATTCTGCAACTGCAACCTCGCGCGAAGGAACGGCAGTTGCGGAGAGCAGCAAGACTCCTGCCCCCGAAAAGACCGCGGATGATGCTAAGGTAGACGAGGAGACCCCAGCTTTCAAGAATGTCCAAGCCCTTCGATATCTCTTGAGCGGCCTGCCATCTTCTGTCACTGGATTTTTCCACAATCTTGGACTCAGTCTGATCACCAAGAGGCGACCTACTACCGATCAAAAAGCGAAACAGAATGCCACAATGGTTGCTGATGCTATTGCGGAGTCTGTTCTTCGACAGCTTCAGTTGGCTGCTGCAAACTCTTCTGACAGCCCGAGACATCGGTTCGCGTATCTCATTGTTACCCTTTCCTCGTTCTCGCATCTTCTGTACGAGGTTTCCAATGAGCGTCCCCAGTCAAACTACTTGACAATGGTCCTCGTGGCTTTCAAGCGACAAAATGGTCTGAATGTTCTCAAGGAGATTAGCCAAATGTTCATGCGTGAAATCCAGTCCCTCAAGCCTTCGGAATATGCGCCTTATACCGATAAGAAGGTGCCCGACGAGCTCACTTCTGCCTACGGTGGAATCAAGATTATCCTTGCTCTATTTTCGGAACTCGCGGGAGGAAAGAGCATCGTAGACTCCAGCCAGACACAGGCCTTGACCAGTCATCAAGACCGTGATCGTGGCAGCCCTGATTACTTCCAACCAGGTCAATTCATCGTCGATCTTCGCATGCAGATTCTACCCATGGCCCAGGAGATGTGGAATTCCGAATTCGCGACTCAGTCCGAAAGTTCGGTCATCAAGTGCCTTGTTGATATTCTCCGGTCATCTCTGGATGGAGAGTACGAAAACGGAGCTGCTCACGAGGCAGATACTCAGCCCCTTCTGACAGAGACGACTCGCCGTGCATTTGTGGTCAGCAAAGAACGTGCTGCTTCTCTGGTTGAAAAGGGATATAATGACAATGAACTGAACAAGGAGGCCCTCTATCGCTGCAACAATGCCCTCGTCAGTGCGGAAGAATACTGCAAGGCACAGAACTGGCTTCGGGCTCCGCCAAGACTCCCTCCGGGCCCTAACGATATTCAAACTGGTCACTCTGACACTGCTTCTGGCGGGGAAGGTGCCGATGAACCTGTTGGCCCAGATGGGACGCCGTTCAACGGTGGCGGTTTCCTTGAGCGATCTGGTCTTGCGATGCTTTTGGCCCAGGCTACAGGACGACCTGTTGATGACCCGATGAACCCCGAGCAAGAAGACGGACGGGACATGGATCCTCTCATGCGGGATGGCTTGGCTCGTGCCATCCACAATGTTCTTAACGACGATGATATGGCCACAGATGACCAGGCTGAACCTTCAAACCAAACTCGCGATGCACAGTCCCATGACGATATGTCGCCCCTCGAACCGATCAATGCCCCTCCTCAGGCTCCTGCCGCAGCCCAGACTGAATCCGCTCCTCGCCGCCAACTGGTTACAGTCGAGTCTCTGGATGTGGAACGGGAACAAATCCGCTCAAACCTCATCGATCGCTGCCTGGACGTCTTGAATGAGCATCATGACGTTTCCTTCGAGCTCGCAGACCTCATCTCTTCTGCCATCAAGAAGCACCCCGAACCTGAGAACTTCCGTCGCGATATTGGAGAGACTCTTGTTCAATCCCTCGTCTCTCTGCAGATGGAGAACTTTCAGACTGCTGGCAAGAAGATTGCTGCTTATGCACACATTCTCGCATTGGTCCTACAGGATCGTGACATGTATACAGCAACTCTTGAGGAATTGAAGGATTGCTTCTCAACTTTCCTGAGCTTCGTCAAGCTCCCTGAAAAGGCTGACGACGAAAGGTTCCCATGGGTTGGCCATGTGCTGCTAATTCTGGAGAAACTGTTGTCCGATGACTGCAAGCCACCTGTTATTACATGGACTCCTCCAAACCCCGAAAACCCCAAGGCTGATAACGATGGCCCCGCTCGACTTGAAGAGCCTCTTGTCTCTCTTGAGGAAAAGACCAAGCTCTTTGAGGCTCTGGTGGAAATTCTTCCTCGTGTGGGCAGGGATGACACACTTGCTTTGTCTATCTGCCGTGTCCTAGTCATCCTGACTCGCCAGCGCAGCATTGCGGCTCGTTTTGGCGAAAAGCGAAACCTTCAGCGCCTCTTCGTCATGGTTAAGCAGTTGGCCAGTGCGACAAATGACAAGCTTCAAAGTTCCTTCATGCTCATTCTGCGACACATTGTTGAAGACGAGGCTACGATTCGCCAAATCATGCGCGCTGAGATCGTTGCTAATTTCGAGTCTAAGACTACTCGCCAGATCGACACCACCGGCTACGTTCGACAACTGTACCATCTCGTCCTCAGGGCGCCCGAAATATTTGTCGAGGTCACCAATGAGAAACTGAGACTCCTTCGCTATGACAACTCGCAGCGGCCGCAAGTTCTTGGATTGAAGGCCGATAAAGACCGCACCGCTCGTCTTCGCCATGGCAAGGGCCTCGAAGAGGACAAGACCGAGCCCGCAGGTGAAGCATCGGCTTCGACAGCCGCTCCGGCACAAACATCCGAATCGGACGATAAGGACAAGGACAGCAAGAACCAAACCAAGAACACTGAGCTCAAACCACCTGTGGTGGAGAACCCAGATGGTGTGATCCATTATCTCCTGTCCGAAATTCTGTCATACAAGGATGTGGATGACAAGGAATCCACCGAGCCGGTTGAACAGTCTACTGCCGAGCAGGCCGATCCTCAAACCGATGTCGAGATGGGTACTGATGACCCAACGCCTTCTATTGCGAGCAGCACTGCCGATTCTCAGCCCAACCGCGCCGCCAACCCTGCCCCGGCCACGAAGAAGGGAGAAAAACCGACTTTCAAGGCAGAGGACCACCCCATCTACATTTACCGTTGCTTCCTGCTCCAATGTCTGACGGAGCTTCTATCCTCCTACAACCGGACCAAGGTGGAGTTTATAAATTTCTCCCGGAAGGCCGATCCTCTAGCCACAACTCCCTCTAAGCCGCGTTCTGGAATTCTCAACTACTTGTTGAACGTGCTTGTCCCCATCGGAACTATGGAGCATGATGAGTCACTGTCATTCAAGAAGCGCAGCATCACCTCTAGCTGGACGATGCAAACTCTCGTTGCTCTTTGTACCAAAACCGGCGAGTTCGGCGGCGTCGGCCGTCGTCGAAACGAACACAAGCGCAACGAAGAAGATGAGCCCGAGCTTGCTTTTGTCCGCCGTTTCGTTCTAGAGCACGCTCTTCGATCTTACAAGGATGCCAATGCCTCCACTGAGCCCTTGGATGCCAAATATTCCAAGTTGATGTCCCTTGCCGATCTCTTCGATAAGATGCTTAGCGGCTACTCTTACTCCCAAGATGCAGGATTCCCGTCTTCGACAAGACAACTCGCGAAGACAATGTTCGAGAAGCACTTCATTCCTGCTCTGACCGCCTCTGTCGCTGAAATCGACTTGAATTTCCCTTCATCCAAGCGTGTCATCAAGTATATCCTCCGCCCCCCTCAACAAGCTTACTCAAACAGCCGTGCTCCTTAGTGAGAACTCCGACATCTCTAACCTCGGTGAAGCTGATGATGATGAAATTTCTTCGGCAACATCAGTTTCTGACATGGAGGACGAACGTGAAGAAACTCCTGATCTCTTCCGACACTCTACTCTCGGCATGCTCGAACCCCGTCACGAGGAAGAGACCAGCTCAGAAGAATCCGAGGGCGAGGATGATGAGATGTATGATGATGAGTATGATGAAGAAATGGAATATGACGAGGACATGCCCGAAGACGATGGTGAGGTTGTCAGCGACGATGAGGATGGCGTGGGCCCCATTGAAGGTCTTTCTGGTGATGCTGTTGAGGTCATTATCGATGAAGATGATGAAGATGATGACGACGACGAGGATGATGATGAGGACGACCACTCGGACATGGAGGAAGATGAGATGTTTGCGGACGAAATCACTGGCGATCACGACAATGACAGCCTCGCAGATGGCGAAGATGACGAGTGGGAAAGCGAAGAGATGACCGAAGACGAAGAAGAAGCCGAGATGATGAACCAATTCGAAGACGAAATGGCCGATATGCGCCAGTCTAACCGTCAACCCGATGGTCACCACCGTATCAATGATCTATTCCGTGCTCTGAACGAAGCCGCCGGAGGGGTCGATGATCTCCACGGTGAAGGCTTAGGAGGAGATATCCACGATGAAATTCTTGATGAATTGAACGAGGATGGAGGTTTGTCTGCCTCTCTCTTTCTTCGTGACGCACTTCGCTTATTAAATCCAGAAGACGACGACGAAATGGACGAACTAGAAGAAGAAGGCGACGATTATGACGACTACGAGATGGACCAGGGATCTGAAGGCGATATGGAAGGTAAGTTGAGCTTTCGTGCAAGGGCGGAGATGCGCGTTCCAATTGCATAACTGACACTTGTTTTAGATGATGATCTCCTTGAGCCATGGGGCTGGGAGGGCGATGAACTGCCACCCCCTCGTGGCCACCATAACCACCGCTTCCGTGGTGGACCAGGTCCCGCTTGGGCAACTGTTACCGAAATCATGCCCGGTCGCAATGGCGGCTTGGTACCAATTCAACCCTACCACCGTGTCCACCGTGGCCAAATGCCCGGAGGTCGAGGGAACGATGATGGCACTAACCCTCTGCTAATGCGCAACGACCGCGGTGATGCTAATTCCCAACTCCGCGGACAAGGCCCCGAAGGCTTCTCTGACTGGCCTGCTCTTGATGCGCAGGGTGGACAGGGCCGTCTCATGCCAATGGACAGTCCTATGAGCTTTATGAACGCCATCATGCAAGCCATTGGTGGCCAAGCTCAGCCTGGCGTTGGAGTTGTTACTCGACCGGATGGCATCCACATCCACGTCGACCGCAGCACCGTTCTCCCCACTAACCGTCTCAACGATATGTTCGGCCTCAGTCGAGGACAGGCAGCCAACCCCCCTCGTGGTCGCGATGACCCCCACCACGCCGTGAAGTTTTCCTTGTGTACGACCAAGAACCGCTGGCAAGAGGAAGCTCGCATTCTCTACAGTGGTACCTATGTTGAGAAGTGCCAACGTATTGTCAACTCCCTTCTGAAGGGCTTGGTCCCCCCTGCCCTCGAGGAAGAAGAACAACGCCAAAAGGTGGCCGAAGAAGAGCGCAAGAAGGCGCAAGAAGAACGGGCCGAGAAGGAACGACAAGAGCGCATTGCGCGCGAAGAAGAAGAACGTGAGCGCAAGCGCCAGGAGGAGGAAGAAAATGCTCGACGACAGGCTGAGCAAGAGCAAGAAGAAGCTGAACGACAGGCTGCCGGCGGTGATGAGCCGATGGAAGACGTCCAAGAGACAGAGTCTGTGACCGAAGAAACGGCGACTTTGCCTGAGTCTGCCCCTGCTGAGCCTGCTGAACGAGTCCACACCACCATTCGGGGCCGCCAGCTTGATATCACTGGTCTGGAAATCGATCCTGAGTACCTCGAGGCGCTTCCGGAGGAACTCCGTGAAGAAGTCATCATGCAACAGCTCGCTGAGCAACGATCCCAAGCTGCTGCTGCGGGCGAAGAGCCAACCGAGATCAACTCGGAATTCCTGGAAGCTCTGCCTGCTGAGATCCGTGAAGAACTGTTGCAACAAGAAGCCGCTGATCGACGCCGACGGGAACGAGATAGCGCTCGACGACAAGCCAATGCTGGTAGTGCTGCCCCACGGGCCGAAGATATGGATGCTGCCAGCTTCCTAGCCACCTTAGACCCTTCGTTGCGCCAGGCCGTTCTCGCCGATCAACCCGAGGAAGTTCTCGCTACATTAGGCCCTGAATACCTGTCGGAGGCACGAACTCTTGGCGGTCGACGCATGGCGCAGTTTGGCGACGTTTCCGGAATTCCGGGAATGGAGCCTCGCCAACGAGGTGAGGCTGCTGAAGGTCAAGAGCCCAAGAAGCAGCAGCGTCGTCAAATCGTTCAAATGCTTGATAAGGCTGGCGTTGCCACACTCCTTCGTCTAATGTTCATGCCGCTGCAGGGCAATGCCCGCCACCAATTGAATGACATTCTTCACAATGTTTGTGAGAATCGCCAGAACAGAAGCGAGGTTATCAGTCTCCTTCTGTCTGTTCTGCAAGACGGTAGCGTGGATTCCTCTGCAATTGAACGCAGCTTCTCCCACCTTTCTTTGCGTGCCAAGGCTCCCGGTGTGCAAAAGACTCCTCAGTCCACCAAACGCAACCCGACCATTCAGTCTTCCTCCAGCGTCAGCACTGATGTGACTCCTATCATGGTGGTTCAACAGTGCCTGGGAACACTGTCTTTCCTTTCCCAGTTCAATCCTCACATTGCTTGGTTCTTCCTGACCGAGCATGATTCTGCCTCTTCGCTCAAACTCAAGGCATTGCGAAAGGGCAAGGGCAAGGAGAACCGTTCTAACAAGTTCGCTCTGAACGCTCTTCTTTCGCTCTTGGATCGGAAATTGATCATGGACAGCCCCAATTGCATGGAGCAATTGTCTGCTCTTTTGAGCAGTATCACTCAGCCACTTACTGTTCTCCTCCGTCGTGAGAAGGAGAAGCAAGAAGAGGAGAAGGAGAAGGGCAAGGAGCCCGAAGGAACTCAAGCCGAGGAGTCTGCCGAGCAGCCTGCTGACTCGGCATCAGGTGTTGATACCGCCATGACAGATGCCCCCGTGCCTACAGTTGAGTCTGCTGAAGATCAAGGTACTACTCAGACCACAGAGGGTGAAGATGCGAAACCCGCCGAGAAGGATGGCTCAAAGCCTGGCGATGAGGAAAAGCGCAAACGCAAATCCATTGAGCCTCCTGTCGTCCCCGATCACAACTTCCGACTAGTTGTCCATATTCTTGCCGCTCGTGAATGCAATGGCAAGACCTTCCGTGACACTCTCTCAACCATCAACAATCTGTCTGCGATCCCCGGAGCTCGTGATGTTATTGGCAATGAACTCGTTGGGCAAGCACAGACCCTGAGTGATACGATTCTGGCGGACTTGGAAGACCTTCTCCCTCATATCCACCAAGCCAAGACCGGCACAGACATGCAAGGGTTGGCCCTGGCCAAGTTCTCCCCCGCCAGCTCTGACCAAGCCAAATTGCTGCGTATCCTTACCGCCCTCGATTACCTCTTCGATCCTACTCGTGTGGACAAGTCCAAGGGCACCGAGCCTGAAGCCGCACCCAAGGAGGATGTCCTCAAGAGGCTGTATGAAAGTGCTACTTTCGGACCTCTGTGGACTAAGTTGAGTGACTGCCTGTCTCTCATTCGCCAGAAGGAGAATATGCTTAACGTGGCTACAATTCTTCTGCCGCTGATCGAGGCGTTGATGGTTGTTTGCAAAAACACCACTCTGAAGGACCAACCGATTAACCGCAACATTCGCGAGGCATCTGTTAACAGTGCTCCCGATGTTGGTCCTGGCATGGAAAACCTCTTCTTCAAATTCACTGAAGAGCACCGCAAGATTCTCAACGAGCTTGTCCGTTCCAACCCTCGATTGATGAGTGGCACGTTCTCCCTGCTGGTCAAGAACCCCAAGGTCCTGGAGTTTGACAACAAGCGCAACTACTTCACTCGTCGTGTGCACTCTCGTGGCTCTGAGCCTCGTCACCCCCACCCTCCCCTTCAACTCTCCGTCCGTCGCGACCAGGTCTTCCTTGATTCGTTCAAGTCCCTCTACTTCAAGACCGCGGACGAGCTTAAATACGGCAAGCTCAACGTGCGTTTCCACGGTGAAGAAGGTGTGGATGCTGGTGGTGTGACTCGAGAATGGTTCCAGGTCCTTGCTCGGGGAATGTTCAACGCTAATTACGCTCTGTTCACCCCCGTTGCTGCTGATCGAACCACATTCCACCCTAACCGCCTCAGTGGCGTTAACTCGGAGCATCTTCTGTTCTTCCGATTCATTGGGCGAATCATCGGTAAAGCTCTCTACGAGGGCCGGGTTCTGGACTGCCATTTCTCGCGCGCTGTTTATAAGAAGATTCTCGGCCGAGCTGTTTCTATAAAGGATATGGAATCTCTGGATCTGGACTACTACAAATCTCTTCTGTGGATGCTGGAGAACGACATCACCGACATCATCACCGAGACCTTCGCCATCGAAACCGACGACTTTGGCGAGAAGCAAGTGATCGACCTGATCGAGAACGGTCACAACATTCCCGTCACCCAGGAGAACAAGGAGCACTATGTCCAGCGTGTTGTCGAGTACCGTCTCGTCGAGTCTGTCAAGGAGCAAATCGACAACTTCCTGACCGGCTTCCACGAGATCATCCCGCCAGACCTGATCTCCATCTTCAACGAGCAAGAACTGGAATTGCTGATCTCTGGTCTTCCTGAGATCGACGTGGATGAGTGGAAGAATAACACCGATTACCACAACTACTCTGCCTCTTCGTCGCAGATCCAGTGGTTCTGGCGTGCGGTCCGCTCCTTCGATAAGGAGGAACGCGCTAAGTTGCTCCAGTTTGTCACGGGTACTAGTAAGGTCCCTCTCAACGGCTTCAAGGAGTTGGAGGGTATGAACGGTGTCAGCAAGTTCAATATCCACCGCGACTATGGCAACAAGGATCGCCTTCCTAGTGCGCACACATGTTTCAACCGTAAGCTTCACCCCCACCCCACCTCACTTTCTTCGTCGCCTGTGGCATTTTACTAACTTGTTCCCCCTGCAGAGCTTGATCTTCCCGAATATGAGAGTTATGAAGATCTCCGTCACCGGCTGTACACAGCTACGACGGCTGGTAGCGAGTACTTCGGTTTCGCATAGAAGCGAGCAGGTTCTGGTTTCTTTCTATTCCTATCCTTCTCTTCTAATTGGCAATTGTGTTCTCCAGCATTCAATGGCGTCCGGGAATGGTATGGAATCGAATCTTGGTGATGAATTTCGCGCGTGGAGGAAAGATGAAAATGAAATGGAATGGATTCGAATTCGAATTCATATTTAATGGGTCGGGCGTGTATCTGGTTGAAGTGCAGGTCAACCAGAGACCTCCTGTATCCCATATTTGTACTTAGATTGCTTTACGGAATATCCATATGTTCTACTTTTTGTTACCTCCTACTCCTATACCATCCGTCTACATAGTTTAGTATACTCCGATGCACGCGGAAGGCGGTGAGTGGCAGTCACGGGACAATGCGGGGCCTAAAGCGGGCATTGGCAGATTGCGGGTAATCGATTTTTTGATTTTTTTTGATTGAATCTCGACTTTCTTGGGAGTTCCCTCTCTAACCTCTCCTCTCCTCTCTCTCACACACACGTCATGTCGTCCAATTCCAACTCTATCAAGCTGTTGACGGGCAACAGCCACCCCGAGCTGGCCGAGCTCGTGGCTGACCGGTGCGTGCTACAGCACACGATCCCCGATCTCCATCTCCGTGCAGACGGGAAACTAATCTATGAGAGTTAGTCTCGGTATTGAATTGACCAAGATCATGGTCCTGCAATACTCCAACCAGGAGACCAGTGTCACAATCGGTGAAAGTGTGCGCGACGAAGATGGTATGTGAATATCCTGTTCACCAAAGATATGCCGGACATGAATCATATATTGAAAAGAAGTTCAATGACTGACAATATTCTCTCATATACAGTCTTCATCCTGCAGTCTACACGACCTAACGACATCAACGATGGCCTCATGGAACTCCTTATCATGATTAACGCTTGCAAGACCGCCTCCGCCCGCCGCATCACCGCCGTCATCCCCAACTTCCCTTACGCCCGCCAGGATAAGAAGGACAAGAGCCGTGCTCCTATCACCGCTAAGCTCATGGCCAACATGCTCCAGACCGCTGGCTGCAACCATGTCATCACCATGGATTTGCACGCTAGCCAGATCCAGGGCTTCTTCAACGTCCCCGTCGACAACTTGTACGCCGAGCCTAGCATCTTGAAGTGGATCCGTGAGAACCTCGACGTTAGCAACTGCATTATTGTCAGCCCGGACGCCGGTGGTGCTAAGCGGTACGTTTCTCCATGATTTTCAAAGAGGCATATTGGTCTTGATCTTGATCTTGATCTCGATTTCGATGTCGATCTCATTAACTAACGCTAACGCTTTCTCCCAGTGCTACCGCCATCGCCGATCGTCTCGATCTGCAATTCGCCCTCATCCACAAGGAACGTGCCCGACCCAATGAAGTTTCCCGCATGGTCCTGGTCGGAAACGTCAAGGACAAGGTCGCCATCATCGTCGACGACATGGCCGATACCTGCGGTACACTCGTCAAGGCCGCCGACACCGTCATGCAGCACGGTGCCAAGGAAGTCAACGCCATCGTTGTCCACGGCATTCTCTCCGGCAAGGCTATCGAGAACATCAACGGCAGCAGCCTGAGCCGTGTCGTCGTTACCAACACAGTTCCCCACGCCGAGAAGAAGGAGCAATGCGATCGCATCGAGACGATTGATGTCAGTCCCACCCTCGCCGAGGCTTGTCGTCGTACCCATAACGGCGAGTCCGTTAGCTTCCTCTTCTCGCATGCTGTCGCATAAGCGTCATAGCTCTCCACCTCTACCTCTTCTCCTACTTCCTACTTCATCACTTCACGTCTCGTCTCGTCTCGTCTCTTTTCCAAGCCAATTTCTGCCAATCTGGGCGTTAACAAACCCCACCCCTTCATCCGCATCGCTCTCATACCTATCTATCTATCTATCTATCTACTCTCTATCTCTCCCTCTGTCTCTCTTCTGTCAACTCTACTATATTCTAGTCGCGGAGTCCATTGTGTTACGTGGGAAGAAAACAAAAATACGATTCCTATGACCATTTCAAACAAACTCCATTCTTCGATCGTGGTACGGAACGGTTGCACCCTTAGAAGGTGCGAAGTTGTGCTCTTCTCTCTCCATTCTACTTTTTTTTTTTATTGCTTTTTTCTCATAAACCGGCGAGCCAAAATGAAGACCAGAATTATAGAGCTTTTTTTCCCTTTGCTTTGCTTTTGTCCTCGGTGGGTCTTACTTGCATCGTGGGCGTGTCATGTCATGTCATGTCTGGGTTTGGATTTAATTTTCTCAACGCTTGTGTTTGTGTCTGTATCTGTATATGTCCATGTTTGCGCTTTCATATACGGGTTACTGCCTAACTCAGGATTCCTGACTCAATACTCCGTGTCCGTGTCTTACTAGTATCTAGAATTTGAATGCCTTGATAGTCTCGGGTGATCCGATCCGATCTGACCATATGCTCCGCTCTGTTTCTGCTCCTGTTTCCGTTTCTACTTCCAAAGCCAGTGTCTTAGTCTCAACATGTATGTATTATTTGCTAGCTAGTGCTAGTGCCTCGATAGAAACTACTAGTATTTTCAAACGACTCCGTTTCTGACCTCTTTGTCTCTTTCTACGGGTACTAACTAGTGCCGGTGCTAGTACTAGGCAGTGTACCTAGAGAGGGCAGGCCGGGGCTCTCGGCGACTTGCGTTATGTCTTTGTCTTTGCCAGAAGTATGTCTCGGCTCAGGCGGTACCTAATGCCAGTGTGGCTTTGCAATCAGAGGAGGTTTGCGCGGGTGTGGTGTAGATCATGTTTGATCTCAGGATGTCTCGCGCGTTACTAGTATTATTGGGATTGAGTGGGTGTTTTAAGTGTGACTCTAGGGACTGAGGGTGTTTTATTTTAGGAAATGCCTCTGGGTTGACTTAAATATATCCATGGATGCCAGTGTCTTGGAATTACAACTTGTACTGGAGGTGGTGCGGTTCGGGGTCCTGGAGGTATATATCCACATCCTGAAATTAGGGTTAATCTTGCCAGTTGGGGAGAAGACAACTCACCGCGTGATAGTAGCACTAGGGGGTCTAACTAAGTCGAATCTAAAGGCCCATTGAATATTATACAATCTTGATTATTTATTAATGGATTCTTTGAACCTATTAGTATCTTAAAGCCGTCGTGGCGCCAACTCCCGATCGGCTGCTTCCGATGATGAAATAAGGGATGATGGATAGAGACAGAGACAATCGGGCGTACTATGCAGAGAAACTATTTAGTTTGCTGGAGATCTATATGCATTTGTCTTCAATACCAGCATGCATGTAGTACTTTGGGCGCTGTAGAACAATCTCTATGGTTGTCATTGCGGTTCGCACCGTTCATCCCCACTTTGTGCAGCCCACACCTGAGCAAGGTCAGACTTCTAGTACATTACCAGTGCAGAGTTGAATCAAAAATAATAACCTTGAATGAAATGATGCGTACTGCTCGATGCTTCCAGGATGCGTCGCCTAAATCATCATGATCGTCCACGTGTGCTGGAGATCTCGGGATACCATCACCCAGGTAAGGTTTAGACGGGCACCAGACCAGGCACATACGAGGCACTGCTACGTGTCGAGAAGAAATAGGAACAATGATTTAAACTTAACCCATTTTTTTGAGATTGGATTCTTCAAGTATCAGACATAAAAAAATTCCCCCACGTTTTTGTCCGCCGGGAAAAAAAATGATTCTCATTTTTGCTTTTTAAAAAGTGTGGTTGCAAGATATCATTCCCTTCCAAAAACCATATCCTTTCCCCGAGAAACGTGGGGAAAAATTCCTTCCCTTCGCCCATCTCTCTCTCTCCATTATAGAGAATCAGAGTTGTAAAAGTCCCCCCCCACCATTTCACCTATGCGGAAAATAAAAAATCATGACATCGCGGATCGGATCATGAGATTTACTTGCGCATGGATGAGGCGCGACGCTTGCGGAGCTCGTCACGCTTGGCCTTCTCCTCGTGGACACGGTTGGCGAGGAGCTTGGCGTAGTCGTTACTATAGATGAGATTGTTAGTTAGGGATCCAGATGAGAGCACAGTATAGTGTAGGTTTGCCGATGCAATGCTATGTATGCACTGCAAGGCAATCCTGGAACTGGGTGGAACTTACGCAGCCTCACGGGCAGCCTCAGCGCGGCGGCGCTTGATGGCAATGGCGTGACGCTTGCGCTGCAGGCGCTGGGGAGTGACCAGACGCTGGATCTTGGGGGCCTTGGTGTACTCGGGCTTGCCCTCCTTGGTGACGGTACGGCGAATGACGAACTTGCGGACATCATCCTTCTTGTCGAGGCCGAAGAAACGGCGGATCTTGGTGGCACGCTTGGGGCCGAGACGCTTGGGGACGACGGTGTCGGTCAGACCGGGGAGCTCGCCCTCACCCTGCTTGACGATGGACAGGGCCAGAACGGCAAGGTCCAGACCGGTGATGGCACCGCGGACGGACTTGCGCTTGCGCTCACCGGTGCGGCGGGGGCGGTAGCAGCTGTGGCCGTCGGCGAGGAGCAGACGGGTACGGGTGGGGAGGAGAACTGGAGAGAGGTGAGTATTTTGCGGGAGGGGATTTTGTTTTGTGATTTTGATTTAGGATTTGGGTGCGGCTGTTGATTTGTGGGGAGTGGTGGGAGTGTGTAATGTGTTTTGTTGGAACGTACCACCCTGCTTCATGGGGAAACCTGTGATTGTATGTCAGTAAACAATATTCCAGCGTAGGCATTATGAGATGAAATCTTATAAGAGGTATCCCGGGGAGAAAAAACATACCCTGCTTGTCGTTACCACCGGTAATCTTGAAGAGGTAACCCTTGAACTCATCACCGAGCGCGTCACCGGCGACCTGCAAAAAAAACCGTCAGCGGTTGTCCTAGACTATCCGTATTGAAGTGTGTGTGTGTGATGTGTGTGATTGTGTATATGGATGGGTAGATGGGTGTTTTGTGTATATTGGTAGGTGTATGTGTGCGTTCCAGGTAGGTTGGGTGGGTGTGTATGGGTGGTGCATCTTGGA